AATAAAAAAAAAAAAAAAAAATAATAATATATATAATATATATAAACAAAGATGACTTGAGAATGAAGATAGAAAATCTATATTATTCTTTATTTCTATACATAACATATTTAATTATCTTGAAATATTGCACTCTATAAAATTTTGGTGAGTTATGCACTAAAGCCCAAATTTAAGCCAATCAAGTTCATTAGTAGACACTGTATTCGAAGCCTCGGAGTTTCCATGAGAATGAACAGGTGCATTTTTATTATTTGAGTCAGCGTTTGAAATCGTATTAGTACTAGAATCACTCAATTGTTGTGATAACAACGATGTGTGCGATTTATCTGTCTTGACTTCGTAGGGAAATGATTCTAAATTTGATTGCGAATTTACAATATCCCTCTGAAATATACTTTGATTGTTGCCGTGATTAAACATATCGTACTCATCCCTCATAGGCGATGGGGTTATTGCACTGCCTTGTATTCTACTAGAATCTTGTTGCACTTGGTTTCCTGGATGCTGAACCTGTTTGGAGTTCATACCTTGCTGTTGAAGTTGTTGTAGTGAAGCTGCCATAAATGATGACGAATGAGATGCATTACGAGACATTTTGCGACGCGGTATAGATATACCATTTCTTCCAGCTGAACTTGAAAACAAACCCGTTTGTATTGGAGAATTGGATGCAAATGGATAACCATTAGGGGTCACCCTTGGTGAAGATGTATTACTGTTATTATTGGAATTTGAGTATCCTACTCCAGAATTGGAAGGCTTTGGTAATATAGGGATCATTGACCTAGATGAAGAAGACCTACTGGAGGTATTAGATGACGTACTACCTCTTCTATTTATTTTTGCCGTTCCATTATTGCTTGAATTCAAATTGTTAAATTGAGAAAGATCATTGGAAGAAGTTGCACGCGAGACGGCTATCCTATTACTTGGACCTCTACCTACCATACCTGATTGGTTAAAATATCCCCTTGGATCATTAGTGTGCATCTCTTCAGTCATTCTCGTGTTAAATACAGACGATGAACCAGATGGATTCACGTTTGTAAAGGATCCACGATTTGTAGCTTTTGGCATATTTGATTGTGCAGCAGTTCTAGTCATTGCTGTCGTGGCAGTCGCGTTTGATATGGAAGGAGGCGCAAAATTTCTTCGTATGCTATTCTGTTTATCCTCAAAGATAATACTTTCTTGAATATCCAGCGGTCCTTGACTTGGATGATCTAATTTCATTGAAGAATCTATATGTCCTTGTGTTTGATTCTGGGCATCCAGAGTCTTTTTTGTTCTTTTCTTTGTATTTCTTTTCTTTATCACATCTGATTTAAGAGACAATGGTCTCATAGTACCATGAAGTTTTTGAAATAACCCACAAGCATTACATAATGTTCTCCCATTTGGATCGCGTCTCCATAAGGGGGTCTTATAGGTCTTACAATTGAAACATTGCACTGGCGGTTTCCTAGTGAGTATTGATGAATTGTTTGCACTTGTGGATATATCTGAGATGGACGATGGACGTTTGTTTAAATTTGTCAATGAAGTAGATGACATTTGTCTTTGCATTTGATTCTTTCTAATTGAATTACTTGTGTTTGTGGAGCTTAATGGTATAGATATACCTTTATCTGTTGTTACCAAATTTGTAGATAACTGAGACATAGATGATTTGCGTGATGTTTGCCTGAACATCGATTGTGAGTTATTGTTACTATTGGATTTACCATTATTCGGGATATTATTGCTATTATTGGATGAAGGTAAGCCGATCGGCGACGATGAGTTCACCAAATTATTCATGTTATTATTATTGTTATTATTTGAACCATTCGGTATATTGTAAATGTTGAAAGAGTTTGAATGATTTCCATTAGTATTATTATTGTTGTTGAAGATGGAGTTCATGTTTGAGTTGGAATACGAAGATGACGATGCTACGTTTTGACCTGGTGCTTGAAACAAGGTTGCAATTGTCTTTTGACCTGTCAAAGCGTGACTTGTCAAATTTTTAAATTGATTGAAAGAGTTCGCATTATGACTTGATGACATTTGTAAATTACTTGAATTATAACTATTTGGAGCACTAATCGTAGCTGAATCGCTTGAATTCCCTGGTGTCATTTGTAATGTATCTACATTAAAATCCCATAACCCTGCAATTTCACCATTTTGTTGATTTGCAATATCTATTGGTTGCGTCATTATCATATTTGATTGATTTAATGAATTGTTACTATTATTATTACTATTATTATTATTATTATTATTATTATTATCTTGAGATGATATTTGATGGAAGATACTTTCATATTTAACAGCTGGAGATGGTTGAATATTTTGAGTCGATGGGTTTCTTGATTGTGTAGTTGATTCTATTGGAGTATGTGTTGCTCTAGATGTACTACCATTTTTACTTCTATCCGACACTAAACTTAAGTTATCATCTTCATCAGTCGGAAGAGGTGTGAAAAAGGAACTAAAGTTGATATCATCAGGTAATACTTCTAACATAGAATCAAATGCGTTATTATTATTGTTGTTGTTGCTATTATCTATCTGTGTTGTTGTAGAATTATTATGTGATGATAAATTCAAATAGTTTTCAAAATTTGTGTCATTTGCAAAGAGACTATGGAAGTCATCTTCATCCTTTACAGTATTATTCTTATTCTTGTTAAGTTCAGACATCGTACTCGATACTTCAGTATTTATATGGATGTATCTGTTTGTGGATTGAATGTGTCCTAACTTGCTTGTAGAAAACACAGAGTTTAATATGTTTGTTAATCTCGGACAGAAAGGGCTCAGTTAAAGGAAATTTTCAAAGGAGACACACAAACTTAAACTGAATAAACTGCGTTCTAAATAAAATGAGAGACTAATTTGGATATTTCCTATTAACCTAGTAATATAATGATAGTTCTTTCGCAGCAATTTGGAAAACAAAAGTGGGCATATACCAAACAAATAAAATAAAAAAATAATGATACAACGGCACTAGTCAAAAAGAAAACTGGAACACTTCTGCTTGGAAAATGGTTTGCTCAATCGATTGTAGTGTAATCTGTCTCACGCTAAGGTAGTGGTACTATATAATGGTAAACTTGCTTTGTTTTATATACCTGCATAACTAACTCTTTTACCCATCTCTTATTTTCAATGGAACTCAAATTCAAACTATCAGCAGTTTCCCAATTTGAAAAGAGAAAATTGAGTTTGTTTTTCTTTCGTTTCTCTGAAGAAATCGCCTGCGCGCGAGCAAAGTGAGAAAGTGATTGTTCGTTTTTTGTCGGTGGACGTGAGATGATTCATTCGTTTGCACTGCTAGAAGGGCTGTCCCAAGAGCAATTTCAAGGTTAAGGTCAAGTCGATGAGAAATTACGTGAGAGGTGGTCTGCTCATCGTATCAATGTATTGAATTGTTCTAGTCATTAATTGATTGGTAGAAGGTTTGTCGAGATAAGCTCACTTCCTGAAGATTGTTATCGTTGATAGTTGGCATGGTAGACATGGTATACCAGTTTTTATTTGCTGATTGAGTCTATAGGTATAGACTACGTATATAAATATGTGTGTTTTTCTAAGTAAAGGAAGGAAACTCTGGCATCAAATATTATATAATCGTATTATATGTTTGCTAGTTTATTCCGAATACATCAATACAAAAATTAACGTTTGTTAGATTGTAACCAGAATTGAAAAAGTTGGAATCTAATACAACAGCAATAAATAGATAATTATTTTTCCCTACTTAAAAGACTGTTTCAAGGTTTCTAATAATAACTATCTATTAAAATAAAATATCTTGCAAGAAATTTGCTCCTTTTCATAATCGAACAATTTCAGGTAGAAAGGTATTAAAGTATAGCAACATCAGTTTGACTCCGCCAATAGCAACAAAATAACAATCAAATCAAATCAGTCAAAGTTGCAAAGGTCATATATCTTATTGGAAGTTATTCTTATTTTATTGAAGTGTGTATCCTGTTCTATTCTGTTCCACGGCTGGTACCAGATTTCCATAAATTGCACAGAAAGTACCAGAGAAGTGTGCGAATATACGGCTGTGACGAATATAAAGAGATGAAGAACGTCCAGAAGGGAAAGAGGCTATTTAATCATTTCAATTCTTGAGATTAAAGATATCAGAACCTTGAACGCACATATTGAGAATCAACAAAACAATCATCTTAAAATACTCAGCTGAATATATCAATTATGGAGTACTCCATAAAGCTTGGTTACTGAAATGGAGACAAATATGACCTTCTGATGTCACTAATATCATAGTCATGTCTGGTACTGAACGAGTATTGGAAAGGTGCAATAAATTACAATCAGAGGGTGGCAAATATTACTCCTGACGTACAATGGTATAAACAATGAAGATATGAGATACCAAAAGTTAGGTCAATATTATCTCACAATTATAGTGCTTGGAAACTAACCCAGTAAACATGTGTCTGTTTTGTAGAAATCTTGAAGACGAACTCCAAAAGCAACTGCGATATCATTGATTGAATTTACGGGTTGCATGTCTCAACCAGTTACATTTTAGGTTAAAACAGAAAGATATTTGATATTTTAGAATGCAAAATAAATAATACTACAGGAACAGATGAATTGTTTGAACTCTTTAGAGACTTGTATTTAAATGAGATAGCTGGAAAATTCTTGCAAATAAAAGAAGAACTTGCATACTATGGGTTCAGAACCTCCAGTAGAAAGAATGTTGTAGGTGTAGATCAACCATAACGTTACTACTCCTCAGATTTGTGCTCCCATGAAAACGGCTAATTTGCTTGCTCGTTCTACCCTATCGGATCAAATGTGAATATCAGATTACAACACATTGTTAAATGTTATCCGAGACTTAATCATAATATAATGTATTATTACATGGAGTTTTTTTTCTTTATTTTGAAGGGTAGTTACATAGGTTTGACTATGAACTCTATGCCTATACACACAACCAACGCCTGAATCCCTAATCACAATGTCACATACCCACTACAGTAACCTTCACAAAGTGAGGATTGAGTCTATCTGCTCTTCAGATATGAGTGTATCTCAACAAGTAATGACTACTTCCTTCTCTTTCTAAAATTTAGATCATGACGTAAATTTTCACTGTACACAAGCGGAAACCTACCCATTATTTAATGTAAAATGAAAAAAATAATAATAATAATAGTAGTATTTTTAATAGGAAATGCCGTATAGGAACCAACTATATGATATCGAAAGACACATAAAGTTATATCAAGGAACTTTAACTACGTTAATACTTTCATTAACACAACTCACAATGAGTTCCGACCAGGAATCGTTTCATAGCGCAACTGGGGAGAAAAGTTTAACGTCACTGAATAATTATGCAATTGTTTCTGATTCGCAGGAGTCTTCAGGAGATGAGCCCAGTAAAATCATTACATTCAATGAAGGTACCGAGTTGAGTGATTCAACAGAGGATGATAATGATGATGGCGATACTAATGATGACCATAGTGTTTCTGAAGAACAAGAACTTGTACACCCGGGAACAAAAAGACCAAAATTAGACAGAAACACCAAATCTAGGATGAGTGATCCACCGAACCAAAAGGGGTTTATACAAGTACAGGAGTCTGACTTGAGTGGTTTCTATGGAAAAGAATTGAGTATGAATATGGATAAATTAAACTCTATGCAATCATTAATACATAAATCACCATTACCTAAACAAGATAGTGAAATACAAAAACAATTCAACGCCAAGAAAGATGCTTTATTTAAAGAAGTTATTGACTCAAGAACTGTAAAGCAAAACTTAGTGGATGCGATTATCCATGAAAATATTACTAATAAGTTTCAAGATTGGCATTTCATAAGGCGAAATTGTTCAGACTCAATTGAACTTGGATTGTTGACACCACTGATGGCTTCTATCGGATGTGAAATGGAAAGTTCTGACCCAGTTTTTACTATAACAGATGCTGATGTTGAGAGGTATGATAGTTATTGTAGGATGTTCCCTGTTGGATATATGTTAGATCATATATGTACGTCACTTCGACGTATAGCCACACATGGTTTGGCCACCACAGCATCCAAGACCAAAGCGGCCAAATTCTTTGTATGCTTCATTTTGGATAGGAAAGTTTATGAATCCATCGATATGAATCCATTGAAATGTACATCAATATACAGAGATGTAGTTGTCAAATATTTATTGGAAAATGATCCTACTGGAAACATGATTAATATCTTGGATGAGCTATTCATAAATCTAGATAAAAATTTATATTTTATGATTAATCGCTTGACAACACTAATACCCGAATTAAAAAATCCTTTAATGGCACACTATTTTAAAAATGATATTAATAATGTAATAGCAAAATTTAATACATTAATGGATGATGGAATGTATGAAAGTTTACTTTATTTTATAATGTTAATCTATGGGTCATATTTATTACCTTTCGAGAAGAGCGACAAAGATGATGAAAAGGATGGATTAGAAAATAATCCTACACATAAGTATTTCAAGGAATGTGTCTATGATATGTCAACGAATACAACTTCAGATGTAGAAATCTCTTTGATGAAAGTGTTATTGAACTTATATTCCAAGGTAAATACTTGAAAAATGTATTAAAGTAATGACATATATATATATATATATAATTGAATAAATTTATAGAATAAAAAAAATATAATGACGATGACGAATGTATAATGTAAGTTATTATTAGATAAATAATTGTGGTTCAGCCTTTGGTAAATCCAATACACTATTGACCACTATAATGTTGTTCAATAAACCTTTCTCCAATTCTTTATCATCAGGATCATCTATACTTTGTATAGCTTTTAATTTGTTTCCGTCATCTGTAGTAGTTTCAGTCACTAAGAAACATTTACTCATCCCTAAGGCAGCAGCAGATTGAATATTAGCAAAACTATCATCGATGAAAAATGCATTATTCCAATTACCTAATCCACTTTCTCTTTTCACTCTTTCGAAAAATCTATGATCAGGTTTACAAATAATTTCTCTTGAAGAAGATTCATATTGTGTGAACGTAATACCATCGAATAAATCTGCAATACCTAAAAGTCTAATACAACGAACTGCATGATTGACATAAGCATTAGTACACAACCATAATTTTTCAATTTGATTATCTTCTTTCAATTGTAATAATACTTTTCTTAATTTTAGATCAGGCTTTAAAACATGACCAATTTCCAAAGAATCATCGACCATCATATTATATTTTAATGGATCAATATTAAAGTTGTGTACTAAACCTGCTGCCATTAGACCATATTGTTTATAATATGTATTCATAATATGTTTTGCCGTTCCTGATGGAATACTCAATTCATTACGCACATAATGATATATTGCGTCTTGCATCATTTCTTGAATGCCTGTAGATCTCCTGTATAGAGTATTATCGATATCAAAATAGAAAATTTTGGAATCGGGATCCACTTCTACAGGAGTATCATCCAAACTAGTTCTAAACCCCGGTTTTAATTGTGACCCTTCATAATCCAAGGAATCTAGTTGTAATTTATTTTTGAGCAATTGTTGCTCGATTTGAGTTCTGTAATTTATTCTTCTTTCAAATTCAGACATCACTTAATAATATTAATAATTGTAAGTAAAATCCAAAGCGTAGCGTGTAAGATATATGGTATGAACAGAAATAATAACAAAAAACAAGACAAAATAAACAACCTTAAAACAACCTTAAAACAACTCGAGAAATATTTGGAAAATAATGTCCTTATATATATATGTTCAGGGACATATATTAGTAACCGATTGCCCCACCCACCCCTTGATGTGTCATAGGGACCACGATATTTGCTTATCATCGTCATCTTAAACATGAGTCCGATCCAGCCACTTCCAATTTCATATCCGAAACTGGTTAACGAGCACAGAGAGGGGCGCAGAATGAGTGTAACTGAGACACTGAGAAGGGGAGCAATGACGTCGATATTTCTATTTCTTTATGAGCCGAAAATCTTCCAATACAAATTCCGCGCGTATTAATAAACAAGTACTGTTTTTGGGTGAGAGAGCAGAGAGCGTTGTGGTGGTGGTTCCATTTCACATAATTTTATTTGTCTCACGCAGCGCGGATCGCACCATCGCAGTAAGTAATACAGGGTTCGGATATTTTGATCTCCTCTTACTAAGAGGGGGAGAAGGAGGAATAGGAAGAGGGGATTTCGTTAGAATGCTATTTTAAAGGATGGCAGATAATCATTTAATTATTAATTACTAAAACACCAGTCTATGGAGTTCTGGTTAGGAACAAGCGGTATTTTGATTAATTTGATATCGTGTTGGATTTTGGTTCTGTCCTTTGCTGTTTTGAATGCCCGTGATGGAGGATTGTCGATGGATGGCACTGTCAGCTGATTAAGAAATACATAAATATATTCTTCGCAGATGTAATTGTTGAACTTTATTAAGTAAATTAATGCATTTAGAAGATAGGCTTATGTTAAGTTAGAAGTATCTCTACTATAGTTATTCCACACATACACTCAGGAGACAAATATATTCATTTTATAAGATGTCATCTAAGAAATCTTGATCTTCCTGTAAATTTGAAGGAACAAATGTCTCAACTTTTTTATTTTCTGCAGGGGTATTATTATGTGAAATTAATGGTTTAACAGGTTCTTTTTCATTTGTTACTGTTTGCCTTAGTTTATCCGTAGTCACAGTTGAACCTACGTTATCACCTCTACCAAGTATACGATTCAATTCATCAACATCCATACTATGTATATCTTTAGAAGTATACTCATCTATTCCTTTATTTGACATCAACTTAGTAATATCATCCTCACCATTAGCGGCAATTTCGGCTCTTTCTTGTAATATTGTTTGTAATTTTTGACGATCTGAAGTAGAATCATACGTATCTAATTGTTCATTAATATCAGCATCTTCATCATATCGAGTAAGATTGTTACCTAGTTTTCTCTCTTTCTCTTCTGCTACCAATTTTTCCTTTTCTCGAGTCTCTTCATCTTTCTTTAAACCATAATATTTTCGATCACTCGGTGTTGCATGTTTATGCTTCAATTTTTGTTTATCTTGAAATTTCTTTCTGTTATCCTTCTTAAGACTGTACGAGTCCATTTTATCGTCTCTCCTTTAAGTGAGTTTGATACTTCTTTTGATTTGAATTGCCAATTTCTCACTTGTGATTTTGCTTACATGTGTTAAAAGTATAGCTTTCCTTTTACACTTATTTCGCGCTTCTTAAATATTTAATACCAAATTTTAGTTGTGCTGTTTTTTTTTTTTAAGAAGGCACTACAAATAATCATACAGGGCAAGCAAGAGAAACAGATGGTAAAAAAGAATATTGATTTTTTATTTATTTAAAAAGTTCATTAAATATTGTCGTATGTATGCGTTTAAATTATGGTATCGATGCTCAGTCTTCTTCATCACTTGAACCCAGTTCAAAGGTGACTGTTCCACCTTCCATTTGATGGAAATCATTATCATGCCAATTATTCTCACTCATTCTCTTTTGATGACTGGCTCCACCATCATCACTTTCATGACTGAGCATCGAGAACAAACTTCGTGAAGAGTTATCTCTTGAGACACTTCTTGGTGTGCTATCGAAATTGGATAATTGCTGAGGATTCTCACTGAACCGTCCATTCATCAATGAACCCTTTGGAGGTTGAGGATCCAAGAAGAAAGTAGAATGGGAAGCTATGATACTTGCATTGTTTACCTTGTTGACTTTATAGGACGATGGAGAATTCTTCACCGAGGTCATCGAAATGGTTCTTCTAATTATTGGTTTCTTCGCAGAACTGTTGGATTTATGACTTGTTATTCTTTGTGGTTCTTCCAACGCACCTGTTTCATTATTAATTGCAACAAAGCTTGGATCGTGACTCAACATGTTCGTATCGCTACCATTGCTACTATTAGATGTTGCAGTATAAGAATAATTAGGATCGCGCGAGGGCGACCATGACAATGGATTTAACAATGAATCCGATCTCTCTGGGGATTGCAATTTTCTCAAAGTATTAAACGAATGGTTTCTTGGTCCCAGGTCCGGTCTATCCACTGCCAGAAGGGATCCCATCGACACATTTGTTGCGGAACCAACATTCTGATTGTTGACTGCACCATTACTGTTATTATTATCGAAGAATTTTTCTATGAAAGGATGTGACCTTAATTGTTGCGCAGTACGTCTCTTTTTCGGGTCTACGACGAAACAACATTGAATAAAATTCCAAAATTGTTTATATTCTTCCATTTCCGCATATTCTTCATCGATATAATAGTCGCATTTTGTGATACAGTCCAAAGTTTCTTCATCTGTCTCACAATCAAATGGAGTGTATCCAAATGCCATGAAGAACACAAGGACTCCCAGCGCCCAAATGTCGACACCTGTTCCATAACTCTGTATCTTGGATAATTCCTCTGTGGCCATGAATGCCACACTTTTACATTTAACGATTTCTGGTGCAATGTACGATATTGTCCCGACATACTCCTTAAGACTCGTAGCGGTAGGATCTGTAATTCTTGTTGCTAGACCGAAATCGGCCAGGATCAGGTCATGAGCGGATAAATCGTATTGTTCAGGTAATTTATTTAAAGTTAACAATTGAGGAGATCTTTTCTTGTGAAGACGAAACAGCACATTTTCTGCTTTGATGTCTCTATGGATAACATGTTGCGAATGTAGGAATTGCAATACACTAACCATACACGCGGTATAAGCAGCGACTTGTTTATTTAAATCCAGATGTCCATTCTTAATAATCTTTTCGTACAGATCGTCTTTATCACATAATTGAGTAATCAATACGATATTTTCTTCGGTTTCGAAATAATCGTATAGTTGCAAGATATGGTGATGACCTTGAAAGAAATCCAATTGAATATTGTTATTATTAGAATGATTTTCCAGATGTCTAATTTCCGCCGAAAGAGCGTTCAATAAACCGAATTCTCTTTTAATTAATTGCAATTTATTTTTCACTAAATTTTTGTGAACTAATTTCATTGCGTACGTTTCTTTTGTCTGTACATTAATGCATTCTTTCACTACGCTAAAATTCCCGTCACCTAATTGCGAAGACTTCGTTAAATATTTACATTTAATCATGTCGTCATCTGTAGCTAGCAAAGGCGAACTCTTTGAAGGCTTGATATTAGATGAAGAGTTACCACTCATACTGAAAGCCAGTGAAGGTTGTGATCTTCCTGAATCTATCGTTACACCACACATATTTGGGAGGAAAAGTAAAAACTGTTGTTGTTATTATTTTAATATTTTACTTTCTTTAGTCCATGCGAGGACAGAACTGCAAAATATATATGAAAATATTATTGAGGTATACTTCCCTTATATATATATAAGTACATGAATGCAATGTAGCAAGAAGGTAATTAGTTATATTGAGTAAAGAGGTACTAAACCTTTTCAGTTATATAATATTCTGATAATTACCTTCTATTATTGAAAATATCCGGAATTATTCAATTATTGAATTCAAATTTTCCAATCTTAAAAACCTGCTTTCCTTCGTCCCTTGGCCTCCCCCGTATCTTATTATTAAGCACGAATGAACGAACGAACGTGACAATAACAGAACAAACGCGATTCTCTGTGTGTGTCTGTCGGTTCGCTTATCAACAACCGCTTTTCCTCAGCAGGATAATTCAGTGGGGGGGGGAAAGCAATGTATGGGTGAGTGCTAAGAATCAGCTGTAGATGGACGCATTCTGTGGTACCATTGACCGTGTCAATTTTGCGGGAGTTTCCTGAAGAGCGGAGAGAGCAGAGCGAGTTTTTCCATTCAAATTGCAAATTTCCGTGTTATTGCAACGAAAATTTCCCTGTCGCACACAGGCGAGTGTGCCCCCCACAGGATGTTCCCTCCAGGGTTTAGAGAGGGTTTACATGGAACGGATAGGTGGTTGCCTTTCTGTGGGTGATGAGGAGTCAGGTAAATTTGCGTGCAAGCACTTCCTATTAGAGGTAGCACAGTGTTGTAATGTTTCGTTCGGAGTACACGACAGTTCGGTACGGATCATTCACAAAACAAAAATACGCATAGCTTCTCTTAGGGTTCCGTTCGGGCTGCCTTAGGGTTCGCGGCCAGGATGTCACCGGTCAAAATTGTACAAATGAGTGTCTCTGCGGGGGGTCGGGAGATCTTTGCACCAAGGGTGGTAACAAAGCAATATACGTGCAGCTTTGTAATGAGCGCATTTTGACCTCACTTCCCACTGCCCCCACCGCAATTTTTGAGATAAGAAAGCGGGTTCTACGAAAAATATAGTTGTTCCGAGTGGCAAGCATTTGTAATAGCTGCGGAAAGGAGAAAGAGATAGCGAGAGGGTTGCTGAACTGCGACGGAGCTAAAACTGTTTAGTTCCTTTCCACTCTATTTGTTGTCTTCCACCCTCCCCCACGTCTTTCCGGTGGTTGCTATTCTGGAGTATATTAGTGATTATAATAGTTTGTTCAAGTTCAATAGTTGAACCACACCGTGTTGAATAGCAGATGTTCTGAACAATACTACCCATTATCATATTTGGTCCTCAATGAAACGGTCTCAAACCTATCAACATTCATTCGAAAATATGTAATATAATATTTCCAAAAGTCACGTGCTGTAGTTGTTGATTTTCGTCACGTGAGCAGCCGGGTAATTGCACCTTATTCTTTTTTTTGTTTCTCGCTGCACGGCCCGCTGGTCACTGGAAAATTTTTCTTCGATTATTTTATTTTCACTTTAGAATAATGCGATGAGCTTGGGCATCTCAATAATAACAATTACTTCATCAACTTGATAAATTAGCTTACACATCATATAATATATTATTACAACACATCTCGAAAAGATTTACAAGAACACAGGCAGACAAGTACAAACATAATATGAGTGATACTGTGAAACGTTCCAGAGAAGACGACAGTAAACCTGTCACTGATGACAGTGCCGACGTCAATGTCGTAGAAAACTTTAGTGAATTAAACTTATCGCAACCTACTTTGAAAGCCATTGAAAAGATGGGCTTCACCAAGATGACTTCTGTTCAAGCTAGAACTATCCCTCCCTTGATGGCCGGTAGAGATGTCCTAGGTGCTGCCAAGACTGGTTCTGGTAAGACTTTAGCATTCTTGATTCCTGCTATTGAAATGCTACATTCATTGAAATTTAAACCAAGAAACGGTACTGGTGTCGTTGTCATCACCCCAACAAGAGAACTGGCTTTGCAAATTTTTGGTGTTGCTAGAGAATTGATGGAATTCCATTCTCAAACATTCGGTATCGTCATTGGTGGTGCTAACAGAAGACAAGAAGCCGACAAGTTAGTTAAAGGCGTAAACTTGTTGATTGCGACCCCTGGTAGACTACTGGATCATTTACAAAACACTCAAGGCTTTGTGTTTAAAAACTTAAAGGCTTTAATCATCGATGAAGCTGATAGAATTCTGGAAATCGGGTTTGAAGATGAAATGAAACAAATTATTAAAATCTTACCTAATGAAGATAGACAATCCATGCTATTCTCTGCTACACAAACAACCAAGGTCGAAGATTTGGCAAGAATCTCCTTAAGAAAGGGTCCTTTATTCATCAATGTTGTCCCGGAAAAGGATGCATCAACAGTAGAAGGGTTAGAACAAGGTTATGTTGTATGCGAGAGTGACAAGAGATTCTTGTTACTGTTCTCTTTCTTAAAGAGAAACCAAAAGAAGAAAATTATTGTCTTTTTATCCTCATGTAATTCTGTGAAATATTACGCTGAATTGTTGAACTATATCGATCTACCCGTCCTAGAACTTCATGGTAAACAAAAACAACAAAAGAGAACAAACACATTTTTCGAATTCTGTAACGCTGAAAGAGGGATTCTTGTGTGTACCGATGTTGCAGCCAGAGGTTTAGATATCCCATCTGTCGATTGGATTGTTCAATTCGACCCTCCTGATGATCCAAGAGATTACATTCATAGAGTCGGTAGAACAGCAAGAGGTACAAAGGGTAAAGGTAAGTCTCTTATGTTTTTAACCCCAAGTGAATTGGGTTTCTTAAGATATTTGAAGGCGGCCAAGGTCCCATTAAACGAATACGAATTCCCAATGAATAAGATCGCTAACGTTCAATCACAATTAGAAAAGTTGATTAAATCCAATTATTATTTACATCAGACTGCTAAGGATGGTTACAGATCTTACTTACAAGCATATGCATCACATTCATTAAAGACTGTATATCAAATCGATAAACTTGATTTAGCAAAAGTGGCTAAATCATATGGTTTCCCTGTCCCACCAAAGGTGAATATCACTATTGGCGCTAGTGGTAAGACAAATAATAAAAAACGTAGAACAAAATAGACACATGTATATCTTTGTTTAACACGTATAAAAATATAAATATATATATATATATATATAATTCATTGTAAAATAGATACATTATTAAAGGTCTTATTTTAGAGAAGTATTCTTCATTTACCTATATAGAGTATGAGACCTATGTATAAAGAGTGCACAAAACATAATCACCCTCTCACGATCCCTTTAACACATCCCATCACACCATTAAATAATAAAATCGAATCTCCAACGTTTATGCTGCTTTTTTGGATAACACCTTCCTCAATATAACCTTTTTTGAGCAAGTAATATCTCATTGTACCGCATAGACAACCAGAAGTCAAAAATGGTGTAACATATTTGGTACCATTTTCGTCTGTAACATTCACCGCAATATTTGTGATACTACCCTCAGTAATAATATTATCCTTATTAAATAATAATATTTCACTTTTCGCCATGCTATCATCAGTACGATAGGCTGAAACCTTTTGCTGTAATACACGTCTTGCAAAATCGTAGTGGTCACGATTAGTTGTCTTATATGTAGTAAAACGTGATGATATTATAGGGTAATCGTCAAGGAATATATCCCAAGTTGGTTCAGTTGATTCTAATACACCACCCAATATATTTTTATAGAAATAATTAATGGAATACGGTAGTGTTGGTATCTCCGTTCTTTGAATTTGTAACACACCTTCTTTATCCAGTAAAATCCTCATTTTATAAGTAGAATTATTTTTCTTAAGAGCTGTTATTAAGTTACTTCTACTATCCCAGTTATAACCTTTATGTCCAACAATACCTTGTAATAATAACTCTTGAATACTCTGGGGGCTCGGAATAGCCCGTAATCCTAGCGCCTTAGCAGTAAATATCATTCTTCCAATCTGTTGCTCATAAAATAAAAATCTTTCTAGTAGAATAGACCTTATATGTCTAATATCATCATATTTTGTAGAATTGTATTGAGTGATATCAATGATAGCGTATTTATTCCCGCTGAAATTAACCTTTGTACTGTCACCAAGTTCTGTTTTTATCCTAACATCATTAAGATCAAATGAGTCTGGAAATTTATAGCCATTGTCATCTGACGGTAAGTGGTATGATCCCCAATTCGACTTCACAGTTAGAAAGGTACTCGTTCCTTCTTTGTCCTCGGTTATAGTTGTCAGTTGTGGATCATATCTCAGAGTTCCTAGGATACTGTACGATTCATCTTCTTGCATTTTAAAGGAGAAATACTAAAATATGCACGATTAAAGATATTACTTTTATAATACCAAAATGGAGATGGAAAATATCGACATTTTCATGCAAGTTCTATTAGAAATGTTAAATAAACATATTCAATATATTTGACATGAAGTACCGGCTTGTCTCGGAAACTTCAAGATGGGACAACTTCAAGATAAAGAAAATTACTAACGTGCGGCTTACAGAAATATGTGGTCAAGACAATAAAAATGTTATTGTATCACTAATATTATACGTCTTACACATGTATCCATGCTATTAAATAATTACATATCTATAGGCCTACAGAACCCAGTCCAATTCCTCTATCTTGTTTTCTTCATCTTGTAAGCCCGGATAGTGAGGAACTAGGGCATCAGTATTACCCACGTATATCTTATTATACAACTTCCAAAAAGTATTTCTTACATTCTTGGCAGGATGGAACAGTCCAGCCCATATGTAGTTCATAAAAATACCTGGCCCAACTGCATAATTCAATGCTTCCAACCCATCCAAAATACGAATGATAACATGAGGTGAGGTTTCAAACACATTGGGCATCAAAAGATTTAATAAGTGAATGAATATATCTTCATTACCTACCCCGATACAATTCAGAGCGATATTTCTCACTACTGTGGCTGCAGTTTGACGATGAATTAGGTCACGGTCGACCAACGCATCTTCCAATAACGGTGAAATAAAATAAACATAATCTTGGGACATTGGCCCTATATATTCAAACATGAATGTCATGGCTTTCAATATACCATTTTGAACGTTTGTCTCCGGAGTCTTGTACTCATTCATCATTGCAGGTAAGACTGTATATGGTCCACATACTTTCGCTACAATACCAATGGCAACTGCGGTACAAACACGTAATTGACGTTCTTGAACTTTAAGATTATTCAATAACACAACCAAAACATCTTGAGGTCCAACTGCTTCCGCAATTTCACCAAATGTGGCATTTGCAGCTACTCTCGTTTTTTTGTGTGTACTTTTCAAGAGCTCTAACAACTCAAAGCATACTCTCAACCATTCCTTTGGAGGGATATAGTCAGGTCCTTTATGAGCTACACAACCTATTAATCTCACCGTATTCAATTGGACTTTTTTGTGATTATTTCTTAAGATAGGCGTTAATGATGGCAAAATTTGATTTATTGGCGGTTGTAATACTTTGAAGTCCATAACAGATAGAATTGAACCAATAACTTTAATTATTGACCCTAAAACGTCGGGATACATTTCACCTAATGATTCGTAGAGAATAATATTAAGTTTGTTGATCATCTCAATTTCTCCACACTCCTTAATAACAGGTATCAGGATACAACAGAGGTCTGCTGCATTTTGTCGGATTATTTTATCCTTATGCCTTAATTGATTTAAGATAGCACTTACAATTGGAGATAAGAATGGTTTCATACGTATACCTAGTGATTCAGCCACTGTCCCGAAACATCTGAATATCACTGGATCACCATCCTTTTGATCTTGGAATGCTATTAGCAATGCATCAATTAACCTTGATTCCAATCTACTATCTAATTCTGTCGTTCCAACTACTTGTACAACCCTATCAACAGCATGTATAGCCATAAATCTAAATGGTTCAGAATCATCTCTCAATGGTTTCAATAATTCTTCTACAATATAAGCAGAGCCCATCTTTTCGGCTAGCACTACTGTAGTATAGGTTACCATTTTATTCAGATTCTTATCCAATGCTACACGTCTATTCCAAAAGTTTTTGAAAAAAATTGGACCAATTTCTTCTCTCAAGTATCTAGGGGTAACAGTTTCTACCTTGGCACATTTCTGTAGTACAATCAATATTGCTCTTCTCATTTCCTCATCGGGGGAGTAGAATTCTCTACTCACTATATGCAATAATTCTTCTGTATAATAACCAGCATATTCTGTATCCATCAATGGTATAATGGATGCTAGGCATCGTACAAATGCAGCTAACATCTTACCTCGGTGTTTTCTTAAGCCCCTCCACAGTGGTTCTAAAATAATATTAAAAGATTCAATACCATACGGATATGAATCTTCAGCCAGAGTGGCGATCGTGTTGGCAGTTAACATTCTGATTGACGTATGTTCATCATCTAGCCCATTAGAAACACATTGCATCATCGAGTTTAAATAAGGTAATTGTGCTATACCGAACAATTTAGATATCTGTCCGATACTCTTAATCCCTGTATGACGAGACCTCCATGAGTTTCTTGAATGACATGCAGCATCTATGAATGGAATAATATTGTTAATTCCCAATGGTCGAGATATTATTGCAAGCAGTCTTGCAGCTATGTTTCGAACGTAATCATCCTCATTCTCCATATCTGGACGAATAACTTGTAACATAGTAACTAAGCCAGTAGCAGATGCTAGATTACTTATCACATCCCTCCCAGTAACCCTTACAGTGGGGTCTTCGTCTATAAGTAGGGGTGACAGTACAGCTAAAACATCTTTAGCAAAGGGCCTTAAGGAACTTCCTAACTTGAATAGCAATCTATCCAGAAATTTTATAAGTAAATGACGCTCTTGATCCTCTAAAGATCTATCTAATAATATCGGAAGGGTACAGTCGAATATAATTTTTGGACCAAATGTATCACATTTTGATATCAATTGCTTCATGGAATCCCTTCTAATTTGTGTACTCCCATTTTTCACTTTCAATAATAACACTAGATATTTGTATCTTTTCTGTTCTTCCTCACTCATATTAACTTCGGAATCCCTCTTTAATATTAACTGGAAATGTATTTTGTCTGATGCTTTGAAATACTTCAAGTTCATACCACTCGGTATATTATCAATCTCATTCATCTCCTGAACAGTCGCTTTCGATTCTTCTGGCATAACATAGGACTGAACATCCCATCTAGACTTCTTTTTCCTTTTTACTATTTGTGTTGTTTCATTAACTTGGTCATCTACTTGATCAATATCTCTCTTCTTCTTCAAGTCATGCCTCCTTTTGTGGTAGTCATCTTCCTTATTATATATTGTCCTCTGCTTCATTCTCTCTTGGAGCACATCGCTATGTTCTTCTGCATTGCCACTAGTGGTTTCTTCAAGGATAGAATTTTTCAGTTCCTGGGGGATGGAATAACTCCCTCCTACTCTATAACTAGTACCCTTATCACTCATTAGCAATCAGATAGAATCTTTTTAAAACTAATACCAAATGTTAAATTTTCTATTACGTGTATTACAGTCTTTTCTCTATCTTTAGCCGCTTGCATCTTATATGTTTTGTTATACCTCATCTATCTTATTATATTATATAATTATTAGTATTCTCGGAAAAGTTCTTCGCTCCCTGCGAAGACCAAAACAAGATTACTATGTAAGAGACAGAGACACGTAATAAATGTAATCATTCTTTAAACTATTCATGTTGATTCAAGAGTACAAATAGCGTTCTAGCCTAGTTACAATACCCTTATTACTAGTGGTTAAACGTTAATAGACTACCATTGATACCACGTAAGACAAATACTGGAATGCTGTGCAATACCATGGTTTCAATTGTGCACACATTGTTGTTCTTGATTGGATTGGCCATTGCCACCGAAGAACCCTTAAACAATGCAGAAGGTACAAATGTTAGCGGTCAGAAATTTCGAATAATGGAAACAGGAATACAATATCCATACGAAGAACATTTGAATATAAGACCATTACCACATAACCATTTACTCACATCGTTTGAATTTGAAATGAACTCAGAACCATTCTTTCCGGGTGATTCCTCATTGGATTTCGATACATATGATCATTATACCGTCTTTCCAAAGGCAATCGAACCACTCTTACGCCGCACTGACGTGAAACAACTTCATTTAAGATTTACTAGAGGTTACTGGGATTCTGAAGAATGGGGTCGTCTACCACATGATGGTTTCAAATCGGGTGGGTCTGGTGTTGAATTATGGGCTTTGATTGAAGGTAGTTCAAAGGAAGATGCCTTCAAAAAATGGAAAACATTGGCTAACTCGTTAAGTGGTTCATTTTGTGCTTCTATTAATTTCATTGACGTTTCCAAGACTAACTACCCAGTATTGTCATTTAATCCACAGGATAGAGAAGAGCAAGGGATACCACTATTTAACCCAACAAATAATCTCTATTTAATGCATGCTTCGCTTGCTAACGAACCTATTTGTACAGAAAATTTGACTCCTCTATTGAAATTGTTACCAAGTAAAGGTAAATCTGGGATATCCTCTTTATTGGATGGTCATAAACTTTTTGATTCTACGTGGCATAATATGGCCATTGATGTCAAGACCAAATGTGTTGATAATAATCATTACTTGAACAACGGGGAATGTTTTTTCGAAATGGAAGCTAATGTGGATGTTGTATCTCATATTCCTAGCGTATTGGCCAGAAATAAAAATCCAATTCCAAAACCATTGGGTGGTGAAGATTTATATTGTGATTTATCAAAACCCTATGATGGTTATCAATGTTTTCCATCCCCAGAAACTACCGAAATTCAATTCTCATTATCCGATTTATTTGGTAAGAACATTTCCGGTTCAAATGATTTATCTTTCACTCATTCTAGAATCTGTGTTTCCATAACTGATAACTGGTTAGCTACTATCAAAATGGATGAAGGTCTATTTGGTACCGATGATAACTGTTTCGATCTTACTGAAAATCGTAACTACGATATCTACATGGAATCTGGAAGTACCAACGAAGTAGCGCAAATCGATGATGTTCCGATATATGTCAGTAGATCGCTAACTGGCTATGGCCAAGACCATGGTGGTCTACGTACTGTCTTTTCAAACCCAACTTCTAAACCTGTCAGATTGTCATATTATGAATCTCTACCATGGTTCATGAGAATTTACCTATCCACTTTGGAGATGGAAGCTACATCTGAAGCTCACAAAAATCTAACATTAAACGATATTGTCGAATCGCGATATTACATGCCTTCGATAGATCGTAAAAGATCTACTCAGTTAGAATTTATAATGACTATACCTGCCAATTGTACTATATCTCTGGCATATGAGTTCGACAAGGCATTATTACATTTTACTGAATATCCACCAGATGCTAATCATGGTTTTGAAATTGAATCCCTAATTATTACTATTCTTGAACCTGTCCCATATCAGCTTCGTACAGCAACATTATTGGTATATTTGTCTACACCTGATTTCAGTATGCCATATAATGTTATTATCATTTCCTCTACGATTATGGGGTTAATATTTGGTACCTTATATAATTTAATTACCAAGAGGATGGTCACTATGGAAGAAGCAGAAAATATATTAGCAACTAGGTCTATCAAGTATAAATTGATGATGTTGAGACAACGGATATTATCAAAACTAGGTCTTTAGATTAGATGTATTCATGTATGTATATATATATATATTCATTGAAGGTCTGTATAAATACCATACAAGATAATAATAATAATAATAATATATATATATATATCCATCGAATACTCGTTCTCTATATCAATATGGATCCTCATAAGGATCCTCTTCATCATAATCGTCATCCTTCTCATACTCATATACAATAGCAGTTCCACCTGCAAATTCGGATTGTGCCTCTAAGAATGGTAATGCAACTTGATCCTTTGCTTCCTTTTGTTTTGCACTTGTAGACAGATTGAAAGTTGTCAAATCTTGTAACATCTCTGGAGTCTCCTCTTGATTCTCATCTTCATTATGCTGGAACACTTCATACGTATGTGTCTGAGTATCGACTAATAGCTCGTATATTAATGATCTCCCAGATCTTCTTCTGTTTGTGAAATTAACTTTAAATTGTAATTTATTTAAACCTCTAGGGATATGAAATTTCTCAATAGACTCTCTTAATTCGGTAGCATCTAATGCACTTGGCAACAATGGCTCAATATCAAAGATGGATGTAGCCATGAATTGTAACAAAGTTTCGGCAGTTGGATAATTGTCAAGTCCAATTTTTGGAGAACCCTCAGGAAGATCTTTATGATAAGTAGCCAACAAAGTCACATGTGGTGCAACCAACGAAGATATAAAACTAGGCAAATCAGGTAGTGCAATATGGTTTAATGAATCCACAACAACCAGATTTTTAGACCTGACATTAGGTGTCGTGGATGGTAATAAACTCTGAACTGTCTCTATCGCTTTAGAGAAACCAATCTCATTTACATCAATAAAATTGGTAGCAAAACTAGGTCTATTTAAGGTCTCAAATGCAATATATATGATATTTGAATCCATTGTTCCAGATATATTATGTACAACTTCATTAACGACAGCATGAGAAGTCTGTGATATGCTATCGTAACATAACACAAACCCAGAAGAATCTGCCAAACTTAATGTCCTCCTGAACAGAATAGCCGGGTTATGAGAAGAACTAGCCATTTTTCTACTCTATTTGGTTACCTAAATTTAAACAAAATGGTATGGTTTTTATCCACCTATTTTAATACAATTTAATAACACAAATAATGATAGTATTATCTCTTTAATAGTTGCTTACTCATCGATTAATTCAGAGTTTTTTAATAGAAAAGCTGCTGGCTCTGCTCATCGGCCAAACTGCTTTTGTCTCCGATTTGACGATTTTTCAATTTTAACTTTCAAAGCGTTATGAGATAAAGCCAAATTAACAACACCTAATTGAAAACAAAGGGAAAACGAGTCACACACTAATAAGCAATTTATACTTGGAATAAAGGGAATAGAAGGTCATATAACACCACATTCTACCATTTTCCGAATTGTGGCTCAAGTTATTAGGTATTCTCGAAGAACAATTGTTGCTCGGGGCATTTAATATCTAACAAGAACCAACAAACCATCAGTTAGGTTTCCACAGTTTCAAACTAACAACTAAATTTAATTTATACTCCTTTTTTTAGTAGAATTTCCTTACAATGACCCTAATATATGGTCCTCAGCCACTACAGAATCTAAATACCAAGATGAGACATGGGTTCGAAGAACAATATAAAGATGAGCATCTTTTGCAGGCTTTAGCAAACGATTTTATATTCTATTTTGATGATAAGAGACACAGAACAAATGGGAACCCAATAACCGAAGAAACGAAACGAGTAGATAAAGAACAATATTACCAACCGATTACAAATTGGAAGATCACCAAAGATCGTCAGAAAACGGTTAGTGCCGCCCTCCTCCTCTGTCTTAACCTCGGAGTCGATCCCCCAGATGTCGTTAAAACACACCCATGTGCTAGAGTAGAAGCTTGGGTAGATCCATTAAATTTCCAGGATTCGAAGAAGGCTATTGAGCAAATTGGTAAAAACTTACAATCACAATATGAAACATTATCTCTTAGGACACGTTATAAACAGAGTCTTGATCCTTGCGTCGAAGACGTGAAAAGGTTTTGTAATTCATTGAGAAGACAATCTAAGGATGATCAAATATTGTTCCATTATAATGGGCATGGAGTCCCCCAACCGACACCATCCGGTGAAATTTGGGTATTTAATAGAGGATATACCCAATACATACCAATTTCCTTATATGATTTACAGACTTGGTTAGGTGCGCCATGTATATTTGTCTACGATTGTAATAGTGCTGGAAATATTGTAAAGAATTTTGAAAAGTTTGTAGAAAAGAGAATTAAGGATGATGAAGAAGGAAATCATGATAATGCGTCACAGTCACCTACAGCTGCATATAAAGATTGTTTCCAATTAGCGTCGTGTCGATCAAATGAATTACTTATAATGAATCCAGAATTACCAGCAGATCTCTTCACATGTTGTTTAACTTGTCCAATTGAAATCAGCATTAGAATATTCTTAATACGCTCACCACTAAAAGATACCAAATATAAAATATTTTTTGATAACTCTAAGAAACATTATGATGTCAAAAATGCTTATAAATCCAAAATACCAAATATTAATATTCCAGGTATGCTTTCCGATAGAAGAACACCTTTAGGTGAATTAAATTGGATATTTACCGCCATTACAGATACCATTGCTTGGACTTCTTTGCCAAGATCTCTTTTTAAAAAGTTGTTCAGACATGATTTAATGATTGCCGCACTTTTCCGTAATTTTCTACTAGCAAAAAGAATAATGCCTTGGTATAATTGCCATCCCCTCTCCACTCCTGAGTTACCAGATTCGATAGCTAAACACGAAATGTGGAAGTCGTGGGACTTAGCCATGGATGAAGTTTTGAGTAAAATCGTTGACAATCTGAAAAATACTCCAGAGACATCAGATTTAGAGTCTCAGATGATATTACAACATGAAGAATCATTGCAAAATCAAAAGAACGATATGAGTCAACAATCTTCCCAAAAACTGCAACAAAATGATAGAGTTCCGGAAAGTATCCAAGGTCAATCGAGGTTTAATGTTGGTAATTTGAGTACAATGTCTCTTGCCGCACATCCAGGTTTGCAGCAAAATAGCAATGCAGGGAACAAGAAACCTTCATCTGTTAATGTGATCACACAATTACCTCAACAGCAATTTTCAGGATTCTTTGAACAAAACCTTACTGCATTTGAACTTTGGTTAAAATATGTTTCTAATGTTAGAAATCCTCCAGAACAGTTACCGATCGTTTTACAAGTCTTACTTTCACAAGTGCATCGTATCAGAGCATTGGTTCTTCTCTCGCGATTTTTAGACCTAGGACCATGGGCTGTATATTTGTCTTTGTCTATAGGTATATTTCCTTATGTGTTAAAACTACTTCAAAGCCCGGCACCAGAGTTGAAACCAATCTTAGTATTTATATGGGCTAGAATAATGTCCATTGATTATAAAAATACACAAGCAGAATTGATTAAGGAAAAGGGATTCATGTATTTTATCAATGTATTGGTTCCCGACTTTGGTATTAACAATAATTTACATGGGAATCTTAGTAATGGAGGCAGTACACCAGTTATGATATCAGATGGCAAAACCTATAGTAGTGCAAGATTGCCACAACATGATCCGACACATAAAAACAGCATTAGTCCTATCTACCATTCAAATGATACTACTGATGAGCAAAAAGCAATGTCCGTCTTTGTTTTATCATCATTTATAAGAGAATTTAGTGTAGGACAAAAATGCTGTTTTGAGATAGAACTCATCAAGAAATTATGTGTGTATATCCAAATTTCGGAGATTCCACTCCTAAGGCAATGGTGTGTTATCTTTATAGGTTTGTTATATTCGGGAAATCCACTCTATAAGTCGATATGCATGGAGATCCATGTCTTTGATGTCCTACTTGAAGCTCTGCATGACCCTGTTCCTGAAGTGCGAACTGCAACAATATTAAGTTTAAACAACTTCATTTCAGAAAATATCGATACTGATACCGTTATTAGGCTACAACAAGAATATGAACAACAGTATCAACAATTACAAATTCAATTACAACAGTTAATTAATAATTATAATCAAAAACAGAATCAACAACATATGGAACAACAACAGATGAAGCTAGAACAGCAGATGAATAGTTGTATTAATATGCAACGTCAATTGGAAAATATCGATTTAAAAATTCTAAGATCTCAAGAGGTCACAAATTTAATCGCCGCTTTAGAACTTATCAACGATGGATCCCCATTAGTTAGAAAAGAAGTAATTATTTTTCTTTCCAAGACTGTATACAGGTACATCAATTTTTTCATTGTTGTTGCCTTTAATGAGCTAGTGGAGAATGTTAGTCAACTTGAGAGAACAAATTCTGAGGCAGCAAATTATAATGATAAACAATTTGTCGGATATGGATCAGTTTTTAGTACAGTTTGGAAAGCCCTTTTAATATTGGCTAGTGATCCTCATATTGAAAACAGAGAATTAGCTGAAGAGGTTATAGATTATGTTCTTATCGAACTGAGTATGTATAAGGAACTTAGAGAGCCATTTGGTAAACTAGAACAGTATTTAGTTAAAAGAAACTCTAAAGTGTCTCCCGTCGGTAAATATGCATTTAAATATTTGCCTGTAAATGGTGGTAAAACCCAGATCCGTTCATTTACAACAGGTCATAATCGTAATAATTCTATTACTGATGATGAATTGCTGGAAACTTCCAGATCTGACCAAAATGGTGGCTATACAGCACCTCTATCGATTAACAAAATCTTCAAAAGTCTAGGGTTAGATATGGGCGAAACTTCGAAGAATCATTCGGATAACGTCTCAGTGTCTAGTGGGAATGAAAATGACCTAATAAATGTTTCGTCAATGAATGATGAACATGGGGTGGCACCAACCCCTAAAGTTCCTAGATATAGTAGTAGAACAGAGAAGCTAAGATTACCATTCCAAAGTACGTTTTTGGATTATGCTTGCGAATATTTCCAAGAACCGCAGATGAGAAAACCAGAAAATGACGAAAAAGGAAGTATTGAGTACAATAGAAGACTTTGGAGGAAAAATAGAAATGATTCTATAATTCAAGAGACTCAAAATGAAAAAAAATTAGCACTGTATGGTGACTGGTCAAAAAAATTTGTTACTCTCGATAATAAAACACAACCAAAGACATTACAATTTACACAATTTGAAGATCATTTGGGTGTCGCTGATGATAGAGATAATATTACGGTTTTCGATTGGAAAACAAGTAAAACGTTATCGAGATTTTCCAACGGTAATCCATTTGGCACTAAAATAACAGATTTGAAATTTATTAATGAGGATGATACCTCTATTATGATGATTGGATCATCTGACGGTATGATTAAACTTTACAAAAACTATTCTTCATTGGATACTGTTGAAAATATCACTTCTTGGAAGGGATTGACAGAAATGCTTTTAACGCCAAGATCGTATGGTCTGATTACTGAGTGGCAGCAAAGTAGGGGGTCTCTATTAGCAACTGGTGATGTTAAGATTATTAGAGTATGGGATGCCCATACAGAAACTATTGAAGTAGATATACCTGCCAAAACTTCTGCATTGATGACGTCCTTAACTTCAGATCAATTCGCAGGAGATATTTTTGTAGGCGGATTCAGTGACGGTACAATTAGAGTGTATGATCGTCGTTTAGATCATAGAAATGCTATTATTCGTCGTTGGAGAACCAGTGGTGGTGGTAGAGACGTTTGGATAAATAATGTCCATTTGCAAAGAGGTGGGTATAGAGAATTGGTAAGTGGTGCTACCAATGGAGTAGTTGAATTATGGGATATAAGATCTGAAGACCCCGTTAGGACTTTCTCAGACGAAAATAATGGGTCAAATAATACTCAAAGAAACTATTTAACAATGGCTACTGCTGAAATACACGAACATGCTCCTGTTATCGCCACAAGTACAAAACAGATTAAAATATGGACTACATCTGGTGACTTACTTTCTTGTTTTAAGAACACTACTGGTGGAAATGGTGTTGCCAGTACTATTGCTGGCGCAACAGGTATAAGATCAAACCGTATTGCTTCGAGCTCCTTTGTTTCTGCTATGAGTTTCCATCCTCACAGAATGATGCTTGTTGCTGCTAATTCTCATGATACAAGGTTTAACATATACAAGTGTAAAGATAATATTACGAATTATTAGCTAGGTGTATCTAAGTAAATATATATGTATTACTTTGTATAAAGTTATTGCTCTTAAAATTGAACTTTTCAGGTATCGCGTATTTTAGTTCAGACGACTGACATTTATTAAAACAAAGTCATATATACGTCACAAATATATAAATAATTTACTTTAAACGAAAATAAGTATAAAAAGAAAACATATATCGTTTGTCACTAATAAGAGGAATGGTGAGTAGTATACAGGTAAATATATTGAAAATTGATTGATATAAACTGGATGCCAAGTAAATTTGAATTTAACAACGTGAAACCCTTCACACCCCGCAATTATAGGCAGATTTTAGAAAGTTGTCCAAATACAAATTGGGTATCACCTGATAAGTATCCAAATCATCAGAAACATATTATCCAAAGTAAAAGTTCTCCACCTAGAAATTTGAATAATATTCAGAATTGTGAAGAATGTAATGCGAATTTGTTTGGATTTCACCAAAATGTATTTTCTAAGTCTCAAAAATATGGAGATGCCAATAACAAAACTCAAAATATATCAAATTCCCAAAATATGTTTGGTTCTAATACATATTTAGCTAATACAGATAATATGATACCATCATACAACAACTTTATTGGGTATCCCATTCAGTCAAATGGGATGATGGGAATGACCTCGGGAGGATTATTCTATAATAATAATTTGATAAATTCTAACGACTACCATTTGCAAAAGGATTACCATCCTCAGTATAATGTGAGAAATAATATACATAACATAACCAATTCAAATCAGGTACCAAATACCTCTTTAAACAATGTATATGTTGGGGCAGAAGATATATTGACAACAAATAGTGGTACATTTCCAAATGATTTTGACCCTCGAGGGACCAAGGATATGCCAGCTAAAGAAAAAGTCACCCATTGGATTGATAATATTCCAATATATGAAGTAAATGACAATATTTGGAATAATGATTGTTATCCGAACGATTATTCATTGAATTGGGATGAAACAGAATTCGATAAAAGGAATAATCAATTCCTAACACGGGATCAAACTGTATCATTAACCAATTCTGACGAATTAATCTTTCTACAAAGTAAGAAAATTGATTGCTTGGTTCGTTTAGTTTATAGTATGGAAAAAGAAGAATCTAAATCAAAAAACACTCTATCAAGTGCCAAAAATGATACTATTCTATTTTATCAAGAAAAACATGATTCAGAAGAACGTGAGTTTGAAAATAACTTCGAAATAGGATTTCCCTAAGTCTGGTAAAATTTAATAATATATATATATATAAAACAAACAATGATGACGAAAAAGAGATGATTAGTCAAAAATGTTTTAAAAGGATAGTTTATATATCTGATGGTCTATACATATATCTGTATAATAATGATATAGGTGCATAAAATAACTACAGCAGAACAAATAAGCGTTTTATACATTTACAACTATTCAAGATTTAAATTCGTCATCCCAATGGTTGTTTTCGAAATCTGCCGAATAACTATTTTTATCCAATAAATTAATGGCATTCGTAATGTTTTGGATGTCTTGCGAGACTACTGGGATTTGGGAATTAGATGGATTCATAATTTGGGATTTTAGCTTTTGGTTAGATTGAGTCTTAGATGATCCATTACCATCTATATTTGTATCAACAACTTTCAATGTTGCCATAGCAGGGGGAGAAGAAGAAGATGACGGAAATGGTCCCCTCTTATCAATTTTAGGCTGTAAAAGGAATGTATTTGTTGACATTGGATTATACTTATCCGATAACAATTCATGAGTATCATATTTATTGTACATGTTCACATTAGAATCATGTTCAAATCCACAATCAATCCTTGTATCGATATCCTCTAAATTAGGTTTTAGATAAGTATCTGAGGGAAAACTATTAACTCTTCTTAATCTTCTTGAATAATGACTATTTGGTAAAACTTTATAGATATCTTGTAATAAAGAATCATTTTTTTCATAAATTCCACTTTTAATATTTTCCCATTTAATTGGATTTTGTTTCTCTTCAATTGAAAATTGAGACCAAACTTTTTCGTTTCTTTTCCTCTTTAATTGTTCTAATTGATTATTAAATTTTTGAAAATTATGAGATTCCAATGACATCATAAACTCTTTAATTAAACTTGAGGATACAATCTTCATATCTTCACTATTTGAATAATATTCGTAACTTAGGTCTTGAAATAGTTGTCTCATTGTAATAGAGATAATTCTTTGAAATGAAATCTTCATGGATTCATACAAATGTTCAGCTGTAATGACTCTTTCCAAAGAAAAACTAGTCTCTGGATGATTGGCACCCTTTTTCACTTTGATGTTGTTATACCGTTTATGTTCTTGAACCAATTTCTTATGATCATTAATTAAATCATTTTCCTTCAAAGATACATACTCTAAATCATTAACAATTGCTTTCAATTGTTTGATAATATTTTCTTGATATTGAACATCTTGAGAAAATAAAGTAGTAATTTGTTTAATGACCAGATGTGTATCGTTTGTATCGTTATGAAAAAGTGGGATATTACTCCAATGATTTATATCAGTTATAAATTTTTTAATATGTTTTACTTCGGTTTGTTTCTTGCTGGCAATCATATCCAAACGTTTCCTTAATTTATTTGAAGAAGTTGTCTTAAATTTCAAATGGTTTGCAATTTGGGACGAGAAAAATTTAGTGGAATCATTATTCATTTGTAAATCTCCATGAAATGACGATAAATTATATTCCAACAATTGTGTATCTCCCTCTTCTATCGCGACCCTTCCATCTTCAACCAATTGTAACTTCCCTTCATTCGTTCTTACAGGAGTCACAGGGAACGATTGCAATGGAGCATCATTCAAATCTGTCTTAGGACTACATTCAACAGTATCATCGTCACGGTACCCATGTAATGACGATTTCAGAATCGATTGATTGAACCAATATTTCATCTTATGGACCAATTTATTGGGTGGTTCTGTGTTTTGTTTTACCATCATTTGTGGATTTGTTAATGATGGCAGATCGTAAATTTGTTGCATTCTTTTTCTGGAATAGCAGCTTTTGGTAGTCGTTTTTAATAGGGAGTTCTGCAAGTACTGATGGTATGATCAAAAATTATAATTAATTCTTATATATATATATATGTATATATTCTTTGTTTGTGACGCTATGTCACTCTTCTTCCCCTTCCAAAAAAACAACAACTGACCAAACGCAGCGTTGAGTGTGTCTCAATCTGAATAAGATAAGAAAACAGTACAAAGAAATAACGTCTGCAAAACATGGAATAAAATTTACTTTAAAAAATATGTTTTATTATTTTTATTTTCATACATCTATGTATACATTTATAGATTTATATCATTAGAAAAAAAACAGAGGAGTTAGATAAGAAGAATAAAGATTTTTTATTTATTCCTCTAAGCTTGGTAAGTAGAAGAAGAAACGTTACCACCATGACCAGTCCAGTTGTTGTGGATATCTTCACCTAGAGGCAAGTTAGCAGATGCACATTCCGGTAGGACTCTGAAAGTGTGAGCACCGAAGTAATCTCTTTGAGCTTGTAGCAAGTTAGCTGGCAATCTTTCAGATCTGTAACCGTCGTAGAAGGCCAAAGCAGTAGAGAAAGCTGGAGTTGGGATACCGTAAGTGGTAGTCATAGCAATAGTCTTTCTCCAACCGGATTGAGCATTGGTAACAGCGTTCTTGAAGAAATCATCGAACAACAAGTTTTCCAAGTCTGGGTTTGTTCTATAAGCCTTGGTGATTTCACCTAGGAAGACGGATCTAATGATACAACCACCTCTCCACATTAGAGCGATGGATGGGAAGTTCAATTCCCAACCGTAAGTCTTGGCGGCTTCTCTGATCAACATGAAACCTTGACAGTAGGAGATGATCTTAGAAGCATATAAAGCTTGTTCCAAGTCATCGATGAATTGTTTTCTGTCTGTGATCAAGTTAGCTGGAATGGTTGGACCAGACAAGATCTTTGAGGCTCTGATTCTGTCATCCTTCAAGGCAGATAGACATCTAGAGAAGACGGCTTCACCGATCAAAGTGACAGGCATACCTAGATCCAAAGCGTTAATGGCAGTCCATTTACCAGTACCCTTTTGACCGGCTTTATCCATGATCTTTTCGACTAGAGGAGTACCGTCAACGTCGTCAAATCTTAGGATGTCTCTAGTAATTTCAATTAAGAAGGAATCTAGGACACCAGTGTTCCAAGTTTCCATGACGTCACCGATTTCTTTATCTGTGAAACCACCGACTCTCTTCATAATATCGTAAGCTTCACAAATCAATTGCATGTCACCGTATTCAATACCGTTATGAACCATCTTGACGTAATGACCTGCACCGGCTGGTCCGACCCAGTCACAACAAGGTTCGCCATCTGCTTTAGCAGAGATAGATTGGAAGATATCCTTAATTTCAGGCCAAGCTTCTGGAGAACCACCTGGCATCAAAGAAGGACCTAATCTAGCACCATCTTCACCACCAGAGACACCTGAACCAACAAACAATATACCTTTCTTAGTCAATTCTTCGTAACGTCTGTTAGAATCTGGGAAATGAGAGTTACCACCATCGATGATAATGTCACCTTTTTCTAAGAAAGGTAGCAATTCTTCGATAATCCAATCGACTGGATTACCGGCCTTAACCAAAAGCATAACCTTTCTTGGTCTTTTCAACTTGGAGACTAAATCTTTAATGGAATGAGCACCAATGATAGATTTACCTTTAGCTTCATTAGCTAAGAAATGGTCAACTTTAGAGACAGTTCTGTTGTAAGCACAGACAGTGAAACCATGATCGGCCATATTCAAAATCAAGTTTTGACCCATGACGGCTAAACCGATTAGACCAATATCAGCAGACATAATTGAATTGTTAATTTGTAGGGGGTAAAGTAAAACGTGAAAGTTTTTTAATAAAAATAATCAGAAAGAAAAATAAATCAGAGTTACCAAACTAGGAGTTGTTATTTCTTATTCTTATTCTTACTTGGTTTTATATAATTATAATATAATATAATTAAATAAATAAACGTATAGGCAAATAAAGAGAATAGGAAATAATGATTTGTGATTAATCAATTGATTAACAGGGGTATTTATATAAATGTAGTATGAGGGGAATAAAATTACGAAACTGTTCAGTGAAATTGTTCCCAATTAGATGATATAATCTGTTCTCCCTGTCTCTACTATCGCTTTACTATTGCTTACAACATCACATTTTTCATTGAAAATTTCAGTGCACCGCAAATGAAGAAATAAGGGAAACGAGCCACCGCCAGCACCGCCTGAGCAATCGACCCGTCTGAGCGGTGCCAGTGGACAATGTGGCCCGTGGCACTACGCGTTGCTGGCGGTGGTAGGCGGCGAAGGGGCGGTGTGATAAAAAGCAGTTTGGGTGGCGACGGAGACGGAACAAGTTTTTTGGTTGCTCCGTTTCAGCTGGGACTTTGGGCTTGTGGGACGGAAGACGAGACGGCGGTGGGGCGGTGGGGCGGTGCTCCGTGCACAGTGATATGGGAGTCGGGGTAACGGTGACAGCGTGCGCGAAGTCTCGTGACCTGCACCGATCACGTGCAGCAGCAGCAGCAGCAGTAGCAGCGGTGTTTCCGCTTGTCTGTTTCTGGCACTGGTGCAGGGGCTGTCCCACTAAGCAGTGCCACATCAGACGGTAGCCGCCCAGCAGCACTCACGATACCTTATTGATCGCTGGTTGAGATATTTTATCACTTTTTGCTATGCTTTGCTTTGCATTGTTTCGTGGTTTGGGTGGTGGTGGGCGGTGTTATGGCCGGTGGCCCACGCGACGGAAAGCGCTCACGTTATCGCACCGCCCGGCCGCCATATTTAGTACCGCCTCGTTGTGTCGTGTAAACTATTGCTATTGCTATTACTATAATTATATGAGGGAGCACGCTAGCTTCGTACCCAGTGATGTGTAATGCGCTGTGGCTGGGCCAGCGGCTATTCTCCGTTCTTGTCCGCAGTCAGAGACTGCTTGGCGGTTCGGAACGGTAATGGCACGAATTCCGGTTCGTCTGCGGGCGGTTCGGTGGACAGCACCGGGACGATCTCTCTGTGATCGATGCTGTCCCAACTCAAAATCAATCGATGCAACGCTTTGGCTGAGGCCTCGATGGTCTCGCCACTGCCTGGCGAGTCTCTAATCATCGATTGGATCAACTGCGTTCCACCACCATCGTTACTATCGTTCACGGGATCTAAAAGCTTAACTAAAGCTCGATCTTCTTCTGCTACTGCTTCTGCTTCTGCTTCTGCTTCTTGATGACCACTGGCGACTCTCCAATGGCTTACAAATAATGTAAATGCTGGACCATGCACTTGTGGTACAATTAATTTGCGATTGATATTATCTCGAATCAGTAAACCTCCAGGTAATTCGTATAACCATAACTTGACAAGATCCGCCCAATCTCTTGTGATATACGTTGAAGTAACTTCACTCTCTTGTATCAATTGTTTTATGGATTCAACGTTGGATCCATTACATTTCATAAATTTTTGTAAGACGACTAGTTTCAATTTACTGACTCTTTGAAGATCGATGTCCCCATGCCATATATCTATCTTATTAGGTTGTCTACCGTTGCATTGTTCTAGTAATAAACGAACAGCTTGTAATATATCCTCATTGATTTTATCACACCCAAACATGAATTGTTTATTTTGATCATAATTCATTACAATACCATTGTCTCTAGAGTAATAACTATACCCATGATTCAAAGGATGCGGATCATATAGAGTAAAAGGAACGTTTCGAAATATCGAAGATACTAATCTTTGGAAACTCGTCTCTGTATCGATTAGTTTCTTATATATTTGTGGTATCATTACATTGTTATAATGTCGACAGTTTCGACAATGTACCGTCTCCAAGTTGACTTTATCTTCTTCGACTATAATGTATTGCTGCATGAATGGTTCAAAATTATTACAATTGGTATCTTGAGATGATGATGATGATGATGATGATGTTACCACTGCTAATTCAGGTTTCACCCAATTATAACTTCGATTCATATCGTACATTATTTGCGTCCTCGTAAGATATAACGTCCGCGCACTGTATTCTTCAATGATTGCCATATCCAATAACATTTGTCCCAAACGATTCATGTTATATTGAGATGTATCAATCAATGGATATCGTTTCTTCAAAATAGTAATCAATCCAACACCTTTAAAATATTCTTTACCAAATAGATTCTTCTGTAATGGAATAGTCGTCTTTAACATCTCGATATATTCAACCATTTCTTGCTCATTCTTTATAGAGATCTGCGAATCAAGCTGATAAGGGTATGTAATATTATAATCATTCAAACAAGCTGCTGTGTTGGGTTCTTTCACATTTACCTGCATATCATTCTGTTTCTGTTGATGATGACGATCTAATTGTCTTAATCGTATCATATTATCATAATATCGATCATAGATGGGTGTAATCTCCTTTTCATAATCATTACCATATTGTTGATTTTCTTTTAATAATTGGGCTAAAGAACTAGCTTTATTAGTCATAGAATCAAATTGCGAATTTGATGAACTGTTCGTCAATAGGTTACTAAATTGACTCATACCCTCAACAGATTTGACGTTCTTGAGAAAAGGTTTCCAACATTGGTCATTGAATCTTTTCACTTTCTGGATCTCATTTTCAATCAATTTCGTTTGTTCCTCAACATCATGTATAAATAATCGAATCCCACTAATATATTCTCGTGTCCAATACTTGGTCTCCATCAGATATGCATCTCCTTTCCTCACTTTGCCTTAAAGCTCGATGTATACACTGTAAGGTAGCTTCCACCTTCAGCACCATGTTTAAAATAAAGAACATTTTTTTTAATATATATATATATATATTTTTTGAATGTTTGATTAATACTTTCTTTAGTATTGATAATCTACATACACATACACACACTTACTATATCCCAAGATTATCATAATCACGTTGCACTTGAATACCAAACAACGCAAGTATTGAATATATATATTTACGTACGCTATGGATCACGACTCTAGCTAATCCAACAGTTCTACCACGGAATTTCGTAGCATTTCCACTATCATTCAAATCAGTAATATCATCTGTCTTCTTGGCTTGTTCAACCGTAGTAGGTAATATATAATCACCTGCACTTAGACTAACAAACAATGCAAATGGCATGAACCAGATACAGATGGCAAAAAATGACGATACTTGAGAAAATGTAGCTCTTCTTGGTGGTACATAATTTGGATCATAACGGAATTGTGGTGGAATATCAACTTCATTGAAATGTTTGAACCAAAGATAATGATTCACCACAACGACAACACAACTGGATAAAAATGTTAAGCTGGTGAGACTAATAAACGGAAATTTTTTCAAATTTTGATAATATAACATATGAGACGCCATAGTGAAAAGTGTTAATTTTATAGGGAATTTATCGAAGATTAATAACAATAGCAATATTATTTCAATTGCCCATATCGTTCTAGTTAAAAATCTTCTTGTTGGTTCAGTATGTTCCTCAACAATCTCACTAATATAATATAAACCTGAAGCAATACATAATGTTAAAAATAAAAATCCAAGGACATTTCCTGCTATGGACAATAGTTGCAAAACAACAGCCATATCTTAGTAGTAAAATCAGTAGTGCTTTAAATCTCAATAATACGAGATATTCTTGTCTGTTGAACCTTGAAACCGTTTTTCTCCTTACCTCTATCATTCTAGTTTCATCCTTTAAAAACCGAGACACGTTAAATATGTATTTATTTATTCATTTTTCCTTCAATTCTGTTGACTCGAAAATATAAAAGATGAACCCAAATCTCACAAGATAAAGATAACATGATTCACTAGATAAAAATGCGAGGAGAGGAGAGGACCATTACGAACCAATTCGAGTATCACTACGACCTCATCAAATATGCCAAAGAGTTCAGAGGAAGCTACAAAGAAACTTGCAAAATTATTGATAGAAAATCCGAAGAGTAAAGTGATCTTTATGGTAGGTGCGGGGATCTCGACTTCATGTGGGATTCCTGATTTCAGATCACCAAATACCGGTCTATACCATAATTTATCAAAATTGAATCTACCATATGCTGAAGCAGTCTTTGATATTGATTTTTTTAAAGAAACACCTAAACCGTTCTATATGTTAGCATCTGAACTTTACCCTGGAAAGTTTAAGCCATCGAAATTTCATTTATTAATGAAATTGTTTCAAGATAAGAATCGCTTACACAGAATATATTCTCAAAATATAGACACTTTAGAAAGGGAATCTGGAATCTGCCCCGAATATGTCATAGAGGCTCATGGGAGTTTTGCAGAGAATATATGTATAGAATGCAATAGATTGTATAAGAGAGATGTTTTCAAGAATAAATTAAAAGAATATGAAAAGAATCCCAAGGATGAAAACTTAGCAAGATGTGAAGAATGTGATGGTCTAGTAAAACCGAATATTGTTTTCTTTGGAGAGGATCTGCCACGTAGATTTTTCGAAAACTGGGATTCTGATCTTGAAGAAATGGAAGAAGAAGGATCTAAAGAACAATTAATCGTGGTTGTGGCTGGAACATCATTAACAGTTTACCCATTTGCAAGTTTACCAATAGAGGTACCGAAAACACACCATAGATCTTTGATTAATCGTGAAATTGTAGGAGATTTCTTACAGGAGCCCAGAAAGTCAGATATTATTATTAAGAGTCATTCAGATGAGGCTGCCCAAATTATTGCAGAAGAATTAGGGTGGACAACGGAATTAGATACCTTAATGGAAGAATTTGGTATATTGGAAACTGTTGTAGCTGTCAAGGATGAATTAGAGTCAATTTCAAAGGGATTGAATGATTTGACAATAAAAGATGAAAATGGAACTATCACTAAAAAAAACAACCAAGAGCTTAGAAAGTGCACCTCTGAAGCTTCTAATGGAAGTGATAAATCTAATGGCGATCATATAACTAACGTCAAAGATGAGGCAATGCCAACAAAATAATTCTAATCGTCATCTCTCGTGTTAAGCAGTTTAAAAATACAATGTCACAATACTATTAATACATATAACATTTGCATAATTCTACATATTCTTCTATAGATTTTACCCATTACTAAATAATGATTCACATTTGTTTTAATGTTACACACCCTCAATCTGACATAATTAAATATGCAATATACATTCTCATTCTTGCTGCATCTTCATAACTGAATGTCAGATCTGAATCTTTACTCAAGTACAGAGTATTAAGACAAACATATATACCACAATCGAAGCCGTTTGGTTGCTGAGGACAACTCATATGGTTCAATTCAAAATCTTGACCAATAGTCTCTTTACTTTCATTAATGACATAACCTTTTAAATCGTTCAAGATTGCGAAACTCATCGCATTAGGGCCATGTGATAAAGAATCCACATAGTTTATGGATTTGTTTTTGATATCTATCATGCCCAGGGCCCAATGAGATTGGTTTAAATTGATAGGAACAAATATTTTATCTAAGTCTGTAATTTGTACCTTCTTCCTCTTCATCCACCTCCTTACACCTTGGTAACCACGTTCCGATAGACTGGTGTAGAAAAATGAATTGAATGCAACTGTATGTTCAGTGGTTCTTTCGATAGATTTCATAAAATATTCTATAACGGTGTCATTCAGCCATCTTCGAGGAGTTAGTGTTTTGACATCTCTAACCCGCACTTCAAAATTATCTTTATTACTCAATACACCATTGTCCTGTCTGTTAAGGGCATCTTTAACACATTGGATTTGTGAACTGTCCAATTGTGGGACAATTACTTTAGTTTTTTTAATTTTCTCTCTCTTAGCTTTTATTTCATCTTGTATTTGTCTTCTACGTGCAATCAATTGTTTATAATTTCTAAATTCATTCTTAAATTCTAGGAGAGTCTGGTCAAGTTTGAAACTGTCATTATAAAAATCTTGTCTTTTCTTTTCTAGAGATGTCAACTTCTGTTCTTTCACAAATATTAAATCATCATCTGTCGATTCTGTACGAGATTCTGTGAGATTTTTCCTGTTTTCCATAAGAACCCTTTTTATCCTTTCCGTGATATCAACAATCGAATTTTTTATTCTATAATTCTGAGCTGTACCAATCTTTCTATCTCTTTCTAAAAGTTTCAGTTGCTCGTCACGTTCATCTCTAATAATTTTTGGAATCTCATATTTACCAGTGAATATCTGTCTAAGATATGAAACTTCATCCGATCTCCCTCTTAAGATCATATTTGCATTGTTAATATTTTCTTTTCGACGTTCATTTTTACGATAGAAATGGGTACCATACTGTCTATTAGTATCTCTTTTACCATTAGTACGATTCTTCTCATTAATTAGGGGGCTATCAGAGGCACCTATTTCTGTAGTTTCCCATTTATCCCAACCGAATGGATCCTTTGATAAATTGAACTGTGATACATTGTTGTTGTTGTTGTAATTATCTATGGTATCGGTATCTTTTAAATCGATCAGTTTTCGTCTCTTATTAAGAGTGTTGATCGAATTTTCATTTTGGTCCTCATCATCTAAATCTTTAGTTAAATCTATTATATTCTGTTTAGATTGTTGATAAGGGTGGAAAATTTTATGTAAGGCATTTATTCCTGTATCTAAAAACCCCGTAGATATATTCGTTAACACACCTCTATTATTTTCTTCTACTATTTGTATATCATCACTATCTGATGGATTATTTAATGAGGATGAATTAATCGAGACTAATGAATGGGGGGAGGAGTCATGTGAATTTATTGAGGAAGAGAGTGAAACAGTTCTAGAATTTGGACGTCCGTTGTAATGATTCATTGAATATCCCGAGGTACTTATCGCTCTTTTAGTACTAAATAAGGAAGGTCTACTATATCTGGATCCATATATCGAAATAGTAGAATATAATGGTGTATACGGATTTTGAAGGTTACGCCTTTTATAATTTTGAAGAGTCATCGAGCAAAACCAAACTCCGTTCGATACTCTCTATTTAACCTATAACAACTAACAAGTTATAGCACTAATTAGTCAGTAAATTGGACCTTTATGTGCTGCTAATTGCAACTTCTACACCCTGTTGTTCTTCATTCATAATCAGTTTTATAGTAGTTTTCCCGTATCATTGAATGAAAATATTAACTTTTGGATGGCAAAATTGCTTGCCGCGAATGGAAGCGGAACATACGAAACAACAAACCCTATATTAGGGTTTATATATATATTCTCAGTGACCAAGCAGCACTAACTTGTTCATAAAAGAGTACGAACATAGTGTTGGCAACCAATGTAATACGACCAAGCATGGTTGGATTTATCCCGTTATCAATTTAACTATAATTTTTTAATTTCTATTGATATATGGCGTTGCGGTTATATAATGTACATAAGAAGAGCAAAATTTAATGCTAAGACGGCTCTAATAAACGAGAGGGACATCGATATTTCTATCACTAAGTATGACATTCTCTTCTTGTTAACTTAATTAGACTGATGCTATTTAACAACAGTTTGACTTAGAACCGCTCTCAGCACCTGACTTGATGTTAACGTTACCATCTTGACCACTGGCATCTGACATTTTATTGTTATCGATCTTTTCTTGGATTAATTTAGCCAGAGTGAAGAAGATGTCGTTGACATTGGTATCATCCTTTGCACTAGCTTCAACAAAAGGTAAACCTAACTCCTTGGCAAGAGTTTCACCTTGTTCATAAGTAACAACTCTAGTGTCCATATCAGATTTGTTACCAACTAACAATAATTGCGCATCATCATTCGCATGATCACTGACAGTCTTGAACCACTGGTTAACATTAGTGAATGTTCTTTCATCCGTAACATCATAGACAAGTATAATACCCATAGCACCACGATAATAGGCTGTAGTAATAGTTCTGAAACGTTCTTGACCTGCAGTATCCCACAATTGCAATTTGACCTTCTTACCATTAATGTCTACTGTCTTGATCTTGAAATCGATACCAATAGTAGTAATAAACGAAGGACTAAATTTATCTTCCACAAAACGAACTAGTAAACAGGACTTCCCCACACCTGAATCACCAATTAGCAAAATCTTCATAATCGAATCATAGTTTTTGTTACTACCTGACATCTTTCTATTCTTTTTATATTTCTTTTTCTAGAGGTAATTTAAAATTATATTGCGTAATACGAATCACAGCTTTTAAAAACGACAACAATCACAATATATATTAATACTTAAGAGGTCGAGTTAGTAAGTTTAACAGTAGTACCTTCAATTGGATATTAAATAATTATAGTAATGCTATTAGTTTTGCTCGCTCCAACCTATGCCAATGCTCTTATTGTTAATAGATGTCAACATCATTGTTTGCCAATATCGTACACAACCCAAAATTATAAAAAAAATAGATACAAGCGAAAATTATGAAACTCGGCGAACTGTTTCTCCTTGAGAAGAACACTACAGGAAGAAGGAAGACCAAGACGTCTAAACGTTCTATGAATATGGGGACTCCATTTCTATTATCTAGTCAAGGTAAGAATGTTTACATAATTTAAATTCTATAATAGTTTAATTGGTCCTTATATATGTACAGATATAGAATCTATAAAAATAGCATTACAGTTGAAAATAAAAGTATCGCAGAGGTATCAATGAAATCATATATCGATACACTCAAGCGTAGTAACTTCTCCAAAGAACACCTTCCAAATCTTCTAATTCTTCAGTGGTAAATTGAGTTCTATCAAACTTCCATGTGTCTGCTCTTACTTTCTTAAACTCACTAATAGTGTCCTTCGCAGACCGTCCGGCAACACCACTTGTTCTTGCCCACGATGCCAGTTTTGATAATTGTTCAGGCATCCATCTTGGCAAGGGGAAAACATAGGGGAAAGCTGATATAATGGCACCTAATGCCACAACTGATGCATGAATCAAAGTATCAGTCTTTGATAATTGTTTCTTTTGTTCCCAAGAAAACCCATCTAATTTTTTGGAAAATCTGTCAATTAAGTTGTTCAGCTCGTCAGAGCTTTTAACATTGTGAACTATATCCGAAAGTACATCTGCCGCCCGAATTCTGACTTCAACAAAAGTAGAATTATAAACTTGAGATACCACAAAATCCAATATAAATTCTCTTTGATTGTCAGTAAGTTGTAATAATTCAGAAGATATGAAATGTTGAATAAATGCCAATTTCAATTTAATTTCGTAGGATGTTTTGGTAGATTGAGATTGTTCACAACTAGAACACATTAAATCAATAATATGCTGAATCTGATCTTTATTCATAGGTAGGTATGATATAGCCAAAAAGTCTGTTGATGCGTCTATACCACCTAAGGTACAAACATCTTTTTCCTTCATCAATCTCAATAAAAATGGCAGGATATATGTCACAACATATGGAACAATTGATAACTTGTTTGGACTTCTTATTAAATCTTGGAGCCAATGGAACATTGTTGAACTCATATAATAGTATGATGTTTTCAAAATATCTTGGGGTGTCATTCCAGTAATTTTATCATATTCTACATCTATTTTATGGAAATGTTCTTTAATAAGCAAATCAATCTTACCAGGAATTGGACTTAATACCACTCCTAAGCTATTGGAATTTCCTGGACTAACTTCTAGTAATGCCTTTACGTTCTTATACGATGGGGTAGTTTGTATTTGACAAATTATACTTACAAGTCTACCAATAGCCTCACGAACTTGATCATATGGATGATCAAATACTATATCATCAATAATGTAATCGATATTAGGTGATCTAAAATCCATACTCATCAGAACACTACCCAACATTAATATTCTTGAAGCTTGGTTCCCAAATTGTTCCGAAGATTTATCCATAAGCTTTTTTGAATTATCAAAATTTTTGAAAAATACAGAACATCTTCTAACGTCAACAACAGACGGTAACCACCAGCATAATGTTCCCCAAATTTCGAATGCATCCTGGTTAAATTCATTATCTAATGCATCCTTCATAAATTTATCAACAAATTCATCCCTCTTTTTCTTTTCTTCTTCATTCATATACCTAGAACCACATATCAGAGCAGCCAAAATTTCAATCGACATAATGGTAGAGGATTTATCATACCTATTATAGAATAATGAACAAAGTTCAAATAGATCATCAATTTTTAAGTTGGTGGTATACTTTCTAGTTATTAATACGATAAGGATGACCATAAATGATACGTCTCCGCTACTAAACACGCAATTCGTCTCATTGTCCTGGATCAAACACCTCATCATATCTTCTAACCATTGTTTAGTAATCAATTTACCTAAATTCATGAAAACTTCTGTTTCGTTTTCTTGTAATTTAATGTTAATAGGAGAATTTTGCAAAACCTTTATTGGTTTTCCCCAACATAACCAACCTACGTAAGCCTTTCCATCAATAAAATACTTTGGATTGTTAAAGTTCGACATTTCTGCTTTAAAAACACTTTGGAATTCATTGTTAATGGTGGTATCAATTTCTGAGACAAATGGTGGATCATATGTACTTTGATATGCCTTAGATATATCATAGTTATAGTCTGATAACGAAATAACCTTATTTGCAATGGCTAAGAAAGATCTCACAACCAAATGCACCATTTCAGGATGTCTCTCTTTGGTTTGGTAGAAAATGGCTTGTATTGATTGTTTTGATGTTTGAATTTCTAAACTTGCCTGAAGCTTACCGATGAATTGAATAATAAAAGTTGGAATTTTCCAGTTCCTCTCATCATTTTTATCTAATAAAGATATTAGAGAATTTTGAACACTGGATAATAATGAATAATATACCCTACGTTTTTTATCTTTGGATGCCTTTATTAATTCTATACGCTCATTTATGACACTATCAGATGGATCGATAGGTGTGAACATATTATTATCATACACACAAATTGAGGAAGGAATCTTAATACTAGTTACTAAATCGAGCAATAATTTCTCAGCGTATACAGATATGTCCAAATCATTTATTTTATAACAATCTAATAGCATCAATGTAACCTCCTCCATATGTGAATAATCAGACAACAATCTTCTTTGTATCTTTCTCAAACACAAAACTCTTAGAATTATTTCTATCTTTTTATTTTGTTGTTTTTTCATATTTTCTCTTAAATCACCCAAAAGGAAACAGATTACATTAGAATAAGAACCAATAAGTTGCTTCATACAATGCAACAAACAACCTTGTGCAGGTTTGTGGATATCAGGATATATTGAACACGATAGACTAATTACATCATTAAGCAATTTAGATTCTAATTTAGACGGGTTACGAATTGTGGAGTGCAACAATACTCTACTCTGGTGTAAATTATTAATTTTAACAGCAAATAATGATCTGGTAAAAGGTTCTTCTAAATGACGAAGTGACTGTATATTTTCCAAAAAATCATATTCTAAATTCAGATTTGGGTCATCATTAAAAATGGTTTCCTTACCAATATCAGTGAACCAAACCTTCAAACCATGTAATAATGCCTGGTAAATGTTAATATTGGTATCATGGTTAGAGGACAGGAACTTAAAAATTCTATGATAGAAATGACCGATATGTAATCTTTCATTGTTAATTTTGTGATACAAAGCATTGTTAAGTTTCTCGGAGCCTGTATTACCAAAAAAATAATTGTAGGCAAAAATATCCAAGTCTTTGAAAGCAGGATTAGTCGTACCAAGAATTCTATTCACGCTTGAGGAAGAGGCTCCATCTTCGCTTTCGGTTGGAGATTGTTCATGATTCAATAATGGTGTTGCAATTCGAGATGGGATTTCAGATGTTGTAGTGGTATCAATTTCATTACTAATCTCATCCGAAATTAATTGTTCTTGGAGATTATGTAGTGGGTTTTTAACATCAATCTCTGTTGGTAATGTCACTAAATCAGGGCCAACATCTTTGCCGTTATCACTATCTTGATCGAGAAATACATATGGAGAGAGACTAGCAAATCTGCTCGAATCTGCACTCGACAAAGCGCCCAATCTTTCCATTGATTTTTTGGATAGTAAGGAAGTATAGTCTGCATCAAACAATAGACTTGCACCTGATAAAGAGTGTGTTAAAATTAGAATATATTTCTGAATGTTGTCGTTACTATCCTTTTCATTACTGGACTCTTTTAATAGATTTTCGATTTCATCTATGCATTTGCTTGTGATTCTTGTGAAAATATTGATACACAACTCTACTTCTTCTGCAGTTGGAATATGCCATTCAAAATTCATATTTTGATCCATGAAACGTTGTGGACTAAATTGTAAAGCACCCCATTTTTGTGAAAAAGTTAACGTATTTTTTTTACTGAAAAGGTGGGCTTCCCGGATCTCTGTAGTAGTCAATGATGCACATGTACTGTGAACTAAAATAGAAGTGATTACATCTAATGGTGGATTTGTAATATTTTTGAAAATATATTCCAGAGAATCAATAAGTTCTTCAGAAAAGGTAAGTATGGCTTCATAAGATTGTCTTAAAACATCATTCAACGCAGTCAAGTATAGTACTAATCTAAGATCTCTCCTCTGGATTTCTGTATTACTTCTAACTGAACCAGCACCACGATCAATTTGATCCTTTATTTTAATAATTAAAGTTCCACAAACATTCTTACTTAACGATATATCTCTCTTCACAAGTGATGCTAAGCAGGTGGTTAAAATTTCGAAATTTGGGTTACGTTCATTATAAGTATCATTATCCCAGAATTGTTTTGTGAATTGTTCAGTAAACATTTTAAATATGGAATCATCCATTGCTTGAATCATGATCATTGTAGTTTGGTTAACCTTAGTAATGAACCCTTCATCTAGTTCTGTATCAACTATTTTGAACAATTTATCGATGTATGAACGCAGAACAGCTCCCAATATTGTAGTGGAACCTCTAAACGCCGATTCTAAAGTCTCTTCGTTATATTGGAAATCATTAGACGAGTGACCCTCCTTTAAATGGTAAAAATGCTGTTCCACGAAAGGTAAAGTATTTGACTCAAAATTAATATATTCGTCTTCCGTTAAAGGTACTTCGAATGGAATAAAGGATGCTATCGAAACAATACCATTAATTAAGTTACTCGAAAGGTTAATATCATTCATATCTAGTTTGGTTGTCAGCATATATAATATATTCATAATATGGACTCGATACAACTTATCCATCACCATAAATCTAACCACTCTACTAAATTGTTTTAACGATGCAATAATTCTATGTCTGAAATTGATATATTCGTCACCTAAAGAATCATATAACTCTACAAGTATTTTATCTAAGGCACTTGTTGTACTCTTGGGACTTAATTCTACCAAATAACCGAAACAAGAAATATAATAATTTGAAATATCTGGATTTTTATTTTGAGCACCAATAAACAATATATTCAAAAATGTATTTGTTAAGTTATCATGGCATACTTCAGTTAACATCATTGGATGAGTTGAATGTCCCTCAGATTTAATTCTTTGTTCTCTTTTTACTCTACCGTGATACATCTTAATAAAAGAGTGAATAAATTTAGCAATTGGTTTTGTCCAAAATCCACTATTTGATGGATGGACGAATGTTTCTATAGCTCTAGTCAAAGTATGAAGATATTCAAAGAAAAATTTGTTGTCGGAACCATTGATTGAATAAATAAAGGGTCTAACAGTTCTTGAGAAAGAATGAATTTGTCCATTTGTCCTTAAATGACCTTGCAATCTATTAAATAAGAAGATCATTTGTTCTTCAGTAAAAAGACCATATTGATTAAATCCTTTATCTGACAATTTTTCACGAAGAACCCTACCATGATAATCTTCCAAGATATTACCAACAAAATCATACATATGTGTATCGATTGAAATATTTGCACTTGTGGAAGCCCATAGACCAAAACAAAACGGTAAATAATCTATAATACTAGTTGTGTTTTCTTCTGTATGATAATGGTAAGGGACAAATGAAGTCATAATTGGTAAAATGATTGGTAAAGTGGTTGGAGCAATACTTGCCAGTAGAGTATTCATTGTTGTCTCTAATAATTTGGTATCACTTTGATCAAAAAATAATTTTGACATATGAGCTAACTTCAACAATAGTCTGAATAAGTTTAAATCATCCTTAGAGGTAATATCATATCTGATATAATCTGAATCTGGATAAGGTAAGAACTCACAAAGAAATTGAAACAATTTAGTATGATCTAAGACTAAGCCATCTTCTTTAAGTAATTCAGTATAATTTGTACCATGATTATGTCTATCTAATAATTTTTCTATGACTTCTATATGCAATTGTCTATAAATTTTTTGTCCTTGTACCATAGATAAATGATAATAAACGATAACTAAAGATTTTCTTAGTGATAAAGGAAAATTAAAATCCAAACAATTTTTCAATTCATTTGTCCAGTGATTAACGTTAATAATACATTTAGTCTCAGGAGTGATTCTACCAACGGCGTTAAAGTCAGGTCCAACAAATTCCATATATTCGCCATTTTCCTCAAAATCATCAGGTTCACCATCTTCTTCTCCTTCATCGAAATTTGCAATATCTTTCTCCTGTGGACTTGTACTAATAAATTCATTAATACCTGATTTAATATTACGTATATCTTTATCGGTGATTGTGATTAACCCTTGAATATCTAGAGAACTTATGGATATGTATAGGTTCAATACTATGTGACAAATGTATCTAGCTCTATCTAAATGTGATTCAATTTGATATGGTAAATGATTTTTGGGGTCGAATTTCAATTTAATTGGTCTACTAAACCATTTCGATTTTGGATCATATATTTCTTTCAAATGTTGACTAAGATCTGTCTTATAATCCAGGTTATATTTATGCAACCTTTTTGTTAAACTGGCAGTATCTGTAGTTGTTGGCGGCAATTCTTGTTGTTGTTCTTCATTTTCATGTTCCACCACCGTAACATTTGATCTCGATTTCTTATTAGTGTTTACAGTAGTATCATCTACCACACGTTTAATACCCATAATAGACGTGAACTAATCTATAAATGCTTGTTTTGAAATGCTAGTAATGATATGTGTTTCTCTTGTTCTGTATTGTGTCAGCCCAGATGTAGTAACTACTTAATAGTTCAAGAAATATGTTTTCTCTGACTGTAATTATTTCTTTGGAAGGCGGCAAATTTTTTTCTTCCTTACGCTTCACACATATTATATTGCTGTTTTTTCTCGCTTTCCGTACATACAATTTATTAATAGCGAACCGACAGGGCTTTGGGTCAGTGGCAAAATACGTTATATATAAAAGAATAAAGAATCGTTCAAAGAGTAGTAGTGACGATAGTAAAGAGTATCAGTGTACCAAACCTGCAATCATCCTGTCATTATACAGTTATATATATCTCTACGTTTTGTGGGGTAGTTTGAATATCAATCCATGGATACCAAAGTCTCCTTTTTCGCGTCAAAGATTCCGGTATAACTTGTTACGATGCTATATATTGCTAATGTCTCCATTCTTGGCTGAATACGGAAATTAGCCGGCATCGCTTTTTCTTCACCACCAGAAGTCGCCGCTCCCCCCTCACGTCGTGTTTCGTGACACCCACGTGACCCCTCCCCCACCCTCTACCTCACCCGCTGCGGAATGTGCAAAAAATTTCGTCGTGACGGGGTTTTGGCCCTTAAAGGAATGGACAACGGAGGGACAAGGCGAATTGAATTAAGCCGTTTGCATCCACCCCTTGTTTTTTGGGGGAGGAATTTTCATAAAATGAGGTCCAGTTCTAAAGGGCAGCTGAATGCACTGAACGTTCACAATTCTTATATAAATATAACAGATGAAAAAAAACACTTTTTTTGAACGCTACCTTATTTCTTTTCTTCCATCAGTAATATTAATACAATACGTTAAAACAATCAATTAACCTTTATAACCGACATTACAATATGCATAAGACATATTCTTTGAGAAATGCCAGACAGCCTACTGCTGCTCAATTACAATCACCTCCACCTCCTACTTCTACCACCAAGTCTCGTTTCTTTGGTAGAGCAGGTCTAGCTGCTTCCTTTCGTAAGAGTGCAGCCGGCTCCTTTGGTCCAGAATTAGCTAGAAAACTGTCTCAATTGGTCAAGACTGAAAAGAACGTGCTATGTTCCATGGAAATCGTCACTAATGAACGTCGTGCTGCCGCTAGACAATTGTCTCTGTGGGGTTCTGATAATGATGACGACGTCTCTGATGTTACTGACAAATTAGGGGTCCTGCTATTTGAGTTAGGTGAGTTGCAAGATCAATTCATCGATAAATACGATCAATATCGTGTCACTATGAAATCCATTCGTAATATTGAAGCATCCGTACAACCATCTAGAGATCGTAAGGATAAGATTACAGATGAAATTGCTCATTTGAAATATAAGGATCCTGTGTCTCCTAAGATTCCTGTCCTAGAACAAGAATTGGTTAGAGCAGAAGCAGAATCCTTAGTTGCAGAAGCTCAATTATCTAATATTACTAGAGAAAAATTGAAAGCTGCTTATAATTATCAATTTGATTCTATGAGAGAAATGGCCGAGAAATTTGCTTTGGTTGCGGGTTACGGTAAAGCTTTATTAGAATTACTAGATGATGCCCCTGTTACTCCTGGTGAAATTAGGCCTACTTATGACGGTTACGATGCCTCTAGACAAATTATTATGGACGCAGAAGCTGCATTGGAGGCTTGGACTCTGGATTTCGCAGTGGTTAAACCAACTTTATCATTCCATCAAACAATTGATGACGTCTACCAAACTATGCCTGAGGATGAACTTGAAGATGATTTGGTCGATGATGCTGATGTCATTGAAGATGTTCTAGAAGATGAAGAACATCCAGAAGATGAAGAATATTAATCACATTTCTATTTCATTCCCCCTCCCCCGAATTTTTAGTACTTTCTTTTTTTTAAACTCATTTTTTCCATTCGTTGTATACATTCTTCAGACATCACTTCTCTATTAATTATTTAAGTATATATCATAACTCTGTATTATTTTAATATTATTTACTAATTAAAGTATTTTTTTTTGTAGTTATGTTTTGATTATTTTTATCTTACGATAATTATGCATTTTGATGTGTGTATATATATTTATTTACAAGTATCTATCAATCCCGCGGATTTGTATCTGGAAGTAAATTACGATCTTCCAACTCTTTATTAAGCCCTTCGTACCAATCCTTAGCATATGGAATACGCTTAACTGCGGCATGTTGTATGGCGATATTACGAATATTTTCACGATATTTTAATTTTTGTTTGTGTGTAGTCTTATTATTTTGAATCGAATTATGAGTTTTCTTCGAAGGATCCGCCTGTTTAACATTGTTTGGTCGACAATTGATATATCTTAATATATATCTTTCCTCCTTCGTTGCATTATGCCATGTATTGTACCCTTTGTTATTGTCTTTTAATTTGAAATTACGTATCATTATTTCAAATCTGCTAATATCTTCTTCTTTGACATCTTTCAAACAATTAAATTTGACAATCGAGTCAGCTTTAACTTTCCAATAATTGTTACGCATTTCCTTTGTGTATTTAAATCGAAGTCGCTTCATCCAGTTGAATATTATAGGGAAGTTTACAGAATAGCCATTACGAACTAATGATTTAAATAACATTTCAAAACTTGTAGGGTTAGGTTTAACACCATAGTCCTTAGTAAATGTGTTCAGGGACATTAAGGAAAGATCTAGGCGACCAGCATTGCCAAAATGGTACAAGAATAGATTTAATATTTCACTATTAATCATTGTCCTATTAGTGAGTCCCTTGGCACAGGAGGTTTTGTTCTCCCTGACGATATGTTGAACCGTCGTCAATGCATGATCTAGCTGACCATCTCTAAGAAACCTCGAAATACAGAACTTTAAAATGTCATTATTCATTCGAATGTTATATTGTTCAAATAGTTTTAATACTGATAGCCCATTCATGGTTTGTGTTGACTGGGATTTTTGAATTAATGTAATTATAAACCGATGCGATATTTTAATATGAAGGTCTCGCATTGTCTCCATAAATACGGTCCTACCTTTATCAGTTCCTAAGAATTGAAATAGGATATTCCATGTTACATTATCCGCTTTCACTTCATCCTTTATCATTCTTTCCAAATAGTATGTGATGTTTTTATTTTCGTTGGGACTACTCTCTTTGTTGGAATTTTTTAATAATCCAGATAACATCAAATTGTACGTCTTAATATCTGGTTTACAATTGCTTAGTTTTAATATTGCTAGGGATTCTCTCATCGATGCCAGGTCTGACTTTTGGTGAAAATAAAATATCAGGTCATTGTAGGTTTCGGTAGTTTGATAAGGTGCGGTAGTCTTATTCAGAGGATGCAATAATGTTCTTAGTAAAGTCGGTATAATACCATTTGTCAAACTAGAGTTTTTAAAATGGAAATTGGTATGTGTTAATAGGCCAATGTAATTGGTGAATGCTTGGGGGTCTTCCTGAAAATCAGGTATTATTGGGATTTCTGCATAGGAATCCTTTGGGAATATTCTTTTTGGTATGGAAGAATCATACAAGTTATTTTTATTTACAGGTATTCGACATTGTCGTATTAGAAGTGGGATTATCCTACTCAGAAAAATTTCATCCTGAGTCTCTTTAAATTTAGGGTTCGATACTAGTTTTTTCTTGAACAAATTAAGTTTCTTTGCTCTTTCGACGTCATAATCATCTTGAATGGTAAGTCTTTTGAATGGACGTAGATGTTCAAATGTAGATAAATAATCTTTCACTAATTTTTTTTGATAAGCTGAATTTTTTCCTACATATGTTTGATGGTCTTCGTAAAGCTTAGAAATATTTCCAGGTTTGGGCGAGGGGTTGTTCTTAACGTTTCCATTAGAGGTAGATTTTAGCACTGTTTTTGGTAGAGATACAGGAGAAGAAAACATCTGAGGTGTAATCAGTATTCGACTTTCCAAACCTTTTTTGGTAACTAATTCACCTAGTTTCTTTAGGACGCTCATTCATTCATATGTTTTTGGGTTGTAATGTAGATTGTCTATTTAAGTGTCTATATATTAAAGGATGAAAAATCAAATAATTAAAAAGTGTGAAATGGGTTTGGATTACTTGAAATTATATGAAGATCAAATTGCAGTGTCGAGTATTCAAATTAATTAAAACTATTTTCATATATATATATATATATATTATATTTGAGTAAAGAAATCCTCAAGGTTCGCTCGCTCGCCTTGTGAACAAATGAGTGTTGTTGTTCCGTTAAGTAATATATTTTCTATTTATGATTTGATATGCTGTTAAAATTAAATAATTATTTATAATTTATGAAGATTGACTGATAATACTTTAAAATATTTTCAGATTATAATAAATTGTATGATGCTTGTGATTAATGTAAAATAAATGGCCCATATTGTATTACTTGTAGGTCTCATTATAGTACCATCATTAGATGATGTAGTGTTGGGAGCCTTCAATGTACCAGACGGTAATATTAATTCCCCTCCAATATTAGGAATATCAGATAACATGTCTTCTACTTGTTCTGGTGTTAATTCTTCATGGAATACAGTGTTATTTGTCAGAAAAGTTACGATATTTCCAGCTGAGTCAAATAATACACCACCTCTCACCGTAATGTTTCTCGGTCTGTTAAATTGGCCAGTACTAACAGTACCATTAAGGATCAACTTCTGACTCACGTTTCTGTTCAAACCTTGGAATGTTTGCAAAGAAGAATATAACAGGTCTTTATTAGTAGCGTTTGTAGTAAACACTTGATATGCACCGCAACCATTAAATAAACAAGAACAATTATTGTTCCAATCGTAATATTCTGTAGTACGTGATAGATGCTCGTTTGCCAACCAAATAGAAGGCATATCGAAATATCTCCCATCCTGATTAGTCATGTTATTATCCGTAGGCATAGAGAATTCAAATAGAAACAATTTAGTCACACCTTCATATCCGGTGTAAGACCGTATACCTTTCCTATAGACACCACACATACCTTTAACTTTTGATGCTGGACATGGGAAGTTTGAGTATATAATATATTCTTCATCAGATGGAACATACCCTGAGAATCCAGCAGGATCAGGGTTTTCAGTAGCAAAAGAGACTGCATCTTGTCCAATAAATGTTAATGTTCTCCCCATACATGGGGAATCACGACCTTTATGTCCCAAAAAAGTTACATTTATAGTTTGTTTACTAATGGAATCTGGAGCAATGTCAAATAGTGCCTGTTGGGTCCAATTATGAGTATTGTTATCCGAGCCTAGTATAAACTTATGGACATTATAATATGCAAATTTATACAATTGGGTAGGTCCTCTAATATGAGCCACTAGCCTCTCGGATAAAGGTGCATTCAAACCTGAGAACCATGCTGGTGGTGCTAATGTACATGTACAACTCTCCTTTGTAGCGTTGGTGATTTTCCCAACATATCTAAAAGTATCAGCGTAGCCTAGATTGGCAAACCGCAATTTTCCTGATGTTCCAACATTGTCTAGAGCATGGACAACATTAAAAACATTTAGAAACAATATGAAATATCGCAGCAGCATCTAATAATGTTTAATTCAAAATAGAAGAAGGAGATGCAAATGATTTATCTGTGATTTTGGGGATGGATGTTAAAAAATATTTGTTGCAAATAACGTGTACTCGAATGTAAGCGATTAGTACAGAAGTATGCTACTTTATTGATTGAAAAAATCGTTGTTACGTAATAACCCCAAAAACAAAAAGAAACAATCACTAATAAAGAGATTTCTTCTCCAATTCAAACAGAATTGTGCAAATGGTTGCTATTTTAGTCTTTCATCTCTCTGTTTACAGGCAAACAAAATATTTCACTGAAATTTCCATCGCGGAGAATTTCAAAGGGAACCGGGCAAAAGTCTTCCAAGTTCTGTTGGTTTGGGATTGAGGACAAGGCAGAAGGCAGAAAAATATGCAGTATACACGTGAATGGCATGTGACGGAGAGGATTACTTCACAACAATTCTTCTCTTAAACGAGTGCTTCTATACATCGAACTCAGTATTCATATATTTCCATCATCAAACTCCATTTAACAATCATGCATGTTTACCAGGAATTTATAAATATATCCGTGCAGTCAATTATCGAACTGTTTTAACATGCTCCAAATAGGCAAAAAAAAATATAAAACGTTTAATAATCTGATCTGAGTAAAAACATCATATTATTTAAAGGGAGTGTTTTTCATACTTAGAAGCAACTCATCCTATAATAGGCATAATATATTATTTGAGCTATTAACTCTATACACACCAACTTGGGAATTTGTAGAATTTACGAACTATCATACAAACAAGAATATATATATATAGGGTGGTGAAATGCAACCTGATGTAATCGTATCCCCTTCAGAATCTGCTTTATCAATAGAGACCTTTGGAGAAGAAATTGCCAAATATTTCGACAATGCGACCAAAATATTAGTAGAGGCACAAACTTTGGGTAACTCTGCGAATACTAAAGTCACCGAAATTAAAGAAGAATCGTCAATTTTACAACAAAATATATCAAAATTGAAATTTTTATACAACTGCATTGAAAAACAATTACATTTATTGTTAGATATAATTTTAAAGAAATATATTGGAGGGAAAGTAATTGATACGGAATGGTCAAAAAATATTCTAGTTGATTTGGTCAACCTTATGAAATACTGGCAAGATGAAATTGATCAAGAGATTGAAAATTTAAGTAAGATTAAGAATGTCCTTGTATCCAATTCTTCTGAAGATGATAAATATTTATGTGATTATATATCTATCGATGATGTGAATTCATTGCAAGACAAACTGTTGGAAATACCAGTTATTCAAAAGCATATTTCAAACATAAGGATACAATATAAAGGAATGGTACGAAGAATAGATGAGAAGATAGCTAATAAAAGTTTAAAGGAATTGAAAGCTATTTTAGAAGATAAATTTGAACAAAATAATAACAATGATATGTTACTACTGAATGAAACATATCCTGAACAATTAATACAGTTAGAGATGGATCTTATAAATTTTTTGGGCTCATTAACCGCTCATTTCGATAAATGCCAATTATTAAAGGGATACCTGGAAAATAAAGGGTCCGATAATTCCCTCGATTACACAGGATTCAATAATTTGCTAGAAATTGTGAGAAATGACGATAAAGAATTAAATTCAATTTTTGCATCATTATGTGATATTATTGATGATATTGATAAGTGTCTTCCCGAGTATAAGCATTTAATCGAAAGTAAAACTGTAGACCAACATGATTTGCATATCAAGATGAATAAAGTTATATCCAGTTTATCAAAAAATTATGAATATCTTTCTATATTTAAGGATATTATGAATCTTATCGACTTATATAAAGATAGTTGCCTAAAAGAAATAAAAACAGTCAGTGAATTGAGAGATTTCTATGCCAGTTTTGAAAATAGTTATAAATCATTATTACAAGAAGTGGAAAGGAGAAAAACATATTCTAAGGAAATGGAACAAATAATAAACGATTGTAAAACAAAATTAGAAACATTAAATGATCGCGATCAAATGGAAAGAAGAGATTTTTTAGAGAAGCATGGAAATTTCCTTCCAGAGAATATATGGCCAAATGAAATTGAAGAACTAACCCCATTATACACGCTTGACTACAGTATAAAACATTTATAATAAAAAGTTTCTAGATTGTTTTTCTTTTTTTCTGTTGAATTATTTATATATATAAAATTGCTTATTATGATAATATTGTAGAGATAAATTAAAAAAAGAAGAAGAATATATACCGTATTTATTAATGTTCACATGAAAGTGTTAATGATGATTTCTCTTTTCTTCTTCTTGTAGTAATGAAACTGTTCATTGATTATAGATAGACATTTACAAGTAATACAGTGCTGCTACTCAACTGATATTAATTTAAACTTAAAAATAAAATATCTGATGAATATCTAATGCATTGAGTAGGTCACACACCTTCGGGTTTCATGAATACATTTAAAGAGATTCAGGGTTTGATGCAATGTATTTCACTGTTTCACCAACAGTCTTCAATTCATCAGCAACCTTGTCAGGTATTTCAATGTCAAATTCTTCTTCTACAGCCACCAAAAGTTCAACGGTGTCTAAAGAATCTAGACCAAGATCCTTATGGAATGATGTTTCAGCTGCGATATTGGCACCAGCATTACTTTTGCTAAAGGCCTTGATAACGTCTGAGACTCTGTTCTGAATCGCATTAGGAGTTAATTTATTAGCAGTTTCACTATATAGACGAGTAGCAATAACAAATCTGGTAGGATATTGTCTGCTAGCCATTGGAATGGCTCTTTTAAAAGATAGAGAAGCGTTGGTACGTAATACAGATCTGAACATTTTTTTAGCTTGTTTCTTTATGTTGGAATTTATTTGAGATTGGATTAAAGGAACTTTGTATTGTCAAACTATTGATTATCAATTTCTTCTAAGAATATTTCAGTTATCCTTATATATTGTCTCAGTTCATTTTAAAAGGGTGGATATGTAGCTTCCCTAATTAGTTTTACCTGTTGCGGCCACTCATCTACAAACCTCCCCGAGCATATTATTTATTTCGTTGTATGACAAATTACAAATTACAAAAAAGTTGGTCAATCCGAGGACTTCGCATATAATAAGTTGAAGGTTTATTGGGTCGTCCCAGGTGATATTTTTAATGGTGAAAACCTGAAACTAACATCCCTCATACATAAGAATCATCTTATAAAACTTTTTATTTTATTTTGTATCTATAAATTTTTTTTATATTTTAACCATGTGAAGTTGAATTTGAGGCATTAGAACCATTAGATATCGACGGAGTTAACATTAAATTCAAATTGATATTTGATGAACTCCGTGAATTTCTTCTCCCCATGTATTTGGTCAATATTTTATCATCTGGTACTAAGAGTTCAGCTACATGAGTTTGATTTTCCTTCTGTGGCGCAGCCGATGATGATGATGCTGAAGGTGGTGGCATATCCCATGACGATATAGACATGATTTTATTAGGATTTTTAACTGAATTCCTTCTTGACATTGGTTTTTTAACTAACGTTTGATTTGAAGCAGCAATAATGTCGTGGTTTCTTAAGATTTCTTCGGAAAAATTCTTGTTGAATAGTTCTACTAGCATCTCATGATTGTACTTTAGTTCATCTGACGGTAATAGATCCAGATGTAACGTTAAGCAGGCACTTAGTTGTATTGTTAGTTCATCATATGCTGCAATTAATTTTGATATGTCTAAGGGATCTATATTAACAGAGTATGGCCCTTTTAAAAAGACTTTGTATTGCATACTCCCCCCATTTATTGGTGCCGATATTGTACCTGTAATATTTCTCGATAATTCTTCAAATATCTCCAACGAGTCTCCATTTTCTTTTAGTATCTTATGACCCATATTTAGCAAACCACTCAATTCTTGGATCTTTACTTGCAAGGATCTTATTGCATTTTGCACCGGGGAAAGCTTTTCTGTCTTTGTTTCTATAATCTCTGCACGGTACATCAATGTTGGAAAAGTTGATGCTGTAGTGTACGTAGACTCCTCCACCCATAGATCTGCAACATTTGTGGCACCAGGTAATCGTCTAGAAGAACTAAACGTATTCAAATCTCTATTCTCTATATACATCCTAATCTTGTTATTCATATTAGCCATGTTGAGACTTCTTGTATAATCGTTTGAAATGTAAAATCTAGGTTCTACAGTAGTTACATTGATACATCTACCCAAGGTAGGTTTTATTAAGAGTCGTGAGACTTCGTCTACTGATTGAATAATTGAAGAACCATGGTAGACATTTAATAAACGATTTTGCATTGAAGTTATGTGTTCAAATGGTAGACCCTCAAAAATAAAGGTTTTGTTTCTTAACGAACTTGAAAACCCAAATCCCATAAAGGAAACTTTAAAGTAGGTTGGAACAAGTCTGTCCAAGGATTGTAAATCTGTGTAAACTGTAGATATTTGATGATATGCAAATGCCAATCCATTCAGATTGTAATTAATTTCATCGTACGCTTTGATAAGGTCTTTATACACTGATAATGCTTTCTCAAATTTTAATCCCTTTGTAAAAAATTTGGCTGATTCCTTGTATAAATATTCCTTTCTATCAAAGGATGATTGACTTGGTAATGGTGGGTACGATATTGCCTTTAGGACATCATTGGTATCCCATGTGTATGTGCTTGCTAGCAACTCTAAGCTTAATCCGGCCTGAACATAATCTTTCTTCTTGATAGAATGAACATATATTTCATATAGCATTCTATGAAATAATTCAGGTTTATTAGCATCTAATAGATAACTAAACATTTCTATTTGAGATGCAATTCGATCATCATCGTATTCTGGCTGTTTAGGAATTTTGTATGCTTCCATCAAGATATGCAAGAAACCAATAATTTCTTTCAGGAAAGCTGTTAAGCTGTCAAACATCTCATCATCCACTGCAACATGAATCATAAGGAATAAGCACTGGACAAAACAAGTCAATTCATACTCATGTAAATATATTCTTCCAGCTTGGAAACCATTGTATAATTCAGGAATGGAATAATCTAAACATTTTTGGAACGAATGCTCTTGATCCCAAACATTTACAGTAATACAACAGAATATCTTACAACAAACGGTGGTGGCACTAATATCTTGATGTAACGCAAATATATACATTTCTCGAATTAAGGTTGGATTTTCTTTGAAGAGTAGCAGCTGCATTTCACTTATACCATTGATTCCATACTTTTCAGCCAAATCATTTCTTTCGTTACCTCTAGACAGAAAATTCCAAGAACGTTCCAGAATGACTGCAGCTTTTACCCTTAGTCTACCACTTATATTGTATACCGCTTTTCTTGAAATTGGAGCAAGCTGAGGTAAGTTTGATATTTTATGATTTGCAAGCATTAATATACTCTTGAAAAAGTCACACCAAGTTTTCAAAGTTATGCTATTTGGATCATTGATATTAGTGGTTATTTGAAAGTCCTCAATGGTATCTTGACACATATATAATAATATCAATGACGACCGAGCTAATAAAGCTGTAATACCTAACCATTTCCTCTCTGGAAAGTAATCATCCATAAAAAAAGCTCTTATAGTTCTGATTACCAATTCGATATCATGAAGGTTCATTTTTTCGAGGTAAAATTGAGATTCAAAATTTATATTATCCCTGCATTCTTGGACTATCTTCTTGAATGATAGATCACTTCCATACAATTGGTGGGCAATCTTAGTCAATTGACAAATCATTGTAGAGATTTCCATTAATATCTCCACTATAATCTCATCATTGACAATCGAGTCCACATAGTACTTTGTAAAAGGATATTTTAACGGAAATAACTCCGTAAAAGTTCTACGAGGTTTAAAAAGTCCAACATCCTTACAGTACCTTCTAATTTGGATAAAATATAGACAGTATGATGGAATTAATCTTAGCAAATTCTTCAATATATTTGAATTCGTGATATTTCTTATGACAATAATCATGACACTATTAGCAAGACGGATAGTATCTATTTGAGAAGGATCATTTTGAAAAAGAACATACGGTATTAAACTAGTATTAATCGATTTTTCAAAAAATGTTAATATCATTGGATCGTCCTCTTCAAAATTTCGTAAATAATTTTTGAACGGTTCATATAATAATATTCTTTGTAGTAATAAATATTTCGAATTGAGAAAGTTGTGTTCATCTCTATTAAGTTTCTTCACATTGCAGCACCATTCATCGATATCATATTGTAAAGACATTATGACCATGGTTGCCATGGTAAATAACTCCTTTTGTTCGAAGTGCAATTCTAAAATTGATAGCCAGACATCATATGTCTGTAACATTGCTTGTTGGCCCACAATTACATGTTGAAAGGATGCGCTCAAATATATACAATATTCTTCAAATGTAGTGGCATATTCTACTTTCCACTCATCCCTCTGGTTATTGGACGATATTACTGAAAGTAATAATACAAACACAGAAAATTCACATAACGCAATCGCATATTCGTCATCTTTTTCTCTTTTGGTTGCATATGCATTGGTCAAACATTGAAGAAGTTGTAGACCAACGACTGGTAAGTTTGAGTTTACCCCTGTACAATATTTATAGTACATTTTAAAAAGCTTATGTCTACAATTTTTGTCTTTCGAAGACAAAGTCTTCTTAAGGAATAGAAAAAAATATTCAAAAACATTATCGGTAAATCGATCAGAATTAGTTGTGCTCCCCTCATTTGTAATTAATCTGATAAATTCCAAATAATTAAATAATAAAAGGTCAATTGATTTCAAGAGAACAGCTGTGTCAATGTCATTTACTTTTTTTAAAATGTTTAGTACGTCACCTTCATAAAATTTATTTTCAGTAGCATAATCCTGGACAACTTTAGTAAATTCTTCTATTTCCTTATCAACGTTATAATTATTACCTGGATACTCAGAATTTATACTCAAATTAATCAATTTTTTATTTTCTGATGACATTAAATCAATTGTAGTGCCATTTTTATGTTCAATGATTTTATCGTTCTCCTTCAATGATATTTTACCCTTTGCCAGTAATAATCCATTTAAATATGCAAGGACAGTGAGGGTCTCAGATTTGCTCATCACATCTATATTATGGATTCTCACTCTTCCTCCAATCATTTCTCCAGGGGAAACAGAAACAAGTTCTATTTCATTTTTTAGATCTTCATTGGAATAAATGTTCATTTTCACATCTTTATTGTTTGAAAGGATTTTAATTGCTATACTTTTGATGTTCGTAACTTTCTTTTGGATATCAACTAAGTTAGCTGATGAAATATTTAGATATATTACCTCCTGTGGATTATACATGTCATTGAAAAAATTTGCTTTTACCGTTCTCACAGGGATATTTATTGGTGTAAAGGATTCTTCCAAAGTCTTATCATTTCCTATATTTTTTATATTTACTGTCATAGAAAGCGTTCTGGGATTTATTATTATGCCATCATTTGCGTTATTCAAAATTTTTGGAAGCACGCCACCCCAACCAGGGCATAAATCTCGTTCATTTGCTGCTAATGCTACTTTATCGTTCATTGGTGCGTAGAAATGGATCTTGAATTTATGAGGACGAAGATTCAATATATCTTCGGTATCCATAAACACAGGGGATATATCAATGATACCCGCAGATATACCACGTATTACCGAGTCAATCGATCCCTTTGTTGTAGATTTGAAAGGTATAAATGGTGATCTCGCAATGTTTGCTGAATTCTTTTCTCTTATTTGAACAAAAACTTTTTCTGTTAGAACCACCACTAAATATATCTTGTTTTTCCTTATAATTGAATCTGGAATATCTTTAAACAAAACCACCGATGATTGCCTTAAAGATAGTGATATATCTCTATTTGTAGTCATATTGACAATATATGGTTCTGTTAATATCTCGTCCTTCGTTCTTAAATAAACAGAGGTAACAATATTTTCAAGGTTTGGATGTAGTACTGATGGATCAGATCTAATATCTTTAAAATCTACTAAAAAATGGAAATGAGCAAAATTTTCTAAATTTGGAGGTCTAATCTCTAAATTTAATCTTTTGGATCCACTTATTGGGAAATTGTTTGTTAGTCCATAAAAGACAGAACTCATAACGAGTGTTTGTAAGTCTGTATTATCGTACGATAGTAATTCACCCGTGTTAATATCCCTCGCAAAGATACCTTGAAACCCGCAAGGATCTTTCGAGGATATAGAAGACAATGAGTTCGAATTTCTAAGTCTTCCAGTTGCGAATATGTATTTGGCTATTTTAGAAAGTAAGCATGATGCCGATCTAATTAATTCCAAATATTCAGCTTCAGTATTAAGTTCAAACACTAATATCAATCGTATATCATCTAATTTTTGGTATAATTGGATTAATTTATTATACACTTCAAATTCACCAGCTGCATATGTAGAAAATATATGTGAAGATAATAAAAATAAGATCGCACCAATCTCATCCCTTAGCGGTCGTTTGTTGTATCTTCCATATGGAAACGATGGTCTAGGTGGTTTCTTGTAACTCAATGCCTTAACTTCAGTCTCTTTGTTTATATTAATGGTATCCAAGAATGCTGGACTTTTACATTTTTTACTTAACATATTATCGATATCTTTTTGGTCTAAAGATGTAAATATTGATATAATGTTATTATCTGTATGATTACTAATATGAACAAAAGATTTTGGGAATATGACGATAGTAGTTTTAATACCAGGCAATTGTTCACCAAATGCAGTCATTGTAGCCACAAACGCTTCAGGCAAGGGCTTTGAACAAAAATAGGCACGGCACCATTTCTGATCGATGGTCTCTTCAAATATGTATACTTCTGAACCAGCAAAAAGATTTGCATATGAATTCGTATGATTAATTAACTCTGGATGTTTCACTAAAGGTAAAAACGGTTTTACAATCACCCCGTATAATAATTGATCTGTAGGTTTCCAGTAACCCTTTAAATTTTTATTAGCTGACATGACCCTAAAGCAAAGATCAATTGAGTTCACCAACTAAATGATAAATACTGATGAAATCTCAACTAAAGTGGGCTTTCTGACACGATATTCAATGTATATTGCCTTCTAGATATATAAATGTGCTCTTTACCCTTTTATTTCTAACCTAGTTGCCTCTTTCTATATGCAGATCCCTGCCCATTCATTTTTTTGTTTTGAATTTTTCAATTCTCGAATTCGTTCTCCGGTGCCCACGTTTAGGGTACAGCACCATAACCCTAACATTGTTACCCTATTAACTTTGGTTTTAGAAAAAATAACGAAATTTGAGAAATTAATATATTAGGTGAGAGGGAAGCGAAGGTTTAACACCTTGAAGGGAAACGTTAGAGGCTTTGTTTACACAGTTACTGGAGTTTTAGAGTCTGTAATTTTGCAAGATTATCGTATTGGTTCCAATTATAAAATATTGGAAGAGTGGATTTTCGATCTTTGTTTGTTTTATTAGTGGTCTATACAAATACATATAATTATTCCAGGTACAATGAGTGACAAGAATATTAAATTTAGAGCAGGTATTGCAGAATATAATGAAGACACTAAACTATGTACGCCACTTGCGGGTCAAGGTATAGTGAAGATTCAACCAAATAGTGAAGGTGCTGATATGGGATTTTGGGACTTTGAATGGAAGCCCCTAGATAAGACTTTAAATGGTAAATATGAACCAATATCATTGATTTTAATACCTGGTGAAACAGCTTGGATCCCAATTAAATCCGCTAATGGTGGTAGAGTCTTTGGCCTAATCTTCTCTTCAAATCAAAAATATTTCTTCTGGATGCAAGAAAAGAATAAGAAAGGTTTGGCTCCAGATGATTTAAGTCCTGCTGACCAAAAGATAACGGAAAGAATTCAAACTATTTTGAATGAAGTAGTACTTGATGAAGATGCTGATGAGATGGAAGTTTTAGAGGAGACAGATGCCGCTGAAGAACATGAACCTGATACTGGTATGATGGAGCCAGAAGGTGAGAGTAAAGCTTGAATGCTGAATCTTCTATTTCTTTCTTTTCCCATCATTATTAAGAAGGTATATGTACATAATTTGTTATTTTACTTTTTAGATAATTATATATCTATAATTATATATAGAAAACATTTGCATTCTAATCTAGTGTAGTTAAATCCATGTGGTGGACCAATTTAATTTATGTCCTGCCATGAATGGAGCCATTACTATGTCTTTACCATCAGTAATAGTTTCTGGAATAGTTTGTTTTTTTCTAATCAATAGAACTTTTTCATCGCATACTAAATCATCATCTTTAATGTTATAGAACGATAAACCATAAGTTGACACAAAATCTTTCAATTTATCTAAAGAATTTTGTTCATCGAAGACCTCAGCAACATAAGCAATGGCGAATAATTGTGAAAAAACACCAGCAGAAACACCTACATGAGTAGATTTGTTTTGCAAAGGATGTGGTGCTGAGTCAGAACCAAAGAAAAAATATGGTTTCCCAGAGATAGCAGCTTTGACTAAGGCTCTTCTATCACTTGGTAATTTGGCAACAGGTTTACAGAAATTAATCGGGTTTCCAGCCCAATCGTCGATAATCAAGTGTAGGTGATGAGCAGTGATTGTAGCGGCAACCTTCACTTGTGATGCTTCTGTGACATCCTTATTGATAGTCTCGATAGTCTTAATGGCCTCAGCAGTTGTGCAATGCTCTAGGATGATCTTCAAATTAGGAAAATCCTTATGTAATTTAGCTAAAGCTGGTAAAAATTTGGATTCTGCGTTTAATACATGGATATCTTCGCTTTCTGTATCATTTGAAACAGATGGTTTTTCACCATGTAAGTTAAGTACAACATTATTAGCCTCCATAGCTTTAAATATTGGATAAAAGGCTGTGAAGTCGTTGGGGTCTACACCTGCAGCAGAGTTTGTAGTGACTCCCGCTGGGTAACACTTCACACCTTGAATTGCTCCGATTAATGCGGCTTCGTTAATTAGTTCTGGAGTTAAGTCCTTTGAGAGATAAAAACTCATCAAAAAAGTTGTCTTTGGAGATAATTTTTGTAGTGCTTCCTTGTATTTGATTACTCTGTCCAAAGTAGTCACTGGTGGCTGCAAATTTGGCATAATGTACGCAACAGAGACACCTCCCTCTCTAATTGTAGGGGTAACTAATTCGCACATAGCACCTTCTCTAACATGAACATGCATATCGCATGTAACGCCTAAATTGATTTCATTAATACTCATTTTTGATAAATCTCCCTTATCTGGAATATATGTCTTGGTACTTTCTGATGGTAGATAAAACGCTACTATTACCAATTGTTAATAAAATGAAATGAGTAACTTCCTAGCAAGATGATTCAGGCATTTCGGTCTCTCTTTTATATATACATTTGAACTGATTAACAGAGTCATTCATTACATTGAAATTTCTGTAAAAATTTTCAGTTTCGGCAAAGTCCGGTAAGTACTACTGATACTGCTACTATTGCATGGAGGGATATCACAAGTCTTGTTATACGATTACTTTAAGTGAACATGTATTTATGTTTACATATTCGGATAGGTACTTACGATGACATTTGCCTTACGTTGCCAATCGATGTAAAATTGAGTTTAATATTTATATATATCTTGTGTTTTTGCACATCTCCCCTGCCAAAAGGGAAAATTAAATAATCAGTGGACAACTGAAACTCTTTTTTTTCAAACTATGGGATGTACCTTGAGGGACACTGGTGCATCTCATAATTAAATAAATACATAACATTTTATATTAAGATAAAAGGGATCAAAGTGAGTACATATTATTTAATAGTACTCTGAATGAAACAAGTGAATCAATTTCTTTTCAAACTTTAATTATGGGTGGTACTCCTTCAAAAATTGTGGATAGTCTGCTGGAAGACACGAATTGTATGTTGATCTTTACCATTTACGTTCGCCCTTTACCTTTTTAATAACCACACATCATACTAACATTTTGAGTTCTTTGGATAACTAAGAAGATATGTCCACTTAAGATTAGGATGTATCTTTCTCTTTGCTTAGTGATCTAGAGGCAACTATTATACTTTAAATTAGTCGATAGGGATGAAATAGAAAGACTTAGAAAAAGATTTATGAAATTGGATAGAGATAGCTCTGGATCTATAGACAAAAATGAATTTATGAGTATTCCTGGTGTTTCATCGAATCCTCTTGCGGCAAGAATAATGGAAGTATTTGACACAGATAATAGTGGTGATGTAGATTTTCAAGAGTTTATTACCGGTTTATCTATCTTCAGCGGTCGCGGAAGCAAAGACGATAAATTGAACTTTGCTTTTAAAATATACGATATAGATAAGGACGGTTATATCTCTAATGGTGAACTGTTTATTGTGTTAAAGATTATGGTAGGAAATAATCTGGATGATGAGCAATTGCAACAAATCGTGGATAGAACCATAATGGAAAACGATAATGATGGAGACGGTCGCCTCGATTTCCAAGAATTTAAGAACGCCATTGAGACTACTGAAGTGATCAAGAGTTTGACATTAAAATATGATGTTTAGTAGATAATTCCTGTGTAGAATTGTAATTAACTATTTTTAATTTTAAAATTTATGTTTTGGAGATTGAATTGGTTTTTTGAAAAATACTTAATATTAAAATCATTGTTAAATTCTATAAAATGCAATGTGAGTAATGTACCTTGACTATATAAAAATCTACTCATTTTCAATAACCTTCTCGACCATATTTAGAATGGTATATCCGTCACTATCTTTATTGTCAATATTTGCATAACTTGGATTGTCCAATTGTTGTTTTATCGACAAGTCTACTAACATCCTCAACTCCTTTATGAGCACACCATTCTTGCACCATGTACGAATAGGAAGCCAGCTATCTACAACTATACCAGGAGAATGTTGGTCACCACTTACATCGTAACTAATTGGGCCACCAAACAAAAGTAATGATAGTGTAGTTGTTGGAGTTATGTCTCTTAAGAATAACTTACTGGTAACTTGTGAAGAATTAAATACAACAAATGGATACTTTAGAAGAGGATCTTGTGTACTGTGTTTATCTGAAGGGCCGTCAACTATAGTTAAAGCCTTCATATCTTCACTATCTGGACCCTTTGACGAGAATAAGACAGATGAAGGATGCAAGAAGGCACGCGTAGCCGGCAGAGGTAGAGATTCCGAGTCTAACTTCCCTTTATGCTTTTCATTTTCTAACTTCTGTAATTCATCAACATATTGTTCATTTCTAATCCAATATTTAATTTGTTTGGCCTCTGGGTCCTTTTCAATTGCACCTGCACTTGTTTCAAAAAATTTTGGACTTGGTAATTGAATTCGAGCAATGTTTGGATAAAAGGCACCTGTCAAAATAGATGCAAAAATCTTAAAGTTTCCGTTATTTCTATTAAATTGATTTCTAGTATCCGGTTTATAACCCATTGGTATAAATCCAATATCTTTCAAGTTAGAGTAATATTGAGTTCTGGTAGAAAGGATACTGTTAACTTTATTGTATGATAATAAATTTTCTTTCATATATTTAGATCTGCTCTTGGAATCAGAAAGAGCAAGGTATTCCTCGAATACATGAATAGTCGCTAATAAGTCACCTTTCGATTTATAACTTGACAGGATATCACGAACAGCATCTCTATTTTCAATACCACCTACGAATGGTAGGACACCTTCACTAAGAATAGAGGCAGCTAGGACACCAGTATCTGTCAAACCAAATATAATGCTGTATATTAAAAGTTTCCCGTACTTGATATCCATAACCGGAATCAACGATATAAACTTACCAAGTTCTGTTAAAGATTTGGATTCGCCATCTAGTAAACCTATTGTCATTAACAGATTTTCAGCCTTCTCAAGTGCGAGACCTGGAGGAGCCTCTAGACCGTTAGCTAAGAATGAGGTTACGTTTTTAATCCCCATCGCCTTCACAGATAAGTATAAAGATTCTAGCGCGATTCTCTTAATCTCTGGAGCTGGCATCGAAACCATCTCTTCATAAGTGGCTTTAGAAAATAATTTATAAGAAACACCTTCCCTAACTCTACCAGCACGACCACGACGTTGTTTTACTTCAGCCTTAGAAATGAAAGATTCTAGTAACCTAGACGTGTTATCTCTGGCATTATAATACATAGTCTTTGCTTTACCGGAGTCAATTGTCGCCACACAGTCATCGATAGTGATAGATGTTTCGGCTATATTAGTAGAAACTACAATCTTCCTTTTGCGGCCGTATCTTTTGAAAACACGTTTCTGGTCCTCTGGCGTCAACGCCGAGTGCAATGGAAGAACAACGAACCTATTTGAATCATCATTATCCGATATCATACGACATGTTTTATTGATTTCTGATACACCAGGTAGAAAAATAATTATAGACCCATCATTGTGTTCTTTGCTCAGTTGTTGATCAACATAAGACGCAACTTGGCATACTAAATCGTAATTAATTTGACCACTTTTGAAAAACCTAGAATCTGCACCTGGATGCAAGAAGTTGTCTTCATTGTTATCATCTATGCCAGCATCGTCATAAAATCTGTTCCTTTCATTTTTCTTAATTTTAAAGTCCAATTGTTCAAGAATATCATCTAAAAAATAATCCTTAATTGGGAATGTTCTACCTTCAATATGAATAGTACCTAAACCAGGAAAGAATTTCTTAAACAGATCCACATTAACAGTAGCACTCATTAGAACGATCTTCATATTTTTGACTTTACCAACCAAATTTTTTAACAAGGAAACAATTAGGTCAGTGTCAATCGATCTTTCGTGAACTTCATCTATCACAACAATAGAATTATTCAGGAAAGTCTTCTCCCCTTGAAGGATTCTCACCAAAACACCTGTTGTCATAAACTTGATTCTCGTATTCCTAGAGGTTTTGTTCACCCCTCTAATTATGTAACCAACTTCATCACCACAGTCTGTACAACGTTCATCTGAAACACGTTCTGCCAAACCAATAGCTGAAATTCTTCTTGGCTGGGTACAAAGCAGAGTAGTTGTCTTTTCATTATTAATTATATTATCAAGAAGAAATTGAACTACCTGTGTGGATTTACCAGAACCGGTTTCACCTGTAATAAGTACAACATCATGATTTTCTATAAGTTCGACGATCTGCTTTTGTTTATTCCATGCAGGAAGGGAAGCCCTTACAGTTTGCATTGATTTATAACCTGCGGTTGTTATTCTATTCAAAAATTCATCTTTTAATTTCTGGATGTGTTCTGAAGATAATCCATTAGATCTACGAGCTCTATTATTCTGCGATTTCCCGTTTTTTGATGAAACTAAATCTCTTAAATTGGTCTGGGATGATTTTGCTATATCTTCTGCAGTTAACAAAGCACCAGGATTGTTTATTATGTGCTCCACATTTTCGTCTAACCATTCCATGATATTATATATCAACATATCACCTAACATACCTGATTGTTTGATATAGTTCAACAGTTGAGTCAGAATATTTTTCTTAATATAATTAGGTAATTTGATTTTCTTATCAAATGTAGACACAATAATACCCGGTAATGTATAAGGATAACCTTCAGATCTATAAATTTTGATTTTTAATTTTAACTTTTCTTCCAGGCCAATCAAAAAGCAGGAAGGATTTATAATTTCGCAACGGTCCTCATATATCGATTTCAAACTTCCTATTTCTTCAGACCATAACTCTTCCGATTCTTCTTCAGTAATGTTGAACGATTGGTTAATAACAACATTAGGATCAATATTTTGGGTAAGTAAACCAGCCGCCTTAGCTTCATTCATATTATTTTCTTGAAGAGCATATAAAGCTTCTTCATTAGAAACACCGATCTCTGTCAATTTTTCTACCATGATTCTAGTAACCAACGGTAACAAAGATATTTCTATCTTATTCCTGGAATCTTCAGTCCTCTTATGAAAGAATGGCGGTAAATCATCTTCTGGTAAGTTAAATAACAAGAATGAAAGTGGATCTGAGTAATTCATAGCCTCCAATACATGTGGTTCCCTAAATTTTAATGAAAGTAATCTGTCTTTCAATGAGGATCTTTCTGCATCTGTTATTTGAGACGACTCTGAAGGTCTCTTTCTAAGACTCCAGTCAATGTTATATTTAGTAAATTTCTCAATGAGTTGTCTGGATGATTCTTCAAGGTCGATGAAAGTTGCATTTTCCCAAACTTTCTTTGGGAAGCTAACAAGCGGTCTCTCTTGTATCTTTGGATGAATCTTCTTTTCAACCCTAGAATTCTTCTTCTTTGACGATACCAAATTAGTTGATGATATCACTACAGTTTCTACTTCTGTCTTCTCAGCTTGGTTTTGTTTTGCATTTCTTTCCTTCTCTCTCTGTTTTTCCAACTTCCTATCCTCTAGTATAGTAGTGAATGGGTCTGTATCAAACAATCTCTCTCCACGTTTAGGATTACTTTTAATAAGCTCTTTTCTATAATCATCCAATGCGTACCATACAGTTTTATGATTTGGTGGAAGCATCATTTGCATGTTTGTATTATAAGCAATACGACACAAAGCAACAGTTGCGGCAATATGTCTAGCTTCAGCGGGTGTCTCCTGGGGTATCATTACACCTTTGTTATTAGTTTTATCATAAGTAGGATCATTCATACGAACAGTGAGAACTTCCTTAGTTTTTGGATCAGTATACGCTAACACTGCAATGGCTAGCATTCCTTTGTCACCGATCTTCTTCATGTCATAATCAACCTTGTTCCATTTTCTTTTTTGACAGAACTCATGAAGTAAAGTGTGAGGCAATTTGCCTGTCCAACTAGCTGTAGAGGTAACTTTTGCTCTATGAGCCTGTTGTTTAGCCTTCTTTGCTTCTTTTGAATCGGGTTCAGGTTCAATTACATCCTTCTTTCCCTTTTTACCTTTCTTGCCGTTCGACATGGTCTCCGCTGCGACAGGAGTACTACTTTTCTTATTCTTCTTTGCCATTCTGGAAATAACTTAGGTGACGTATTTCTAGTTAACACAAGGTTAAATGCTTAGTAAATTGCAAGAACCTAGATCCCAATTGAAGGTAGTCTCAATTTTCAATAAGCTTGTCACCAATTAAATTTCAAAATTATTGAAATTTTTCAAGATGACTTTATCGTGTTACTATTTACCCTACTTTCTCCATTTTTTTTCGTTTCATTAATTTTTTTTTCAACTCAGAGAAACTAGAGTATTTGTTTAATGTCTCTAAACAGGAAACAGGAAGTAGCTGTCGCAAGAAATAAAGAAAAACTGTTTTAACAGAACTCACAGATATACATATAGAGAAAAGGATATTTCTATCATAGACCATTCTCATCACATTATAAGTGTGGCAGTTTCCAAAATACTGAACAAAGTAACTCAATTATGTCAAATTCTGCTCTGTTCGCACTAAGGGAGCACCTGAAAAATAATGATAAGTTCACTCTATTAGATAAAAACAATGACACTATAGAAGATATTAATCTTGCTGATAAAGTTTCATTTGAAAAAGAAGGAGGAAACGATAAATATATTTTATCTCTAGACGAAGAAACTGAGTTTTCTATTGAGGGAAAACCGGTTGTTTTGAAAGTTATACTACATTGTTGGATACATAAGGACTCTAATGCTGCAGATTATTTAGCGGATTGCCAAAAATTGCACTTAACAAATATTTCTTTCTTACAGAGAAATGACTTAATGAATTGGTTGACTGGTCAATCTGAAACTTCACAATATATTGTAACATCCAGAGATCAAGGTATAAAGGCTGTGGACGAGAATAATAATACAGTGGCAAGCAATAATGCTACTAATACGGTCACTACTTCCACTATTATTGGATCTACAACACAAACGACATATTCAAACGATCGCAATTCAGGTTTATCTGAATTAGAGGTTATACAAAATGAGGATCCAGTATTGTTTAAAACCATACAACACGAAAGAGTATTAGTGGACCATAACTCTAGTTTACGTGGTTCTAAACCTGTAGACTTTAGTTATTTAATTAAAGACGTTGAACTAAAATTAGTACAGTCCTTAAAAGGTTCTTCTAGTTCCAAAACTGGTAAAAATAAGGGTCACGTATCAAAGAATAATGGTCCTTCAAAGAGTGTTTTACGTAAAGATCCAATCATATTAATTCCATCTGCGACCTCCTCTATTCTGACTCTGTCCAATATTAAGGAGTTCTTGGAACATTCGAAGTACATTAATCCAAGAGATATTACTATTACAACTGATAATGATTTAGTTACTGTAGAAAAGAAATTTGAAAAGATAAGTAGGCCAATTAGATTTTTAATTGTTAATAATACTAGAATGTTTACAAAACCTGAATATTGGGATAGAGTAGTAGCTGTATTCACTACAGGACATACATGGCAGTTTTCCAATTATCAATGGAATACTGCTCAGGATCTATTCCAACATTGTAACGGTTATTATTTCCACTTCAATGGAGATGAAGTTCCACAGCATGTTCAACAATGGAACGTCCAAAGAATTGCATTAGACAAGCATCAACGTTTCAAGGATGTTGAGGTTGTTCGTTTCTTTTGGTCCAATTTAGAAAAATCTTTGATAGCAAAGGGCTACCATTAAGTACTTTATGTATGTCGGAGTATGAATGAGAAATAATAAAAAGACAAAATAAGATTAGTCAATCTTCTATTGTATTATTAAAAGAGAAAGGAGATGAGGATAACATATCTATATTATTCATTAAATGTCGTATATATGCAGTTACCAGTATTTATTTTTATAGTAATATATACCAGTCAATTGTTCATCAATAACCAAGGAACCATCATTGACAGAATATTGAAGAATTTCTGTCAGTACACCAGTAGTCCAATTAGATTTTCCATCATTATTTGAGGTCAGACGTTGATTTATCTTCAAAATGTCTGATCCCGGTTCTTGTGTAACAAGATTTACAATCTGTGCCGCTACATAATTGAGAGAGTTTTGACTACAGACACAAAGAATTCTGCTGTTAATCTTCATTAATTTTAAGTCTTGCAAGCCTAATTTTTCGAACCTTTCACAAGCTTCTCTCATTTCTTCTGGGGAAATAAATCCTGTTCCTATTCTCATCGCTTTGTTATACATTGCGTATAGATCCACCAAAGTGATCATTATATTATTGGTTTCGTTGTCTCTTGATTCAGCAATTGCGTACTCATAGATATCTCTAGATATTTCATCCAAAAACAAATCTTTATTCAAAAATTTATCTCTGTCGATTATCAATGAAGGATGTTGTGTATTCGTAGATGATGTGTCTTCGATATTACTACCCTTGTAGAGTCTTTCAATATTATGTGCAAGAGAGATTAATTTATTCATATCAGATAATGCACTATTAAATAAAATATCATTATTTGCTAATTGATTCTCTCTTGAACGTTCTAACCCGCTTATCCCTACAGAATTAAACTTATCTTTAAGTATTTCAAGGTTATCATTGGAATTAAAACTTTCTTGGAATTTCTTGATTTCATCATCATTCACTGCAACACCATTAACACAAACAGCATCTTTATTGAATATATCGCTTTTCCTTAATTTATCCAACATAGCCTCTAAAGATTGAGCAAATAAAGTCCCATCAGATTTCCTAAAACTCAATTGTACGTATTCATTCTTAGATACACCACTGACACGATGTTGTCGGTGGTTGCGTTGTTTCAATTTTGCCAGGTTTACCTGTGAATGAACCAATCTAGTACCGCAAAGTTCACAATTAGTCAACCTAGGATGATTTATAAAAGTGCACGAGGGGCATTCATTTGATTTGGATTCCTTTTTGACACTCCTAATTGCCAAAGAGTCTACTATATTGGTGAACTCAGCAGGTATACCACAGTTCGTACAAATCAAACTATTATGTGTGCCCTCTGTGATTTCCCCCTTCGTTTCATTAACATATGCACAAATGGGACATTTCCATGAAGATTTAATATCCTTATCTGTATTTTCTTTTTGATCAGAATCAACGATCAAGGTGGAAGATTCCTTTAAGAATATAATAATTCGTGCAGATCTCTTTAAGAAACTTGAAGAATAATCAATTGATTTAATATTATCTAGTTCTAGAAATACTGAATTATCAACAGGTTGTTGATCGCCGACGTATATTACTCTTTGCGACGTTAAAAACACTCTACCATTCTGTTTATCAGTGACTCTATGTTTTCCATCGTATAACCCAACGGAATAATCTATAAATATATCCTTCTCATTCTCTCTTAGAATTGGTCTCCCTGATGCAGTGATTTCTAGATGATGCCAGCATTCCATTACTGTGAGGTATGGACTGATACTGTAATGTTATCTAGTTGAAATATATAAAACAATAAGACCCAAGTGAACGTTTCAAATAACTATCTATAAAATGTTTTATTATAGATCACTTTATTGTTGTTAAGAATTCGTCAGTGTTTGGCCTACTTTTTTCATATTTTTTTTTTTTTCGCTATGAAGGATAGGATATGGATATATTTGTATGTATTTCCAAAGACTCTACAGATACAAACTCTGCTACTTCCAAAGACTAAATCAACTCTCAAAACGAAGATATACATATACTGATAATGTTCTAATATCTACAAAATACAAATCTGTACATCCCATAGGACATTATGCAATCTATAAACTTTTATACCAAATTTGCCCCATCACAAGGTCGGCTTATATATATATTTATGCGAAGGAGCACATAGCCCACAAACTATTCTTCTGAACACCTCAACCACATACTCTTAACTCCAATGGTCTTCAACTATCACCCATCGACATATATATATAGTATAACCCTCACCCTTATCCTTCCACCTACCAAGCCTTCCCATTATTAAATAATCATTTTCACCAATTTATTACGTTACCAGCTTTCCTTGTAGAAAATGACCCGATAGGGACATCCGAGAAAAGACGAAAAATGAAAATATGCAGAAAGCGGGAGAACGCACTGCCACGCTGATTTCACTCGAAGAAACAAGAAGAGGAAAGTGGGACAATAATTGAATAAGCAGCTGAAATATTTTTGAAATGTTTTTGACCTTTGACAGCTCAGCCATCAAAGTTTCCGACCTCATTCGGGGCATCCATCGCTGATTTCCTGGAGATCATATCTCCGTCTCTCAGTAGAAGACAGTATATAAAAATAGAATGGGCTCAGGGACAGGAGATATCGAGTCACATTTCGGTGAGTCTCTTCACATACCTACAAATACAAATATATATATACATATATAAATAGTGATACTTCTACAAATATCAATATTTCTTGAAATATCATATTTTTAGAATTACTGACAGACAATCCAAAAATATAACAACAGATATTTTTTACCCATAAATAGTATCAAAATCATCACAAAAATTTCACGATGTCTAACGTATTTACGCTCTTTTGCACAATGTTCTTCTCATTTGCAGCTTTAATATTGGCCTGTGTCGCATGTGCAGGCTCCACAAAAAATTATACGCCTATTAATCTAATATATGTTGCTCAAATAAATTTATCAAAGATGGATTTGACAAAAGTGATACCAGATATAAGTTCTAGTTTGGAATTATCCTCTGTGTTACCTTCTTATTTTAATATTGGTCTATGGTCATATTGTATAGAGAACTCTGCTAAGAAAGTCACAAGTTGTACATCTCCTGATGGGATCGAGAAATTTAATTTGAAATCTTTACTGTATGATAATATTCAAGATAATAATGTATTATCATTGATTGATTCGGTAGCGTCTTTGATTCTGCCCGATAAATTGGAAAAAGATATGACTTATTACAACGATATGGCTAAATGTATGTTTATTACCATTATAATAGGGATATGTCTATCGTTTGTTTCTTTAGTGTTTTCTTTCTGTAGAAGTGTATTCCATTTGCGTTTAATAACATTTTTTGGTGGGTTTATCGCTTTTCTAGCATTTCTTTCTTTGTTGATTAGTGTCGGTACTAGTATGGCAACTTATATCTATATCAGACATATCCTTTCTGATAACTACGGTGATTATGGGATATCCTTAACTCTGGGGAAAAGTTATCTAGGTGTCTTATGGGGTGCAGTCGTTGCTGCTTTCTTTAATTTCTTCTGTTGGTGCTTCGTTAGAGCAACTCCAAGGGTAATGTACGTTCAACCTCCAATGATGGAAAAGAGAGAAATGTTATGATCGTTGAGCCAAATGCCCATTTATAAATTATCACTATTATTATTATTATTATTCTTTTTTCTTATACACATATATTATTATGATTCGTTAATATATACTTTTGGTTTTTTTTTGAATATTATTCATTAAAATGATACAAATATACACGCTTATTTATAGGTTATTATAATTGTTTTTACCCAAATTGAGCGCTCATGCTACTTATTATTATGATTATCTATAGAGGTACTTCGACCTTTGTTATTCTTATTTTTTAACTTCTTCAATAGTACCTTGAACCAAGTTTTCCTTGATGATTTGAGACTCGGCTTCACTACTACTAGTGGAACCTAAGTTCATCTCTTCATCCTTTTTGGTAACACGGTCCTTCTTATAGAAATCATACCAACCATACATTGCCATGAACATCATTAAGACAGAAAGTGCAAACCCACACCATGTCATACCCATGTTTGGCCCGTTGGCCTTGACAATAACATTGTATTTATCCTGGGCAGTACCGGATTTAATAATATTGATAATAGCAGTGACGACAGTGGTACCCAGACCAGTGAAGGCACAATAGGCCATTGTAATGAAAGTGAAACTGAACCATCTCCAATGGGTGGTCAGACATTGAGTTACGTAGATGTAAGCGATGGCAATCATTAGGAAGAAACCACTGACAAAGGATAAGATATCCATGGATAAAGCAGCTTTGACAGTTGGAACATATTGACCTTGTCTACCCATTAACTTACCACCTAGATGTAAATCATCAGCTTGAATGTTTAAAGCTGATAAGTATGGAGCAAAATCGGAATCCATTAGGACTTCAAAGATGATTGCTCTGAAATCGAAGTTTTGAACAGCATGAGACTTGGAACATGTTAGAACTTCACCTTTTAGATTAGCTTTACATAGAGTAAAGATAGCTAATCTTAACTTGACTGGAATATTCAAATATTCCAAAATTTGTGGTAAAGTATCAAACATTTGTTTATCGGTTGGAGAAATAGAAGAAGCAGCCAATGTCAAGACGCCTAGAAGAGGAGTCAATAGAGCAGGTTCCGAAGTACCCAAGGCAGTGATATTGACAAGGGCTTCGAAGGAGGCAGCTGGATTAGTGGAGGCTTCCATGTATTCAAACAAGTAAGGGATATATTGAGTCATATCTGTACTGTTGCTTAAAGTCTTCTCCATTGCGTCGATGATAGTGATGGTATCGGTGGAGTTATTAGAAGCAGATAATACAGTTTGCAATTGTTTCAATTCGTCAGTGGCAGAAGTCAACATAGTCAAGGAAGAAGCACCCAATGAGACAGTGGACATTGAGGACATCACTGTCTTAATGACGGTAGTCAATAGCGTTGGATCTTCAGCCTCCTGTAGAATGATTTGTATATCATTAACGACTTGTTTAGCAACAGTAGATGAAGTCAAGTTCTTAGTTACAATAGTTTCCAATAGGGATAGTGTCTTAGTGACGTTTGAGGAGCTAGTGAACAAGGAATCCAATGCTGTTAAAGATGATGACATACTCTTAGGGACCAAAGCGGACAAGGACGCCAAGGATTCGGTGATGTTAGTGGCTTTAGCCAACGTTGTATTCAACACAGAGAACAATTCAGTGGCCATAGTCTCTGGAATAGTTACATTCATTAATGATGAGACGGCGCCGAAAGTTTCTGTCAAATTGTTTGAGTATTGAACCAATCGTAAAGCTGGTGTCAAAGTCAACAAGTCAGAGATGTTGATGCTTGTAATATCCAGTAGAGCCTCAGTAGTAGCCGATGCATTCTTTGATGTCTCTAGGACTTGGAAGACCATAGATTGTAGTAAAGCTTGAGTAGTACTGGTGTTTGTAGAGGCCGATTGAGAAGAGACTAAAGCAGCCAAACCAGAGACTGTCTGGTTAGTATTTTTTGATTCCTTCAATAGTTCATTAATGCTATTCAAAGCGTCAGTGGAGGACGATCCACTACCTGATAATAAAGCCAAAGGAGCCAATTTTTGCACGGCTTGTAAAGTGATTGTAGTATTAGTCGATTCACCAATCATTGTTAAGAATGGCAACAAAGCATCAGAATGCGAGATGTTTTTCATAGTGGCGAAGATTGTTTCCGTTTGGTTTGGATAAGTGATCAAGATCCCACCCAATAACGAGGCTAAGGAACTGACTTGTGGAATAACCTTTGTGACATTAATATGTGATATATCTGCTTGTCCGATATATATATTAGTTAAAGGTTTATAATTTGAAGATGAGCCTGCCATCGATATGATGATGAAAAGGAAACATGCGAATGTGAATAGGAATGAACATCCCATAAACAGTTTACTAGTTTGCATTATTATAATAATAAAATGGTTATAGTATTTTTTTTTTGGTATTGGTGTTGTTGTTATTTACAGCCAAATAACCAAAAAATAAATAAATAATTTAAATGAAAGAGAGAATATTGAAAAAAAAAAATTCTAATAGTTCATGTGTATATATATATAAAGTAAGGAAAGAAGAAAACTTCTTTAAATATTTCAGTTTCTAGTGTCAGATTACGAAGTATACCATGCAGTATAAGAACATAAAATTCGAGAAATAATGAAAAATATATACATATGGATATGGATATAACGTATAAGGTACCAACAAATAATAATAGCAGAAGAAGTAAATCAACTGAAGAAGGAAAAGAATATATCAAACTTATTCAACAAATTACATCAGCAATGTTGGATTCAAGTAAGAAGAAGAAGGGAAAAAATCGTATCTGCACATTAGTGCATGAAAAGAGAAAAAGAATGAGATGAAATCTTTACTTCAAGAAAAGTGACAATATTCACCGAAAAGGGCAAATAGCCCAAGAGTACTGATTTAAGAATGAACGAATTGAATCTTTAAAATGGTTGTTGAAAATTGTTCCAAAAGAGATATACCGTATATTATATAATTCGTACAGATTACAATGGGATGAGAAAGATGTAGGTGGAAAATATTAGCGACAGAATAAAATGATCGACGGGTCCCCAAATTGGAAGAACTAAAGGAAGAAAAACAAAAAGTTTGTAACTGTCTTTTCTTATTTTCGCTAGCCAAAAGCAACTGAATTGAACTGAACCGGTACGACGGTGCAGATAGCGAAACCCAAAGCGGGCAGAACTCAAAGCGATGAAAAAAAATTGTTTTTTTTATTTCGCCACACTCAATAACAGTGAACGACCCGCGGAAAGCGATGAAAAATGTGAATCCTTGCTTCCTCACTCTTTAAAATAAGAAAAGAATATACGGTTTCTCGCAATGAATTGCTGTATCCCTAGGGGTACATCACAGGGGATGAAATAAAATGAAAAATGAAAATAAAATTAAAATATTCCGAATGAAAATATATTTGTGTGTTATTATATGGCTGACTGCACGAAAGTATACTGAGCTTTGTTTTGCAATCTCAACAAAATATCTGAAATAATCCCGGTTGACATTTTCTGTTTTCATTTAACTGCTCACGTTCTTTAGAACTGACTGCTTTTCTTACTTCATTCGCCAACTTCCTCGTTCAAGAAGAGCAACTGAAGCTTTTTTTTTGTTGAGAAATTTTGAAATTATCTTTTTATAGAGCGAGAGAAATTAAGAGGGAACGGAGTGATCATTTGACACGGACGGCGTATGGAAAATCTTCAAAACTCAACTATTTGTATTATTAAACTTTTCGCATGTTGAGAAGGAAGACTTGCAATAGACGATATAATGTTGTGTGTGCGGTTAAATTATAATTCCTTGATATTGATTGGTGGTTGCTCTTTGTATTAAAAAAATTCAACAGATTTTTGCTGACATTTCTTACTAGCTAACAGATTGTATATATATTATATATCCCCGTCTATTATTATGTATGACTTTGGTGTTTCTTGCCCCTTGCATAATGCAATAGCTTCAAACAACTGTCAGTAAATAATAATCTTTGGTTGGGCTTCACACTTATTTTCTCAACAGAATTTCTCTCTATAGTATGACATTTTGCCCTATCCATTCTTGCTTTATATATTTCGATATATCGAGTAATTGGATCATAATGAGGTCATTATCTCATCTCCGCATAGTTATTAGTGGGAAAGGAACTTTGTTGAGGACTCTATCTACATATATATTTTACGCGTTTTGTGTCTTTAATTGGCATCTTGAAATAAAATACTGCTGATATCGTATCTTGCTATGTATGTACGGCTGTTCTGACAGTTCACAACATTATTATGTTTTATCATATATATAAAGAGTTCAAGATATTCTGCTGATTTACAATTTATTGGTTCCTGTAACGTATGCTATCGTTTGTTGAATAATACAATGTTCTTTCTGCTAGTTATTATTAGACACATACAGCCTCGTGTCCAGTGATATCCCTACCGACGACAACAACGAACATTTGAATCCAAATATTCAAAATTGGTTTTTTGCCTTCGTAAAATTCAACCAAAATAATAAAAAACTATAGCGAACTTGGTTGCCTTTCTTAATTCTCGTCTTTAACCTTTCCCATTGATTCATGTGATACCAAAGAGGTGGCTTATAATTTTTCACTCTGTGTGTGTGTGTGTGCATGTGAAAAATTATTTTCATTTTTCTTCGTGCTGTCAAAATAAATAATTGTTGGCTGTTCTCTCACAGAACAGAGGCGAGAGAGAAATTTTTCAGTGCGTTTTGCAAAGAATATTGCCGGTTCTTCAAAACTCAGGCTCTCTTAAACGCGTAAACAGCTGCTATTATTATTTTATTACCCTGTGGTTCCATATTCTTTAGTATTGTAATGCTGCTCTGCTGGAGGTGGCCATGTGAAAGTTTTTTTCTTTCAAGCCGGTAACCTCTCTCTTTTGGCTTGCTGTCAAAATACTAATAGCTAATATGTTGCTAACATAGAGGCATTATTAACCTGTTTTGCTTCATAGCCTAGTAATTCCTAAACTTGAACCTGTTTTGCTTCTCTTGAAACTGAAAGATTGTACCTTCGCTAATATATATCTTGATCATTGTTCACTATTACAACATCATTTTGTAAAATCTATTGAAGTCATATTGCCTGTATTATATATATATATATATATACAAACACACAAACACACTTTAAAACTTGTTGTGTTCTCTGTTTTGCCTCTTTACCATTGACCTTCTGAAAAAGAAATTTAGTCGAAGATTAATCTGTCAATTCATTGAAGAAGAAAGAAAAGAACTCAACATTTAATAAAAGAACAATATATCTATTTATATTCAATTTATATATACTGGATTATAAAGTGATATTGCAAAGACCGAATTATATATATACATTGATACAAACTTTTTTGTGTTTGTCCTTTTAATCTTTCTTTTATTATTTTGCTGGTTTAGTATTGTTATTACTACTACTATTATTATTGCTACCAACTATTAAATATATTCACAACAACAACAACAACAACAACAATAAAATATGACTAACGAACCAACAAGAACTTTGATTCTAAGACACGGTTCCATTGAATACGTCCTGTCTGTCCCTGCTTCGTCCTTCTTTGCTGCTTCTCAATTGAAGGACCAATTCAAGAAAATTTTACCAATTGCTACAGAAGGTTTTGCCGATGATGATGAACCTGCATCCGCTGCTGAATTGTTAGGAAAATTCTTAGCTTATATTGCTTCTTTGGCAGATATCGAATCACAATTTCAAGATGTCTTAAAGAGTACAATCAATGAATTTAATATCAATTTCTTAAATGGGAATGATATACATGTACTTGCTACAGATTTATTAAAAGATACAGATAAATTCCCAACTACTGTATTGAAAGTAAAACAATTGATTAAAAATTATATTTTGGCTAGATCGGTTGCAAAATTACCATTCGATAAGAAATCGTCAGCTGCTTTATTCGATAATAAACAAAAAGATTTGAAATTGGTAGCCATCTTTGGTGGTCAAGGGAACACCGATGACTACTTCCAAGAATTAGTAGAATTATACGATACTTATCGTCCTTTGGTAGATGATATAGTACAGTTTGCTGCTACTACTTTAAATGATCTTGTAAAAACTACAGAGGGGGCTAAAAAATTATATACTCAGGATTTCGATCTAATGCAATGGTTAACAGATCCTTCAAAGATACCAGATACAGACTATTTGCTTTCAATCCCAATTTCTTGTCCTTTGATCACTGTAATTCAATTGTCTCATTATGCATTGACTGCAAGATTGTTAGGTTTCACTCCAGGGGAATTGAGATCTCATCTATGTGGTTCAACAGGTCATTCTCAAGGTTTGGCTATTGCCCTAGCGATCGCCGAGGCTGACTCCTGGGACGATTTCTTTGACGTCATGAAGAAGAGTATCTCCTTGATGTTCTTCATCGGGGTCCGTTGTTTCCAAACTTATCCAAATACATCTGTCCCACCTACAATTGTCGAAGACTCAAAGGAACATGGTGAGGGTAATCCATCTCCGATGTTATCAATCACTAACTTGACTCAAGATATGGTTCAAGATTATGTCGATAAGACTAATTCTCATTTACCAGAAGGCAAACATATCTATATCTCTTTGATTAATGGTGTGAGAAACTTTGTGGTTTCAGGTCCTCCACAATCTTTATACGGGTTGAATTTGGCTTTAAGAGCCGCTAAGGCTACCGCTGGGGTCGAACAAGCTAGAATCCCATACAGTGAAAGAAAATTAAAGATTTCAAATAGATTCTTGCCTGTTGCAGCTCCTTTCCATTGTAAATTGATGGTCCCAGCTCATGGTATGGTTGTTAAGGATCTAAAGACCAGTGGATTGAATTATAACTCCAAGGACATTAAGATTGCTGTCTATGATACTTACAGTGGTACTGATTTAAGAGATTGTACTGAAAACACTACAGAGAGAATCGTTGATTGTATCATTAGATTGCCTGTCATGTGGGTTACTTCCACTAAATTTGATGCTACTCACATCCTGGATTTCGGTCCAGGTGGTGCTTCTGGTCTTGGTATATTGACTCATCGTAACAAAGAAGGTACTGGTGTTCGTATTATCATTGCAGGTGCCCTGGGTATCGATGCTAATGATGATTATGGGTTCAAACAAGAATTGTTCGATACTACTGCTAATGGTTTGAAGAGAAATTTAAATTGGTTAAAAGAATTCCATCCTACATTGATTAAAAATAAGAATGGGAAAATCTTTGTTAACACTAAATTCTCTAAATTGTTAGGTAGAGCTCCTCTTTTGGTCCCAGGTATGACTCCAACCACTGTTTCTCCAGATTTTGTTGCCGCTACTATCAATGCAGGTTATCAAATCGAATTAGCAGGTGGGGGTTATTTTTCTCCAGATGGTATGACAAAGGCAATGGATGATATCATTTCACAAATTAAACCAGGTTCTAGTATATCCATTAATTTAATCTATGTTAACCCAAGAATGTTACAATGGGGTATTCCATTAATTAGAGAATTAAGAGCAAAGGGTTATCCAATCCAAGGTTTAACTATTGGTGCAGGTGTTCCATCCTTAGAGGTTGCTTCAGAATATATTGAGACTCTTGGTCTAACTCATTTGGGTTTGAAACCTGGTTCCATCGATGCTATTAACCAAGTCATCACTATTGCTAAGGCTCATCCAAATTTCCCAATTGTCTTACAATGGACTGGTGGTAGAGGTGGTGGTCATCATTCTTTCGAGGATTTCCATGCTCCAATTTTACAAATGTACTCAAAGATTAGAAAACAATCCAATATTGTCCTAATAGCTGGTTCTGGTTTTGGTTCTTCTGAAGATACATATCCATACTTAACTGGTGAATGGTCTCGTGGATTCCACTATCCACCAATGCCTTTCGATGGTTTCCTATTCGGTTCCAAGGTCATGATTGCAAAGGAAGCCAAGACTTCTCCAGCTGCTAAGCAAGCTATTGTGGACTGTACTGGTGTCCCAGATTCTCAATGGGAAAACACTTATAAGAAACCAACTGGTGGTATTATTACTGTCCGTTCAGAGATGGGTGAACCAATTCATAAACTTGCCACAAGATGTGTTATGTTCTGGAAGGAATTAGATGACACGATTTTCAACTTGCCAAAGGCTAAGTTACAACCAACCTTAGATGCTAAGAAAGATTACATTATCCAAAAATTGAATGCTGATACTCAAAAACCATGGTTTGCTACTATCAATGGTGAAATTCGTGATTTGACCTCTATTACATATAAGGAAGTTGCAGAAAGGTTAGTTGAATTAATGTACATCAAGTCTAGAAAATCTTGGATAGATATTACTCTAAGAAACTTTATGGGTGATTACTTACGTCGTGTTGAGGAACGTTTCTCTACTGTAAAGACTACATCTTTGATTCAATCTTACTCTATTCTAGAAGAACCTGAAAAGGCTGTTGATATTATTTTCAGTGCATTCCCGGAAGCTACTCAACAATACATGGATGCTCAAGATGTTGATTACTTCTTAAATATGTGTCAAAACCCTATTCAAAAACCGGTTCCATTCGTTCCAGTTCTTGATCACAGATTAGAATTTTTCTTTAAGAAGGATTCTCTATGGCAATCCGAACATTTGGAAGACGTTGTTGGTGGTGATGTCCAAAGAACCTGTATTTTACATGGTCCTGTTGCTGCTCAATTCACTAACAAAATGGATGAACCAATCAAGAATATTATGGATGGTATCCATGACGGTCATATCAAACACTTATTAGCCGATTATTATAACAATGATCAATCATCTATCCCAGTTATTGAATATTTCGGTGGTGAAGATCCAACTATTGCCCCATCTGCATCGAAGGATGTCACGTACAAGGTCGCTGCTAATACCGATAATGATTCTTGGTTTAAGTCTTTAGCAGGTCCAAAGAAGAACTGGAGAAACGCTTTCTTTTCTGCTCCAATCTATGTTCAAAACTCTGAATACACTCAAAATGCTGCTAAGAAGGTATTTGAACCTATTCCAAATATGGAGGTCAATATTTCTAACGCTGATGACGCTTCAAAATCCGTTATTACATTATCTGAACTAGTTCAAGGTGAACAAAAAATAACTGCAATTTTGAAATTAGTTAAAGAAGATTTGATCCAAATGGAATTAATTGAAAACAGAACCATGGATGGTGAACCAGTCGCTTTACAACTATTATACAATTATAATTCAGATGATGGTTTTGCTCCAATTTCTGAAATTATGACAGGTCGTAACGAACGTATCAAGAAGATGTACTGGAAACTATGGATTGATGAACCATTTGATTTGAAGTTCAACCCAAGAGATGTCATTAAGGGTACTGATTTTACCATCACTGCAGAAGATATAACTGATTTCACTCGCGCTATTGGTAACACATGTGAAGATTTCGTCCCAAGACCTGGTAGAAAGGTTCAAGCTCCAATGGATTTTGCTATTGTTGTTGGCTGGAGAGCTATTATTAAAGCTATTTTCCCAGAAACCGTTGATGGTGATTTATTGAAGTTAGTCCATTTATCTAATGGTTACAGAATGATTCCAGGTGCTTCTTTGCTACAAGAAGGTGACTTGATCTCCACAACTGCGGTAATTAAGTCAGTCGTTAACCAACCAACCGGTAAGGTTGTCGAAGTTATTGGTACATTAAGCAGAGAAGGTAAACCTGTTATGGAAGTTACTTCCTCCTTCTTCTACAGAGGTAACTATTCCGATTTTGAAAACACATTCCAAAAGGTTACGGATCCAGTTTACGAAATGCATATCAAATCTCCAAAGGACATAGCTGTTCTTCGTTCAAAGGAATGGTTCCAATTGGATGATGAAGACCGTGATCTACTTGGTCAAACTTTAACTTTTGAAACTGAAACCCAAGTTACTTTCAAGAACGCTGATGTTTTCGCTTCTGTTGAATGTGTTGGTCCAATTAAGATGGAATTACCAACCAAAGAAATGATTGAAATTGGTGTTGTGGACTACCAAGCTGGTGAATCTTATGGTAACCCAGTCGTGGATTTCTTGAAAAGAAACGCTTCCACTCTAGAAAGAAAGATCAACCTAGAAAATACAATTCCAATTGCTACCGTTGAATCTCAATCACCAATCTCTAATGAACCTTATGGTAAGATTTCTGGTGATTTGAACCCAATCCATGTATCCCGTCACTTTGCTAAGTATGCAGATCTTCCCGGTACAATCACACATGGTATGTACTCTTCTGCCGCTATTCGTGCTCAGATTGAAAACTGGGCTGCAGACAGTGTCGCGTCCAGAGTTCGTGGTTACGAATGCCAATTTACTAGTATGGTTCTACCAAATACTCCTTTGAAAACTACAATTCAACATGTCGGTATGATTAATGGTCGTAAATTGATTAACTTTGAAACAAAGAATGACCAAGATGTTGTTGTTTTGACTGGTGAAGCTGAAGTTGAACAGCCTATCTCCACATTTGTATTCACCGGTCAAGGTTCCCAAGAACAAGGTATGGGTATGGACTTATATAACACGTCTGAGGTTGCTAAGAACGTCTGGGATAGAGCTGATGCTTACTTCAAAGATACTTATGGTTTCTCTATTTTAGAGATCGTTCAAAAGAATCCAAAGGAACTAACTATCTACTTTGGCGGTGAAAAGGGTAGAAAAATAAGAGCTAACTATATTAAGATGGTCTTCGAAACTATTGTTGATGGTGAAGCTAAATCAGAAAAGATTTTCAAAGAAATTACTGAGGATACCAACTCATACACATTTAATTCACCAAGTGGTTTATTATCTGCTACTCAATTTACTCAACCTGCTTTGACCCTAATGGAAAAGGCTGCTTTTGAAGATTTGAAATCAAAGGGTTTAATCCCAGCTGGTGCCGCTTTTGCTGGTCACTCCTTGGGTGAATATGCTGCTCTAGCTTCCTTAGCTGATGTTATGTCTATTGAATCTTTGGTTGAAGTTGTTTTCTACAGAGGTATGACAATGCAAGTCGCTGTTCCAAGAGATGCACAAGGCAGATCCAATTATGGTATGATTGCTATCAACCCAGGTAGAGTTTCTGGTACATTCACTCAAGATGCCTTGCAATTTGTTGTTGAAAAGGTTGCTACTAGAACTCAATGGTTATTGGAAATTGTCAACTACAACGTTGAAAACCAACAATATGTTGCTGCTGGTGATTTGAGAGCTTTGGATACATTGACTAATACCTTGAATTTCATTAAGGTGCAAAATATTGATATTATCAAACTACAAGAAACAATGTCTCTAGAGGATGTTGAGGCTCATTTGTTCGAAATTGTTGATGAAATTTCCAAGAAGTCTATTGCTAAGCCTCAACCAATTGAACTAGAAAGAGGATTTGCTTGTATTCCACTACGTGGTATATCAGTTCCATTCCACTCTTCTTATCTAAAAAACGGTGTTAAGCCATTTAAGAATTTCATGAAGGGTTGTATTCTAAAGGAAAATGTCAAGGCTGATAGATTGATCGGTAAGTATATTCCAAACTTGACTGCTAAACCATTTGAAATTACTAAGGAATACTTCCAAAACGTTTATGACCTAACCGGTTCCGAAAAGATCAAGCAGGTCCTGGACAACTGGGAACAATACGAAGAATAGTTCCTTTAAAAAATCTAACATAATTTTGATAGATTATTTGTATATTAATTTTTAATTAGTTCATTTTGTTTAATAAATATTAAAGTAAGTCGTTAATTATTTGTATAAAGTTTATTATATAATATGCATTGCCAAATCGGAAAACGAATTGACCCAGGGCTGATCCCTTAATAGTTTTCCTTCATCGAACGTAGACGTAATCGTACATTGGGTGAATACTGATTCAATACTATCATAATCAATGATTTTTTCCACAAATTTATATTTCGATTTTTGTTTCCTTTTTCTTTTCGGTACAAATGCTGTGAAGCCATCGATTGATGAGGAATTGATTATTTCTTGTTTCTGTGATATTTCAGATTTAGATTCTACCAAGTATACAAGCTTACTTAATAATGGATATTTTTCATTTAATTCACCTTTCGTATATCTATCTGTATGCTGGATAATGTTATTGGCCAGAAATAATTTAGGTTTTTCTTCATTCAGAATTTGTTCGGTTAAACCTAATGGTGCGTGTGGTAGGAAGAATAACGTTGAATTTGGGTTAAAGGTCTCTTTATCAACCTCCTCTTTTACTTCCCATTCAGGATGACATTTGTCTAAATATCCTAAATCAGAATCATTGAATACCGGATCGTAAATGGATACCTTAGGACTAATTTTATCATTCAGTAAATAGTCGATGAGTTCTAGTAGCAAAGCTAGTTGATACTTAGCAGGAAACTCCTGGGTAAACGACCCAATCGCTAGGCATCGTATGTTGCATATTTTATCCTTGTGTTGAGATAATATTTCCTTTAAATTTGAAAACATTTCTGATTCATGTATGATTACTCTATAGGATTGTAAAACCTCATCAAGAGGTCGTATTTTTTTAGCTGCTTTTTGTTGTTTACTCATTATTATCTATATATTTTGCTCTGGAATATACAGGTAGCAATATATATGCTTGGAAATGGTCACTTCTAGTACTACAATTTGACGTTTTGAAATGATGCTGCTGGGTCGTCAGTTCAAATAGTCATCGAATTTATATTTTTTTTTCATTCTGTATTACTCGGCTATCGTCAGAAAATGAAATAATTACGAACAGTTAGGTATAAACGTGGTATATTGTGTATATTAATAAAGTTAGTTACTTGTGAGGTGTATAATAAGAATATTTTACTTAATTTTAGAATTTAGTTCCTTTACTCTAATTTATCATCAATAGAGGTAGATGAAATGTTTGGGGTAGTACTAGTTGGAATTGGTGAAACAGAGAGAGATGAATTCCCCGACTCTAAGTCGTTGGTAACATTGACATCTTTCCCAACTTTAGAGTTTCTTCTTCGTTGAAAACTTAAATTTGGACTAGTGATATTCACAGGTGTGAATTTTTGTGGCATATTGACTCTTCCGAATTTATTTCTTAGTTTTTGTTGAACATAATCTATGTCCAGATGCTTAGTTAGGGATAACTTAGGAATACAACTGATGTAATGTCTTTCATCTAATTGGACATCCAATGGGTCCTGGGTATGGCAACCTGGAGACATTTTTAATCTAATAGAGTGAGACTTCGCTCCACTGCTATCACTACTTTCGTATAATTCAAAGTTGATTTGTGATAGGTAATCAAATTCTGGCAATGCATTTCTTGCAATTCTCATTGGGATGCCAGATTCATATACAATATTTAGAAGAGTGTAAATGTGTGATTCCTTTGTAAAATATGCGACACAAGCCGGTTTATCCTTATTTTTCATGTTGTCAATGTCATTTAAGATTTGCTTTGCCAATGGTAAAGAGGTTAAAAGGCCAATGTCTAATTTTTCGCTATCTTTAATACCATATTCCTTTGGACATATAAAATCGAATAGTACTTTAGCCAGCTTGTATAATTCTCTTAATTGGATGTATTTTGAGTCATCAAATGTGGATGCATTATCTCTTTTTGGTCTTTTTTCACTCTCCAGAACCCACCCAAGAGAGCCTACACTTGTCTTATTGTTAGTAGTACTGTGGCTATCCACTATTTTAAAATTGTTCTTTGCTAAAACATTTATTGGGTAACGATCCACAAGTGAATGGTCAATAACTTCCTGATCAATTTCATCTTGTGATTCAATGGGGTCGAAAATTTTGGCTAAAAATTTCCTATTGTGTAAGGCATCGTACTTCATAGTATCATATAATTCGGATATTTTAGAAGGGTCGACTTTCTCAACACTTGTAAATTCCTTAAATAATTTCTCCCATCTTTCCTTGAATAAACTAGGATCTTCATTACAACACCATCTAGATTGGAATTTGTCTACATCCTTATTTTTAAAATTGCAATCCATAATTTTTTTGTGATAATTCATTAACTCAACAACTCTTTTTATAACCAAATATGGTTCTGGCATCTTAGCTGGCCATGCAAATTGTGATGGCGCTTCCTTACCTTCTCTTAAAAGTGGTTTTAACTTCTTCTTCACCTTATCCATTAAGTCCTTGGCTGCATTACTATCATCTAGCAAATCTTTCCTAATACTAATTTCATCGCTTCCTAACTTGTCAGCACCAAATAATGCCATTGTCCAGTACTGTGCAGAGAGCAAAACTCTCCTCTCCGACGAAGAGAAAATTTTGATATCATCTAAAATACTTTTGTTAAGTAAGTCAAAATCTTGTCTAACTTGTTCCCCTAGTTCTGTAGCCTGGTACTTAGCAGAGTGCGTTGGTTCACCACCCCATTTTAGGATAAATTGGACTTTCTCTACTTCATTTTCTTTATTTAATACGGGCTTCAACTGAATCTTCGTCCCAGGTAGTTCCATCTTTTTCTCTAACGCATTTGCTAACACTTTAAGCTTAGCAGGGTCTCCAGCTTTTTGTTCCCTTGCTATTTTTAATGCTTGCAACACGATCTTCAAATCAGAGACGTGACGGATTACAACTTCTTCCTTATGACCCTTTAGTAAGGAAATAAATATTGGCGACGTAAAGGAATGTTTAAACTTTTGTTTAGGTGTTCTATCTGCATGACGAATAACGGTTACTAGACCTTTGAAAACCCATTTTTGACTTTTTTCCTCCCTAATCAATGGCAGAGTTCTCTTTTCTACATCGAGTTTCTTTTTAGCTTGTAAGAATGTTTCTCTTAATATCTTTGAACATGAATCGTAATAAGTTGGATTATCCTTGACAAACGAAAACCCATTTACATCAATAACGTAACTCTTTCCAGAGACTCGTAATAAATCAAACCCACATATCATTTGGGAAAATGCCTTGGACACATGTCTCGCCATATCTTTTTCTTCTGTAGTTAGCTCAGTTATATATCTGACTTCTTTGCCATGAGTGTTTCTTCTAACAATACCATCCACAACTGGTGATTTTCTTGTTTCAGCGTGACAGAATTTCTCCCCTACGGTATAAGCTTTAACATCCTCAAAGTTATCTGTATCCATAAATTCTTCGTAGATATAGGAACCCTCAGTTCTTGGATTTATTAAGGTCGGATCAAATTCAGAAGATTTATTCCCTACTTTACGAAACAACCTTCTACCACCACCACCATTTTTGGAATGGTAATAAATGTAGATATTGTGGTCTTCACCATCCACTGGTTTCTCAACAAATGGTTTTTTCATTACCTTGCCATTAACTTCTAGAGTATCTTCGTCACTCATTCTCCATACAGGTTCAGGAGTAAGAGAAACGACCACACCTCGTTCCAACAATTTTGCTTTTAATTCTTCATCCGCATGTGGACCCCCATCTCTGGTAATTTCTAATCTTGGTGGAGTTGGAACATGGTTTGCTTCAAGAATCTGTAAACATAAACGTCTGTCCCACAGCGCTTTTTGCATCACTAAATCATTAATGAAATATGGTTTTCTCAACTTCACATAATTAATTGCTTTATCTAATGGAAACCCAGATGAAAAGAATGAGATTAGGAAATCACATGTTGGCCAATTTTCTATAGTTTCATCTAAGATAACTTTATCACCGAATATAATAGTTTCAAATTCTCCATGTTCAATAAGACGGTTCAGAATATGGCGCATTGGTTTGGATAATACTTTGGCGTCCATGGCACAAATACCAATCTTACCAATCTTTGGTAGTACTGGTTTTAGTTGACTCGTTGAAGATTTCCTAGAAGAGGCAGTAGAGCTAGGTGCTGATGAAGGGATTGCTTGTGGTTCAACCGAAAGATGGGAAGTTGAAGCAGATATAATAGATTCATTAGTGTCTACTAAAGGAGTAGAATTTTCATGCGTACAGTTGTCATAAGGGTTATTAACAAAAAGAGGTTCAACAGAATGGGTTTGCTTGTCATCGTTCTTTGCAGGTTCATTTAAACATGTTGCATCAAATGTATGAGTCTTCGGACTTATCAGATCAGGTTCTATTGTGTTACAAGGTTTTGCTTCAACATCAATTGGAATGCCATTGTCTAAATCGAACTCGTCAATGGAATCAGATCTAGATGTACCCGTTGGAGGAAGTTTATATGATTTGTTCTCACTGATAGAAGTCTTTGGATTGAACCCTTCTAAAATTGGCGCCATCGATTCCATAGCCTTCTGTTTACTCTCCTCAGTAAATGGGTGATCATCTTCTTCATGATGGTCTAAAGACGCTAGGCTCAAGTTACTACGATGCATCGTCAAGTGTAACTTTCAAGTTAGACGATTAAAGATGAGGGTCAAGTAACTATTGATGGTTAGATTCAGGATGTCTTGATATACAACACTTATTCTGCTTTCTTAATAATGTATACGCTTCTTAATTTGTATTGAACTGTTTGACCAAATTTTATCTCTCAAAGTTTGAAACCCTTTCAATGAACCGGTAAAGTGTTTCAAATGTTACTCACTGTAAAGTAAAAACGTGCACGCCATTCTTTAATTACTCTGATCATTATTATCTATTGTCTATATTTTTTTTGTTGATGTGAGGGTAATGCTCACGGAACTTCTTTCAAAGTGAAAAATTTTTGAGATGAGATGAGATTGCACTTTAAGAGCAGGGAAGCCGGTTAAAGAGAAGCGAAGTAACTAAGAACATATATTATTCGTAAAGTTATCATTTGAACAAATCATTAAGGAATAAGAGTACTACAAAATGAATAACGAAGTTGCTAAGAAGAGAAAGCTAGAGCTTGTCTCCTCTGGTAGTGGTTATGCCTCGAGAATATTTGCTCCTTTCAGGATCGTAGGTAATGTCAGCAACGGAACTCCATATGCTATTGGGACCCTAGGTTCAACTTTCTATATTGTCACAAGTGTTGGTAAGTCATTTCAGATATATGATGCAAACAATTTACATCTTCTGTTCGTTTCTGAGAAGGAAACAGAATCCAATATTGTAGCACTTGCGACTCATTACCATTATGTGTTTGCATCTTATGATAATAAGATTGGTGTGTATAAACGTGGTATTCAAGAGCATTGTATTGAGTTGGACTCACCAAATGCTGTAATCAGACATATTTGCAACTTTGGTGACTATTTATGTGTGTCCACCGATGAGAATATTGTTTATATTTACAAGAAATCAAGCCCAAAAGAAAAGTATGCTACCAAATTTTATACTAAATTACAAATTACGAAATTACAAGGTGGGGATATTGTATCTATTATTCATTTACCAACTTATTTAAATAAATTGGTAGTTGTTACCAAGTCAAATGTGATTCTATATAACATACGTTCCGGTAAACTAATTTTCACTTCTGATGAATTCCCAGATCAAATTACTACCTGCGAGCAAGCTCCGGCCTTAGATATCATTGCACTTGGTACTGTAACTGGTGATATTATCATGTACAATCTGAGAAAGGGGAAGAAAATCCGTACTATCAAAGTTCCACAATTAAGAATTTCGTCTATTTCTTTCAGAACTGACGGTTCTTCCCATATATGTATTGGTGGTACTAATGGTGATTTAGTATTTTATGATCTAGAACGTAGATCTCGTATTCATGTATTGAAAGGTGTGCATGGTGAATCAATGGGAGGTGTTACTAAAGCTTCTTTCCTAAATGGTCAAGCTATTGTCGTTACATCAGGTGGTGACAATTCTTTGAAGGAATATGTTTTCGATCCATCATTATCTCAAGGTCCCGAAGAAGAAAACGTTGTTCAACCACCAAGGTTTTTAAGATCGAGAGGTGGGCATTCACAACCGCCATCTCGTATCTTATTTGCAGACGATGAATCACATTTCCTTCTTTCTGCATCAAGAGATAGATCACTATGGGGTTTCTCCTTGAGAAAAGATGCCCAATCCCAAGAGCTATCTCAAAGATTGCACAAGAAAAATGACGGTAACAGGGTAGGTGGTAGTACTATCAAGGGCAAGTTCGAAGAGATTGTGTCTATGGCAATTGAAAATACTAGATTAGGTGAATGGGAAAATGTCATTACTGCTCATAAGAATGAAAAGTTTGCTCGTACCTGGGATATGCGTAATAAGAGAGTTGGTAGATGGACATTCAAGACTACAGATGATGGGTTTGTTAAATCCGTCGCACTATCTCAATGTGGTAATTTTGGTTTTGTTGGTTCATCCAATGGTGACATCACTGTTTATAATATGCAGAGTGGTATTATCCGTAAGAAATATCGTTTACACAAGAATGCTGCTGTCACTGGTATTGAACTTGATGGTATGAACCGTAAGATGGTATCATGTGGTTTAGATGGTCTTATTGGGTTTTATGATTTTAACAAATCTACATTATTAGGCAAACTGCAATTGGATGCACCAATCACCAGAATGGTTTATCATCGTTCATCGGATTTATTTGCTGTAGCACTAGATGATTTCTCAATTGTAGTCGTTGATTCGGTCACACAAAGGGTTGTACGTCAATTGTGGGGTCATAATAATAGAATTACTGCTTTTGATTTTTCACCAGATGGTCGTTGGATTGTATCGGCATCCTTAGACTCTACCATGAGAACATGGGATTTACCTACGGGAGGTTGTATAGACGGTGTGAAACTTGACAGCATTATCACAGATTTGAAATTTTCGTCTAATGGTGATATGTTAGCAACAACTCATGTTACCGGAAATGGTATCTGTATGTGGACAAATAGAGCACAATTCAAGGCCATCTCAACAAGAATGGTTGACGAAGAAGAGTTCCAAAAGATTCAATTACCAAATGCATCTGTCTCTGGTAATAGTTCTGTTCTAACAGGTGCGTTGACCAATGAAAGAGATATTGATGATGATCAAAATTTCAGTACATACAAATCGTTAGAACAAATCGACAAGGAACTAATAACGTTATCTATTGGACCAAGAAATAAGATGAATATGTTACGTAATTTGGATATTATCAAACAACGTTCAAAGCCAGCTGAAGCCCCTAAGAAACCAGAACAAGCACCATTTTTCTTACAATTGAAGGGTGCTGGAGTTGGTGATGATGCGTCTGGTAGAGAAGGTATCGCATATGAGACACCTGAACAAATCCTTGCAAATGAATCTGAGGTTCAAAAGCAAACAGATGCTATTGATGAGGTTACGAAATTCAAACCAACAGGTCGCGTTGGATTTGAATCAAAATTCACTAGATTATTAAGAGAAGGTGGTGCCTCTGGCGACTATGGTTTGTTCCTTGAATATTTATTATCTTTATCAGTTGGTGGTATTGATTTAGAGATTAGGTCACTGAATTCATTTGAACCGTTTGATGAAATCTCTTGGTTCATTAGTGCAGTTACGACAGGTTTAGAAAGTAACAAGAATTCTGAAATGTACGACGCATTTATGAATGTATTATTCAAAGTACATGGTGACGTTATTCATATGAATGCCAAGGATGAGAAAATTAAAGAAGCCTTGGCCAATTGGGAAATAGCGCATGAACCTAAGGAAAGACTAGATGATATTATAAAATTCTGTTCCAGTGTCATAAATTTCGTATCTACTACATAGATTGTATAATTTCATTATGTGTATGATTTAACAAATAATATAATTTTTTTTTCTTGAAATTATTTGTTTACTTACAAATGGTTAAAAATGGCATTTGTGATAAACAGTTCTATTACCTTTTTTAAAGAAATTCAAATAAAAATATTAGAAGTAAATTCCCTTTTATTTAAAGAGTACAGTGGAAATAACAAAACAAGACAGTCTTCATATGCACATCGACCATATCATTTCAAAGGAAGAAAATACAATAAAAGGAGCAAAAGTGGGATGTCTAATAATAAATACAACGATTTGGATCAACTGGTGAAAAAAATTATCCATTCTACAAACTCAAGTGAACTATCCAAAACGATACAGGAGATTGAGTCTAATAAGGAATATATTACAGAAGTACAACTGAAAAAACTTAAAAAAATGCACGATACATCGTTCAGATTAAAATGTGTAACACCTACACAGGAGTTATATGATAAATATTTGAAACGGATGGAAAAAGATGGAAATCTTCAAAATAGAGCTGCTGAAATTGATCGAGATTTACGTATCATCGAAACTGCTTTGGATATAATCAAAGAAAAATAATGAACCTAATGAAAGATAATGGGAAGAACATTTTTTTTAAAGATAAAACTGAGTGTCTTTTTATTAATTTATATAACTCCTAATTGTAAGAGTATGCAATTATGTAATGATAACATATAGGTATAGAAATAACGGAACCTCAACGAAAGAAAAAAAAGATAAATAATGTGTTGAAAGAAAAGGTATTATTAATGATGAGAATGAATTTTTAATGGTAGAGTTTTCATAATTTGATGATATGAATATGCTTGTGCTAAAAACTTACGAATGCTTAATAAGAATAAGTCGTCGAAGTTTGGTTTATCTATGCAATACCATTAGCTGCTCTTTCCCATTTTTTAGTTTCAGTCCAGCCCGAATTAATGACCTTTAATGCATCTTGAAGATTTAATGGTTCCCTTAGTGGTTTATCTTCTATTACCAATTTTTTATATATTCTATCGTAATATTCGGATGGAATTTGTTGAAACTCTTCTCTTCTTTCATCAATATCTTCCTTTGTGACGTCAGTGGTTCTCTTTTGCCATAGATCTCTTCTATATTTCCATATTTCAATGGCATCCACAAACGGTTCACCTTTTTCACTTCTTAATAATCGACAAGCTTGAACATCATCATAATTATCGAAAGTTTCATCTTCTTCATCTTCATTATCATCAGAATTCATTTCTTCGTCAATATCTTTCACCTGCGTTGCATTACTTGCACTCACCGATGTTGCATTTTCTGTGCTTCTTTCGTCTGTCAATTTCATCTCTAATTGAGAACTAGTGACAGGGTTACATTGAGATAATGATGCGCCACTATCTCTCTCATTTAATATTTTGTTAAATTTGACTACGTTGGCGTCCTTCTTATTCCTACGGAACATAGCATCAATCTGTTCATCAGATGAATATGTCTCCAATTCATCCAATGTATTATGTGTAATGGATTTAAAGATATCTTTCCATTTGTTCATAAGTGCCGATACCGATTGTTTAAAACTGGATTTATTTTTATCGTCGTCCCCGCCAACATTATTACTGTGTTTTTTCTTTAAATGGAAGTTAAGACTTCTGAGACTTGATTTTTTGTCTAACGTATGAGCCATAGCGATGAATATTAATGATATAATGAATATTATAGCTAGTGTACGATATATTTGATAATTAGAATATTGAAAATTGGACAGGATGACAGTTGTACTAAGATAATGCCTTTTATTTTTTTATTTTTACTTTCGTTCGTGTCACTCTGATTGAAGAAGGAGAATAATAAATAATCCACTATTTGAAAATGAATTATAACTTTTATTATTGTACTGTTATAATTAACCAAATTCCTCTGTTTGACTAAAAACTAATCAGACTATTTTTTAATGATTATGCAAAATAAACAAATGGAAATTTATAAAGACTATGCAAAAATACAAATTTAATAATGGAAATGGCTATAAATGTGTGTATGTAAAATATTCTTTCTTATACGTATATTAATGCTAATACATATACGCACTCATAAGTATATTAATATAGATATATCTTATTCTTATTCCACTTGGCAAATCTGAAACTCCTTTAGTTTGTTGTATCTTCTTTCCAATAGTTTATTATATATAGTATTTACCTTGAAATTGAAACTGAAAAAAAAAAAAAAATGATATTCTCATTTGCGGGATACGCATAAAATGCATATAGACACTTAGAGATATATAGATAGATAAATATAAATATAAACAATACGCAGTTTTCTTTTCTTTTTTAGTAACAAATGTTCGTAGTAAAACTCTGTGACCCGGATTTCGTGAATGTAAACAGTAAACAACAACAACAACGACTATGATTGTAAACAAAAAACAAGGTTTATTGTTCGGGGTTGTATACTTCTGTGTGGGGTTATTGATGGGTATATGTTTCCGAATTTGACAAAGAATTTCAACAGTTTGGTACTAGTTGAGCAACTTAGAGAAAATACAGGTTCATGATCTGTGACTATCAATATCCGCTGGTACCTAACGGCATACTGCTTATGAACCAATAGTAAGTGCTGTGTATATATATTTATTTATATATGTATAAGGCTGTTGTCTTCAAGTAGCTACCATCTCTCAATACGACCCTTGTGTCTTAGTATCAAGACTGTATTCCGATGGGCTTAAAAGAAGACGTTGTTTCTGTTGCCGGTGATAACTTCCTTAATCCCGGCAGTTTTGACTACGAGGACTGGGAACTGAGGACTGTTTTTAAACCCATGCATCCATAAGAATTGTTTTCTGGAAACCCGTACACCCAAATGATCGTATCTTCTGCTTTATTTTTTAATATTTCTCTCTGTTTTTTTTAATTCTCAGAATTCTCGCATCCGGTTTAGTCGGACCCAGATATTTATTGCTGCTCAGCCAAGCAGACCTCTTCTGACAAAGCCCCGTCTAACTTCTACTCAAACAGTTTCAACTTTACGCTTAACCCTTCTGCAGATCTGTCTGAATTTAGGCTGATACGCTCTTCCCAATCTATCTTGCTTCCTCTTCATATCTTGCATTCCTTCGTAGTTCTTTTTTCACGAAATATGACTGGCAATTCGCTCAGCTAGGAAGTTCACCTAAGTTTTCACTAATTTCAACCCATCAGCAGCATCAACTAGGAACTAACCGTTTTAGTCCCTTGGAGAGAGACCTTTACTCAAACTCTCCTACTGTCGTTTCTTGGCTACATAGCACAATACCCAATAACTATCATCACATAATGATAATCATATATCTATCAATTATATCTATATATAAACCTTTAATTCTTGAACCTATCTTATTATACAACTTATTATTGCAACCAGGACACTACTACACAAAAACATATATACAAAAATGGCTGGTCTAAAGGACGTTGTTACTCGTGAATACACCATTAACATGCACAAGAGAGTATGTCAAAACACACATATAATTGAAATTTTATTATTTTTAATATGAAAATTAATTTACTAACAAACTAATATTATTTGAAACATGATGTTATTCGATTGGTTATACTGAAACCATCTAATTTTTACTATATGTTTCCATCTTTTTATTTTTTAATATAGTTGCATGGTGTCTCCTTCAAGAAGAGAGCCCCAAAGGCTGTCAAGGAAATCAAGAAGTTTGCTAAGCTACACATGGGTACCGAAGATGTCCGTCTAGCTCCAGAATTGAACCAAGCTGTCTGGAAGAGAGGTATTAAGGGTGTTGAATACAGACTAAGATTAAGAATCTCCAGAAGAAGAAATGAAGAAGAAAACGCTAAGAACCCATTATTCTCTTACGTCGAACCAGTTCTAGTTGCCACTGCTAAGGGTCTACAAACTACTGTTGTTGAAGAAGAAGCTTAATTTTAATGAAAAAATACAAAATAAAGAAAAATCATTAAAAATATCATACATCTTTTTTTTATATCTATAATTTATCCATCTAAAAAAAGCACAACAACATCTCATTCCAAACTTACAACTTTCTCATTCATTCATAACCAATAAATATACGGTATACTAAGTATAATGGAAAATATAATATAATTAATTTTAAATTAAAATAGAGAAAAAATAAAATAAAATAAAAATTTAGTCATTTTGTTCAATATTAAATAATCTAGTTATTATATATTTTTGTATATTGATTCAACCTAAGAATCCTCAAAGCACTCTTTAGCATAGTTAGGGGACATAAGTTTGACCTTAAGATTGAATATGCACGTCATCATTTTTATTGATAGATAATATTTATACTTCTACATAAGGTATTTCTACTCTTTCTCCAAACTCTTTATCATCTGGCCTCCTCATATCGAATACAGAGTCCAGCCAATCGAGTAATTCAAACATATTTTTTGTCATCATCAATGTCTTCATATGATTCTTATTCACCTTCATATTCTCAAACATACAAAATATATGATGCTGAACCAATTGGAAAGGTAGACCACCAAATTCAATACAATAATGAACAAACTTTTCCACACAACCCCATGGGCAAATATCAAATCCAGCAAACAAAGCAGGATTACTCAATACACCTCGTGCTGACATCACACCATCTGCTCCAGTATATTCTGCGATATGTTCCATATCTTTTACAGTGAAACAATCTCCATTAGCAACAATAGGAACATCATATTCTTTCAACCCATCCACAATGTATTTAATTGCATCTAAATCAACAGGTTCGGAGGATCGAGTAGTCCTCAATCTACCATGGACAGTAATCCAATCTACTCCAACTTCACACAATTGTTTACACATCCTCAATGTCCTTTCAGGTGTCCTCTTTTCATGAATTCGTATCTTGGTTTCTAATCTAAGTGTGTCGCCATATTTTTCCTTGACAGCTTTAACCATCTCTACTAGTAACTCTTCGTTATATATCAAGGCACAGCCTATACCTTCTCGTAATTGTTCTTTAATGGGGCATCCACAGTTGATACCAACACCATCTACATAGGGTGCGGCCATCTCAATAAATCTTAATAAGTCGGTTACATTATTGACGCCTACCTGTATGATCGTTGGAGCATCTGTCTCATTAGTGGAAAAATCTGATCTACGTGCTTGTGCGTTACGAACAAACTCTCTAGCTAGCATCATTGGTGTATAAACAATATCGATATTATAATCACGACACGTTTGTCTAAATGGTAACTTGGAGTATCGAACCATTGGACCAGCAATAGTGGCTGGTCTTCCATGTGTATGTTTTCTTGATTTTATAATTTGCAAAGGATCATTTCGATTAGGTTTTGGAGGTAGTACTTCTATTACCCTTGCAAGCATGTTACTAGTAATATCTATTAAAGTAGTTAAACAATCAAATGTTGAGAAATTAATAATATGTATAGGGTGGCCAAAGTTCAAATTTTTATTCTTAAGTGATGCTCATCACTAATATTTTTATTATTTTACTTTTCGTTTTTCATTTTTTTTTTAAATTTTCTATCATGCCTTTTTCCCTTCAGTAGTACGTCTTTTCGGTTTCTTACTATCACGATTACTATTATCTGCAGCAAGTTTTTGGTTTGTGATATAAAAGGCCATTGCTGCTGTTATCATCATTAAGGAGGAGATCGTTAAATGAAATACAACGGTTCCGATAACATAGGTGGTCAAATGATAACGCAACATCAGATTCCTTATACCTTGGTTGAAGTTTATACGGAAGTTTAATTGTGATTCAATGTTCATCAACATGGAATACCTCTCCTTATCAGCAAAACCATGGTTAAACGAATCTGTTAGATCTCTCTGTATGGATCCATAATTAAATCTTATGGCTAAACCCTTGATATTTGAGTCTGTTGAGAAATCACTAATATCGTCAAGTATAATTTCGTTTAACCATTCTGTTTTGTACTGTTTTATCCTTGAACCTTTCAATTGACGACCATCTGGCAGTGTAATCGAATCTTTTGTAGTCAAACATACAATAGGTACATATTTAGAATATAATAGTACATACTCACCGGAAACAATATAGCCATACACTGACACAGTAGTATCTTGTATATTATGGCGCGGAGTTTTAGTGTCATCAATCAGACAATAGAATTTAAATATAGCGTCTATTCTATAATCAATATGTTCCCTCAATGGGATGTGTTGAACCAAACCATTCTGTTTCACTGTAGGTAAATCTGTATGGGCAGGAACCTTATCTAATTCCTGGTAATAATGGAAATGGCTTTCACCATTCTGAGTCAGGTTAAAAGCAGATAGAGGAACTAACTGTGATGAATCAGATGGAATTAAGTATCTGTAGAAATCGTTAAATAACATAAAGGCTAATGGGAGTACGATCACGAATTGGACAACAAATATGGCAAATACGTAGGATGACCATTGAATAATTTGGAATGGTCGAGATACATTAATCTTCATGATTCAAGGTATATGTGATAGTATACGATATAATAAAAAGCGATATGGTTCTATACCTTCTGTTGCTCAATTAAATTAACGTATATTAAGATATGGTTTGTTATACTCCCTTGTTTCAAATAAATACAGTTTAACGCGCTTAACAATCAAAATTTATTTACGACCTCTTTAATTTTTGTTGTAATAGCGTTAACTTATTAATAATTTCATGTAAAATGAATTAAATACGTATAGACGTAAATAAAAAAATACATAAAACTTACAAAACCAATAACATTATCTCCTAATATCCAAAAGGAGGTAATCAATAATATAATAATACCCTGAGAAACAAAAGATTGTAAATCTTTTTAAAAATATGAATTTAGTAATTAGGAAAATACGATTCTATCATCATTTTTTTATATCCCAATTACTAAATCATTGGTGAAAATAATGATAATAACAATGACGATGTATTGCGCTACCCGATATTTGTTATTTCTTTCTCTAATGCGTCGAATGACCTCTATGATATTTTAACCCGTTTAGATTCTTGTAACGTTTACCACACACTTCACAACGGTATGGTTTATCTTTTTCGTAGCCCATACCTTCTGGATATGGTTCATTTGAATCTGGATCTAAGATGCTGAATGTACCATCTGGATTTTCATGCAATTTTTGATTTTGATGACCATGGATTCTGTGATATTTCAAACCATTTTGATTCTTATAAGTTTTCTCGCAACCAATGACAGGACATTTAAATGGTTTATGTTCTTCATGATCCATTACGTATAATCTTCTAGCTGGATCATCGATATATCCTTGCTTATTAGGCTTATTGATGGAGAAGTTTCTATTCATATTTTGATTGTTGATCAAATTTTGATTACCTCTACCATTACCTTGGGACTGTAACGACAATAACATACCAGGATCCTTAAAATCTCCAAATATTCCATTTTGTGGAACGTTTGTCATATTATTAAAATTTATATCGAGATGACTACTCTGAATGTTTGTGTTACCATTAATATTGCCATTCAATGGGGATGTATGTGTTGTAGAATGATTATTATTGCCTGTATTGGTAGTACCAGACATCAAATCGTCGTCATCATCGTCATCGTCGTCATCGTCGTCGTCATCATCTTCATCATCATCGTCATCATCGTCATCCATATCATTACCATGTTGGTTAGACTGTTGTTGATTGTTGATGAAATTTTGCCTCGAATTTTGCACATATGAACTGACAGATAATGGATCATTAGCATGCAATCCCATTCTTGTTAAGAGATCATCATCCATGAAATTCAAGTCGACTGAATTGTTATGAGAGTTAGTAGTAGTGTAATGACTTGTAGCATTATTGATAATCGTCGCAGTATTATTGTTTTTACCATCCGTGACATTAAAAGTAAAATCCGGATTAATCTTATTCCTATTATTGTTATTATTATTATTATTGTTATTTGTGCTACTACCATTATTCCCGTTCTTGTTGTTCGATGACAAGAATACTTCATTGGTAGATACGCTGCTATTCATATTGCCATTGATAAACAATTGAGAATCTGTTGTAGGCTGTTTCATAGCCGTTGACTGATTAGTGACATTTGCCGTTGAAGCCATAGAGGTCTTGTTATTCTGTGGTTTCAACTGCTGTTGTATGATATGTTTTTGTTCCATTGTAGTGTTATTGTTTTTCGGTACTTGTAATGGTACTTGAACATTATGTTGTTGAGTTTTAGTTTGAGTCATCTTCGAGCCGTGCTGTCTCTGTGTCATTGATTGTCTATGCAGTTGTGGTTGGGGCGTGGTTGCATTAGCAGTACTTGCACTTGAAGATGTTGCATTAGCGGTTGATGTTGCGGGGCTTACAGTCGACGTAGCCGAATTTTGCTGTTGTGTTTGAGATTTTCTCTTGTTGAATGCCATCGAGAACCCTTGAGCAGTTGTACCAGGGGCGATCGGTGCAGAAGGTGTTAGCATAGCACCCCCAACACCTGTACCACCAGGGTTAATATGAGCCTCCTCGTAATGTCTCAACAGATCATGTAAACCAGGCAATGAAATCCCACAACATGAATAATCCTTACAGTATTGTTCTTCGAGAGATGGCAAGTACGCAGATTGTGCGAAGATCGGTGGCGAGTTCGGTGTAAATTTCTTTACGGAACCACCAACCGATTCTCTTGATGTCGTGGCATTATTACCTGTGTTAGTCGATGTGTTATTAATAGTGGACAGGCGACGATAATCGATAGGTGCATTTGCCAGAATGTTACTATTAGATCTTGATGTGTTGTTCGAATGTTGTTTCATCGTAGCATTAAACATGACTTCATCCCTTAACCAGGACCCGATAGTCAGGGACCCCCATGAGACACCACCCATCCCTTGCGAATGAGCAATAGAATCTCTACGTAACTTTGCCATCTGTTGGGAGGCGGACGAAGCATTAATATTATTCGACGACGACGTCGTCGTCGTGTTGTTGTTGTTAGAGCCACTGTTATTGAAGGTCATGTTCATGTTGTTAATGGGTATACTCTTGTAATCGGTGTTCCCCATCGCTGGTGTTATCGTTATAGCAGGCTGTGCAGTAGTAACAGTGCTGTTACTATTATTGTTCTTATTATAAACATTTTTGGGACTGATACTTTGAGCGAGGGCGTTGTTACCCTCGGCAGAAGCAATGCCGGCGCCGACAGAGGCGGCATTTGTAGTGGTGCCAGCACTAGCGGCACTGACGTTATCCTCATCGCTATTTGTGCTGGTCGTATTAGAGTTGCCAATAGTGGAAGGATCTTTTGCATTCTCATGGCGATGAAGATGGTGGTGATCCGTGGAGGTGAACCCCGTAGGGATGGCCATTGTGGACAAATCCGTATTCATATTTTTAGCTGGGGAGGGCGGGAAGTTTATAACAATAAAGGTTATATGTCTCTCTTGTTGTAGCTTACGTAATTAGATACTAAGGACCAAAAAAGTAAAATAAAATAGTGAAATGCTTCCAAGGCAGAGGGATGTGATCTTGTTGTAAAATGTTGTAGCAATATACCGAATATATATATATGTGTGTATATATGCTTATGTGTATATCTTTGGAATAGAAGATCAACGCACCCACAGGAACTTTAAAAGACTTGGTACTAAAAATATAGGGAGAAAGAAAGGGAGAGAGAGAGAGACCTGAGTTTATCCAATGGAACTGTCTCCAAACTGTTGGTTGAATCTGTGTTAGTAAGGTTTGTTATTATACTACCAACTGTCAAAGTATAGATGTGTGTACTTCAGATATTCTATTGTTTTAAGTGATGAACTATTCGTATATGTACAGGTATGATATCGTATTATATAATACTGATTACATGTGTGTGTTGTTGTTGTGTAGAGAGAGAGAGAGGCGACGGCGAGAGACAAAGAAACTGTCCCTCGCTCATCGTCCAACGTTCCGAAGAAAACGGCTCAGCTCAGAATAGAGGCACCAACCGTTATACGCTGCTATCCGCATTCCAACCCCCTGCTGGGGTTTGAGCGGGGTGTGTGGGTGGGTCGTGTTGTACGGCGGGGTGTCACGTGAAGTTTCAAAATGGAAATTTTTCACGAATCGAACAGAGAGGGAAGTAAGTAAAAGGTTTTATTCGATGAGCATCGCATAAGCTATGCACTATTAAAGAGACATGATTATGAAGATGTAGTTAAGAAGTGTCTGGAGAAAGCAGACACAACCAAAGGGAAAGCAAATATGTCTACGGTTAAGAGAACCCTCGAGGGTACTGAAGAGGACAGCACTACCAAACGTACGGACTACCATGGGAAAGGTATTGCCCAATTGAAACCGGAGTATATTGTGATGACGTCTGCCAACGACGATGGTGATAGTAGAAGATCACGTCACGACGATGCGATGGACGAGGAGCCATCCAGTGAACGGTTGGAAGGGGTCAGTGGTAATGGGAAGCCAGGTGGCAAGAAGAACAAGAAGAAGCGGGGCCAGAACAAGAACCGTGACAATCGTCAAGTGAAGGAGCATAATGTGTTATGTCCACGGTTAATTCAAGGTGACGTTGGCAATTGTACGTTTGGAGACAAATGCCGTTTCAATCATGACATTGAGGCGTATCTGGCCGGCAAGAAAGTCGAGATTCAATCTGACTATTTCAAAGAATGTCCCGTTTATCAATCGCTTGGCAGATGCCCTATGGGCTATAAATGTAGGTTTTTATCGTCGCATATGGATAAAGACTCGAGAAAACTGTTAAGCCATGAACCAACATTGGAAGGTGTTCCATTGTATGATATCAATAAAGAATGCAATCATATTACGTACGATCAAAAAGCCGATCTAATCAAACGTAGATTCCAATTCGTCAAGAGTGAGGAAGTCCTTGAGATCATCGATGCCATGCAACAAGAGCATCGTGATCTAACCAATGACAAGTCCGAGCCTGTTGTGGATACTGCCACAGAGGGCGACAAGGACAAAGCTCCTCAAGTGGTTCAACGGGAACAAGAATTACAAGCGAAGCGTGATAAACAAAAGAAATTATACTTGGAGTACAAGGATACTCGTTATTTTGCCAGTGAGAAACGTCCGTTGGATTTCCATCATAAGAAAATCCTGTCTCCATTGACTACAGTTGGTAATTTACCATACCGTCGTCTAATGAAGAAGATGGGTTGTGATATCACATATTCCGAAATGGCATTAGCTGTACCATTAATCCAGGGACAGAACTCCGAATGGGCATTAGCTAAATGCCATACCAGCGAACGAGCAGGGTTTGGTGTTCAGTTAGCGTGCTCCAAGGCATGGCAAGCCGCCAAAGCCACCGAGGCTCTTGTTGGCAATTTATTAAACAATCCAAACAATGCAGACAATGGGATCAATGAAATCAATCTGAATGCGGGATGTCCAATCGATTTGCTATATAGACAAGGTGCAGGTAGTGCATTATTAGATAATCCAGCCCGATTAATCCGTGTATTGAACAGTATGAACTATGTCTCGCAAGAAGTTCCGATAACGGTAAAGATCCGTGCCGGTACTAAAGATGGCCACAACACTGCGGATGCCCTGGTGAAACGACTAGTGTACGAAACGGACACAGCCGCCATCACGCTGCACGGCCGTTCCAGACAACAACGTTACACGAAGCTTGCCGACTGGGAATACATTGCCAAGACGGCACAGTCCTTAAGAGACAACGAGGTCGCGTTCAACGAGAGCGAACAGGGAAAAGAAGCGCGTGATAGCCGCCAAGCCCGGATCCAGTTCGTCGGCAATGGTGACATCAACAACTACGAGGATTGGTATACTCACGTAAACAACGATTCCAATATGGATTCTGTGATGGTTGCACGTGGTGCGCTGATCAAGCCGTGGTTATTCGAGGAAATCGACGCGCAACAGCATTTGGACAAGAGTTCCACTGAGAGGTTGTCGATGTTACAAGATTATGCTCGGTACTCGATGGAACACTGGGGCACGGACGAGTACGGGATCGCGCAATGCCGTCGGTACTTCTGTGATTTCATGTCCTTTTTCCACCGTTACGTGCCGATGGGGATCTGTGAGAGATTTCCGGTGAAACTGAATGAACGACCACCAAATTGGATCGGTAGAGACGAGATGGAGACGTTGTTGGGGAGCACGAATAGCAATGATTGGATCAAATTGTCTGAAATGTTTTTCGGGCCTGCTGAAGACCATTTCATCTACACTCCAAAACACAAGAGCAACTCGTATTGAAAAAGCCGTCGGCAGTAGCCAATTTCGGTTTGCCGCCCACCCAGGTTTATGTACATATACATATATTTGCAATAAGACAAGCGCATAAAAAATACGTAAACAAAACCAGCTCATTGTTCGCAAATGAAATATGTAAAGCCTCCCCGCCCCCCGCCTCTCCAAAGGGCTACGCAGAATTAAAATAATAGTGGCATGTTTGACGGGTTACCCTCCCTCAGTGAAAAATTGCGTAGTCAAACATGTAATGTTGTCCCTCTCCCTTGTTACAGCAACAAACAAAATAAAAAACTGCGCACTTACTACGAACAACCACCCAGACACCCAGACTCGGCATCTGTACGTCACACTCTCTGCAGCGCTGCCGTCATACTCTCATTTACGTTACGTGAAATATTGAAAAATGACAACGCGCGCTGTCGTCGTCGTCGTCCACACTGAAAATGCAGAAAAAAAATAAATTTAAAAACTGACACGGACAGAGTATTTATATATAAGCAAGCTATAACCCTGAATTTATATTTTTCAAGTTCATCGGTCTGAAAAAGTATAACCCTCCCGTTCCAGTTTTATTTTCTCTGTCTCCCCTTATTTTTTCTGTTTATCACAGTAATTAAATTTATTGAGAAAGGACAACGAACGCCACAGCCCGCCAGTATATTATGACAGAAAATGCAGTTATCGCTACAGAGACACCCGTTCTCGTCCCACGTGATGAAGAACATGTGACTTCCACCACCAGTACTACTAAAGAAGAGATTACTAACACTCTTAATAATAAAGAGGATGAAGCTAAGGTCGATGAAACTAAAGTCGAAGAGACAAAAGTCAATGGAACTAATGCCGATGAAACTAAAACAGATGAAACTAAAACAGATGAAACTAAAACAGATGAGACCAAAGCCGACGAGACAAAAACAGATGATAATTCTAACGAGATTAAAAATGAACCTATTTTCCCACCTATTGAAAAACCAACAGTTCCTGCACCAAAACCTCCAATCGAACCTGATATGAATAATTTACCACAAGAACCTATTCCAATACATCAAAAGAAACACGCTTTGATGGCTGTTAAAGCTGTGAAGCGTTTAAAAGATGCAAAACCGTTCTTAAATCCGGTCGATATCGTGGCACTAAATATTCCATTTTATTATAATTATGTACCACATCCAATGGATCTATCAACAATTGAAAAAAAATTAAATGTGGACGCATACGATTCACCTGAAAAGATTATTGAAGATTTTAATTTAATGATAACTAATTCTATACGATTTAATGGACCAACTGCAATGATTTCACAAATGGCAAGAAATATTCAAGCAGCTTTTGAAAAACATATGTTAAATATGCCAGCTAAAGATGCTCCTGTAATAGTGAAAAAATTTAGAAAAAATAAAAATGATGAAGATCAACCTGTGGTAATTAGAAGAGCTCAAACTCATAATGGTAGACCAAAAAGAGAAATTCATCCACCAAAATCAAAAGATATTTATCCTTATGAAAATAAAAGACCTAAATCAAAAAAATTACAAAATGCTTTCAAATTTTGTAGTAATATCGTTAAAGAATTATCAAGTAAAAAATACGCTTCATTTAATTATCCATTTTTAGAACCTGTTGACCCTGTTTCAATGAATATCCCAACTTATTTCGATTATGTTAAAGATCCGATGGATTTAGGTACAATCGCTACTAAATTGAGTAATTGGGAATATCAAACTATCGAACAATTTGAAACTGATGTTCGTTTAGTGTTTAAGAATTGTTATGCTTTTAATCCAGATGGTACCATTGTTAATATGATGGGCCATCGTCTAGAAGAAATATTTAATAATAGATGGGCTGATAGACCAGTTTACGAAGAATCTGAATCTGAATCTGAAGCGGATGATGAAGATATAGATGTTGAACCCTCCGATGTTTCCGATTCTGATATCGATGAAACATCAATTACAAACCCTGCTATTCAATATTTAGAAGAACAATTAGCAAGAATGAAAGTAGAACTACAATTGTTAAAGAAACAAGAATTAGATAAAATTAGAAAGGATAGAAGATTAGCTAGAGGTACCAAAAAACAAAGAGGCTCTAAGAAAGGTTCCAAAAAGAGAAGAACCTCCAAATCAACAGGTGGACGTACAAAGAAAACTAAATTACAACCTGTAGTCACTTATGATATGAAACGTATCATATCTGAACATATCAATGATTTATCAGCAGATAATTTGAATAAAGTTATTAAGATCGCTATGCCAAAGAGAAATAGTGACGATGACGAGGTTGAATTGGATCTTGACACTTTGGATAACGAAAAATTGTTAACCATTTATAACTCTTTCTTCAGACATTACAACGAAACAAATGGTGACTCCAGAGTTAATGGTGTCTCAGGACATGATACTTCGTCGTTGTCTCCAGGTAGTACTTTAAACGGTAACGGTAGAAAGAGAAGAGGTAAAGCCTTGAGTCAAGCTGAACAATCTAAACAAATCGAAAAAATTAGAAACAAATTGGCATATTTGGATCATGCATCCCCATTGAGTCAAAATGCATCACCTACAAGCATGATGTACAATAAGGCACGTACAGCTTCAATGGTATCATCGTCATCTTCTTCGGATGATGAGGAAAGTGAGAGCGAAGAAGAGTAAATTCATTCAAAAACAAACCCACACAAAGAGTTATTTTATTATTATTTTATTATTATTTTATTTCTTCAACAAGCTAACAAATTACTACTGCACCATTTTTATTATTATTGTTAAAAATTTGTGAAGAAATTGAAGATATGTTATCAGGTACTAGGTGTAAAAGATTTTTTTATTTTATTTTTATTTTTTATTTTTTTGGGGAACAACAAGACATGTAATTATTAATTAAACGCCATCGTTGCTATTGAAAGAAATTAGCAATATTTGATAGACCAAAACAAACACATAAAGAAACAAACTTTCTATGTAACACTATTATGTATAAAAAATCAAAAAACAAAGAAACAAGCAAATAAAGTGAATTGTGTGTTCTCAAGTATTATTTAAATAAATATATAGTCTTTTAGTTAATTAATTTTCCAAAATTTTTAAAAATTGAAAAATGAATTATTATTCTGATCACAATGCTTCGCCTTCACTGAAAAAAAATAATTGTTATTTGCCAGTAGCCTCCCCATTAACTATATAACAACGTTAATTAGTTACACATTCTATTGCATGAGCACGATAAAGATCCAGTCCTAACCATAAGGACAGACTTCCGAAAAAACATAAACAATCGTAATTGCGTACTTAATGTCGTCTCTTAACCTCTCTGAGGATTCATTGAAGGAACTTTATTCAAGCCTAAAGGATATTGCAAGTGGTGATGAAGTGCATTTGTTCGAGGATAAAATTACTACGTTTAAGGCCAACTCTGGAAACACATCAATTGAAGAGGTCAATGATAATGTTAGACAAAGATTCTTAAAACCATCAAATGTGCTGGGGTGGGATCTATTAGATGTGATTCAAAAAGTCCCAAAACATGATGCATTGAATTATGCTGAAAACAAAAATAATGATAAATATAATTATTACGATTTTGTTCAAATGCCTCAACCAATTAGTAAGACATCATATGTATTCAAGAGAAAAGGTATTTCAGGAAACATCGTTTCCCATAAGGAGGAGGTATCGTTAAAGGAAGTTTCAAAAGCTAATGCATCCAACTCTCTGTCGTTAACTAGAAGCATCGATTACCATAGTAATACCATTAGAGGTACTACAGCTCAATTGCCATTTACACCAGGTGGTATCACAATGAAATCGGACGCTGTGTCTGATAGCCGTTCTTCTGTAATAGCAACCGCCACAAAATTACTCCATAAGGACGATCAAGGTTTATTCGATATTCCACCAGGTTTTGTAAAAGGTATTCAACCTAGAACTGATGAAAATTCGACAAATGGTGAAGAAGTTGAAGATATCAAACAATTAAATGAAATTGATAATGAGGTTGAGGTTGAAAGAGAAATTAATGAAATTAATGCTGAATCAAGTCAAGATGTTCAATCACAAGTAACATCTATCATATCTCAAAAAAGTAAAGATGCGCATGATAATACAGATAATGCAGAAATCGATGAATTATTACCAATGGATATCAATTTTGGGAGATCTATAACAAAATCGAAGGACCTACTGAAGAGAAAAGAATGGGCCCATGTTGTTGATTTGAACCATAAGATTGAAAATTTCGACGAATTGATTCCAAATCCTGCAAGGACATGGCCTTTCGAATTAGACACATTTCAAAAGGAAGCCGTTTATCACCTAGAACAAGGTGACTCGGTGTTTGTAGCAGCACATACATCTGCAGGTAAGACAGTGGTGGCAGAATATGCTATCGCTATGGCAAAAAGGAATATGACAAAAACAATTTATACTTCTCCTATTAAAGCTTTATCTAATCAAAAATTTAGAGATTTCAAGGAAACATTTGAAGACATTGATGTTGGTTTGATCACTGGTGATGTCCAGATTAACCCAGAGGCTAATTGTTTAATTATGACGACAGAAATTTTAAGATCTATGTTATACAGAGGTGCAGATCTGATTAGAGATGTCGAATTTGTTGTTTTCGATGAAGTCCACTATGTTAATGATCAAGATCGTGGTGTGGTCTGGGAAGAAGTTATTATTATGCTTCCACAACATGTTAAGTTCATATTGTTATCTGCTACAGTCCCAAATACTTATGAATTTGCTAATTGGATTGGTAGAACCAAACAAAAGAATATTTACGTTATTTCAACACCACAGAGGCCAGTTCCATTGGAAATTAACATTTGGGCCAAAGGTAAATTATTACCTGTGATTACTCCAGGTAGAGAATTCGTAGAGTCAAACTTTAAGGAACATAAATCACTTCTTTCCGGAGACGATTCTAAGAACTCATCCTCGAAGACTGGTGAGTCTAAAGGAGGAGTTCAACGTGGTGGTGGCAGAGGTGGTCAACGAGGTGGCAGAGGTGGTCAACGAGGTGGTAGGGGTGGTCAACGTGGCGGTCAGCATGGCGGTAGAGGTGGTGGCGGTGGTTCACGCGGTGCAGGTGCTGTGGGATCTAATAAGCGTCAATTCTTTAGAAGAGCTGGCCCTAATAAGAAAACTTGGCCTCAGCTTGTAGATTTCTTGCGTTCAAAGGATTTATTGCCAATGGTGGCTTTTGTTTTCAGTAAGAAACGTTGCGAGGAATATGCAGATTGGCTTGATGGGGTTAATTTTAGTAATAATAAGGATAAATCTCAAATTCATATGTTCGTTGAAAAATCTATTACAAGATTAAAAAAGGATGATAGAGAATTACCTCAAATCTTAAAAATAAGATCATTGTTGGAAAGAGGTATTGCTGTCCATCATGGTGGTTTATTGCCTATTGTTAAAGACTTAATTGAAATTCTTTTTGCAAAGGGGTTTATAAAGGTATTATTCGCTACTGAGACGTTTGCTATGGGTCTAAACTTACCTACAAGAACAGTTGTATTCAGTGAAATCCAAAAACATGATGGAAACGGGTTAAGAGATTTGACTCCAGGCGAATTCACTCAAATGGCTGGTAGAGCAGGTCGTAGAGGGTTAGATAAAACAGGTACTGTTATTATTATGGCGTATGAACCTTTTAGTTCACTATCATTCAAGGAAATTACACTAGGGGTACCAACCAAATTGGAGTCACAATTTAGATTAACTTATAATATGATCTTGAATTTATTAAGAATAGAGGCTCTGAAGGTGGAAGAAATGATCAAGTATTCCTTCAGTGAAAATACGAACCAAACTTCCAAACCTGAACATGAGAAGATAATCAGGGAATTGCAAGGCCAATTAGAGAGTGTTAAGGAATATGACTGTGATTGTTGTGGAAATGATCTTGACCAATTCTTAGACGCCAGTAATAGGTATAGGGAAAAAACCAATTTAATGATGGAGGAAATATCAAAATCAAATTCAGTTCATAGAATTTTAAAAGAAGGTAGATTAATTGTTTTCCGTGATCAAAATAATGATCTTAGATTAGGTTTCATTGTAAGAAATAGTATTAATCAAGGTGTGGCTGTCGTTATGGTGTTTACAGAACCGAATAAACTAACAGATGGAGAAACTAACCATCTTATTTATCTTCCTGATTTTATTGACTATACAAAGACTGCTATTGGTAGTTTTAGAGAGGTTCCATATTTCATGGACAAAATTCCATACACATCTATTGAATTGATCACTGCATATAATCTGAAGGTACCTTTTGCTAGTATAATAAAGCAAGAGCCTGAGGTCATTGAGAAATTTAAATTTGAAATGAAAATTATTTTAAAACTCTCAGACAGATTCAAAGAAACAAGTTATGGTATGAAAGGTAGTTTGAAGGCTCATCAATATATTCAGGAGAGGGAAAACATCAGAAAGGAGCTAATATCATTTAAGAGTGCGATTTGTCCAAAGTTAGCTCTACACTTTATTCCAAAATACAAGAAATATCAGATCGAGAAAAATATAAACCATTTGAAGCATTTAATGTCTGACGAGAATTTAAATTTGTTGCCTAACTACGAACACAGATTGGATGTTTTACAATCTGCTGGTTTCATTGATCCTAATCACAACGTTCTGTTGAAAGGTAGAGTAGCATGTGAAATCAATTCTGGTTACGAATTGGTATTAACTGAACTGATCTTGGATAATTTCTTGGGTGATTTCGAGCCAGAAGAAATTGTGGCATTGCTTTCCGTATTTGTTTATGAAGGTAGAACTAGGGAAGAAGAGCCACCTATCGTTACTCCTAGACTAGTTAAAGGTAAACAAAGAATACAAGAGATTTATAAAAATATGTTAGCAATCTATGAGGAAAACCAAGTTACACTGACTCAGGAAGAAGCCGAATTTCTGGAAAAGAAAAGGTTTGCAATGGTCAACGTTGTTTATGAATGGGCAAGAGGTATGAGCTTCAAAGAAATTATGGAAATTAGTCCAGAAGCAGAAGGTACTGTTGTTAGAGTAATCACTTGGCTAGATGAAATCTGTCGTGAAGTTAAAACCGCATCTATTATCATCGGTAATTCAAATCTTCATATGAAGATGGATAAAGCCCAAGAATTGATTAAAAGAGATATTGTTTTTGCCGCCAGTTTGTATTTGTAGGATCTATATAGATATTTGTAAATGTGAAATTAATAGTTCGCGTTCTATTGTTAATTGAAAATTTCATTAGGCGATGAGCTCAATAAAATTTTAATATCATAGAAAGAATGGGCACAGAGCTCATCGATGGTGGTTTCGAACTCTTTATATCGCAGATGTATAAAAGCACAATTTAGATTGGAGAAACTAGCACTCAAGTAAATATATGACTCTGAAGGGAAAAATGGCCCCAAAATCAAGCTCATCCAAGAAGACGAGTTCTTCAAGTTCAGGTACCACCTCTGCGAAGAGTGTGAAGGTAAAGCTTCCAACTGAATACATCGCTCGACCATTAATCATTAATCATGATTATACAAGGGCTTGTAATATTGTCATCCACCCTGATATACTGAAAGCAAATGAAATAAGTTCTGGATCCATGTGTGTTGTTTCCAAACTGGGAGCCAATGGTGTAGTTGCCATAGCTAAAGCAGGTGATGAGAAATCTCATCCTATCGATGTCTTCATGTTGTCCTCCACATTAAGATCTATTGGGAATATCCTACTAGGTGATAGACTGGAGGTTCATAAGATCTCTTCTCAACCACCGTATGCTTCAATGATCACAGTTGGAACATTACAAAGTAAGATGATAAACGAAACTTCTGACAGAAATGTTGTTGAGAAGGCCCTGAAAGATTGCGGAATCATTTGTCCTGGTATGGTTTTAGAAAAAATTGTTATGTCCAATGGGGAATCTTTAGATATTGTTGTTACTGCTGTTGATAGCGACGCAATGCCAGCTATTGGCAATATGTCATTACAAGATAACGGATCTTCTCAGTCAATGTTTTTATCCCCTCCAGTGCTTTACAAAAATGGTTCTACTGGGTTTAAATTTACCAATGAGAAACACGCTAGTAGCAAATACAATATTCCAGAACCACTGACGTATGAATTTGTGGGGGGTTTATCAAAAGAAATAGAGATATTGAAGAATACAATTGATTTACCATTGCACCAACCAACTCTGTTTAGTGATTTTGGTGTGACTCCACCAAGAGGTATTATGTTACATGGTCCCCCAGGTACAGGTAAAACTATGTTATTAAGATGTGTGGCAAATACAGCAAATGCCCATGTATTGACTATTAGTGGACCTTCCATTGTCTCCAAGTATTTAGGTGAAACTGAAGCCGCCTTAAGAAACATCTTCAATGAGGCCACCAAATATCAACCGTCTATCGTCTTTATCGATGAAGTTGATTCTTTAGCTCCAAACCGTGCTAATGACGACAGTGGTGAAGTTGAGAGCAGAGTTGTGGCTACATTGTTAACTCTTATGGATGGGATGAGTAATAATGGTAGACTAGTAGTTATCGGTGCTACCAATAGACCTAACTCTGTTGACCCTGCTCTAAGAAGACCAGGGAGATTTGATCAAGAAGTTGAAATAGGTATCCCAGATGTTGAAGCCCGATTAGATATTTTACAAAAACAATTTTCAAAGATGTCATCTGAACGTTATACATTAACCGAGGATAACATTAAGACAATTGCTTCTAAAACCCATGGTTATGTAGGTGCTGATATTACTGCCTTATGTAGGGAATCTGTCATGAAAACCATCCAACGTGGTTTAAATGATGATATCCTGGTAGATAAGACCCTTCTGAAGGTAACTATGAATGATGTAGAAAACGCCATGCTTGAAATAAGGCCTAGTGCTATGCGTGAAATTTTCTTGGAGATGCCAAAGGTATATTGGTCAGACATTGGTGGTCAAGAGGATCTAAAGAGGAAAATGAAAGAGATGATTCAATTGCCATTAGAGGCTGGCGAAACGTTTTCGAGATTAGGTGTATCTGCACCAAAGGGTGTACTACTGTATGGTCCCCCTGGTTGTTCTAAGACGTTGACAGCAAAGGCCCTTGCCACTGAATCTGGTATTAACTTTCTTGCTGTTAAGGGTCCAGAGATTTTCAACAAATACGTGGGTGAATCAGAGCGTGCCATAAGGGAAGTTTTCAGGAAGGCTCGTTCGGCATCGCCTAGTATTATATTCATTGATGAAATCGATGCGCTATCGCCAGATAGAGATGGGGAATCTACGTCTGCTGCTAATCACGTCCTCACATCTTTGCTAAATGAAATTGATGGTGTTGAAGAATTACACGGTGTTGTCATTGTTTCTGCTACTAATCGACCAGATTCCATTGATCCAGCCTTACTGAGACCAGGAAGACTAGATAGGCACATTTATGTTGGTCCTCCTAATTTTGATGCAAGATTGCAGATCTTTAAAAACTGTACTAAGAAATTCAAAGTTATGAATACTTCAGTTGATTTGGAGGATTTAGCTAGGCGTACTGATGGTTGTTCGGGTGCTGAAGTCGTACTTTTGTGTCAAGAAGCTGGTCTTGCAGCTATTATGGAAAATCTGGAAACTGATAGAGTTGAATCAAAGCATTTTGAAAATGCTTTGAAAGATATATCCAAGGGTATTACACCAGATATGTTAGAATACTACGAATCATTTGCATCAAGAAGTGGTATAGCCCAATAAGTAATGTATATATAATTACAGTAGTAATCTCTAGCATCATTTTTTTATTGTGAACAGTTGCATTTTAGTCGTCAAAGTAATCTTTAAATTATGTATTTTCTACCGATATTTAGTGCCGAATTAGTAGCCTTTGCTTAATACTAAACTTTTTCAAGTTTTCACGTGCCTTGTCTCCCACATAAGATTACTGCCTGTAAATAAAGTGCAGGTATTAATGATTGTAAATACACGTCAGCTCATTGATAAACAACAAAAGGGCAACACTTTAGAAAGTAAGTTTAATCTACCAGGGATTAATTTGGAGGTGATTCAGCTATTTCTGATTATAAGGCCATCTGAGGGAATTGTTCCTGCAAATAATGAATTACCAATGGAACACCAGAAAATTTAAGGACTCTGTTCTGAAAGGGTTTTGCAATGCACTAGTTAGTATTGGAGGACCTGGCCAGGTACTTATAATTCAAGAAAATATGTTACCAGTTATAAATAATCTGTTAACTTTTACGACATTGACTGAAAAGACACCAGTGAAGAAGATTTTACTTCTCGATGATCAATTAACTACAGATCTTACAGAAATTTTAGACACAACCCCAACTATAAGGCCAGTGTTTCTTATAGATATTAGGGTCGATCTAACTGTACCATCAATGATAGAATCTGTTTTACAGAATTTAGAAATGACCGAACTGGATGTAATGTATTGCACGTGGGAATTCGATCTTTCGAATGGTTTGACCAAGGTTCCACATTCTATTCAATCACAATTACAAGAATTTTGTCAAACCGTTAGGCTCACTCCATGGAAAATGGTAACAATACCACAATTTGATGATGATTTTCTTTGTCTCCATGCATTATATAATTCTGAAAATGATTCACTATATGCACCATTTGAAAATTCATTGAAAGATGGGACGAGAGAGGTTTTACTAGACAACATGATCAATTGTATACTGACGTTATTAAAACAGACCAATACCACTATCACTAATACAGTTACATTAGGCAATCTATCTCAAAAGTTTGCCCAGCTGTTAAAATCAAGGGTGAAGGATAATATGACATACAATGATGAATTGATATTTGAGTCATTACATGGGAAAAAGGCTACTATTGATATAGAAACAGATATGATTGTCATTGAACGTGAAATGGATCCAATTACACCGTTGCTGACAGAACTGACCTATTTTGGTTTGTTAGACAAATTTCATAAATTTGATGCAAATGGGACATTAGTTGATAAGGAAGGAAATTCGCATAGCTTTGCTAATGATGATGAAATATGGAATCATTTAAAGTTCCTTAATTTTGGTGCAATGGGACCTAAATTAAACAAGATGGCTAAAGAATTGCAAAGCAAATACGACTCTAGACATGACGCAGAGACGGTGGGTCAAATCAAGACATTTGTGGATTCGTTGGGAACATTACAACAAGAACAAAAGCTCTTAAAGATGCATACCACATTATCATCTGATATTCTTGAAGAAGTTGAAAACAATGATTCTTTAGAATTTAATCGTATTCTTGAACTGGAACAAGATATCTTGCTTGATAATTTAGGAACCACGATCGCCATGGATCGTATCCTAACACTATTGTATGAGGATAAAGTACCGATGGAGGTGATAATACGGTTAGTATGTTTATTATCACTCTGCAAGAATGGTTTGAAGGATAATGAATTTGATACTTTGAAGAAGGAATTGATTGATACCTATGGGATAGAAATACTTTTCAAATTAGAATGGCTAACAAGGAACGGATTGTTCATCAGTAAATCCTTAATGCAAACACAGGCTACAATTATGTTGAAGAAAGAATATAGACATGCCTCTAAATGGTTAGATACAGTCCCTAATGAAGACGAGGGGGACGCATCTGTAAAAATAACAGATCCTAGAGAACCTACGTTTGCATATTGCGGAGTTTCTCCTCTAAGTATACGACTGATTCAATCACTCTATGATAGAACTGTTCTCTCTAAAAATTATTCTTCTCAACAGCCATTCATGATTTCAAGAGAACCAAGCTGTACCCAGTTAGATAATTTGATGCAACAACTCTATGGACAGGCCGATATAATTACTCAATCGCGATGGGTTCCTGAACCTACTGCAAGATTAAAACGAATCCGTGCTGCAAACATTAATGCTACTCCATCCACCAACACCACGAATATGCGCAACCGCAAGTCACTTCAGAACAAAGACATAGTGTTGATCGTATACCTCGGAGGTATTACCCCAGGGGAAGTAGCTTTGCTCAAGTTCTTGCAAGGCAAGTTACAACAACGTCACATCAACAAACGGTTCGTTATCATTGCTGACGGCATAGTGAGACATGCCAGCCAATGAAACGTGACGGAGACTCTCCGGGGGTTTTCTTTCGCTTCGGTCTTACCGCACTCTCGGAGCGAAAAATAAACAGCACTGTTTCCTGGTTTCATATATATATATATAAAGAGAGAGAGATAAAGGAAACAAGATAACTGGGAGCTATCCAAATATTATTAAACTTATTTTCAAGATCTTTTATTGATAATACCAGTTACGTTTTCTCTGTTTTGTCTTTTTTTATTACGAAATATACGTACACCATTTACACAATTATTTATAAACAATGTTCAGACAATCACTAGTGAAACTTTCTACAAGAAGAGCTTTTTCCTCTACCTCAAGACAAGCTTTTTCCTCTACCACAAGACAAGCTGCACACTTCAAAGAGGGTGTATACTCTAATATTCCATTCAAGGTTCATAACAGAAAGATTCCATTCGGTATCGTTTTCTTTGGTTTCTTGGGTGTTGGTTTCGCTGTCCCATTTATCGCCTCTTTCGTTCAATTGAAGAAATCTGGTAACATATAAGCAAGAAAGACATGTGTAAGGGAGAGATATATTAAAAAATCATTTGGTGTTGGTATGTAGACAGGTTTCTCTCATATTAGTTAGGTCATTTTTATGAAATATGCTACTCTCTCTTTTTTGTCTATTTGTTTGTGTCTTTTTTATTAAAAAATTGAATTTTTTGAAATGATAATGCCATGGGAGTTATAGAACCTAAGAAGTTGAGTCAAGGACTACATCTTCTCTATTTTATGTTTATTATTATACATTCCTTTTTTAAAAATCCAAAATTCTCTTAATGTATATTATCATCACAGTATTATTTATTCCTAGATCTGTCTTCCTTTAATTACTATTATTGTGTAAATCTGATATTCAATTATAATAATATCAGTGTTTTTTTTTCATAATTAATTATTCCTTATTCATTTATTATTATTGTTATTGTATATTATATATATATATAAATCAATATATCAAATAAAACTACAATAATATTGTCCTTTTTTTTTATTAATATTAGAAGACACCAGTTTGTTGTAGGGAAACGATAAGTTGGTGTTGTTTGACATACTTATGTCTTTTTGTATTTCATATTAGAGCTGGGTGTATTTGGGTATTTACAATTAATTACTTGTGATGTTGAACTTCTTCTATTCTGTGTCAAATTGTTTTTGTTCATGTTAATATTGTTGGTTGTGGTTCTATTACGACTACTTCTCATATGTGCAATTATACCTTGACTATTAGATATTGAACGAGTAGACTCATTATTGGTATTGTTGATGGTATTATTTCTTTTGGTAATGCGTAATCTATCAAGTGCTTGTGGAAATTTATTTCGGTTGGTATTTATATAACTATTTCTGTTTTTCGTTTGGTTATTATTGGAAGAGCTATATGTTAAGGATGACCGTTCATGAGATGCCCCTTCTGTTGATAATGAAGATAACGATGATATTCCCATACCTCGATTGTCCTTTGTGTCTGTCCTTCCATTATTAGGGGAATATATATACTTAGCTAGATGTGTAGATTCGGCCTCAAATGCTTCGTTTGTAGAAACATTATTGTTAGGTGCATATTTCTGGATATCTGAAGGGGAACTATAATCTGTTATTGAACGCTGAATTTTTGTTGTAGTTTGCATACTCGAGACATTGGGGAAATTGACCTTGGTTTGTAACAGTCCTCCTAAATTTCTGTTATTGCGATCCATATGATTCCTTATTGACGATTTTTTCTTTAATTTAGATAAAAATGTGTTTCCATCATTTTCTGAATCATCCATAGTTAGATCAACAGTCATTGGGGGTTGTATATTATGGTCATCACCATAACTTGTACTTGCTTTATGAGAATTTCTTGAATCAAAAAATTTAGATATACCTTGACTGTTGGTATTATTATGCTTTAATTGTGACTCTAGGTCTATTATTCGATTCCTCAATTTGGAAACACCATCTAGTTCTTGTTTAGCTTTGTATAATAATTGTTGTTGCCGGGCAACTTTTTCTCTTAATTTAACGCAATGAGTTTGATAATATTGAATTTGATTTACTAAAGCTTGTTGTTGAAATTGTGACACATTGTAAATTGTCTCAAGCAAATTGGGTAATGGTTCAAAAAATGAAATTACATCTGGAGGTAAATTCTTGTCAACTGCAAGTTTAATTATTGAAATGTCATCTGTATCACAAACTGGACAGGTATGTTTGTTCTCGACGTGAAGGGAGCATAAAATGTGAGCGCAGGAAGTCAAATTAAGAGGATCACCATGCGAATGTCTCCTATGGCAAACATTGCAATATACAAAATTTTGTTCAAAGAGATGGCTATTCATTTTTTTACCAGAATGTTGTTGGACCAGTTCAACTTGATGTATCTTATATCTGTTGTTTTATTAGGTTAAAATTTATTGTGAAAGATATCTTTGCTTTTAGCCGCCGAAGGTACACGCCTCCTATTCTTTGTTTTTTACCTTCCAAATTTTAGCAGAGCAAGATAGAAGTTCATAACTAAGAATAATAAGAACCTACAATTATATAGGTATGGAATATATAAAAGTGAAGTAACCACTAGGTTCAAAAGCAGTTGGAGAATTATGAATATGTATTATGTATCGGAAAAATTAGGATAATTGAGTGATAGGCTACTTCGTATCCCGTGCTATAAACATGATTGTGGATGGATGTACATTTGACTATAAAGTTCTAAGTGATTATTTTTGATTCAGTCTCATTCCTTACACCGTTCAAAGATCTTGATAGTGTTTGCAATTCTTCATCAGTAGCACCTCCACTGGCAATCCAACGGATCTTTAAGTCAGAATCTACCAGTAGTATGTAACCAGTGTAAATATTATTAATCATTAAGTCTTCTCTAATGGTAAATGGTAATTGCTGTCTGTCACATATGAAATAATTCTTTTGTAAGTTTTCAGGAATCTTTGATCTCATACTCCACATTGATAATTTAACAATCATAGTCTTTGCAGAGTTTTCCATCCAATTTATATTAACAAGTTGTGTATCATCAAGAGTATTTGGATCTTGTTTAACCAAACCATCAATGAACTCATTACTCAATTGATTACCAGTTTCGTTACCAAATATCCTTACAATACTGATTTTACCCTTCAAATTGTCCTCGATGGAACCCCTTTTAGCTGTTTTTGACAATGGTTGTCCCGTCATGTGAGGGAAATATAGGGCCTTATCCTTTCTCCAGTAGGATTTTGGTGAAAGGAATAATTTCCCATTGGTCTTACGATATGTAAACAAATCATACATCCCTGATTTACTCATTTCCAATGTAAGTTCGTTTGTTCTTTGTTTAGTCTTTTGTTGATCAAATAAATCTTTAAAAGAGTTACCTCTCGAGTATTTGGTATCTTTGGTAGGATATCTATTCAAACCAACAGGTTTAACGAGTTGTGTAACTACGTGTGGTTTCGGTTTAGAGGCATCAATAACTGGTTGAAAGAATTTTTGAAAAAAAAATAGTTCTCTAGAGGTGGTAGAAAACTGTCTAATACCCAACATCATTTAATAGTATAAACAGCGGTTCAAAGTTGGATATGATTATCTTTCGAAATATGGAAATAAGTCTGTGATTATATTGTCCCTCTTTGTTATTATTTATTGAGTTGGTTATTGGGATCATTTCTTTTCAACCATTAAAAAAATGGTACATTATGTGGGAATACGCGCAACAGTATTCAGCGGACTTAAGTTACCGAAGTGAAAATTAGTTAAAGGGTAGTTTCCAATTATCGCCATAAACATGAAATTTGAGTGCATTCACTGGAGGCTGTGCATATTGTTCCATAGGGGACCTCCTATAAGCGGGAATTTAGGTGTGGAACAATGACATAAGATATTAAAAGGATTTACTCCACTTTATCAATATAATGATCCGCAGAGGGGAAAAACATTCCAATTTATATAAGAACTCTAACATTCTACGTTCACAGAAGTAGCATTATCCTTAGTCTATTTGGATATAATTTGTATTCAGTTATTGGTTGTTGAATATTCAGGTTTATACAGGTTAAGAGATTAACTCCCATGGCACCATCTAGAAAAATTGAGCTAACGTTATCAAAGCCTTTGAACAGTGTTTTCTATACTGGAGAAGATAATATTTCAGGAGATGTTAAGGTCACATTCAACAAGTCAGTATCTGTTAAGAAGATATCAGTTCATTTAAAGGCTTTTTCAGAGACTATTACAAAAGTTGATTCAGACTATGCAGTAATGCAAAATGGTCTGTTAATTCAAGGTCCAGATACTAGAACATACCATAATATGATGAATATTGAAGAAAGAGTATTTCCTCCTGATAATGTATGGAATGCATTGGAAGGTTCATCAAAGCCATTTAAAGTGAACCCAGGTGAATATAATTATAAATTTAAATTTGATAAATTGGCAGGTGTAAAACCAAACTGTTTAAAATATCATGGTAAAGAGACAGTAATGTTTACTAAGAAACAGCATACAAAACTACCTCCAAGTTTTAATAATTTGACAAACGAAATGAATAAGATAGATAATTTAGATTTATATTTTTATTCGTTAGGAAAGATTTTATATATTGTACAAGTAGCTATTGAGTTAGGTAAAGCAAAGAGCTGGTTTAAACCATTTGATAAGATTATGAGGGAACAGCAATTGATTGAATATATTCCTAATAAGAACGATATGGATTATGAGAAACATGAGAATGTTTTTAATAGTAAAGTTGTATATAATAATTCGTCATCACCAGGGATACGAACTTCAAGTCTTGGTCAACAGTTAAGAGATAGAAGTAAACAAAGTACACTATCTATAGATCCAAGAAGTACAAGCATGGATTTTCCTATAGAAGGAAGTACGCCTGTGACCCCAATTGATAGTCCGAAGGTTGGTGGTAATGGTAACATTAATGGTATGAGTCCTCTAAATAGTGGTGCGCCAACGCACGTAGTGCCGCCAACAGTTGTTACAGTCAACCAATCTACATTTAAAGTTAGATTACCACATTCTGGTGATAACAGGCATGTAATGTGGGTTGAAGTAAGAACTAAAAATAATGGGTTTGATCATTTGTACCGTAAGGAGGCTCTTTTCCACAAAGGTAGTAATAAATTTGATCGAGTATATTTAGTATTTAGAACAAATGATATCGAAGAATTGAAAAAAATCAAGATAAAACCAGCAAAAATTCAATTAAATTTGTTAGAAACCACAACTTTTTTGTCAGAAGGTATTGCAAATGAGAACTTATCCTCTTTGAGATTGATTAGTGTCGACGGTTCGGAGTCCACTGAAAATCTCGTTGATATGAGTGAATTGAAACCTTACCCATCCCATACGAATCCTGATTCAGAAGGGTTTTACAAGATGGAATGTCCAGTCAAGCTTCGGGATCATCCGTCATTGAAAAGGTTATTATTCAATGAAGAAAATTATAGACATCGTGGAAACATGTTGTACAGTTTTAAAAGTTGTGCGATATCTCGTATATTTGATTTACAATTGATGATCAATTGGGATGTCTATGGTGAGTTAAGTTTAACAGAAGTGATTATTGATGATATTCAACTATATTGTTGGACTAGACGTAGACGTACTTCAAATTTGGAGACTGCTGAACCTGATTATCTACCTAGATATGTTGAACCGCCAACATATGGTGATACAGTTGACCGTATTACTGTGAACAATGGTGATATCAAGCAATTAACCTAAATATATACACCAATATAACTAATAAATAAAATAATAAATAAAATAAAAAAAAGTATACTTTTAACGTAAATATTTATGAATGTAACGATATTATTGAATAAAAAAAAGGAGACTTATAGAGGAAGACCTAGGATAACCCAAAACATATTGAAGTTCGATAAAAAACGTTAGTAATTTTAAGAACTGAAAGGGATAAACACAAAATAGTAATAATAAAAATAAGCAGGGAATGCTGTTTCAATATAAGATTGAAGTATAACTAATAATTAGTTTTCTAGAGGGAAATGATCCGTCACACTTAAATCAATAGAGCAGCAGCAGCAACAACGGCTAGAGAACCACCTAGTTGTAGAAGGTTAGCACCACCTTGAGAAACAGAAACGATGGACTTGGTGGAGCTTGTAGAAGATGTAGTAGATTCAGAAGAAGTAGTTGGCTCTTCGGAAACAGATGTGATAGTGGAGGTAGTAGTTGGAGCTTCAGTAGAAGAAGAAGTGGTAGTAACTTCGACAGAGGCTTCGACAGAGGCTTCAGTAGAAGTAGAAGCAGCAGCTTCAGAAGAAGAAGAAGAGGAAACGATGGCGGAGGAAGAGGAAGCTTTTTCAGAAGAGGAGGAAGCACTAGTAGAAGAGGAAGAGGAAGATGCAGCTGAAGAAGAGGAAGAAGAGTCACCTAGAGAAATATTTTGGTCGGAACAAGAGCTCTTGAAAGCAGAGTAAGCTGCATCAGCGTTACCGTTTGGACAGATAGAGTCTAAACAGCTCTTGACGGCAGAGCTTTCGCTGGAACAAACACAGTCTAGGTTGCTTAGAGTCTTACATTGGGAAGAACCGGAGGTAACCTGAGCAACACAGGCTAACAAACAGGCTGGAGGAGTGGCTAAGACTTCCTTGGATAGTAAAGCTAGGGATAAAACGGAGGTTAAAACGGCAGAAGTACGCATAATGAAACGAGTGGTAATATTTATAGTAGTCTTGAATAAGTTATTGATTGTATTCTATTATGAATATATAAAGAATGAGATGAAACTGATAGGATGCTTCTAAATACTAAACTTATTCAACTGATCCCCCTTTTGCCTTTATATAATATGTATATATATTGTTTATTATTATAAATAACCAAATTGGCAACAAAGCGGTGAAAAATTTTGTCTGCATGTTTACTATAAAAAATATTAAGAATATTCGGTGCGGTGTGTGGGTGCGCTGCTATTTATAGACATATAGATATAAATCAGCTGGTCGTCACGTGAGTGTCACGTGGCATGTCAATAATTCAATGGGGAATATATATATATAGAAAGAAGGATGGTAGGTATCTCCATCTGTTGGTGATTGGGTTATTTACAATGGTGGTTGTGTGGTAATAGTTCGTTAGTGGTTTGTTTCTTCTGTAGCCGGGGTTACTGGTTGAGACTGGAATTGGTTTCCAGGGAAGAGGACACGATCCTTCTCATCCACAATCACGTTACCGTCTTTATCGAACTTGGGAAGATCTATATCGTTTCGTAGATTACCATCCTTACGCAGTTGCTCTACTACAATCGGCTGGAAGAAGTTTATGCCCATGTATACACTGGCTACGGCTACTATTCCGACAGTGGTGATTCCAAATCCTCTTACTCTTGCCATGACTATAATTTGTGAAGCGTTCGGATTATTTTATAAGTTGTGCACTAGTCGTGAGTTTGAAGTATGCCGAGACGTGTAGATATATATATAGATATTATGGGGACTCTAGCTTCGCCTTTGTATTATGTTGTTGACTGCTCTCTTTCTCGATGGGAGGTGGGAAACCTTTTTTTGGTTCTTCTTTTTTCAATTTAATGGGGGAAGAAAATATATGTAAACTGTATAATGGATTGGAGGGAAAATAAAAAAGGAGAAAACAGGTAATAAGGAAAAGAACCAATCCTTGGATAAGAAAAGTCGTTATCAATTGGAGTAGAGTGTATCCATTCGTTTTCTGCTTTTTGTTGTTGTTGTGGTGAAATATATATATATATATATATATATTTATTGAACGCCAATCCTTTGATGTCTATTGCATCACTCTCACGAAATTTACCTCACGTCGCTAGGAGTTATACCACTTTATTACCTAAATATAATCCATTAAGAACAATGGCTACTTACAAGATTCTTAATGAAACGTTTGAAAAACCAGATCTAGATGACAGACAGTACAGATTTATTCAATTGCCTAACAATTTGCAAGCACTATTGATTCATGATCCTACCACTGATAAAGCTGCAGCTGCATTAGATGTTAATATTGGTGCCTTTGAAGATCCAGAAGAATTGCCTGGGTTAGCACATTTTTGCGAGCATTTGTTATTCATGGGATCAGAGAAATTCCCAGATGAAAATGAATATTCTAGTTACTTAAGTAAACATGGGGGTTCTTCAAATGCCTATACAGGTTCTCAAAATACAAATTATTATTTTGAGATTAATAATGAGCATTTATTTAATGGTTTAGATCGATTTTCAGGATTTTTCACAGGTCCTTTGTTTAATAAGGATTCTACTGATAAAGAAATTAATGCTGTGGATAGTGAAAACAAGAAAAATTTACAAAATGACGTATGGAGAATATATCAATTGGATAAATATTTATCTAACCATGAACATCCATACCACAAATTTTCAACTGGTAACGTTGAGACTTTGGGTACTATTCCTACTTCCCAAGGTTTGAATATAAGGGATGAGTTATTGAAGTTTTATAACAGATGTTACTCTGCTAATTTAATGAAATTGTGTATCCTTGGCAGAGAAGATCTGGATACTTTGTCCGATTGGGCAACGCAGTTGTTCCAGGATGTCCCAACCACCGATCGTGAGGTTCCAGAATATCCAACCCAAGTTATCACAAAAGATCATTTCACTAAGATTATTAGGATTAAGCCTGTAAAGGATATCAGAAAGCTGGAGGTCACATTTTTAGTACCTGATATGGATGAACATTGGGAATCTAAACCATCTCATTTCTTAAGTCATTTGATTGGGCATGAGGGTTCTGGTTCATTATTAGCCTATTTAAAAAAATTAGGTTGGGCTAATGAATTATCAGCTGGTGGTCTTTCTGTGTCAAAAGATAATTCATATTTCTCAATTAATATTGATTTAACTGAAAAGGGGATGGATAATTATATTAACGTTGTTCATATTATATTCCAATATATTGAACATTTAAAAAATGCATTGCCTCAGGATTGGATTTATACAGAATTAGCTAATATCTCTAAGGCAAATTTCAAGTTTAAACAAAAGGGTAGTCCATCATCCACTGTATCAAATTTGGCTAAAAAATTATCTAAGGATTATATTCCAGTGGAAAATATTTTAAATTCTGGTATATTTACTAAAAATGAACCAGAAAAGATAATCGAATTCACCAAATCTTTAACAGTAGAAAACTCAAGATTTATGCTTATCTCGAGAGATTTGCCAACAGATACTGAAGAAAAATGGTATGGGACTGAATACAGTATCATTGATTACCCTGAAGAATTATTGAAATTGACAGAAACACCTGGTTTGAAAAGCAGTTTACACCTACCACATCCAAACGAATTTGTTGCCAACAATTTTACAGTTGATAAACAAGAAGATATTGTTCCATTGAATGAACCATATTTGTTACAGGATAATGAAAATGGGAAATTATGGTATAAGAAGGATGACAGATTCTGGCAACCAAGAGGTTATATTTATATCTCATTAAAATTGCCCCACACTCATGCAAGTATCCTCACAAGCATGCTTTCCACGTTATATGTACAACTGGTCAACGATTCATTAAAGGACTTGGAGTACGATGCAGCCTGTGCCAACTTACGTGTCTCTTTCGTTAAAATCAGTCAAGGTCTTGATATTACCCTTACTGGGTTTAATGAAAAGTTGGCTACTTTATTGACTAGATTCCTAGACGGTATTAAGAACTTCATGGCAGATAAAGATCGGTTTGAAGTCTTTAAGGATAAGACCGTTCAACATTTGGATAACTTGATGTACGAAGTTCCATATGGTCAAATGTACACCATTTATAATTCTCTATCTAGTGAGATTTCCTGGTCTACAAAAGAAAAATTAGATGTTGCTAAACAACTAACATTTGAGCAATTTCAAGCATTCATTCCAACAATTTTCCAAGAGATGTATTCTGAAATCTTAGTTCATGGTAATTTGAAATATGAAGAGGCTATGGAGATCGATTCATTGATTGATATTTTAAGAAAACATTCAGTTCAAACTTCTCAAGTAGATAATATTAGAATGAGGTCATACATTATTCCAAATGCAAAAACCTTCAGATATGAGACTTTGTTAACAGATAAGAAAAATGTGAACTCATGTATTCAACATGTCACACAACTGGACGTGTACACTGAAGGATTATCAGCTATGAGTGGATTATTTGCCCAAATGATTCATGAACCATGTTTTAACATTTTAAGAACTAAGGAACAACTTGGCTACGTCGTATTCAGCTCCAGTTTGAATAACCATGGTACAGCAAACATCCGTATCTTAGTACAATCTGAGCATTCGACACCTTTCTTAGAATGGAGAATTGATGAATTTTACAAGAAGTTTGGTAATATATTAACAACTATGACTGAAAAAAACTTTAAGAAACATAAGAATGCCTTGTGCAAAAACCTGCTGCAAAAATACAAAAATATGAACGAGGAAAGTTCAAGATATACAGCTGCTATTTACCTTGGGGACTATAACTTCTTACATCGTCAAAAAAAGGCAGAATTGGTCGAAGCTTTAACCAAAGAACAAATGATTGCATTCTATGAAAGATATATCAACGGACCGGATGCAACAAAGCTGGTTATTCATTTGAAATCCCAAGCTGAGAATAAGAAGGTTGATAGTGAAAAGGATCTAGATAATGCACTTTATCCATCAGGTATATTAATCGATGACATTCGTCAATTCAAGTCTGCTTCTTTCTTGGCGCCTATTCGCCAACCTAGCAGAAAATTTGAAATATACGATCCCAACAAATAGATAAAAAGTAATTAATATGTACAAGAATTTAATAGAACTATCGCAATTTACATGGCGTTTAAATAATAATAATAAAATAAAAATAAAAGTGAAAAATTGTAGACTATCAGACGACATCCCAAGTTCATCTATCCCCTCATTTGTGAGGGGAATTCACGAACAACGGACTTCCTATCCTGTCCAATTATATTGATCTGGGAAACTGGTATTTCAATCTAGTTGAAACACTGGCAATTAATTACTGTTAGAAGACAGATAAACCAACTGTGGCATGTTTCCGGTACATTTTAGATTCACCCTCTTTAAAAAATGAAAATAAAATAAGAATTGTTTTAGAAAATAGAATTATTTAAATTAGAAAGTTGTTATGATTTGTTTTAATTTCGGTTCCTTTTATATGAGTTCAAATAATTCACGCGATGTTCAAAGAAACCTTGAAAAAATTTTTCAGAATTTACGGGTAAAGCGAAATTTGCACATAATAAACATAGGGCAAGCCATAAACGGTTATATAGATTAGGGATGAACAACGTTAATATGACAACAGAGACACTAGATCAATATCTAAGGTCTAGTTGTGCAATCGCATTGGTACGACGTGTTAATTTAGTTTGTTAATATAAAACGATTGAACATATGTGTTCCTACATATATATAAAATAATTTAATGAATACTTGTAAATGGTTATGATATTATAGAGAAAAGAGATGAATAATGAGAGACACAGAGCATTGTTTTAATGATAATGATGATATTCTCTGATACTTATATATACAATATCTTAACGGTACTTGGTGAAACCGATGTCGTTAGCTCTTTCTCTGAAACATTGACGACAGATGTTAAGACCGTACTTTCTGATCAAACCAGTGTGGGAAGAACAGACACGACATTGACGAGAACCTTTACCGAATCTTCTTGGGTGGGAGAACCAAACGTTTTCGTGAGCCATATTGTCTGTGAAAATTAAAATATAAAATCTTGTTGTATCGTAAATTAAAAGATTTCAAATAGAATCAATTAATGGAAAAAATAACAAAATTAAATTATGATTGTTAGTAATGTGTTACAATGTGTATTATTTTCTTCTTATATACAATAGAAATTGGATATGGAACATTAATATGATGATACGTTGTTATCTTATCGTTTTAAGTCATTATTGTTACCTGCGACACTTTCAGTACGACTTTTATTTATCAATTCTTATTGTTTAGATATATGGAATTTCATCGTTCTTTGATACTGATTCTTTTCTTCCTTCTATTTTAGATGATTTGCTCTTGTATTATCGATACACAGAATATGTTTCGATGGGTATACGGTTTCTCTATGAAGATAAGCTCATTCTTCACGATATTTCTTGATCGATACAGTTGATTCATATATCAATATATTCATTCTTCATCCTTACTATCTAATCCTCATTGGTCAAAGTTTACCCTTATTATTCATCTTCAAACATTTAACATTCATTATTTCATGTATTTCTATTCTATTGTTACTGTGACATATATCTCTCCTATACATACATTTATGTTTAAATTGGTGTACGTTTGACTTTCTTGTAGGTATGTTATTTTAAAGTTGTACCTCTTTAATCTACCTTCTTATTTAAATGATTAATATATATCGCAACACTACCATCATAGTAATCAAGACTGTCTTCGCTAAGACCTCAATCATTGTATCTGTTGGGCCTACAGACTACCTTCACATTGAATCAGTAACTCCTTCGCTGCTCTAGTTATTGGATGAATATTTGATTCTTCGAGAGTAAGTGAAATTGCAAAGTGAAATTGTTCACTGTGACCCATACGCTCAACAACCAAAAAGCGATTTAAGTGAAAATTAAATTTTCACTTAAAAAAATAAAACAAATGGATGGGTGTTCGGATGTTGAGGGTGTAAGGGTGTACCTAAATAGTCGCAGGACTATATTTACGAACCCTACTTTGGGGTTGAGAACAAGACCTAAGTTGTTCAAAGAGAAAAAAATTTTCAATTTAGCGATGCTCATCTCTTCTATGTATTGAAATATAGGAGGGAGTATTAAAGAGTACTTTCTTGACATCAAAGTTATCTCTAATAGTTAAAGTAATTGATATATACTGTTTGCTATATTGTACATTGCCACCCAGTTAAAAATATCCAAAAAGTGAAAAAGAAATAATGGCTGGTCATTCACATAGATCAGCGTTTGGGAAGAACCATAAAACGTTCAAGTCCAAGCATGCATCAAAAGGTGCTCTGAAAAGATTATTCAAGGGTAAAGTTGAAAGAGATCCTATTAATGGAAAAACTTTAAAGACAGTCTCCAAAGATCAGCGTAAGAATAAGTCTAAACAACTTAGAACAGTAAAGATTCTGGAATCTGTAGAGAATAGAAAACTATTTGAAGGTTCCAATGGTGCTTCTAAAATTATTACAGTAGTCCCCTTGACACCTGATGTTGATGCTACTGCAATTGTTAAAGGTCTTCTACAATCAAGTGATTTGGACCTAAATGATCATTTAGTGTCAAAAGAAAGTGGCAACATTCCAAGCGTAAGAGATTACGACATTAAGAAATTCAAGAGTAAATTGAAAGTTATCGTTCCAGATATGAGTAACTTCTTACATATTCTAGATTGTGCTAAAGTAGCAGATTTTGTCATATTAGGTTTAAGTGGTACCGCTGAAGTGGATGATGAATTTGGTGAACAAGTTGTTCGTGCTCTCGAATTACAAGGTATTTCTTCTGTTATGGGTGTTGTAACCAATTTATCTGCAGTTCATCCAAAGGAAAAATTTCAATTGGACGTTAAACAATCCTTAGAAAGTTATTTCAAGCATTTCTTCCCTAACGAAGAAAAGATATACAATTTAGAAAAACTTTCAGATTCATTGAACGCTTTGAGACAATTATGTCAAAAGATGCCTCGTCCTGTAACTTGGAGAGATCAAAGAGGTTATTTGGTAGCAGATTCGATAGATTTCCAACCAGGGACAGATGAAAATGGTGATCTGGTTATCTCTGGTACTGTTCGTGGGGTTGGATTTGATGCAAACAGGTTGATCCATATTCCAGATTTGGGTGATTTCCAACTTTCTGGTATTGAAAAAATTGGTTCATCTTCGAGAGCTAAGAAACCAAAGAGTGATGATCCTATTGATACTTTGGATTTAGATACCCAATTTGGGTCCAATGAATTGCGAGATACCCTTGACGTCTATGCACCAGCTAACGTCAACACAGAATATGACGATGATTCGGATTTCGAATATGATGATCTAAAGACTGCAAGATTTGATGATGGTGGGTTTTTACCAGGCGCTGAAGAAGAAGCTAGATCTGTGAAAGTACCAAAGGGCACTTCTGATTACCAAGCTAAGTGGTACATAGATGATATGGTTGATAACGGTACTATGACTGGTAATGATGAAGATGAAGACAATATGATGGACGATGATGAAGATGCACTACCTGAGAATGATATGCAAATTGAAAGTGATATCAGCGATTTGGAAGACGCTCAAGATGACGAAGTATTCGTTGATCTTTCACCTGAAGAGGAAGAACGTCAATTGAAAGAGTACAGAGAATTGGAAAAAGAAGATCGCGAGTTCCCAGATGAAGTCGAATTATACCCAACTGAATCAGGTATTGATCGTCTAAAGAGATACAGAGGTTTAAAGAACTTATATAACTGTGCCTGGAATGTTGATGAAAAGGATCCAACATGTCCTCCAGAATGGAAGCGTGTTTTGAGAGTTGGTAATTACAAGAATACTGCCAATAGACTCGTAAAAGAAGCTAGGTCAAAGGCTCAAGTTGTCGCTGGTGACCGTATTGTATTACATATAAATTTCCCACAACATTTACTTCCAAAAATTGTCGATCCATCTCAATTGTTATTTGCGGTTTATGGATTATTATATCACGAACACAAAAACGCTATTGTAAACTTTTCTCTAAAAAGATGGGAAGAGTACGACAGACCAGTACCAGCAAAGGAACCAATCATCGTTCAATATGGTGTTAGAAGATACACTATCCATCCATTATTTTCAGGGACGACGAATACACCAAATAATGTGCATAAGTTTGAAAAATTCTTGCACCCAGAAACTTTATCAGTGGCTACATGTATTGCGCCGGTTGATTTTACACAATCTCCGGCCATCTTTTTCAAACCTAACGCTAACGACGCTAAGGGTATTGAATTGATTGGTCAAGGTACCTTCTTGAATGCTGATCACACCAGAGTTCTAGCCAAGAGAGCAATTCTAACAGGTCATCCATTCAGATTCCACAAGAACGTTGTTACAGTTCGTTACATGTTCTTCAACTCCGAGGATGTGGAATGGTTCAAATCTATTCCATTATTTACAAAATCTGGTAGAACTGGTTTCATCAAGGAAAGTTTGGGTACACACGGTTACTTCAAGACTACCTTTGATGCTAAACTATCAGCTCAAGATGTGGTAGCAATGTCCTTATACAAACGTATGTGGCCAATACCTTCAATGCCTTGGACACCGGAATTATGAACTTAGCCCATTGTTCAAGTGTTATAAATAAATTTGTATAGATCCATACAGCACATTCATAAGATACTAACGGTATCAAAATCATGTATAATATTAGTCAGTAACGAGAAAGGCATCCGATTGCAAATATTGAATTATATTTACATTATAGAGGAAGCCACGAGTTTGATGTCAAAAAAAAATGCATAATAAGTTGTAATAACTGTAAAATAGATCTGCTGTCTTTTTAACATTGCATTTATATTGGTCTAGCGTGCAGTAAACGAAACATTGTGTACTTCTATTAATGGATAACGGTACCTTTTTCTCCCAAAGATTGTATAATCTTCAATCTCATTTTTTCAGCTTCTTAATTTTCCAAGAGCAGCTATTAGATCGGTGCAGTCATTTTTGAGTCGGAATATTGAGGGATGCATCCAGAAATTATAAGATAAGCAGCATATTAATCTCGGAGGACTCTGTTTTACGTTGCTGGTTGCAATAAAAAGCTTGTGCACTAAAGACAGTTATGAAAATGACTGTCTTTAGGTTTTTCATGTCTCAATTTCCATTATTAATCAAAAGGCAAGTCCAAAAGAAATCACGCAACTACGTTTTGTATTTCAAGTAACCCTATAATGTCAGGTGCGAGGATTAGGATTCGAGATTGGGTTGGGTCGAAATTTTAGTGATCGAACCAGAGTAAAACCAATTCTAGGCGAGTCGATTAATCATTTAGCAACACTGCACCTCTGATCCCCTGTTCTGATCATCGGTAACATATGGAGCTTGTTAGTAACTAAGTGTAACTTATTGTGACACTGCGTCCAAGATAAGAAATTTATCTCAAAAAATTCAGGTTGAAGAAAACTTATTATAAAAATAGAGGGTGGTAATTTCTTAGCTTTCACTTTTATCCCTATTCAATTAGAAGCTTTTGGGCAATAGAAAACCTCAGATAATTGGAGAGATAATGCTTAAATTAACATTTTTTCTTTTGATTCTGAATCTAGCAACACACTTTTGCGACTCTTACCAGTTTAATGTATCAGACAATTATGACCACATGTTAGTAATATCTACTGAAGATCCCAGATTCAGCACAGTGCGTGGGCTGAACAGGTCCACTATAGATTATTCCAAATACAAGAAAGTTATTAATTGGTCAGGAGTTTATGATATGGTTGATTTTGGTTCTTCTGTTGAGTTCACAAACGGAACAATCAAGTCGTGCAATAATAGTAGGTCAACCCGTGACGAGAAAGCAGCAGGTATCGTAAGATTGATAGATCCAGACTATAGTGCCTTCCGCGGTGTAGGTAATGAGTCAGTCACTTATAAATTTTTTGACCATGGTAGCAGCTATAATAATGATAACTATCATATAATTCATTGGTCAGATAAGATACAATCATATCTTAAAAGCGTCAGAAAGTTCTATGAGACTTACGTGTCCCTTTTAATCAATAGTATCAGCGATTTCATATCTATGTCATTCCCCATCGCATCTGACATGCTTAGCAAATCTGCTAAAAAGGAATGTGGTAGTAGTACCCAGTGGTATAGAACTTACAATAGTGCAGGAACTCAAGTTACATATTTAGTTGCCATTTCCAAATGGACAACAGGTAAGAACTGTGATACTCAAGCTACAAATGAAACGATTGTTGATGGATTAGAAGAAATGCTACAACAGGCAGATAACGAGCACCTGGCCTCTTGGTGTTCCAGTTTTAACAATGGTGAAACATGGAAAACTGATGTCAGATTTTTGTTGTGCTTAGAAACCCATTTTAGTGGTCAAAGTATTTGGGATATTCCGTGCGCTGACTAGGTAGTAGCAATTGTTCGTCCAGAGTGTTGTTTAGATAAGTTACATGGTCTTTACAAGTGACATCTCAAACTCTATGTTCAACAACAAACTTATTTACTTTTTTTTTTCTCCAAATTATTTAAATGTACCATCCTTTATTTTTAAGATGTTTTTATAAATATATTAAATATTATTGAATGTAAAAGTCTGCTACATATTTACAATGAAAGAGTGCAACTCTTTAATTACCTGGTGAATTTATCGAAATAGGCGATTTTGAGAATATTGTTAACGATCGTGAAACGAGGAGGATGATAGAATTCATCAGCTACTGAAACACATCATTTGCAACTACATAATGAAATAATAAACACGGTTAACTTAAATCGAGGTACTCAATTTAATGTACTTTTCTCTCAAAGAGTATGCGTCACAAATTACCGATAATACGAACAGCCGCAGTATGAATAATGGAGAAATGGAAGGGCCATATATATTTTACTCTTAATGGATTAAACCATGTTTAAATAACTATCTAAACGAATGAAATATTTACAAAAACAGGTCGATAACGGTATGTTATTGTATTAGTATAACGTTTGGAAATAGTTCATACCATGGTATATCGATATCTTCCCATCCAGACAGAGCGACATTCGATATGGCAACTACAAACTCGTATTAAATTATATATTAGTTAGCTAAATAATATGAATACAAATATATTACCTCGTTATTTACCACTTCTATATTACCGCAACCGTTCTCCCTCCCTTTTATAAATCTGTTTACTTCATCCACCTGACTTATATATCTTAGCCTGAGTACTAATGGTAAATAATTTTCAACGTTCGCCTTAAAAATATTCTGATGGGATAGTTCTTAAAGTGTAATAAAATAAAATTGACAAGTGTAAGATATATATATATGGACTTTTTATTTGGATCATCAATAAGAAATTGATATTCCTATCAAGTGTGTATATATAGATATTTTGTTTTAAAGGGCTGTACCAGTTCATTTATTGCCAAAAGTAGAAGTACTGAATCTTCCAAGAAAAAAAAGTAAGTCATTGCATAGCATACAAAATCAATTGGAACTCAATGTATTGACTTATTACCGATAAGTTTTCATATATAAAGAACCTCTTTGTTACTAATCAAATCAATTAAAATTATATGAGGTTCATGCTTAATCGTATTTCAAAGAGATAGTGATAAACATGACAAAGCTATAACATTATAATTCTATAAAATATAAAAACAAGTCGATGCTTTACTTATAAATATCACATTCGCAGATTCAGAATATCTCCGAAAAACTTTGGAACGTGAATAGTATATGGGTTCGAAGAGTAATAAAAGTATTTCTTGTTCATCGACTTCAACAGAAATATGAACAGATACCAAAAGAAAGTCAATTGTAAAATAATAATAGTAAAAATAATAGCATTCACGTGTATACTTGCATTATAAGGGACAAGATATGAATCTACCACTTATTATAAATGTACAGATACTTCCCATTCTCTTCCTAAGAGTTTTACCAAAATTATAACCAATAAAGAAGTATCATTTATAATTCTTGAAAGACAATAAATAAACAACATTATTCTTATCGAATAAATATCACTTACAAAATCAACCAATCCATACAAATGAAGTATAACTCCTGAAACAAGTAGTAACATCCCTGTTGGAATATCAATAAATTTGAAAGGATGGAAAATGTTATGAGCAGTAACGTCTTCATTTGGTGTGAATGTATCCGAAGGTGACATACCGATATTTTGTTCTTCATCGTCATCGTCATCAGCAATAGCTTCATTTCCACTTCCCTCACGTCTAAAGAAGTCGGGATGTTTAACGTAATAACTCACTACATAGACAACAAATAATCCTGTAAAGATCGAACCGCAGAAATTTGCTACACCTAGGAAACAACGGATAGCAAGGAGTTCTTGTTCTACATTTTGGCATACATTGGGAATGGTGAAAAAATTCACTATCATAGCACAAAATGCTTCAATCAATACAGTATAAATGATAGTTAAATTGAAACCGATAGATTTATTTGTTGAATAAAATAGCGCCATCCCTGCTAATGGAATTCTATACAAATTGAATGAATTATAGGAGATGGAAGATGTACTTGTCTGTGTATCGGGAGTACTCGTTGCATAGTTTAACATAGATAGAATAAAAGTTAGAGCACCAGTCCTGAACAGACTGCTTCTGATACTAGGGGCCATCATACGTTTGAAATGAAAATAAAATAATTTAAAGTGACCTTAGTTTATTGATTGTTTAACCAAAGGACCTCAAAGAGTTGACAGTGTTAATAAGTAGAAAAAAGACTGCCCTTATAGGTATGACGTTGCAACTTCCAGATATAGTTTATTTCAAGAAAACTGAAAGATGTTGTAGTCATCCTTGAATTTGGGTTGTATGTAAGCGGATTATTTCTTCTTATTTTCGTTTGCCGGCGATATCAAATATATTATAATTTTCTACGACTTTTCAGTGCATTGCAACGATCTCATCTGTAACTTCATTTAAGGAAAGCAATGCTGATATCCATACTTATATATATATATATCAAGGAAGATATTGCAACTTCTGCAGTTGCATCGATAATATTAACAAGAGGGAGAGCCATTACCAACACGATGTGATATGACGTGATGGTCAAAGTAGTGCTTACATATATATGTATGTTTTTGCTCAATCGATGGATTCTAATCTTGTCTGTAGAACTATATATATATATGTATACCGCCAATCACACATCTAACAAGAGTCTTTGCAATTGGAGTGCCAAATATAAACCGGCACCTCTCATTAGACACCCCTGCCAATAATACTGATTCGACCACACCCAAACCTCAACAAGTACTACCAGCCCTCGTTCCCATTGTCTTAAGTAATGGAATGCATGCATCACCTTTTACCTTTCTCTCTCTTTGCACTGCGAAAAGAACAACGCGACAGAAATGAAATTTTTTAGTTCTCAGTGGGAAGCAATTCAACCAACAATTTCACTCTTTTGATCTGGGGAAACTCGTTTGTTGTGTAAGCATCTATATCTGTATCTATATATATATGTGCTGTTGCAGTTTTATATTGCCAAGACAACCGTTTTTGGAACTTAGGTGCTGCTTTTAAATTTCTGCCCCAATCAGTCTGACAGTCTAGCACAAGTTATATATAGAAGCAATCAATGTCGTACCGTGGTGCTAATAATGGGTTCAATGGTGTACCTGCAACGAACCAGCAACAACAACAACAATCTGGGTTTGACTATAGTGCTGCCCAGAGCAGAGCTTTCAATGCAGTGAACAATAGTAATAACAATCGTGCCGGTAATGGCGGTAGTCAGGGTTCCTTTATGATCAAATTGCAAAGGGGACTGGATCAATTGAATACATTTGCTGAAGATCTAACGGATAAACCGTTTGTTAAAAAATTACAACCTTATATCCCAGGTCTTGCCAGATTCTTCATTGTGGCTACTTTCTACGAGGATTCCATTAGATTGTTCACTCAATGGAGTGATCAAGTGTTTTTCTTACATAAATGGAAACATTACCCAAGATGGTTTGTCGTTTGCTTCCTGGTTTTAGTCACTGTAGTCATGTCTATCGGCTCCACATTATTTATGTTAAGAAAACAAACTAATTACGCTACTGGTGCATTATGTGCATGTATCATTCTACAAGGTTTAGTCTACGGTTTATTCACAGGTTCGTCTTTCATCCTAAGAAACTTCAGTGTCATTGGGGGTCTATTGATTGCATTCAGTGACTCCATTGTACAAAACAAGACTACTTTCGGTATGCTACCAGAACTGCAAGACAAAAACCAAAAATTCAAAGGTTACTTGTTATTAGCTGGTCGTATCTTAATCGTTCTAATGTTTGTCGGGTTTGCATTCTCAAAATCTTGGTTTACCGTGTTCTTGACCTTATCTGGTACTGTATGCTTTGCCATCGGTTACAAGACCAAACTGGCCTCTTTATTACTAGGTCTGATATTGGTTGTTTACAATCTGTCCCTAAACAACTATTGGTTGCATACAGACTCCAAGAGAGATTTCCTAAGATACGAGTTCTACCAAAACCTAAGCATCATCGGCGGGTTGCTCCTGGTCACCAACACTGGTGCTGGTGACTACTCTGTCGACAGCAAGAAGAAAATATACTAAGCTAAACTGATATATACATATACATAAATATAAATATATAAACTTTTACTATTGATTACGCAATCTTCATGTTTTCTATAAATAGAACAGTTGCGGGCATTACCCTCACGTGACCCAATTTTTTCAGTCAGAAAATTTTCTTAGCGGCGCTCTTTGTTTACTGCGAATAAACAATAACAAATTCTATATATAAAGTATCAAGGAACCATCCCGAGGTGAGGTTGTTTGTTTGTTGTTGCATTAAGAGCAGGGATCAGTTCTATTTAAAAAGAAGTTCTTTTCCTATTTTATTTTTACTTCTGACGTTCTTTATCATTTGTTATATTAGTGAATAGTTACAAAAAAACACATATACAGCTATAACCAAACAATATGCGTTTCTCTACTCTCGCTTCTATTACTACCCTTTTGGCTTCTGCCTCGAAGGTTGCTGCTCTAGGTGAGTTAGCTTTCAACATCGGTGTCAAGAACAACGACGGTACTTGTAAGTCCACTTCTGATTACGAATCTGAACTACAAGTATTGAAGAGTTACACTTCTACTATCAAGGTTTACGCTGCCTCTGACTGTAACACTTTACAAAACTTAGGTCCAGCTGCCGAAGCTGAAGGTTTCTCCGTCTTTGTCGGTGTCTGGCCAAACGATGACGCTCATTTCCAAGCTGAACAAGATGCTTTATCTGCATACTTACCAACTATCAAGACCGACACTGTTGCTGGTTTCTTAGTCGGTTCCGAAGCTCTATACCGTGATGATCTGACTGCTTCTCAACTAGCTGACAAAATTAACACTGTCCGTTCTTTGATCGGTGGTATCAGTGACTCTGAAGGTAACTCTTACTCCGGTAAGCAAGTCGGTACTGTCGACTCCTGGAATGTGTTGGTTGCTGGTTACAACTCTCCTGTCATTGAAGCTTCCGATTTTGTCATGGCCAACGCCTTCTCTTACTGGCAAGGTCAAACCATGAACAACGCCTCCTACTCTTTCTTCGATGATATCATGCAAGCTCTACAAACTATCCAAACCACTAAGGGTTCCACCGACATCACTTTCTGGGTTGGTGAAACTGGTTGGCCAACCGATGGTACCAACTTCGAAGCTGCTTACCCATCTGTTGATAATGCTAAGCAATTCTGGAAGGAAGGTATCTGTGCCATGAGAGCTTGGGGTATTAACGTCATTGTCTTTGAAGCCTTCGATGAAGATTGGAAGCCAAACACTTCCGGTACTTCCGATGTTGAAAAGCACTGGGGTGTCTGGACTTCTAGTAACACTTTGAAATATTCCTTAGACTGTGACTTCTCTAACTAAAAGACATAGTTAGTATTGCATATATTGTATATTTATACGTATATATATGATCGTACTCACTATTCGTTTTTTAAACTATCGTTATCTTTTTTATTCTCAAGAGTTATTATCTTCTAAGTTACAAACCTATCTGGTTTTATTTTTCATTATTCCTAATGTGGTTACTTTACATTTCGTTACGGTTACATTAATCCCATAAATTTCATTAAACAAATATCAAATTAAATAACTATATATACCTATAAGATTTGTGAGTTGTGTCTTTACACGCAAAGGGCCCTTTCTTTATGTCACGTCAAATCCAGTAATTCCTTAAATATTATTGAGATGATCTAAGCTTGTTCTCTTTACTTCTCGTTCAAAACGATATTTTACAGTGAAAAATTTTTCAGTTTCATGGAACGCGCAATCACTGGAAATTTTATTCAATTTTTGGCAATGGCCCTTGGTGATAGCACCAAAACCTTGATAGTGCTTGTCCTCTTCTTGCATTGCAGTGGGTAAAACTATCAAATCGTTAATGATTTATTAAATTGAAACCTTTAACTCTAGTCCTACTATATTTATATATATATCTACATATTTTTATTGAACCAATTTTAATTAAATATTTTAAAACTCCAAACACACGAAGATAGATAATTGTTCCATATAAAAAACGAGAGAGAATACCCAATATGTCCCGTTTCTTCGCAACAACTTACGAATACGATAGTGATTCTTCCTCTTCTGAATCAGACTTGTTGTCCTCTTCTGAAGAAGAACTATTAAGTTCCTCTGGTGAAGAGTCCGATGACTCCCTTTTCAATGAAGACTCTGAAGGTTCAGATTCTGATGTCGATTCTGACGATTCCGATGGTAAACCTTATGGTCCAGATTGGTTCAAGAAGTCAGAGTTTAGAAAGAGTGGTGGTTCCGGTGGTAACAAGTTCCTAAAGGGTGCTAATTATTCCGATTCTGAAGGTTCCGAATCCGATGATGAAGGTAAAAAGGTCGTTAAATCTGCCAAGGATAAATTATTGGATGAAATGCAAACTGTCTTCGACAAGATTGAAACCGCTGAAATGTCTGATGACTGGATCTCCGTTCTAAATGAATTTGACAATATCACTCGTCTATTGGTTAGAGCTCAACAACAAAACTGGGGTACTCCAAATATTTTCATTAAAGTAGTTGCTCAAGTTGAAGATTTGGTTAACTCTACTTCCCAAGCTGATATTAAGAAGAAAGATGTCGCAAGAGCTTACAACACCGCAAGACAAAGAGTTAGAAAGGTTGCTAAAGAAAATGAAACATCAATGACCCAATTCAGAGAAAACCCAGATGAATTCGACAAGGAACCAACTGTTGACCTAGAGTCCTCTGAACCAGCTATGGATATTAATGCTCAGTTTGCTGCCAACAAATCTGTCAATCTTTCCTCTTTGGCCGCTGCCTCTTCCGAAGTTAGCTTTTTCACCTCTCTACGTATCGTCATTGATTCTAGAGGTAAGAAAAACGTTAACTCTCAAGATATGATTAATATCATCGAGGATCTACTAGCTTCTCCAACTAGCCCATATGAATCAATTATGGCTTATTTGAGTTTGATTCCAATCAGAATGGAAGCTACCAGCAACTTGTCCTACCAACCCATCGATCAATGGACAGCCGCTTACAATGATTACATGGCTCTATTAAACCTACTAGAAGATAGCATTGCTACTTACCGTGTCTCTGAATTGGCTACTTTCAACGAAGACATCGAAACTGAACCAGTTGCTGATGCCCAAGGTGTTAAGAACATTCTAGGTTCTTTATTTGCTTTTGTTGAAAGACTAGATGACGAATTTACCAAGTCTCTATTGAATTTGGACCCACATTCCAGTGAATATCTAATGCGTCTAAAGGACGAACAATTAATCTACAATATGATCTTAAAGACTCAATTATACTTGGAACAAACTTTACCTGCTGAAAAGAAGGAAAGCTTATTGGCCCGTGTCTTTGTTAAGAGATTGGATCATATCTATTTCAAATCCGATAAATTGAACATCATCATCGAAACCAATGCCTGGAAATCTGTTCCACAAGGTTCTAAATCTGAATACATCCCAGTTCCAGAAACCATCGATGGTAAGTACATCTCCGCATTGATAAACTCCTTATGTGACATCTTAATTAAACAAGAGGATTCCTTCCTACGTACACGTGCTATTTTATACTGTGTCTTCTTTACTGCATCAAATGGTAATTTCCATGCTGCCAAGGAAATGCTGCTTACTTCCAAGGTTCAATCTAACATCAGTAAGAGCAATTCCTCTCTACAAGTCTTGTTCAACCGTGTTGTTGTTCAACTTGGTTTATCTGCTTTCCAAGCTTGTTTGATTGAAGAGTGTCACCAAGTTCTAAATGAATTGTTGGCCAGTGCTCATTTGAAGGAAATTTTGGGTCAACAGCCTCTACAAAGAATCAACTCCAACATTGAAAACCGTGAAGAACAATGTATTCCATATCATCAACATATCAATCTTGATTTGATTGATGTCGTTTTTATGACATGTTCTCTATTGATTGAAATCCCACAAATGACCGCATTTTACTCTGGTATCAGAATTAAGAGATTACCATACTCACAAAAGTCCATTCGTCGTGTTCTAGAACACCACGACAAGTCCAGTTTCCAAGGTCCTCCAGAAACTTCTAGAGATTTTGTCTTGTATGCTGCTAAATCCATGCAAAAGGGTGATTGGGAAGCTTCAATTGCTTATCTAAAGAATATAAAATCATGGAACATGCTACCAAATAAGGATGTTGTCATGGAAAACTTGGTTGAAAGAATTAGGATTGAATCCATGAAATCTTACTTATACACATACAAGAGGTTTTACGCCAAGTTCTGCATAAAACAATTGGCAGACGTCTTCAACTTAGACACTGCTAAGGTTGTTGAAATTTTGGAATCTATCATTGCTGAATTTGAGATCAACTTCAAATTAAACGATGATAAGACTGCGTTGGTTGTTGAAAGTAGTGATGAGATCACCAAGTTAGAAGAAGTTGCTTTAAGATTAAACAAAGAATACAAAATCACCAAAGAACGTTTGTTTCCATCCCGTCGTCGTTAAATAGACAATCTAGAGCCATGAACTTCAAATTAACTGAGATGAAAGTCTATTTTTTATTTGTTTGTTTTGCAAACACAATACGAAGCTTGCAGAACGAATAATGAGTAAATAAGTTTATATAAATAGTAATTTATGTACATTAAACAGCAAAAAAATAAAATAATAATATCAATAATTAAAATATTTCCTCAGGATGAACTAGAGTTGAACTGTATTTTTTAAAAAAAAAAGAAAATTGTATTAAAGTTATATATAATTTACAGAGATGAATATATATGAATAAAGTATTCATATGAAATGGGAATATAAAACATAGGAGTCTATATATTTCCTCCCGATGCCATAATTATGAGATATGAGATATGAGTTGTTATTGTTTGTGTTTTGTGTTTTGTTTTTTGTTTTTGTTTTTATTGTTGGGAGGTTTTTTAACGTATATTGGTTGTTTTATTGATGACGGAACTTAATCAAATGGTATAAGGATTGACTTTATGCAAAATAAAAAAAATCGAAGATTATCTCCGAGAGAAATCTGATTCAGTAATACCTGATCTACTACACATACTTCTGAAAATTGTTTCTTCATTCTTGAATAGTTTCCATGGTGTGTCGAATTCAGCAATTTCACCTTTTTCGAGGACCAAAATTCTATCATATGATAAAATTGTCTTCAGTCTGTGGGCAATACATAAAATCGTACAGTCACCAAATGCGTCTATAATACGAGCTTGAATCTTACCATCTGTTTCATAATCAACCGACGAGGTTGCTTCATCCAAAATTAAAATCTTAGCCTGGCGTACAAGGGCTCTGGTTAATGCCAGAATTTGTCTTTCACCTAAGGAGAAATTAGCACCTTCTTCTTCAACAATTTGATCCAGGTGAAATTTATGCATGTCAATATGTGTACCTTTGGCATTTTCTTTTTCATTCTTGACTTTTTCAAGTTCTTGTTTTTCAATAGCGCCACCTCTAACAAGTGCATTCCATAGTAGTTCTTCGGAGTGTTCGTTGAATGGATCTAAATTCTTTCTAATAGTACCTTTGAACAAGACAGGGTCCTGAGGAATGATCGCAAGTTTCCTACGCAAATCATATAACCCGATTTTAGAGATGTCAGTACCATCAATAAGAATTTTACCACCGTCGAGTTCATTTAGCCTGTATAAAGCACTCATGATTGTAGATTTACCTGCACCGGTACGGCCACAGATACCGATCTTTTCACCACTGGATATTGACATATTCACGTTCTTTAGAACAATAGGTAAACCTGGTCTGTATGCAAAATCGACATCCTCGAATTGGATTTCACCTTTACTTGGCCATGACTCAGGTGGGGAGACCTCTGGTTTTTTGTAAGCTGCTTCCATTGGTAATTGTGTAGCATACGTAACCATTCTTTCGGCACTGTTCATATCGTTTTCAGTTTGTGTTAAAGCTCTTAGTACAGTATTCAATAAACCTGGTAATTGTAAAACATAAGTCAATAAAACACCTACAGAAGCAGCACCAATTGGGAATGCCCTAGTGACACAAAGAAGAGTAATAATTAATGCAAATGCCACAGCTATGATATCTAAGAAAATGGCGACCCATCTTTGGACAGCGATACTCAGATAACCGGCTTCGTTCATTTTGTTAATAAGGAAGTCTGATTTAGCTAAGAATCTTTCCTCTGATCTATAGTATTTAATTGTTTCCATACCACCTAGAACTTCGTTTAAGTTATTATACACGAATGACCGTTGGATAGCTTCTAGTCTTTTGATTTCTCTACCTGAGCTTTGATAATGGTCAGCAATAAAGACAAAGATCAGTAATAAAAATGGAATGGCAATTGCAAACCATGGAAGATAGACAATACACATAACACAAACACCAATGATGTTACCAGTTTGATATAACAGTAGACGCACGCTTTCAGTTAGTTCGTTATCTAAACTATCAGTATCCTTCGTGAAACGATTCAAAATACGACCAAGAGGAGTAGTATCTAAGTAACTCATTGGTGCATGAAGAATTCTATGAACAGCTCTTAAATTTAACCATTTCGAAGCCAAAACACCGATATGACAGACAAGTGTAAACTGCATGGACATGAATATATAACTACCAAAGACGAAAAATGAGTAGAGACCCATGTAAAAACTGGTTGATCTATCCTTAAATTTATTTTCAGTCCAAAATGATAGCCAAACTGATGAGAATAATGTGCAAAACGTTGTTGCTGTAATTAAAAGAATGTATAATGGAATTGCAACATATCCCCATTTACCGACACCAGCTTTCAGATATTCCTGGTAGATTCCTAATTTAATACTATTAACAGCTCTTTCTTCCTTTGAGGTCAAATGACCATCGTCGTTTGCTTTATTGGTAACTTCTTTTTGAAGCCTATTCTTTTCTTCGGCTTCTTTATTTTCATCCTCTATCTCTTGTTCTTCGTCATTCTCTTCCTCTTTTTTCGATTCTGTTGCAAACTGTAGTAAGTTAATTAAAGTTTCATTTTTTACCTTCATCTCAGAAACTGGACCTATTTCAAATGAACCATCAGTACCTAGAACAATAATCTTGTCGGCTTTTTCAATTAATGACAATTGATGAGTTGCCAAGACTCTAGTCTTGTTATGTAGTAAACCACAAAGACATTCATCCATGATTAGTTTTCCAACACGAGCGTCGACAGCACTTAGAACATCATCAAACAAAAAGATATCTTCGTTTCTATAAACAGATCTTGCTAGATTGATACGAGCCTTTTGGCCACCAGATAAATTAATACCACGTTCACCAATTTCAGTCTCATCACCAGCAGGTAGAATCTTTAAATCATCTTCCAGGGAACATACCTTTAGAACTCTTTCGTATCTTTCCTTATGGAATGGAGAACCAAATATAATATTATTCTTGACGGTAGCATTTTGAATCCAAGGGTAACCACCCATTAACAGGTGACCATTAATTTGAATTCTACCACCAGTCTTTTTCATCGAACCAGCCAAAGCATTAAGTAGGGAGGTCTTACCTGTACCAATTGGACCTGTAATCATAACAAATTCACCTTTCTTAATTTCGAAATTCAAATCAGTAAATTTTGTAAAAGTCTTGGTTTTATCAGAATCGTCATTAGCATGATCAACTTTGGATATCTCCTTAGAATTTGGTCCCGTTGGGTTTTTATCTTTATTGTTTTTAGCTTCCTCTTTCAATCTCTTTTTTCTTTGTTTTTCTGTCTCCTCTGATTCGATCCTTTGCTTTTCTTCTGCATCCAGCAGTTCGTAATCTTCCCATTCAAAGGATGCATTTTCTACTTTGATGGCAATACTTGGATCTAAGTCAGCAGATGGTTTCAATTCTTCTCTTGACATTGGATCTTCTTCTGCAGTTTCTAGCAATTCTTGTAAACGACCTAACCCGATAATCATATCAATACCAGTACTTAAAGCAATAGGGAAGAAAAACATTTGAATACTTAACACTTGGAATAATGATAAAGAGGAGAAAACGTTACTTGGTGTTCTCCCCATGTTGTTAACTTTATACATGGCTAAGAATGTGACCAGTGATGCAATGTTTGGTAATGACATGGCCAAAGCAATCATGAAATTTCTTGTATATTGCATTTTTCTAACATTTTGAATCTCTGAAGACCTTATATCTTGAACATTAGCCTCATAAGCGTCTTCCCAAGCGTAATATTTCACCATTTTCATATTATTTAAGATTTCTCTCATTTTTCCAACTCTTGCATCTGTAAATTTGTTAGCTGTGACTCTATATTTAATAATAGATTTGAAGACAATCATAGTGACCATTAAGATAACAATGAATAAACCAATACCTACTAAAGCAATAGCTCCCAAGTTAACAATTAAAAGAACAATGGCAATGGCAAATATAGCAGGGAACCCAACCAGAAATGGTTGAAATGACAATGCAAATTCTACTCTTGCTAAATCAGTGGTAATAAATGATGTGACTTTACCATTTGGAAATTTATGTTTTGAATAATTGGAGACTCTAAACATTTTATCTAGAGCAGCTTTTGTCAGTAAAGATTTAGCTTGTGAACCAGTCAGTTGTGATGAATGGAAAAAATGATTGAAGAGAACACCATTAAAGAACATCATTACACATGCACCAATAGCATAACCAATACCTGCATTAACTTTTGTATCATGGAACATAGCTTTCTTCTCTACAAAAGCAATTAATCTCTTTGTGATCATTGGATTAAAACCAGATGTACAATTTGCCAAAATAGCCATCAAGCATGAGAATAAGAATTGCTTTTTAAAAGTGAAAAACAAAACTCTTAGCATTGTTAATTTTGGTAATCTTGTCTTATCTCTAACTTCTTGTTCATTTGCCTCTGGATGCAAAGCAGCATATTTTTTTCTTGCTTTTACAAAATACCAATTTAAATTTTTTTCAAAATCTTTATAGATTGTTTCTATAGCCATTCTTTGATCCATTTTAAATAAATCATTTGGTTGAACTGTTCTTTTATAACCTATCTTAATGATTGGTACAACCCACCACAGAAAGAAATTTGATAATAAATTTGTATGAAATAAAGGATAAATTTTTCTTTCATCATCATTCATGGGTACTTCAGGAATTTTCTTACTATGTAAGAAACTAAACAATCTTTTTTGTGGGAAAATATCAGATTGTGTAACTTTTTCCACATCATCTTTATTTAAATAAGTTCTTGGAATATTTCTATTAATTTTGTATTCACCGGTAGAGAGCACTGTGAAATCAGAACCGTGGGACTCTAAAGAGCTAGTTTCTTTTAGAATAGAAGCAGAATCTGTAGAAAGGTGATAGTCTTCATCATGTCGTTGTCGTTCATCTGAAGAGCTTGTATATGTAATTAAATGTTGTCCATTGAACTCCTCTTTCTCATTCTGAGAATTATTATTCGTGGTAGAATTTAAATCAGATGACGAATGGGCGGTCATCTAAAACACAAAATATATTGTTAAGCCTCTTTGTATTGCAATAAAATAACAAAAAAATGGCAACTGTTTGATTATGTATCTTGATTTGAAAATTTTAATAGGGAAAATAAAAATTAGCGATGCAAAACTTTTCTTCTAGTATTTTTATATTAATAAATAAAATTAAAAGAATACCAATACACTTAATAACCAATAACGATATGTGTATGAGGGTATGTGTTAAAATGCCAAAATGGAAAGTAACTATATATACATATATATATATATATATGTTTTAAAAATAGGAAATTCTAACAATGAGTAAAATACAAAATATGTCAGAAATAAAATTACAAGCTACGTATCCGAAATTAACATACTTGTGCAGTGCTTAATATAAGCCTATCATCTAATTAAATAATCACTAACCATCAGTAAAACATGAATCATCATCACAACAATAATAGCCATCATATTTTACTTTAGTTTCATTAACTCCAGAAACTAAGCTTAGATTAAAGAGGGAGAGATCCCCATACAAAATGTGCCAAAGAGCCACGTACAGAACAAAGCAATATTTCCCTCCGTTGGCTTAAAATTTAAAGAAGAAAATTTTGCAGGCATTCTTAACTCCGCGGAGAATTATCATTGTTAGTACTGTGATGGAATGCCAAGCTCGTTCTGAGCCTCTCTTATCGCGCAATATAGGGAGAAAGTCGATGTCTTAACTCCAGGGAGTTTGGTGTATATGTATAGCTATGCTGCGATGAATGGGTGGAGGCTTATTATCAAAGAAATTCTCGCCTATATTTGTATGGGGGACGGGAGCTCGTTGTCTGGATTTGTCAGTTGTGGACAAAGTCCCGCGGGATGCAATTTGATCGAGAAAGAGGTAGCCCACATTTAGGGTTTGTTCAGAACCGTTTCTTTGTCACGTGGACGGAAATTCGAAATTCGAAAAATCTGAAAATTTTTTATTTTCAGTTCATTTGGCACTGGCAACCGTAGAGAATTTTTGCGATGAGATGACATTAGAGAAGAGGAGTGGTTGAACAAATACAAGATTAACAAAAAACCTATCCAATATTAATTGCCATCTGGTAGTGTATATTAGTGTGTGTCATCACAGAAGAGTCAACAACGAATAAAAGTAGCGTATCGATCGATTGAATTTTGATTGCAAGACATTACAAAATATGGGTTTAGCTGCAACAAGAGTGAAACAAAGGTTTGGTAGAGATCCAAGAAATACCAATTGGAGTAATGACACGTCCAGGTTTGGCCACCAACAACTGGAACGGTTTGGGTGGAAGCCTGGGATGGGGCTAGGGATGGCTCCGATGCATTCCCATACTTCACATATTAAAGTACATGTTAAAGATGATAATGTCGGACTTGGTGCTAAAATTTCTAGAAAGGGACGTAAGGATGAATTCGATAATGGTGAGTGTGCAGGTTTGGATGTATTCCAAAGGATTTTGGGACGTTTGAATGGGAAGGAACAGGAGATTGAAAATGAATTGGATTTACAAAGAAAAGAAAAAATTCTTGATGGGAAATGGGGTGTACATTTTGTTAAAGCAGATGTATTGGCAAGTACATGGGATCCAAAGACTAAAAAAATAAAATCATATTCAAACAAAAAGAGTAATTCAAGTGATGATGAAGAAGAAGAAGAACCATCAAAAAAAAAGAAGAAGAATAAAAGAAATCGTAGTGATGATGATGACAATGATGAAGAGGAAAAGAAACATCATAAGAAACATAAACATAGTAGTGATAAGAAGAAAGCTAAAAAGGCAGCTAAGAAAGCTAAGAAGGCAGAAAAGGCTGCAAAGAAGGCAGAAAAGAAATCTGCTAAGAAAGCATTGAAAATGAAATCAAGTAAAACTGCATCAAATATTCCAACAGCAATAACAACAAGATTATCAGTACGTTCCAAATGGATTAAACAGAAACGTGCTGCTGTCATGGATGCCAAAGCTTTGAATGAAATCTTCATGATTACCAACGAATGATAGAATACATATATAACATATATATATATTTGTAAATCAATACACATTACATTTTAGTCATATTAAATCGATACGCAATACAAACTTTTTTTAATAGAACAAAAAAAACGCATTAAACTATGTTCTTTATATAAAAAAAAACTGTACATATGTAAATATAATTAATGTAATAATATATAAACTATTTGTCCTTCATTAATTTGAATGTTAATAATAACTGTAGATAACTAATAATATCTTTTTTTTTTTAAATTTTTTAAATATTATGGAATAACTGTTTGTATGTGTGTGTATATGTATTATTATTACAATTACAACAAGGCGAAACCTAGACTGGCAACGACGGAGATGGTACCGAATGATGTCAATAAAGTTTGGATGAAGCCTAGGTCATTTTGGGAGACGGCAGCATTCTTCTTGGAAGAGGTCTTGGAAGAAGTCTTGGAACTAGAAGAGGTCTTAGAACCAGAGGAAGTCTTAGAACCGGAAGAAGTGATGGAACCAGAAGAAGTTTTGGAACCAGAAGCAGAACCAGAAGTGAAAGTAGCAGAGTCACTAGCAGTGTTGGTACCAATGGAACCAATTTCCTTCAAAGCGGCAGAACAACCATCTTGGGTGACAGCAGATTGAACAGAAGCGGAACCACTGAAGTCACAATCGGAGCTTGAACCACCGTTGGATTCGTAGTATAAGTTTAGGACGAAGTTCAATTGTTCTTCAGCAGAACAGAAGGAGTAAGAACCGTATTTACCGGAGGTACCATTACCTGAAATACCATCACAAGAGACGTAAGCACAGACGTAATCGAATAAGTCAGCGTAGTCATCAGAGGAGACATCGGAGGAGACAACACAAGTGTTAGCAACGTTCATACAAGAACATAAGTCTTCATCTGGAGTTGGTGGTAAGACGGTGGCGGCAGCCCAATTCTTGTTGTTGGTTGGACAAGCTAAACTGGTAGAGGCAGCGGTGTAAGAAGCGGTATTAGCGGAAGTTGGGGAGATCTTATGGATTTCACTAGAGTAGTTGTTGAAATCGTCTCTTGTAGAGACGGAAGAACCGTCGATAGAGACAAGACCATAATTGTTGGTTTCTTGGAAATACATGTAAACGATACCACCGGACCAAACGTCGGTCATATCATCACCATATAAAGTTTCGACTTCAGTGAATAATCTTGGAGTAACTTCATTACAACCGTATTCAGAGAAGAAGATTGGGACACTAATATTCTTGAAATCGCTAGTTCTGTCTTGGTAACCAGAAGTTTTAAAATCAGACTTACCACACCATTCGTACATATTAATACCGTAGAAATCGGCTTTAACGTCATCATCACCACAAGCGAAGTAATCGGCCATTGGAACACGAGTATCTTCGTCATCGTTGGAAGAGTAACCGACTGGGATACTTCTATAACCTTGGTCCTTGATGTATTGTTTAGAGTCTCTTAGAGCAGCCTTAACGAAAGCGGAAGCTGGAGTGTTAGTGTTATTGTTAGTGACTTCATTACCAGCGAAGAAACCTAGGACGTTAGTGTAGTTAGCGAACATATCGATAACGTCCTTATAACGTTGGAATAAGTCGACGGTCCAGGTTGGATCCAATCTATTAACAGATTGTTCTGGAGAGGATAAATCGGCAATAACATAAATACCTGCATCGTTCAAAGCCTTCATACATTGAGAGTGATCTAGGGTTGTGTTAACGGCGTAAACACGGATAACGTTAGTGTCTACTTGTTGTAAATATGGGATATCTCTTGAACAACTTTCAAAATCGGCTAAAGGATCATTGATAGTTGAACCAGAAGTGACGTTAGCGGTATCAGCTTGATAAGCAACACCTTTGATATAGAATTGAGAGCCGTTAGCAGAGTAAAAAAACTTGTTACCTACGACTTCGATGGCTGGTAGATCAGCAGCAGCGACTAAAGAAGTAGAAGCCAAAAAAGTTGAGGCCAAAGTAGTTAGTAAAGATTTACTGAACAACATTGTAATGTAATATTTTTAAAAAAAAATGTGTACGGTTCTATTGCAATTATTAAGAAGTAAAAAAAGAATATAAATAAATAAAGCGAAAAAGAGTCTGCATCGAGAGAAAGAGAGAAATATAAATAATTTTTTAAGAAAAAGAGAAAAGGACTAAGTTCATTATATATATATAAATGTCAAAAGAAATAAAAATAAAATGTAAAATATAAAAATAACAGAAGAAAACAGGATCGTAGTTCGCTAAATCCAGTAAAAAAGTGAGTGCATGTATTTTTAATTCCCTGAGAGGTTGAACAACGGGACCATAGACAAGTAAATTGAAGAATTAAAATTTCCTCGAAGGGTAAAAATTGTTACTTCAACAGCTTCACAATAACAACAACAACAAAAGAAACCGATGTAAGGAAATCAGCTATTGAGAGAAAAGCGGTGAACGTGATTAAGTGTGTATGTCAGCGCAAGAAGTGGCGCAGTACTAATGGAGTAATGCAAAAAATGAAAGAGCAGAGACGGCAAAAGTTCGCGTGGTCGTTGGTCGTGACATGGACGAATTAAAATAAGATGGCGGGGCAAGTTGTAGGGTGCTGCCGGAGCACTCCGTGGATTTGTGTGACTGAGACGCCAATTTCTTTTGTGTTTACGTTTTTCGTGCTGTCCGTGCGGTGGTTCTTTTGTGGCGAGAGCAGCAGCGCAAATTGTCGGCACCTGTTGTTGTTGTTGTTTTTCGCGTGGGGGGCGTGGGCGTGTGGTATTGCCGAAAGGAGGAACCGGCCTATTTTTCGTTGTTGTCGCGTTTATTTGTTGTGATCACTGGGCACGGCGGGAGGGTAACGCGTGCTGTGCCGTGTGCTGTGACAGAGCGGGTAATGCCCAACGTGCCGTGCACCACGACAGGGAGGGTAACGGCCTCTGTCGCTGTCGCTGTCTCATACGATTCGTTTACCGAAGAGGCATGCCACTGCATGCACCGAAGGTGGTGCGAGGGGAATACACAAACAAAAGAAGCGTTTCAAATGGGCCCGTCGAAACGCGCTGCGGGCAACGCTCTGCAATATGAAAAATTTTCACCCATTTGCCGAATCGAGGAATTTCCCAAAGTGAGGACAACCTTCCACAACGAGACTAGTTCTTCCCCTCGACGGTTTCCAATAAACAATAAACAAGATACTGAAAGAAGAAAAAATATAATTTATATAGCCTGATGTGTATTCTACTCTAACACAATACACACCCTCCCTTCTTGCATTCTCTATTTTTCACTCCTGTTGTTTGTTTTATGGATATGGGTTTCTTAATATATATACTCTCTTTCTCGCTTGATATATATCCTGATTCTATTTAATAACCATTTTCTCTTGTATTTTTACTTCATTACAATTTTAGGATTACTTTTATTTGGTAAATATCATATAGATAATTAATAAGAAAAGAAAGGAAAAACCAACGTCTAATACATTCATTACAATTCTCCCAACTACTTAGTCACTCTTTAATTCTAGTTTTTTAATTTTTTTAGTCGTTCATTTTCATTATTATTATTATTATTAACCAATACTTTCATTAAATCATGCGTTTCTCTACTTTACTAGCTACCGCCTCTCTAGTCGGTGCTGCTGCCGCTGCTCCAGCTGTTCACAACCACAACGAAAAACGTGATGTTGTCACTACCACTATTCAAGCTGAAGCTACCGTTTACGTCGACGGTAATGGTAACCCAATTGAAACTCAACAAGCTGTTGCTGCTGTCGCTCAAGAAAAGGCTTTGGTCTCTGCTGTCCAAGCTGATGCCCTAGAAGGTGCTGCCACCACTCCAGTTGCTGCCGCTGCTACTGCTAAGGCTGCTACTACTAAGGCTACCTCTGCTGTCACTCAAGCTACTTCTGCTGCTTCCTCTTCTTCTAACACCGGTGCTGCCGGTGTCAAGGGTGTCACTTACTCTCCTTACAACGCCGACGGTTCTTGTAAGTCTGCTAGTCAAGTCTCTTCCGATTTGGCTCAACTGTCCGGTTACCCAACCATTAGACTATACGGTGTCGACTGTAACCAAGTCGCTAACGTCCTACAAGGTAAGAGCGCTTCTCAAGACGTCTTCTTAGGTATCTTCGACGTCAACCAAATCCAATCCGCCGTTGACACCATGAAGGCTGCCATCGACCAATACGGTTCTTGGGATGAAGTCGTCTCTGTCTCCGTCGGTAACGAATTGGTTAACGGTGGTCAAGCTACCCCAGCTCAAGTCGGTCAATACATCGACACTGGTAGAGCCGCTCTACAAGCTGCCGGTTACAACGGTCCAGTTGTCTCCGTCGACACCTTCATTGCTGTCATCAACAACCCAGAACTATGTAAGTACTCCGACTACATGGCTGTTAACGCTCACGCTTTCTTCGACAAGAACACCGTCGCTTCTGACTCTGGTTCTTGGTTACTACAACAAATCCAAAGAGTTTGGACCGCTTGTGATGGTGCTAAGGACGTCGTCATCACCGAATCAGGATGGCCATCTCAAGGTCAAACTTACGGTGTTGCCGTCCCATCCAAGGACAACCAAAAGGCTGCCGTCTCCGCTATCACTTCCTCTTGTGGTGATTCCACTTATCTATTCACTGCTTTCAACGATTTATGGAAGGCTGACGGTGAATACGGTGTTGAAAAATGGTTCGGTGTTCACTCCGATGAATAAACAATTTAACAATTTAAAACAAACTTGGAAATAATTAATCTTTAACACTGATACCCCTCTAACCCCCTTTATTACACTTTAATTTGTTTTTCCACAACTATGTTTGTTTGTTTTTCATCATCCTCTATTTTTAATACTATTAGCAAAGATAAAATTCATTTTCTAACAACAATCTTTTTTTTTTTCATTTTGTTGTTTTGCTTTCATAGTTTTCGTCTACTAATACTTGTATTTCTTCCCAGGTTTTAAATTTTTTGCACTAATCATTATTAAATCTATATCATATATTGATTTAGGTTATATATATATATATGCTTGTGTGCACATTTTTATGGACGTGGTTTGTTTTTTACTTTTTTATACCTCTATATACTTTCCAATACATATATATGTAAACTACAATTTCTTTTTTGTAAATTGATAAAAGTAATTATTACAATTCATTATTTCAGCCTCTATTTCTTCTTCTTGGTGGTGTCACTGATCTACGTCTCTTATTATTTGCTTGGCGACGTGGCGGAGTTACCGATCTGCGCCTCTTGGACACTTCGTGATTCTGTTGGCTGCGTTCCTGGTTAGATTGATGAGGTTCATACCTCGACTTGCGTGATATTTCCTCTTTAGGTATGTCTTCTTCTTCTTCTTCCTCTTCTTCTTCAACCTCTTCCTCATCCTCCTCTTCCTCCTCTTCAGCCTGTTCTTCCAATATTTGCAATTCGCGTCTCATGCTTTCTGTCAACACACCAAGATTGATTGCAGTGAAATAATTAATTGCATATCTCATATCATCAGGATCCTCCTTTGGGAACATCCCCTTTAGATACGGTTGAATGTAACCTTCATTTAATCGAGCGCTTAATTCATTAATACCAATTTCAAATACAATTTCTTGAAAGAGAAATTTCACAAAGATTCTTAATTGAGCTGTACTACCAGCTTCAGTCATCTTGATATCATTAAACACTTCAAAGCCTAATAAATCTGTACTCAATAGATGACCCCAAAATTTGCCACTATTTCTCAATCCATTTGGTTCTAAATCATCCAATGTATCTAGTCTGTTACGGAATGTAATAAGAAATGCATTTTTCCAAATTCGATGTGCTCCTAATAACTTTTCTGTTACAAGACCGTAAAACTTCGAATATGTAGCCTCTTGGATCATTGATCGTTCTAATATATCAGCAACACAATGTTTGTCTGAGTCTGGGATTCTCATTTTTAGTAATTTATGAGCAGCTTCATCTCCAGATAATGAACTCTTCAAAGTAAGATATATTTTCTTTTTGAAGTCCGTAGCCTCTGAATCTGTCATATTATGTACAACAACGGTCTCAGTTTCCTCGTTTCTTAATTCTTCAACTTTCATTATCCTTCTTTCCACGGTTTCGTGTATCTTATTAAATGTCTCTACATCTTGATCGTGTCTTTTGGTAGCACTAAACTCACCCAATTTAAAATTAGGTGGTTTACTCAGGAAATCAGGATCAATAAATACCAGAACTGCATGTGCTGACCAATCATCTTCGATACCAAAAGGTTTCTCTAACAGTTCTTGTTCTGGTACGTCTGTATATTGTTTCTGTCTAACTTCAAGAACTTGTTCAATATCATATATTGTTCTCGAGGACAAATATCGATTATCTTGTAACAATTGTCTTAATTGGTCTACCAATTGATTGTGAATCTTTTCACTAGAATCTAACAATTTCTTTCCACAATTCATTAAAGTCCTACATATGAGTGACATACTTGCCTCTTGCCTACCTTTGTCCTTTGTGTTCTCTATCTCTTCGGACATCGATTGTAAAGCGTAAAGAATCACCACCATATGAACAGCGTCGTAGTTGTATAGTTGGGATAATAAGGCCATCATTCTAAAACATTCATAGTATTTGACATTTTTAAAATAAAATATGAATCTTCTAACACATTCATCTATAAGAGATTGACCAAATTCTGTATAATCAATATTAATGCTACTTGCTAATAATGCAAGTCGTCTTGGGTCATATTTACCTGTTAATATTGTGTTAATCAAAATATCTTTACCAGTTACAATATTGACATCAAAAATACGTCTATATGTCTCTAAAGCATCTCTATTATGTAGATTTTCCATCACATCGGTTATATGTTTTCTAATGGAAGACCATTCCTCCCTTTGTTTCTCAATGGATGGTCTATATTCCTCGGACTCTGACTGCATATTTTGTTGCTAACTCTAAATATGCAAATGGTAAACGTTGTTGCAAACTTTTTAAATATATAAGAAAAGATAAATCAAAGCTCTAACAGAACGGTATGATCTGAAATTTCTTTGTGAAGTTCTATTAGCTCATCTCTTATTTACACAGTTTAAAAAAAATTGTCTTTAAATGCGCGAATCTTAATTATTCAAGGACCCAATTCAGTGTAACTATCAGAAAACAAAGGTGGTTATCATAATCTTCTATTAGAAAGAAAGATACATAAGTTCATTGCTTGCTATATCTATCCCAAACAACTCAGCTTTGGAGAGCGTGTTTATTACTATCATTTATCATATTATAACAAAATTCAATTGAAAACAATGGTTAGAGTCGGTGTTGTGATAAGCGATGTTTACAATTTAAACTATAAGAAAATTACCAAACTTGCAGCTGCATGTCTTGCAAATCACATAGATGAATTTAAACAAGACAACAACGGTCAATTTGACGTAATACTTCGTGATAAAATCCAAAGTTCTCATCATTTAGATGATATTTTGGGTACACTGTACAACTCAATAAGAGAATATCTGATTAGTGAAAAGTTAGACCTTCTACCAATTAATATATTCTTAGGAAATTTCAACAGAGAATTGATACATTGGGATTTTTTGTACGTTATGGAAGGTGATTTAATACGAGACAATGATGGGTTCCAATATGACACAATACGGAATATCAATGATCCAAAGGAATGGATCGAGATAAGGAAGCCTGATGAATTGGCCGCCATTGAAAATTTTAAAAAGGACCATAATCTACATAAGGTATCTGCATTGGGTGGTACATTTGATCATCTCCATGATGGACACAAGATTTTATTAACAGTGGCCGCGTTCTTGACATCTGAGAGACTAATTATTGGTCTTACCGTTGAAGAGTTACTTGTCAGCAAAAAATATAAGGATATCGTTCAAGATTTCGACACTAGAAGAGAAAATGTTGTGAGTTTCCTAAATACTTTTAAACCAAGTCTTAAGATAGAAATTATACCTTTGAAGGATGTATGTGGACCAACAGGAACTGTGCCTGAAATAGAATGTTTAGTGGTCAGTAGAGAAACTGTGAAAGGCGGTCAAATTGTTAATAAGACAAGAAAGGAGAGAGGTATGTCACAATTGGATCTGTACGTTGTAAACGTCCTAGGTGGTAAGGAAGAAGATGGTTGGAAGGAGAAAATGAGTAGTACTGATATTCGAAAATTAATTAGTTCTCGAGAAGGTACTTCCACTCAAATATAGTTTGAATTGTACACTGTAGATTCCATTCTGTATGTGTTTTAAGTTTTCTAGTAAATTTCTATATAGAATTGTAAAGTAACTAAATATTAAATATCTTTGATAATGACAATAAATTATTTTTCAAAATTTACATTTTTGAAGATTTATATAATTTTATAGTTGAGTAATGGATAGGTAAAAGTTACCTTATATCTGCTCTAGTAAACAAATTTTGCTGTAAAAAAAAATTCGATTATTTAACGTGAATTACACTATAATAGGAAGTTCTTGCTGATGTTAAATAGATTATTATGGAATTCTCTATTTGGTATAAGGTAGTTATAATATCATATGCGACATATTGTCGATGTCTAGCGAGATATGAGGTCATTTTTGAACTTCTACCCCTCAGCAACTAAAAGTAATAAACATAATGACTATCAAAATAGCATACTACCTAAACGAATGTCTCTTTATACTATTTTTATAATTTTCCCAAAAAACGATTGTTAATTGCCTTTAATGTCATATCTTCGATGAACCTTTGGCATGATTCCTTAACGCCTACGGAGTTTTCTTCGTGATGACGTTCTGGTTACAAATTTTTTTCTTCTTCCAAAATCAAAAATGGTTTTGTAGATGCCTGTCGTTCTAATCATTGAATTACCAAGAGCAACAAAGATTTGAAGATCGAGGGACAATTTTGATCCCAGTTTCCATTGAATAAAAAAGGTGTCATTGTACATGTATTACCAGTATTATAAAATATAAAAAGAACAGCGATCGCTATATATTTATTGTCATTTAGGATTAACGTGAAAAATCTATATATTTATATTCTATTGAGGTACGACAACCATTCAATTAATTGCTAATCAGAGCTAGCCAATAATATTTATATTTTATCTTCATTTTTGCTATCTATTCATATATTTTAGTTATAAAACAATAATATGACTTCCTTTGTACCAGAGTCACCAAAGATCTCTCCCAAAAAAATTTCAAATACTTTGGCATCTCAAGATATTACATCAAATGAAGACACTATAAAAGAGAATTCAACATTTTCGCTCTCTCCAAATAGACCTAATTCTGTTCATGATAAAGTTGCACTTTTGTCTATCCATGGATCAGATGGGGCTCATAAGAACCTCCTGGAATCGTTAGAATCCAAGATCAAAGCTCCACCTAAAAGAAGAAGATCCAGTGCTCAACTTGCCTTACAAATTAATAACAACAGTAGCCATAATGAGTCCTTATCAAGAAAAAATAGTGTTACGAGCATGAAGGTAATTAAAAAAAAGAAGAAGATGAACAAACCTATGGAATTAAAAGTGTTTGAAACTGCTTATACTAAGAAAATATCCATTAAAGACCTAAGAGATTTGACTTTATTCCTTATGAATGCTAACAATAATATGCCTCAGTGGCTTAGATTAAAGAATAGACCTCAAGTGTTGAAGATGGTAGTTCTATTTATGCCCGGACTAGAACCTCAGGATTTTGAGATACCATCAGGTAAATCTTTCTCTACTGATCTACCATATGATAACCATATATTTTTGAAAAATAATACAAACGAAACTTTGATACAGAACTGTACATCAGTACCAATTACAGCTCCTGGTTCCAGATTATCCTTATTCTCATCATACAATTCATTTATAAATGTTGGTTTAACAAAAAATGAAAAACAATTAAAGAAGAATGAATTATCAAATAAAAAAGTTGTTATCGATGATTTAATCATGAGATTAGATCAATTGATGGAAAATGGATATCCTATTCACCCTCACACCGAAGGTATCACTGATGAAGATAGAGTCAAAGACATCGAAATAAATAATGCAAAGGAGAATGATCCATTGTGGTATAATACTATTTCATTTGATCACGCAGGTTCTCATATATTTGGGCTAGATTGTGAAATGTGTCTTGCTGGCAAAGATTTTGTTTTAACAAGAGTCTCGATCTTAGACTTTCAAAATAATGTCATATATGATGAGTTAGTTAAACCAGATGTGGAGATAACCGATTATTTAACTAGATACAGTGGTATCACCAAGGAGAAGTTAGATCCTGTGACTACAACGTTAAAGGATGTTCAACATAAAATAATTAAACTGATAAGTTCCAAGGATATCTTAATAGGTCATTCATTACAGAGTGATCTTCTTGCATTAAAATTAAGACACCCAAGAATTGTTGATACTGCTGTAATATATGATCATAAGGCTGGCCCACCTTTTAAACCAGCTTTGAAATATTTAGCATCTGAATACTTGAATATTAGTATCCAGAATAATAATGATGATGGCCATGATTCTATTGAAGATGCTAGAACGTGCATTGAATTGACCAAATCAAAGATATTGAATGGACTATGGTTTGGTATCTCAATCAATACAGAAAATTTATTTGTGAGATTAAGTGAGAGGAGTAATAAGAAATCATTAATTTTAAATGATTATGTGTCCAAGAATTTCGATTTAAAGGATAATATTTGTGTTGGTAATTCTCAAGCATTATCATTATCTAAAAAGATTCGTTGTATTAGTGATACTGAAGTTTATGATAATATTCAAGCTCATCTCGATGATTTTGATATTTGTGTTGGTAGGTTAAGAGAACTTGAGTTCAACAGAGGTTATTCCCAAAGACCCCCACGATCTGCAAGTGTCAATCCCAAGACCAGTGATGAAATACTGAAGTTATTCAATGAACGTATCAATAAAATATATGAAGAATTACCCGTAGGCAGTGTGATATTTTTAGTAAATGGATGTGGTGACACAAAGGACTTCAATCATATTATGCAAGAGATGAATGCGTTGAATAAAGAGGATAGAATTGCTATGAAACAAGAACGTGGTGAGGAATTGGCTAGTGCGGTCTTGAAGGCTAGGGATAGTGTTGCCAGTGTAATTGTAAAGACAGAATCTACTACTTTGAATTGAGATACACTCGTCTCCCCCTCCAAAAAAGGAATTATATATAATAAAGACAACTATATAAATACACATAGACGTATATCGTCGAGAGGCGATGATTCATGCGTTTCAATAGAATAATAAATGTGAGTTTTTTTTCTTAAATAATAGTTACATAACTTCGATAGAGTATTAATCTTTCATTTCGATATCATTAGATTCAGGGACTGGATCAGATACAGAAGCTTCTTTCGTCGATTCAACAGAAGGTGACGCTACAGTAGGAGTCTCTTCTATTGGGGTTTCTTCAACAGGAGTCTCAACAGTTGGTGCAGGAGTTTCCCCGGCTTGAGTTTCCTCAGATGGAGTCTCAACGGTCGTTATAGGCATTTCATCGGAACGTGTCTCAGCTGATGGAGTCTCTGCAGCTGGCGTTTCGACAGTCGTTGTTACTACATCGGTTTCAGTTACTGTTGTAGCTGGGTTAGTGGTAGTTGTCGTCTCGGTGGTACTACTTGAGGATAAACCTGGAATAGATTCACTACCACCGACAGCTCCTCTAATATCATCTACGGATAAACCATTGTTGTTTGTAGTATATTTTGTTCTATCAAATTGTGATAAGTCCAACGGTATCAAAGTATCAATTCTGGACGAATTCTCCTTGCCGTTGCTATCCGTATCGATCTCCACAACTGCTGCTGTTTGCTTCCTTAACCATGTCTTATATTGAAATGGATATGTACTATCATCATCGGCAGTTTGTTGCGGCTGTGTATGAGCCAAATGTTGTTCCTTTGGAGGACTAAACGAACGCCATTCCCAGCATTGATTCTGATCCTGAGGTAAATAGTGACCGGACTGGTTAGCTCTATCTATTAATGCCTGCATCCTATCGTCTGCCTTCCTTCCTGTTCTTCGATATTCAAGTAAACCAACGAATATAGGTATGTAGATAATGCTTATATATATTGGTTCTTTACCAGTGGCTTCTTAATCCATTTTTCTTTGGTGCGTTGCGCGTATTTATTTTCCAATATATAGTTAAAGAAACAGTGTGGGAGAGAGAGAGAGATGTATATATATAGAGCTCACGTTATATTATACAAGAGGTATGCCTGATCTAAGAGGTGGACAGTTCTCTAGTAGTTGAACATCGTGTGTCTAGCTTTGTAATTGAGGTCAACTATATCCACGTCCACCACACTCAGTTGCTACACGTTTCCTTGAACATCGTAGAACAACCACAGACGTTCGTAATTTAGAAACAAAAAAATGATGCTCACTCCCAGGGTATTGACATAAGACAGGGACGCCCCCACCGGGGACCCCAGTCCGGTGCAATTGTAGCTCCAGATGGCCACCAAAAGCATTGGATTCTCCGAAGTAGAGAGAGAGGGTGCCCACCAAAACCGGTCTTTGATATTTGCTCTCTGAGTGTTACCCTCCACACGCACCCACACACCGCACCGCAAACACACAGACACGAGCGCGTCACCTAATAAAAAGAGAGCGATTAATTGAGTGCTTTTTCTGTTCTCGTTGGCTGCTGCTGCCCCATTCAGTGATTTTTATATAAATAAACATAGTAAACAGATGTATATAGGAGAAGGTGAAGTCGTCCTTCGTGGGAAATAGGAGAACTTGCTGAAGTAGACGACAGAAAACAAGGTTATATCACTATTAGCATATTATATATATATACATCGATATATATACACGTCTGAATCTGTTCTTTTTTTGATAATATGTCTGGTCCTTCTGAGCACATGGCTACCGCCTCAGCAATTCCTATTCCAAGCGCGATGATTTCTACGTCGTCAGCTGCTTGGTTCTATTTACAACAAGGTTTAGTCAGATTACCTGGTGGCCATCATGTGATCAGTTACATCGAGAAAGCTACTCAGGACGATCCATACAGAACTGCGGTTGAGGCAAGTTTGATTCTATATGGGATCTACTACTATCTGTCAAAACCTCAACAGAAGAAAGGTCTACAATCAAATAGACCTAACTTGACTAAACATGAAATCGATGCCTTAATTGATGAGTGGGAACCCGAACCAATAGTTGTACCTCCTGTAAATGACAAGGAGACCGCTGAGAGATACTGGCGTCTAGCTAAGATTCCAATTGTGGAGAATCATGGTATGACTAAATATATTGATTTTACTAGAGACGACAAGAAAGAATCCTTTGAAAATGTATTAAACTTAGCCTCTAACAATTTCCTGGCCCTGAGTGAAACCCCTGAAGTGCTGGAAGTCGCTAGACAAACAATTAGAGACTATGGTGTTGGTGCATGTGGTCCTGCTGGGTTTTATGGTAATCAAGATGTTCATTATAATTTAGAATATACTCTGGCTGAATTCTTTGGTACCGAAGCATGTTGTCTTTATGGTCAAGATTTTGCTGTATCTTCTTCTGTGATTCCTGCGTTCACTAAGCGTGGTGATGTCATTGTTGCTGATGATCAAGTCTCCCTGGCTGTTCAAAACGCTTTACAATTAAGTAGATCCACAGTTTATTATTTCCAACACAATAATATGGAATCCCTAGAAGAATTATTGGAACAATTGAATGAATCAGAAAAGAAGGAAAAGTTACCTGCCATTCCAAGAAAATTCATTGTCACAGAGGGGATATTTCATAATTCAGGTGATATTGCACCTTTACCAGAATTAGTCGAATTGAAACGTAAATATAAATATAGATTGTTTGTTGATGAAACAATGTCCCTAGGTGTTCTAGGTGCCACTGGTCGTGGTTTACCAGAACATTACAACATGGACCGTTCTACTTCCATTGATATCACCGTTGGTTCCATGGCTACTGCCTTTGGCTCTTCTGGTGGGTTTGTTCTTGGTGATACATTCATGTCCGAATATCAACATATCGGTTCTAATGCTTATTGTTTCAGTGCTTCTTTACCTGCTTATGCCACAACTGTAGTTGACAAGACTTTACAAATCATGGATAACAATAATTCTACAGTACAAACCTTACAAAAATTATCTCGTACAATGTTTTATTTTTTCAATTCAAGAGTTCAATTGAATGAATTCTTCACTTTGACATCATCTGAATTTTCTCCAGTGGTGCATTTGGAATTGAAGGAATCCATTAGAAACTCTAAATTCCATTACTCTAGGGATTCTTTATTTACTGAACTTCTCAGCTTACAAAAACGTAAGATTTCCGATGTCTTCATCGAACCTTTCGAAAAAGAAGAAATGTTCCTACAAGATATTGTGGATGCTATCCTAGTGAACCATAACATTCTGATTTCAAGACATACTATTGTCTTAAAACAAGAAACGTTACCAATTGTGCCAAGTCTCAGAATCTCGTGCACCGCAGCAATGACTGAGGAAGAATTGTTGAACGCTTGCGAAAACATCGTCACCACCATCGTCGGACTCTGCACACAGTAAGCAAACCAACTCTGCCCTTTCCTACTTGTGTCTCGTCACAATAACTGTCATATATATCAAATCTTATATACAATAAACATCATTTCATAGATCTCATTAAAGACTTTCCCGGAGCTTTCGCCTGCTGCAGTCGTTCGGCGTGATGGGAAAGTAGCAACCCGTTGAAACACGGACACTCAGCCACAGATATGCAAAAGGCAGTCAATAGGATGAGTAAAAATAAATTCCCAAAAGGGCTAAGGAGGTCGTGATGCTTTTTGGTGTGGGGGCTGAGGACAAGAGTCCCAATCTTTTGGACTAACTCTCGAGAAACTATATAAAGACACATTCGTATTTCATTTGATTATCATGGTTACAGTAGAATTCAACGAACCATAAAGCTTAAATTTTTAATACCAACTATATATATATATATAATGGTACATTTTAGAAGAAAATCGAACCATAGTGGTTCTATGGACTCACCGGACCAAGACAAAGGACATAGACCTCAAAAGTCAGTAGGAAGTGGTGACATGAAATTATCGAAGGAAGAGGCGGCCAGGTTTAAAGTTAGAACTGCGTCAGTAAATGACCCCATTTTAGAGGCAGTCCAAGAGGCTCAACCTTTCGAGCAAGCTGCTGATACGTTTAAAACTAACATGAATAGAAGATCCTACTTTGATGCAGAGGATGGTTCTAAAGTTCAAGCTACTGACGTTTTCGGTAATGTTATCGAGGTGCCAGATATCTCTAATCCAACTAGATCAAGAGATGAGAGACCCCTTGACACAATCCGTGGGTTTGAATATGCTATAACAGGGGACCCCCAGTTGGCTCAACAGATAGAAACACCTTATCTGGGGTTTAATGTAAGGCAGGATTTTCCACTGGGCAATCCTTACGATAATTACCTAGAAGCTAATGGTGGGGTCGGACCTAGTCAAGGAACTCAATCCCAAGGTGTTTATCAGACTCCACTATCTACTGATGGCGACGAAAAGAAAAAGAAAAAGAGAAACTGGTTTGGCAGAAAGAAGAAGAGTTAGTGAGGTGAAACTATAGTATAATGTTCCTCGCATCCCCCGCTCCAGTTCGTATCCATAGACGTCGCTCTCCTCTTTGGATTATTATGACAAAAACAATATTCAAATTTGCATATATAAATTACGTATTCTCTTAATTTTCTTTCGAAAAAAAAAATACAAATGAACAAATAATAAAATAATAAAACAGTAAGTTAACTTCATTGCAAGATTTAATCGTGCAAGTAATAACAGTTATATCACTTGCATTTACTGACATCCACGTCAGCACTTCTCTTTTCGTCTATTATGCAAATACTCTGTGTCTGTCTACGTACATCTTTTACTTTGGCCGAGCTACTCCTCCTGCTCCCAACGCTAAGAAAATAAAAAACAAAAAATTTTTCAGCTCATCGAATAATTTTGTTCAGGTTTGGTATAATAAAGACTGGTGATTACATATAAATAGTACGCCTGATTTAAATATTTGAAGAATACATCGAATCTGTTAAATTGGAAATCGCTCAGACATCAAACATTTTGCAATGGCAAACCCTAAACAACAAAGAAAACAAAGAGCTTTGGGTTCATCTTTAGAGATGGCCCAATACCTAGGCGCAGGTACAAACAAGATTAAGAAGAGAATCAGAGATATCGAAAGACTCCTTGTGAAAAAGAAGGACACCTTACCTGATACTGTCATACTTGAAAAGGAAAGAACTCTAGAGGCTTTGAAACTGGAATTGAATAGTGCCGAATTAAACCAAAAGGCTAAGAAATTCTCTACGAAATACCATATGGTTAGATTTTTTGAGAGAAAAAAGGCCCTTAAGAAATACAATCAATGCTTAAGAAAGATTGAATTGATCCAGGATGATGAAAGAGAGGCTTACAATAAAAGATTACTAGGTAGAAAAATCGATGTCTGCTATGTAGTTAACTTCCCAAAGACGCAGAAATATATATCGTTATACCCTTCGATGGATACACCAGAATCTGAGGATTCTAAATCTTACAAAAAAAGAAAAGAAATCCGTGATCTTATTAGTAAACAACTGGAAGAAGGTAAGTTACCAGTCTCTTTTGAAGACATATTAAAGGGTAAGACCCTTGATAAGAATACTCATGGTGTTGATGTGGGTGGTAATGACGGTCAACAAACCACAGATAATAATGAAAAGAACAGCAAATCAAGAAAGGAAGCAAAAGCACAAGAAAAAGAGGAAGAAGAAGAGGAAGAAGACGATTTCTTCGAATAATGCTCTCTTCACAAAAAAAAAATTCTACATTATATTCATACAGTATATACATATATTTCTATATATATCTAACATTGCATATTTTAATATTTTCATATAAATTATATAAGTTGATGACTTAATTGATATTTTAAATCCATTGCGTCATTGATCAACATAAAGTCCATTTTTTCACCTTGGATTTCTTCTGGGATAATTAAGTCACATCCGACTACAACAGTTTTACCGACTTGCCTTGGTTGACATCTTTTAACCATTAATAATTCCTCGCCTTGATAGGCTATACAGAACCATACTTCCTTTTGAGTTTTTGGGAATTTATCACAGTATATTTCAAAATTCTTATTGCTTTTAGCGTATACATGTTTACTGTAAAGAGTCAACCGATCAGCACCCTTTTGTTCCTCAAAATGAATCTCATCTAATACTGGAATCCTTTGACAAATGTGAATGAACTTACCTCTATCTTCAGCAGGGATACTGAAACGGTCCATAATAGGTTGCAATTTCTTGACACCATAATGACCTAGTTTCTCGAGGGTGATCAATTTATCATTTCCCTTAGTACTTTCGGTTGGGTGTCCGCCTTCACCAAAGATTATATCCGTTCTACGTTTGATATCAATACCAGGAAGTAGACCAATTGGATCATCTTCATACCAATAACCTTGTTTAATACATTGCATGACTTTAATCATAGTTAGGACAGTTTGGTAATAACCCAGTTCACTAGCAACGTCAATAAAAGCCTGCAAAATACGTAAAGATTGGTCTAAGACAGAAACTGTATCCTGAATATAATCAGCAATAGGCAAATCAACACGGCTCATATGTGCTTGTAACAGTAGGAACGCTTTCACATGAGGATCCCACATAGGTAATTCATATTCACCATTAAATGTACTCTCTACAGAGTATCTTAGTCTTGCAGACATTTCGACATTCATAATAATTTCACCTCCTCTAACAGGAAGTTCATTATATTCAAAAGACAGTGATAACCATTTCAAAACTTCATTAAATGTAGCATTATTATGTATCTGCTTCAATAATTGACGGACGGTTAAATGAGAAAGATAGTAGTAAGAGGATATGCCTAAGAATGGTGTTGCTTGGATATCTGTACCATGTAAGGCAACACATTTAGATTCTGCTAAGTTATTCATCGTGGAATCAACCAATTCACTCAAGTGTTTTGTAACACCAGCCTCACTAGTATCATCTTCAATACCATAATAAGTTGGGTTATGATGCACTCTACGGAAAAGGAAAGTCCAATTTAAGAATTCCAATGCATCCTGTTTATTTTTGATTGTACCAGAACTAATTTCAGCACCCAAATGATCATCTAATACTTTGTGTAGAGAAGATTCAACAGGAAAACCAACATTTAAGAAATGCTTATAAAACATTTTCTTAGAATCCTTAGTATACACAATAGCAGTACCAGATGTATCATAGGCTGGTCTACCAGCTCTACCCATCATTTGTAAAATATCAGTAAGGTCCATATCACGATAACCTTCAATTTTAGCATCAAAGAATTGGGTACCCTTAATAATGACTAAATGTGCTGGTAAATTAACACCCCATGCCAAAGTAGAAGTAGCAATTAAAATTTGAATTTTATTCATTTGAAATAGCTTGTGAGATATGGAACGATCTTTTTCAACCAAACCAGCATGATGTAAACCGATACCAAATTGTAGCGCAAGCTTTAATGTATCGTCTGTTACCTGGGATATATAATATTGCAACTCGTCTTCATCATCTATTTTTAAGAATCTTCTTGGGTTATCTTCCATACCACATAAATGAATTAGATCTAAAGCGGTCAATCTCGTTTGTCTACGTGACGCAACAAAAATCAGTGCAGGCTTATTAGGAGAATGTTGCTTGATTGCCATAAAGGCAGGCTTATTCATGGTCTTCATCAATGGACAGAAAGCTAGGTTGTCAGGGAAACCATCAATGTACATTTTTAATGGGACAGGACGAACACTTGAAGGGAAATTAAATAAACCATTATTCTTGACTCCTAACCAACTAGCCATATCATATGCATTCGAAACAGCTGTGGACATACCCAATAAACGAACAGGAGACTTAGTTTGGGAGGAAATATAATTCATACGACTTACAATCATTTCTAAAATTGGACCACGGTCACTGGCCAACAGATGGATTTCATCCATGATAACTAAAGAAACATCTTGTACAAACTTACGTGTTTGCCAATTACGAGAAATACCATCAAACTTTTCAGGGGTCGTAATTACAATAGTAGCATCACGAACATCACGAGGGTCTGGAAGGGAATCACCTGTCAATTCGACCACTTTATCACCAGTTATTGGAGTAACACGTTTCCTCCAATCATCAACCCTCTCACGGACCAGTGCCTTCATTGGTGCAATATATACAATCTTTGAACCGGGGAAGTCTCTAAATGCGTGCCACATTGCCAATTCTGCAACAACGGTTTTACCTGAACCGGTCGGTGAACCAACAAAGACATTCTCGTTCGTATTATATAGAGTATGAAATGTCATAGTTTGCATTGGGTTAAAATATTTGAATGGGTAGATCGACTCGACAAGAGAGTTTTGGAGCGCCTTAGTAGGTAGTGGTCTTAATCTTTCTAGTCTTGTTTGCAGTGTTTCATTGAAAGGTCTTATCAAATGTTGGAATGTAATAGCATTGACAGATTCACATCCAATCCACGTGTCTGATACAACTTTAACAACTACTTGTGGTGGTAAAGGATCCGATAATGGAATCATAAAATCCATCTCATGTGGATTATCTAATTGTCTCTTGTTTAGAATATACTTCTCGAAATGCAATATTTGCGATTTATCAGATTCTTCAACAATAACCCAGAAAAACTGGGCATTACCATGAATGTATGTATCCCATTTGAAAACTGGTGTTAGAGTAATATGAATCCTCATAACGCTGGAGGTGATTGGGAATATATCTGATTCAATATTAATTTTAGGGAAACGGCTTAGTATGCTATAGAGTCTCCCACCCATTTTGGAATTATGTACCAATTCTCCTAATTCCTGAGGTTCTAAATCTAGAAGGTATTCAATTGATGGATTCTTTTCTCTAATTTGGCGCATAATATTATCTGGTAAGTCAAATTGGCAAAGCGGATTATCAAATGCCCAGACTCGCTTATCAATCGATTTACAGATATCAAGCATTACTTTAGCAAAATTACCCCATCTTCTGTTAATACCAATCAGGAATAATGCTCTACAGATTCTTACAGAATTTTGAGCCACATAATTGGAATCCGATGACAGTGCGGAATCGTTAATCCGACTCTGTGAAATATATGCTTGCAATAAAACGTTTGTTTTACCCTGGGAGGTATCTAATGGGCTTCCTATTTGACATTCCACAGAACTTTCAGATAGCCTCTTTAATTCGGAAGATTCTTCTTCTCTAAATTTAATACCATCAAACTCGCTACTCATACTAATCATAGATAAGACGTCAGCTTCTGTTGCACGAGGATCGCACATTTGGTTGAAAATTTCTACAGAATCATTCAGTAAATAGAAGTCCGAAGACACTCTACCCAAGTCTTTAGGAATAAAATGTGCCGATATCTCATCGAAAACGATCATCTGAAGAGCATGTAGTCTTCTAGCTGCTGTAATAATCATATTCTTTCTTCTATCGTATAATTGTGGATCAGAAGCTATTTCATCCCAATCAATACCGTATGTGAATGGATTTTTCTTCATCCTGACATAAATGTAGGTATAGCCCAACCATTCAATGGCTTCTTCCACATTCGTAACTGTACCAAGCGATATTTCTGCGTTCAAGTTGTCAACTAGTTTTGCCCCAAACCTAGATTCAATAGGATGTTGTTGGGTGATTAATGAAACATAATGATCTAATTTGTCATTCGAGGTACAGAGAATACCAGTACCATTGGCTGAACCAAACCCTGGTCTACCAGCACGACCGAAGATTTGGATGACATCGGAAATACCGAGGTCAATAAAACCACCCTTTTTAGAATCATAAACCTGAGTTCCCTTAATAATAACACAATCTGCAGGTAAATTAACACCCCAAGCCAACGTAGCTGTACAACATAGTACCTTTGTAGCACCTTCCTTGAATAGTTTTTCGGTAAGATTTCTGTCGGAACGGGACATACCGGCATGATGCACACCAAAACCAAATTGGAATATTTCCTTTAAATCACGATCTCTGTTTTTGGCGACTTGTCTGGAATACATATCTTTCACAGCTAGATCTGGCTCAAAATATTCAATTTCGTGATTTTCTTGGGCCATTTTTATAAATGTCCTTGAACTTTTAACTGTGTCTTTTCTTGAATGCACAAATACCATCACCTGGTAACCCATCTTAACCATTTCCAAAAGCTTTTCATATGAAACTTCGTCAATGTTCTTCTTACTTTGCATAGTACCTGCTTTACCTCTGCAACCAAGTAACTGTTGCTCCAAAGGTTTTGGACGGAAACATTGGTCGAAATAGAACATACCAATTTGTCTGTTGACCCCTAAGAAATCGGCAACATCCATAAAATTAGGTAGAGTTGCAGATAAACCTAAAATACGAATCATAGACTGTGAACTTTCAACTTGTCTTAATGTACGTGCCACCAGTGTTTCAATGACAGAACCTCTATCCTCATGCAGTAAATGGACTTCATCAATAATGAGAAGTTTGACCTTAGAGACCAAATCATTATCACCGTTAGTTTTACGCGTAACTACATCCCACTTTTCCGGGGTAGTAACAATGACTTGAGTTTCAAGAACCTCCGCCTTCGTCATCTGCATATCACCAGTTAATTCTCGAACTTTAATATCAAATATAGATAATTTCTGGCTAAATTTAGACACAATTTCGGCAGCTAAAGCCTTTAATGGAGCGACATAAATAACTTTAAAATCGTCATATTGAATATCAAGTTCTCCCTCTCCTGTGGTAGTCGAATATTGTTTAATAGCATTCAGGATTGTCAAAAGGGCGATATCTGTCTTACCAGCACCAGTTGGAGCACATATTAACATGTTTTCATTAGTGGAATATGCCACAGGATATACAAGGGTTTGAATTTGATTTAATGTCTCATATTTAAAAACAGAACGACATAAAAAATCCAAATCTTTTATTTTCAAAAGTTTTGTGTACAAGAAACTCTTATTCTTCTCTGGATTTGGTGCAGGTATAATAATTTCCTCATGAGTTTGGTATGTCATCCTTGTAGTACCAACAGGTAATGCAAATTTTTGGCCACCAATTGAGAGTGCAGAAGAAGTATTAGATTCGTACTTTCTGTAGACGTGTGCATATTTTATTATCTTCTGAGCGGCATCTAACTTGGGATTCTTAGCTCTTGCTGCATTTTCAAGAACTTGGTTCCTAATCCCTTCTTGAGTAAGTCTCTTATTTGGATTTGCAACATCTTGAATCATGAACATTGTCTCTTCAAGGGGAATTGACTTAATGGTGGATTGATTCTGGATTAGAAAAGAAATCAGTTCGATATTCGATGCGCCAAGGAAATCCATTAATTCCTTTTCTAATGCATTGGAATCGTTGTTGTACACAATTTGTAATAGAGATTCAGTAAAAACGTCTCTTGGTAGTAAACTATGAGCAAGATCAACCAGTTTCCCAAATTCCTTATAAAGGTTATTATTACTATTACTTGATTTATAACTCTTTATTACTTTTTGAAGATTCTCGAAGGAAACATCGTTGAATTGGTCATATATATCATCCCATTTATTACGATCTTGTGCTAATACAGCTAATTTTGTCCCTTCATTTTTCTCTCTACCAGTCTTTTTGACCTCATTGTCAATATCAGGTGTATATGTTCCTGGTTTTATATTTAATTTATCCACTGTATCAATCATCGATTGCATAGCAATCATGAACGATTTCGAAGAATCTATCGAATAAGACGTCGACATTAATGTACAGGTTATGCTTAATGGATATCTGAACTCTAAGTTGTGCTAAGAATCTATATCTACCAATTTAACTACTTCTTTTTAATGTGTTCCTCACTTTTATTACAATTGTTTTTATATTCGCTTTAGTTATTATTTTTCACTGCCCGTACTTTGAAAGGACCACCCAAAAATGAATAGAATGGGATGAAGTTGAGATCCCTTCTTGAATTATGAAAAGTATTGTTTAAATAAAATTATTAATATATATTTAAGTATATATGACGATATGTAAATCTAATTTTTTGGACATTTACTGTCCTCTTTTATCGAGCTTGCTGATGTAAGACTCTAGATGCGAAAGCGTTTCCGACTTATCCCAAGATTGCCTGTCCTCCCAGATGATTCTAATTACCTTGGAATAAATATTTTCAAGAGCTGTCACCGAAAAATCGTCAGTTTCTTTGATTAAACTTGATACCACGTCGTCTAGACGAGTTTTACTTAGTGTCACAACTCTGGTATCTTCTATTTTTGAAGGGGTATCATCGCCAATCTTCTCATTCAATTCTTCGCTAGCGATTACACTATTATTTTCTTGTTCCTTGGCTGCTGAATTTTCAGCTGTAGCTCCTGATTTTATTTCAATATTAGCTTCATCACCGTTGGAAATAGGTATCTGAGTAGCGACTGAAGTTTGCTCTTGATCATTTGGCTTCACAGATAATTCTTCTCCCCCTGAGGCTCTATCGATAACGATTTCGTTGGAGGTCACCGTAGGTTGAATTTCAGGCTTTTCAATAACAACTGGTTTTGTCACATCAACCTCATTGCTATTATCAATCAATGAACTTCCAGGTATGTCTGACTTCTCATCTAATTGAAGTTGCACTTGAACTTGATTGCCAGAACCTGTGCCAACTTCAATTGTACCAATGGTACCAACATTATCCGTTGTAACAAAATTTGCTGTGGGAGCAACTTCAGAATTTATATCGTGGCCAACTTCTTTAGTGTTTCTTTCAACATTGTTAGTTAACTTCTCCTGTTCTAATTGTTTTATATATAGTTGCTCCCTTTCGCGATCTCTCTTTCTTGTTATCTTACATTCCTTAATGAGTTCAGGTGTTGAAATATCTTCGATACCCATTTGGGCATTGGCAAACATTTCTGATGCCTTTATCACACGTTCTCTATCACCAACAGTCATTGCATCTAGATAGATAAGCTCTACATCCTCCAGGAATTGTTTTGGTTCGGAATAGTAACCGTTCCATAACCTTTCTTCGATAATATCTAGATCCATGTTGAAAAATTTCTTACCGGTAGTAATTTCTAAAATCATATCGCCTTCTTTAATATAAGCTGGCTGATAGTTTGGATCTGCCAAAGGTTCAAATAAGTGGACAAGGAATGAGTCATCAACGGTTGGCTTTCTAAATCTCTTATATCTGTTTTTAAATAAATCCATTAAACCAGATAATTTGATCTTTAGCACATTTTTGAGTTTCATATCTTGGTACTGGAATTTCTTTAATTTCCTTCTGAGGATTTCATCTTCTGGTAATGGACTACCATTTTCGTCCAAATTTTCAGGTAATAAATTAGGAGAAACTACTGGAAGTTTTTCCAATGGTTTTGTTCTTTTCCTCTCAGTAACAAACTCGGTAGGTCTCATCTGAAGGATGCCCGAAATTGCTTTGAAATATTCTGATCTCTCTACTGTTTGAGGTTTCTCAATATTAAAAATGTTATCCTGGAAGTATAGTTGTGTTATAGCTTCGTCATAACTTAACTCTTCTGCAGGGCTATCTGCTATACCCAATAATAAAATCCTCTCTTTACTCTTCAATGATCTGACTAAACTAGATAAAGTAGACAATGCACTTGCAGGGATAGATCTTGCCCAAATATCAATGTTCGGGATGAAGATTATGGAAGGTTGTCTTTTACGTGCCTCTATAAAACCTTGGACAATAGCGGCATCTATGGACCTATTACTTTCCGATGCTAAACTTCCTAAATCTAATTTCTGTACATTATAATGTTCCAGATGATTCAGGATTGCAGCACCTATATACTGTTGCCCATTCCCCTGAGACCCAGTAATTAACATTCGAGGATTACATATCTGAGACTCTCTAATTTGGTCAAGTATTTCATACTTATCAAGGCCACCTACAGTGAAACCCTCCATTTCGGAATCGGAGTCCTCATAATCAATATAGTGCTGTATCGTCGTATCTTTGCCAGACTTGTTTGATTTCTCATCAGAAAGAATACCATTCAAAACTGTTTTAATACTACTAAATTGTCTTTCTAATAGAGGCTTGACAGATTTTGGTAAAGGTTCTGCTATACTTCCAGTCTGTCTAGCAGATGATGGAATAATCTTTTTCAAAGCCAGCATGAAGTCTTTGTGATTTACATGAATTTTCTTTGGATCGACCGAAAGCTTATCATTGCTTCTATAAATTTGTGGGTATTTTCTTTGAATACTCGACAGAGCTGCTTCTGTACAAAGAGCCCTTAAATCAGCACCACCATAACCTTTAGTCAATTTAGCCAATCCATCTACTAACTTTTCTGGCAATTGTGGATTCCATTTTTTTGTTTGAATTTTTAAAATTGTGGCTCTAGCCTTTTCATCAGGTAGAGGGAAATAGAATTCCCTATCGAATCTCCCTGGTCTTCTAAGAGCAGGATCTACTGCATCTGGCCTGTTTGTAGCACCGATAACAATAACTTGTCCTCTATTGTCCATACCATCCATCAAAGCTAACATAGTAGAAACAATACTAGCGTGAATTTGTTCTTGTTTAGAAGACCTTACTGGTGCCAAACCATCGATTTCATCAAAAAATATAATGGATGGTTGTTGTTTTTTAGCTTCTTCAAATAATAACCTTAATTGCCTTTCAGCTTCACCAACCCATTTTGATAGAATATCGGCACCTTTTCTCATAAAGAAAGTAATCTTTCTTGACTCTGATGAACAACTTGCAGCCAGGGCTCTAGCCATCAGTGTCTTACCTGTACCTGGAGGACCGTGGAAAAGAACACCTCTTGGAGGCATAATATTGAAATTTTGATATAATTCAGGATATAATAATGGTAAAGTAACCATTTCCTTCAGTTGGTCAATATAATTATCTAACCCACCAACTTCATCAAATGTTATATTCATATCTACACCTAGCGGATCTAAATCTGCTATTTCCGGTTTCTTTTTCGTTTTCTTTGAAGGATTATCCTTCTTTTGTTTTGGAGTTGCACCTAATGGTAATATTTCATCATCAGATGAGTCTGAATCCAGAATCAATTTGTTATTTTGATCATTTTTATTAAGGGCAGACGTACCATTTGTATTTCCGTAAAAGTTTGTATTTTGTCCGAAGATTGTGGTGACATCGTTACCACCAAATGGACCACCTGTTGGAAACAATCTTCTCACTGGACCACCTAGATTCCAAGCTCTTCCACCACGACGTGCTGGGGATGGGTTTACAAATGATCCTGATTTTTGTCTTGTTAGATATTGTTCTGCTGTAGCTGCAGATAATGGAGGAGGGATTGTGTAATCTACAGGTTTTGTTCTTTCACGTAACGATCTTTTCTCATTAATTGGACTATCTTCCTGTAATTCCCTAATTTCATCTGCCAAAGTAACATGCTTACCATTATAACCATCATCATCAGTTTGAGCCTCAGGGGTATGAGCTTTCATTGAGGTGCTTCTAAGGTTTCTTCTAGGCGGAGTCTCTATTTGTTGAGTATGTCTCTTTTTAATTTTTCTCCCTGATCGTCTTCTATTGGAATAATATAGGGCCCCATCATCTTCGTCTTCATCTTCATCGTCACCCACCAATAAACCTGCTTCATCGTCAGGATCAGGCACCACAAAATTTCTGTCCTTTCTCTGTTGTTCTGCAACATGTCTTCTCTTTGAATCCTTGGCATGATATCCTTCACTATACTCATCATCCAAATCGTTATCGTCATCTTCGTCTTCTAATGGGTCATCTAATTCATCTTCATGGAAACTTTCATCGTCATCATCATAATGTGCTTGCTTTCTTTTCCTTAAATTTCTTTTCCCATTAGTAGCAAGATCATCCTCATCCTCATCCTCATCCTCATCCTCATCATCATTGTTATCATAGTTCGCGTTGTTAATTGTAGTATTTGATGACTCTTGATTATTATTATCCGTATTAAAGGGCAATGTAAAATCTGGTTGTTCTACGATCTTTACAGTTGTATCATGATCTGCATCAGGCGTAGGGTCGACAGGTTCCTCATCGTCATCATCAAACATATTATCCATCTCTGAATAATTGATTCTTCTTAAGGATCTTGTGGTGGTGTGAGTAACACCATTATCATCTGTGATTTCATTAGGATTTGAATCATCAGGATCGCGATTCCTTAGACTTCTTGGCATATCTTATTATTATTTTCTTTTTTTAATGTTACAAACTCAATTGCAATTATCTTTCTATTTAGGAAAAGAGGCCTTTTTTAAAATTTCTAATGCAGCCTAACTAACTAGTTACAAGCTTCAAACTTTTTGAAACGAAACAAAACAGGACAAACTAAAAATAGGACCGAATTGTGGTTATTATTAATTTCGAAACTAATGAAATATGGTAACTTGTATAAAAGTAACCTGAATTATTACAGGTTACCTTGCCAGTCCAAAACTGAAATGAAAATAGAAATGGTACCCGTTCTACTATTATTATTATTCTTATTTTTCGTGTTTCTCCTCTAGTAAATATGAAAGACGAAATATTCCAAGTTTACCGAAGAAAAACCAAAACCGAAATCATTGTGTACGAGTGTGTCATGTGTCTGTCACTACTTTTGAGGTTAATAAAGAACGTTGCCGGTAGCAGACAATATCTTATCGAGCTGGAATGTCTGACTGTCACTTTCAAAAGGATAGAAGGGTATCTTGTGTTGGACAACTCTTATTATTGCTATCTATGAGCCCAAGTTAACCTGTTCTTTCCAATGCTTTGTTCTGTTTAGTTAAAATCTATGACCTGTAAAATGTGTTATTTGTGAGTTTCCCGGTCTAACTTCATTTTTCACAAGAATTCAGATATGTAGACGTCGATTGAGATATATAGAGGTAGTTATTGATAATGAAATATAGGTAGTTTATCTCAGAAATGCTTGACGTATATGTATTTTCAGAGGTTATGCCATGTTCATTGAGAGAAACTATCTGACCGAGTATATGAACTTTCTAAATTAACATCTAGAAATGAGTCCTAATGATGAATGGGCTAGGATGTATTACATATAATATATAACAAGACCATAACACACCCTCTACTTCGTATAATTTACAAATCGACACCTTATGTAGCCCTTCTCTAATTTTATTTACTACCAATTACTAGTATATGTGTCTGTTACTAATATCTACGTTACTTAATCATATATCATAGATGTGAAATGATATAGTTCAGTCAACATCTCATCTCGATCATTCATCAGATTCTCGCAGCAGAAGGAAAGAGATTTTTTGGTTATAAAGAAAAATATGAACTGCTTATACGCGAATCCTTTACTTAGCGAGAACAATCAGAGAGAAAAGTTGTTGAACGTAAACATAGATGACATTTCATTAGCTAATATAGATATAACTTATAGTGCCAATTAAATGACACAATTAGATAACGTTCAAATAAAATAACTAGAACTTTCAACCAGGAAATTATGTATGAATGAGTATATTTGAACCCATTGTTGGAACAAGTTTTGGTATCATTTGGAATAGTGTAATCAATCAGATATAATAATGTCAAATAATAATGAAATATATCAAACCCAGCACCCCTTAAAACATAAAATCAACAACAACCTCTACTAAATTTGCCTAATTTGAACAGACAATCTCCAAGCCTGAAAAAGGTAGATACTGGCTATATATATATGCAGGTTGTCCATTTGTTCAACGTACTTGGGTCATCAGAGCTGTTAAAAACTTAACCGGTGCAATTGGTATCAATGCCATCCATTGGAAACCGGTCCCTGGGGAAGCTTCTCAACTTGATGATGCGCTATACAACGTTGGTGGTGATAAATTAAGTGATGATAACAAGGTACCTTTTATCGATGGTACAGTTGATCCATCGATACGGTATTACTAATATCCAAGAATTATATGATATAATCACTGATGTTGAACACACATGTACACATGAATTCACAATTTTATAGGATTTGAAGTAGCATAGACCTGGCTCCAGCCTCAATTGCGAAAGAGATCAATGAATTTAATGAATGACTATCTCCTCATATTAATTTTTTAGCTTACGACATCGGTTTAGTCACTGAAAAAAATATCTATGAGAAGGATCTAGCTCAATTCTATAAGGATCTAGATACTGCTGAAGATAAGTTAAAGATTATGTTTAACTTCCTGAAAAAAAAAAGCACGGATCTAACAATCAAAAAGAAATTTTGAAAAAAAATTCTTTTTATTCAATGGACAATTGACTGAATGTGATGTTAAATTATATTCTGCCATTATTAGATTTATTCCTGTGAATGGAGTTAATTTCAAGTCAAACTGGAGAACTATCAGAGGTGATTGTAAGTGCTTACATTTATGTTTAAGAAAATTGTATTGGAATCATAAAGAATTCAGTGCTACAACGCATTTCAATCACATGAACTTATTGTAATTCCGTTCTCAAATGGAAATTAATACAAATGGTTTAGTACCATATGGTCCAGAAACGAATATTCCGAAGTTATAGAGATATGTAAATTAATTTTATATAAACCGCAATGAAATAAGAAATCTTTCATCAAAATTATATATATCAAGATTATCGCAATGTGATCAACAACTCCATACTTGTAATATCATTTGAACATTACACGATCACATTGGATATACACAGTCTAATATGATAACTATCCAACCATCGATGTTAAAAGGACATTGGTAGTGATGAAATTACTTTGCTACTCACAACAGAATATGAAAATTGCTGAGCGCCTTCGGCAAAACAAACAAACGAACAGATATAGTTCATTTAGGGCTTCCCGTACAAAAGAACCGTGAGGTGGACAAAAACAGGCGCAAGGACTCACGAAGGAACAATACGATGAAGATAAAAAGACTAACATAAACAAGAAAAAGTTTATTTAAAGAAGGTTGAAATAGAGGAAATTCAATTAATATAGTTGAATCTTCTAATAATATAACAATAAATTTCATTTTGTAATCTGGTAATATTTATTTGAAAAGAGTACAATCAAAAAATGTCAAAGCAAAAGAACAACGATTCAGAGAGTATGCCTCCAGATGATGAATTACCAAGTTATGAAGATGTCATCAAATCCGAGACACAGCAACAACAGCAACAACAACATAATCATTCTACGCCACAACTGAACAATAATTATAGACCACCACCTCCACCAAGACCACCTCTTTCCACAACCGGTAGTAATAACAACGGTAGTAGTAGCTCACAGCATCACCACTCAAATGCACCACATATTCCATGGGTATACCCATCTGGATTCTATTGTCCCAAATGTAATAATACAGGTTACAAGACCAAGAACCGGAAATCATGTAAATCATGCTGGAGAAGGTTTGCACGTCAAAACAATGTCAACATGGCACCTTCAGGGTATGGTAGTTATTATCAGTCCTCGCCAATATATCAGCAACCAACATTCCAGCAACCCATGTTCCAGCAGCCTCAGAGACCTATGTACGTGAGACCTGGTGATCCTAGAATCGGTGGTGTAATCTGCGGTAATTGTAGGGGCTCTGGGAGAATACGGTTCCTATTAGATGAAGATATATGCGGTTTATGCAATGGACTAGGGAGAATCATTAGTTAAAATGTTCCAAATAATAGCCATGACGACATTACGTTAAACAATATCAATAAGAACACATTCATTTTACCTTTGAGTATGTGCCAGATTATTATGATACAGGTCACCCATTTCACGTGACCATCAGCCTTTTCTGACACAATATCCCGTATATGTGGGATATCATGAATGAACAAACTAGGTGCAGTACTCTTTTCGTGTTGAATACCTAATTAATTACAGCAATTAATATGAATAATTATTCAACGAGAGACTGTGACTCTTCCCTTGCTGTTCAGGATGGCTGCAGCAGCACTGAGAAACAAAATTTTTCACTTTTCTGCGATTCTTCGCTTAGAGAGACAGAGCAAATACACCGAAATTTGCTTTTACGGCACAGAGAAACTTCACAGGCAGGGAGATAGTTCACATGTTGAAGTGTGTGTTACTGCGTGAAATTGTGATGGCAGTCTAATACCAAGTTATACAGACAACATAGGGATATGGAACGCATCTGCTAAATCTATCTTTCTTTTGCGTCCCACTTGTAAAACTGTGTAGACTTCATGGTATATGGGATGCTTTAGACACTTTCCCTCTTATATCTATCTATCTACCTCTATATATATATATATATGGGATGCCTGAAACTAGAAAAGGTCTATATATGTTCGTATACACTTCTATGTATCTGTTATAAGTCAAAGAACAAACAACAAACAAACAAACAAAGTAGACCTACAATTATAACGACAAAGAATACAATGCCAGAAGATCATCATCACCATGAACATGTCAATTCTGCCAATTCACATAGCGAACTAGCTAAATCTGTAGTAAGGAGCTCTACTCCATTGAACCAGAGGCCAGTTTCCCCGTATACTTTAAATCCAATTGTGGAAGAAGACGGTTTCTCATGGCCAAGTTTTGGTACTAGAAAGAGAGCTGAAGAGACACCAGAAGATCATCAGAAACGTATTGATCGTATCTCAGGAGCAGTGAAGACAATTCTAGAAGAAATTGGAGAGGACGTGGAGAGAGAAGGTCTATTGGATACACCACAACGCTATGCTAAAGCAATGTTATACTTCACTACAGGTTATCAAACAAATATTATGGATGACGTAATTAAGAATGCCGTCTTTGAAGAAGATCACAACGAAATGGTTATTGTGCGTGATATTGAAATATATTCTTTATGTGAACATCATTTGGTACCCTTCTTTGGTAAAGTTCATATTGGTTACATTCCAAATAAGAAAGTTATTGGTCTTAGTAAATTAGCTCGTTTAGCAGAAATGTATGCAAGAAGATTACAAGTTCAAGAACGTTTGTCAAAACAGATTGCCATGGCTTTACAAGATATCCTAAAACCTATGGGTGTCGCTGTAGTAATAGAAGCTACTCACATGTGTATGGTGTCGAGAGGTATTCAAAAGACTGGATCCTCCACTATAACGTCTTCTATGTTGGGTTGTTTCAGAGCTCACAAAACAAGAGAAGAATTCTTGACTTTATTGAATAGAGGTCGCTAATTATAATAAGAGTATGTAATGAAACAAATAGATTCGTATATATGCATATTTATTACTACTGGTATATTTAGGCGGCGGAAGGTAAAGAAAAATCAATAAATTAAGAATGATTAAAATATTTATTATGTTATTAATATATATATATATATATATATTAAATATATGCTACTACTATTATTATTATATTGTCCCCTTCAGAGGAGTAAATGTTTAATACCACGATGGGTGAGGTTTTGTTCTGTCTTTTGTAATTCTGGGATTGGAATGGCATACCAAGCAGTCTCGGAATTAATGTTAGTTGTGTCCTTTTCAATATGAATAGAAGCAATAACACCCCTCTTAGTGACTGGATATTTTTGTCTTTTCTTATTCATATCATCGCTATTTGATTTTAATTGAGATATAATATTTGGAGTAACCTTATCATTTATATTAAGGTTAAGTGTACTTTTTAAATAACAGTTTTCCATCACATTTTGAACGGGAATGATATCTGACCAATTTCTCTTATTCATAAATGAATCGATATGTCTTCTTGTTTCACCATCTACATCATATTCAAATACTGGAATAGTATCCTCATGAGTTTCAAAGTCAAATGTATGCAACTTTGCTCTAGATTGAAGTAATTTAGCCATTCCATCTGGTGGTGGTGCATTTACGACAGCGCTGGAGATTATATTCAGCATAAGTCTAACGTCTTCCTCAGGTTTAGTTAAAATATCTTTATTGGTTTCGTCCTTTGAACTAGTTACATGATGAAGATGCAATTTACTTCTAAATCTACCAACCGATGCCAAATGAACATCACCAGATAAAATTGTAATTCTAATACCGTATTTAGCACCAAAATCTTGTAATTTTGTAATTAGATAATTACGTTCTTTTTTATGATGTCCCGCACACCAGTGATCATTCAAGTCATCTAATAACTCCACATCACCATTAAATTCATTTACTAAGCCTCTTGCAATAATACCCTTTTTTGACAGATATTTCAATGGTACCAATAATCTAGATGAAAATAACCATTCTAACCAAACTAATCTTGGATATGCTATTGGAACCCCTAACATTACTAAAAGATGGTCCAATTTACCTCTTTCAACTTCTTTTTTCAAATTATTAAATATTTTATCATACGTTTCAGAAGACACAATTTCTTTTAATTTACGTTCAGTTCTACAATCTATTCCCAATAATGCCATTGATGGTCCCAGTCTTGTCATTACAGAATGGGATTTCTCACCAATATATGGACCTAATGCATTCCCTAATATCCAATGACTAGATTTTGTGTATGCTTCCTTATCGACTGTATGATCGTTGGAAACGTGATGTTGAAATAACATATAGTATTTGTAAGCTGCTTTACCAATCGAACTAAAAACGTCTGTTTTCATAAAAGTGCTACTATACGATCCAAAACCATCAATAATATCATGATCATCCCAGATATTTATCGATGGAATAGTAGCCATGGCTAAAGGGAAACAACGTTGTGTAGTCTTAGAATCATCTGTACTACCCCGCCAATAACCAAATCCATACCATTCTAAGTATTCTTTCAAATAGAAGTTTTCCATTTCTTTTCTAAATTCAGGTGTTACTTTCGTAGCATATTTTGTTATAGGCTGTTTTGTCTCTAACCAATCCTTAACTCTTGAACAATATATTTTAATAGAATCACTATATATTTGATCACCACCTCCCAGCATTACATTATAATGAATGTTTGAGTGTTTCTTTAAGATATCAAACCATAATGAACCATTAAAGTTTTTAGTATCCACTGATAATGAGAATCCGTTACAAGAATATGCAACGGTATTAAAATTCCTTGATCTTGAAGGTATGAAAAATCTATAATTTGATTTAAATTTACCATCTAAAGAATATTTCACCATTTGTTCTTGATCCATTAAAGGAATCTTAATTGAATATCTATAAAATTTGAAACTTCCATCATCTAACTGATCAGTATGAAATAATTGTGATTGAAATTCAGCAATATCCGATAAATCCAAGTAATTTTCATCATTCAAATGAGTAACATTTGCAGGACCACAGATATATTCAATCACAGGGGGGTTATTTTCTGCATAATTGTCTGGAGAAGTCTTCATGATAACCAGAATTGAACCATTATATATACTATTCTCATAATCGACATTGATTAGACGTAGTACAGGACCACATACTATACCACTTTCAGGAATGGGAGAGCCATCAATACAAGTATTACAACCTTTCACTTCATCATTATACAGCGTCTCAACGTTCCAATCGTCAAACCACTCCTCTATATTCATATTTTCGTTGTGAGTCTAAAGTTATACTGTAACTAGTTTAGTCAGCTCTTTTCAACTTGACTTTGTCTTTTATAAAAGACTGTTTCTGATCTCTTGGATGACATCAAAGTTAAAAAGAAGTCATTACAAAACCAAATTTCCAAACTTTGATAAATCAGTCTTTGTGGTTCTCAACATCTCCCATTAAAGGGAACCGTTCCGATGTGAAAAATATCTTGGCGGGTGCTCTCCTTCAGCCTCATCCCTCTATGTATCTTTACCTCATCGCGTCAGAAACTCCCTTATTATATGAAATACAAACCCTAATATTCGTTATTATAAACCCTAACACCCGGGTAAGCGAAAAATTTCCAAAATTTTTCACTTTCTTGAAGTATTGATTATCTAACGCCCAACCAAAGGAGAAACAGACAGTCAGTCGTCCTTCTTCCAGCCTGGTGAGTACAACAAGGAAAATTCAAACACAGTTTTTGATTGTGGGCGTAACTCTGAGTAATCACCCAATTGTTGATCTTGTAGTCGTCATGATATATATATATTCGTTGGTATATTTTGTAAAAAATTGTGTCAATTGTATAAATTGAAGTTGCTTTTCTGCTTCTTATTCTTTAACTTTACTTCAATAGTACAACAGATCCACATCTATTTCATATAATCGAAATTCAGGAATGGTTGCTCAAGTTTCCTTCGAGAAGGAGAATGGTTTCTCCAGTTACTTTAACTACTCTTCCAATCTGAAAGTTGCCCTAGCTATCGAATATGCTACAAAGGACTTAAAGATTCAAATCAATGATGATTTGAAGACCGTCCAATTTGTTGATCAAATCCAAGGCCAGGAATTCACTTTGTTCAATGCTAACGCAATCCTTTGTTACGCTATGAACGATTTTACTGGTCAGGACTCTGAAGAATTCCATTTTTCTGAATCCTCCCTGGAATCTTTTTTCCGTCAACAGGAAGTTCCTCAAGAACATGCTACTGTATGTGTTCAAAAGACTCTGGACAATTACTTGACTTCCTTAGAGGAACCAATGACCTCTTTGAAGTTAATTACTTTTGTTAATGCCTTCACTTTGGATCCAGAACAAATCATTGCTCGTTTCCCAACTTTCCCAGAGAAGATCAAAAATGCCATTGTTTTGGCTGCCAAGCATACTCCTCGTTCTTCAAAGAACTTTAAACATACTGGTACTTCTAAAATCGCTACAGGTTTCGAAGTTGCCGTTCAATCTGAAGAGATCCTACCAAAAGATGGTGAACGTAACATTATTATTACATCTGCTTTACCATACGTTAATAATGTTCCTCATTTGGGGAACATTGTCGGTAGTGTCTTGTCGGCTGATATTTTCGCACGTTACTGTAAGAGCAGAAACTATAACACTTTATTTGTTTGTGGTACTGATGAATACGGTACCGCTACTGAGACCAAGGCCTTAGAAGAAGGTGTCACTCCACGTAAATTATGTAACAAATACCATGCCATCCACAAGGACGTCTATGATTGGTTCCAAATTGGTTTCGACCACTTCGGTAGAACCACCACCCCTCAACAAACTGAGATTGCCCAAAATATCTTTACCGAATTAAATGACAACGGTTTCCTAGAGGAACAATCCATGAAACAATTATATTGTGAAGAGCATAACTCTTACCTTGCTGATAGATTTGTTGAAGGTGAATGTCCAAAATGTCACTACGATGATGCTAGAGGTGATCAATGTGACAAATGTGGTGCCCTATTGGATCCATTTGAATTGATTAATCCACGTTGTAAGTTGGATAACTCTACTCCAGTTATTAAGAATACTGATCATATCTTCCTATCTCTGGATAAACTAGAAGATGATATAAAGGAATGGTTCTTAAAGGCTTCAGAAGAAGGTCAATGGTCCAAAAACTCCAAGACTATTACTAGTTCTTGGTTGAAGGAAGGTCTAAATCCACGTTGTATTACAAGAGATTTGATCTGGGGTACTCCAGTTCCATTAGAGAAATATAAGGACAAGGTCTTGTACGTGTGGTTTGATGCTACTATTGGTTACGTCTCCATTACTGCAAACTATACTAAGAACTGGGAGCAATGGTGGAAGAACCCAGAAAATGTTAAGCTATATCAATTCATGGGTAAGGATAACGTTCCATTCCATACGGTTGTTTTCCCAGGTTCTCAAATTGGTACTAAAGAAAACTGGACTATGTTACATCATCTAAATACTACTGAATATCTACAGTATGAAGGTGGTAAATTTTCTAAGAGTAGAAATGTTGGTGTATTTGGTAACAATGCCCAAGAGACTGGTGTCTCCCCAAGTGTCTGGAGATATTACTTGGCATCTATTAGACCAGAATCGAGTGATTCTCAATTCTCTTGGGATGATTTCGTCTCTTCTAATAATAATGAATTGTTGGCTAACTTAGGTAACCTCGTCAATAGATTAGTTAAATTTGTTGACGCCAAGTACAACGGCGTTGTGCCAAAATATGATCCAAAGGAAATTTCTAACTTTGATGAATTATCTAGTAACATCAACACTATCCTATCTTCTTACATTAACGAAATGGAACTTGCACATGAAAGACGTGGTCTAGAAATTGCTATGTCCCTAAGTGCCCGTGGTAATCAATTCTTACAAGAAAATAAGCTTGATAATAGCCTATTTTCAGAATTACCAAAGAAGTCAGACGCCGTTGTCGGTGTTGGTCTAAACATTATTTATGCCGTTGCATCCTTAATATATCCATTCATGCCTGAAACTTCAAACACCATCTACAAGATATTGAATGCTCCAGCTCTAAAGATCAGCAATGAATTTAACTTAGTTATCCAAGGTGAACATAACATCAATAAGCCAGAATACTTATTCAAGCGTATTGATCCAAAACAAGTTGAAACCTGGAGAAGTCAATACGGTGGTCAATCTAAAGAATAAATATAAGTACATAAATATAAGTAATTATACACTATAAGAGAAATATTTTAACCATTAAATAAATTGTATGAAGAGTCCCATATATCTTGATTTCACGGTGGGTGACTGTTCAGTTTATCTGGCTTTGCTAGTGAAAGTCATAGTTATTCTTAAAAGCTAGATCTTGTCGTTTAGCGATAAAATTTTATGATCCGACGCATGGAGACAACCAAAATATCAAATGAAGGTTTGGTTTAAATGTAAATACATACAAGTTTTATTGAAGTTATCATCCCTAGAGCGGCAGTCCCTAAATTTTAGTATATTCCCATCCATAGATAGACTCGGCAAACAATGTGTTAATGCTACAGATGAATCTCAGTGGTGTATATTTTATATTAAAGATTATTTTAATCTTGCCCATAAGAACTGCCATTTCCTGCTATGAGATATGGCATAATTACGCAAGAAAAATAACACTATCATTTGTTAGGAGAATACTTATGAGAGAGGCATTCTTGTTAGGTGATTCTTCGACAAGCCAAACCGTTATTAATCCTGTTTTTGAATTCATAGATTCTTTTTTTCTAAATAAATACCAAGATATTAGTGGATATATGACTGAAACAGATTACGAACTAATAAGACCTCGCTTGAAGGAAGGTTCGATATTCTTAGATGTACAGAAAGGTATAAGGACGAAATACGTGTGGTACTCTAAACCTGAAGATTTTGATCCTCTTAAAGATCCCGTAATGATATTCTCACATGGTGGTGGTTTTGCCATCAAACTAGTACCTTTATCATTTAACTTCCTTAATAATTTATCGAAATATTTCCCTAGAATGGGTATAATAATTCATGATTACACAGTTACAGTGGCAGAAAAAGGTGAGTACCCCTTACAATTGCTCGAAACAGTCGTCCTATATGATTATGTAACTAAGGAACTAAATTGCGAACATGTTTATCTAATGGGTGAATCAGCTGGTGGTAATATTGTCTTCGGTACATTACAATTCTTAAAAATAAGTAATAGAAGGTTACCAGATAAAGCTATTGTTCTAAGTCCTTGGTGTAATCCAACTTATGACTCAATGAAGACAGGAATAAGAGATAGTCTCTCATATTCTGTCAATAAAGCTATGGACGCATTATCTTTTGAAGGTTTGGATTTATTTACCAGATTATTATTACCAAAGTCGTATGTGTTCAATGATGATCCTATGTTGGATGTAGAGCAAAATTTTGATACTATAACCTGGAGTAGTATTCTCCCTAAAGTTGAACTATTAATAGTATATGGTACAGACGAAATATTACAAAATGAAATTAAAAATATGATCAAAAAGTTGGATAATATACACTCCTCCAATTTTAATATATCGTACAATGTATTTGCTGAAGAGGACGCTGCTCATATCGAGCCGGTACTTAACATGACACTAAATCTGGATAAATGGTCTCGCTTACCTGCTATGTCTAAAATTTTGCAATTTATAGAGAGTGAGTAAGATGTCAATCACAAAATTAAATACTATATAAGTAAATTAAAAACCTTATCAATATATACATCATTCTCCTATGTATTGAACTTGTTGATCTGTCCATTGCAGTTCCCAAACTGTTTTCTTCACTTTTCATATATTATTAAGTACTGAGATGAGTTATGGCAGTCTCATCGCTTTTTTTTCCGCTAGCAATAAAAAATTAATGATAGAGATACCTGGAACTATGAAAGGATGGATAATCACAAAATGGTTAGCAGCAGATCAAATGTAAAGATATAGAGATAAGTCTTTACTCATAAGTCTTTAATTAACAGGTCAAAAATGTCTCAAGAAATAGTGGATACAGTGTCGCAATATTTGACACCTAACGTTCCAATTAAGTTGATATCGCAAGGGGCAGAGGCTGTTGTCTTTACTACACCAATCCATCCATATTGTCCATCTGATGAAAAGCTCATTGACGATAAACCAGTTCAATATATTATTAAATATAGAGCTCCTAAGCAATATAGACATCCTATCATCGATAAACAACTGACCAAGCATAGAACTTTGAGTGAATCCAGATTGTTAGCCAAATTGTACCTCATCAAAGGTTTACATGTCCCGAAATTGATTGCAACAGATTCCTACAATGGTTATATATGGCAAGAATTTTTAGGAGAGGATTTACCTAATGACTGTGGTTTCAGTAATTTGAAAAACTTTTTATGGATGAATTCCAAGGATCCATACAATGATATTGTTAAAGATACATTATTTAAAGTAGGTGAACAAATCGGTCTATTACATATAAATGATTATTGTCATGGGGATCTTACAAGCTCTAATATTGTACTTGTGAGGGATACTGATAACATTAATTGGATCCCATACTTGATTGATTTTGGCTTAGGATCCCAATCTAATATGGTCGAAGACAAAGGTGTGGACTTATACGTCCTTGAAAGAGCGATCATAAGTACCCACTCAACATTCGCCGATAGATACAACGAATGGTTAATTGAAGGGTTCTCTAATGTATATAATAAACAAGGCAAAGGTGGCGTAAAGAAATTGGGAGAGATCCTGAAGAGATTCGCAGATGTAAGAATGCGTGGTAGAAAGAGAAGTATGATTGGTTAAAGTTATTTCTCTTTGGTCAAAATACATATACCGTTGTATAATTATATAGATATATTTCAATAATAAGATACATGTTATATAAAGAAAAAAAGATAGTCCCAATAGCAGTTCTTTTCTTTTCTATATTGCTCTCTTCGTTTGTCACCTTATCTTCTATTGTTAAGCCATTTGGCGCTATTTTTTCAATGCTCGCTGTGAAGGAGAATTTAGTTGGGAATGGAAATACATAATGAATACTTGGATAGCAGATTCAGAAAGGATAAAGAACCAAGCATTCGAGAGAAAAAAGTAAAAATAATTGGAGAGACTGGTAGTGTTAGTTATCATTTCAGTTAATATCTGGTATAGCATATAACAACAAAAATCACACCTAGTTTTTTATAGGGGAAGACCTATAATTGTAACATATATTCCAGCTTAAAATAATGGTGGATTCTATTAGTCAGATAGCATCTGCCCTTGAATCTGCTAAAGCTATAACCTTAGAAGCTGCGGCTGTCGCATCTTCTAAGCTCGGTGAATCGTCCTATACACATTACTCAAAGAATCTAAGCACACAGCAATTAAGAAATTTGCTCAACTCAAGGAATTCTAGGGAAGTTAAGGATGCTATGAAAAGAATATTGAGTATACTTGCATCAAATGATACGTCAATTGATATAGAGGAATTTTTCTCAGATGTCGTTAAAAATATTAGTTCAGACGATATCAAAGTTAAAAGAATGGTGTACTTATATCTACTGCGATACGCCGAAAAGGATCAGAATCTAGCCTTATTGTCTGTCAATGCTATTCAGAAGACTTTAGGCGATAGTAATCCTGATGTTAGAGCATTTTCATTAAAAGCATTATCTGACATTAAAATACCATCCCTGACACCAATTGTATTACTTAGTGTAAGGAAGTTAATAGTTGATCCTTCCCCTGTGGTGAGAAGTGAAGTTCTGTACACTTTGATGAAGCTGTATAGATGGAAACGAAATGAATTAGAAGAAGATATCATAGATCTATACACTGGATTATTGTGTGACTCTGATCCTAAAGTGATATCTTCAGTTTTAGTTGTATTTAAAGAATGTTTCCCTGATAGATTAGAACTATTGCATGGTCATTATCGTTATTTTTGTCAAATCTTAAAGAAACTTGATTCATGGGCTCAGTCATACCTTATTGAAACATTAATACGATACTGTAAGAGATATATAATTAAACCAATGGTGGTTGATATTTCTTCTTCTGACAGATCTAGTAATTGTGTGCCTCTACCTGATAAATATAATCAGATTATGTTCCCAGTCTATGAGTTAAGAATGGATAAAGATTTAGAATTATTTATTAGTAGTTTGAAGATTCTCAGATTTAGTACAAACCCTGTAGTAATTATATCATGCTGTAATGCATTCTTTCAGTTAACAACACCCAATGATTTTAGAAACTCAGGTTTCCCAGATGTCTTAACTAACATTGCTATTGCCTCCTCCAACGTTGGAGTGAAGAGTCTTTTGCTACAATCCATATTATTGTATTCGAAACTAGATTCTACCTTATTCCAACAATTTAATAGGGAATTTTTACCATTTCCAAGCGATGATACAACGATTGTATGTTTGAAGTTAGAAATATTAGCAACTTTAATAAATGATACAAATGTTGAATTTATTCTTCGTGAGTTGAAAAAAATTGTCAAACATCAAAAGAACGAAAAGATCATTATTGTAGCTTCGCAAACTATGGCATCATGTGGTAAACTATCTGTGACATTAGAATCGCACATTATGAAGTGGTTCATTAAAGTAATTGAGACAGAAAAAAGTGGGCTGACTAATAACATATTGGATTGTTTCGTTAATATTATAAGGGAGCTTGTCTCAGCAAATCCAAGAAGACATCTCAAATTTATTTTGAAATTGGCCGATTTATTGACCACCAATCATGTCAGGGCGGATAATGCTCGAGCAGGTATCATTTGGCTATTTGGTGAGATTGCTGGGATTGAATTTAAAGTATGTCCTGATATAGTAAGAATTTTAATAAATGGATTTGTGGACGAAGGACCAGAATCAAGAAGACAATTGATTTTATTAAGTGCTAAATTGGTATCCTATGAATACGATATAAGCAATGAAAATTCTAATGGATCATATAACGTGGAGGACTCTCGTGTTATGAAAATGTTCCAATATCTTGCATATTTGGGTCAATTTGATGATAATTATGGTGTTAGAGATATGGTACGTTATCTAACTTCTCTATTTGATAGCGGTAAGTACGAAATTGCAGCATTATTATTACAGGCACCTAAACCAAATATTTGGGATAAACCTATACTTGATGGAGATTCCGATTTTGTTGAAGACACCGAAGATATTGATCATGATCTAATAACGTACCATTCATATATTCCATGGGATGTATCAGATGATGTAATCGATTCTAAGACCTTGGATATGCGTGAACCATTGCCGTTGAAAGATTATAATAAATTCAAGAAAAGCTTTTCATCTGAAAACTACGTTGATACTTCAAATTCCTTTGTACGTGATAATGCGTCAGAGGAAATACCTACAGACACTACGAGTACTCATAGCCCATCTGTGACTAGAAATAGTTTTACCTCTAGTACAGGCAAGAAATACAAATTGCAAAGTCTTGATGAATTCTTCTCCGATGTTCCAGCAATGCGTTCCACCAAGAAATATAATTCATTACCAAAAAAGAAGAAAATCGTTACTGTTGTGGAAAGTTCAAGTGAGGGGGAAACAGACTCCTCTGAAGATGACGAAACATCAGAAGACGAATCTGAGACGTCCTCATCTGGTTTAGAATCTAGTGAAGATTAGATAGAATATATATAATATGTATTGTCGTACATAGAACAAAAAAAAAGACGCAAAATAAAAATATAGCATCCGTACATCAAAATTTATCAATTAAAAGACTTTTACTTGAGGGGTGGGATGGTTCATTCACATTAAAAATTATATCGTTACAAAATTTGAAAAACAAAAATTAAGAGTTCTCGTCTATTATATACCTTAGTATAAATAACGGAACTCAGGATTCAAATCACTTAATTTTTCATCATACGGTATTGGTTCACCTAATTCTTTACATTTTTCAATGATTTTGTCCTTCTTAACATTTTCTCTTTTGTATAATACGTATTGTAAAATAGTCATCACAATGGATACTACTTGAAACGCTAGACAAAGTGATAACCCTTTAGTATATCCTGGTTTATCCTCAGCTAAAAATATTTGACCTGAGACTAGACCTGAACCAGACCCGAAGAACAAGTTGACTCCTAGTGCAGTAGCTCTCTTGAAATAGTTACCATTATTACCACTTAACCACAGACAGTTACAAGCAGCATTGACATAGATACCCATACAAAGAATGTAAACACCGAAATATCTGACACCATGTACATGTGAACCAAGTACAATAGCCAAACCAATTGCTGTAGTGGTACAAGCACCAATGATGAAAGGTGATCTTAATCTTAAATGATCAGACCATAATGCACACACGAAAAATACAATAGCGGTCAAAAAATATACCGGGACGGTCATTAATTGTGCTCTAACGTTTGTAAAACCTAAACTGGTGATAATAATTGGCAAGAATACGGTCAAACCGAAAGTTGTTAAATCTATACCAAACAAAGCCACAGCACAGACCCATGTTTTGATATCCTTTAGAGCTAATTTCACTTGGTACCAATCGAATCTTTCATCAGGATTGAATGTATTCATCGTCTGGTATCTTTCAATAATATATTCACGTTCTTCTTTACTGAAAAACCATGAATCTTCCAAGTTTTTACTTAGACCAAAATAGTAGCATGGTACAAACCCTATGGAAATAACACCTTCAATGATATAAATGTATTGCCAACTCTTTAAAGAGCCATTAATTGTAGAACAACCATAAGCAATCAACCCACCAAACGAAGATGAAAGACAAGCTGCGCTAAAAACAAAGGCAAATCTTTTAGCATATTGTTCTCTTCTATAACAGACAGATAAATACATGTTAATTGCAGGATATATCATACCTTCAAATGCACCTAATAATAGTCTAACAGCTAACAAATCGCCATAATTTCTTACCCAAGCTGTACCTATGGAAATTGCACCGAAACATAATAGACATACACTCATCATTAAATGAGGGCCTACAATCTTTAATAAATTAGCTCCGATAGGGTCGAATATGACGTAAGTGCCAAAAAACACCGTGACACAGACGTTATATTCTTTACCTTTCAATCCAATATCTGATGAGAGCCCTGCAACTTCTGCATTACCAATATTTGATTTATCTAAATTTGATAGGAAATATAATAATCCCATTAATGGGATTAAAAACATATCCATTTTTTTCAAAATTCTCTTCTCCATGGGGTGAGTCAATGATGGAATTCCATCATCTTCTGTAGCAGTTGTTGTCGAGAAAATTTCTTTATCTATTACATTATTCATGGCTTCTTTCTCTTCTTCCAAATTACTTTCATTTTTGTTTGTTTGTTCTTTAGATCTATGATGTAGACTACTACTATCTATGACATCTTTACTCCATGCGACTTCCTTTTCAGAACCTTTCGAGTCATTTGAGTTTGGAATGAACAGGACATTATCAACGTAATCTCTAATAGAACCTGGCATAACAACTATGAATATATAGTAAATACTATCTCTGTCACTATATCGTTTATTCGATATTTATCCACTTCTGTAACCTTTTTTCCCAGAACTATTGCAACAGCAAAAGGAAGTATTTCTATTTCTTTGTAAAGAACGTATATTGTTCTTATATATATTGATATTTGTTCAAGAAGTGAATAAGCAAAAGTTAAAAAAGAAAAATATCAATAATTTTTGTAATCGTCCAGTTATACAGAACCTAACTACAGGAATCTGCGTGACTGTGTTACCTCTTTGGGTCTTGTCATCGTCAGCTCATAAAGTTTTTTCCAGTAACCTGCGAATACAATAGCTTCACTTAGTAATGAATTTGTTAGTCGACCAGTTTATTGTCTCACTTTGTTCCCCGAGGTTCCGTTTCTCTGTAGTTTAATTCTTCTCATTTTGAAGCGAACAAGAAAATCGAAAAGCGGAAAATCGAAAGAAAAATAAGAATTTCACCCTCTTGGTGGGTGCTGTTGCTAAGAAGAGGTCGCAGGAGTACGATTTTGTAAGAGGTGGAATGGGATATTAATAACAATAAGAAGATGAAAGAGAAGTCCAGCAAATGAAGAGTCAAATCAGATTGGGGTGGTCTAGAGGAGTTTGTGAGGACGAAAACTCTATAAATATTTAATCAGATATTTATGTCTTCGCTGTAACTGGATACATAAGAGAGAGCGAAGGATGGAGGCCGTATAGATGGTGTGGCGTGGGAGTTAGTTCCCATTATAGCAGCAATGGAGTACGAGGTGAGTGTAACTTGACGTGGCATCACCTGACCGTTCTCTAGCCACACACAAACACATGTATTGCATTATTATTTTATTTTTTTGGTAAAAAATGATACGACTTAGTTGTCTAGCGTGACAGCTTCTCTTCTTTTGTTGTTGTTGTTGTTCTGTTCTATTAATTATGAGTGACTCTGAAAGCGTCACAATTCAAAGAGAACTTATTTTTACTGTAATGTGTTTGAAGAAAAAAAATGAAGTTCTGGGTATTGAAATTATTGTTAGATATGACACAGCCAGTATTGTTATATACGTAAAAAGTGGAAGTTAAGATTATTTGGTGTATTTCCAGTCATTCTTATTTTATGATAACGGCAATGTGTACTTAAGTTACGATTTTTTTCAGATGATGAAGTAGGATACAGGGTGCTGGTATAAGTAAAAAAATTGAATTGTGTTTGGTAGGAGTCTGGTTGCTTTGATCAAATTTTTTGTTTCTCCTCTCTTTTTTTTTGTGTTGTGGAGGATGCTGAAAAAGTTTGTGCTAGTTGTGAATAAAATTTACCGTTGTTTGTGCACTATACACATAAAAATTGTGATTAATATCGCTCAATCATCATTTTAATCAAGTGGGTGATATTATTTGGACGAGACGTTCTCGGCTTCGCGTCACTTCTTCCGGAAAGTTTCATCGATTTTTGAGGGCCCAACAAAACAATTCTCCTCCAAAGGTAAACCTAGTGATTTCAAATTTAGTTCATATATAATAATTCCATTAAGTATATGCCTAGTAATGAATGTTGTAAATAATAGACATACCACGAACTCCTTTCAGGTTAGTCAAATAACAGGCTTTAACAAAATAAACGATTATCCTCCCCCAATATTGGTTTAGAGACCTTTATGAGTATGCTACCATTACCCCCTACTTATTTTATTTTAATATTTTATTTTAATATTTGTTTTTTAATGGTTGTAAATATCCCTTGTTTGATTAATCAAACTTTTTGATTATTTGACGGTATGTTATTTTTATAGAAATTTCAATAAAGTGTAATATGTTTTTAAAGTTTTTAACAGTGTTCTAATAGTGTAGTGGTTATCACGTTGCCTTTACACGGCAAAGGTCTCGAGTTCAAACCTCGGTTAGAACTCTTTTTTTACTTCTCAAATTTAGAAAGCCAGTAATACTTTGGCAAGCTTGACCATTAGAAATATTTCTAATAGTTACAACTCTTTTGAAACACTTTCATTGTTTCTTGAAATTGACAATTCAAATATGTAATTATGTTATTTGCCATCGCGGAGTATTATTTTTAAAAGGAGGCGATGACTTTTGAAATTTTATAAAATAATCCACTTCTCTTTCGTCCTTGAACAGAAGCTATACTTTAGATGAAATTAATTTACGTATCATACCTTTCATCAACATTGAACTGACATCTCTAAGATTTTACTGTATAGTATGAACAAGTATGGGTGTTCATTCATTTTGGGATATTGTTGGTCCCACTGCAAGACCAGTTAAACTGGAATCGTTACAAGATAAAAAAATGGCAGTAGATGCATCAATCTGGATATATCAGTTCATTAAAGCAATGCGGGATTCAGAAGGTAATGCTGTCAAAAATTCACATATTACAGGGTTTTTCAGGAGAATATGTAAATTGTTATATTTTGGTATTAAACCGGTGTTCGTATTTGATGGAGGTGTGCCAGCTTTGAAAAGAGATACCATCAAACAAAGAAATGAAGTTAGACAAGGGAAAAGAGATAGTGCACAAAGAACTGCGAGGAAATTGTTGGCTTTACAGATGCATAAGAATTCCAACAGTGTTGAAAATAAAGACCAAAAAAATGATACCAGGACACCAGATATAATATTTAGACCACAGGATGATTGGGACTTACCCAATATAAAAGGGTTTAAAGTTTCAAAGCATGACGCCAGAGTTAATTTAAACTATGACGAAGAGAAAAAGAAATGGAAACAAGATAATTTAGTGATGGAAGATATAATTGACGATTTGGATTTAGATTCAATAGATCCTACGTCAGAGGCATTTGAAGAATTGCCAAAAAATCTTCAATACCAACTATTATCTAATCTTCGTTTAAAATCACGATTAAGAATGGGTTATTCCAAGGAACAATTAGAGAATGTTTTTCCTGATAGTTTGAATTTTTCAAAATTTCAGATTGATATGGTGAAGAGAAGAAATTATTATACCCAAAGAATCATTAATATGACGGGTTACCATGATGGTGGTGCTTCTAAACTTAATGATGAAACAATTAATAGAATATCTGGTCAAAAGGATAGAGAATATAAGATAACAAAAACTGAAAATGGTTGGACCCTTGGATTAGGTGAATATGACGGTTCAGAAGCCAAAAAAGCAATTTTACTTGATGCTGAAAATCAAGGTTCAGAAATTACGAAGATGATTGGGAATTCTGGCTTAAATCATAATAATGATAATGATATAAGGGAGGAAGACGATGAAGACGACGATGGAGGTGATTGGGAGGATGTAGCATTAGAACCAACCAACATCAAAGACTCATTTGATTATTCATTAAAAGCAGGTCGGTTGCCAGAACTTGATAAAACCTCCCAAGTAGTTGGGAGTCAAGCATTTTTGGATAAAGTACCTATGGAACAATCTCCAATTAAGAGAGATAGGCTTACTAAAACTTACAAAGTAAATGTTGCTGATGAGGATGGCGGCAACAGCGAAGATGATGAGGATGATGAGTATACGAAACAATTTGAAGAGATTGAGATGATGGAAGCCTTTCAGAAATCAAAGCTTGAACAATTTCAAAGAGAGAAGGAAAGAAAAGAACAACAAGAAAAATTAGAGAAGAAACAAGAACAAAAAAAGATGACAGAGGAAGCATTGAAAAAACATCAAGATAATCTAGATAAACAACAAGAGGGCCAAAATTTTCATAAAGAAACTGAAGGTGAACAAAATTTGAGAATTATTTTAGAAAAGACAAATAATTCAACTGTCTTGAATGGTGATTCATTTTTATTCGGTGGTTCATCGTTTTCTAATGAAAATAAAGAAGATCCACTAGATAATCCTTTAGTTGAAAAGTCTATTCCTGAAACACCGAGTTGGTTTGATAATAACGATCGTACAAATTTACTGTCCGAAACAAGTGTAGCAAATCCATTTGCAAATACTAAGTTCGTTGATGATAAGATAGAAACTAAAAATAAAGTAGATGAGAAGGGAGATTGTCATAAATATGACTTAGTGACAGGTTCAAATGCAAAGCATTTATTAGATGAACAAATTAAACTGCGAGGTAAGGATACTGTGGAAACAGAAATTGAAAGTAAAAATGATAGTATATTGACTGGTGAAATAATAACCATATCAGATACTTCTGATTCGGAATTGAATACAGAGGGGACCAATGCCATTGATAAAAATAAAGAAGAAAACTATCATAATGAAAATACAATGAATACTTTTAGTGTATCGACTAAACCAATTCGAACTGACAATATTAAGCCAACGATATTTGATTATGAATTTTCAGAAGACGAAGAGAATGATATCGCTGAAAACATAAGACAGGAAGAAAAGGATTTTAATACTTTTAGAAACGCCAATTTATTGAATAATTATCAACCCGATAAAGACGTCGCTAATAGTGCATTCTTAGAGGATGAATTGTTTAAACAGCAAGTGAAGGAAAAGAGAGATTCTGATGAAGTTACTCCAGATATGGTGACAGACATTCAAGATTTGTTAAGTCAATTTGGTATTCCGTTCATTACGGCACCAATGGAGGCTGAAGCGCAGTGTGCTGAACTTTTAAGATTAGATCTTGTAGATGGAGTTATTACAGATGATAGTGATGTCTTTTTGTTTGGAGGTACTAAAATTTACAGGAATATGTTCCATGATAGAAAGTATGTAGAATTTTACGATTCTGAGAGGATCGCTATAGATCTAGGTCTAGACAGGAAAAATATGATCGATTTGGCATTATTACTCGGAAGTGATTACACTACAGGTCTTAAGGGTATGGGACCCGTTTCTAGTATGGAAGTTATTGCTGAGTTCGGTGATTTGACAGAATTCAAACGATGGTATGATGAAGGTCAGTTTGATAGAGAAAAACTTTCAAAGGAGAATAAATTTGAAAAGGATTTAAGAAAGAGAATGGTGAAAAACAATATATTATTGGATGCTACCTTTCCAAGTGAATTAGTTGTGGATGCGTATGTAAACCCTGAAGTTGATCATGATACAACCCCATTGGTGTGGGGTTATCCTGCTGTCGACATGCTTAGAACTTTCCTGGAAGATCATTTGGGGTGGACACAAGAAAAGACAGACGAGATTTTACTGCCTCTGATCAAGGATATTAACAACAGAAAAAAGAATAAACAAAGATCTATCACCACCTTTTTCCCTACTGAATATATAACCAGCAACAAGCAAGTCGCAAATGGTGGTAAGAGAATCTTAACAGCCACATCTAAGTTGAAAAAAAGGAAAACTAAGTGATAACTAAAACTGACTTATATATATAATAAGGATATTGTTATATTGATATTGTTATGATGAACGTCGTCATCGTTGTCTTTATTGTATTAGTAATAATCTCTCTATCTTTGCCATAATTGGACACTTTTTAACTCTTTACCCTTCTGCGACACTTTGTTAGAGTGAAATGACGCCGCTCTTTTGTCTCCTCTGTGGAAAATCGGGTGCCAAAAGCGATGATGTTAATGAAGTTTGAATAGTTATCAAGATATATTTGAAGTGGGACGAATATTATTCTATATAATACATGTCATTGAATTCCTTCTGACCCTTTACCGTTATTCTATAATGTTCATATATACCGTTAAAATATATTCTAAAACAAAAGTTTGTGTTTTCAATAAGGTTTTTTGTTTGTTATTTGAAGGACTTTGCTCGATCGCTTGGGGGATCTGCATTACTAATACAATAAAACCTAAATATTAATAAAATTTAGTTAAGCTAAGTTATTTTGTTTAACCACCATATTTCATTCTAGCTTGTGATTTTTTGCTCTACTTTGGAAATGAAACTATGGGTAACGATGATACACTAAGATTAACTTTGGGAGAGCGCATGCTAAGTGCAGTGACAGGCTCTCTCTTGACATCACTCACTCTAACACCAATGGATGTTGTCAGAGTGAGATTACAACAACAGGGAATGCTTCCAGATTGTACATGTGAAGTTGCAATACCTTCAAAGGATGGTTTAGTTTCAAATGTCTCTAAGTCTACCGATCTTCATTCAGTGAAGAGTTCTAAATTGAATGTTCCAAAATTGGGATTCCCTAAGAGCAATAAGTTATTTTGGGAGAATCCATGTTTCCAAGAATTAAACTGTGTTAGTTCTTCATTAAGATTTACAGGTACGTTAGATGCATTCAGAAAGATTACAAATATAGAGGGTATTACGACACTTTGGAGAGGGATTTCTCTTAATTTATTGATGGCTGTTCCCTCAAACATCGTATATTTCACTGGTTATGAACATATTAGGGATATATCGCCTCTTTCGAAGAACCATGAAAATTTAAACCCTCTGGTATGTGGCGCTTTGGCAAGAATCCTTGCTGCTACAAGTGTGGCACCATTAGAACTAACCAAAACTAAACTTCAAAGTATACCTAGAGCTTCCAAATCAACGAAAAGTTGGACGATGGTGAAGGATCTAGTGGAAGAAACTAGACAGGATATGCAAAAGAATGGTTCGTTGAGAGCGCTTTTCAAAGGATTGAATATAACACTATGGAGGGATGTCCCATTTAGTGCTATATATTGGGGCACCTACGAGTTTTGTAAGAAAAATTTATGGATGAAAAATGATGTAGCAAACAATAATAGCACAGTAATACATTTTGTAAATAGTTTTGTTAGTGGTTCAGTCAGCGGTACCCTTGCGGCAATCATAACACATCCCTTTGATGTCGGTAAGACGAGATGGCAAATTTCCATGATAACAGAAAATTCGCAAACTCAAAGTCCTCAACACCAAAGAAATATGTTTAAGTTTCTTGGGACGATTGTTGAGAATGAAGGTACTGCTGCTTTGTTTACCGGGTTAACAGCCAGAGTTATTAAGATTGCACCAAGTTGTGCTATTATGATATCAAGTTACGAAATATCTAAGAAGATTTTTGGATCTGAATGAGATAATCTCTAACTTCAGGGCATATATGGTAGCCTTCTATATTTTTAAATATTCCTATGAGTTTTTTTTTTATCATCTATTATAAATATAATTTAGTCATTTTTTCAAACACATCTATTTGTTGATATATAGTGATTATTGTGTATTGTGTTGATATTGGCTTAGAATTGTTGATCAATTTCAATGGTTTTCTAGTAAGTTTTTAGGTAACTATCGTTATTTTGTTTACATGAGGTACCTAGTTTGTAAATTGTTCAATTAGTTCTAAACTTAAAAATTTATTAATTATCTAGACACCACACTTATATAGTTTCTTAAAATTATAATAATAATCATTATGCGATATTTTGTTAACGAATTCCAACGATATCTCAAATATTGGATATATTTTGAGTCTATCCTCCTCTTATAGGTAGTAAATTATCCTACTTTAGGAGTGCTTATAAACTTTACTCAGAAAATGGCGTAGAGCGTTGCCTCATTATTCCCAGTTTTTGATGGACAAGGAAAATAAAGGACTAAAGGGCAAACCTTTGATGAATTTTAAATTCATCAACACCAGTAAACTACGGATAAAATTTACCTAAATATTTGAATGGAAAACGTTAACTCAAACTGATACAAAAAAAACGGCTGAATCCAACAATATAATAAGAAAGTACCGTTTATTCTATATTCTGATCTAAAATTAAAATACCACCCTATTCGGAGCTTCTACCCTATAATTCAAAACAGTAGCATCTTTTCTAAACCATGTCAATTGCACTATGGTTTTGCCCTCAACAAGGTAGCACATACTACGAGTTATTAAAACAATTAATCATGTCTATGCAAACGTTATTTCCTTCTTCTATACTTTTCGAACCTCACGTAACTATCACAACCAATTTGATTTGCGAAAACAAGGATGATGTTAATAAGATTTTAACATCATGTGTTGCTGCTATAAGATCTATCGAGAAACAATTGAGAGATATACACACACTACCGCTAGTATCATTTGACTCATGCTCTATAAAGAAACAATATTTTCAAAAAGTTATATTGAACTGCAAACCTAATAAATATTTATTTGGCTTAGAGAAGATCATGACAGAAATGTATACTTCTAAAAAGCCAGCACATGAAGGTGAACAACCGAAGTTTACACCACACGTTTCATTATTGTATTCTAATGTTACCCCTGTAAGTCAAGCTTATGTACGAATGATAGAACAACGTATAGAGGATACTTTAGATCTAAGATTAAAACAAGTTACAAATAAAGATCTTTTAACTCAAGACGAACAAGTTAAGTGGGAATTCAGCAGAGAATCTTCATTGGGATGGAACATTCCAGGTACGTTTAAAGTTGTTAAATGCGAAGGTCCAGTATATGAATGGGAAGTATTGGGACGTACCGATATTTAGATACTCACAATACGCGATATTTCATTCCCCTGTCTATATTCATACATATTACTTTTAATCGAATACGTCTATCTATCATAATATGAAATGTTGAGTCTGTTGTCTTTATCTTTTTTGACCGTTGTACACCTGTCCATACCTATATGTTGACACTACCCAAAATGGTACTGCATCAAAGATGTTAACATTATCTCTTTGATTAACGAAAATTAAAGAAACATATTAAACTAGAAACCACTTATTGTGTTTATTAATATCTCATGCTCCGACTTCCCAAAAAGAATGCAATTCTCAAATAATAAAACTCAAATTTAAAATGATTTCACTTCTTACAAATATCATTAAAATCTAGATTTGAAAAATCATTCCATATTTGCAATATTCACCTTTTTTCCCAAAGTCATAATTTCTAATCAAGGAAATTGAAAACATATAAGATAGAATACTTAATTGGCTTACTTTTAAAAGACAAACATGCTGAAATATGATTAAATTGTGGTGTTATTTTATTAGCTCAAATAAAAAAAATAACGACAATTATTCCAAAAGCATGTTCTGAAGAAACTCAACCATTCAAACTTTGCCTTTCACTTCAAAATTGATAGTCAATCATCGAATTCTTTAAATATTCCATCTTTTTACATTGTGCATTGGGAGATATAGAATTCAAATGACATTCAACGTTTTATTTCATTGCGATGTGAATTTAAATATGGTGAGGGAATTAGAGATTCTAATTTGGATACGTTCTTCGCTGTTCTATTAGCACACATTATATGGGTTGTTTTTTTCTTCTACAAACGACTAAGAGTAGAACGGTACAACCTCTATACTTATAATATGCGCTTGGCTTCCAGAGTTTACTAAGAAAACAGGCCAGACATCCTTTTGATTATTATTAGGAGGTGTTACATAAAACATAACATACTATGCTACGGACAAACGTAATCTTAAATGCTCATAGTTGCATTTCTACAGAGAAAGGTATATCATATATTTAAGAACAATAATAGGCACAAATAAGCACTTTCGTAAAAAAAAATTAATATTACTTATATTTTTGCTTAACCATATATCAACCAGCTTTCTATCTGAAAAGAAAGTGAGTATCAATAACGTTTCTTTAAATTTTATAGGAGAAGAGACATGGTCTCCGTAACCATTCGGAATGATATATTAAATAAAAACAAAATAAACGATTAGTGTACATGTTTCCCCTATTAAGCCAAGTAGTTGAAACTGATATAATGTTATACTATTGGTAGTTTTTAGATCTTTTTTTTACAATTACAAAAAGAAAATTTGAAGAGTTAAGGTAATCAAAATACAGTTGATTCAAAACAAGGTGCAGTAGTGAGTTGACAATAATAATCCGTAAAATCACTATACATGTAAAAATATGTCATTTATGTATTGAATATACGGTTTGTATTTATCCTTCTTTTCTTTTTTATATTGAACATTTCAAAGTGTGCGTACGGTTAACCGGTAGGAATAAAAGTAAAAAGAGAAAATTATTGGCTATCTTTTGTTTACGTTATTTTCATTGAAAAACTGTTTTGAAATCAGTCAATATATAGTAATGACATTATATTGCAGTCACGTAGTTTTAAATGTATAAAAATTTAAACGCATGAATTTTATTGAAGGTGGGTCAGTAGAAAGGAAGGCATCATGTTCTGTTGAACTATCGCAAATATACCTGAGCATATCATAAAGAGAGAAAAAAGAAAAGATCTGACGTTAACAAAGTTGCATAAACTCCTTCTCTCTTCATTAGATTCTTTATGTTTTTAAAGTTCGTTACCTAAGCCTACAAGAAAACTATCCCTTCTCGAAAACCTTAAATTTTGATCGGCTTTAACAAGCAAACAACTTAACTTCTAAACAATAAACACTGTAATAAGAATTGCCCGCACAAGATTCTTTTTTTGAAATGAGTAGACAGAGATACAGAATGTTGTGAAGGAAATCAGTAATAAACGATATACAGTATTTCGAAAAGTTATCGTGTCCCAAATATTCAATAACTAATTCTCATCTCATAATACGAGATAATCGTTAGGAGTCATGCAGTAGGAAAATTTGCTACATCAAAGGTTTTTTTTGAGGGGGAGGGGATACATCCTGCTCCATATCATACAGAAGAATAACATTGTTTTCACGAATATTAATTAGAATTGGTTCTTTCTATTTCTGATTACGTGAGACAAGTTTGACGTACATTTACAATTGATTTAATTCTTTTCGTTAATAGAGACAGTAGAAGCTAACAAGGAACATAATTTTTCTTATTCTTAACTATGAATACTTTATTCAGGAAATCACAAATTTAACCTCGTTTAATTCACAAATATTTATAGATTTTACCGAACCAGTATTTAAAAGTAAATACTATAAGCATGTGTATATTTTATTATTAGCCAATCAGGTTTCTTCAATATGAAGATATTTGACAGAAAATGCTGCAAGTATTTGGTAGTTCCCTTACGGCATTGTGGAAAAAAGTAGAATTTCAATTTACATTCATTTCATTAACCTAATTTAAAAAAAGCTTAAAAAAGGTTAATAAGGAACGTGTATCAGTTTTTCAGTATTTTTATACTCACTGCATGAATTTCTGTGCCCATACATTAATATTCTGGAGGATGTATGAATAGTAAAAAAGGTGTTGAATAATTCAACAGAGTTGTACATTGGGGCAAAAATGAAGAAGATACGAACGACGAATATTCTTTCTTCTGAGAGAATCTCAGAGACTGGTCCTAGGTCAAAACATTCTAAGAAACAATCTGAGGAGGGCTTGAGAAAAATTAGTTTTGTTGGTACCAGAAGAAATCTTTATATATCTATATTAAAATATTTCGTCAGGGATTTCTTTGCATAATGTTTTTTTCTCTTGCAAGAACTCTATCTAATAAATTATAGTCTTCTGGAATTATCTAAATTAGGTCATTAGAAGCTATTTTTTGGGAAACATTATGGATTAAATGTTTCCCACTCATGATTTCTTTCTTTCTTTCTCTACATGATATGCCGTGCAAAGAAAAGGATTTATGCGGGTGAATATGTATCAAAAGAGTGTTTCTGATCAACATTGCAACTATACCTTGGGCACAAGTAAAAAAAACATTATGATTTAAAGCAAGAAATTACGGCAACCTTAAATGTCCATTAGATATTGATATAATGAAGCTAACCCTCAAAAAGAAGAATTTTGTTTAGTATAAACGCTCATTTTCCTCCGACTTTCTGTGGCTTGAATACACATTTCCATTTAGTCATTTTTGAACGCAGAGGAATAAAACAATAAGGATATTTTAATTTTAGACACTAGTTCATTTCAAAAGAAACCGACAGTAGAATTCAAGATGAAGAACACTTTCCTTAATCAAGAACTATATATTTTTGTAACTTGGGAAAATATTATTGAAAATCATTAGAGTGTATATTGAATAAGAATGAAATAAAAATTGAAAAAATGAAAAACACATTAAGAAAATAATGATGATTACTCTCTAACCGACAAAAAGCAAAGTATCTAATAAAAACAATTATAATTTCTATCTTTTAACTGGAAGATGACGAAGAAAAAGAAAAGGAGAATGAGAGAGGGATGAGGAGGGAAAAACACATGCTTTATGAACAAAGATCTCTCCACTTATCATGCATGGCGATCCTTTAAAGAATTAACGCCCTCTAAATATAAGGATAAACAAACAAGATAATAGTATAAACATCTAGAACGGATATACTTAGGTTGTTGTTTGCGATATCAAAGGTATTTCTTAAAATAATATTCTCAAATTCATAGACAATTTAAGCAAATCCTTTCTCATGTTGTTACAGATATTATGAAGATCAATAATATGGATCAGCAGCTTAATTTAATATTTATATTGTTTTTAGAATAAATATTTTATTCAATCCTGTCTCGGAGATATCCATAAAACTGCGCTTGCATTATGAAATGTGATTTTCTTATCCTATTGTGTTTAATGTATTGTAAAAATTAAATGCAATCTGCAGCTATTGTAAACAGAAAAAGAAAAGTATTTCGTGTCCGAACATTTTCAAAAAATTTATAAGGTTTTATTACTAATAAAATAAAGAAAAGTCTGGCCTTCCATAATTCAAAGAAAATATTATAAAATTTTAGTGTTTTTTTTGATTAGTTTGACAGTTGTTTCCATAATCGAATAAGCAAAAATTATATATTAATATAGTGTAAATCGATAGAAGCTAAAAGAATTACAAAAATTATAACAATTGGCGCAGAACCAACATTTTCTTCATCTATTAATCCCAGAGATAAAGCTATACACGGTTACCTCTTGTGACATAGAGCAACATCAAATATTTCTATATTTTCGGATTAAAACTGGAGAGATGCAAGATATGTTAATTAAAGTTCTCCCTATTACCAGAGATACACAGCAAAACTATCACTTCATGCACAGTCAAAGAAAGATACCAACATAAGGAACAATTTCACTAAAAAAAATTAAAAAAACAAACGAGTAAACCCATGTCATGAAGAAGATGCAGCATATCATTCTGCAAAACTATTGCTGTTATTATATTTTCTCTAGAAGAAGAAACGCCATAATTTAAAACAATGCCATTCTTGTGCGTAAACAGTAAAAATAAAAACATCACACGGAAGATTGATAAACGACTCAATCAGAGTTTTCCAGCAGTAGTATACACCATCAATTTGATAGAGTTCTTACGTTATCCCTTCCAATAATTATCTGCTTCCCATTTGAGTTATGTATTTCTATTTATTTCATGTATCTTAAAAGAGTTATAAAGATTAACGCGCTCATTTAACATTATGATTAGATTCAATATGAATTTCGTCGGTGATAGAAGTAGTTTTAGTCAGAAATGGCTACGTTAACTCTCGGGAGTATTTATCAAGTCCCACTTGATTACTCTGTATTTCATTGCAAAAATTAAAACAATAGAGAAGGGTTTCTGTTCTACTGCGCGATATGTGTGGATTGTCTAGTTCTTTCCAACTAAGTCCTAACCTTATTTCACTTTTGGGGAGGGGAGGAGGAGATTGAGAAAAGAAATACAGAGCAGGTTAAATACTTGTACCGCTAAATTAGTGTCAGTCAGCAGTTGGTCAAATATGGAAAAGAAGATATGTGCGTAATTTTTTCTTGCTGTTAAGAAATTTTTCTCCTAGAGCGACCATGCGAAGGACTTTATTAAGCTTTTTATTTTGAAAGGAGACAAAATACTGACAAACTCTAAATAAAATTCTGGTAGCAACGGGTTTTTTGTTGTGATATATCAACCTCTATTTTTATTCTTAACCGGATCCTTTTGTGCTCCCATGTACAGGTATTCGTTACCCAGTTTATCCCTTTTCAGATATATATGTATTTGTTTCTAATTTTAAAATAGTCGTAGGGCCCATTTTTACTCATACATTTAATCCTATCTGGCATAAACATTTCTCATCCTAAAATGAAAAAGAGAGGTCACGTTTATTTTTTTTATTTTTATATTTGATTTTTTGATTCGTACGATACATTCTTTAGTTAAAACTTTAATAATATATCTCTATCCTTGTGATATATTCCATTTGTCTTCGTCTTTGTCCTTAGTTTCTTATGTCTTGATTTGTTTATATATTTTCTTCTTTCTCTTTTGAATTTTCTTCCAAATGTGATCTATTATATGGCCCAAGAGTCATAAAATTTTGTTTTGATTCACAAATATCCCTCGAGGAGTTCCGCTTCTGGGCACACCACTTCCCTCAGGTGGGTTCAATTGGTTTCCATGTATGAGTATAACCTTAATACCCAAAGAGGAATTTGGCTACACTCCTTGTTTTAAAGGAGAGAGATAAATAAGGCAAATTGAAACTTCTATAATAAATATAACAAACAATCAACTACCAACGAAAGTAAGTATAAGGATAGAGAATAAAGTAAAAACAAAACAAAATCGTAGGAAATGTTGCTGTATTCTTTAAAAAAGTTTAAACTACCATCCCTCAACTGAATCTTCAACTAAAAGAAGAAAAAAGTGAAAGTAAAATAAATCAAGAAAAAAAAAATATTTGGAGAGCTACTGCAACTCTGTGCTCTCGACCGAGCTATCCTGCAACGTATCCCGTGTCACCCTCTGATCAATCCCTAGTAGATTGATGATCCGCTCCTTCTAGTTCTTTCCTTACATATATGCATACAGCTTATACAAGCATATTAAGTAGGATTAGTTTTCGCTGGTACAAGTAGCTAATTATGATACTATAATCAAAAGAAAAAAAAATTTAAAAAAAAAAAGAACCATTGATTATCCAATTCAATCCTCCTTTTTTTATTTCTTTCTAATTTCCCACAATTATTCTACAATCATGAAGAAGAAACGTTAGTTCAATTGAGAGTTGGCATTTGATATATCCTTCTTCTTTTATTTATTTGTCTCGAAATATTGATCTGCATTTATATATATATAAACGTAGAAGTAACGGGGATTTCGTTAATATGATACAATTTGTTCAGATTTCAAAGAATATATTTAAAGGGTAAAAAGATTGGTTTTAAGTTATGCTACATTTCAGTTCAGTCAATTACATCATATTTTCATTAAACTTGTTGTTATCATTGTAATAATAATCGAAAAACAAATAAATACATATCTAAAAAGTATTGATATCATAAGGTCGTTTAACTCCCTCAATTATAATTACATTTTATCCCAATTATTTATCCTTTAATCTTTTTTTTAAAAACTATCCCAAAAATACAAAATAAAATCATACAATATCAACTTATATTCATCTACTATTTGTAATATTCTTTTAATAATAACTTATCCAAGTGGTGCATATTAAACATGCAACATCTCAAATTTATTCATAAATTGCATTCCATTTTAAGTCGACCTGAATTACAAGAATGGATTTTTTGGTCAAAACAAGATAGTTCAGTATTCGTGGTAAAACCATACGATCCAAAATTTAGCTCCCAAGTTTTAAAGAAATATTTTAAACATGGTAATGTTAGTAGTTTTGTTAGACAATTGCATATGTATGGATTTCACAAAATCTCATCAAATCATAACGGGGATAATATTACACTTGTAAATAAAGCTGATATCAAATGGTCATTTACACATCCATCCGGATATTTCCATAAAAATGCATATTCATTAACATTAAATAATATTCAAAGAAAGAGAACTGGTCTAGGGAAAGATGGAAAGAGAAAGAATATTTTATCTCCAGTGTCAGTAAATTTTATTCACCCCTCTAACCAACGGCAACAGCAACAGCAACAACTTCCGAATGATCCAATGAGTATCAACCAAAATGGACGTAATATGATACCTCCAAATATACCGAGCGTTGGTAGTTATTTAATGGCGCCGGGTCAAAGTATCGAACATCATGAAACACAACAGCAGCAACAACAAATTATGAATGGTAAACGACTGATTGTCAATAATTGTAATTCTAATGGATATACTACCGCAGAAGAGAATATGGCTGGCTCAAATAATGGTGGTGGCATGCCAGGATCCATATATATTGTAGATCCATATCAAAATGTAGCGAACCCTACCATCGATATAAACGAAAATAGACCAATGAATTATCAGGGACAACCAGTTACAAGAAATCCAGTTCTAACCAATTCTCAAGTAGTTCCTTATCCTCCAGCGATACCAATGGAACAGCCAAATACTTTTCGTCAATATTATCAACCAACGTCATATAGTGTCGACCTACAACAACCACGACAAATGGGTACGACGACAACACTGCCGCCTTATTTAAATTACCCTAAAAACGGAGGTTTATCACACGGCCCAACTCATATGAAATCATTAGTGGGATATAGCTCTACGTCAGACCATCACGGGTATGAAACAGGCTCAAATACCTCCGGTAAGAAACGAGAATCAATAACAATATCTGATATAAACAACGTAACTACCGATAGAATCTCCGACTCCCCCCTCGTATCGCACCAAAACATAAAGCTCGTACCACCGTTATCAATAACACATAGTCTTACAGATAAAACTGCAAATACACCAATATTTACTTCTTCCTCTACTGACACAATTGGAACAATAATTCCACCTTCACGATTGCCATTAGCTGAGATGGAAGAATACAAAATTTATCGAGAAGTATGTGACGGGAAATTGAAAAATTTAGATAATAACATGGCCGTTGTTATCAAAAGTATCTTAGAAGTGAGAGAACGAGTAGATTTTTTATCACAACAACAAGATACTAGTAGTCCTAAGAAGAAGAAAAAAGGTATCTCTGACATTAAGGAAGAAAACCGTAACAGCACAAAAAGTCTAGAAAAACTATTTGAAAAAAATATTCCAATTACACTCGAGGAGTTAGATCGTTTGAATGAATTTTTAAACGATATGAATTCATTATTCAATAAATACGAAGATTTGTTGAAGTGAAATCCTTGTCATTAACAATACTTAACCTGCATCCGATTTTGTGAGAAAACCAATTCGTAAAATCTATAAACCATTAACGCCCGCATCTTTACATTTTACTTTTTTATAACATATATATATATATATATATGTATGAAGAGGAAAATTCTACAAATTTAACATTTAATGGATAAAAAGCTTCCACTTTCCCATACTAGACCTCAATATGCGCCTTTATTTTAAGTACCTATGAATATATTTAATAATTTATCTAAGAATCACTTCAATGTCTCCATTTATCTTGGATATTGGAATGGCATTGTATTATATGCGGAAACAGGAAAATAAGGGACATTATTGACGACTGTATTCATGTACATAGGAAAATTCTGAATTGGAGCTGGTGGCATGTTCATAGAAGGGCTAACAAGAAGTTGATTCTGTTGCTGCATCAATGCGTTCATGAATTTCTTATTATAGGGCATTTGATTGTTGATCCCATTAGTACCGATGTTACCCCTACCTCTATAGCAGAAATTGTCAAACCCATTGTTTTCTCCTATGATATCTCGGTTTCTACTTGAATTCTTATTTTCATTATTTGACCCGTTATGGTTATCATTACGGCTATTGTTATTGACATTATTATTATTATTCTTTTTATTAGCGAACGAAACTGATAATACAGATCCGTTGTTCAGTTGATACCCATTTGTAGCCAAAATTGCTCTTGACGCATCAATTGGATTCTCAAAACATACAAAACCATAACCTTTTGAGGAACCTATGACCTCTTCTTCCTCTGTTGTATTTTCGTTTTCTGTTAGAAGATTTGAGTTACTAGAATTTTCCTGGTTCGATGATCCACCGATAGTAATCACCTTAGAACTAATTATGATTCCGAAACATTCATAAAACTCAGTCAATATCTCATCTGTCCAATCTAATGGAATATGTTTTACATACAGATTCGATTCCTGTTGATTACTCAATGGTATTGGGAGACTGTTCATATACATATTTGGAAGTAGATTTGGGCCCTCATAGGTGGGCTCGTTATTCAAATTTACAGGGATATTCATCATAGGTGAGCTTTTATCACCCAAAATTGATGTTGGAACCGACACATTTGAATTTACCCGAATACTTGAAGGATCATTATAGTAGTTTTGGTATATGTTTTTAACATACTGCGGAATTTGTTGATCAACAACATCAGAGCCTCGAGAAGAGATAACAGATTTTTCTTGGTATTGTCTGTTATGATAGTAATTGTGATTTGTACCATTTATAAATGCACCACCACCGTCATTATTAACAGTACCCTTCTGATTTGAACTTTGAATTCTATTCTGAACAGCTTTATTAACTACCAAAGAGTTTCCGAACCATTGAAAACCATTGAATTGATCAATTACATGTTGTATCTCATCTGAGCTTCCTACTTTAATGAAGCCGTACCCTTTTAAGGTTGTCTGTTCTGATACATCATTCCTATTTTTATTTGAATCCTTTGGGAAATAATATGATAAAATAGTAAAATTTGGGAATTTCTCAAGTAATTTCCCAGTTAATAATTTAAGAACCATGTCTTCTGTGACAATATTACTAGTATCCGTTAGTTTTGGTAAATTACCAATAAACAAGCATTTAAAGGTCTTTTCGTCAAAATTTTCTTTGACTTGATTCCAATGCAAGTTTTCTCTTTCTTTACGATCTACATGATAGTTTATGAACAGTGTTGATCCTTCAATTTCTTTACCGTTTAACATCTGTATACATTTTGAAGCATGTGATCCTAATTGGTAAGATACAAACCCATATCCGATAGCTCTATCTTTTAATTTATCGTGAATCAATTTAATTGACACTAAAGGTCCATACTCTTTAAAAATATCCATCAATTTTGTAATAGTGATTTTCTTTGATATCCCACCAATGAAAAGATTTCCAGTATGGGTTAAAGCATGATGGTTTATAGTTACTGACCAACGTTCGATTACGTCAGGTAATTCTTTCAATGCGTTTGTAATGTGTATTGCACAGTTTTCTAGGGAATAACCTTTCCTAAAATGTGCTTGTTGTACAATGTCAAACATCCAATTTTTTGCGGTATCCAAATATGATTTTGCAAATTCTTTTGAACCATGTTCAAATTCATAATGATTTTCAGTAATAACTTCCAATCTTTTAGAATCACAAAGATATTCGTAGTTTTCTATTTTTAATGGATTAATTATATTCCCTTTATGACTAACGATGTAATTGGAAAATTCTAGGATTATTTTATCCTTCTCAATTTCGTTGTCAGCAATCTTTGAGGACCATTTAATTCTTACGGTCAATAAATTTTTATTTGCTAATTGTTCTAGTTGTAAACCTGCAGATGATACTGAGCCTGCAACGTTGTCTATATCTGTTTCTTGAAGGAGTTGTTCTTTATTAACATCATTGTTTAATTGCGACACCTTTTCTGTTTCTGACATTTTAGTTGTTCTTGAGACGCTTATAAGGGACAATAACGAGAACTGTAAGTAGAAGACCTAACCTATTAAGTAATATTGAATAAAAAATAATTTGTATTAGTTCTTATTATTTAAAGTATAACACTTCTTAACCAAACACATATGTATTTTTATTTTTATTTTTCGAACTCTAGTTTTATTTTCTAAATTTTCTTATTAGTGTTATATTGATATATTCAATATAAATTTGATCATAAAATTTAACTCTAGTTATACTTAAATTGAAAACCCAAAAAACACAATGAAGAATAAAAAATAGGAACAATAATAATGAATTGTCTTAAGCTTAACAAAAGTATAAAATCACACTCGATTATAAATGACTACTCTACCTATGAGATATGAAATAACAATAAAGTGAAAAAGAGGAGAAATTAGTACTATTACTATTGTTATTGTTGATCATCAGTTGGAAAAACTTAAAACAAAACAAAATCAAATGTATATCCCCATACAAATATAAGAGGAAGAAGAAAAACTAACTAATTTTATTTGGCTATACAATATAAAATCCTCAATTTGTATACATATATATGTTATTTCGATAAAATTATGTCTAACTATCTCGAATTTCCAGGTATAATTTTATTTTTATTATTATTATGATAACCTTTCAACCTGCTGACATGCGTTCCAGTAGAGTAGCTACTAACTGAACCGCTTCATAAAGACATTTGCGTTTTATTCATAGAATAACTGGAAATAATAACAATACAAAAACATAAATACATTTGCTGGTCATCGGAAAACCCTTTTTTTACTAGCTTTACTCTTTTCACTATGTCTCTATCTCGAGGTAATTAATTAATTGACATAAGTACCGATTAGGAAATCACATTGACTTCAACCAGTTTTTTACAAACCACTCAAAAGAACGAAATTTGAAAGGGAAGTCGCGCAGGTGATAAAGAGAGTTAGCAAGCGACAATAATAGTCAATTTCCTTCTTGCAAGAAAGAAAGAACCAAAAATAACGCAAAACAAAATTTGGAAGACACTGAGAATTTGGGGTGGGGGAGGAGACGAGGTGAAGGAGCCATACATAAGAAAGATAAAGTTCAGCTTTCAGCCTTTATTGTTGTAAGAGGCTCATTTAAACTGAATATGGACCTAGGGTTGAGTATTTTGCAACTCAAACAGATTAGAAGACCTAAATCATATATAATTATCTGATCACGTTTTAACAGCAAGTTGTTTGTTATAGGGTTTGTGTGTGTGGGGAATGTTCGTTTATCCTGATCAAATTTAAAAGAGTTTTCTCTCGTAGTAAGGACATTATATATGTCAATACATACTTTCTAATATGGCTAGCAATGTATATAATTTACAAAACAAAATATGAAATTTCATAGATGACAGAAAGCGTAGCGATGAGTAGTCATATCTGTGTGATGAGTCATAACTGACAACCGACAGAGGTTGAGAATTTACAAACTTATCACTATCCAGCAAGTTGGATGATACACAATAATTTTATATAATGCCTTCACATTTTGGGTGTTATTCGGTTGAATCTGTTATTATAATAACACCTAGTTATTTCTTGTTATTAGTTTCAACAAATTTCTATTATAACAGGCGACGCCTAGAGTTTACTTCAACCAGTTTACAATTTTCATCTTCAAATTCATATCACTTAAAGGGACTTCAAAACGTAATGTAAGATCAGGATATCATAGTATTAAGTAACTTACCCCAATATTGAGAACTGTAGAGGATGGCTCCAACTTCTTATAGTAATCTCATCTTTTATATGATTATGTAACATGCTCTATGTGTCACATGACAGTCAGAATGGAATCAGGATCACGTGCCTCATCGACCTTTTTTCTGTTGAAAATCACTTTTCACGGACATGTATCAATTGTTCCCTTACGGTGGCGAAACGGTTACATTCAAACCTTTAAAATAAGCTTAACCAGTGGGAAGTTGTACAGCTTCAAGTAATGATATTACCTTTGTACTTCAATTAATATAGATAAGTAGATAAACTTTTAGCATAATTTCAGTTAGTGATTTTTTTATTGTTTGTACGACAGGTATCTACATTTGTTTTTGTTTTTGTTTGAGTAAAATAACTCCAGAAAAGTTTAAGTCCCTTTTTATAATTTTAAAAATCAGGAAATGTTTTTGACAAGAAGTGAATACGATCGTGGTGTTAGCACATTCTCCCCTGAAGGGAGATTGTTTCAAGTTGAATATTCTTTGGAGGCAATTAAACTGGGATCAACAGCCATTGGTATCGCTACAAGTGAAGGTGTTGTTCTTGGTGTTGAAAAGAGAGCCACATCTCCTTTGTTAGAATCTGATTCCATCGAGAAAATAGTTGAGATTGAACATCATATAGGTTGTGCTATGAGTGGGTTAACCGCTGATGCCCGTTCAATGATTGAACACGCTAGAGTGTCGGCTCTAACACATAATTTTTACTATGACGAAGATATTGGTGTCGAGTCCTTGACACAATCTGTATGTGATTTGGCTTTAAGATTTGGTGAAGGTGCCTCTGGTGAAGAGAGACTTATGTCTAGACCTTTCGGTGTTGCTTTGCTAATAGCAGGCTACGACAAAGATGAAGGGTATCAACTATTCCATGCCGAACCATCTGGTACCTTTTACCGTTATAATGCTAAAGCTATAGGTTCTGGGTCGGAAGGTGCACAATCTGAGTTACAAAATGAATGGCATTCATCGTTAACTCTTAAAGAAGCGGAAGTATTAGTACTGAAGACTCTAAAACAAGTGATGGAAGAAAAATTGGATGAAAATAATGCTCAATTAAGTTGTGTATCAAAGGAAGGAGGTTTCAAAATATATTCAAATGAAAAGACTGCGGAGATCATTAAGGAACTGAAAGAAAAAGAAGCACAAGAACATACTGAAGAAAATGACATTGAAATGTCTTAAGTTCCAATACTTCCTCATTTTTTTTAAAATTAAATAATGAATAGAAAAGTGAAAATAATAATATAGTGTACCATCATGAATATGCATGTTTTTATATATATAATCGTGTAGAGAATATACAAGTAAATATATCTAAAATGTATGTAGACGGATGCAAATAGTTAAACAAACTAACCAACAAATAAAAGGGTTTTAATTTTGTAAACTGCGGTATTCATTGAAAAACCTAGATTCTCATGAACAGAAGATCAAACACGATATTTTATATCATGCTTATTTTTTTCTATATTAGATGTGAATACTCTGGAATCTCCTTAATTTTACTGTTAAAGAATTTCTCTAATCTATTAGCATATTTGAAGTAAGATGTATTTTCACCATTGTACATCCTACAATTGTTACAAACCAACCTCAAATCATAAATGAAATCTTCCATCTTTTCATATTTATTATTTTCTAATTTGATCTCCATTGTGCTCAAATCCATTGGTTCTTTAATAAACTCATAGTAATCAGGAACTTCTTCTCTGTTAACAGGTTGCAAAAATGGCCACGCAGCTGCATGATTCTGTAATTCTGTCAATATATTTTGCATAATGGCAAAATGTGGACCTCTCTTGGGTCGTTGCGCCAATTTATCCATCTCTGGAGTCCAGCCTGCTTCTTTTAACCCTGGTATGATCATAGGATCTATCGGTACGATATTGTTTAGATCCATAAATTGCTCCAAACCAGGTCTAACTATATGTGATTGCGATATAGTTCTAATTTTTCTTCTTAGAGCTGCTTCTTGTAACAGCAATATCTTCCCAGCATCCAAATATCGTATTTTTGGTAGCATAGAACATTGCATTAATGTACCACCTTCATAATCTTTAATATAACCCATCCATATCTTTTTATCTAAAGTGACTTCTTTTGTAAAACCTTGCTTCTTAAAATAACCAATGGCATAATTGTCAGCATATGTTAAGAAATACTTGATTGGTGACGTATTCTTCACATAATCCTTTAAATGATTCATTAAATGAGCACCATAACCTCTCACCTGTTCGGTCGAACTAATCGCACAGAACACAATTTCTGCGAAACCTCTCTCATTAAAGGGTCTATATGTAATACCACCGACTACAGTCAACGGTTTTCTTACCACAGCCATGGACAAATGATTTCTATCATATACTAAACGTGCAATATATTCCTTAGGCATCTTTGGCAATTGTTTTTGAAAGATATTCTTCAAACCCGTTAGAACCATTAAATTTTCTTTACTATTATCATTATTCACCACTCTGAACTCTATCTTCCCTTCCTTCTCCTCTATAACGCTCGCCCTTTCTTTGAATTTGAATTGTACACCGTCAAATTCGAACTTCACTAGTCCTTTTTCTTCATCTTCAACAACAGAGTTTTTTACGTCAATATCAACAGTGTTATTCTCTTCATTATCCTCAGTATTTTGTGTAGAATCGACTTTATCATCATTCTCTTCTATGTCCTCCTTTTCATCATTCCCTACCGTATTCTCTTTGTCACTATTTTGTTCGACATCGCTGTCTTCTGATTCGGAGCTATCAGATTTTACGTCCGAGTTAGGTGAACTCCTCAAATTTGGTTTATAATCACCTAATTTTATCTTTTTCACCTCAGATTTATTGTTTGAACTGGTGTCTTCATCTCTTTTATGAACTTCTCCCGTCGTCATATCTTTCCTTATTATAAATATCCGCGATGGTTAAATAAGTGATTGTATGAAAATGCTCAATCAAATAATAACAACAACCAACTAAATCTAGGGCAAAAAAAAAATATAATATTACAACAATATTTCTTAGAATATTATAGAGCAATTGGATTTCAATACTCTCTTGTTTCTTCCATGTAAATGTATCCTATTTACCACTAGTAGTTACTTAATCTTTCAAAGGTCGATCTTCTTTTATTTACTGTTTCGCTTAAAGGTCAAGATAAACGTTTCGTAAGACACGATATCATAAAAAGCGAAAAAATAAACAATGAAAGTACTTGAAATTTGGAATGTTTCAATGACAATTACAAATTATAGAAATATATAATTAATACTAAAGATTTTAATATTCCGATTCTTCCTCTGATTGTTGTTCCGATTCTTCATGCTCCGGATCATCCAATGCTAATCCGTCGATTTCATCTAGAAGTTCATCCATGTCAATACCTGGAGCGTCTCCATCTTCAAGATCTTCACTCTCATCATCACTCTCTTCATTATCTCCAGCACCTGACTCATTACCAACATTTTTGTACATATTTATATTGTTTCTCAAATCCGAATCATCTTCAAGTTCTTGCAAGAACATTTCATAATCCTTCTCAGCACGCTCGAAATCTTGTCTTTCAACCCTAGCATTATTGTAGTCCTTACTTGCGTCAATGTCACTATGCTCCTTTGCCATTCTCTTTAATTTCCAGTTTCTTTTACTCTTCGTCTTCTTTGGATACAACTTCTTGACAAGAACAACATCTGGAATGTAGTCATATTTCAATCCATCAAAGAGATCGGAATTATAATTGGAGTTTGCAATAAAATAACCCATTGCACTGTCACCCGCATGTAAGATACCTCCCAGATGAGATCTAATGTAGTATTCTTGATCATTTACACCAAGATCAACTGCCCTAGCCACTGTAATATCTGCTAAAACACGGTTACTTTTAACTGTACCAGTAGATTCAACATCCAATACAATAAATTCTACTAACTGTGAGGAATCAGCTAAAGAATTGAAAGGGTTTCTCCAATATACAGGTGCTTGTAATTCTGCGGTTTGCAAAGTCTTTGGATCCAAAAATTGAACGGAGTTAGATATCTTATGACATAGTACGAATTGCGAAATATTACCTAACGATTTAGCAATTTTCTTTGGTAAAACGACTAAATCATCTTTACAAATTGGCACTAGTTCAACAGAATAGGTGAATTTATACTTGGAGACATCTGTATGAGAATCCTGTGATACTAATTCCTCAGATCTCTTATATTTTGCGGGAACACTAGAGGTTAAGAAATCAACCATCTTAATAGCATGGTTTTTCTGACTATAGAAGAAGTCTAAACCATCCTTCACTTCTTTAATGGATACTGTATTGACATGAGCATTATTCTTCAATATCATTTGTTCCAAATATAGAAAAGTTCTCTTATGTGGTACTTTTTGTCTTATCTGAACAGTTGCGGTCCATGTGTTGGCTGTATAAGATTTAGCACAGTCTGCACATTGCATAGCATTAACAGTATATTCCACCTCGAAACTTTGCTGAATTAGTGTATTTAACATTGCCTCACCTTGAACAGTTATCTTAACCTTAATTCTTCTAGAATGAGGTTCTGTCCAGATAAAGGAAGCATCTATTAATCTGACTTTATTCAACCCTTTTAACTTTTTTAGACACACGGCTAACAGTTCTCTCGATTCTAATCTTGCTCTAATCCATTGCCCTGGTGGTTGAAGAAACCTTTCACAATCTCTACAAAAACTAATGTTTGCTTCTCTTGGGATGCCTTCTGTAATATCAACTTTCATCTTAATACAATCATAACACATAACTAGACCTTTTGAACCATCTATTGGAGTACCACACTCACAACACAGCATAGTGGCCCTAGGTTTTAAGGCGATCTCATCCTTAACGCTTAAACTCATTTTGAAAATAACTTGTTTTTATTTTTCTGTTTAAATAGGTGAGTTACTTTAACAACTATTAATTTGAGAAATAATTAACTGAAAATGAAAGTTATATCTTTCAAAGACTTAAATCCTAAATATATAGTGTCTTTTATATTCTGAAAGATAATTATATTTTATTTTAGTTTTGATGATAAATCATCGAGTGGCGAAGGGTGCAAATTTTTTTGTTTCAAGGTTTCATTGATTTGGGTCCTTAAAGAATCTCGGATTGTTTGAAAAGCGATGAGCTTACGTAATAAAAGCAATAAAATACAAGTTATAAATAAAATTAAAAATTAACATTCTATTAAGATCACCAAGATACAACACCTTAGAATATCGGGTTAGTTAAAATGCAATCATATACGTATTATCATTTATTTATTCTATAGTCTTATTTACGACCTTTCTTTTTGCCATTAAATAGTAAGTTCACAGATTTCTTGGAGTGCGCTATCCTTCTGCTTCCGTCGTCATCACTAGAGTCTCCATCACTACCAATCATAGTACCTTTTGAAGAGTCTTTGTTATTGCTTGTGGAAGTATTATTATGTGCGCTACTACTTGGTCCATTTCGCCTCATATCTTCCCTTCTTCCGCTTCTGATTTTATTCTTTAATGCCACCATCGCTCTCGTATCATCCTTTGCTACTCTATAAATATTATTCCTCTCATTTAAATGTTCCGACCTTTTCTTCTTCTTTGCTAAACTACTGATTTTCTTATTACTATTCACAAATTCACCAATGGTATGAATATCAGTACTTCCTTCGTTATCCCCAGAGTCATTATCACCCATACTGAGACCAGAACCGATCTGTACTACAGGGAGTTGGAAGAACATTTTTTTACTGTCTTCTAAATCCTTGATGGTATATGCTTTTCCATTGTCAACATCATCTGACTGCCTTTTCTTATTATCATCATCCTTGTCTGAATCTAACCAACTTAATACTTTGGATGTATTAGAGTTCAGTGCAATTTGGAGTTTAGCGTTAAGTGCCAACTTTTCTTGTATCTCTTTAGCTCTACTCATTATCCCTTATCTATATTCACCTTGGTAATGTCACTGTTTCCTAGGTTCCTGTTCCTTATGATGATTATTAAATTGGTCTTTAAATTTCCATTGTCATCTTCTAAAGTGAAATTTTTACAATTTCGCTTTACAATGAGAAAGCGATCATCGATGGGATAAGAAAGAACAAAAACTTCTACATACGAAGAAATAAGGTGAGGAATAGTTGTCAATTCTACTTATTATGTATTCATTTGTTTATTTTAGTTCTAATCTATAAATATTTATACCCGTGAACTCTTCTTACTGAAGTTAGTGTTCTTTCTTTGTTTTCTTCTCTCTCCAAAGTTAGCCTTTTCCATCTCCATTAATGATTCTCTCTTTGCCTTTGTTACCTTTGTCAATGCTTTCCTGATTACGGCAGTATCATGCACTTTATCACATTCCGTCATTTTTTTGTTGATACGGTCCTCAATAGCCTCAATTCTAGAAATATCTCTCTCAGTGACAAAACTAATGGCATCACCCGTTCTTCCTGCACGAGCAGTACGACCAGAACGATGGATATACGTATCTGGGTCGGATGGGATGTCATAATTAATGACTAATTCGACAATAGGGATATCCAAACCTCTAGACGCAACATCTGTAGCGATTAAGATCCTTGCTGCATTCGCACGGAATCTTTGTAAAGAATTTGTTCTCTCTTGTTGTGGCATCTGTGAATGTAAGGATGCTACTCTCAAGCCTAAACGAAACAATGTTCTACGTAAAACTTCTGCTGCGGTAGTTCTATTAACAAATATTATAGCACTGGATTCGATGTATTCCTGACATGTCAACAGCTGATACAAATAAGCCTCCTTAACATGTTCTGGGACTAATAAGTACTCTGTTTGTAACGTCGAAGGAATAGCTACATTATCGATACTTTCAACTTGGTATGAGAAAAGAGGTGGCTTGCCTTCTATACTTGGTGCCTCCTGGAGAGCCTTCACTTGATCTGTCATTGTAGCAGTAAATAATAATGTTTGCCTTTTATTCTTTGGCGGTAATGCGCCAATACAAGTTCCTAAATCATTTGCAAAAGTATCTGTGAGTAAAAAATCTGCTTCATCTAAAACTAGATATTTTACACGTCTCAATCCTCCCACTGTATCATCACCACTATTCATAATATGATGAGCCAATCTACCTGGAGTAGCAATGATAAAATGGGGTTTCCTCTGTAACTCAATAGCTTGCTGTACAATACTCTCCCCACCTACAACTAAAGCTACACGGATATTCATTTGACTTCCTAAAGCTGTGAACTGTTCTGCTATTTGCATAGCCAGTTCTCTAGTTGGTGTCAATACAATACCAAACATCCCACTTGGATCCTCGGACCATTTAGTTAACATAGGGCCAGCAAAAGCAATTGTCTTACCAGAACCAGTCTTGGCACCACCTATGCAGTCACTACCTTCCAAAATTTTCGGTATACAATGCTTTTGAATCTCTGTTGGTTGTGTAATTTTCATTGCGGTTAAGGATTCAACCAACCATTTAGAAAGACCTAAAGTCTTAAAATTAGAAGCTGACATTCTAGTTTATTTGGGCGCTTAGTTTTGGGTTGTTATATAGGTTGATTTCTTACGAACATGTAAACCTCTCGAAGGATTGAATGTGTCTTATAATGTTGTGTTTAAAAACTTGCACTCATCTTATAGATGAACATCTCATCGCATCGCATCGCTTAGTTGAAAATTTTCTCTGACATTTTTTCTGCGGAGCAAGATTAAGATTAATGTGCTCTACTATATCGAAATATTGTAATAAAGGAACTTGTTACGTACGTGTTTGATAAACAATATAACCAAGAGATTGTTGCTTTCACATATACGGTTTGCCAACCGCTACTGAAAAAAATAGTGATTGAGTGAGGTTAACTTGAAATACTGATTATGTTCTCGTTAACACGAGGAGAATGAATAGAAAATATATTTAAAGTGACGTATAGTCATATGTAATTTCCTTGATTCTTTATTTAATACTATCAAAGTGACACCCAGTACAGCACCAGAATATATGTATATTATATGTTTGAGGGAGTATATACTATTTGAAAATATAACTTCACAAAAAACGTAGTTCTCACGGAATAATATATGAAAAATTGTAATTTGATATGTAGCTAGCACTCTTCTCTTTTCACCTTCTTTCCTTTTCCATACACACAACTAATCAGTCACCTTCGTATTGAATCTCCAAAAATGCAACGAAATAAGTCAAAACCTTATGTCTACTTGAGATGGAATTGAAACTGGTGCGTAAAATAACGGCCATAGGTATATGATTTTGTCCTACTTTACTTCCCTCTTGAAGTGAGAAAACAATTACAAATTCTAGTTGTTTCCTATGAAAAGAAGAACAAGGATGGGAAGAGCACTAAATCATATGGAAATGTGGGTCATCTTGATCTGATCGAGTAAGAAACTGGTATAGACGATACTGAAGAAGAAGAAGACAATGAGGCAGCTCAAGAGGACTAAATTCAAGACGTATCCACATACGAAGATGATGAGATGGTTCCCCAATTCCCTGCTATGGATAAGTTAAAAACTTTGAGTACAATATATTATAAGCCATCGCTTCTATCTGTTGGTAAGGATGATACAGAAAACTTAGACAATCTTAAGTTTACCAGAGAAGCAGCAGCTCCTATGCTAAACGGGCCTCTTTCCCTTGATGAAGATGACTTCTATCCTGAAATGGTATTATTTACTGATAAGTTGAATTCCAATTCTATTTGTGGAATGATAATTAGCGTTTGTTTTCTTGCATAGCATCTTCTTAAAGAATGGGTATAACACTTTGTTGAATAGACAAGAACCTCTGATGACCACGGTATCTTTCCTTTGGGCCACATGATCCATGTACAGAGCGATAGTATTCTTAATTATTTGCAGTTCCTGAAGTTAATGAAGACATATGTCAATTTAGATTGCGAAAAGAAAAACCACTACACTTACTGGCACCGATGCAACCTTTGCGAAATAGAGAATGGTCATTTGCTATGCCTTCACTTAATTGCAATAAAAAACCCTCTCTCTATGATCCAGTTACAATGCAACATTAGTTTGATGATTTAAATGAGTATTTATCGTACAGAATGAATAGTGCCTATTCTTGTCTTTAATAAATATTATCTATATACTTCATTTGTTGCTCTTTTATTTATTTATATTTATTGAAAGCATACTAATATAGCTGAGTTCCCAATTTCGCAGGTAGCGTAACGCCAATATCACATTAAATTGTATGTAGGAGTTTCGACCTCGAGAAAACAACTTAAACAGAAACGTTTGATACAATCAAAGCCTGACACTATTGCTTACACGACCCAAATAATCAAATTTTCTTATTTCATTTACACATATACAGACTACTAAAAATGACAAGTATAAATGAATCAACAATTGGGGCATAGAACACCATGATTCTGAGTATTAAGTGACTGTGTCGTTTCCAGTTACGAAATAGGGAAAATGAAGTATGCATTTGTTTTTTATATACTCCGAAATCCTGTTGTGGCAATTCCCTTCTTCGCTGGATGAAATAAAACAAAGAAGGTTTTTCAGTTGAACAGAAATCCGCGGTCCCAAAGAAAAGTGAAAATTTTCTCATCTCATCTCATCTCATCTCATCAACTGTAGTCTGTTTGAGAGACAATAAGCAAGCAAATGTGAAGAGCATGTAAAATGTGGCAGTGTTCAGTGTAACACATATATATTTCAACTATTTGACTACTTCTTTCTGTAGTTAACTTCAAGGATCTTGTCAACAGAACAGATATACCAGAGTATTCAAACAAAACAAGATGGCTAGAAAAGGTAGAGCTGCGATTCTTCCAAACAACATCATTTTGTTACAAAACTTGGTGAAACGTGACCCGGAGTCCTACAAAGAAGAGTTCTTACAACAATATTCTCATTATGAATCCTTACGTGATATCTTTATGGTGAATGGTATGGCTCAGACAGCAGCAGCAGCCGCTGCTGCCAGCTCTTCAACCAATGGTGTTGCCGATGATAGTGCTAATCGTGTGGAAACTAACAGTGTTGGTATCAATGGGAATGCATCCGTTGGTGAGCTTGTCGAACTGATCGGATTCATCTCCCAAGTGTGTTCCTGCTTCCCAGTGCAAACTGCTAATTTCACAAACGAGTTAAGACAGTTGTTATTAGAACATCACAAGACCTTACCCTTTGAATTGAAGGAAAAAATCCTAGTCTCTTTAACAATGTTAAGAAACAAAGGTGTTATCAGCGCAGAACAACTGATTCAAACATTATTCCCATTATTGATTGCTTACTCCTTACAAGGTAACTCACTTGGATTAAATTCTCATGCCAAAGAATTACGTCGTTTGATTTATAACAATCTAGTGACACTGTTGAAGAACTGTAATCTAGGTTCTAAGAATCAGAAATTGAATAAATCCACACAAGCAATCTGTTTCAACTTATTGGATCAACCTGATTCTCAAGGTATCTGGGCTGCTAAGCTTACCAGAGAGTTATGGCGTCGTGGTATTTGGGATGATTCTAGAACTGTTGAAATCATGACTCAAGCTGCATCGCATAGTGATGCCAAGATTGCGTTATCTGGGATTATGTTCTTCTTGGATGCTGATCGCGAACGTGAAGAGACGTTTGAAGAAAACAGTGATGACGATGATGATAGTGTCAATGTTGATGCATTGAAACATCGTCTTGAAATTAACAAAAAGACAGGTAAACGTGCTAAGAAATTAAAGAATGCCATCAATACTGTAAAGAAGCGTAATCATACAAAGGGTCAAGCCAATCAAAACTTTTTAAACTTCAGTGCCATTCATTTATTAAGAGACCCACAAGGGTTCACCGAAAGATTATTCAAAGAACATTTAAGTGGTAATAAACGTAACAATAAATTCACTATGGAACAAAGAATATCGATCATGCAATTATTATCACGTTTGATCGGTACCCATAAGCTAACAGTATTAGGGATCTATACGTATTTCCTAAAGTACTTAACACCAAAACAAACCGATGTCACTAAGATTATGGCTGCCAGTGCCCAAGCATGTCATGAATTGGTTCCACCAGAGACACTTCAAGTTCTGGTGAGAAAGATTGCTGATGAGTTTGTATCTGATGGTGTTGCCAATGAAGTTGCTGCAGCAGGTTTAAATACCATCCGTGAAATCTGTTCTCGTGCTCCATTAGCCATTGAAGAGACATTATTACAAGATTTGATTGAATATAAACAATCCAAGGCTAAAGGTGTTAATATGGCTGCTAAGGGATTACTTGCTCTATATAGAGATGTTGCCCCAGAGATGTTAAAACGTAAAGATAGAGGTAAGACAGCTACATTGGAAATAATTGATAAACAGAGAAATGGTACTAAGAACAGTACACGTGACGCGCGTCTACAATTTGGTGCTGATCATGGTGTCCAAGGTATTCAAGGTCTTGAACTATTAGCGCAATGGAAACGTGACCATGCGACCGCCGAACAAAACGATGACAATGACGCTGCCAATTGGGAAGTTGACAACGAGGGTAACAGTGATGGAGAAGATGTTGACGGTGCGTGGGTTGCTGTAGAGAGTGATAAAGAATACAATGTGGCAAGTGATAGCGATCTTGAATTAAGCGATGACGACAACGACAATGAGGAAACCGCAACGGAGAAAACAAAGACCACAGCCGCCGAGGCGTTCCAGGAATTAGCCACCACGCGGATCTTAACCCCAGCAGATTTTGCCAAGTTACGTGAATTACAAACGGAAGATAATGTATTGCAACAGATGGGACACAGTGCACGTGACCAGGGCAGTCGTAATGAAGAGATTATTGATGCTGCTGGCTTAGTTGGACCTGTTAAATATAAGCAAACACGTGAGGAACGTATTGCTAAGATTATGGAAGGTCGTGAAGGTCGTGAGAAGTTTGGTAGTCGTAAAGGTAAGCGTGAAGACGGTCACTCTACTACAAACCGTGAGAAACAACGTAAGAAGAATTTCGTGATGATGATTCATAAGAGATCTGTCACAGGGAAACAAAAGATGTCTTTAAGAGATAAACAAAAAGTGTTACGTGCTCATATCACCAAACAAAAGAAACGTGGTCATTGAAAAGAACCGATTATCAATATTATCATTTATATAGTCATACATTTTACCTATACCTCAATATATACACATATTTGTACATTAATCAACAATATCTCATACACTCAACAAGGGTCGTTTGTCATTACAACCATCACGCTCTATTCATTCATTAGATCGGGGAACTCTTTCTCCATAGAGACTAAATACTATATATATCTTGAACGTTCGGCGATGTCTGTAATAACTGATCTTTCAAATGATAGCAACATTACTTAAGTCTGGTTGCTGTTATTGTTGTTGGAGTATAATGATAACGAAAGTCGGGGTATATCGGATAGTTGGCAAATACCGCGAGAGGACGCAAGCGGGGAAACACGGAAAGTTTGTTTCTTGTGGTGCAATCGAGAGAGCGAAAGAGAGAGAAAAGCACAAATTTATTGGAGAAATGATTGGTGATAAGAGAGAGAGAGAGAGAGAGAGAGAGCGTGGCTAAGCGGGGTTGAGATATTTGCCGATAATACAGGGAAACAGAAAGGGGGGGGGCAATATATTACTACCGCTAACTTAATCCAAACAAAACACCGTTTCGGTAGATTTCACGAATGCTCGATAAATTAATATAATATATATATATATATATATATATATAAGAGAAGGGAAACAAGGTAATAAAATTATATACTGTTTCAGTAACAATATTCGACTTGGAGAAAAGGTACAGTGACGAATTGATTGATATAATCATTCAATTTTTTAACGGTTAACAATTAACAATTAAATATATATATCTCATAAATGTTGAGAAACGCTTTGAAAGTAAATGCACGTGCAGTGTTTAAAAGAAATTTATCGATTCATGAATATAGATCTTCTCAATTATTAGGGCAATATGGTATTCCACATCCTCGCGGTTCGATTGCATTTTCACCTGAAGAAGCCGAGCAAGTTGCACACGATCTTAATGTCGGTAGTGTGGTATTAAAGGCTCAAGCATTAACTGGTGGACGTGGGAAAGGCCATTTCTTAGAATCGGGTTTACAAGGTGGTGTGAAGATGGTCACTAGTTCTGATCAAGCTGAAATTAAAAAATTGACTCTACAAATGTTAGGTAATCATTTGGTCACAAAACAAAGTGGTCCCAAGGGGAAATTTGTCTCAGGAGTTTATGTTGTTGAGAAAATTGATGCAGTAAAAGAAAGTTATTTATCCATCATCTTGGATAGATCCACTAGAACACCTGTCATTGTTTGCTCCAGTGAAGGTGGTGTTAACATCGAAGAAACCGCAGAAAAGAATCCGAAAGCTATTAAGAAATTTCATGTTGATCCAACTAAAGGTTTATCAGATATCCAAGCTCATAAAATTGCAAAAGCTCTTGGATTTTCATCACAAACTGAAGATGAAACCGCAGAAGCTGTTAAGAATCTATACAAGATATTTATCGAACGTGACGCTACACAAGTTGAAATTAATCCACTAAGTGAAATAAGTGGTGGTCGTGTCATGTGTATGGACGCAAAATTTGGATTTGATGATAATGCGTCATTCCGTCAAGAAGAAGTTTTTTCTTGGAGAGATTTGACTCAAGAGGATCCCGATGAAGTTAAGGCTAAGAAATACGACTTGAATTTTGTTAAATTACAAGGTAATATTGGGTGTTTAGTCAATGGTGCTGGTTTAGCAATGGCTACAATGGATGTAATTAAATTGAATGGTGGTGATCCTGCAAATTTCTTAGATTGCGGTGGGGGTGCTACACCTGAAACTATTAAGAAAGCTTTTGAATTAATTTTATCTAATGAAAAAGTTCATGCAATTTTCGTTAATATATTTGGTGGGATTGTTCGTTGTGATCATGTCGCTTTAGGTTTAGTTAATGCAGCCAAAGAACTTGATGTTAAAGTACCAATTGTAGCAAGATTACAGGGCACAAAATTAGCTGAAGGGAAAAAAATCATTGAACAATCTGGAATTAGTATTCATTCTTTTGCTGAATTAGATCCTGCAGCTAAAAAAGTCGTAGAATTAGCCCATGCTTATATTTAGTATTATTACGTTTTCTTTTCTTTTTCTATCAATAAAAAACAACAAATGTAACCATTACTTACTTTAAATATTCATATACATATATATATACGTAAACTAAAATAAAAATTATTCTTTCTTTAAAAATGTTGCCTGTAGGGTGACATGATTACAATAATTATTAGTTATTTTCTTTTATTTTGAAGCATGTAAATGAATATTAAATTATGTATGTGTTATAAAGAAAGAAAGAAGGAGGTAAAAAAAAATGCAGGGGTTAATCATTAATGAGCTTGTAAGTTATCATTAGATACAGTCGATGGTGGTGCAGCAATAGGTGTATTTGTTTTTACCGTTTCTTGTGATGTGATCATATATTTCAATACTTGTTTCATTGTATCACCATTCTCTAGTCTATAGTTAACAATTCTAGATACTTGATACCCTGCAGTACCTGCCAAAAAGATATTTACTGAAGCTAATAAATAATTTTTGGGTATAATAACAAATGACCAACGAGCCCAAACCAGTCCCGTAGCCAATAGGGATAAAGACTGCGTAGCAGATAGTTTATTAACAGGCCGTTGCATATCGGAAATACCTGCAATGACTAGCCCCCATTTTAAAGTAGGAGCCCAGAAATGTACCGTTTTAGGACCAGTTTGACTATTCCAGAATCGTTTAAATGCAATATTTATGGCAGACATATATGTGTGTGTGTGTGTGTGTGTGTGTGTATACTTATTTGCGGGTGTATTTACGTTTATATATGTATATTACTATTAGGTAAGAGAAATTTGATGAAAAAAACGTTAATAAAAAAATATTTATTCTTCTTATATATGTATATAAGCAAATGTATGTGTATTGTATTCACATCAGGACCCTCAAATCCAAAAAATGCATATAATATATGAAATCCGGGGAAATGAATTTAAGCAGCAGGACATAGCACCGACGGGGGGTCTCCTCTCGTTCTACCCCTGTTGGTGTCACACATATTCAGCCAGGGGGAGGGAGAGGAGAGCGAAACCGCTCTGGCCGTACGCTGCGGCTGCGGCTGCGGCTATGGTGGTGAGGAGTGCGTGACGGGGGCTGTTCGTCAGCGGGATCGCAGAGATCGGGCAACGATTTTCTATTTGCTGACTGTGGAATTCGTCATATCTAAGATGACTATCACGGTGCACGAGGGGGGAGGAGTAGAATAGTTAAAGAGACGTCATGATTCACTGGTTAATGATGTAATAATGTATCAGTTGGTGTTATTTGGCAGGGATTATTCTTTTTATTTATATATTTATATATTTTGACGTGTTTGACGTTTTTGGAGATACCTTTCAAATAGTATGAATAGTCAGTGCTCTCTAGTCGTATGCAGTGATTACAAAGAACTCTTCTTTTGAAAATGTATAGTTTTGAGAATTAAAAGTCACGTGCTTGAGAGTCCGTCCGTAGTGATTTCGGATGTTGCGTCAAATATACATATATGTTTTTCATCTTTTGCGTTTTTGGCAGGCTTAGTTAACAGAACATTGGTCACATCACATAATTTCATTCACTGAAAATATATATATACAAATTTGAAACTTTTCAGATCTGGACATTTAAGAGTTTTTCGATTATTTATTAATAGTTTATTTTAAAAGTATATATTCATAATATATATATATATATTTGTGTGTTTGTTGATCCGACTACTAGAAGGCCTTAGCGTTTTTTTGTTTTTCCCCTGTAATTTATTGATATAATCAACTCCACATACTAAAACAGTAGGAAATGTCTCCTTATATGAAACTAGTGAAAGGTGCTACAAAGATTAAAGTAGCACCTCCAAAGGATAAATACATGGTGCCAATTCTAAATGCCATTGATAACCGTGAGGAATTCAACGATATCATATATGACATTCGTGTACGTATTGGTAACAATAAACAACAATGGTCAATAGTCTTCAAATCTTTAGTGGTAATACATATGATGATCCAGGAGAATCCCAGACTTGTATTGGATTATTTATCTGCAAACTTGGAATTCTTCAATAATATGCAAGTGAAAATTTATAATAGTAATCGGAAATGGGCTACGACAGATCTAAGTGTAATGAGACGTTATTCAGATTATTTAGAGTGTATCGCCGTGGAATGGGATATAATGAAAAGATATGGGAGCGAATCACGTCCAAGTAATAAAGAAAGGTTACGTTATGTGCAATCGCTCGAGAGACAGACTTTGAAATTGATGAGGAATAAATATTCTCAAATGGATTTAGAGACAGATTTATTTTTTTTCACTTTTAAATTATTAGTTAAAGATTTATTATCGTTGTACAATAAATTGAATGAAGGTGTCATTAAATTACTGGAATCCTTCTTTGATTTAGCTTATGAAGATGCAGAGATCACATTAGACCTATACAAGAGATTTGTAGATGTCACAGAATCAGTGGTAACATACTTACGTGTAGGTAAAGCATTGGGGTTGAATATACCTGTTATTAAACACATCACTACAAAGTTGATTAGATCGCTGGAAGATCATCTAAATGATAGGTCGAATTATACTTCCAAACAAACTCCAAGATTCGAACCACAACAACAACCACAACAAGAGCAAAGAAGAGAACCATCGAGACAACAGAGTATTGCTCGTGATGATGAATTGACACCGGTAGCACAACAGAAATATGATGAAGTACAAGAAGAAAAACGGAAATTGCAACAACAATTACAACAACAACAATATTTGATTTCGCCGTCTACAATGTCTAGTAACAATCCATTCTCACCACAAATCGATCAATTCTCTTTCGAGCCGCAACCACAACAAGAATTACAAACTACTGCTACTGGAAATCCGTTCTTAATGCAACAACCTGTTCAAGTTTCATACACCAATTCCCAATACATGGGGAGTCCCAGTATTAATGCTCCACCAAGTTATGCAGCAGCAGCAGTAGGAAATTCACAACCTCAAGCATCACAGTCTTTAGCACCAGCGAGGTCAACAAGTATGATGATTAACAATCCATTTGGAATGGATGTTCTTGCAGAGAATCCGGGATTAATGACAGACACTACCACAGGGATCACATATATGCCTGTTCCTGTCCAGATAGCTGCTGTGAATCCATTCGATCAATCTGAATCACCACAGCAACAACAACAACAACAGCAACAGCAACAGCAATATCATCAAGCTCCTCTAGGCCATACTCTAAGACAAGACAATAGTCTGGTAGATTTATAATGATTGCGTCATCATCACTTATATATATATAGATAGATATCACAATGTAATCATCGTAACTAATTATATATATACTGAGCCCTCCTAACATAACCTAGGGTTTAAAGACGTGCCCTAACCAGAATCCATTTTTTCATAGCTTTTTGAGCCTTCACCCACACACCCGGGGTTCCTCTAAATTTGTTACATAATCTCTCTCACAGCGGAAAAGCACCGCGCGGCACATAAACTAACACTATCAGAATTATTTTGTTGCAACAAGGGACAGAAGATATTCGTCGCCACTGCAAAGGTTTCTCGGCGAGGATGTCTCCTGGCAAGTGGAAGCCGTCGCGTTGCGTTGCGTTGTTTTTTTTCAGTTTTTCAAGTTTCTTTCGTGATGCTCGAAATTCCTTCCTGTGAACTTTCAGGCAATAACCGAAACAGAGAGGGAGAGAGAGACGATGAGGATAGCAATAATATTGGAAATACCTTGGAAACGGGAAAGGGAAAGCTTAGATAATCTGTTGATGGTAGAAGGATATTCTCTTTTATTTTTTATTACTGACTCTCAATGAGAGGAAGATGCATATACTTAGAGTCTATTCTTCTTACAGGAAATTTTTTATTTATTTTTTTTGGTTTTACTTGCTTGTCTTTTTCCTTCCTGGAGAAGGTCTCAGTGAGTTTTTTATTCTCCTGATGAGGGTTTCCCTCCTATCTTGAACCGATTATTTTGTTATTTTATTTACATCTTCTTTATATATTAGTGATGTTAACATGAACAAACAACACTATTCTATATATATTTTAACTGTTTATCACTATTATATATTAAAACCTATTTTTTTAGTACTAGTCTCTTTTTAAAGTTCTTTCATTCCCTTTATTTTACAGGATAGTAACGCAAAAGTAGGACAAAAAAAGTAGAAAGACTATTTTTATTTCAAAAATGACTGCTACTGACCCATATTATGGTGTAGCTTTCACCTCTCTCGTCACTACTGATGAGACACTATTCAAGCAAACTATTAGATTTTATCATTCTTTAGGTTTTGTTACCATTAAGGATTTTGACAAGTTTACTACTGGTGAAGATTCCGTATTATCCATTGGTACTTCTCACGATTCTATTAGAGAAACATGGTTAGAATCGTTCAAATTGAGTGAAATTGATGAATTAGGTTTCAGAGTTCCTCAACAAGAAGCTCAAAACAGCAAACAAAGTGAAGGTGCTCTTTTGAAGATTAGATATGTTCAACCATCCAAGAACGCTTCCGCTCAAATGATTGCTACTTCTAATTTGATTATTACTTATTTCACCTCTGAATTAAAAGAATTACAAGCTAGATTCCCAGAAGCTACCATCAAACAACTACCAGATTCTACTCTATCTATCTTACATCTAGCTGATCCATTAGGTAACAAGATCGAATTCACCAATTTTGTTCACCCAGCTGACTCTAAGCCAACAGACAAGGATTTCTTCCAAAATGCTGAAAACAACAACATCAACTCAGCTACTCCAGCTTCCATGCAATCCAACATTGACAAATTGAAGGCTACTTTAGCAGGCGACAAGAAACCAAAGAAGAAGATTGCCGTTATGACTTCTGGTGGTGATTCTCCAGGTATGAATGCTGCTGTGCGTGCCGTTGTACGTACTGGTATTCATTACGGTTGTGATATGTTTGCCGTTTACGAAGGTTACGAAGGTCTATTGAAAGGTGGTAAATACTTGAAGAAAATGGCTTGGGAAGATGTCAGAGGTTGGTTATCTGAAGGTGGTACTTTGATTGGTACTGCTAGATCCATGGAATTCAAGAAACGTGAAGGTAGAAAGAGAGCAGCTGGTAACTTGATCGAACAAGGTATTGATGCTTTGGTTGTCTGTGGTGGTGATGGTTCCTTGACTGGTGCCGATCTTTTCAGACACGAATGGCCATCTTTAGTCGAAGACTTAGTCAAAGATGGTAGATTCACCGAAGCTCAAGTTGCTCCATACAAGAACTTGACCATTGTTGGTCTTGTCGGTTCCATTGATAACGATATGTCCGGTACTGATTCTACCATTGGTGCTTACTCCGCTTTGGAAAGAATCTGTGAAATGGTTGACTACATTGATGCTACTGCCAAATCTCACTCCAGAGCCTTCGTCGTTGAAGTTATGGGTAGACATTGTGGTTGGTTAGCTCTGATGGCTGGTATTGCCACCGGTGCTGATTACATCTTCATTCCAGAAAGAGCCGTTCCAGCTGGAAAATGGCAACAAGAATTGAAGGATGTCTGTCAAAGACACAGAAACAAGGGTAGAAGAAACAACACTGTCATTGTTGCTGAAGGTGCTCTAGATGACGAATTGAACCCAATTACCGCTGAACACGTTAAGGACGTCCTGATCGACTTGGGTCTGGATACCAAGGTCACCATCTTGGGTCACGTCCAAAGAGGTGGTACTGCTGTCGCTCACGACAGATGGTTGGCTACTTTACAAGGTGTTGATGCTGTCAAGGCCGTCTTGGAAAACACCCCAGAGACTCCATCTCCATTGATTGGTATCCTAGAAAACAAGATCATCAGAATGCCTTTGGTTGAATCTGTCAAATTGACCAAACAAGTTGCTGATGCCATTGAAAGTAAGAACTTCGACAAGGCTATTAGCTTGAGAGACACTGAATTCATTGAACTATACGAAAACTTCTTATCTACTACTGTTAGAGATGATGGTACTGAATTACTACCACCAGCCGAAAGATTGAACATTGGTATTGTTCATGTCGGTGCTCCATCTGCCGCTTTGAACGCTGCCACCAGAGCCGCCACTCTATACTGTTTATCTCACGGTCACAAACCATACGCTATCATGAACGGTTTCAGTGGTTTGATCCAAACTGGTAAAGTCAAGGAATTATCCTGGATTGATGTCGAAAACTGGCACAACCTGGGTGGTTCCGAGATTGGTACTAACAGATCCGTAGCCGCTGAAGACATGGGTACCATTGCATACTACTTCCAAAAATTCAAGTTTGATGGTCTAATGATCCTTGGTGGTTTCGAAGGTTTCAGATCCTTAAAGCAATTGCGTGATTCTAGAAAGGACCACCCAATATTTAACATTCCAATGACTTTGATTCCATCTACAATCTCTAACAATGTTCCAGGTACCGAATATTCTCTAGGTGTTGACACTTGTCTAAACACTTTAGTCAACTACACTGACGATATCAAGCAAAGTGCTTCTGCCACCAGAAAGAGATGTTTTGTTGTTGAAGTACAAGGTGGACACTCGGGTTACATTGCCTCCTTCACTGGTTTAGTCACTGGTGCTGTCTCCGTATATACTCCAGAAAATAAGATCAATTTATCTTCCATCGCTGAAGATTTATCTTTATTGAAGGAAAACTTCAGTCACGATAAAGGTGAAGTCAGAAACGGTAAGATTGTCATTAGAAATGAAGAAGCTTCAAGCGTTTACACTACTGAATTGATTGCTGATATATATTGTGAACAAAGTGACAAGAAATTTGGTGCCAAGACTGCTATTCCAGGTCATGTTCAACAAGGTGGTGTTCCATCTTCTAAGGATAGAGTTACTGCTTCAAGATATGCTGTCAAGTGTATCAAGTTCTTCGAAAACTGGAACAAGAGAAACCTACCATGTGACGATTCCGATGCTCACGTCTTAAGATTCCGCTACAATGCCAAGGGTGACAAGATCTCTACAGTTGCTCACGAAGATGACTCTGCTGCTGTCATCTGTGTTAATGGTTCTCAAGTTACTTTCAAGCCAATTGCTAAGCTATGGGAAGAAGAGACTAGTATTGAATTAAGAAAGGGTACTGAAGTCCACTGGGAAGAATTCAACAAGATCGGTGATATTTTGTCAGGAAGATTAAGACTAAGAGCCGAAGTTCTTGCTGCTAAGAAACTAGCTGAAGCCCAATTATGAAGTTATGACATTGAAGGTCCTGAATGATATGAACTTTTAAAACAAAAATTTTCCTACCATTTACCTAACCTTTGTCCCAATTTTTTTTCTATCCTAATTTTTTCTTTCATGCAAGTATGCGCTTTCCTTAATATTTCCTTTTACCTTTGATCTTTACTACTGATCATTTTAGACAATTTTAAAATAATAATAATAAAAAAAATTTATGTTCCATCTGATAAAAAGATTCAAATATACATTTGTTTCGTTAAAGAACTTATTTTTTTTTGCCTTTTTCCTAAATGAAATTGAACTCTCCCTTCCTATCTTGGGTTTTCCTCCTTTTACATTTCCCAACATCTTTTTTAGAAATATCTTCATTTATGAAACACTACGGTTACAAGAAAAGAACTAACACCCATTTTCATTTTATATACATTTATTTATTTATCTGTTGGTTTTTTTCTGTTGCAATGTAGTATGAAGTATTACTTCAAAATCAAAAGGCAAAAAATAAGAGGGTGGTCTCAAGACTAGAAGGAGTTTTGGTTATCTATCATTTTAATAGACTATCATAAATGATTACTACGAAAATAAAACTTTTGGTACTTTCAGTTAGTAAAATAAATAGAAGAGAAAGGAGAAATTGAGCAAGAAAAAAAAGTGCAATGCCCTGGATGATTTAAACGTATAACCTTTTTATGTAATGTATAATCGATACTATATTTTGTTTCTTTAATTAAGTAATAGTTTGCAAGAATATTACCATCCTTTACTCTCTGAAGAGAGCGAGACAGGTTTTATTCGCTAAAGTATCTATATAATATTTTCACTAATTGAACTGTTCATCGGGCCTAAATCTTATAAATATCATCGGATAAACTCCAACGAACAATCACCAAGATGTCAAAAATGGCCTTATAACTTGCTTATTCATTCAGTTCCTGGTCTCGCAATGGTGTATCATTATCTAGTCAATGGTTTGTCCCTCACTGAAATATCTGACTCTGACAAAGAAAACCCGCGCGGAATGGAATACCAAAACAAGAAACGTCTGAAAAATTTTCGTTCTTTTTATTGCGCAGGAAAAATGAGCGAACGACTGAATTATATTAAGTTAAAACCATCGATAAGATGACAGAAAGATAAAGAGTTCCCGGAGGCATTCTGTTTGGGTTCTGTCGCAGCTCATTTTGATTCGATCTTGAGCAATTCAGTCCAGTGCAGTTCTGAACATTTGATAGCTTGGTATTTATAGATAATGATATATAAATATAAACTGAATAATATTTTATTAGACGTTGGTTGCTTTGTTGAATCGAGACGTTACATTAAGTAGTTCTGGCATTAATGTTAATGGTAAGTTTTGTTACTACAACATTAACAAAAAAATCATAAACAACCTGACACAATAAGCAAAGATATAGATGTCGGAGACTTCGTGTAATGTAAACCCTCTACAGAGATTTGCAAATTTAACGAACAACGATAATAATGCGCGGATAGGTCAATATGGTAATGGAGATTTGATTACAGGTAGTAGTGATGCTATTAATGCTAGAAATGAGTCTACTGAAAGGTCCTTCTTTAATGGAGGATCTGTTATGAACACTAACGTAGCCCCTTCGTATATACCATTGGATCAAGGTACATCCATGACTAATAATAATAATATACATAATTTTTCACATATGCATACCAGTAATAATGATAATGTAGAGTTAGCCTTACCAGATCTATCGAAAGTACAAATTCATGATCCCTTAGAATTTAGTGATGAATATAAGAAGTTTTATGGTAGTTACCAAGCTAATAATGAACAATCTAATAATAGACCCTCGATACAACGGTTTCCTCAGTTCGGTATGGACAGACCATTTTTACAAACATCTGCTTCCGAACCGATGATACGGCAGTTTCGAGATATACATAATACTGCAGGTATTAATGGTAATTGTGCATCTGGAATGCATTTCCAACAACCCGATAATGCACAGATTCATATGATAGACCACGAATTGGATATATTTGAACAAGAATTGTCTAGTGAACCTTCTGTGGTGGTCCGTACTCAGTCCCAACCTCAGAGTGCGTTTGATGGGGAACAGATCCATTTCAAAGAAGTGGCAGCAAGTATAGTTCAAGTAGTAACCCCAGATACGACACGTTCCTCTTCACCAGTCAGTAATAAGTTGAACGGATCGAAATTCATGCAACTAATGAAGAAGGTAAGTGCTGGTTCGGTAACCTTACGTAGAGATTCTCCGGAGTTATTCACTCCCGAGACTGACGAAGTAGTAGGAAACGAATATTTCCCAGTTCATGACCATCCCCAGAAATAAATATATTCCTCATGCATATAACTAGTAAATAAATATATATTACAATTAAAATTTTCTTCTAATGAATTCCAATTTCTGTCATAATTATATTCAGTGAAAAATCACGTTTAACGACAGCATATTTTCTTCATTGTTTAAATTTTGGTGTTGCTATTGTTACTCTGCGGTGCGGTGGTGCTGTCAGAAAACTTGAATCAACGCTCATCGTAAGAAATCAACAAACAGATAGATCGAAAGATGTCAGAGAGCTTGATGGATAGCTTGGAAAGGAAACTAATAGATGTGTTAATTAGTGATCCATCCATCGATATTAAGAATTAAAACTTTATTCATTTAACCATATACTCTTTTTCAGGGCTTGGTGTATCATAAAGAAGGATAATTAAGGTACCTAAAAATAAACTAATAGCAATCTCGGCTCAGAATATAATCAACACATACTGATTGTAGAGAAAAAGAGAGGTCCGAATCATTCACAATCCTATATACAAATATCTCTATTTTGGAATAACGATGGCACCTTTCAAATTTGGTAAAAAATCCTCGAAGGATAAAGACAAGAACAAAAATAAGAATTCCAAAGAAAATTCTAATAATTCTCCAAAAGGTAGCCCTTCCAGATTTTTACACATTGGGAACAACAACCACAACACGATTAATGACAATATTGGTAATATTAATAATAATAACCCTGTAGGTGGAAACTTATTTGCTAGAAATAATCAAAATAGACACAACAATAATAGTAATTTTAATAATAATAGCAATAATAATGGGATGTTTAATAATCAACCAATGCCTCAACAACAGCAACAACAGCAACCACAGCAACAATCTTACCCATCACCGGCACCACAATTTCCGACATTCGAACAAGCAAATAATAAGCGTATGTTTCCTACCCCAATACCAGAACAACAACGTAATGTCTCTGGAGCAACTGCCATGCCACTAGTCTATGACAGTACAAACAAACAGCAACCACAATTGCCATCAGAAAAAACAGTTTGGAATAGAGTCAAGTTAGCCAACTCTCCATTTCCTCGGTATAGACATGTTGCATCTGCTTATGCCAGCGATGATGATAAAGTGTATGTTATTGGTGGTTTACATGATCAATCAGTATATGGTGATACATGGATCATTAAATCTGAAAATAATGCTACTAAATTTACTTCTCAAACCGTAGATATTGGAGAGAATACTCCACCTCCAAGGGTGGGTCATGCTTCTACGCTATGTGGTAATGCGTTTGTAATATTTGGTGGAGATACACATAAAGTTAATCAAGATGGTCTAATGGATGACGATATTTATCTGTTTAACATAAATTCATTCAAATGGACAATACCACACCCAGTTGGACCAAGACCTCTTGGTCGATATGGTCATAAGATATCTGTCATTGCAACAAATCAAATGAAGACAAAATTATATCTTTTTGGTGGTCAATTCGATGAAACATATTTCAATGATTTGACTGTATTCGATTTATCCTCATTTAGAAGACAAGATGCACATTGGGAATTCTTGAAACCAAAGACTTTCACCCCACCACCTTTAACTAATCATACAATGGTTTCGTATGCACATAAATTATGGGTATTTGGTGGTGACACTCAACAAGGTTTGTTAAACAAAATCTTCATGTATGATCCAATTATTAATGATTGGTCTATTATTGAACCACGGAATATCGGTGGAGAAGTAAACGATATTCCGCCTCCGATGCAGGAGCATGCTACAATAGTTTACAAAGATTTAATGGTTGTAGTTGGAGGTAAAGATGAACAAGATATATACCTAAACAGCGTATTTTTTTTCAATTTGAAAACTTTCAAATGGTTTAAGTTGCCTGTATTCAGTTTGGGCATACCACAGGGACGTTCAGGTCATTCGGTATCTCTTCTGAAAAACAATAAATTATTGATAATGGGTGGTGATAAATTCGACTATGCCGCTATTGATGATAATAACCTACATACGTCTGATGTAAATATGGGTAAAGGTACTATTTTGTATACTTTGGATTTGACCAGACTTGAGGAGTTATGTCCTGGGATCATGGATGAAGTTTCAACGCCGATAACTGGAGACACACCTCATTACAATATTCCATTTAATAACATGGACAATGACATTTTGAATGATTCTGAACGTAATAATAATCAGCAAGATGTAGAAAATCAACCAATGAATAAGTCTCCAATGTTGAACACTACCCCAACTACAAAGTCCACAGCCACGAATCCCATACAAATTCAGAACAATATATTGACTCCATATACTGACCCAGAATATCATAACACTCCGATGGCTGAAAACACGGAAATATTCCAAGCTTCTACGAATGTTAGAGATGAGCTGATTGATGAACAGAAGACACCTGTAGTGATTGAACAAACTAAGAAATCTCCATTGGGTGATCATGTAAAGAATATGGAATCTCCTCTCTTCAATGAATCTCCTGTTAAATCAGACATTACATCTAGTGCAACAGATGTAACGAATGTAATATCTCCAGTTTCTGAACAACAGAAGGATGTAGTTAGATCACCTGTGATCGAGAAAAATGGGACTTTCAATAAATCACCTGTTTTGAAACAAAATATCGTAGATGAAAACTCTTTGGTACCTGGTGATGCTTCAGTAACTAGTGCTACGTTGCAACCTGATGAAGATCAAGCCCAAAGTATTGGCAGTGATTATAAAGATGAAAATTTGGAAGATGAATTTCAAGATTCTGAAACTCATGAGACTGAACAGTTAAATAAACTTGATGCAGTCCAAATGAGTCCGGATATGTCTGATCTTGATGAACAAAATGCTTCTGTTGACTCAGAGGCTGATGAGACGATCGAACATAATACCCTTGATGAATTAATTCCATCTCCTAAACTAGAGTATATCCCATCGGATAATGAACTTCATAAAGGTAATGAAACGACTACTGAACCATTAGATACGGAACCGGAAATGATGTCAAAGAAAATAGCAGTAGTGAATGATGATCCAAATATGACCGTTATTAGCAAACAGGCCTTAGAGGGTTTCCGTACTGAGTTACAGAATCTAAGGGATGTAGCTAATGAGAAATCCATTGAGGCTAGTAATCATGTTAGAGATTTGGAAAATCAAATAATTAGATTGAAAGGGATTACAAAACGAACTACTAGTTTATCTACCGAGGATGTAAGTGTAACAAAATTGCAAAACAAATGTGATATATTGACTGCTGATAATCATATTATGAGAGACAGAGTATTGGAGTTGGAGAGCCTCGTAAGTGACAAATTCTTAGATTTGGAGAATCTTAATGGTATCATTAAGCAGCAAAGGGATACTATTGATGGGTATGAACAAAATAAAGATGTCACCGAGGAGAATAATATTGATCAATTGATGTATCAAATTAAGGTCCTTGAAGAAGAAAATAAGACAATAAAGAACGATTTACAAATGAAGGATACTTCTTTAAATAGAAATATTGGGGTATATTCTGAACAAATTCAATCACTGGTAACGACGTGGCAAGATACTTTATCATTAAATAAAACTACCAGTAAAGCTGATGATGAACATAATGATATTGATTCTCTTAATGACATTAATGGTGCATATCATCCACACCATAAACATGTTGTTAATAAATTATCTAGTCAATTAGATGATTTGTTGATGAGAAGTCAAGATTTAAGTGAATCTAGAGATAAATTGAATGAAGATTATCATGATCTAGAATCGAAACATCAAACAACACATGACGATTTATTATCTACAAGGGAAGAATTAGAGTCTGTAAAGAAAAATTATGAAGAAAGTTTGAGTTCTATTAATAATACAGGTAAAGCTCTTGAGATCTCTGAGAAAGAACTAGAGAAGTATAGATCCTCCAATAAGAAATTGCAAGAGGAAATTGATAATATAAAGTTACATAGCATTGACAGTCCAACTCAGAGAGATGGATCAATGTCACCAAAGGACGATGCTCGGTTCAACATAAAATTGAATGACTTGAAAGCCGAATTATTTATTGTGAAAGAAGACAGGGACTCTATGAAGGACGAAATATTGGAATTGAAGAAGAAACTATACAATATGGACAGCAACTGAAAGCAAGTGTTATAAGATGAACTTTGTTTAATATAATTTTATTTTATTTGTTATATCCTCAGTTATATATAATTAGACCAATCAAATAATAAAACAAGACTTTTGTACGATACACATAGAAATAGAACGATATAAACGTATTATCAATATACCTAATTTCTTTTCCCACTCGTATATATATATATATAGTAGAGGCTTATATGATTTATTTGAAGTGGTAAAGAGATAGTTCGGCACCAGCCCTAATTCAGCACTACTCCCCACCCACTAGAACACAACCAAAACGGAAAAAAAAAATGCAAACGAGTGAAAAAAATTGGCTGATCAAAATGAAGAATCGACGAAAGAAAGTCTATCAACTTTGAACAGTATACCTTGTCTGAATGTCTAAATATGCCACGTTTATTCGTTCCACTTCCCAGACAAGAATATACTTTCAGTGAAGCCCTAACCTAGGGTTTCATGTAGTGATTTCGGAGAAAACTCATTCTACCCTGAGAAACTCACGCAGGAACAATTATTATATAATCGAAAATATTGATTTTCTGTGCGATGAACGGAACAGGCCACTCCCGTTAAGAGAGGTGAATTTTAACTGCGTGGTGCTGCTGCTGTTTTCCGCCAAAAGGGGGGACAAGAGAAAGAGAAGAACTAGAAGGGTAAGTCGTTTGTACATTTATTTTCATATTAGCTCAGTTAAAGGAGTGACAGTTTCCTATATATATATTATATATGTGTATACTATTCTGTTAATCAATTATAACTTGTATATAAGATTACCATTTAGGGAAACCTACAGTATATTTGACATACAATAAGCTACGTTTTTTTTATTTGACATCAGTTGTTGAAATATACATCATAAAGTTCTATTTTTAACAGTTTGGATATAAATTGCAATCACTTCCATACTCTATAACTGGCAAGAAATATAAATAATTACAAGGGTGATTTAGAAATATTTAGAGAACAGTGTAACCACTTTGTACTCTATTTTCTTTATTTTTTGACTTTTGAACCATACCTCTAAAGGATAAGGAAGACCCTTTTTTTTTTGGTATTTTTTTTTTTCAGTACTACTTTCTCGACACCTCCAAATAATACATAAAGAACAAAGGATTGATATCTTATATTAATGACTACAGAGTTCCCACTACCTCCGAAGTATAAGAGACATATTTCTTTTGATAACCTCTCGCCATCGTTAGTCGATGATGAAATTAAGATCTTAAAACAAAATAATCGTTATATTGGTTATAATAATAGATTTTCACATATTCCACCTCAGTATAACCCATTATACAATCAAAACACTAAAGATGATCGTACCGAAGAAGAAGAATTTGATAGAAGAGATTCGTTGAATGATAGACCTCCATTGATTGGAGAGAGTCTCAGTCAGCGAATCACGCCGGTGATGGACAATGAGAAAGGGATAGAAGTACCGTCTCCTCGTTCATTAAATGAATTCTCTTTGAAACAACCATCGATACCTATCTATAAGACCTCTTCGATGAGTAGTAGGAGTGAATCACCCCTTGAAAGACCGTCAACAACAGGATCAAAATTGAATGTCGGCAAGTTGCCTCCACCACCTGATAAATCGATTCTAAAGAAAATCAACAGGCATGTAAGTGAATCACGACATATTGATAGTATAGATATCGGAGATATGACTACAGTAGAATCTAAGAATATGATTAAAATTACAAATAATAATACTCAATATAATTCAGGTTCAAAAGCAGGTTATACTCAATCATTATTTTCTAACCTTAATGAAGTAGAAGATAGGATTCAAAATAAAAACCGAAGTTTAGGGGATCTTAATGATGGCATATCGGGATCATCCACAAGAGACCTCAGAAGAAAATCATTTGCTAATATGAGTGATGCTGAATTAGCTGCTTTGGAAAATTCTTATATGAGTCTTGGTAGATCAACAAAATCTACGATGGATCAATTTGATTTTGGGAAACAAAATCCTGTGTTTTTTGATAATAAAAAGGCAAGTACGATAAAGATTCCAAATACCGTATTGGATTCTCTTGCATGCGTTTATCCATCAAGGCCCTCAGTGGATTATAAAGCATTATCCTTAACTATGGAAAATGAGAATTTTCAAAATTGTGTTAATTCAGTGCATAGAAAATTAAATAATAAATATAAGGATGAAAATGGTTCCTTAAGAGTAGTTTCATGTTATGTCTCTGGGAGACGTTTCACTTGGTCCACCGTTGATTGGTATATTGAAAATTTTGTAAGAGATGGTGATCATTTGGTAATTATTACATGTATTCCCGATTTTAAGGATAAAGTTGATTCTAAAGTTCAACATGAAAAAGTTGAAAAGAAGAAAAAAGAATTATTAAATATTCATGAAAAATCTATTGAACAACCAAAATCGCATAGTACTAAAAGTGGGAAAGAAAAAGAAAGACCATTATCAAAGGGAATTTTATTAGAAGGTGTTTATGAAGAAGCTAAAATTGTTGGTAAAAATCTTTTAGATTATTATGCGGCAAGATTATCTCATAAAAAAGTTAAAATCACTGTTGAAATGGTTAAGGATAATTCAACAAAATCAGCTTTAACGAAAGTAGCAGCTCTTTATAAGCCAAGTGTGCATATTGTTGCAACAGTAAGTGCTAATATTCAAATAAAATTTAGAAATGGAAATGTGAAATTACCGTTTTTTGTGATGAAACATTATACAATCCCAGTGATAGTAGTTCCATTTGAATTCATAGATAGAAATCTATTGATTGAAGGTGCTCCACATGAAAAATCTACTGTAACAAAGGATAAAAGAATGCAAGTATTAGATAATATTATACAAAAGACTTTGAAAAATCCGTTTCTACATGAAGAAGATTTCCATCATGATAATTATAATTTGACCTCAAGTGATGATGAAGAATCTGTAGCCTCTGTGAATGATTATTTCCCAATTTCACCAGAACAACAGAAAAAAATTAATTTGTTTGAACAATTAGGTTATATTTTCCCGTTATCAACAAGAGAAAAATTATTACAAACTAATGATGTGGTATATGATCAAGACGGTAAAAAATTAACACCAACTACCTCTAGAAACTCAAGAAGAAGTTCGAGAGTTCAATTTCAAGAATCTGGTTTATATAAAGTTAAGTCTATGATAGACGGTGTCTTGACTCCTGACGAAGTTCAAGCCAGTAATAATTCCATTAATAACAATTCATTGAAACCAACTTTTAGTGGATCTCAACCCATTAGAAAGACTAAATCTGTCGCCCAGCCCTCAACAATAGTACGGAAAACTCATCATCATCATCGTCATAATAGTGGAAATTCCAAATTTTCTGGTGTTTCTAGTGGTGAAAAACTTCGTGTAAGTCATTTGTCCAGTAGTTCTAGCCATGATAGTTCTTCAAAATCTAAAACAAAGTCAAAAATTAAAACTGCATCATCGTCATTAAGTTCTTCAAAGAACAAAAAAGCAGGGATTGGTTCAATATTCAAGAAATTTTTTTAGGCAAAAAAGTCTTAATTATTTAATTATTTTTGCTCTCTACTCCAGAATCTTATAACAATATTTATATAGACTAGCCTAAGTAGCACACATTAATTAATACATAATGATATATGAACAGTAATACTACTGCTGCTATTCATATTTGTTTCAAGAATGAGATATTTGAAACTAGGTAGGTACCCTTATAAAATTGTTGAGCTTACTCAAGCATTTTATGCAAGAGTACGGCTGACACAAACTTCAAAAGTGAAGTGTCTCCCTTTCAGTTATTTCTAATAATTTGATAACTCCCTAAAATATAATTGCAGTAGAACATATTTTAAGGATGAAGGAGACACTTATTTGAACGGAGTGAAGATTATTAAGAAGCAACTATTGTTGAGGGTGTAAGGATATATCAAAACCTTTTCATGGGAACAGTTAGGACGAAAGAATTAAGGGGACCTTATTTTTTTGGCATATATAAGGATGATGAGTCTATCAGATGATAATCGTCTCCTTTTATTCTATTTGAAACCAGTCTTTTCTTTCATTTCTTGGATTTTAAGAACAAAAAGTTTACAATTTTTAGATTATGTCGTAAAAAAGAATATATATCACTAAATATAATTGTATTATTTTTTAAAAAAGTACTCTAATTTTACAAAAGTCACAATGAAAATTGATTCAAACATTTTTTCAGAAGCTCAGACATTGGCTAATGAGCCCCATTTCAAGTATATAATGTTAGGTGTAATGTGTGGTGCCATAGTACCATCTATTTATGCCAGACGTTACTTTTCGCAGAAGACAAATCCTTCTAATATATCTGAACAAACAGAAAATGCAATTAAGACAGAGACAAACGAAAATGGAACTCCAAGACGGTCATTAATAGATGATGAGTTAACATATGAACTTTATTCTTCCATTATTTAGTCTCTGATTAAATTACTTGTTCCATTAAGGAAACTTTTCTCATGTGTTCATAGTTTTCATAATATTGCGGAGTGTTTAGAATATATAATGTATTTAACATTAGGTATAAAGTTTTAAATATTAATCAATAAATAAAAGCCTTCAATTTAATTATTTCTCCTATATTATAACTTAGTGCAACGTTCTATGTATAATCTGTCATTTCCTTAACCAATCTTCTTCTTGGCAATATCTATATAATTTTTTTCGGCTCGCAGATTGGAAAGCGCTGGAGACAAAGTTAACGATAGAGAAAGGAATGGAGGTTCGTAATTTAAGGATATTTTATTTCATTTAACAACAATTCATGTTGGATATAGGTTAGCCTTGTGGTGGCTTTAGTCATACTCTATTGTAATTGAAACAGCATAATATTATTGCTTATATTTATAGTTACACCATGTCAAAGGATTTTTATAGGGAAGTTGATCCAGCTTCTGACAAGTTGATTGTTGATAGAGAGAATGATTCTTTACAACAACAACCTGAAAAGTTAACGACGTTTATTCGTGATCAAAGATTAAAAATAGCTGATGGTGTAGAGGACACTAAACAAAATGTTGATAAAATTAAGAACAAATATAACGAAGCTGAAAATAAGGTAAATTCTAAAATATCAAATGTTTATGCTGATGATCGTAATAAATTGGGATTGGGAGTTGCCTCAATGGTTGTTGCAACGATGACTGGTTCCATAATGTCCAGAAGAGCTGGAAGGAGTATGAAATTGATTACACCTCTTTTATTAGGTATTTTCACAGGCATGTATGTATTCCCTCGTACTGCACATAACGTATGTGATAGAGTCTATGACTATGAATTGAAACATTTCCCGGTATTGGCAAATAAACAAAGGGAGATTAAAGGTGAGTTGAATGAAGGCTTGCAAGATTGTCGTGATTTCTCAAGAAAATTTAGAAAAATGATCAATGAATGGTTTTAAAGATATTGAAATTGATTATTAATCAAAAGTATTTCCTCACCATTCACGTACTTGTAAGTAATTAAAAATAAAGAAGAAGAAAAAGATATGTTTGTATATATTTAATTTATTGTCTTCAATGTATTATGGTTTAAATTAAAGATTGTAATTAAAATTTGGTTTTATCTTTTGATCATTTAAATTGACTCAAAAAAGGTTTAGCCTTGAATAGAAGTTTTTTATTTGTGTTTGTTTAAACATGAATATCATAAATTAAATAGTTATAAAGTGTATGAAGGTAGAAATATACATAAGTACCGTTTGAAAATATTGTGAACCATAATATAAATCAACGTCATCTAGACGGTGATAGTAGTCATCTTTGGACCAAATGGTTCGTAGTGAATCAAATCGTCGTTGTGTTCTAGGGTCTTCAAATGAGCGATCATACCCTTCATGAACTCTAGAGAACCACAGATATAGACATCAGCGTGAGCTGGAACCTTGGATTGTAGGAATTCACCATTTATACGCTCAGTCTTGTTAGTGTGGACGATTTCTTTAGTGACAGTTTCACACTTGCTCAATAGTTCATCGACCTTAGTCTTGAAAGCTTGGTCCTTTTCGTCACGGGAAGATTGAATCCAGTAGATAGGTCTCTTTGAATTAGCCTTAATTTGTTGTTCTAGCATAGCTAAGATTGGAGTAACACCAACACCAGCAGATAATAGAACTAGTGGAACTTCGTTTTGATTAATCAATTTTTCGTTTAGGGCGAAGTCACCTGCTGGGGCACTCAATTTAATCTTGTCACCAACATTAACCTTTTCATGTAAGAATTCAGAGACTAAACCTTCTGGGTTACCCTTAGAGGTTTCAAGCTTAACAGCAAACTTTAGACCTTGGGTTGGATCAATAGAACATAGAGAGTAATGACGTAGGGCATCGTATTTGTTATCTTGGATAGTTGGGTGAATGTTGACAGTGATATATTGACCAGCAACAATTGGCAACTTGGTCAAATCGACACCACTACCAGCTTCAGCAGCGACTGTGAATTCGTAAATATCGCTAGCGACTAATTCTTTGGAAGTGACAGTGAATGGTTTCCAAGCTTCCCAAGCAGCTTCTTTGTACATTTCCTTTTCAACGGTGATGAAAACATTAGCGATTTCATTGTAAGCCTCACCCCAAGCGTTAATAATTTCTGGGGTAGCCGCATCACCAAGGACTTCCTTGATGGCCTTCAACAAATATTCACCAACAATTGGATAATGTTCTGGTTTGATTTGTAAAGCACGGTGCTTTTGACCAATTTGCTTGACGTGACCTAGTAATGGAGTCAAATCGTCAATGTGCTTAGCGGCAGCCAAAACAGTAGTAGCTAAAGCAGTTGGTTGAGAACCCTTCTTTTGGTTGATTCTGTTAAAGATGTTCAATAGTTCGGTGTGTTCATTTAACATGTTCTTGTAGAAAGTAGTAGTAATTTCGGTACCACGTTGTTCCAAGATTGGAACGGTAGCCTTAATAATAGTTCTAGTAGCAGGAGATAGCATTATTTTAAGTTTTGAAAGTTAATAAAGGGATAGAGTATGTTTATACAAGTATTGACTTGGTATATTTATGAGAGTTGTATAAAAATATAATAATTATAAAACGAAAAAAGGATATGACATTTAGAAAAAGGTCAAATAGCAAGAAACTATATGCCCTTTATATACAAATTCTAAAATATTTTCAAGACATAAAAAATATTTTGATTGACATCTATTTCCGGGGAAGCTTATCCACTTCAGCTCATAAAATTTATTAAAATGTTGGATGCCATCGGTCTTCGAGGTTACACGATTACAAATCAAAAATTCTATAATTGGTTTCCGCTGTTTCCGGTTCCCTTTAATCTACCAGGATATGCTAATTAAAAACAAATAAAACAAAACTATCATCTCGTTAAAATATTTCTAACGTATATGGTTGTCCTCTCTCGCTGTTACTTTTACTGTTTGATTGTTGTTGTGTTTACAAAGGACACATGTGTTGGCTAATTCTACATGCACACCCCCGTTTTGCTATGACCCCTTCGAGGATTGTTTCCAGAGAGCTGTTTGATTACATGCCCCACGCCAATTTTTTCTAAGTAAAAGAAAAATGGATTCTCCTCCTTGCTTTTTTCGCTTACCTGATGCTTACCTGAAGCTCGTTTTTTTTGCTTAGTTACGATAATTCCAGTGGTGTCAACCCCCCACGTATGACGAGAGCATTGAATTATCGTGATTGTGATTGGTCCAATGAGTGTGTCGATCTGTTTTTTTCAGGAATCTGTTGACTATCAAAGTGTGCAAAATAAATGGACAAAAAGCAAATAAAGTTGCTGAGCACACAAACTCCGTGCGCTATCTGATGAGAAGGGTTTCTTTTTATTTTTTTCCGTTTTTCCACCTCTTGTCCTCTGGTGCTCGTATTTTGATTGTGAGGAACAAATGGAGGGGCGTTCCGGGGGGGAGAGATAGAACTTCTCATTGAAAATTTGTTTTTCGTCCGATACATTTTCCCGGGGTGCTATGCTGACTAAACACATTTATTTCAATTGGTTATTAGTTACGGTTGTGATATACAAATATGTCAGTATACGAATTACTTTGTTTTTTTTGTTTATTACGTATAAATTATGTACTATATTGTTGATTTATACATAGTAATATGCTGTTATTAGTGTTAATTTGATGTAGTGTCGTTCTTTTTTTTATGCTTTATGTAAGTGGAGAACGTCTTGTTGGGATGAATAGTTTACTTCCAAATTGAATATGGCTTTGACAAACCAATCCCATTCAACAACATACACTGTGCCGGTATTTAATGGGGTCCCTTCAATCTCCAGCATCGGCATTAATCTTTTCACTTGCGACCGTTTAGTGGCAATCAATATGTAGTCCGGTATTATTTCTTCTCCCTGTATGTGTTCGTTCTTGAGAATATCGTCTGCTGTAAACTTAGAGTTTAATATATTGACATTCTGTATACCATGAGATTTTAAAATATCTGTAATGGTATTTGTTCCACCAGCAATATCTCCGAATATATTTACCGTTTCAATACCGACCCTTTGAAACACTTTTGTGGGTAGTGTTGTTCTAGATTTAACGATGTCGGTGATCTCGGGGATGACATAATACGCGATTGGCTTACCACTTGCAAAGTCTCTAAGCTCCTCGATGGTCTCAAATAGATCTCTTATCTTCCCACCACGACGTATATTTTTTATTAGGTCATCAACGAAATCAGGTTTCAAAGCGTATTTTAAAGGTGAAAAGGATAAACTTTGAAGAAATTTTTTAGTTCTAAGTACTTTTGGTGCAAATATAGAATTCAAATGGTATGATTCTTTAATTTCGTTAAATAATCGTATACCTAAAATTCTTAATATTTCTATATCCAGTTTCGATATTTTATCTAGACATGACGTTTGGATAGCACGTATATCGTACAGTGGTAATAATGAATCTATACTACCCTTATTATTCAACGATTTTCCAATAAAATTTGATACCAATTCCTGGGCTTTGATCGTTGTTGAGTCCCTCTCACACTGGGGGGTAGTGCTACCATTGCGTGAGTTCGTTGAAGTCGCTGTTGAGGACAAAGATAAGTCTTCTTGTAATTGTTCGATTTTTCTTTTCTTAGTCATATCATTTGTAGTATCTTCCACAACGATTCGTTTAACAATTTTTGATTTGTCATCATCATCGTTCTTTGTTAATTGCTCGTTTAAATTTCGGACAGTAGAGCCCATGCTCGCAGTCAAATATTGAGAAGAAGACGAGGCCGATGCTGTGTTTGGGGCTGATAAAGAGGTGACATGTTGTTCTTTATTCTCTGGTATATCTGCCACAACTTGAGAACTGCCATCACTCATATCGGTCAAATTACTTTGTGTCTTGCTCAACAGGTCTATGCCTGATCTTAATACATTCAAGGATTTGTTGATGATTCGTTCATTTTCAACACTGCTCGTGAGACCCTCACTCTCTACAGAAAATTGGGTGTTTTCAAATCCCGGATGTAATGGTTCGTTATTATCGGATGGCACTTCGATAGGATCATCGATTATATCATGTTTTTCGTCATTGATTGGGATAGTGATTTGAGTCTCTGATTGAGAGATCAAGTTGTTGTTTTTAATAACGGGACTGGACGCGTTCTTAATCAATAGACTATTTGTTACTTGGTTGATATGATTATCAAGACCTTTTTCTACAGGTATAGTACTATATTTTTTCAAAGTTGGATCCAATTTTTCGCCTAATAGATAACAATCTTCAAGCCATAAATGGTTTACGACAGTGCATTTATTTTTCCATAATGTCATTGCAGTATTATATTTTCTACCCCTTGGTATTGGACAAATTAAAAAATTGTTTCTCTTCGAAAAATCTGTACTTGCTTTTCCTCCTAATCTTTCAATTAATAACTTGATATATAATCTTTGATAGCCAAAATATTTGGTAAAACTTGCATTTAAAATATTGATATGTTCATCGAATATTTTATCCTTGAATGGTTTATAGATGATTTTTGAATCAGGAGAAGCATATTCATCTAGTTTCATTACATCAAATAACCAGAGTAAATTAGCTGTCATACATCGTTGAGGTCTGACCGCTTGAGATTCACATGCCAGTAATATAGTCATATCGTTATCCAATGCATTAGTGATTTGACCATCTCCATTTCTAATAAAATTTTTCAAGAATTGTAAAACGTTATGATCTAGTTTTAAACTTTGATCTAATTTAAAAAATTTCCCATTTAAAGTTATTGAATTGGAATTGAAATCGGTTGAATGTAAAGAAGACCACAACTCATTCAATTGAGGATTATTCTCCTTTGTTAATAAATGACTTTCCCATGATACTTGGTCCAGGGTTTTAAAACATTGTAAAAGCCATGTTGGGAATACAAACTTAATATTATTTGAAATTTCACCTTTTTGAACCACTACAATTGAGGGGTCCATATACGATCTCGAAACCAAGAAATCTATATTTGAAGATAATACATCTGTATATGATCCACCTAATGATACGATCAAATGGGTATAGAAAAAGTATTCACTACTATTAAATGTACATCTAGAAATATAGAACTCATATTCTCTAAAAATATGACGTGGATTTGGAGAGTATAATGTCGTCTTATTCAGTCTATTATAATTGAGCGAATCCTGGACCCATTTTGAATTTACAACTGGAATTAATAAATCAAATGCACAAGTTTTATAAAAATCAAAATTTATATCTTCAGCGATAATAAAATGTATATCTGAACATTTTGTTTCGGTAGTAAAATTTTTATAGAACCATTTTTTAATGGACAATATGTTTTGAAGTTCTTGTTTTGATTCATCATATGAATTGTATATATCACAACTATTACAATCGTTCTCTTCTAATAGAAGTTTTGTAGATTGTGCATTTTTTGTTTGAGAAGGATCTGTAACCACAATAAGTATATTTAAATCTTGAAACAGACTCATATTCTGGTTTCCTCCCGATTGAGATCTGTAGTGTAATGAATATTTTTCAGTGAAATGTAAATAAAAAAAAAAGAAATGTACGCCTTCCAGAATGAAATTCCCTTAAAACTCCCGACTAAGTCTAATAATAAAGAGAACTATACGTTCACAAGAAATTTTATTATAAGTAATCAGAGATTCGAAAGTATATCATCGCTTTGTAAGCCAGATAGATAACAATCAAGTGTTATTGTTCAGGGTCTTCCCCTTGTCAGTTCCTAAATCGCCAATGGGTCAAGATCACCAAATTAAATTTTCAGATCACAAACGAAAAAGAGAAAAACAAAAATTTCGCGATTTTCTCCAATTTAAAGGCTGAATGAAACTGACAGTATCGTGAATTATATAATAAGAGAACAATCTGTATGTCAAATGGTAATTGAGAGATTGTGGAGTATCCAATTGATTACCCAGATATATATGGGCCCATCTACTCTCGGGCTATACATTTCTCTTTATGTTTCATTTTGTTTGAATTTGATTACCACTAAGCAGACCAAGTTTGGCATCCTCTTGATCGTATTCCATCCCGCTCTTCTTCTTGATGTTGTCTAAGGTAGTAACAATCGGTTGAGAGTACTCATCCGTCCCCACCCCCATGGAGCAATTATATAAGTTGTGAGTTAGCTGCAATTATTATTTTTTTTATTAGTACTATTACTGTCATCACGTTCTGCTTCTTTTTCATTTTGAAGGTATCCACGTGCACATTGGCTGTTAATGAGGGAAAGAAACGGTATTCGTGCGGCGTTTTATTAGAGAACAGATTCTCAATATCGGTTTTCCCACAAAAATATTCGTTTTTCTCACTTGATAAAGCATAATAATAATAGCGACAAATTTAGCAAAACAAACAGAGTTAGACAACCTTAGAATTAAGGACACCTTTAACTGATTGAGATGAGGTAGACAGGGATAGATGACTGGCTGATTTTTGAGATAGTTAGTTCGATCAAATAAGTTGTCTTTTGTTGTTGGAACATTTCTTATTATTGATTCGTTAGTGAAATCAAGATTCGTGTCCATATTTGGTTATTGAAAGATTAGACAGGTGATATCGTGGATTTTATCTAGGTTTTCACACACACATATATATATAAGTGATATTATTCTTTTTGGAGAGGAACTAGAGCATACTGATTAACCGTGTACTATTAAACAGTTAGAGGAAGTGTGACTGCTACTATAGATATATATTTGAGCTTTTGTTGTGATGAAGTTCGGGAAATATCTCGAGGGGAGACAATTGGAATTGTCAGAATATAATGGACACTTCATCGATTATAAAGGTTTAAAAAAATTGATTAAACAATTGGCTATCCCTGTGTATCCAAATGCTGAGTCAAATTCTGCAGATTTATTATTGGATCAAAGCCAAACCAGCATTGATAATGATGACGATGTGACAGATTTTAATAATCCTGTATTTTATCGTAGATTACAAGAAAACAAGGCATCTTTTTTCTTTAGATTAGAGAGAGAATTAGAGAAAGTAAATTCATTTTATTTGGAGAAAGAAGCAGATTTAAGAGTTCAATTTAATATTTTACAATCCAAATATAATAACTATAAAAAATCTGGTAGATTAAGTTCAAGGATGGCTATTTCATTTAAGGCCATATATGGTGGATTTATTAAATTTCAAAAAGATTTAAGTAATTTTGAACAATTTGTGGAATTGAATAAAACAGGGTTTTCAAAAGTTTTGAAAAAATGGGATAAAAGATCACATTCTCAAGAAAAAGAATTTTATTTAGCCACTGTCGTGTCTGTACAACCGATATTTGCAAGAAATGAAGCTTTGAAATTGAATGATGAAACATTAAATATTTTGATTGAATTGAATGATGTTAATAATAATAATACTATGTTATTGGTGAGGGATTCTCCAAATAATAGTAAAAATGAGGATACTGATACACAGCAATTAGTGGAACATGGAGATACCGGTAGGATTATAAGTAATAATAGTGTATATAATGAAAGAAGCGAATCTGGCCTAATTGATCATAGAGATATTCGTGGTAGTAAACTGACACAAACATTAAATGTATTGAATTTAAAACCAATAAATAATAAACAGAACATTATGAATTATTCAGTAAACCCATTAGAATATTTTGACTGTGATACAAAGATTGAAAATTGGTATATCGAATTATTAAATATTGCTAAGTTGAAAGATGACGATAGAAGATCTAAAGCGTTGGGTAATTTTACTGTCATTAAGATAGAACAATCTATTAATGATAGCAATTTAACTGATAAAGTTACATTTTTAACTAAATGTGTTTCCAGATTATTTCTTTTATTGATTAGTTCTATCATTGATGATGCCAGTTTACAAATTTTTTACGAAAGTTCTAAATCAAATATAGATTTACTATACAATGGAAACGATGAAGAAGAATTTACAAAGAGAAATATTATGCATGAAGCGATGCATTCTTCTTTTCAACAAAGAACATTTATTATTCAGGTATGTATGGACACTCTGGAGTTAGGTACTTTAAAACAATTAATTAATGGTCAAGATATTTATTTAAGAACACCATTACATTATGCGGCAGAGTTAGGAAAATTAGACTCTGTAAAACGCATTATAAATTCAACTTTAGTGGATACAATTGATGATGTAGATAACAATTCGAAGAGTCCGTTAATATTATCGATCATTAATAATCATAACGAAATTACAGAATTCTTATTAGTATTTGGTGGTGCTTCAGTCGTTCCTAAATTTACAGAACAAATGGGTCCTCAATTCTCACCATTATGTGTCGCTTGCAAATATAATAATTTAGAGGCAACTAGACTACTTCTAAAATTACGTGATGAACGTGGCATAGGTTTGAAAGATTCATCAGACCCTGAGGCAGCAGAAGCATTACATATCGTGGCGAAAAATGGTGGGAATAATGAATTGATTGGTGCATTAATATCTCACGGTGCAAACCCCAATGGTGTAGATAACTTTAATAAATGGACTCCAATATTTTATGCTATTCAGGAAGGTAATGCCGCTTCGGCAAAAATGTTATTAGATCATGGTGCAAGATTAGATGTCAATGATGAGGACGGTAGAAGTCCTCTGTTTTATACTCTTTGGGATAGTCACATTGGTGTATTGAATGCTATTTTACCGTTTGTTAATCAACAAGATAAACTGGAACCAATTGCAGAGATTGGGCTGACTGTTATGCAAAATAACGATTTACCTGATGATTTGGATGAATTAGAAGGTTCATTGGAACACATCCCGGATTTTGAATTACCTCCACCTATTATTCCTTTAAGAAAGTATGGTCATAATTTCTTAGAAAAGAAGATATTTATTAAATTAGTATTTAAAGAAGGTGTTAAATGTATTCATTTTAACAATAATGACACATTAGAATTAACCCAACCAGGAAGAATGACAATTACATCCAATTTATCTGATATTGTCCCTCGTAATATAATATTTTCTGTCGGAGAAAATTCAGATTATGATGAATCGAAGACCAAGAATTATGAAGCTACATTCTTAATTGATACGTTAGAAAATTTCTCGATTGATTTCGAAATTTTTGCATCATTTGGAACAAGATTATTAGCAAAGACCACAGCAATGTCTCATTTCTTCACTAATGATTTAGTATCAAGTATGAGAGATGTTACACTTTCTTTATTTGACCATAGATTAAATTGTGTTGGTAGTTTAGAGGTACAATATCAAGTTATTTTACCATACCTAGCTAAACCGTTGCAAATAACAAAATATGAACCTTATTGGAAATCTACGGGTAACAATAATAACAATAGTAACCATATTTCAAACATCATGGGACTTGATCATCAAAGTGCTGTTTCGGACAAAACATTTAATTCAGTTCAATCCACTATTGTCACTTCTTCGTCACTTGAAGGTGTTTTCATTAGTATTAAAGTATTTGCATTGAATGATGGTACAATTGTCGCTTCACCAAATTTTTATGTTGACATACATGGAACTAATATTTTGATTAATGATTTGAGTAAACCACAATTAGAAAGATTATGTGGTTATAGAATAGATGAAATCGATAATGATCTATCGTTTGCCGCTGGGAATGATGATAATGAAAAAATTCTTTCCTTGTTTAAAAAGTTAATTAGTTCCAAGATATTTCAATTCGAAACATTGCTGAAAGCTATCCCTAAATCCATTCAATTGGTGGTTCAAGTTTGTTTCCCAACATTGGGAGAGATCGCAAATGTGCCAGTAAAGATATCTCCATATGTTACTATAAATAAATTCATTGATGATATACTATATATCATTTTTGAACATGAACGTACTCTACGTCATTCGGGGCAAAGTATTAGATCTATTGTTTTCAGTTCATGTAATTGGCAAGCATGTTCAATTCTAAATTGGAAACAACCAAATTTCCCTGTTTTATTGAGAATGAACACTTTAAGTAAATCTGGTGAAATATTTATTGGAGATACGCCACATCGTTTGAAATCTGTCACTATACAGAGAAATTGTATCGATACACCAACGTATAACGAAAATGAAACGGACGTAAGTAAAGTAACTGACCAACAAAATCGTTGTATGGTCGTAGATGACAACAGTCCTATCTGTATTCATAATATGGTTAGGTTCGCTATCAGTAATAATCTTTTAGGGGTAATTATTCCTTACGAACTTTTACGGTTATGTGAAATTTTAAATACTGTTATTAAGGGACAAGAATTATTACTAATTGGTTCAAGTCAGGACAGTAATGATTTAATGAAAGAGGACAAAGATATCAATGGTCGTTATTCTGACGCAGAATTGATATTCAATTAATAATATAAGTGAGTGTATTTTTAGGGCAAATGCTATTATAGATATATAGACATACATAGAGGTTAATAAAAATATTCGGTAACAAAAATTGATTATAGAAATATTATAATTAGACGTGACTTTCGAAATATTTTCTGACTTTATCGTCTAATGCGACGTCGCTCGCAGTCTTTTCGTTAGAATCCTGAATATCTTTATCGGCACTGTATTGATTCACTAACAGTACAGCGACATCACCATGACCTTCTGCAAGCGCATGGAACAATGGAGTCCAACCTTGATTATCTCTAGCATTGATAGGACTTAGTTTGGCACATAACAGAGTGGCCATCTTTGTAGACCCGATCGCACAAGCCCTGTGTAACGGTAATTGGCCCTTTTTATCCTTAATTCTTGTACTGGCACCATTAGCTAGCAAGTACTCGACAATACCATAATGGGTCTTGGAGACAGCTAAATGCAGCGCTGTAATACCTTGTTGTGTTTTCAGGTCTAGATCAGGTTTAATCTCTCTTTCACAAAGTTCTTTAAGGATAGGTAGATTCCCTACAGATGCAGCTATATGAACAGGAGTCCAACCAGCATCATCAGTCAAAATATCCAAATCGATATCCTTCATATGTGATAACAAGTATGTAACAATCTCAGTTGCCTGTGATGAAACAGCCCAATGTAAAGCTGTTCTATTATCTGCATCTTTAGCTATTATATCCTTTTTCTCATCTTCTGAATTTTGAAGATACTCTTGAACTTTTGCAAGTTTGTTATCCATGCATGCTGCATGTAATGGATAGTCTGACATCGTGTCTATTTAAAATTAAGTTGTGATATATGTGTGTCGTATTTAAAAGTATATCAACTGGTTTGTTTGAATGAGTTTAGTTTGTTAAACGAATCGAGGAAGTTTTATTCGGTATTCCCCTTAAATATTGTTCTTGTACTTCCGAGACTTTATCGTAGTTGAGACTATTACGGCGACTAATAACAAAGTTGAAATAATATTATAAGATAGATATGATAAATATATATATATAAATAAATGATAAGTGGTAGACTGAATGGTCCATCTTTGGTAAGTATAAACCAGATCCACATGGTCAATTGAAACCTTTAATTTTAGTTTATACTCCAGTTAATTACCGTTCATTCTCCCAAGTGCGGTGCATGGGTGGGGGTATTGCCACCGGTCAAAATTTCAAAATTTCTATTCAAAATTAAAAGGAAGAAGAACTTGAGGAACTTAAAGAAAGGGGAAGCTACAAGAGACATGTAGGGAGTGACAGAAAGAGTTTAGCAAATAGTCAGTGAGTGAATTTAGTTGATATTTTGCAAAGATGAATAGAGGTCCTAATGAATTTCAAAAGTATGCACGTGTTTTCCAACAACAACTGTCAAAGGTGAACGGTGGAAATGGTGCTCGTGGACCCGGAGGTCGTGGTAGTCCAGCAGGGATGTTTGCAGGACTTGGTGGGTTAATATTACTTGGTGGTGGTGCTTTATTGTTGAATAACTCTTTGTTTAATGTGGATGGTGGTCACAGAGCCATTGTGTACTCGAGAATAGGTGGTGTTTCCAACAGGATCTATAATGAAGGTACGCATTTTGTGATTCCATGGATTGAAACTCCTATAATATACGATGTAAGAGCTAAACCTCGTAATGTTGCATCCTTGACCGGTACAAAAGATCTACAAATGGTGAATATTACTTGTAGAGTCTTATCGAGACCTGATGTGAAACAATTACCAGTGATTTATAGAACATTAGGGCAAGACTATGGTGAACGTGTTTTGCCATCTATTGTCAATGAAGTATTGAAATCTGTTGTTGCACAATTCAATGCATCACAATTGATTACCCAAAGAGAGAAAGTGTCGAGATTGATTAGAGAAAATTTGGTTCGTCGTGCAAATGGATTCAATATCATGTTAGATGATGTATCGATCACTTTTATGACTTTCTCCCCTGAATTCACAAATGCTGTAGAAGCTAAACAGATTGCACAACAAGATGCTCAAAGAGCTGCCTTTGTTGTTGATAAAGCAAGACAAGAGAAACAAGGGATGGTTGTGAGAGCGCAAGGTGAAGCCAAATCTGCAGAATTAATTGGTGAAGCCATTAAGAAGTCCAAGGACTATATCGAATTGAAAAGGCTAGATACCGCCAGAGAAATTGCATCAATATTGGCTAGTTCGCCAAACAAGGTAGTTTTAGATAATGAATCATTATTATTGAACACATTGATCGATGCTAGACTCGACGGTAAGAAGAAATAGATAAATCGTTCAACAGTTGATACGTAATGAGTATTCATGACTGTCCGTGTTTTTAATAATATTATTTAGTAAGTTCTTTCTTTTGTTTGCTTATATAGATATGTATATATACTGCGTTATTTGACATTAGAATGACTTAAAATTAAAATAAATACCATGTTAATAGTGAAATAAAAAACATAAATTATAAGGACAGTAATGGCGATGGGAAGGATGCTAATAGGTCGTACCTAACAAGGGTAATAAAATGCAAATTAAACCGAAAGTATACGAAAAATGTGTGTGTATTTTAATCGTAGTCATTGTTTCATTGAATCGTTAAAATTAAGTTTTATGGGTTTAGATTGGCGAATTTTGAATATATTTGACTTGAATTTTTCAAGATTTTTTGAGCATGGGGACAACATATGATCTGTTGGTGAAGCATATTTATTGATTCCATCAATATGTTGTGGTTGTGGTTGTTTGCCTCTTAATGACTTTTTTTTGAATAACGATTTATGCAATGGCATCTTTGTATGAGAATAATGATGAGATAGGGTTTCAGAAGGAGACATATACACCGGTTTATATGTGTAGTGTTAGTGTCTAAGTACAAATGAATTTGCTATATTTTGGGCAAGAGACTATTGAACTACGATTACGTTATATTCCCCCTCCTCATTTATATATATATATATATATATATGCATAGTATCCATAAGTATATGGCTGTAGTTCCACGGAGTTCCACGGGAGAGAACACTGACTTATACTATAGTGGAAGGGATGACAATAATAATAGCCGATCTGCAGCAGCAGATCAGACATAAGAACCTTAAGCTCTCTTCCCCAGACCGATAAGTAATGGCCTCTTAAAACAAGAGAGGTTCCATCAGTTCCAAAGAGTAAACTGTTTACTTATTACTGCTTTGGGAACTTCTCTCACCATGTCTTGAAACTATTACCCTCCCTCTTCCATAATTTCATGTTTTGGAGGGTAACACCACTCCTTCTGAAATTTTTCCACATCGCCAAAACTGTAAGGGTTTTTGATATCCCGCAGGCTTAGACAGAGGGCAGAAGGCAGGGGCCTTCAATTTTGATTCGAATTGATGTCTAAGGGCAATAACGGTAGCCTTTCCAATTGAGAGACAGGTTGGTATAGAGACGTATTTAGAGTATATAATATTTGTAGTATACTTTATGCATTAAGTGTTTGTGCATACGTGTGTGTTATCGAAGTTGACAGCCAATCCAAGAAGATTAAGAGTGCAAGGAAGATTGTCAAGATGAATATTTTTAAAAAGAAAATCAAAGAATGGGTGTATTCCATTAGCACTGAGGATCATTATGCCGAATATAACTCAGACGATGAACCTAATTTCAACATGGGGATGCGTTCAGGTCAAGGTAATGTGAATCCTTCTAGTATGAACCTTGCAGGGAACGGCAGTTCTGCAGATTTACCTAATTCTAACGATGGTTACATTGGTCAGGATGGCGGTGAAAATTCGTATCAGATTGATGATTTCAATAATGCAGCTACTTCTCAAAAGGGTGTCTCTGAGATTCTTTTGGCTTGGAGACATATCGATGCTTGGACTGATAAACATAATCCTGATTTGAATGCCACTTTGAGTGATCCATGTACTCAAAATGATATTACACATGCTGAAGAAGACCTGGAGGTCTCTTTACCACCATCTGTAAGGGCCTCTTTAAGGATTCATGATGGTCAAGAGGATCTTGAGTCCATGACCGGTACTTCTGGTCTGATATATGGTTTGCAATTGATGACTTTGGATCAAATTGTAGCAATGACACAAACCTGGAGAAATGTTGCTAGAAATTTAAACAAACATAAAGCACATCAAGAAAGTGCAGCCAGAGCCTCGATGGAACAAGGTAGTTCTGCCTCTCAACAACGAGCTGCACCAGAGCAAACTAACCAGTTTAAATTGCCTTACATACCAGAACAAAAATCGATGCCTCCAAACGCTATTCAAGCTGCTTATGCTCATCCTGCTTGGATTCCATTAGTAACAGATAATGCAGGTAATCATATTGGTGTTGATTTGGCACCTGCTTCGGAAGGTTCCTATGGTCAAGTTATTATTTTCGGAAGAGAATTTGATATTAAATTTGTTGTTGCTGATAATTGGGGTGAATTTATGTTGGCTTTCGCTAATGACTTAGAGGTAGGTAATTGGTATTTGATTGATGATTCAGATGACTATTTTTCAGGGGAAGGTGAATTGGTGTTTAGAGATAAGAAGAGAAATGGAAGAGTGGAAGAATATTTAGAAGTATTGAAAAGAAGAGTATTACAAAAATATAAACAATTACAGACACAACAAGATGATAAAGAGGTTCCAAAGGAATCTCAACCTCAGCAGGATGAGGCCGTACGCAATGAGGTCTTTGAAGGTCATGACGACGATACAGACTTCGATATTGATGATGAATATGTGGTGGATATGGTCTCTGATCAAACTCAACCTGAAATTTCAACTGAAGAAGTTGATAAATCAGAGCCAGTAGAAGATGTAGAACAAAACCCTGTTTCTGATGTTGTTCCTGAGCAAAAACAAAAACAAGAAGAAGAAGAAGAAGAAGAAGAAGAAGAAGAAGAAGAAGAAGAAGAAGAAGAAGAAGAAGAAGAAGAAGAAGAAAAGGAAGAAAAGGAAGAAAAGGAAGAAGAACCTGCTCTTGAAGAGGCTAGTACAAATGTTGTGGATGTGCCTATCGGTGAAAATGAGACCAATAAGATAATATCTGGAGAACCTAATGTTGAAGATGATATTAAAGAACAAGAATCTGAAAAGGTGGAAGAAGAAGTAAAGCCACAAGATGAGATTAAAAACGTTGTTGAAGAGTCGAAACCAATAGAAAATGAAGAAGATGAAAATCATGAAGAACAAAAAGAAGACAATAAGGTAGATGTTACCGAACTTCAAAATGAGTTTGAAAGTGTAGCATTATAATAAAATTAGTAACATTCAAAGTCACCTCGAAAGGAATAGAGTCCAAAAATATAAATAATTAATTCAGGTTGTTATTTGTATTAGTTATATAAAATTTCTTTCAATCCCTCATAATATGTCAATACAGTTATATTTAAACGTTCCTTTATATATTATTTCACTGTACTGAATATATATAACTTACTTAGAGAAGAAAAAATACATCGAACTACATACTTATAAATTTAAACCAGCTTAAATATTTGACTTACGGTTTATCTCGTTATTATTAATTCTTAAAAATTAAATTATTATTGATGTTAAATAATATATTTCTGATACTCATAAAGATATTTAGATTACCAAATAATTCTCTGCAAGAAAGATTCATCGGTCCAAATGAAAGGATGAAGAATAAATACAAGTAAAGTGGCGACGTTGATCAACATAAACCATAATAATTCCCACAAAAGTCTACCTGTAGAACTTATAGTCACTGGAATTTCATCTGGTCCTGCTGGTACTAATTTCTTAAATATTGGTTCTGCGTTACATGTAATAAATATTCTCCAAAATATGTACGGTAGAATATAGTATCTTGGTTCGAATAGTGGGGATGGTACAATAGTCACTATGGTACATAATATTAATACAGTCCATGAAATATGGGTTAATTGTATTGGTAATAAGATGGAATCCTTTATTGGTAAAGGCATGATTGGATGGAATGACATCTCATTCGGTCTCATTAATTCCATATAACTGAATGTAGAGAAATGATAAACCACGGAGAAAAAGATGTATTTAATCAATCTATATTTGCTGTTAATCAATCTCTTGAATAAGTAGAATGTGTAATGTCTATTATCTGCTAATAAAAATGGATGAATCTTTGTGAAGTAACGAATAATAAGCATTATTAGTAATAATTCGAAAATTGTTCTCACTGGTCTTGTTTGGCATCTTATCTTGTAAGATTTGACAAAATTTCTAGAGAACCATATTGGTACACTGAAAAACAGAATAAACATAAAGCAATAAAACACTTGTACTAAATGTAAACCAGCTGAATGGTTTGATTTATCCCCTAAAGTGATAGACCTATTCCATATTAGATATACAACAAAACCAACAAAATTAATAAAGAAAGGTAGTACTAATTCATTGAAGTCCTCAATCGCAGTAATAAATACTTTTAAATAATTATTAAGAGAATGTGTAGTAAATTGCTTAGATATGATAGCTCTTCTTTCGATTACGACAATCAGAATAAACCCATTCCATATGATATTTGTCTGTCTGAAAACACAACTCAATCCCGCCATTACACCACTCAGCCATATGCTACGAGATAGTCCCCATGGCATTGTCAAAGCTAATGTTAGGGATTCCATGATGAAGATAGTAGACCACACGTCAGTATAGTATAGGTAGTAATATGTTGCCATTAAAGGAAAGCACATCATTGAAACAGGCCAAAATCCAATTGCATTAAAGAGGAATAATGGTCTTAATACTACAAATGGTAAAATAATTGTTCCACCTATTAAATTCACTAATCTTAATATAGTTAATGTCGACATTGATTTGCAGATTGGTCTTACGATATGATAATTGATCCAACCTAAAATGTATAGACCTGGTGGTGTTGTAATTTTAGGATCCCATTGGAACCAATTACCTTTTATATATGTGATAGTTTGTTCGATATGAAATCTTTCATCAATAAACTGATATGGTACGACCTTCCTAGTGACATATGCAAATGTAATTATAAAATAGAGGAGGATTAATGGATATGCAATAATATTCACAGAAAATCCCAATATTACCTCCTGTTCTAAGTTTCTTTGTACACCTGGTGCAATTAATTGTGTTATTAGCTCCTCATTCTCGTCCTCGTTAATGCCATTATCTGTATTGTTTGGTTGATCACCTGGTTTAGCTGCGTGATCTACCATTTTTATGTGTGCGTAATGTATACTTCAATAATGGCAATAGACACAACTTGAATTGAAGTACAAATGTTATTATGTATATCAGATAATAAAGAGTAAATATAGTGATTATAGCGTATTGTCTTGCATAGGGCTGTAGGTTGAAATAGCTTTAATTGAATATTTTCATTGTATTAAAGGTTTCTTACGTCAACTAGACCTTGAAAATAGATATTCGCCTAGTAAGCACGTAACGTGAAAAACGACTTTCTTCCAGCATTGATATAAGTATTTGTATATATTAATATATCTACTTATAACAGGACGATTCTAACATAGAATGACATGTTCCAATGTATATAATAGTTCTGAGTAGTCTTCAGTATATTTTGTTATGTTATTTAACTCTATTGTTGTTTCGTTTTTATCTTATCTTCCCTCTGTAACTATTGTGAATTCCTTCGATAAACTCAATGATCTCAGATCCATAGAGGCCTTTATCATGATACTCATTAATGACGTCTGAAGATCCTCCCCATATCTTATAGAATCTAATGGTTTCATCATTCATTGCAACACATATAGAAGAACAGTTTGGTGAATGTACAGCGCTAAGTACCCTTAGTGGTGTGGGCGTCTTGACATAGAGCATTTCATTAAGATCAGGATAAGTATAAGCAATCAACACTACGGGGTTATCGATGTCACCAAATCCAAAAGTTACTACGAGCTGTCTATAATTAATGGACCATATAAGGGACGTAATTTGACTGGAGGTTTTATATTCCTTTAGTAATGTACCTGTCGGAGAATGCCAAAATTTAATAGTTTTATCTTTACTTCCACCACCAGTTGCTAATAACGACTTCGACCAAGGACAAAATGCTACTGCTTTTACAGCTGCCGAATGTTTTAGAATGTATCTTAAGGATGGAGAATTGGGATCAGAGATATCCCACAGTGTACACGAGTTATCATTTCCACCAATTGCCACGACAGTGTCATCTTTGTTTATTGAAAGTCCTGTATTTTATGTGTTTGCACTTGTTGTTAGTATTTTAAGAAATAGAAAATAAGAATAAATTGAAGAAGGAAGGGTGTTATTACAATATATAACAATTGTGTTTTTAATTTCATACCGCAAACTTGTTGACCATGTGCCTGGAATTCACCAATTAGTTTAATATTTATTTCATCATTTGATGAATTCGTTATATCCATAATGTACACCTCACCAGACTCTACCCCTACGATAAAGTTGGAATGCTCGTTATGAAACCATTCGATGCAGGCAACACCTTTTGATGTATCTCTTTTGAATTCATGGATTGGACTTAATGCAACTAGACCATTAAATTTTTTGTTATGACGAACACATATATCTTGGTCATAAAGAAATAAAGAACCATTTTTGGTTCCAATAATTATCCTACTATTATAGGGTGAAAATGAAACACAGGTTATGAAGTCATTTCTCTCCGCCAGAATACTATGTTTCATGACAGGAATAGCGCCAGCTCTTTCTGACCACATGTAAACAGATGCCCCCAATCCGATTAAGATGTTATTTGTTGTGGCTGACCATGCAATTAGATTTGTATAGAAATCATTTCTTAGGGCTCTTGCATCCAATACTCTGAAAGGAACTATGGATTTTGGTCTTGCAGTTTTTCTACCGTAAGTTCCAGTTCTTGGTTTCTTATCTCTTTGATCGATTTCGTTAGATCCTTGTAATTTGGAAATCTCATTCTTAAAATCAGTTGGAATAGTAACTGTGTCATTTTTGTACTGGAAAACTTTTGTTTGTGAAAAGAGATTAAGGGAGTTGGCAATATTTTTTCGATGCATCTTCGATTGTTTTAATTTATTGCATTTCTTGGTCTTTTTGATCCTATTTGAAGATTGGGAATCGCTAGATAAGCTAGTTAAAGTTGAATTCCCAAGTTGATCAAGTGTTAAAGCAGAATAGTAATTTGTTCTTTCGAGATCTGTAAAAAATTCTGGTGATGACAGTCGTTGTGGTGTTCTTGATGTATCCTCCAATATTCTTGCATCATCGGATGAAAACTGATTCAAAAACGTTGAGGCCTTATAAGCTCTTTGTGAAGTACTATGTGGGATAAATCGATCTAGAGTATTGATTGTTTTGTTTTCTAGAGGAGAAGTCAAGGAATTCTTTTCTAGTGGAGATAATTCGTGTTGTAATGATCTTGGTGTTAATCTGGAACTGTTAATGTTTGAAGACATCAGGGTAATTTGTTTATTTTAGTTTAGATATGAAGTTATTATTGTTATAAGTAATTATATTTCAACGATTGTTTGGAGTTTTCTTGTTTTACAGTTGTATTATAATGTGTAAAAAAGAGAGAAAGTTCCCACTTGAATTTTTGCCGCTGAACTAAAAAGCTGTTTTGGAATCTAATAACTGAATTATTATTAGATATATCAAAGGAAATATGGAAAAGTTATAAATGATTGTCCTTAATGAAGTCTTCTGTAGAAAGTAATGTAAAAACTTTGTGAACAAATTTAGAAGATTTGAGATTGATAGGAAATATAATAGCTAATGAACGAAAAAATTATTAGCAATACTGTCGAGTGTGTTACACCGTCAGTCAGTTGGAAATAGTTGACCAAAGAGACCAATTATTAAAAGAAAGTATAATATAAATGTTTAAGAACTACATGAGGTGTCTTCTTTAAAAAAAACAAAGAAGTCAAAGTTTTTATATATTTGTTTGCTCAGTTCTTGACGCTGACGTTCTTCTAGAACAATGGCTGAACTATCTGGTTGGTCAAAAATTGAAAAAATAAGATCATTAAGACAAGAGTTGAAGATAGTTTGTTATCTTTTCTTATTATAATGTTAAACAATGTGTTATTCACCGTTACTTCAAACATTGGACCTATTCAATAGCACACTACTAGGGGGTATTCCCATGTTCTGTATGCCCACATATCAAGCATAGGGGTTGCAACGAGAAAAAGGTCAATATAATATGGCTGGTCAGTTTATTTCGTGATTCCCCAAAAACCTACTGATCAGTACTACTCTATGTGGTACATAGCTCTTTGTTTGTCAATGAACTTATCTAAGTAATATTGTCTTTAGTTTGTTTTAACACCCCCACCATTGAGTAAATTTAATCATCGCACAGTGTTTACTTTTCAATCATTTTGTTAGAGATCAAGAAAACGAAAGAAACCTTAATTAGCAAGTAAACTCGGAATCTGGTGAATATCTTCATAACAAGAAAGGTTTGCCAAACGTTTTAACTTTCGATACTTGAGCATCGCATACCTAAATGGTGAATGAAAGATATATATATATATATATAAAGAATCAACTATGACAATGACAGCCAATAAGTTTAATGACGTTACATTTAACCAGGATGATTCCTGCTTCAGTGTAGCCAGTGATGATGGATTCAAAATTTGTAACACATTCCCTTTACAAGTTAAGCTGGTCCAACAGTTTGTAGATTATAATGATAAAGCTAAAGGGATTGGAAAGACTAGGATGTTGAACAGGTCGAATTATATTGCTTTGGTTGGTGGTGGGAAAGAGCCTCGTTATCCATTGAATAGGTTAATTATTTGGGATGATTTAGTAGGGAAGGAAAGCATTAAGTTAAATTTTATGTCAGCAGTGAGAGAAGTGTATATATCTAGATGTTTTATTGTGGTTATTCTGGATACTAAGATATGTTTGTATTCTTTTGGAAAGACGCCTAAAAGATTAATGAACGATATTGATATTCCTAATGGATCCTTCGTTGATTATAAGAGTACTAATTCACATGACGATAATTCTAGCAATGGTATACTATGTTATGAAAGTAATAAGTACAGAGGTCAGATTCATGTAATGAACCTTGATAAGATATCAAAGAATGATAAACAGGATCATATTTTACCTACAATGATTATTAAAGCACATAAGAGTGAAATCCAGATGATTAAATTAAACCATCAGGGAACAATGGTTGCTACTTGTTCAAAGAAAGGAACTTTGATTAGAGTCATGAACGTCCAAAACGGAACTTTAATTAATGAATTTAGAAGAGGCATAGAGAATGCGGAGATTTATGATATGGAATTTAGTCCCAGAGGTAGTAAACTTGCAGTTATTTCAAATAAACAAACATTGCATATCTTTGAACTTTTTAATGAAAAGATATCATCAAATGGTAAAAACCAGAATAATAATGGTAAATCCAATGAGCCCATAGAGAGTGAGAATGTTTATAATAAGAGATTACAAAATTTGAATAGTATGGTTCCAAAGAAATGGAGTATTCAATATTTAGATTCTGTATGGTCCATGTGTAGTATTCATTTGAAGAATCCCCTTCTTAAAAGTTCACAAGGTATACATGCTAATCATAATGGGTATGATAGTCAGTTTGAGAAAGATAGATGTAAGATTGGTTGGTGCCATTCTTCTAATGTAGATGATAGCAATGGTAGAAGTCATGGCCAAGAAGACGATGAAATTGACAACAGTGAAGACAGTTTAGTATTGATTTGGAAAAGTAGTGGTATATGGGAGAAATATGTCATTTTAGAAAAGAGTGTACCAATTGGCAAAAATGGCAGTAGTAATGGGACCTCAGAAGGAAATGTGAAGTATTTCTCCGTAGGTGAAAGTTTGGGACAAAGTGGAAGGCATAGAGACACTATGCAAACTCATAAAAGAAGATGGGAAATTGTTAGAGAATCATGGAGGGAGTTATAATCATAACTTTATAAATAATAATACGAATATTCTGAATATATGGATATGTAGGTAGTAAATAAATAAAATAAAAAGGCAATGTCATTACAGTCTCTCTACTAACATTTTCTGATTAGGATCATCGTTGAAGTAAGTTCCATGAAAATTATTTTTAAATTTTTCTGCCTCATTAGCGTTATTAAAAGCAAAATAATGTAAAGTGGATAATTTAGAACCAATATTATTGTTATTCCAATACATTCTAAAACAATGTTTTATATCATAGAACCAAAAAGTGTCTTGAATCTGAGGTGAGGACAATTTAATAGGTAAATTCCATACCAATAGGGATTTTGATTCTATATCTATCAATTTGTCCATGCTAGCTATTGCCATCTTAGTAGAACTATCCTGTAGGCCACTGAAATATTTATCACCAGAGTCATAAGCATTAGATAAATTCATTGAATATTTATTCAAGATGTTCATCGTTTTGTCATGTGCATTAGACTTTGCAGATTTATCTGTCAAAGGTATCAATTTCACTCTCATTTTATTTATCTTACCCATCATTGTCTCATTATAATATTTATTCATATCAGGATAATTTTTAAACAATAAATAATATGTATCATTGAATTGAAAATATTTAGGGTCTCTCTTCCGTATGAAATCAAAGTCTATTAAGCTTCGTTGATCTCGAGGCAATAAATCCACAAAATCTTGTTTAATCAATAACGGATTATAACATTTATAATATAATCCTAATGCATTATTAGAACTAATTACAGTAGGGTTTATCTTTTTAGAATTTGATTTATTGCCAACTACTTTACCAGATTCGGAGATCCTACTCACGATATCAGTTATCACTTTCTTACTGCTTTTCATTTCTATTTGGGAATACTATAGAGTAATAATTAAAAATTTTCCAACGCTTCTATAAAGCATTTATGTCTTTGTCCCAATATGATTGTTTAAGGTCCGTAGCTGTCTTTAGTTTGCTTTAATGGTTTAAACAAATTCGTTTCTCTTAATTTGTTTTTTGACCTTTCCAATGAGGCCAAAAGAGATATTGGAAAATAGAGAAGCGAAGTCCGTTTTAAGATGAGAAAATGTCAGAGGCCTTGTAGATGAGTTGGACTTGATGCATGACAAAATAAATGAGTTTGATATCTTGATTTCGATGGGAGTTCTACCATAATGATAATCCAGGTATTGAATTAGAATGGAACACTTCTATATACATATTATGGTGCCATCACTGATAACATTGAATGTATTATCAAGTATATGATACGCTTTTGTAGTAATAATTTATATACGACTTTCTTATTTTCATTTAAAAACAAAGCATGTTGGTTTTTATAAACATTCTATAGCCATGTAAGAGAATAATCAACTCATGAAAAGTAAAACAATTGTGAATTCTAATATTGACCACTTCTATCTCTTTTGTGCCCCTCGGTTTATCTCAAATATTTCTCCTAATAATGTAGTTTAATGTCATTTTTTCCTATAAAGGGTTGTAATCCTAACATGGAACGTTATATACGAATATGTATAGAATGCTTTGAAAAATCTTGTTTAGATAATTATACTAAAGGTCTGGCTGTCACACAGATGATTATTAAATATGATTATTACGTACTGGTTTTACGATAAAATTTCTTCTTTCTAAAGTAGTGGAGTTTGTTTGTCTTCACTCCTCATACAATTGATTGGATAATGTTAACAGATAAACTTGATATGTATCAAACATGTTTTATTCTAGGAATATTATAGGATTATTGGTTACAAGCAAAAAAATATAAAGAATATGATGTAGTGGTCGTATAATATTTTTCTTTATGTTTATCTACTCTTAAACGTTGGTTACTTGGTTCAGTTCAACGTATCATTAATTCTCTGTTATGAGCTTCTTTTCATCCGAGCAATGTACATCAATGTTTACCTCAATAATAAATAAATCAATAAATGTACTCTTTAACAGATGATATTTTCCCAACATGTTTTTAATATATAGCATTAATAAACGGAACTATCGCAAAACTTTATGGAATGAGGCAACATAGATATAAAGAACAGATCAATCTACTGCTTTTTAATTAATAGATTCATCTTGATATTTTTATTTTAAAATATTAGTAATGCTATCACAATTAATAGATGCACCGTAGCTAGTCCCACACCTGATTGGATCATCTGGTATCAGATTCGAATACTTTCGTCAATTATTAGAGAACTTGTCGAAATTTCAATCATTTTAACCACACCATGTAGTACATTAAAGGTCGATTTAATTAAAAGTACGAACGTGTGTTTTAAGCGGCAATGTCCCCAAGATCTCTGTTTTCTAGTGATTTATTCCTCATAGGATTTCACAAAAGTGCGAATATTTTCAAGGTATAATGAAGATTCGTTAATCTTTGGCACATCCTTGTAATATTACCAGGTGTCGTTTATTAAAGTTACAAAGTGGGACGTGACATTATCCGATATAAATACGGAATCTTCATTTTACGACATTGTACCCTCTTTTATATGTTAGATTTTCCAATCAGGACCATTTTCCTAAAGTCATCAGAATCATCGCTTTTGACGGAAGCCTTACTCTATTTTTTTGGCGGCGAATAACTCAAGAAGTATAAATACTGAAAGCGAAATTGAATTTTAGAAAACTTTTTCAGAACTGTTTCTCTGTCTTCTGTTGTCTGTTTAGGTAATGTTTGGTTTATTTCCTTTTAGAAGAGGGTTAAGGCAACTTATGTGTTATTGCAGTGGCATTATGTGTCCACCATTTATTTGGAGGAGCAGTGTTTTGTATTCTGGTCTGGGAGATCGGTATCAAAAGCTTTTACTTGTTGCGCTGGTCTGGGAAATTCACATGTGGGATTTTCTAGGCTTGTGACTAGTAATTGTTTTTATAACGAACATGGCTCTTGCCTTTTACCAGAGCCATCCGGGTATCGTCTCCACATCTGTATAGATCGGTGCCTCTGTAGATGGAATTCGTTCCATCTCATGTATTTGTCCACTGCAGCATTTGATGTCTTCAAATATGATAAAAGTTTTTGGAACCTTTTCAACCTTTTTTTTTTCTTCTGCAAAAAGTGTATCATCTCAAAGGATGTCACTTGGAAGAAAAAATTACCTTCTCTCTCTCTATCAGTATTATTTCTGTTTAAGTTTGTTCAGGAGAATGCCTTTTACTGAGTAATGAAATGCTGAATTTATATAATTGTTTATTATGTTAGTCTATACTAAAGGAGCTATAAAATTCATAGAATTATGCTGTTGACAGGGTTCGTATAGATATATATCTTAACTTGGTTTATAGTCATTATATTGCTTTCAAATCATCTAATTCTGGCATATATTAACTGGAAGTGACCTCTCACCAGCTCCATGTACGTATAATGACTATACATTTATATAAATGTATAGTCATTTGTGTAATTAATCGTAAATATGTTTGGAGTTCAACATATGTGTGTGAATGTTGAGGTAATTATCAGGTTATTGTCCTTGAAGATGATGTATTGTGTTGTTGTGGTAGTAGTTATATATTCTCTTATAGTTTACAGAGTCTTCGTACAACACGACTGTTTTTGTCAGTTTCCCGGATAACGAAACAAAGAAGAACGAATCCCTCAATAAAAAAATGAATAAAATTGAAGTTTAAATACTATTAAATAGAAACATCCTTGAAGTCAGCATTAAGGAAGAGAGACAGTTTTAAACCATAACTCGAATCAGTTTATTAGGTATACAAACAGTTTGTGACCCAAATGTTTCCTCAAAATACGTTGTGGGCTGGTCTGGCTAAGCCAATATCGAGCCAATATCAATTATCAAATATATTAAGATTATATTCTACAAGACCTTCGTTAATAGCACCAAGTGTCGCTTCAACAGTTCATTCGGTTGCACCAGAGATTAATCATTCTCCAATACAAGCATTTAAGAGGAAATGGTTACCAAAAAGATGTGGTATCATTACTGAGAAGGTCGGTATGATGCCTTATTTTGATACCAAAACTGGAGATAGACTTGCTGCCACTATATTGAAATTGGATAACGTAGAAGTTATGATGCATCGTACAATAGATTCGGATGGTTATTTTGCATGTCAAGTAGGGTACGGTAATAAGAACCCCAAAAATGTCTCGAGACAACTTTTAGGTCATTATGCATCTAAAATTGTTAACCCTAAATTGAAAACTACAGAATTTAAGGTTGCCAATGAAGAAGGTTTATTACCATTAGGTACGTTGATGAAACCCTCTTTTTTCGAAGTTGGTCAATTTTTGGATGTTAGATCTGTCTCAAAGGGTAAAGGTTTTGCAGGTGTGATGAAAAAATATCATTTCAAAGGTCTAAGAGCCTCTCATGGTACATCTATTATGCATAGACATGGTGGTTCTTATGGTCAAAACCAAGATCCAGGTAGAGTCTTGCCAGGGAAGAAAATGCCTGGTAGAATGGGTGGTATTAATGTCACTGTTCAAAACGTGGAGGTTCTAAAAATAGACGATGTAAATAATGTTATTTGGGTTAAAGGTGCCGTACCTGGTCCAAATGGTTCTATTGTAAAGATTCAAGATTCAATTAAAAAGCCACCTGCATAAATCGATATAAATATTGTTCCTGGCTGAAGGACAAAATATGTAAACATGTAAATATGGGCTGTATACGTTTTAATTATTCTACATAATATTTGAGTATTTCCCATTCGGATGAAGATTTAAGGTTTACTACTTATAAAAGATTAAATACTATATTCTCTTTTTCTAATTTTTTTTTTGTTGTATTAGTTTTGCTATACACATTTTATGATACATTTATGTAAATTGCATTTGGATTAATAGTTTTTCCTTCTTTTCAAAAGATCAATCAATCTTCAAGTTCTGATGGTTTCAATAAACCACCGATCTTTGATGCTTGTTCCTTTTGCATCTTATTTTGTTGTTGTAATGCACTTTCTTTTTCTTCTGTGAACAAGTAATCAGTTGGATCACCACCAATTTCTTTAATTTGTACCAAGAAATCTCTCAGTATACCATTAAATTTACTTGGGTCCTTGTATTGTTTTGTTAATGCACTTAAGAAATTAGATACTTGATCAGTAGTCAAATGTGGGAACACACTAGACAACATGTTAGCCAGGAACTGGTTCAAATATACTTGGTTAGATGTACCTTGAGGAGCTTCGCCTTCTTTATAAATTGGGACACTGATCTTGTTATCGTATACTAAAGAAATTAATTTCATCAATAGCAGAGATTGTTTAGAGAAACCTGATTTGTGATCAGAATCTGTCAAGACATAAAACGTTTCACTGATAAATGTGAAGTAAAAATTTTCATAAAAGGCGTTAGCAAATGGTGTATTACCCATATTTTCGATGTTGTAAATTAATTGTACAGCAATCGATAAACCGTTGACCTCAATATCTCTGTTGTTATGCTTGAATGCCCAACAAATGGCATCGATAAATAGTTTGAATGCAGCAGGTGGTAATTCTAAGAATGCATTAAATGACTTTTCATTAATCACTTTTAATAATTTATAAAATTCAACACGATGTTCTGGATATTCAGTAAAATCTTTATTGATCATGTTTAAGGTACATTCGAAAACACTTTGAAGAATTAAGATAACACCTTGTGGAATCATATGGCCAACTTTATTTACCACAGTAGTCATACAGTTCAAAACTTCCGCATCTCTGGCATCTGGGACATTACTTAGATAATCTTCTAGGACAGCATTTAGTAGAGGCTCTACAAGAACCTTAACCACATCATCCAAGTTCTTTGCACGGTAGATATATATTTCCACCAATTTCAGGATTTCCTTCTTGATCGTTCTTAGACCACGAACCTTTGGAGTCTTGGTGGCAATTAACCCTTCGGTGGCAACTTGACTAGATATCATAGAGGAAACAGCTCTGTATAATTGTAACATATTGTAATAAATATGACCTAGTTGTGGATAAAAGTCTGCACCCATAGCGGTACAAACAGCGACATTAGTCTTGATAATATTAGCAACAATCTTAACTGTCTCAGAATCCAATAATAATGCAGGGTTGGCCATCGATTGTTCTACAATTGCATCCCATGCCATATTAGGTAATTGCATCAAGTCATTAAGTAGTCTTGTTCTCTCCACTGGGTTTCTTTCTTCAGATATGATGATACCACAAGCTCTGTAGAAAGTATGCACTTGTTGAGGTTGCAAATCAGCAGTGGTTTCCTGTATATCCCTAATGATGGCGTGGATAAATGGTTCAGTTTCGCGAGCTTGTTGAATGACGAAATGGTACTTACATTTTTGAACAATCTTAATGAAAGTATCACAAGCCATATCTTGAACACCTTCATGAGTTTCATGCATAAATTCAAATAATTTTAGAATAACAGTTTTCAAAAAATTCCAATGAGCTTTCAAGAATCTTGGATATTGTCCGACAACGTACATAATGTCAGATGCAACTACAGCTTTATTGTCTTTACCTCTTTTCTTTTCAGTTAAGGCTAATAGATCCTTAATGACTGTGACAACAAATCTCTTCTCGGTGTCCTCACTCATGGTACCAGAAATGGAACCGATAGCCCAAGATAGAGTATTAATATTATGCCATGACCATTCAGAGCCATCAATTTGTCTAGCCAATTTACTGACCATAATTTGTTCTGTGTCAACGACGTTCAAATGAGTCAAATAAACTAATACTTCTCTTTCACTTTTATAAAGTTGAATGGTATCAGATTCCTTAACAAATTCTCTTACAATTTCACCTTCATCATTTTCAACAACAAGGACTTCCTCAGGTCTTACCATATTTTCAATGATGACCCATCTCAATTGAGAACAAATGTCTTCATATATATGTTTTTTCAATGGGAATTTTTTCATGAATTCAGGGTTTAAAGCACCTGATCCGCTGGAGACAGTTTGATTTCCGACTGATAATTGCATTAATGGATTCAATTCATTAACAGGAAGTACTTGAACTTCCTGAAATAAACCGGCAACCAAAATATGCCAATAATCCAAAGTTGTCTTAAACAATTCTCTTTCATCGATCTTTGATAACTGAATCAAATATTGATGAGCATTCAATAATAATTCTCTTAAACTTTCGTCACTTTCCAAAAGATTTCTATGATGAGTTAAATAAGTAGTTAAAAACATTGCAAAATCTTGTAAGAATGATTGATCTGTCCCATTTGCCATAGAATAACTACTCTTTAGATCTGCAGTAGGTGGAATGACATTGGATGCTATCTGTTGAAGTGTATTTTGAAAGAAAAGAACGGTTTGAGTCTTAATTGATGCATTATCCTGAGGGATATCCAAACTTGATACTTCAGTTAGACATTTTAATGTTACTGCTCTAGTCTGAGCAGATGCCAAAAATTTTGTACTTAATAATTCAAGGATATTTGTTTCATAAATGTAACGATAAGGAATCCAATGGAAATATCTTAATAGAGACTCTAATGCCGCAACGACTAATGATGGAGAAGAACCTTCTTCTAGGACTCTAAAACATAGTTTAAAGATTTGTTCGAATTCTTTTGACATAGATTCCTTTAGATGTAAAGCTTTCTTTTGAGTCATTTGTTCTGCAGAATAATCAAAGACTTCTTCAGATAATAATTTCAAAATAATCATATTATTTTCACAAACGTTAATTGATGAATTAGAACTACCAATTAATTCTGGGATAAATTCTGGCCAATTTTCTGGCCATTCTTGTTTTAATACTTGAACTAAAGTCAAATCAGATTTATTAATTAAATTCTTTTGTGTTTTAAAGATTTCTTCATCTTGACACATTGAAATGATCATACCAACTATGAAGTTTCTAATACCTATTCTTTGTTCACTTGGTAATAGTTTCCATTTTGTATTTATTAATTTATCTAGAATAGATAAACCTATGAATTTAGCTTGAGGATTCTTTGAAAATTGTAGGATTTGATCAGCGCGTTGCCAAGCATCAGGATGTTCTTGGAATTTAGTTAAAATCTGTTGAGCTTGTTTTTGTTCATTACCTGAACCACGATAAAAAGTATCGACCACAGAATCTAGTAAAGTTATATCTAATTCTTTAGAAAAATCTAATACAGCTTCCATATTTGTGCAGACGTGGTGGGAGAATAATAATAATAGTAGTAATTAGTGGAGATTTGACTTTTATATGTATTCAATTTTTTTTTAATTTAAAAGCACAGGAAATTGTTAATGAATAATCTAAGTTCTTAAGCAAAGTAGTCACAATTCTTATTTGAAGGTGGTTTTGTTTCTTACTTTTATCCTTATTAAAATAATTATAAGTTTGTAGATACCTTCAGAGAATTATAAAAAACTAAAAAATAGTATAAAATATATGCACGTTCCTTGTAAATGGATAACTCTACAATCTGTAATATATGTATACTTTCGTTTCCTTAAGGAGGGTTAATGAACTAGTCTTTGAGTGTGATAGACGCAATTAGTCCCTATAAGGTAAATATATATGTGATTGTGTGTAAAATCTTTCTCAATTGTTTAAACAAAACAAAAAAAAAAGTTGTCTATGTGTGCAGTGTAAATAAAATAAAATAAAAATTATCTTCCCTCTCTCTCTCCTAATACAGAGAAAATTAGTAAAATAAAAAAACAAAAATGAATAATAACATTCTATTAAATCCTTTAAGTTTATAGAGATGAGAGACAGAGAGAGATATCCGCTGCGGGACGTGTAAATTTTTACTATGGGTTTGTGCTCAGAGCGGGCGGTAGGGGCGGTCAGAAAAAGGTCAAATTTCATAACCAAGAGGGTAACCCCGAGTTGGAGGAGAACGATACTTGAAACTGTTTATTGTGAATAGCAATGATGAACTTAGAGAACTAACATTCAAGGTCGAATAGTTGATCTGGTCAACCTTGCAAGTTTATGTGTGTATCCATTTAAGTAGGGTGTGTGACGGTCAGCCATCGATGATGGTGTTACATGACACTGAGGTTTTCTTTAAGTAGCCGCTGGAGGAAGACGAGATTCGACTAGTCTTGCGAGTAATTCTTATATAAATAAGAAAATACTCATGATGATGTCAAACACTGTCCTACTCACTTTTGTACCAGAAAGGTTGAAATGGAGTTATTTGCTTATGCTTAAAAAAATACAAATATATATATATTTTAATATCTTTGATGTTCATCTGAAAATGGTCCAAACATTACAAAACAATAAACAAAAAGTCAATAGTGACAAACTAAGCAAACGACACATTTCTTTGAATTTACTTATTTAAAATGTAACATCAAAAACACATATCGAAGTCTTTAATGTAACCTGAAGTTAAAATACTTTTTAAAAAAATAACACTTTATGTTACATTAACAATTTTGAAGGTTACATTGTTTTAATTAATTTTCGATGACGTTGGAAATAATAACAAAGCTAATCGTCAATTTATCTGAAAATTTTCAGATATAACTGTGTATCTCATCTTTTTTGTTAACTAGTAGCCAAGCAAAACAAGTGGTAAAGGATAATATATAAGAACTCTGCAACCAATTTAACTTTCCAAATCAAGCTTCCTATAACAATTCATAATATCCTAAATATAATATTGAACCTGCGATGACGTAAAACTTCACCGAGTTCTTCTAAAAATATCAACACAAGACCCAATACTCCGGATGACAGCAATATTTTTACTTTTATGACGTTCATAATAGAACATACAAGGAGTTTAAACCAAAACTGCAAACATAGTAAAAACACAATATATTTAATTCGAGAATTTCTTCATTCAATAGTAGAAAATATCCAACAATTGCAAGACGCATCTTCCAAAACAAAGTAATTCTACCTCAACAATATCTTGAAATATTTTCTTTCAATTCCTTTAATCTAAAACATTTATTCTGCCTGATCTTGTTCCTGTTCTAATTAATCATCAATAAAGCCATCGGTAAAGCCAACGATGTTCGCCGATGCCCATGTGACGTAGTCTTTTCACCATAAAATGAGAACAAAAATTCGAAAGAAAGAGAGCAGAAAAGAAAAAGCTGCTAAGCCAGCTTTTATGACATCAATACAAGGATGATGATCACGATAAAGGGGCTACAATACGGCTAGATGGACATGCGATAAATTCTTATTTGGAACCATAACGTACTACGTTTCAAGAAACTATCATTATTATAGCCCATATTTGGTTAGCAAACATCAACAACAGTGGGTAAGAATAGGATATTTTTTATTTCCAGTGCTGTCTGCTTGTCTTTCACCTTAAATCATCATTAAAACAAAAAACGAAAGCTATTTTTATGCAAAGCCCTGCAGGATCAAAGAAGATATAAAGCTTAACGTAAAGTTTCTTGTATGCATGTAATGTTTGGGTTTTTGTTTACTCTATTGTTTAAGACAGTCAGTAATTGTATTTTTACTATAAGACATAATATATCCGGAACTTTACTAATCCACTATAACGGATATTGATTCTATCTAAAAAAGAGAAAATATATCACAGCTTTTTAATTCGTTCATCTCTCCTTCTATATCTTATGTATTCTGTTATTATTACAAAGTAAAACATATCATCTCCCCTCCCTTATTTTTATTTGGTCACTCCCCCAAAGCCACTCTATCACATGTAATATGTGCATAGCCCACCTGACTGTTGCGTTTACTTATTTTGAGACATAGTAAATACTGCTAATAACGTCTTACCAAAACTGAAAAAACTAAGAAAATTGAAAAACTAAACAATACGAAAAGAGTAAATAATGCAATACCTCATCGCCCAAATAAACGAAACGTAAAAAAAAGACGCAAGCTATTATCAAAGAGGAAGAGAAACAGAGAGAGAGATACTCAAATTTAATACGTACTTCATTACATTTCCCCTTATTTCCCCTTTGTATGTAATAAATTATGTTATTCTTGCTTTTATTATCGTTAAATAAGAGGGAATAACAAATTGCATAAAAAACAACAACAACAAAACAAAGGGGAAAGCTGGTAATTTCCATGTTTTATTTGTTCATTTCTTACAGAAAGTTCTAACAAATTCTTTGTTTCAAATTATTTCTTTTGACGTCTTAGCTTAACCATCATAATAATTTCGATATTTCGTGTTACTTGCTAATGCTCCGAGTAGTAAAAGTCACATTACGTAGAAATCACAGATTTCTCACAATAGAACTTTTCTTTAATCGTTATTAAGGAAAATGCCATGAACGACAAATACAAATCTTTGTCAGTGACACGCATTGTTCTAATTAATCAATCAGGGTCAAATTAAACTAACAATTTTTTTCTTTCTATCAGTTTCCTGTAAAAATATGATGTTTTAATTTTAAATTATCAAGTGTGTCATTTTTGCTCTTTTCCACATACAAAATAATATAAACTAGCTAATCATTTTAATTATTAGCAATACACCAAGATAATAAATATTATGAAAAGGAAAATAAAATTAATGGGTTTTTAAATTTCTTAATCAATAGTTGAAATAGTACATCTACTATAAAAGCAAATAATAAATGTAGTTTTTAATTACATATTGGGATGACAACGTTACAATCATCTTAATATTACTTGATCTTATATTTGTTTCATTTCCCACTCTATACTAAATACTTATACTATAATATTAAGCTGTACCAGAATAAAAGAACTCTGAAATTTTGATCATACAATATCTGTTTTTTACTAATAACAATTAAGTGAATCTGCAAATTCTAATCATTGTTGGTAACACGATTTTCTTCCCTTAAAAAATTCTATTACACAACAACATCAGTACTTCATATCTTTTGAATGGAGAGAATTAATAGCTCTTCAATAATATCAAGAAGATCACCCGAAGCTGAAACTGAATTGATCAGTAATAGGGAGAGTTGTGATTTTAGTAATTTAGATATAATATCTGAATCAACTATCGATTCAACAAATACTAATTCTACAGATAGTAGTGCCATACCATCACTTGAAAATATAACCTCAGGTTCAGGAAAAAAAACTACGTGGACGAAAACTTTCCTTTTATCTTATAGTACATTAGGATCAATTTATGGTGATATTGGTACATCTCCACTTTATACCCTTTCTACTATTTTTGCTAAAAATAAATCACCTACAAAACAAGAAGTTACAGGTGTCCTATCTTTAATATTTTGGTGCTTCACATTATTGGTGATAGTTAAATATGCATTTATTGTCTTACGATTAGGTCCTAATAATGGTGAAGGTGGACAAGTTGCCATATATTGTAAAATTTCCAATATTTTACATACGGGCCCCATGGGGGTTAATTTTAAGGATGATGATGAAAACAACGAAAATTTACTTTCATTAAGTAGAACAGAAACAAGAGGAAGTTATGTCAGTACAGACTCGTTCTTCCAATCAAATAATTTTAGCCTGTTAAAAAATAAAAAATATAAGAAGCTTTTTGCTACTTTTACTTTAGGGTTATGTTTTCTTGGTGGTGCTTTAGTGATATCTGATGGGTTATTAACTCCAACAACATCCGTATTAAGTGCTATTGAAGGTATTGGCTTAGTGGTCCCCTCATTTGATAACAAGACCATGCCAGTGTCTGTTTGTATTTTAGTTGTATTATTTGCAGCACAACCTTTGGGGTCACAATATATTTCATTAGCCTTTTCACCAATCATGGTAACTTGGTTTGTCACTATATTCGTTATTGGTTGCATAAATATATCAAAACATCCAAGTGTCTTCAAAGCTTTAAACCCAGCAGAAGCAATATATTATCTACGAGACCGTCGTTCGATAGATGTCCTAGGGTCTGTCATGTTGTCACTAACTGGTTGTGAAGCGATGTTTGCCGATGTTGGTCATTTTTCTGCCTTATCAGTTACATTGGCATTATGTTTTGTGGTATACCCATCACTGATGTTAATGTATCTTGGGCAAGGTGCATACTTATATGATCATCCAGAGGCAATTTCAAGCGTATTTTTCTTATCTATTCCAGGTGGTAATTCAACGGGATTCTATTGGTTTGTCTTTATTTTTGCTACTCTAGCAACTATTATTGCCTCTCAGGCTTTGATCCTTGGTGTCTTTTCGATTATTAAACAAATGATTCAGATCGATTGTTTTCCTCATTTTAAAGTTTCTTACAAATCTGCAAAGAGTTCAGGGACTATTTTCTTACCTTCCATTAATTTTTTACTGATGATTTGTGTCGTCTTAACATGTGTTGGTTTTAGAAAATCTGCTAATGTTACAGCTGCCTATGGGTTAGGGGTTTCCATCGATTTTCTTTTGACTACTATTTTTATCTCCTTATGTATGTTAACATACTATAAGGTCCATTGGTTAGTGGTTTTATTTTTCTTCCTCACTTTTGGATCATTAGAAATGTGCTTAATCATATCAAACTGCGTAAAAGTACCACATGGTGCTTGGTTCACTATAATGGTAACTGCCATAATGTTTTCCTTTTTTGTATTTTGGAGATGGTGTCGTGTAATTAAAATAAAACAGGAACGTAGGGACCGTAAAAGATTACAGGACATATTATCAAAATCTGAGAATAATAACGATCGCTCATTTATGCTAGGAGATCGTATCAGACATATTGACACCAATGAGGTGTTTGTCAAACCATATCTTACAAAATTAAATCGTTACCCTGGTGTTGCCATCATGTATTCAGAACTTCCATCCTTGGTTAATTCAAATAGTACAGTTCCAGGATTATTTGGAGATATCTGTAGGAATTTTCCTGCTTTGCCTGAATGTTTCATTTTTGTTGCTGTAAGGACTGCAAAAGTGCCATTTATTCCTATTGAAGAGCGTGTCATAATTCAAAAAATTAATCATTTCGAAGGATTTTATAAATGCATTATTCGTATCGGATTTATGGACACTGTAACGATGGATACACATATGAAGGTTCAAATAATAAGCAAAATAAAATTACAAGGTATATCAAGTAGTGAGAAGAATAGCCCTATTAGATTCATTCAAATTTTTGGTAAGGAGACAATCAGATCTGGAAACCGTATAGATAAATTGAAACCAAAAAACATTTTCCCTTGGGTATGGCGTGAAATAAGAGGGTTTGTAATCGAATGGGTATTTTTCCCACTTAATGAACTTCAATCAAAGGCAGTTAACATTACATCAATGACAAATAAAAATAACGACGACATACTACACATAGGAAAAGAAGTTACCATATGAGGCAAAGCATTAATTTTAAAGTTATTGAAGAATATATTCCTAAAGTGGTCTACTACTTATCCTAGATCTTCTACAATGATGAGCTGTCTCTATTTCAAACAATAAAAATTTCATATTATCAAATTAAAAATGTTAATTACTCTTGACTTCGAAAAGTTTTTCTAAGATATATACCCTATCAATAATTGTGTAATAGAATGTACTGAATAAAAAACAACAACTTTCACTTTATATTTAATTGTAGAGAATCTGAGATAGAGTGTTTGCCTCTATTAGTCTCTTCAAACTTTACTTTATTTAATTCGGACATTTTTTAATACGATAATCGATCGGTCTCTTTATATTATATATAATTTATAGAACGAATAGAATCTAACTTCGAATGTAAGTTCAGAATTCTTTGTCTTTATATATATTTTTATTCCAATATCAATTGAGGTTCGAATTATGTTTTGTTTCATAATACGATTAATTTTGTTTCATAATGCCACATATTTTGTTTCATTTTTTACCATGCTTCGTAATACATTTGAGATATCTCAATTCCACATAATTTCTGTCAGTTTTAGATATCTTGGTTCCAGATATTCTCTGTCATAAAGATATTTCTTTACCTGTTGAAATCAAGTGTTGTGCATATTACTCTTAATTTCTGACAGAAATAATGTTCCCTTTATATACGTTGGTTTCGGTTGTGATTATCAGCTCATTAGACGGTGTTTTAATTACTATTGTTATGTCACTGAGGGGTTGATCTATTGTTAGATTCTTATATTATGTTTTCAACAGTTTTAAATAAGGCAGTTTTCAGAAATTAAAGCGCAAGTGGTTTAGTGGTAAAATCCAACGTTGCCATCGTTGGGCCCCCGGTTCGATTCCGGGCTTGCGCATCAAATTTTTTAAAATTGGCAGCCACATGATATTTGCCAATTTATTCTGTTCAGTGAAAATGATAATAGTCATTGTTCCCAAAACACAAATTGAATTCATGAGCTATAATTTCGTTTTCAATTCCAGTGTTTAACGATATCTTAATTTCTTGATTCGTTCGTTATTCATTGAAACACTATTTTTTGAGAAAATCTTAGCGGATATATAACATTTGAACGTTGTTTCATTGTTACTGTATATAACTAGGAACAAGGACTACGAGTATTTAATTTGTAATTTTAATTGATTTTCAGTATTTATATATATCAAAATGGATATTAACTAATAAAGACACTCTATAAAATAGTTCTATGTGGTAACTTACCACTCTTGGATGACACATTTTGTGATGCTCGCTCTTCTTCAGTATTTTTTGAATGCGTATTTTGAGAAACCGATTCCAGTTTTGGAGACCAAAGAAAATTATCAACCCCAAAATTCAAGTGTGGAGTTCGTAGTGGCATTGACTCAGAGTTCTCCTTCACAAGTAATTCTTGTTCCGATTCTTTATCATCAATAATTTTAAATGGATTATCTTCTTGTTTTCGTTTCGTGATGTACTTCCATCTCGTTACAACCATATCTAAAACATCCACATTTCTCTCATTGTCTAGATATTTATCTACTTTACCCATGTTATATAAGTATCTCACATATTCATCAATACCTAGACATTCCCTCGGGTTGTAAACCGTATATAGTGGGATTGATTGCAAAAGTTTACCAAATTTTATAGCTCCTCTATGGGCGTTAGTATAATGGACTTCCTGAATGAATCTCCTATATTTTAACCTTCTTGCAATAATTCTCACTTTATCAATCTTGCTTAATTCATTATTTAAATCAACCAAATTAACTTCTACATCATATGGATCATGGGGATTTACAGTCATATAATTATCAACTAGGTTTCTAATTGTAAGGCTCCCCTCCCAAATTTTGAATGAAAATGTGCCGTCAAAAGAATGCATCAATTTAGGCAAATACGAGAATTCAAGTTCCCCGACCCCATCAGTATCCAAGTTTGCCCAAGCATCAGAAAATTTCCTAATTTCACCTCTATTAATTACAGAATGGGAACTTCCTCGTCTGTAAACATAACTAAAATTAGTTATAATTAGAGAGATAAACATATTCAGGAAAATATACATGGATAAGATATTCCACGACATTAAAAGAATATAGGCATAAACTGTTGAACCACAATCTGTAGTAGATCTGACGGAGTCACTGAAACAGTATGGAGCAGCAATGGTCAGATCATCCATTATATAATTCCATCCTTCTCCAAAACTACATCTAAATAGAACGATAAATGCCTTAATAACAGTTCTAAAGTTTATATTACCAGTTGTATTAGCCCCGAGTCTCGTCATACCAAATATTTGATTCAAGGCCATACCATAAACTAAAAACAGGATACCCCATGTGTATGTCAATGAGAGAATTGGTGGTAAACTCGCCATTGCAGTTTCCAACAATTCACTTAGTGTATTGTTCTGTGGAATAACAAATAAAAATATCACCAAATGAAAAAAATCGTCAAAGTTATGAAACCAAACATAAGAATGTGGCAACTGTAGCCCAATAATTGACAAAATGAAAGAAATTGCAACGACACAAAACCTTACAACATTCCAAAATTGGGAAATGTAAAGTCCCAAACCTTCACCAATTACGTAAACAAGCTCTTGGAAAAGAAATACCGTCAAAGAAAACATAAAATAGGCGTCATTATATCTTGTCTCATTATAATATTTGTCAAAGTAAGAAATAGCCAACAACATTATAATATGAAGATAAAGAACCACTTGTAGAAAGGATGCGTAGTAGAAATATTTTTTCTCAACTGCCAAAAAGTAGCAAAATCTCCTAAAACGTGACATTTCTAATAAATTTGGAATCACCCTAGGGGTTGCCTGGGTTAGAAGTTTCTTTGATTCTAGCCATGATTTTTCTTCAATTGTGTAATATGCACTACCGTTAGTTTTAGCATGATTATTAATGATGAAGGATACAAAAAGATTCAATATGAAAACCATACTCAAAAAATTGAATAAAACCAAAAATACAGCGTTATTTGAATTACCCAGTAAAGATGGAATTGTCCCCACCCCTGTACTGTTCATTAAATTCTGTAGCAAATCCACCCAGCCTTCGAGAGAAATGATTTCATATAAGGAACGAAATGATGATGCAAATGAATCGAAATATAAGTATGGGTTACTATACACTCTTGGCATCATAACATCAAACTGAAAAACATTATTAGTATATTCGTTAAAACACATTTCCATACCATAATTTCCATCATTACATACCCCTAACCGACCATTAAAAACACCTAAACCCCACACAGTAAATGGAAATAACAGACTTAAACATATAAGAGCGGCACCTCCAATTCTTTTCATACCATCGAACATAATCAGGTTAAAAGTTTGTCTGGCAGTATTGCTAATAGTCAGACATCTCAGTGCCCTCAAAGCTGACAAACCCCTGAACAGTCTAGATAAATTACCATCATTTTTTAGAAACACAATAAAATAAATCCACATCGAAATCAAAACAACAAAATCAATTATATTCCAAGGATTACGAACATATGCATTGGGAGAGTAAACAAATCCATCAGCAATGGTCTTTACGATAAATTCAACTGTGAATACAGATACCAAAGATGAATCTAAAAATAGTGGCCAATCATATGTTTGGATGTTATGCTTCATTCTGTATAATGGTGTCACATAGCATGATGTAACTATTAGAAGGAGTGTCGCTAATGCATAAATTAATACAAAAATATCTCTTTCCCATCTACGAAAATAACGCCTCTTACTGTACAAATCTGTATCATCTTCATAAAAACGAATACCATCTGTTCGTTTACCAATACTTGGGGGTACAAGCCTCTGACAAAAACGACGAAACCTATGTCTAGGTGGAAAAATAAAATAGGAGTAGTTAAACAAAGGATTTTTTCTTAGAAAGCTAAACTTTTCATCTTCGTACTCATTCAGCTGTAGAACGTAACTCTTATTACTTCTCTCATTTGTTTCTGTAAATAGAACCTCAGGATGTTTATAAAATGGATTATTGGCATATATTGTAACATTGATTTTAGAAGCTAATCTATCAGCAAGCCTATAGGCCCAATTTGTTATCCTATACTCATTTCTTTGGCTTTTGTCTTTAAATTCCTTTGCTAAATCTTCCATATTATGAGCAATATTCATAATTGCAGTTCCTCTAATTAAGAATTGCTTGAAATCTCTTGAGTCGTCCTTAAAACTCTTTTTGAAAAACTTCCTCCTGAACCTTTGTAGAAAACTTGCATGAGTATATTCTTGGATCTTTTGAGGGTAAACATATTGTAAATAATGTTTTATTTGAAGAGGTCTCTTTTCATTTTCATCAACGTCCATACTTTCAGAAATTAAGGCAATGAAAATATTCAATATCACAGAATTGGAAAGAATAAACCATATAATTAATAAAACAGAGCAGAAGAAAGCAGTCGATATATTTGGAGCATATTGTTGAACTGCATAAAGAATTTCTGTCCAATTTTCGGTGGAACCAATAATAAACAGAGACAGGAATGAATTGGGTAAGGAATACATACCGAAGGCGTATTCCTCCATTTCTTCCATTGGAATGATTCCCTCCATATACACAGATGAGATAATAGCCACAAGAAAAGTAAAGAAAAAGTAAAAGGCAGACAAATTCCATATCATCAAACCGTTACTTAAGACTAATTTCCATAACTGCTTGGTAAATGGTATTGCAATAACAACTCGGTAAAATCTACTAATTTGGAAAACAGATAACCAATAGTAGGTATGCCCTATCTTATGCGAAACCCCTAAACTGCTTACAACTAAAGAGGCAACTGCAATGATACTGTCAAACAAAAAATCTCCACGAACCAGAAACTTCCAAAAATTTGGTGAATAAAGAATCAATCTTCCTACAGTCTCGATAAAAAGAACTATAGAAATAGCCCTATCAACTTTCAAAATCAAATCGATAAAATCAGAAGAACTATTAGAATTGACACATGATCGGAACACCAAATCAACCATGATTAAACTGAGAAATACTGGTTCAATTATACCATATACCCTAAGACACCGCATTGACCAGTCGGGTAGATCTGTCTGTGAAGCCTTTACTTGGAAAAACCTCCAATAACCGGCTGTGAAACGAACTGGCCAACTTTCATTAGAATGCTTTTCTAGTTTCTTTTTTTTAAACTTCTCATTAGCAATTTCGAAAGATGAGACTAAAACGGCAATTAATAAATTCATCATCCAAATAGTTAAGACGAAAATAGCTAAAACAAAGAATAAACAAGCAGCCATGTCATCTGAATCCATGAGATAGTACATTATATCTGTGAAAGTGTTTGCACTCATTACAACAAAAACTATTTCCATAGAATTAACAATATTATCAAAGCTGACTCTACCATTATATGGGTTGGCATTTGAAATACATCTAGAATTGACAGGACATAAGAATCCCTTACTAATCTGGGCCGATAGACCGTTGGAATATATATAGGGGGTTGGCTCATTTGTATTAGGGTCTAGATATCCACCACAAAATTGCATACTATATTGATACGTATCAGATGGGTCATCAGGGTTAAACCAAACACATTGTCTTCTTAACGACCCTTGAAATAATTGCACACCAAGAATACCAAAGAAGACCCAAAAATACACCAGCATAAAACCAACACTCACTAACTGCGGAATACCATATTTTAGAGCTCTCAAAATTGAGGATATACCAGTATCTGTATGAACTAGCCTCAATATCCTTATTACAGCTAATGGTTTAAACACTTTAATACCCATTCTTTCATCATAACTTCTGATGGAGAGAAATAAACCTATCCAGAAGCAACACGTCGATACCAGATCAACACGATTCCAGGATGAACGAGTATATGCCCTAGGTGTATCAAAATATATTTTTTTCTGCTTTTGACGTTTTTGTTTCGTAATTGAACTATTCAATTCTTGTCTTTTCAATCTTAATCTATCTTCATCAATAATTCGTTGTGGCATTATATAATCGATCAATTTGTACCCATATTTTTTACTTAACGTCCTGTAAAGTCTAAGGACACCAATCCTTTCAAGTATTGATCTATATTCTTTCCCATATACCTGAAACATTTGAGAATCATCCCAAAAACCAAATGCAATGATCTTGGTGACATCATTTACTGTAAAATAAATGTAAATAAAAAAGTTAATATAATCTGCCCAGTTCTTAAAACTGTAAAGAAATGAATATGTTCTGGGATGATATGTCCTAATGGCCAATAATACAGTAAATGCTGTTAAAATTACTAAATATGCAAAACGGTAATGATTACTCATATGGATAGATGCCAATTTAACCCTAATGAAGTTGGTCGGACTGATTAGGCATAAAGAATTACCGTATAATTTTAAGGGCTTCACAAATGGCTTCCCTGGTGGCTGGTCAAAATCAGGCAATTCGATAGAGTATGTAGAAATTGCTAAGCCATCCTCTTTATCTAAGCTCTTACTAGCAGTATCGGCTAATTCCTCGTGACTAACATGAAACTTAGAAGACTCACTAAATGATAATCTTCTTGGAGTAGTTGGCACTTTAGCTGGCGATTTCTTGAATATTCCAAGATATGTTGTACCTGGTGTTTCATTCGAAATATTTTCATTAGATGATGTCCTTCTTGGTGGTGTTAGGGGGGCTAATCGAGATCTAATTTCCTCTTCATCTTCATCTTCGTACCCACTCTGAGAGCCATTGCTGCTTTCATCGCCAGTATCATCTGTATTCAATTGAGGTAACCAACCAAAGGATTTGTCAGTATGTTTAAAATTAAAATCTTTCTGTAGATCTTGAAAGTCATCCATATCATCCGCAGCAACGAATGATAAAACTTTTGCTGACCGGGGTGCCCTACTTCCTCTGCTTACTGAACTAGAGGAGCGTCGTGTTCCTGCACTCTTGCTACGTAATCTAGTATCTCGTAAAGCTGCCGTAAAATTTGTTAAAGGTGAATGTCCTGATGTCGATGAGATGTTTTCATCCCTATTGTCATCACTTCCACTGAACGATGTGGTTCTTAAAAATAGTCTTGGTCGCCTTCTACCAGGCGAATTGTTCGGCTGTCCTCTTTTAAATAGATTTGCCATTCTTGATTCATTTTTCTTAATAGGTTCATCATGTGTCTCAGAAGATTCGGACCTATCATCAACGCTATCGAGGTCCTTTGGTGGAGGTACAATATTTAATGCAGGAGGGATAATAGTGGGAATATTATTACCTGTTTGCACATTATTATCAATGGTATGTAAATCATCTATTTCTTCGCCACTTGAGTGACTTGTTATGGGCTCAAATGGTCCTGTTAATTGTCTTTTAATATTCTTCATAAAATTTTGCAATCATAAAGTAACATATAGCAACTGCAAAAAACAGTGATTCTCTATATAAATCTTTCTGTAATAAAAAATACAAGTCTATCAAAGTATGTATCTAAATTGACAAATCAGAAATGTAGAATTATTTTATTTAGTTTGTATTAATTCTAAAACCTTTTGGAACGCATGTCGTTGATACTGGCAATATTTAAATATGCAATGAGCTCCTATGTCAAATTTTTGTTATATTGACATACTTTAAGGAAATTCGCGAAGCCATCTTTTTCACCAAAACTTGCACTAAAAAGAAAATACAACTTACAGTAAAAAATAGATTCGCTGCTATTTATTCCGCAACGATTTTATAATACATTATCTTCATCATAATCGATATTTGAGGTGTCTTCTGTTAACTTAATTGTAATTGGTGATTACATTATTTGAAATCGAACCATGTCAAATTATATATTCTGGCCGAATGAATTACTGCGAAAGGAATCAACACTCAACGATGAGGAACTGATTATTATAGCCATCAAACTCAAAGACACAGATTATGTAGTAATTGCTGTTGAACAAATATCTACCTTACGGGACGCCGTCGAACTAGGGTTTCCATACGTTATTTTAGGAAATAGAGACCCTCAAGGAAATTGGACTATTAATACTCCAAGCTTTAACATTGTAGAATTTGAAGTACCAAAATTTAAATTGATGCAATTTTATTCGATTGAGCCTATTTCTTTGCTATTATCAAAGAATACTGTGGTTGACAATCCCAATTTAAAAAAGATACCTAATATAGAAAAGTTAACATCTTATGAAAGATACAGGGCAATGAATTTTAAACTGAACAAAACTATAGATATCATTAACACATACAACTCGACTTTGAATGCATTTCATAAATCATATCCGATGATTGGAAAGTCGAAGGAAAATAATGTATCGGGTATTACTTTATTACAGATATGGTACGTCTCAACAGTTTTTCATCGATTAGTTTGCAATGCTGCATTTTATGCAACGTTTGGTGCTTGTTACATTGCATACTATGGTTCTGTCTTCTTGAGAAATATGACACCTACTCTTTTAAGGTTGTCTGCCACTGCAAAACAGATTGATCTTAGATTTCAACAAATCTGTTATTTCCCAGTTCAATTCATGAAAATTTACCAAACAAAAGTGCACGATGAGACAATTTCTGAATATTCTACACCGAATCGTGAAAGTTCCACTAATAAAATAGAACTTTCTTGTAAATATTACCCAGATTATATCAGGTTTTATAATACTCTATGGCTAATAGTAAACGACATATCATTTGGGTTAATGTTTGGAGCCGTATTAAACGAAAATCATGACACAATTGTAAATACACTAAGTGATGTTATCATGACAACGCTATATGATAAAATGATTGAAGTGACGCACATATTGGCCAATAATCCATTTGGTATAAAACTTAATCATGAGTTGGCATCTTTCCTTTCTGAACTTTTTTACTGGATAATGGAATTTTCTTACAACTCCCTAATCAGGTTTGCTAGTGATAAAAGTAAATTAAGTATATTCTTAACAATTGTTACTAAGGTTTCATGTGTATTTGGTGCGTCTTTTGGTATATCGTTAATTGTTGATTTTTTTAGTTTGTTATCGTTTCACATATATCTGTTTTACCATATTAGTTGCAAATTGTACCATTGGCAATTAAACACTCTAATTAGTTTATTTTATCTATTTTGTGGTAAAAAGAGAAATGTTCTTAGAAAGAGAATAGATTATGATTATTTTGAAATTGATGAGCTATTATTAGGTACATTGTTATTTATCGTATTGTCTTTCTTGATGCCTACAGTGCTTTCATTTTACAGCTCTTACACACTCTTATGGGTAACAACCGTTTATATTTCGGTGTTTTTAACTTCTATTATTGGTCTAATAAATCATTTTCCATTGTTTGCAATCTTACTTAGAATAAAGGATGCTAAACGTCTACCAGGGGGAATCCTTTTATTACCAAAATATCACAAAAATGGGAGAGTCATATTGACATTACACAATAATCCTTTAAATGTTCCTGCAATGTTTAGTCCATTTTCACATTCGATGGGGAAGATTAAAGAATATTACTTTTCTACAATGACATTTAAAAATTTGTTAAGTGGTACATCCATTAAAGTACAAATTAATGAATTATACGATATTCTATATCTATCACTACCTGAAGAACCACAAAATGTGTCCCAGATACTGTCTAAGTTAAAGAAGGGTCTTCCTTGTTAAGTATATTGTAATATTATTAATAGTATATACAGGTTATATATTGACAAATGCAAATAATTTAAATGGAATATAGGGTCATTAACCGGTGCATGAATAAAGACAAATATCGGGATGACATGAAATAGGTAGATTAAACATTACCACTTAGTAAATTCTATTTCTTTTTCGATTTACCATTAGCTGCACCTTTCTTAGTCTTCTTAGGGGCACCCTTACCACGACGTTTCAACCCTTCTACCTTGGATAATCTGTATTGTTCTTCTTCATCTATGAATTCACTATCAGGGAACAATGTTTTCAAGTTTTTGAACTTCACAAAATCAGGATTACCGTAGTATGCAGCAACAGAGGGACCCTTCAGTCTTTTAGATAATACTTTACTACCAGTTCTCATACCTGAAGGATTAAAATTTTGATCGAATATCTTCGCCGATATCTCTGCAAGTTTTAATAGTCTCTCTTTAGGAATACTCATTTCTATGCAATGGTTGTAATCTAGAAGTATATAGCAATCCTATCTAATTCCCGAGTCGTGGGTTTTGTAATGTATATATAATAATGAACAAATGCAATATGGCCTATAAGTTCACTTTCCACTTTATTTTGCTGTTCTTCCCTCTTTTCGAAGTAACAAATTTCCTTTCATATGTGTTTTATTAAGTTATTTGTCGAATAATAAGTTCGCCTTAAATTTTAATGCGCTGTAAAAGCTCCGACTTTCAAATATTATGAATATCTATATAATGAATTAATATCTATATGGAATAAGTCTTCATCGATCAACAGAGCGTATTATATATATATAACTAGGAATATAATGTTCCATTACAAAGGCAACTAAATTAATTTTTACAACAAAACCAGATATTGGTACTACGTAAGAAAACTCGAGATAATACAATTATATACTGAACCTCTGTAATTATATACATTTAACCTTGACACACTTGCATAAAATGTGGAATTTTTATTTATTTAAGATTGATTATAAACTAATATACTAATGTAAGTTAAAATAAATTATATTAAATTATACATTGATGAATTACCATTCAACAGCATCAGTGTTTTCATCGGCCCATTCAGAAGCACCGGTAGCTTCTTCAGTGACTTCTTCCTTTGGTTCATCACCTTCGGCAACAGCTTCAGCTAAAGCTTCTTCAGTGTTTTGTAGTTCAACTTCTTCTGGGTTTCTGAAGAAGTATAAATCTGGCATGATAGACCATGGTTGAGTTCTGTCGACTAGAGCACCTCTTAGTCTTAGAACTTCTCTGGCCAATAGGTACCAGATTAAACCAATGGAGTGCTTACCTCTGTTGTTACATGGGATAGCAACATCAACGTATTCAGATGGGGAGTCCAAGTCAGTTAGAGCAATAACTGGGATGTTGACGTAAGAAGCTTCCTTGATAGCTTGAGAGTCAGATCTTGGGTCAGTAACAATAACTAGTCTTGGTTCCTTGAAAGAACGGGTGATGTAGTTAGTGAAAGAACCTGGGGTGAATCTACCAGCGATTGGAGTAGCACCAGTGTGGGCAGCGTACTTTAGGACAGCTCTTTGACCGTAAGTTCTAGAAGAGATAGCAACAACATCTTCTGGGTTTGGAATGGCGGCGATGATTCTAGCGGCTAGAACAATCTTTTCCCAAGTCTTACCGACGTTGATGACGTGGACACCATCTGGTCTAGCTTCGAAAACGTATGGTTCTTGGTGAACCTAATAAAAAAAAAGTGGAAATCAAACATTTAAATTGTTCAATATCATAATTGTTAGTAAAAAAAAAACTTATTTAAAACAAATGAAAAAGTTCACATGGATGGACAAATAATACACATGTCAAAATGTACGTGAAATCAGGTAATAATAAAAAATTGATAGAATGGTGATAATGTTGTCCTAAATCTTTTAATCTATGTGCTTGTATCTTATATTGGTAACTGTACTACTGGGGCTATACTATTTCTTTTCATATTTCAACATAAACTAATTCGAATAGTGTGAAATGATCAATATACATTCAATTAAACGATTTTGTAATCGCTACCAACACATGTCTTATAAATATCGTACTTTCATATTTGAATAATACATTTTTGTTCCATTATAATAAATTTTTCAAACTAAATCTCATAAATTGTAAAATTATTACATTTTTCTATCATCATCATCAATCTATCGCACACATAAAAACATATTCTCTCATATCATCATAGTCAGTTTAATATATCAAAGGGTTCCACATTATATAATATAAATTTTATTTGCAATCCAATTTCATGTACATTAACATTTCTCATAACAATTTGCCATTCAATGAACTTTCATAATTTAATACAATGAAGTAAAAATAATCTGGGTATATCACTTATGTATTTATTTTAAAACATACTTGAACGTTTCTAGCACCTAGGTGTGCGTTAGCAGCCAACAATAGTTGGGCATCTTCTGGGGTTAAGTCAAAAGTAGCTGGTAGTGACATTTTGCTCAATTTATTTATGCTATTATTTCCGGTATTATAAAAATTTCCAAGATAATACAAATATTAAAACTTGTTATATAACCAAGATATATTACTAATTATTCATTATTTTTTAATTTTAATTTTTTGGATAAATTATCGTTAACTTCTCAGCTCTTAATTACTAGGATTGACTACTAAGGGCAGTGACAGTGTATAATAGTAAGAAAATATTGTAAGGAAGTGAGGATGCGTCCATCAATGAGAAGAACAGAGCTGTATTACAATCTACAAATTGATTGATTGAACAATATTAATTTTGGTGGTAGTAAAAGCAAGATGCACATAATAGAATGCGAGAGTAAGGTTTCATCTGAATTATTTTTTTGCTAGATGGTACAAACAATTGTTTGGTAGCAAATATTATTGATTGGGGTGGTGAGCAAGGGAGTAAGAGTAGGTAATGAAACAAGGTTCTACATACAAAATAGAAAGGCTTGGGCTCAGTGTAGAGATCAGATATTACAGGGCACATTACCATAGGTAAACTATGATTTAGGCAGAGGATATTGACGTTAGCTCTCTCTCTGCTGGCGGAGGAAATATAAAATTAGGAAGAGATAAGTCCGCTCACAACTGCCCAGTTTGATTAATTCTGTACTATCTTAGTGAACTGACTTTAAACAGGTCATACGCCGCGAATATTTGAAAAACAAAAAATTCAAAAATAAGGAAAATTCAATTTTTACAAAATGCACGGATGTTATAATGTGTGGGTGTAAAAACAGTCAAAACAAAAAATGCATCGAAAAAAAGAGTATATTCCATCCCGAACTACAATCGGGTAGATATTATAGCAACAACAACAACAACGTATGAACCACATTGCTATTCAACAATGATGTATAAATAGATTACAAAATAAAGACAATTTTTTATTTTCTTGGCGATCGTTGTATGGTCTCCCTTGCCACCCAGGTCTAGGAATGAATACAACTATGTCATATTATGAAATACTTATGTATTAAAAGATATATAGAGACATAACCTTTTATTCAACACTCGACTATCGGCCTCTTCATCGATTGAACAGGAATCGAAGACTAAGTGTAATTCGGCTTTGTAATATTTATAGATACTACCAACAGCACATGTCTTCTAAAAATGGATCATCGCTCTTTGTTTATTCTGGGTTTCTGTCAAGAATAGCCGAATCACGTTCGGACAGCTCTCCCGAAATTACTGTTCCTTGTGGCTCTCTAATGTATGGTATCCGGATACAAAACCTGAGTATCGCTTCCCGAAATCGCCACTATAGCTATCTTTTTTTAAACTGTGCCTACATTATTAGTTACATATTGGTTTATCTCGAAAGAACCCAAAAAAATTCAAAAGAAAAGAACGACCCCAGTGTTGGAACAGACAATATCCGCAGAAGAGAAAGAAAAACAAGGCGCGGCAGACCCTCAAAGACAGATACAAAACAAACACGACTTGTGTGTGAAGTAGTAGTAGTAGTAGTCCCTCTCTGGGTACACTTTATTGGATGCCGAGAGAGCTCGGTATTTTCATGAAGATAATGGGAAAATTTGCTTGGCTTACTCAATATTCCGTACAAACTTCGTTTTTTTTTGTAGTCATCGACACATTTCAAGATTTGCTCCACAAATATTTCTACACTGTAATTATGTAGCACATTGAACTAACTATTCATTGATGCTTTAATTAAATTCTGTCTATTTTAGAAAATTTCTTTTTTTTTATCTCCCTTTGCCGAATCGCCTTCGGAAATGATCTACCTAGTAACAACATCAACAACCTTTGATTAAAAAAATTAAATATACACATATTTTCTTTCTGATTTCTTCGATGCAGCTAATGCATTTCTTGTTAATAGCTTGTAAAGGATGGCAATGACTCTCACACTTCTTATAGATAGAGGAAGGACAAACTTTTGCAACTCCTGTATTTATTCTAAGAACGAGGCAATGCACGTCTAGGGGTAAGCCTTTCTTGTTTAAAACTTTTTTTGATCTCCGTAACAACCTCATTAATATAAATAAGATTACTTAATTCTTTAAACTTCATTGTTTTATTTTCCCTTTTATTTATATTCATTAATTTATTAAATAAATAAACAAACAAACAAACAAACAAAACAAAGATATATTTTAATACATCCTATTTTCCCAGTTAACTAATATTCAAATATTACAAATACATTAGAATAAAATAATTTATAATAAAAATGACTAGTGACGATTATGATGACTTCCAATTGTTTAGATACACACCTAATCAAGGTGCCGCAAGATTTTTTGCTGTTATGTTCTGTATAATATGTGTCATTGTCGTACCGGTATTCGTATCATATGGTTGTAAAAGTATGAAGAAAGTATCGAGTTTCCTGGATGCTAACACATCCGTCTCATATTCTATTAAATATTATAACAGAACTCAATTGATCGGTGCATATGTGCCTTTGTTTTTCGGTATTGGTTCTGAAATTGCAGGTTATATCTGTAGAAGTATCTCTACATTGCATCAAGAAGACGTCTCTCCATATATCGGTCAATCCATTTGCCTATTGATTGCTCCTACCTTCTACACTGCTACAATCTATATGCTATTCGGTAGAATGGCTCATTTATTACAAGCAGAAAAATTAATGATTATGCCTGCTAAATATAATACAACTTTCTTTGTTGTAGGTGATGTGTTCAGTTTATGTTTACAAGCTGCCGGTGGTGGTTTGATGGCTAACGAATCCTCTGCCACTTCTGGTTCAAACATCGTTACAGCAGGTCTTTTCGTCCAAATTGCATGGTTTGGTTTATTCATGATAAACGAAGTCTATTTCTTATTCAAGTTAAAGAAAATGGACAATCCAATTGCCTCAGGAACAAAGACATGGAGAAATTTGAATATCATCCTATTGATAAACTGTATTCTGATTTTGTTGAGATCTATTGTGAGAGCCATTGAGTTTATCCAAGGTTACAAAGGTGAGATCATATCACATGAATGGTTCCTATATGTCTTTGATGCCGTCCCAATGTTTTTATTGCCTGTCATCTTTGTTACATTTATTAGAATTTCTAGTATATATAGAGTTCAAGAAGAATCTGTTGAAATTCAAACATCTTACAATTTTGAACCAAAGACTTTAGATATTGATCATGTTAGCACAACAATTACAAGAAGTAGTTCTGACATGAACCAGGTGACTAATTTCGAGGTTGAAAATAAGGTATAATCAGAACATTTAAATTTATATATAGACATTAATATTTAAGTATTCAAACACATTAAAAATTCATATAGAGCTGGATATTTTTTCAATAATTTCATCTACCTTAGACCAAATAGGTTCCATTTCAACCACTAGGCTCTTTGGATAACTAATGCTACAAGTCAAACCACCGATCGCAGTTGTGATAATACTGCAGGTGAATATATTTGAAAACCCTTGAGGCTGATTGAAAAATGCATCCGTCACATAATAATTTTTATCCTCTTCAATGGAATTACTTCCGAAGGTGACGTAACCTAAATTAGTGACTTCAAAAGCCGCACCTGGACCAATACCATATGCATTTTCGACTTTTTGTCTCACATAACTCTTAACATTCGCAACATCTAATAATTTTGCAGTATTAATTTGATCAGATATTTGATTTTGTCTGTTATCAAGTATGTATTCGTTAATCTTGGTAGCAAAACTCCAAAAAGTTTCATTCGAAACAGTGTCAAGAGTAGATGGATACTCCATACCAATAATAAAATCACCCAATTGTAAAGATGATTCATCAACGTTCAGGTACTCTTTACAAATAGGTCTCGTATTCATTGGAATATTGATTGAAAATGATTTCCCATTTCTTAAGACATCTGATGAAACATTGTTCAAACCAAATGAAAACAACGCGCCCAAGAAAGAAGTCAATGAAACTTTCTCTTCTTTACATTTAGATAAAATCGTTTTCAATTGTTCTGGAGAGAATCTTAGTATTCTTTGCAGATTGTCATTTTTTACAGTAAATGTATCTTCTTCATCAGCTGGGACTTTAACAAAATCGTCAGGGAAATTATAATTTTCAAACTGTAACAGATTCTTATCAGTACCTGTAACCACTCCAGGAGAAACCTTGAGTAATAATTTTACTAGCTGTCTTTTTATTTTCCATGCTAATGGCACTGGCCACAAATCATAAGCATGGGGTGGTATATTTACATCTTTTCGCGAGGTATAGAGCAAACCGTTATCTCTCTTTTTGGAGTCATCTACCTTACGATTCAAATTCTCCAGAAATGTTGTAGCGAAAATAGTCGATGACATGCCGTCAAAGAATATGTGACTTAATGCAAATATTAGCTGATTAGATTTCTCTAACACAATAATTTTCCACAATGGTCTACCATTATCAAATGCAAAGTTATACTTTTTGAAGATTGTATTCATCTTCTCTGTATCAAGGGAATCCCATTCACAATATTCAACAACATCATCAAAATAAATTGGTGAATCAGAGAGTTCTTTGATATTCGGTGTCACATTAACAGCATCTAATGTAACTGTACAATGTGCTTGTGGATATTTTTTAATTGTTTCTTGTAATGCATATTCAAATATAGTCCTTGGTGGAATCTTGTTCAATGTAGTTGCAAGGTAAAAACATGAATGCAACTGTAATTTACATCTATAATAGAAATATTGTTCTAATGAGGAAAGCTCGCGTAACGTCATCGACGAATCTGTAATATATAAACCTCTATTGCAACAAATCTATGCACTACAATTAAACGATGGTCAAACGATTAAAGAATCATGTGGTATAATTAAAATTGATCAATATGTCTACTTCTTAAACAAAATGAATTGCTCATTTTTTTCCAACTAGTTCTATTGCTTATGTCAAGTACCCCTCTTACGCGGCGAGAATTAGAAATTTCCTATTACATCAGTGGTGACAACAAGTTAGACGCACTTACCAGCTATATATATGAATATGGAATATTTTCTATACATATCTGATTTCCCCTATTCTCATAAAAATTTTATACCAATGAAAAAATTCCAGTTTTACAAATACAAACTGGTAGATCTGAGATTACTATATCAATTGATTTAAAAAACGAATATCGATTGTATATAATGCTCAATGTTCCATGCGTTTTTAATTCTATTGGATCGTTATTGTATTAGTAAATATTTAGTTATATATCATTGTTTGTTCATATTCTTACATACAAGGAAATGACGTAAAGAACGATACGAAATTAGTAAACAAATTCACCTAGATATTCATTTGCTACAAATCTTGCTCTTGCGTTTAAGAATAACTTCATTTCACTAATTTCCTTGTCTACTTCTTCCATGAATTCAATGATGAAATCAACTAATTTACCTGTCTTCATGGATTCTGTATGTTTATTTGTAATTAAAAATGAAATGCTGTAGCCTTTAATTGGCACACGTCTTAAGATATGGAATGCCTCTGCTCTTTGTTCTAAAAATATAGTGAACTTATGCACCAATATTTGTTCAATTTCATCGGCTTGCTTCACCATCAAACTTATACGTACTGAATTAACACTTGGCTCAATCAATACTTGTTCAGTCTCACTACGAGCAATATGCATTGGTTGCAGTAACAATTCTGCACTGGTGTTAGGCACTTCAATCTCTGGTCTATTATGTCTTTCAACCTCTTGGGAGGAGAAATTGGTTAATGTTAGAGCAGCCTCCAAGGAATAACGTACTGCTGTCAAGTATGGACGTAATGATTGTGACATTGTTGATTGCTATTGTTGTGTTTTCTTTCGTTAGAAAAGGTTAATAAACAGATAATACGTCCGTGAAGTGACTTCCTAGTAATATCTATCAAATTGTGTTGTTATTATCACTCCTTAGCTCAAGTCAATCCAGTGAGTACCTGATCTTATAGAATTAATGTGTGAATTGCCCCTTTTGTTCTCTCGGCCTTTAAAAGAACTGGAACTTTCATGAAAGTATGGCAATTTTAAATTGAAAAAAAATAAATATGGCGAGGGTAACCTTCATTCTATATTATTGAATCGCATTTAGCAATGGAAGCGTTTACCATCAAACACTATAATAAAGCATGTTCTTACTCCATGTTGTGTAATAGTAGAGAACATGGGAGTGTAATACACTACCCATACGGTAATTTACTCCTATCATGGGCGTATTCATTTCTTTCTATGCATTTAATAAATACTTACATAAAATAGTATTATATAAGTATATTATAAAACTGTATTTTAATCATTCATCACCAAACAATGACGTTATAGCTAAGAATCCCAATAAAGCAAATTTAGCATACTTATTTTCAGCTACCCAAATGGTTACGTAACCCAAATGAGGGAAATAGCCTTTCACTGTACCAACGATATCTTTATTCTTTGCCAAATATGTCTTCTTTCCTGCATACAAAGGAATATCATTACCTGCATTGTTATCACCTTTAGTCAATAGCAATTGTTTACCGTTATTCTTTGTACTATGATGTTCTCTTAATACTCTATGAACAATTGGGATTTGTTTGTCTTCAACTTCATACACGACAATATCACCAACTTTAGAATATTTGTTTCTGTTCCACAGGAATAAAATATCACCTCTTTGGAAAGCTGGTTCCATTGAACCTGACAATACCACAACGATTGGGGAATGTGTGTCTGCAATGAGTGAGTATGTCTGCCAAAACATATATGCTGACGAGAACACAAAACATAGGTTCAAAAACTTGGCTAACTCGGCCCTGATATTCATGGTTGGATGGTGAATGTGATGATTGCTTTCTATATCACTTGACAAGTAGTGCTAGTTCTATTGCTTGTAAAGTAGGAATATTTTTAACTCGTTGGCCTTTTTTTTTACATTTATCCATTCCTTCCTCTCGATATTTTGCTTATTTTTTTTATTAATGTTTTGGCGCGAAAAGTTGAAAGGATCACGTGCCTGATGCGGTCATATTCTATTCTGCTATATAGTAAATAAGGATTAGTTTTTGATGATCTTCTGTTGTAATTGATTCATTAACAAACCTTGCCATTGTTCGTAATTTCTATGTATATATTCATCCAATTGAGAATGTAGTGGCGATTTCATCAACAATTGATTCAATTCATTGTATGTCTTGTACCATTGCGACCAAGCGAGTGCATGTAATAACGAATCTGCCAAATCATCATCCTTTCTGGCCCCATTCATAGGTTCTTGCAATTGTAGCGCATCGAACAACCTAGGCATTCTCCCACGGCGGCTTCCTTTACTTTCACCGGACGGTGTCTGGTACTCTTGAATCTGTTTGTCAATCGGATCCGAAAGTGTCAACAATCCCGGGTTGCCTTGAAACACCATAGCTTTGACCAAATCCATCCGTGCCCGTTTGGAATTGAACTTTGCCCCCTCTTGCTCTTGCTTCAGTAGTTCCTGCGGTATCCAGAACTTTGTCATCCTCGCCGGGTCCGAGGACTCGATCGCACCATGGCCACCCAGCTTGTCATACAGCAGATGCTCCACGATATTCAGCTTCAAGATGGGGTCCGACACGACCCGGGACGACACAGTCCTCGCCCTCTGTTTCTCGATGGTGAACAACGTCGTGCCCTCAATACCTGGGTCTCGCAAGAGTTGCGCCACAAGGGCGCCCGTGACCATCGAGGTGAGCTGTGGGGACAATGTCAGGGACTGGCCCACGCCAAGAAACTGGCTCTCGAGGTTCCATTTCTTCCAGTAGTTCAAGCGGGGCAAGCTGCCGGGACCTGCCGCTATAGTCATTGACGCCACGGCGCAGTTGACGACCCCTGTATCCACCGACGTGATGGTGATCTCATTGGCATGGTTGGTTGGGACAGTCTGGGATAGGGCGTGGAAGAGAGTGAAACGTTCTTGAATGTTCTTGATCCTCAGTGCCTTCTTTGTGTCCTGTTTGGCCCCAATCAGAAACGCCAGTCTTTGCAAAGTGTTTGACTTCAATTCTTTGCATAATACAGGCAAATTCATCTTTCCGATTTGGTTCTATGGTAGCCCATCAGTATTACAATTGCAGACAGTGTATATGAAATGAAAAATATAAGTGTATATACTTAAATAGGACGAAGCGATGTCATACGAAGCGATGACACAGCAAGCAAAAAAAAAGTAATAAAATAAATTAATTTATTATTATGAAAGTGTTAATTAGTATTAGTATTATTATTAGAGAATAGTAGTATTTTGTATAGAGTAAAAATTAGGAAAAGAGAAAGAATGCAGAATAAAATAAAGTAAAAGTTGAGTTGATTCAAAAGATATTAATCATTCTTCCTTTTCAGCAGCAACCACAGTAGCATAATCCAACCATTGCAATAATTGCCAAACGGACCAAGCCAAGAAAGCACCTAATAGAGGTCCAATCCAGTAGATCCAGTGATAACCTGGGAAGTATCTAGCGGCGACAGCAGCACCCAAGGATCTAGCTGGGTTCACACCAGTACCAGTATAAGCAGTTAGAGCCAAATGGCCAATGAATAACGAGACACCAATTGGCAAAGCAGCCAAGAAGTTAGTTTCTCTCTTTTCCACGGCAGTCATCAATACTGTTAAACATAGGATAGCAGTACCGAACATTTCCAAGAATAGACCTCTAGTTCTTGAACAACCCAGACCTAAAGTGTTATCGAATTTCACTTCACCTGGAGTCATACCACTTGCGGCACCACCTGCAGCTAGACATGCGACGATTTCAGCAAGCCACATGACAACACAACGAGTTGGAGTGATAGCTCTAGCTAAAGCTAAGGACAAAGTGACGGCAGGGTTTAAAGCGGCACCTGAGACACCAGCAAAACATCAAACAGAGAACATAACGGAGAAACCGAAGCCCAAGGCGATCATAATTAATTGACCAGGATGAGATTGGTATTTATTTTGATTTTCTGGGTAATTTAATGAGACGTCGTGATTTGCAATGTTAGCAATAACGTAAGCACACCAAAGAAACATAAAAGTACCACAAAATTCACCATAGGCAGCGATAAAATGAGTTCTCCAAGAATCTCTTCCGATATCGAATCTTGAGGCTACGGTACCTTTATTTGATACGTTGACCTGTTGATCTTCATCCATATTTTGACGTTTTGGGAAAGCGTCATCCATAGCAGGGTCATAAGGTCTACCTTCTTGTGATACTGGTGGCGACATACCATTTGTTGTAATATTATTACCAGAAGGTAATTGATTTTCTAAATCGTTAGTCTTACTTGAAGTAGAAGACATATTAGTATTATTATTATCTTGATTGATTGATTGATTATATATATATATATATATAATAAAAAGAATAAGAATAAGAAATAGGAATAGAATGAAATAAAAAAAGCATTACAAAATCAAGAAAAGAAATGCAACTATTGCAATAGCGACTCTTATATATATTCTGTTGAGAATGACATCTATTAATTATCACATAGAAAATAGAAATTCAACGAAACAGGGATAGAATAGGCATCGCAAAAGGAGACATTCTTTCTTTGTAAATTAATTGTCAATAGAGAGGGAGAGAGGGACACAAATAAATAAGCAAAAATAACGAAGGGGATAGCCAGGGAATACTAAATAGACCCAAAACAGGTAAAAACAGGTAAAAAATAGAGAGAGCCAGAGAATATTGAACCCGTCACCATTGTACAGCCAATGGTAATAGTTACTACACTTTCTCTCAGTCAAGAGGCTAAGATGGCCGTTCTTACCACAATAAGACAATGAGTAGTTCGTAATTACAATGACAAATCGCAATAAGATCTCCATGGGGGACAGTGATGGCGATGGTTACCATGTTGCTCATGTTGCCCATGTTGCCCTTCCAGCCAGTGTGGCCAGTAGTGATTATGGCAGGAACAATTGTGAGCACAGCAAGGAAACGGGATGAAAATACGGGATAATACATTGCAGACAGACAGACACAACGCAACGCAACGCAACGTACCACGACATGGCACGCACAGAAATACAGCGAACGAAGGGAACAGGAAATACTTCTCCTCTTCCGTCTCCTCTCTGCCGTGTCCCGTGTCTGTCTCTTCCCCCTCTCTTTTCTGGTTCTTTCCTTCTCGGCCCAAAGCAGCGCAACGCATTTTTGTGCGAGAAGCTCTGTTCTGTTTCTGTATTAGGAACACAGCTGTCTAAGAGGGGAAAAAGAAACGACAGGGAGACTGGTGATACTGGTGCCGGGATAGCAGAGAGGAGAACTCCCACTAGTATACCTAACGCACACTTGAAAGACAGGACAAGAATTCCAGAAACTGAATTCTCCTCTCTGCAAAAATAACATATTTCAATAATATTCCAGGAATATTTCATTCTATGCGTTTGCCTCTTCTGGTGTTGTGACTCTGGGATAGAGAGGTGATAGATAGAGAGCTTGTGCTAGCATTATTACTATTATTTACAGGAATTTATTGTATTACTATATTATTATACTATTGTTGTTATTATTATTGTGCCTATGTACAGTACAGTGAATGCGACAGTTCAAATAAATTGGCGGTCACTGATTGGGAAGGGCAAATATCATTTGTTGCATAATATTATGCAACATTTCAAAACATTAATTATTAAGTGCAATAATGTTGCAACATTATTGCAATCGTTTATTAAACAAAGGAAGAGGAAGAAAGGCTATTACGAAATTCGTTTATCTCATGCCGTTATTTAACCCTCACCAATATACACAGTTGTTGTTGTTGCTGTTTTTAAGGGTACTCGCCCACTGTACTATTATTAAAATAACATTAATACAGCGATGATATCATCATTACCACCATATTATATCATATTATAACCCCAAAAGATGTAATATTCTCCTCTTACAACCTTCAAAACTATTTAATTTTGGTCGTACATCTAAATAAACTCCTTCTTGTTTATTCATATAGAAATCAATAACATAATCAATTTTAACATTACTACTATTACTACTATTTTTATGATTAATCTGCCAATCGTGTCTGTCAAATGGAAGATCCATTCCAAAAATATAATGTCTTATCCAGGCTCTTGGTGTAATCTTATGCGAATCTCCTTTAAACGATGTTAACGATAACGCATTGACATCATCACTATCTTGACTATTATTACTCGAAACGTTTTCCCATTGCTTAATATAATTCCAAACTCTTTCATTAATATTATTATGAATGGGTATTACCGTCTTCATATCCATCTTATCAGCATTTAAATCTTTACGGGCCATGGCATCATAAAATTGTTGCTCAGATGGATATATCCATTTTTGACCATTTTGTCCAGTACGTGGTATACCTGAAATTTCTCTCTCCATTGAAAGCTTATCCTCATTGAGCGATTTATTAACTTTCATATTTTGTTCTAACCATTTTAATCTGGTTTCTTCATCTACTGGACATTCGGAAATATCTCCTTCAATATTACCGTCGTTATTATTGTTATGGCTCATTTTATGCTTTTTTATTTTGTTATACCCACACACTGAACTATTTTGAGGGGCTAAAGCTTGAAATTGAATAGTTGATAGGGTTGGATCTTGTAAGGCTACTTCCCTAGTCGCTCTCTCTCTTTCTCTCTCTCTCTATATATATATTGCAACGTCTATCTTCCCCTTTGCTTTCTCCATTGCATTGCAGGTTGATGTCAATGCTGCATCATCGATATCCCTTCCTTCTCACACCCACACATTTTTCCACTTGGATTATTACCCTATATTAGGGTTTGTTGGGCAACTCTTCCCCCTCTCGTCCGTGCACAGTGATGACAACGTGGATTCTCCGATATATCGGCATTGCAAATACAGAAACAGACAGATACTGCTTCTTTGCCTCTTTTCACGCTGCGATGTGCGATGTGCGAAATACGTAAAGTTAAGGGGTGTGTGGCAGAGGGATATCTTATTAGAAATATTCGTTCTTGATTGGCTCGCTTGGTATGATGAGAGTACTACAATTAGTACAAATGATGAACAGCAATGGGAAAAGGTGACTATAATTATTTTAACTCCGCTAGAGTTATTATCCAATTATACCTCTTGGTTTATATCGTGATATTCCTTACCCATACACTTAATATATATTTTATTATTTTGATATTAGCTGTACTATATATATTGAAGACCGTATTATTACTTAGTTACTTTTGCATTGAATCATACTCTTGCATTTTCTTTTACTTCTTTGCATTTTTGAAGTATACTACTACCCATACATACACATACACACATACACACATATACACACAATGATCTTCTCCACTCTAGCTAAAAGAACTTTTACCTCCACTGCATTCAACCCTTATAAAGTAACGGTGCTTGGTGCTTGTGGTGGTATCGGTCAACCATTATCTCTATTGATGAAATTAAATGAAAAAGTTACAGATTTAAGATTATATGATATTAAGAACGCTAAAGGTGTCGCCACTGATATTTCCCATATTCCAACAAATTCAAAAGTTACTGGTTTTTCCGCAGAAGAAGCTGACGGTCTTAATAATGCTTTAAAAGAATCTGACTTAGTCCTAATTCCAGCCGGTGTACCAAGAAAACCAGGGATGACTAGAGACGATCTGTTCAATATTAATGCTGGAATCGTTTACGATTTGGCTACTGCCGCTGCTAAAAACGCTCCAAACGCTGCTATCTTAGTCATTTCCAACCCTGTTAACTCCACTGTACCAATTGTCGCAGAAGTATTTAAAAAGAATGGTGTTTATAATTCAAAGAAATTATTCGGTGTTACTACTTTAGATAGTATTAGAGCCTCTAGATTCATCTCTGAAATTGTGAAGACTGATCCAACAAAGGAAACTATTAACGTTATTGGTGGTCATTCCGGTATTACTATCATTCCATTATTATCTCAAACTAAATATGGTTCCACTTTAACTAAAGAACAAAAGGAAGCTTTGATCCACAGAATTCAATTTGGTGGTGATGAAGTCGTTAAGGCTAAGAACGGTGGTGGTTCTGCTACTTTATCAATGGCTCAAGCTGGTGCAAAATTCGCTAATGCTGTCTTGTCTGGGTTTGCAGGTGAAAAGAACGTTATTCAACCTTCTTATGTAGACTCCCCACTATATAAGAAAGAGGGCATCGAATTCTTTGCCTCTCCGGTCACTTTAGGACCAAATGGTATTCAAGAGATTCATCCAATTGGTGAAATTAATGGTGAAGAAAGTGAATTATTGAAAGAATGTAAAGAAACTTTAAAGAAGAATATCGATAAAGGTATTAAGTTTGCTGATTCTAAGAAATAAATATAAGAATCTTTTATGACTTGTCTTACATTAAATACATACATATATATATCTACATCTACATAAATTATTATTATTCCGAAAATTACATACACTATACAAATATTCAACCTTTCGAACAAAAAAAACAATTTAAAAAAACAATTTAAAAAACAAAAACACATTACTATAACTTTACTCATCATACTTAAATCATCCCCAAGATAGTAATGGTTAAACTGGTTGGGAAACTGGTAGATGATCAGACAAGATGTATACATTGGAATTCACAACTTGATGTGATGGCAATTAAATTTAAATGTTGTCAAACGTTTTACCCATGTTTTGAATGTCATCAAGAAGTTGCAAACCATGATCCTATACGATATGATTTGAAGATTGAGAAAGATGCTACAACATCAACTATTCTCTGTGGGATATGCCATAATGAAATGACCTTTAATGAATACTCGAATGGTATCAAATGTACAAGTTGTTTGACAGATTTTAATCCAGGTTGTAAACTTCATTATGGTCTTTATTTTGAAAATGTCCCATCAAATTTAAAATTATGTTCTCTGTGATTTCAGTAATACATAGATATATATACTGCTATTTTAGAGACTTTCTAAAACAATATTCTTCCCTTCTTTTTTTTTTGATTTTTTGATTTTTAATTGTATATATTACATGAAAATTAATGATGACTAAGAAATTTATGTTTTTTTAATAGATATGTTATTCCTATCTTTTATTTTTGTTACCTTCTACCTTTACCAGATTTTAAACGGCCTTCGAATCCGGCTCTTTTCTTAGGTGTTATGACACCTTTAAATTTACGTTTCATCTTTTGTTGCTTGGATCTTTTAACACCTTTATTATCTTTTCTAATTTGTAAATTCTCTTCTCTTCTCTTTACTCTTTCAGCCTTGGTATCAACAACCATTTGTTTACGATCTCTCCATTCAATGGAAGACTTCCTCTTCTTGGCTTCCTTTCTCTTTAATGCTTTTCTTAACAATCTTTCATCGTCTTTAATTTTAACACCTTCAGTTTGAAGCAATGTCCTTTGCCATTTATCTTTTTCCTTTTGTTTGATTTGATCTAATTCATCTCTAGATTCAAGTTTAGCCTTTCTATCTTCCAAAATCTTTAAATGAGCTTTTAAATCTTTTTTAGCTGGACCTTTTTTCTTGCCACTACCATTTCTCCTTATCCTTTGTAAATCAGATGTAGCTCTATCACCATCATCAAACATAATGTTTTGGAAGATCACACCATCAGCATTTATGTCATCAGTTTTATCATTACCTTTAGATTTTTTAGAAAGATGATCATCTTCTTCATCACTAGAGTCAGAATCGCTATTGTCATCTTGTTCAGGTAATTGTCTTTTCTTTCTAGATTCTTCTCTGTTTTGTCTTTGTTTCAAAATGGCTTCTCTTGATGCAGGAGCTCCTTGAGCCTTTGAACCTGGAGCCTTACGTTTATTTCTCATATTTTGAATCTTGGATTGTAATTTGGCACGCAACGCATCTAAATTCTTTTGTTTCTTTTCCTTCATCTCTTCAGTGATCTTCTTCTGTTCAACAGTCTTAGCCTCTTTGATAGCAGCATGTTTCTCACCATCGGTCTCAAAATTTTGTTCTTTTACCTCTATCTCCTTATCGTTATCACTATCTTCAGAAGAAATTTGTTCTTCCTCAGCGGCATCATCGTCTCTGATTTCATTTCCTTCATCATCAAAGATCAGTTTAATACTTTCGTTTTCATGTAGAGATTGTTCACTATCGTCTTCACTTTCATCATCCTTAGTTGCCGCTTTACTCTCTTTACTTTTAACAGTAGCAGCTAGTCTTTGAGCCTCTTTCATTTCTTTCATCCTTTGACCAGGCAACACTACAGGCTTCGCATTTACTTCACGTTTCTTCATCACATCCAACGCTGTGGAAACTTCTTCACTCTGAGAGTTTGGATCTAACTTCTTAGCCTTATCATCACGGGCTTGGTCTTTACTCTTCTTCTTGGCTTTCCATTGGTCCTGTGTTTGTTCATCGTAATAATATTTAGCTGGAATCAATGCCAATAAGCCATCAAAGGCATTAGAATTCGCTCTCAATCTTTCTTCCACCGAATTACTCATTACTGTCCACCTTTCTTTCTGAACTCTAATTCATTCAGTTTCTCTTATGAAGCTAAGTTGTAATTATACCTTCTTAAAACTTCTTCTGTTCCCTTCATTCTGACTAGCTCATCGAAGCTCATCGCAAATCTTACTAGTTAATTCCCTCTCTAATACCATACAACATATTATTTTTTTGCAGAAATGAAAAATTTTCAATTAAACCGTGCGGGTAATACTCCTCCAGTGGAAAATTTTCTTACATTTTTTATTTTCCAAATTTGATTATTGCGATGCCCCCATCGAAAAACCTAATTTTTTTTTAAACTAACAATGCTGGAATAGGAACAATAATAATAACCAAATAGTCACTAGATGTCGATACTAATAAACGAATGGTTTCAGGATTATAAAGTTGATTAAAACGTAAATAAAAAATAAAGAGAATAAGAGAGATTGAGACCTATTATTTACTTGCGACTTAGGCTACTGTATGTAGATTGGTGATGAAGCAAAAGAACTTGAAATGTAAATAAAGAAAAGAATAATTGAAAGTAGAGTGATATCTCTAGAAAACTATAGAGATAAATTTTCTATAATAAAAGAAGAATATGTAGTCTACCTGAAGGTTAGATTATATATATTTAAGATGGAAGGAATTTAATCTTTTTTTGTAGTAGAATGTAGGTAATATGTTGAAAATCAAAAGAGGAAAAACATTTTAATTATAGATTAAACTGTGAGGTAGGGGAAAAATAAAGTATCATTCGACACTTTTTCCATTCTAAGATAAAATAATAATAATATATAAAGCAGGAATTTGAGGCAAATAACTACCATCAATAACCTAGAATACCTAAAATATGTTCTAGACCAGTTGTTTCAATTAAATAAAACTCTTTTAGAATAGCTAATTAAAATAAACTAAGAAATCCTACGTTCATTAGTTTGAACGTGTACATAATGCAATTTAAAGAATAATGTCAAGCTGGTTAGGTAAAAAAGTATGTAACGTTAAATAACGGTAACGTGTACCAGGATATATTCTACATCACTGACAGTGAATATATGACTCTCAAAGAGTATAGTAAGCAAATGTCTTTGAGTTTATTACCCCATCTCGAATTGGCTCGATATAGTAACGGTGCAAGGGCTCATAATCGATAACAAAAATACCCAAAGATTATTTTTCAACATATGAGGTCTGAAACCTAATATGTAACAAATGGAATTGATGTCAAGATAATCCAAGCTTAATTATATAAGGACACGAGCGCTATAACATAGTTTATATAGTACATTGCTATGGTTACCCTAAAGTCATATAATTTATAAAACAAAAAATTAAGGCAGTTGCAAATGATAAGTCTTATTTTGGGGATATAATTCATATTAGATATCCACAGTATAACGTTACCGGGCCGGTCGTATACACCCCTTTGAAGTTTGTCAATGATTTCGAGTGTATAAGTTTAGATACCTTGGAACTATAGTAGAACATATCAGTTATGTTTGAAGGTTTTCATCATGTTAATATATATAAAATCTACAATAGTTTCGTGAAAATATTGAGATATAACCCCAGGGGTCCATAGATAACCCCAACTGAGTTTCTGCCATTCGGAGTTCGTATTCCGCCAAGAGAACAAAGCAGGACCGGAAGCAAAACTGTCTGAAAATTACCGAATCAGGTAAATTTCTGTGTCAACCGGGAAAGTCTCACCGAGCCACGAAAGAGGGTGGAGAAAACACTTACGACCCATTTTTACTAGTTATGTATCGTGTGGAGAGTAGGGAAAAAACAGTGACATCGTATATATCGGTTTTGACTAATGCCGTTATCGATTCTAATGGTATTCTGTTTAATGTTCTGCATACATATATCTATATAATACTCCAGTCTACCTACACATATATCAATTACTCGATACTACGGCTTTCTATTTTTTATTTGATTTCCCATTCAGTCTTATTTCTGCCTTCATATGTTCGATGATTCCAAAACAGAATTAATATAGGTCGAAATAAGAAGTTATTTATCATAGAGATAGAAAAATGATTGAAGAGTCGCTTACTTAGACTTATTCTGTAAAACAAACAGACAGATTATCAAAGCATCTTTAGATTGAAAGTGAATAAGGAACAATGAGATTTAATTAGTTCCTCATTTCTTTAAATAGTAATGAGTTGAACTGAAATATACCGATGTTATATTGTATAATTGTTTCTAGCGCTATGTATTTATATACTTTAGCTAATCACTTACTTGTAGTAGCAATAGTAATAGTTTTTCTGCCAGCTTCCACAAATTGAAAATTCGGTTTCCTTTCCACAACGGGCACCGCAAAAACGAAAATAGAAAAACTGAAAACATAAAAAAATTTTCACTTTTCTTTGGCAGAGAAGACAGCACCACAATTATTACAGATATATAAGAAGCTACATCTTTTAGTTGATAACTATTTATCTGTTGCATTCTATTATTCACTTATGAACAAGGTTTTTTCTTTCTTGATATTATTTCTCTAGGAAACTACCTATTATATACAAACATATAACAATGTCTCAAGGTACTCTATACACCTCTACTACTCTAAGATGCCACCCAGTCAAGGCTTTGATTGAAAAATTCAACCTTGACATCGCTTGTGTCGAAAAGTCTACCGTCGCTGACTTCGAGACCAAGTTCCCTCTAGGTCAAATTCCAGCCTTCATTGGCCCAAAGGGTTTCAAGATCACTGAAGAAGTTGCCATCCTTTACTATGTTGCTGACTTGATCCAAGATGAAAAGGCCAAGGCCGCTCTAAAGGGTAAGACTGAAGCTGAAAAGACTCAAGTTCTAAGATGGGTCTCCGTTGGTAACACCAACCTATTCTCTGCCATATTTACCAACCTTCTTTCTATTCAGGGTGTTTTGCAATATAACAAGAAGGAAAATGACAACCGTTTTGCTGTAATTGAAAAGTACGCTAAGGTTTTCGATGACAGATTGAAGACTCACACTTATATTGCAACTGAAAAGATCTCCCTAGGTGACTTGCAATGTGCTGTCCCATGGACTGCTGCTTTCTCTACCATTCTAGATCCAGAAGCTAAAGCTCAACACCCATACCTGACCAGATGGTTAAAGACTGTTGTTGCCTCTGACTTTGGTAAGATCGTTTTCAAGGATTTCAAATTCGCTGAAAAGGCTTTAGCTTACGTTCCAGCTAAGAAGGAAAAGAAGGACAAGCCAAAGAAGGATGAACAACCAAAGAAGAAGGATGCTAAGAAGGAAGAACAGCCAGCTGCTGAACCAACTGTAAAGAAGGCAAAGCACCCTCTAGAAGCTCTAGGTAAGTCTACTTTCGTTCTAGACGACTGGAAGAGAAAGTACTCTAACGAGGATACTAGACCTGTTGCTCTACCATGGTTCTGGGAACACTACAACCCAGAAGAATACTCCATCTGGAAGGTTGGCTACAAGTACAACGATGAATTGACCCTAACCTTCATGTCTAACAACTTGGTTGGTGGTTTCTTCAACAGATTGTCTGCCTCTACCAAGTACATGTTCGGTTGTATGGTCATCTACGGTGAAAACAACAACAACGGTATCACCGGTGCCATCATGATCAGAGGTCAAGAATTCGCTCCAGCCTTCGATGTTGCTCCAGATTGGGAATCTTACGCTTACGCCAAGTTGGATCCAACCAAGGAAGAAGACAAGGAATTCATCAACAACATGTGGGCTTGGGATAAGCCAGTTGTTGTCGACGGTGAAAACAGAGAAATTGCTGACGGTAAGGTCTTGAAATAAGCGCAGTATATATATATATGTTACGACATAATAATATCTACTTGTGTTAATTGCATGTCTCCTCTCTTTACACTAGTTTTCTATTGTTTATAATATGTATCTATATAATAATAGTATCTATATTGTAATGCATGATAACGAACTAAAAATATGGACTGTCATGAGGTAATAGTCGTCCATCTGATACTTTTAAGTCAATATAAATACGTGATGAATCCTAGCAGTCGTCTAGAGGTTCCTATTTCCTTTGTAGAAGGAAATCTTTTACGGCCGGAGAGGGTAACGCCATTTAGATACTACGGTTCGGGCAACAAAAAAAAAAGTGAAGTTGTTGCAATTTACAGCCATTGATTACTCTTTGGCTGTATATATACATAAAAATGGCTGTCAGTAGCAATTAAAAGAAAAAAGGTTTCATTAATTCCATTATATTAGAATCACTTTGAAAAGGGTAAGTAACTAACGTGTGTTTATCATGGCTACCACATTATATACTGCTAATGAGTTTGTGTTATTCTCAGTTCCATCCAGCGCTAAGCCTATAAGTGCATCAGGTTTAAATACCGACACATGGTTGCAACAACAATTATTGGGCGGTAGAGCCTTCGTCTCAAAATTCGAAGTTCCAGAATTCAAGATTGGTTCTTTAGATACTTTGATTGTTGAATCCGAAGAACTAAATAAAATAGATAACCAAGTTGGTGCTTCTATTGGTAAGATTATAGAGATATTGTCAGGATTGAATGAAGCCAACACTAACGAATACAAGACCATTCCAATCAATAACGTTCCTGTGCCAGAATATTTAGAAAATTTCCATTGGCAAACAAGAAAATTTAAACTAGACAAAGATATTAAGGAGTTGATAAGTTTGATCTCAGGGGAATCCTCTCAATTGGATGCCGATGTCAGAGCAACATATACAAATTATAATAATGCTAAGACTAACTTAGCCGCCGCAGAAAGAAAGCAAACAGGAGATTTATCTGTTCGTTCTCTTCACGACATAGTAAAGCCAGAAAATTTTGTACTACATTCTGAACATCTAACAACAATTCTAGTTGCTGTGCCAAAGGTTTTGAAGGGTAAATTCGAAGAATCCTATGAAACTTTAGCTAAGAACGTTGTTCCAGGATCAGCTTCTGTGTTATCGCAAGACTCTGAGTATATTCTATACAATGTTCACCTTTTCAAGAAGAACTTACAAGAATTTATCTCTGCTGCTAGAGAACAAAAATTCGTTCCACGTGAATTCAATTACTCAGAAGAATTAATCGATGAACTAAAGAAAGAACATGATTCTGCAGCAAGTTTAGAACACTCCCTACGTTTACAATTGGTGAGGTTAGCTAAGGCTGCTTATGTCGATGTATTTATGAACTGGTTCCACATCAAGACTTTACGTGTTTACGTTGAATCTGTCTTACGTTACGGTTTACCACCTCATTTCAATACAAAAATTATAGCCGTGCCACCAAAGATGTTAAATAAATGTAAAACTGAATTGATAGCAGCTTTTGGTTTCCTAGGAGGTAATGCATTTGCGATGGATAAGAATGGTAAGATTAATAAGGATGATTCTAACTTACACCAATATGCATCCCTGGTAGATACTGAGTATGAACCATTTGTTATGTATTCTGTAACTCTATGAGCTGCTGTTTTTTCTTCTTTTTAAACCTCAGCAGTTTATGTAAAAACTGCATCTTTATACATAAATACATATAAAACGTCAATAATTCAAGAATTAAATCAAAAAAATGCAATCAAAAAGGGGTTATCATGACTGTATGAATTTAACTAATTTACATTTGTGATTATATATGTATATATATAAATGAGACTATAATATGGATATATGTTAGATGCATTACGAATTCGAATTGTGTGTGAAAAGGTAAAAAATACTACTCTTCATCACCCGCAGCTTTAACTAAGTCAAGGAACTTTTCCTTTGACACTTCAGTAATTAATTCTCTTCTTTCGTTTTTGTTTCTAATATCTCCCATGTTATCCTCAACTTCTTTATTGGTTCTTACTTGAGTTGACAGAATAGCATTAAATAGCTTTACTACACCCTTTTGGGCAATCTTTCTTAATCTAGTTTCCTTTGCAATAATTTCTCTAATTTCGTCACCAGTATGGTACTCATCAGATGCAATAGGAATAATCTCTGTCTTTCTTGTCTTGGTTAACAATTTCTTCTTTTCCGCTACCAGAGCCTTCTTTGCTTTATACTCAAGTTTTGACGATTCATTTTCTTTCAGGACTTTCTTATTTCTAGCCATAATAGGATCCTTTCTATCATAAGCCTTTAAATGAGACGATAAAATTGCAGACATTGCACTAGAGAAATCATTGGAACCATCATCATGTTTACTATTCTTGGATTTTTTCTTTCTTGGGAATTCATCATCGGACTCTTCAATATCCTTCTCTTCTTCATCTTCAGCATCAACTTCCGCTTCATCAGCACTGGCCCCTTCGATCTCATCATCTGAAAGTTCAGATCCGCTTTCTTGAGCACTGGTAGACTCAACTTTACTATTATGTTTAGCAGCTTTCTCCTTCGGAGCACTTGCCGAAGCTCTACTTCTCTTCTTATCACCTACTGTAACTTTACCTTTGGAGCTCATTTTGATATCCAGTTTCAGTTAGTTTGTATGGAAATATGTTAAAAAATAAGAAGACACTATAACCTTGAAACTATTCTATTATTTTTAAATCACGTTTTGATCATTATGTATGAGATTTGTTTGCCTCTATCTCACCCATGTACATTTGTTAACAATCTTGAAAAATTTCATCAATCTCATCGCAACAATTTTGAAGATGGAAAAAATTTTGAAGTTCACCAATTTATGTTACCCAGCCATGCTCAAAATATTCTGAAAAATAAGTAAACAGTTAATTGCGAATTGTAAACAAAGATGAAACAGATCAATAGACTCATCGAATTTGAAGGGATTGGTTATATTTAAAATTTGAACCTTTATTTAAACTGAGGGAGGTGTTGCAAATACCTTTTTAATCCAAATTTAATTTTAATTTTGGAATTTATTTGACCAAAGAAAGCTTCAGGAACGATGAGTGATATGCCAACAACTCCGTTACGCGTCTCGAGGGAGCCAAGTTTAATCCCATCACCAACTGGAAATACTAAACTATTGATACCAAGTAATACGCAGCAGAAACGGCGCTATACTAGTTCTCCACCTTCGAAGCTGTATTCAAATTTAAATTTTCTAGCTGAGAAAAGAAGTACTATTCATTCACGAGTTCCACAAAATGATCAGAACAATAATAATAATAATAATAATAATAATTCAGCCAATTTAACTAAATTTTACAAAAGCAATGTATTGGAATTAAATGAGTTACAAGAGACATTATATAAGAAGAAATCTATCCTGGATGCTAGAAATGATGAATATGAAACTTATAAATTAGAGCAACAGGAGATTCAAATCAAATGGGATAAAATAGTAGCAGAGAAAAGGAAAATCGAGAATGAATTAAAACTGAAACAAAATGAGTTAAAGAGGTGCGAGAACAATAACATTGAAAAGAAACAAATCTTGGAGAGGGGTCACACTTTACATTTGAAGGAACTCGAGGCTAAGAATCAGAGCGAATTGAATAAATTGAGAAATGAATATGATATGAAAATTGAAAAACTTAAACAAGATAGGATTAAAGAATTTGAAAGGAGGCGATCAGATCTTTTAAATGAAGTGGAAGGGAAAAGGAATAAAATACTAATGAATGATTCCATATTGGCAGACCTCAAACAAGAACTAGACAATAAATATCTATACTTAAGAGAGGAATGGTTAGAAAAATACCAACAATCATGGACAGAAGAACTTGATAAAAGAACAAAGATGACGCAAGATATAGAAAATTTTGAACAGGACTTACAGAGTGATATATACCCCAAAATCAATGTCTTAACTACGCGATTAAATGATGCAAAATCAAAATATGAAGAGCTTCAAAAGATTTTGCAAGAACGAAGTTGTGAAACAAAGGATCTTGTTAGTAAGATAGCTGAAAAGACAGACCAGATCGAACAAGCTAAGAATTCATCCAAAGGTTTGGTTAAAAAAATTGATGACATTAAGAATAAGTTAGTTTTGGTAAATAATGAATTGATAAAAGAGGAAACGATTAGGAGAACCCTTCATAATAAATTACAAGAATTGAGAGGCAATATCAGAGTCTATTGTAGGATAAGACCGGTCCTTCATAGAGAAAGCCAAGATACTAATCATCTCAAAGTTGCATATTTTGACGACACCAATGGTACTCAAGAGATTGATGTAACAAAACATAATGTTCACACCAATTCAACTACACCTCAAACTTTCCATTTCAAATTTGATAAAATTTTCAATACTAAAGATAGCAATAGTGATGTGTTTAATGAAGTCGGACAATTGGTTCAAAGTGCCTTAGATGGTTATAATGTTTGTATATTTGCTTATGGTCAAACGGGTTCTGGTAAAACGTATACAATGTTGAACCCACAGGATGGGATAATACCTCTGACAATTGTTCATATTTTTGATTGGACCGAAAGTCTAAAAGAAAGAGGTTGGAAGTATTCGATTACTTGTCAATTTATTGAAATTTATAATGACAATATTGTTGATTTATTACGTAATGTTGATTCCAGTGATGACACAGAACAAACTAAACATGACATTAGACATAATATGGAAACGCATAGAACTACTATTACAAATATCACAACTTGTGAACTGGATTGTGAGACTACAGTAAACTCAGTACTTAAGAAAGCAAGTAAATTAAGAAGTACCGCCAGTACAAAATCGAATGAACATTCCTCCCGTTCCCATAGTATATTTATTGTTCATTTAGCAGGTGAAAACTCAAACACAGGGGAACGGTCCGAGGGTACATTGAATTTGATTGATTTAGCAGGTTCGGAAAGGATCAATGTTGCACATGTTGATGGTGAGAGATTAAGAGAGACACAGCATATTAACAAATCCTTAAGTTGTCTTGGTGATGTTATTCATGCTCTAAATGATAGCTCTGTTAATAAGAGACACATTCCATTTAGAAATTCCAAACTAACATATTTACTACAAAATTCGTTAACGGGTAACTCGAAGACTCTAATGTTTGTGAACATTTCATCTGCGTCTAACCATGTCAACGAAACGTTGAACTCTCTGAGATTCGCTTCGAAGGTTAATAGCACTAAAATGCAGAAAAATACTTAAATATTAGATTTATTTTATAATAATATTTTCATAATAAGTTTGTGATTCTTTTTTAAAAATAACAATTCATTAAAGCATCAAAGGATGTATTTACAATATTTATGAATTAATTTTTTCATGATAATTGCGTCATGATAAACTACAGTCTTTTCTAAACAATCTTGCTGTTCTTCAGTTATTCTTTTTATTGAAATCGGATTTGGATTTTGGTTCTAAAGTTGTATTATTTTCTTGCTCTTTTTCATTATTTGGAATGGCACTTGTTTTTTCAACTTTTTCAGTTGGTCCAATATTTAGGAATTTTTGTAATCTTCTAATAGCCCAGTTTTGTCCAATAAATCTAACATCTGGGTCTGATTGGCCTTCGGTCTGTGTATAACGTTTCCACCATGAGGGGTTTTTGAATCTAGGGTCTTCCTTTGGCAAATCAGGTTGTTCAGAACGAATATTTGACACAGCAGATCTTAATTCGCTGGCAAGTCTACTTCTGAGGTCTTGGGCTTCTGAACCAAACTTGAGTTCATCGTTTAAATCTGTTTCTCCAGGTTTTCTATACTTATCGACTAAATTATTCCATTCTTCTCTATAATTATTAACTAAAGTGTCGTCTAACGGTTTCCCAAAGGAAACGTTAATCTTCGTACCAATACTATGAACGAATTGTTTGAATCCCGATTTGGAATCATCTTCTGGTAAAATATTTTCAAAACCGGTAGTAAAAATAGGTAAAACAATAGGTGGTCTAGTCGCCTCAAGGATCATTCTAGTAATCCCCCATTTAAAGTATCTCATTGAGTTTTGAAATGGCGGATGCAATTGTAATACAAACCCTTCAGGGTAAACATGAACCCAAGAGGGTTTCTCTCTTATTATTGGTGGTAAATATTTACGTACGGTACCATTTGAGTTGCTTGTCTGAGCATAAGGAATTGTATCATCGGCACTTAGTAATCTAATAGATGCATCGATAGCACCTTGGAATGGACCAGCACCAAATCTCTCTGTAGATAGCACCTGACCAGCAGAGAAGAACATGGATTTAATTCTACCTGCAAAGCATATGTTGTGAGCTCCCAGGCACCATCTCATATTACTTAATGAAGTATAAATGGACATTGGTAGAGTAGCCCAAATAAATGGGTCGTCGACTGTAGACATGTGGTTCATTACAGTCATTAATCCCCTATTTTCTCTTTGAGACCTTTGCCTAGCCAACGTCAAATTTTCATAATTATTAAGCTTCACGGAGTAGAAAGTCTTGATAATTAACTTTGAGACCCCTATCACGAAGACTGATGTACTATATGAGAAAAATCTCCATGCTTTACTTCTTCGAGGGTATTGGTTCAAAAAATCGTCACCACGATGTAAGACATCTTCGTATGACATATCGTAGTTCTAATAATTTGTTTTTCAAAAAGCTTGCCTGAGATAGATATATTCAATACAACTAAACTTATTTGTAACAACAAATAACTTCAGTTGTTGTAATTCTTAAGGAATATTTAATCCTGAATGAAAATATATCTGTTATATAATCAATAAATAACGTAAACATTAAATAGTTTATGGGGGAAGTGAAAAATTTTGGATTGTTACTATGAGTCGCGAAGTTAATGACAGCGCGCCATATATTTTATTATATCATGTACCATCAATAAACGAAAATAGAAACTTGGGAACCTTGGTAGAAAACAATGGATACAAGTGGAACCCACTCCAAACAACATAGGTAGTGGTGAATTTTTTTAGGATTGTTAAAGGTTGATATAGAGCTACTTTTAAAATAGTTTTGAACAATGGAGAAGTTTACAAACTGGAGAGATAAAGGTACTGGGATAGCACCTTTCCAGCCACCTACTACTCAAAAAGAGGCAATTTTTTTCAATAAATCGATCATTACAAACATCATATTTAGCATTATCTACTTAACCAGATGTATTTTACTTGTCCCATTACTTGTATTATCACCATTTATTAATTTACGACTGTTATTCCTTACAGGCTTTACCTCAGGTCGAATTAAGATCGATTACCAAGTTAATGGTATCAAGAGAAGCCAATTGAGTAAAGATCCACAAAGGTACCATTTGCAAAAGGGGTACCTTTATGTGGTCAATTATTCATCTGTTTTAACTGCTGTTGTATTACAATATGTGGCTCAAGATAATCGCAGTATTAAATATTTGATTCCATCTGAGTCTAATGATCTCTATGAGTTGACATTCTTGCAATTCGTTAATTTTACAATGAGTGGGCAATCCTTAGATGTTACTCAATATGGTACTCAAATCAAGGAAATTTCAAACAAAGATTGGGCAAGATATACATGGTGTCTCTTTGCTGAAGGAACTTGTTCCAATGGTAAATCTATTTTACCTTTCGAAATAGGCAAAGCTTCATTAGAGTTAATATTTGATGATTCTATCTGTACTGAGGTGATCCCTGTGACTATCAAAGTGAACAATTCCTTAGTAACACCATTGGGTGGTTCAAGTTGGCGTTTATTATGGTCCTTAATACTAAAACATAAATGTCTTGCCAAAGTGAAAGTTCATGAGGCACATTCGTTAATTAACGAAATGGAAGCTCTAGATGGTGTTCGTGAATCTCTCAACGATGGCGATAAGTATAAATTAGTATCTAAGTCATTAGGAATTGTGGAAAAACGTAAATTTGTAAATGAGTTTCGCAAGTGAAACAATAGAATATTAATATATAGAGTTTATCTTTTATGATTATTTAATAATACAATTAAGATATTTTAATGTTATTACAATCTATTTCAAAACGAGATTAACTTAATTATTGAAGTTTGTTTCTGATCCCAAAAACTTAAACTTCTGTAAATCCAAGTAAACAAAAAAAAAAGTAATGATAATTTTTCGTTGACGTAATACTGGATCGCATTATAGGATAATTAAACCAATGTTACTGGATTATGAATAATATTTATTATCACAAGATATATTTACGTTGAAATAGATAAATTTAGGATTCAGGGAAGTAACCGGCTGGAAACCCCATAGCAAATATACAAAAGAACAAATGGTTCAGCCCCGTTACTATGACGTTGATGGTAATGAGTGATAGAGGGCTCTCTCAAACTTAATAAAATTTCACACTATCGATGGCCCCCACCCCCACGCAAAAATGCTCCAACTTCACACTGATTGGTTCAAGATAAAAAAATATTAAAAAAATGAAACGTTAAACCATCTATCTAACTTCTGTCATTGCCTTCACGCGCTATATATATACAACTATGAATATTTCAATTCCACCAATTGGGGATAACTAATACTACATCATTCAATGAAAAGTTTACAACTAAACTAACGTGACAGATAAACGTGAATGAATCTGCCAATATATATTTACGTGTTGTTTCTGTCTCCGATTATAATGAAGTTGCGTTGTTCTACTGCTTGCAATAATTATAAATGTATGCAGTGAAGAATCTTGTGATCTATTTTTTTTTATCAGTGAGACGGACAAAGGCAAGTTCCAAGTTTGACCCTTTTGGAATCAGCCAATAAAAATAGAGGACGTTATCTTATCGAATCTCTTATCAGTTTTCAATTTCTTGTACGAAATGATGCGCGCGCACATATTTCTTATACGTTAAATTGCAGTAGTAGTGTTCACATCAATATATTTAAATATTTTATCCACCCTCACGTTATTGTGCAATAAACAATATGATATTTTGTCATTTCGCAAATTTGTGCGCAAAACTATTAATATAGCCGTCACTTCTACGGTGGAAAAGTAAAATAAACAAACAAACAAACACTGGGGTTGAGTCAGATTGTTTAATAAAATTGCTTCCCGTTTTCTTCTATCAGCTTAAAGAAAGAAACCGAAAATAATTGCACAAATTTGCGTTGTCAAAATAAAAATGTTTTTCCATTTCGTTGGTGAAATAAGCGGAACAAAATTTGCGCGATGAGATTTTTTTTTGTAATTTCGTAAAACTTCCCTTTTTCTTTTAAAGACAGAGAGAATCTCGTTATTATATTGTGCGCGCAAATTGTTCCCTCCCACGACTTTCTTTTTCTTGAAGTATGCGGAGCTAGTCTTCCTCATTTTATTCGCAAATTTGCATTCTTCTTTTTTCATAGAAACGGCAAGATAATATTAATGAGTGGGTGAATGGGTGTATATGGGACTCATTTATCTTGATTTTCTCTCAAGCCTGAAATATTTACAATAAATCATTTTTTTTTCAACTGTAAAGCCCCCCATAATAAATTTATATATATATATAATAAATAATAATAGACTAGTACAATACTGAAGTTTAAAATTAAAAGGGCTTAATAAGGTAACGTTTCGTTCTAATAGCTCTTTCTTAGTTTATTTATTTTTTTGGTTAAACTGAAAATACACCAACATTATTATCATTAATTTATCATCAATAGGTTAGTGGGCAAACTCTTTGTCACTTCGAAAATTTGATATCCTTTGACATCTGATCATTGTATTTTGACCTCTGTTATCTTCAATAGCTGAAGTCATCCATTGTGCATTATTGAAAAGAAAAAGGAAGGAGGACACAAAGAAAGAAAGAAAGAAAAAAAACTATAGATTATCTCTTCTTCTTTTTATATCATCACTAACCTCTTTCCATACAAATATTTATCTATTTTTTTTTGCTATTGTTTACTGTTCAGTTACTTATATCTAGCTATCCTCTCCTTTAAACTTATTACAATAGTTACTATCTATTATTGATTGTAATTGTGTTTTTTACTTTTTTATTTTGAGAATTTTTTGTTAACAGAAGAAAGTGAATACAACAAAAATAACGATTATTATTCAAATATCTGGAGATATATATACATTATCTCTTCCAGTTTTGCTGAAAATTATTATCGTTATCATATAAAAACGATAAGAATTATCTAATCCTCTATCTTTTATCTTTCCTCATTTTAATTTGATACAGATCCTTTTCATTTTATTTATCTGTATTTTTTATTACATCAAAAGGACAAAAACAAAAGAAAGAAACTTCGATATCTTTATCCTTATAAGGTTTATCTTGATTAATTATCAAAATTCGAATTTATCTTTTTTCTACTATTACATTACAAACAATATTAACATATGACTCGTAGTGAAAATGGCTACCAATGGCATGAAGAATATGATGGTGCTACAGTAGCATTTATGATTATTGGTGCTGCCCTTATATTTTTCATGGTCCCTGGGTTGGGGTTCTTATATTCTGGTCTTGCTAGAAGAAAAAGTGCCCTTGCTTTAATCTGGGTAGTTTTAATGTCTACTTTAGTAGGTATGTTACAATGGTATTTTTGGGGTTACTCCCTAGCATTTTCTAAAACTGCTAAAAATCATAAATTTATCGGAGATTTAAACTCATTTGGTTTTAGAAACGTATATGGTAAAGTTAATGAATCCGACGTTTACCCCGAAATTGCATATGCAGGATTCCAAATGATGTTTATGTGCGTCACTTTAAGTATTGTCTCTGGTGCCACAGCAGAAAGAGGTAGATTATTACCACATATGGTATTTCTATTTCTTTTTGCCACCGTCGTATATTGTCCAATTTGTTATTGGATTTGGTCTCCAGGTGGATGGGCTTACCAATGGGGAGTTCTAGATTGGGCAGGCGGATTCCTTGAGATTGTTAGTGCAGTCGCTGGGTTTGTTTATTCCATCTTTTTAGGAAGAAGAAGAGAGAAATTATTAATCAATTTTAGGCCTCATAATGTCTCAATGGTTACTTTAGGTACAGGGATATTATGGTTTGGTTGGTTATTGTTCAATTCTGCGAGCTCTTTGAGCCCAAATCTAAGATCTGCTTACGCTTTCTTCAATACTAATATTAGTGCAGTTACAGGTGGAATGACATGGTGTTTATTAGATTATAGAACTGAGAAAAAATGGTCTACAGTGGGTCTTTGTTCCGGTATAATTTGTGGTCTTGTAGCAGCTACACCTTCCAGCGGATGTATTACTCTGTACGCATCATTAATTCAAGGTATTGTAGCAGGTGTCGTTTGTAATTTTGCAACCAAGATCAAGTACTATCTGAATGTCGATGACTCCATGGATCTATTGGCAGAACACGGTATTGCTGGTATTGTAGGTCTGATGTTTAATGCATTATTTGCCGCAGACTGGGTCATCGGTATGGATGGTACCACAGAACATAGGGGTGGTTGGTTAACTCATAATTATAGACAAATTTATAAACAGATTGCTTATATTGCCGCTGTAATGTGTTACTGTGCTGTGGTCACTGCCATCATATGCTTCGTTCTAGATATAATACCATTTGTGAAATTAAGAGTCAGCGAAGAAGCCGAGGCAAATGGGCTGGACGAGGATCAAATTGGTGAATTCGCCTATGATTATGTAGAAGTCAGAAGAGATTATTATGAATGGGGTGTTGACACTGATAATATGCATGGATCAGATAATAATAATCAAGAAACAGACTCTGATATAATCACTAATACGAAAAATGATATTCAAAATAAAATATCCCACCACATCATTCCAACCAGTGACGTCACTGCAGACACATATTTACCTTCCTCTGCTTCATCTAATGACAATAATGATAACGGTGATGCTAACGAAAAGAGGACTTCACAAGATGAACTTGAACTAACTCCGCAACCACCTCATGATAATTCAATTTCCTAAACTTAGAACCAATAAAAAGAGGTAAGCATAATTGTACTCATATTCAGCATTCAAACATTTCAAAAAGAAAAGAAAAAAATCATACTCATTAACAATCAAGATGTAAAAGCATCATTCTTTGCATTTCAAGATTAGTCAAAAGGAAATGGAAATATTAATGAAATAACTGTTAATGAACTACATTATTTCATGAATATTTTTACATTATCCTATAAATGATACATTTATTTATTTATTTATTACATAGAGACTTTTCATCACATTTTTTAAATATTCAAAATTTTAATACTCATAATCATTAAACCATCAAACTACATCATTTAACTATGTTTACAATTATATACGAGAAAGTAGACCTATGGAAAATAACAATTCAGGCATCATACAAAAATCCTTGTTTCGTTTGAATATTTAATCATAGTTTTGTTGTATATCCGTATTCCACTAGCATGATATATAGATATGCATATGATTAATTCCATTCTGAGCAACTTCGATACAAAAAAACGAAAGAAAAGTAACAGAATAAAAGGGAATATTTGTCATAGTAATCTATTCAGATTCTAAATCACATGACTGCATCGTAAAAATTTCCAAAAAATCGACCTCGGTGAGGATTGAACTCACGATCTTGCGATTAACAGTCGCACGCCTTAACCAGCTTGGCCACGAAGTCTATTTAATTCATAATTGTTGTATCGGGATCTCTAACAGAAGAAGACAATCATATAACAGACGGTTATATTGAATTACTATTGCTATGTTGTTTGTAAAATATAACGGCAGCACTAAAAAGACTAACATTAGCTTAACCTATCTGAAGGAGAAGATAGCTAATATAAGTAGTGTCGGTAATATATTATAAGAGGGATAATGACCAAGGTTATGATCTATTGATAGATTCGCCCCGCAATGATCTAACGATAGGTTCATCCCGCAACAACTTAATAATAGATTACTTACGCCACTGTCAAGTGAGTTTATAATCACGAAAAAGATAATCCAACATATATAAATGGAACAATATTTCATTTATGAATATAATTGTTTCCATAATTTACTTTATATATATTTTATATAAGATATAAAAAGACCAGACGACTATAAGTTGATTTTGTAATATAATAAAATTAGTTCAGTTAAATAGAATATGTCTAATATTAAATTTTACCATCACATTCTTCATGAGGTTTTTAATTATATAAAAACAAGAATAAAAATTTTATCAAAAATCAGGTTAACGATACTGTGTTTGAATATACTAATATCGATGAAGCACACCATTTTTATTCTCAAGGCTCACTTAGATACGAATTTATCAACAATAAATACCTCGTTGAGTTTGATTTAGAATTAATTTATATAAATGGGGTTAAATATTATACAAATTATGCAGTACCATTTAACAAAATAACAATTCAAAACCCAGTTTGTTGAATAGTAGCAGAGTAGATACCATTCCTTGCCTCGGGAACTTTTCTTACCCATCTACCTAGTTTATGTTCTTTGGCAACACTTGCTAACACGCGGAACGTTTCTTTATCACGTTTCCCGCTCTCGACAATTTGTATTTTTGTTACCACACCTTTACAGTTAGGCAATTCTCCAATTAATTTAAATGATCTCATGTTTTCTTCTAATGACCAAACCTTCAGACTACCATTCCAGGAACCAGAAATAAATGTATTTGAATATGGAATTGCGTAAATAGAAGTAATCCAATAAGGATGTTTTAATTTTCTATTCTGAAGTTGTCTTATTTTTACATCTTCTTTTGCTTCACCAGATATGGTATCTAAGGTTGGACCTTCCATTACACCATGGGCAGCCCTTTCAATATGTATAGGTTTCTTCTTAGCAATCGACCATAGAGACAAGTTACCATTATCAGAACCTGTAATAAAGTGAGAATCATCAATCATACTAACAACATCGATACTCCCTTCTGTATGAAAGATTGGCGCTTCATTTTCATCTGGGTATTCTATTTCACCATTTTCTTTTTCAATTGCATTAGCCTTCATCCACCTTCTCAAAAGCTTTTCAGAATCTTCCCCACCTCTAAACGTTAGTCTGGTTTCATCTGGGATCTTCCACAACATAGCCGTCCTATCACGCGCACCAACCGTCACACATCTCTCCATACCAAGTGCTGAGATATCGACCACAGCATCTTGATGACCATATAAAATTTCTAATTGGGAAAATTGATTGATTGAGTAAGTTCTAATCTTATAATCAGCACATGATACGTACAATTGGTCAGAGTTCTTTCTAAATGTCATCGACATAATTTGACCACGACGGTCCTTTGTTGGTATAACCTTAATTGGTACCAGGGATTCTGTACTCCATACAATTAATTTCTTATCCCTACCACCAGTTACGACATATTTCCCATCTGGAGATGCTGCAACTGTAAGAATTTCGTCGTAATGACCTTCCGTCGTATTTTCGATTTCAACATTAGATTTAGGGATAAATCTAACACCACCTTTGGCATGCTTTAATTTCTGAGGTCTTTTTGAAAAATCTGATATATCGTACTTTGTTAAACACATGTCCTTACTGACCGTATAGGCGAAAATTTTCCCCATCTTCTTTGTGGACCCATTCAGTTTCTTTTGCTCAACTTCGGCATCAAATTTGTTAAGTTCAGATTGGTGACAACTCATGCTGGTTAAATTCTTATCACCTACTCTAGTGAATGATATAGCAGCTTCAGAGATTAGCAGCTTATCACCAACAAACCTGAAGATACGTCCCTTCTGCTCGGCTACATCTTGCTTTAATCTTGCAGCAATGATATCCCTATCTAGATCAGCTGCGTCAAAGTTATTATATTCATCTACTTCCTTAGTAGAGATACCTTCCTCCAGATTGTCTAGGCCGGTATCAATTTCATTGGCCTCTGCTTTTAAATTTTCTAAATATTGCTTAGCTAGACGTCTTCTTTTATCGGCAGGGTTCTCACCTTGAAATTCATCCTCTGAATCTATATCTTCATCCTCTCCTAATGAATCAATTATTTCCTCTTCACCAGAGGATACGTCAGTGATATCTTCATCAGCATCACGATTTTCCCTCTCAGCTCTAGATCTCTTTCTTTTTTCAGTAGTGGAATTATCTGACATATTGATCTTCGTCTTGTTAAAATATTTCTGCTACCCACTTGATTCTTAATTAAACTGGAGGTTTGGTTATATATCTCCAATTCTTGTTATTGGAAAACGTTCAAATATTATTTGTATTTATCCCTCACAAGGCATCTCATCACTCGTTACCTCATCTCAAATATAAATTTTTCAGTGAAACTTTTTTTTTCTCCCTCGCAACGCTAAATTTTTCAGATCATTTTCGACGTGTGGCATTCAGTCGAATGTCAGCGACATTAAATAGTATTTAGAACCAACATCGAGGAAGAGCTAAGATATCGAAAGCACTCCTGAAGGGAGTATGATACAATAGAATTCAAAACGACAATGTCTCATTTTTTTTTGTTGGTGTTAATATAATATGCATTGAACGATAAACTGATATACGATAACGAATAAATAAAAAATTATATATTGTTGATTTGTTGTTCAAATCTAGTTTCTCTTAAGTCGTTAATACGTTTCGTGAGAGTCATCATTTCTGCCCTCTCTGAGATTTTAGCTGCTGCTGTCAACGCCCTATCTTGTTTTAACTCTTGCACAATCGAGAGTGCCTTTTCTGTATTCTGACTCGAACATGCTACAGCAAATAATCTTAGAAGAGATTTGTCAAAATTACCTACAAGAGTTTGAAGTAAATCGTTTTCGTTACCGTACATCTCACCATCATTCTCAATGGTGTCCGTTAATAAGGAAGACAACACCTTTGAACGCACATATTCTTCCTCTGCCGCAATGTTTACAGGCACAGTGATTTCTTTCTCCACATTGGTATCTAAATCATCTGATCCGTCTAAATCCCTGTCAAATTCGTTTTCTTCGGCATCTTTCTTCAACTTAAGTTTATGTTCTTCCAGTAGTTGGCTTTTAACGAGAACCGGGATTTTGACTTCCATTTCAGACGGTAGAGGTAGTGGAAATTCAGGCCATTGTTTCTTACCTTTAACTAAGACACAGTTCAAAGTATCATATATGAGGCCCAATGGCCAAACGTGCACATCTGAATCCTCTTTTCCTCCTGCCATCTTCCAAATTTCCATGTCAGTATCTAAAATAGGTAACCACCTACTCTCCATATTGTATCTCCATTTACTTAATACAATCAAAACATTATCGGAGCCAAAGACACATGGATCACCATATAATGAAAAAAATATACTCTTTATACCAGTAGGGTTAAAACGGTCGTAATCTGGATCAGACATTTTATTTTTTGCAGTTAACGTATTTGGTAAATTGCTTGGTAATGGAGTCTCCCTTTGATAGTAAATAGATTTTGTTGGTGATTGTTCGAAAAGGGAATAAGATATGCCATGGTAAGGTGAATAATGGATAATAAATACTCTGTAATCATATGCAGTTAGTAATACAATAGGAGATAATTTCTCCATACCCAAAATGAGACCATATTCGTTAAATGATGTGCAATAACCAGAAGAGGTACCAACAATTACCCTGTGGCTGGTCGAGGCAATAGATGTGATTATCTCTCCATCCACTAACGATACTAATTTAGTCCATGTGGAATGTAGAGTATCATGCGGTCTATAATGCAATTGTCCAGTTTTGGATTGAGCAAATAGTGTACCATCCTCATTCAGAAAACAAATATCGTAACCAAATAAATCCTCAAAATGGTATTCATTGAATCTCCCAAGGTCAAAAAAGGACACAGTAATACTATATTGACCATTATTACGTACTGTAGAGACATAACCAATATTGTTCATAGTTAGATAGCGTCTATCGGAAGAAGCAAATGGAGTAGCACCTGGAGATAATGGTTTATATTTAAATTTGTTTAAATTTGTAAGTGTTGTATTAGTAAAATTACTGGATTTATGTAATTTTGATTTCCTTAAATTATCAGAGCTATTTCTCTCAATGTAGCCCCCATTATCGTCGTCATCAATGAAGTCTTCTTCATCGTCGAAATGATATTTTCTCTTCTTTGTTTCTTGGTCATCGCCAAACAGAGCCTCATCATCATCTTCATTATTTGCGTCTTGGTTATTGTCATTTTCATCATCCTTGGCAACTGTATCAATATTTGGATTAATTTGACTTTCTCCACCTGCCATATCATCTTCATCATCATCAGAATCTACAAATAATCCATTTCTAGTAGATTTAGTAGCATTATCGCTGGAGTTATCTATTTTATCATTAATCTTTGTGGAAGATGACTTTGCAATATTGCTCACAGTGGTAATGATACCTGTCCAGGAACCAAGGATAAGATCAAGCAATTCTCCATTGGGTTTCCACAATAAATTAGTCAATTGCATGTTTTTAAATTGTTTGGTATATATTATTTCATCCGTCTTCCATTTCCAAACCGTTAATCTATTATCCATGTCAATAGCTGCAATATGTTCACCATTTGTGGTATCAAATTGGACATCAATTAACTTCTTAGATGTTTCGGTAGACAATGTCACAGCTAAGGAATAATTCTTCAAAGTGTACACTTTAACCGATCCATACTTATCTGGAACTGCAAACCATAACCCAGTTGGATGCCAAGTAACACGAGTACAAATTCTGTTAGTTTCGGTAAATTCAGAATCAGTAATTTTTGCACTATCGCCTTCATCATCGCTCAGGTCTGAAATGTCGTCATCTAATATGTCATCAAGTTTGCTGGATTTTTTCTCATCACCATCAGTCGTTTTATCAAATAATTGATATGATTTAGGTAATACACAATTGTCTAACTGATGTACTTTATTAGGTTGAGCTGACGACAAAGAATAAAATTGAACGTTCCCATTAATTAAGGAAATTGCCAAAATGTTGGTCTTTGGAGAGTAAGACAATTGAGAGATTTGATCTGGCAGTGTCAAAATTTGATTAGACTTAGATCTCTTCGATGGATCAGCGGACTCGGAGTCATCCGCTAAATCGACTGACACTAATTCTAAATCATCACTTGCAAAGATAATTGTTTTACCATTATGAATTAATGAGCAATCACGTAAAGGTAATGATGTTCTCAGTAATAAAGTTTCTTTCTGGCCTTTGTAGTTATACTCAAATGCGTCACCTTTTACCGTCGTCAAGATAAATCTTTCATTGGACAGTGCCCTTAATGATGTCAAATTCTCAGACACTTGAATAACTTCGGGTTCATCTTCTGGTTTATTCAAAAGTAGGATCTTCGTAATGCCGTTTTTATTAGCGGCAATTAATCTGTTATCATCTTGAGAAAGAGCTATGATCGTCTTTCCTCCCGATTCAAAAACGGTTCTTTTTTTAACAGTGGGAATTATTTGTTCCATCTTTAAAATGTTCCTTGATCACCTTTATTGAAGTCGAATATGTATGTTTTTGCCTTGTTCAATTGTCTTATTGAAGTTTGTATACTTTTATATTTGTACTGGGTGAAACGCGAAATTTTAATATAATTCCAAAATTCAGCAAGTTCGCGTTTCATAATACAAATTGCCATCATTATGTACGGAAGATAGATTTAAATTAACCTTTAATCAGGTAAGAAATCACAAATTAAATATCAAGAGTAAACTGAGTTCCTGGCTTCAACTATTCAATAAGTACCAGGGCAAAGATTACTTTGTGTGTTACTTATCTCTTCGTAATATATTTACAATCTGTATAGAATAAGAGGTTTCAGCAGTATGCTAAAAACAAATAATTGAAATTTTATAAACCAATCTCATCTGGGCACTATTTTAACGGTACAATACAATGCACTATGTGATATTATATAATAGGAATGTTTATGGAGTTTGGATAACGTAAACTGTTAGTATCAATTGATGGTCAATATATATCACTTCAGACGTAAGACTCTATAATCACTTTGCACGTGGTGCATATCCCCCTCTTACTTTTTTTCAACTTAAAATTGAAACTCAAGAAGAAATTCGATTTTGAGATGAAAATAACAATCGAAGATGATATTTTCGATACTGTCGAAAGAACTAAAAAGGAGTTTCTCTTATAATTTGATAGTTATCAGAAGTCAATTGATTAAATTTGATTGAACGCAACAAATCTCTTTTACCTCACGAGTAAAAAAAGTAAGAAAAAAAATCTATTGATCGTTTCATCGATTCAAAATTGACTGTATTTATTTATCATCATTGTTTCAGCTAAGAAAGATTATAGACTGACTCCCAGATAAACAGTCAGAGAATTGTCAGTGACTAAATTATAATTAACTAAAAAATTGAGGATAGATATCCCTCATTTTATAGATATGTTTCAATTCGGTGCATCTAATAACAATGCACAATCAGGTGGATCTCTTGGAGGCACTACCACATTCGGAAGTCAGCCAGCTACCGGAGGTCTATTTGGTAACAATGCTGCTAAACCTGCATTTGGGGTATCTAACTCCACAGGTATGAATACAGCGCCTACTGGCAGTTTATTTGGTAATAACAGCAACAACTACGGATCAACAAATCAAGCATCAACTCCCTTGGGAGGTTTATTTGGTAACAACACTCAAACTAACACTTTAGGTGGTGGATTATTTGGGAACAATAATAATAATAACAATAATGCATCGGCTCCAAGTACTGGATTATTTGGTAATACTAATAACACTCAAGCAGCGGGAACAAATACATTGGGTAGTACAGGAGGGTTATTCGGTGCCAAGACTCAATTGGGTTCTGCTAACACAAATGCACCTGGTGGTTTATTTGGAAATAATAGCAATACGCAACAAAATACTAATACTTTAGGAGGAGGTCTCTTTGGCAATAGACCTCAGACCATGAACACTGGAACTACAGGAGGATTATTTGGTAACGTCCAACCTCAACAACAGCAACAGCAACAAACTGGATTTGGGATCAACTCCACTCAACCATCGTTTGCATGGTCACAACAGACACAAACTCAGCAGCCTCAACAAAATCAATCACAACTTCAATCCAATCCAATGCTAGGATCTTTAAATTTACAAACGCCATCGTCATTAACTTTACAGCAACAGCAATCTGCTAATTATCCACAACAGATACAAGAACAAATAATTAAATGTAAGGAGTCGTGGGATCCATCAAGTTCCAAATCTAAATTGAGAACTTTTGTATACAATAAAGTTAATGAGCAAGAGGCATTATTATATAGTAAGCCTGTTAATATATTACAGGATGAATGGGATCAAGCTGTTCGGAATAAACCAAACAATAACGTTATCCCTGTCGAATTATTGGGCTTTGAAGCTCTAAACCAAAGAAATCTACTTCAAATAGAAAATGTTGCACAAATTAGAATCATACTAAAACAATTGTTGGAGAAAAATACTCAATTACAACAACGCCATGAAATAGAAATTGCATCCAGAATATTAAAAGTTACTAGCAAAAATGTCGAAATTGAAAGCAGATTATTGAAACTAGGATCGCAGTTAGCTTTATTGAAAAATAGAGGATTGCCATTGAATGTTACAGAGGAGAAAATGTGGACTCAATTCAAGGCGTTATTGAAACGTAGCCAGGATCCATCTGGTTTAGGTAAGACTAATGAATTATGGGCCAGATTGGCCGTATTGAAAGAACGTACTAGAAATATATCGGATCAGTTAGATAATACATTGGTAACGATAAATCAAAATGGTGGTGGATCCACCTCAACGAATAATTCGGCAAAGCCCGGATCGACGTCGTTGAATAGACAAATAAGTGAGGATCCAGCTAATGATATTAACGTTGATAAGATTGCCCATATTTTGGCGAATCAACAAAAGGGTATAACGTACTTGCAAGAGGTACTTGATAAGGATCAAGCTGTTGTAGAAGGGCTTGAAAAGGGAAAATAAGACGTTGAAAAGTGGCATAAAAATAATTAAGCTCTATATTTGTTTAATTATATAAATATATAATGCATGTACCCAAATAAAAACAAATTAAAGATGTAAAACATTAGAAACAACCACGGCGATGAATATTAAGAGCATCTATATACTGAATGACCCACGAAAAGAAATTATAAATATGGAAACATTTTACAATTTTTTTAAACCTTTAAAACCATGAAGCAATAAGTTCAAAGTTTTGGAGTCCTTTGAACTAGAGGTATCTGCCAATTTCTTAAAATTGTCTGAGTGTTCAATGCTATTGAGCCATTCTTTTAAATGTAAAGGTAATGTATTATAATCGACAAAATAGTACGTCTTCAGGCCCAGAAGTGGACTACCCTTAAGACTATTGTCAAATATATGCCGGATATTGCTCTTACTATGTTTTGGTTCATTGTTACGTTTGTTGAGAGTTTTATCGGCAGCAGACAATGTAAAATTTGGAGCGATATTTTCCATATTATTTAACGTTATAGTTTCGATTTGATCCATCTTGGATTTATTTAAGCACATATTGTCTATATATGTCAGGTATTGGTTTTCATCAAATTTTTTCTTATCATTTTTAATGCTATTCACATTTTCATCTCCACCTTGTAAACTAGAAAATATCTCATTCAGTCTTTCAGTTTGTTGAAATTCGTCATCTACATGTTGATCTACACTACCTTCTCCAGCATCCAAACCTATCAAACTTGACATAACTTTAGATAACTTATTTATTTCATTTGTTGCGAGCACTAACTCCATGATGGGAAACTTTGATAACGTCCTCGTATTTCCAATAAAATTAGGTTTACAATACAGGACATCACTAAACGTGGACAAAGTATTATAAAGTAACCTATTATAACCGATATTTGTTAATTGTGGATCTAGGGGATATCGTATAGCCACACTGAGAAATAGACAATGTTGTTCGAAGAACATCTTGTTTAATAATTTTGACATAACTTCCTTAAAAAAAGCACTTAACGGTGGAAAAAAATATCTATTGAAGACAACGATCTTATTGTTATTAATTAATACTTTGAACTTTAATTATGTACAGTATTATATATATTCTTTCTTCTCTATGTATAGATATATACGTAAAACGCACCTCATTTATACAAAAGGAAAAAAAGACACTGAAATTATTATGATGATTATTTATTTATTGTAATGATTATATATGTACATGGGATACAAAACGGTTTAGAAGAAGGTAGGTCTCATGAAAGGCAAAAACATGCACGATCGCTGCAATGTTAGTTATAGACTGAAGATATCTACCTTTCAACTGATGACACAGAGATCATTTCCATTGCTTCTTAACGAAATTCCAAACGATAGGAGAAATCCATAATACAGCTGAAGCGATCACAGCATTTCTAACGGTCAGATTAGTTTGTTCTTGGTGTTGTTTCTTCTCTTCTTCAGAGACTTCTTGTTGTGGCATACCAAACATCCTTGCAATAATATGGTGTTACTGAGTTTATCTTGGGTCGATGTATCCCTTTTAATTGAAAGTATGTGTGTTTTATTTTTTAAACCTTCTTGTTCTTCTCTTTTGTCCTTTAAATTTCATATTTCAATTTTTGATTTTTGAAATTTTTGAGAATTCGCAGAGGAAGAAAACAATAATTAAGAAAACAGACATACAAGACAGAGACACAATCTACTAAATTAAAAGGAGATTTGAACTGATTGCAAAGGAATTTGACTGTGTGTGCATATTTATATTTGAGTCATTCAATATATTATTTGCAAATTACGACTATTTGTTGCACTAACTAACTGGATTTAACCCTGTGGAAGGAAATTTAACTTTGGTAAATCTAAAATACTTATTCAGACTATTTGCACAGAGAAATCTAAATCGAGAATATGGATACCACGACAAAAGAAGTTGAAGCACAACAATCCAGTGGTGAACCCACTAATGAAGCAGTTGCTCCAGTTGTAGAAAATACTACAGGCAATACCACTGGTACTACAGAAACCCCTATAGAAAACCAACAACCAACTGAGAGATCACGTAAACATTTATCTAACAGTGATGACGATGACGACAGAAAGGATAAGGATAGTGAAGATGAACATGATCAGCGTATAAGGGGTATCTCAGTTCCAGATAGCTCAGGTAATGATACTTCTGATTTTGGTTCAACAGCCACGAAACGTCAACTCCTGGAAGATAAACTTGATCGTATCTTAAAGAAACCTAAAGTAAGAAGAACTAGAAGAGATGAGGATGATTTAGAGCAGTATCAGGATGAAAAAATTCTAAGATTAAAGGATGAAATGAATATTGCAGCTCAATTGGATATTGATACTTTGAACAGTAGAATTGACACCGGTAACAATTCTTTAATTGCTATTCAAAAGGTTAAACTATTACCTAAAGTGGAGTCTATACTTTCGAAAGCCAATCTAGCCGATACTATCTTAGATAATAATCTTTTACAAAGTGTAAGAATATGGTTAGAGCCATTACCCGATGGATCATTACCTTCTTTTGAAATTCAAAAATCCTTATTTTCAGCTATAAATTCTCTACCGATTAAGACAGAACATTTAAAAGAAAGTGGTCTTGGAAGAATAATGATTTTCTATACTAAATCCAAACATGTTGAACCACAATTAGCCAGAATAGCTGAAAAATTGATCGCCGAATGGACAAGACCAATCATTGGTGCATCAGACAACTATAGAGATAAGAGAATCACTCAATTATCCTTTGATTATGATAAATTAAGAAAGAAATCAGCATTAGACTCTGCCATTAGTGGTAGAAAGAAGAAGAAACCATCGAGCACTGTAGCTCAAGAAAGTGGATCTACACCCCAATCGTTATATGAACAGGCCGCTGCCAGAAGAGGAAGAGCTGCTGCCCCTGCACAAACTACAACTGATTATAAGTTTGCTCCAGTTAGTAATGTTATTCCGGTTAATACAAATGCTAGAACTACAGGTGTTGGTTCTACACTAAATAACAATGAAATGTACAAAAAATTGAACGCAAGTTTAAACAAAAACAAAAGTAAACATTAATTAATCAACTTCTCCTGTTATCTTAGAAAGATAAAATATAAAATATAAAATATAAATGCTTCCTAGTTTAGGATTAGTTTAACATTCTGATGGATAACGTTGATTTTTAATATCATAAATAGTTTTTAATATATGTGTTTTTATTGTAATATATAATGAATATCATTCTAAAAAGACAACTAGTAATGAATAATATTGCTCTACTATGAGATGCATTAAATTCATGCTCTCCTAATTATACACAACATATACACGCAACGAATTAAATTAGTTACAAATTTTAATAATAACTTAGGAGAATTATAATATTTCTAAACAAAATGAAAAGATATACAGATAAATTGTTTGTTCATATATAGTTGTACTGGAAAATGCACTAATTGCTTAGGATCTTGGCTTCTCCTTCTTTTCCTTCCATAGAGCAAGCAAGGAGACACCAGAGACCTTGACGACCTTGAATCTAACACCTGGAATATCACCCTTAGCCTTACCCTTTCTACCGAAACCGGCTAGTAAAACTTCGTCATTTTCATCGACGTAGTTTAAACAACCATCATTTGGAACGAAAGCAGTAACCTTCTTACCGTTCTTGATTAGTTGAACTCTGACACACTTTCTGATAGCAGAGTTAGGTTGCTTGGATTCAATACCAATCTTTTCCAACACGATACCTTTAGCGTGAGAAGAACCACCGAATGGAGAGGACTTGAAGGCAGTACCCAAAAGTCTCTTCTTGTAGTTGTTTTCGGCCCAACGGCTGTAATAATAAATGAGATTATCAAACGAGAGATAATACAAAAATTGTTAGTAAAATAAATTCTATAAAAGGACTTAATTAGTGATAATTATCATCAGAATAGACTATGGTAGAATTTCAATTTATAACTTTTTGTCACATGTGTTCTTCAAAATTTACAGCAGTTTATTTTTACCAGAAACTTATCTAATCATTAATGTCTGGCCATCTTGTAGATTTAATATTTGCTAATGTGTTCCGCATTGTTCACAACATATTTGTATAACAGTATACTGTTCACTAATTATTATTATTCTCATATCTATCCTCATTATCTGTAACTTAAGCAATATCTAATATTCCCAATCAATCAAAGTAAAAAAAAAAGAACTTCATCATAACCTTCATCTATTCATATATCACATTATTATCTAATCAACATACTTGTTTCTTCTGTGGACACGTAGCTTTCTGGCAGAGTTTAGACCTCTTGGCTTACCGGAACCCATCTTTGGCTATGTTTTTATATGTGGTTTCTTAGGCTTTGAATGTTAAGTTACAAATTAAATGATGATATGAGTTCTTATAACTTAATAGCACCTCTTCTACATAAGATTATTTAGGTAATGTGTAATTAGACTAGCACAATATTCCTGCTACAATGGAATATATTGAAACGAACATACTATACAGTATGTAATCTCAGAAACACGAGCTCAAACTCCTCCCCTCACACATTATAGACTTTTCCACTGAACGGAAAGGAGTCTACTAGGAGTAGAACTCTTCTCGACTGTGGTTTCTCTGTCTATTTCCCGGTCCATCTAGAAGGAGAGGCCAACCTGGAAACTGAGTTGGTGAGAGAACTTCTGACCTCAGAAGACAAATGTTTCAATTGGATCTCTAACAGAAAACTTGAAAAATTTCAGTTCTCTAATGATTTCTGAGTTGGAAGGTCAGACTACCGGGCGATACGGATTCCTTTTTCAAAAACAAAATGGAATAAAAAAATCGAAGTTACAATTTTTGTAAAAAAATAAAAATGTTGGGACGTACGGGTGTCATCAAATAGAAGATGCACGGATGTTGTTCAGTCACATTTAATTAGGTTTTTGAATTAATTTTCCATGTATTTATCAAATCCATTATAAGAAACAACTTCACAAGTCGATACTAAGGTTAAGTTATTTAGAGGCGAACATATTCAATCGGATGTTCTATTAAGAATAACTATTAATAATTTATACAGCAACAGTCTAATACTCAGGTAACAAATTTTAAATGACGACTATACAACCCTTTGAAGCTACTGATTTATTTAAGTTAAATAATGTCAATTTAGATACTTTGACAGAAAACTTCCCGATGGAATTCTACTTTGAATATTTGATACTATGGCCTGGTCTATTTTTCAAGAGTGTGGAGGAGACAGTGAATATTAAGAAGAATAACCATAATATATCTGGCTATATGATGGGGAAGACAGAAGGTAAGGGACAAGATTGGCATACACATATTACTGCAGTGACTGTATGTCCTGAATTTAGAAGAATTGCACTTGCATCAAAGTTGTGTAATTCATTGGAAGCAATTACAGATTCTTCACCTCATAATGTTAATTTTATTGATCTATTTGTAAAATGTAACAACACATTAGCCATAAAATTATATGATCAATTGGGATACGATGTATTTAGAAGGGTAGTTGGTTATTACAATAGTCCATCAGATGGGTATCCTGAGACATTGAAGAAAATAAATGACGATAAAGATGCATTTGATATGCGTAAAGGTATGGCAAGAGATAATGGGAAAAGTGTAAGAACAGACGGTAGGAAACATAAATGCTATCCTCATGATGTAAAATTTTAAGAAAATGTCAACCTTTAAGTCATTAAGTACACATAAAACAAAGATATAGCATTAGGATAAATTCCTTCTCCTCCATAGCATAATTTGGGTTAATCTACCTTGACCAATTTGATATTGGTCATCATTACTTGTATAATTAGTATTTGTACAATTCAAAAACAAAACAAAAGTTCTGTCTTTTATTTTAAATATTACATGAATTTTTTTCATTTCTATCAAGATGTATATTAGTTAATATACATGTAGTCCTTTATACTATTGATTTTATGACGCTTGGGACGTTTTGAATTTTTTATCGTTATATTTTTGGGTAAACTTCTCCATGTATTGATTGACAAAGTTTTTAACTTTTTCATACTTATATTTGTCCATCTTTTTAGGTGGAGAGTTCTCTGATCCTCTCTTTGCTTCTTTGTTAGATAAAGTCTTAACAATATCTCTTGAGCATTGTTTGATGGCATCATGAGATAAATTAATGTCTGTGTTATATTTTTTAACCATATTTGGAACAAATGAGGCGAAGAATTTTTCCCATTTATGTTCCAAATGCGATAATTGTGAATTTATCTTTCTTTCATGATGTTTCCTTCTCTTTTCTTCTTCTAGTTTCAATGATTGTTCTCTTTGTAGCTCTTTTGATTTTCCAACATCTGAGATGATTTGATCCAAGATATTCCTTCTTTCGGTTTCTTGTTTAAATCTCTCTTTTTCTCTCTTTTCCTCTTCTTCTTTAGCTCTTAATAACATTTGTTGTTCTTCAAGTTCTATACGTTTCTTCTTCATGGCAAAATCTTCACTACGATGAATATCCCTAGAACTATAACTTCTCTTATCACCTAGGTGGTACTCCGAGTCATTGTTATGGCCAAGTCCAAGTGGTCCCTTAGATGCAGTACGGTTCCGACGATCAACAGACGTTGTCCGATTGTTATGATCAGATTGGGAAATCGGTGGATCGACTAACTTTCTATTTTGTTCCCGATTAAAATATAATGGCCGACCATTCTCCTGTATAATTTCCCACCCAGGTGGCAACCTTATCCTTCTTTGATCCATCAATTTTTTCATTGATGTAGTTGATGATGCATTAGAAATATCCTTTTTAGTGATTCTGGTGTATGTATCAAAGGAGTTCCACCTTTGCAGTAATTGATTACAATCTTCTTCGAAGTCTGGATATTCGTTTGCAATTGATCTTACTTGTTCATCGATATGAGAAGAAGTGACACCGTTCCTAGTAGATTTTGGTAAATGGTACAAGAATTCAATAATATCTCGTAAAACGTCGTAGTCATTGTCTTGAAACAATTGTAGTATGTTTTTAAAACATTGATAACCATGCAATTTAATCACTTGGTTCAATAGTATTTGTTTTAAAGTTTTATCTTCATCATCCTCATCTTCATAATTGTAAGTCAACCATAATCTTTTAAATAACATTGACGCTATCAATTGATTATTACATTGTAACAGTACACTCATTACCTTTGTGACATCCTTAACATTATCACAAGGTTCCATATCCAATGATTCAACAAATTCCACATTAATATTTTCACCATTCTCCCCTTTGTTCTTGATATCATCTAATGTCCCTTCAGCTTTCTTAGCTTTAATCCATTTCTTTTCCTGTGAGGCACTAACACCCATTGCATCTGCATATATATGTGGTAATAACGATGCAGCATCAGTCTGAGTCTTACCACCCATGAATCCAATACAATTTGGTTCACCACAATAACATTTTTGAGCAGTGGCACCATAACGATCTACGTTATAATCAAAGGTAATTTCTTCACCTTTCACAATATCTCTCTTTGCAAAAATGCCCATCTTTAACTTCCCATTGACTACCCATTTATTCACATATGCATTTGGATTACAAGAATGATTACAGAATCTCGCCAAGCAACCTTTCATTGTTGCATCAATGAATTGTCCTGTTTGTAACATCATAAAATAAAAATGTTTTAAATGTCTATTATCGTATTGTATCATCCTATCACGGAATTCTTCTTCATCTATCACTTCTCCGATATATTCATAAATAAACGTATTTGCTTCCAAGTTTGTTTGTGCTCTAACACCATACCCTTTATGTTCTGTAAGAAACACATTGATATCAGCATACTGTTTCTTTTGAAACCTTTGATTTTGGCATTCTTTCCCACAAGTTGATTCACATAATCCATCGACACATTCTATCAAAGTCAATCTATTAATACAATCGCTGTTTTCATCACAAGCACGATTAATATATTCGTCATCATCCACAAGGGTCCGTTCCTCGGGGCAATCACATTCCATAAATTCGTTCGTAGAGTCTCCCAAATAATCTATACTATACTTACATTTCTCCAATAGACGGAAAGTCGCAAGTGCTTCTGCTGTACGATCAGGCTCATCTATGAACAATTTAGGCGCCCAGTTTTGAACCGCCGGTGTAGCTGATTTAGAATCCGTATCTGACATATCCCAAAGATGAAACGGTTCTTATTCCTCTAACTAGACTATGCTATGTTATGTTACACAGTTGTAAAATGGTATATCAAAGTTCATCTTGCCTTTCAATTATCCAAATGTATATCTCTCATTTCAATAACTACGTTTTTTGTAAAAAGAGAAGAAGATCTGCCTAGTAAAACCGTATTCCATCCCACTTCCTTTGTTTTGCTCTTGTTGTTGTTGGCTCATTCATTGCTTTCCCCAGTCAAACGGAATGAAATTCTCAGCAAGAAACCGAAACGCGCGACGCCAAAAAATATATTAAAAATAAAAACGTGGTTACCCGGATGCGAACACCCACACACCGCATACAACTACCAGAAATCATCATATAACTAACCATACTGTACTGCATTCGACAACCCCACTCAACTATAGGCCATATCGTCATTCTAATAGTCACTAACATCGACATTAAGTCCCATATATAATGAAATACACACCACTCCCACGTGACCAGCGGGCTGACCAATCACAGCGGAGAATCCGTATAGCGCACTCCGAAAAGACCGGTCAAAATTCCGTTGCGCTGCACTGCGTGAAGTTTTGTTTCTTCGTCGCATGCAAAACAGATACTGAAATCTACCATACTTAGTAGGAACTACAGGGACGGAGAGATGAACTTTTCAATATTGACTGAACCCCCTCCCAGAAACGTTGCACCATTCAGTTCCAATATCTTTATATATATATAAGAGAATAATATCACATTGCAAAGAAACATACTCAGATTACTAGTAAAAAATAAATATTCTGTATTTTGAAGATATTTATACATTTTTTCAATAACTGGACTATAGAACATAATCGTCATCGTAGAAGTAAGGAAATATTATTCGTTAATAACATAACTAACCCTTATTCTTCGAAAATTATAGACATAGACATACAGTCACATTTTTTACACAGATACATTAAAATTTTAAATCATGGGTGGTCCAAGTGCTAAGACATACATGGGCTGGTGGGGTCATTTAGGATCTCCAAAGCAAAAGGGTGTTACATCATATGCTGTTTCTCCTTATGCACAAAAGCCATTGGCTCATTCTTTCCATAATGCTTTCTACAACAGTTTTAGAAGATTTAAGAGTCAAATATTATTTATTGTGATTCCAGGTGCTATGTATTGGTATTGGTGGAAGAACGCTGAGGAATATAACGCTTATTTATATACTAAAGCCGGTAAAGAAGAATTAGATCGTGTATCATAGTAATAATATATCAATTTAAAGCCTAAAGATAAATCATACATATCTATAGCCTTCACATTTCTATTCTTTTATTTATTTATTTAATTAATCAATTTTTTTTATATAATACATATATATTCTCATTTCCTTCACTTTTAAAAAAATGCCAAAAAGATCCTCATCATTCAAATCAACTTTTTCGATCTGTTCTTTTATTATTAATCCATTTACTATTTAGGGATAACATATTCGTAAAGATATATATTAATATGTTTGTTTGTTTGTTTGTTTGTTTGTTTGTTTTATTTATTTATTTATTTATTTATTTATTTATTTATTTATTTTAATAGATTTGCTCAACATCCAACTTTCTTGTAGCTAATACAACATCTGGTACGTTTCATCCATGAACTTACTAATAATTGATCAACTGTAATTCTACGTTCTGGATCCACTTGAAATATTTTATAAAGGGCAATTTTTCTTAATTTATTAATATCATGATTCACATGTCTTAATTCTTCAAATAAATAAAATTGTTTATCTTCTTCCATTTCTTCTACGAAGGAATCGTATAATGGATCAGTCCCTGGAGTTGCGATTTTCCATAAATAATGACCTAATACCATGGTACAATAAACAACACCACAACTCCATAAATCAACCAACCTAGGATCATATTCATTATTGACTGCAAATTCTTCAGGGGCAACATATGGTTCAGATCCCATGGCACCACTTTGAAAGTGAACATGTCTTTCCCATGCAGTTTGAAATACACAACTTGTACCAAAATCACAAATCTTCAATAATCCATCAGGTTGGAATAAAATATTCTCAGGCTTTAAATCACAATGTGCTACACCGTGATCATGCATATATTTAACACCATTTAAAAGTTGTTTCATAAAACAATCAGCTTCTAATGGATGTAATGATGTTCCACTCTTACTCTTTCTGGTTAATAAACTGTATAAATCACCAGAAGGACAAAATTCCATCACCTCAATAAATGTATTATCTTTCTCCATTAAATCGATCACTGTAAGAATATTAGGAGGTGCCCTACCTAAACATTTATTTTTCCTACTCAAAGAATGTCCAATAATAAATTCAGATGTAATCTTTGTACTAAATTTTTCAACCTGATCACTAGATCTTGGTTTCAATTCTTTAACTGCAAAATACATTCTATTATCTTTGACAAATGAAGGGTATGGCGGTACATCGTCTAATAATAATGGTCTCGAAGAGACACTGACAACACCATAAGCACCTTGCCCAATAGTTCCAATTGATCTACCGTATAGTTGACTAAATACAGCAGGAGAGTTGGGATCATCAGGAGAAGTTGTACTCGTTTTTCTTTTCCCACCCAGACCGTTTAATATCTTCTTTGATAGCGTATTAATTAGTTCTAATTCGTCAGAACTAACAGCTGCCTTTGGATTGACAACCTGTGGAATATTTTTCTTCGAACTACTTTTTTTCTTGTCAGGATCGCTATCATGATCATTACTAATATCGCTATCGTCATCTTCGCCAGGGTTACTCCTTGAACGGGTCTCTGTACTATGAAGAGCCTTCTTTGGTATTAATGAAATGGCATCCTTAAAATGTATCAGTCGATCTTCGTCTTTTTCATTATGAATGGAGGAATTATCATCCACTTTTGAATGTGGTTTAAAGAAACCAGAGAATGAAAACATACTACCAAGTGATTTTAAGTTAGATCCATCACCTGAATCGTGGACAAGTGATATAGTCTTCAGATTGTGCTCATGTGTACCATTTTCAAAAACTTTGAAGTTATCTACTGAAAGTATACATTTTGCATCATCATTTGGAAAATGGTAGCAATTAACATTATGGTAATGTTGTTGCAAATTTGAAGCTGACACTGTATCAGCATGTGGTCTTCCTCGTATATTTTGTCTTGTTGTTTTATTCTCTCTGTTTGTCATTGATGATACAGATGACGCAGAATCAACTTTTCTTAATGAATTCGATTTCTTGATGTCATTATTATTGGAGTTACCAGCCGATCTAGCTTTACTAGTACTATTATGTCTACTGATGCTACCTGTCGCAGATGTTGATGACTGAGATGCTAATATTGGTACAGTTTTCATCGCACTCCTAGAGTTGAATGCAGCACTATTTCTACGACGATTACTTGAATTTTGTCTTGAAGGTTGAATCGACGTACCATTGCTTTGATCTGCACCAGTTCTAGTAGATCTTACAGAAAAAGATTTTGTAGATGCTGTACGTCTTGGTAAATTGTTTGATTCTAACATGGTATCGATGGAAAGGTCATTCATTTCCTCAGATATGCTCCCCGTGTTGATAGATTGGGCTCTTGTTCTATCTCTATCACTCTTTCTACCTCGTTCTCTACCTCTCGATATACGATCTTCTTCAATAGTGCTAATAGTTGAATCTGTATCACTTTCATAAAATGCTTCCGGTTTCGGAAATGCAACTTTATCCATCATATTATCTTCATCCGATACATAAGATTCCTCCGATTTAATTGACATAGCCCTTGTTGGGGAGATTGTTGATCTACTATTTTTTCTAGTAGAAGATGCACTTGCGACACGTGCACTTTGGGGAGGTCCCATTGATCGATTACTATTGTTCCTAGAATGTAATAATTCAGATTCTTTACCCTCCGTAAGTTTCGTGAGTATTTTATTTTGATCTACGGTTTTCGTTGAGGCAGGTGATTGTTGTCTTGAACGACTCGATGAGGATTTGACGGATTCTGGATGATCTCTTGGGTCTATTTCTTCGTCATCGTCGGATTTATGACTTGATTTGAAGATTGATTTGATAGATGCAGAAAAGGAACGAGCTCTTGTGATTGAAGAACTACGAGATCTCCTTCTTTCTGAACTTAATGTCATCTCTTTTTTTTAGTTGTTAGAAAAAAGGTGTGTGTATTGTAAAATAATGCAAAATGAATAAAATTAAAATATGTGATTAAATATAGGAAAAGTTAGAGATGAATAATATAATGCTGAGGGAAAGATACTAATCTATATCACAAACCGAAAATGAATGCTATGGTAAAATAAAATAAAAGAGTATACTAGAATTACTACTTATCAATAAACGGGATGATTTAAAGGGAAAAAAGTGTGAATGACTGAATATAAAGAATGATGATTGCTAACAAATAAAAAATTGAGGAATTAGTAATAATAATATGATATAATCGTTTATAGAATATCTATTGCACAAACAAATAAGTAAAAATATCAAACCGTTGTAGTCGTTAATTTGTAAATATTTATCGTACTTTCAAAGTATATTCTGAACTTTTTATTCTGTCTCTTTACTTATAACTAATTTTCTTGAAATACAGTTATTTGTATATTGGATTTTCCCCACACACAGAAAAGACTGAAATATCTTTATATGAATGTGTAATAAAGCTGTTAATTACCTATTACAAATAGATTGAAAAAAAACGTCGAAATGATAGTTATCAATTTTTGTAATGAAATAAATCAAAATCAGCAAAAAAAACGAACCAAGCAAATAAACAAACAAACTAAATAAATAAATAAATGTTACAAAGATTCCTCCCTCAAGGTGTTCCAACTCATCCTTGATCCAAGGAATGTATCCATTATTTATTATTTCATACTACTTACTACCATCACTATCGTCATCATCATCATCACCATAAGTAAACTTCACTAAACCTTGGTCCCACCCTCGCTGTCCACCACCATCTACTTGCCCCCCTCCTTCCTCCCAGAGCGAACAGCCTCGATTGTATAACACGTTCGTAGTGTCGGCGACCCGTGTACGATTTGTGTAATCCCCTCCGTGCGCTGTCGGAGGCAGGCGCTTTGTCTGTTTGTTTGGTTCTTTCCGTTTGCGCTGTGCTGTGCTGTGCTCTGGAAAATGGGAGCGATGGGATAGAGGATGGTTAGACTCTCTTAACTACGCCACAGCTGGCATAGCACGTAATTAAGAATGGGATATAATAGAGAGGAATCTATAGCAGACACGCATATTAGCGTTTTTATTATTACTATTATTATGCATGATAAAAATAAATATCTTTTAGATTGTTGACTTTCGATGTATACGTCATAGTTCTGAGTTTCATTTCGTTCTTGGTTGAATTTAGGCAAATATAAATTAAATAGTACTATATAGCTGTATATCGTCAATTATTCTGAAATATGTATGGGAGAAAAGGTGAAAGAGACTCGTTACGACTGTAGGTTGTAGTTATAAATAAATAATGATAGTAGTAATAATTATAATTATAATATATTTATAAACATTTATATGTTGCGTATACGTCAGTGATCGTCTTTTTTTTCCATTTATCCATTTTTAATTTTAGAAGTCCTTGAAAAGCTCACCATATGGATCCTCACCGGTAGTACCATAATCAGCTTCTTCCTCAGGGTATCTATCAAATTGGGACGTATCACCTTGTCCCTGTTGAATTGGAGGTTCATAAGGCGTCTCGATGTTTCTTGTTATTAATTTGTCCCATACAACTTCATTGAACCATGGATGATTCTTTACATCCTCACTACCTTTTTGTAAATTACCCAATCTTGCACTTAAATCTCTAGTGACTAATTTACTTATTAAATCCTGAGCATCTTCGTTGAAAAATGATGGGAACTTTAATTTGGCATTTAGAATATTTTCATATGTCTTCATGGCATTAGAATCGTAAAATGGTGTATAACCAGCCAACATTTCATATATTAAGATACCAAAACTCCACCAATCAACACTCTTATTATATGGCTTCGTACTGACCACTTCAGGGGCAATATAATCAGGTGTACCGCATAATGTATATGTGATATCAGGTACATATTTAGCAAAACCAAAATCTGTTACTTTAATATGACCATTTTTATCCAATAATATATTTTCAGGTTTTAAATCTCTGTATATGATATCTTTACTATGAAGATATTCTAACGCCAGACATACTTCTGCTGCATAAAATTTAGCAACAGGGTTTGGAAACCTTTGAGATTTCCTTAATAAAGAAAATAATTCACCACCTTCAATATAATCCATTACCATAAATATATTATTTGAATCCTGAAATGTACCCCATAATCGAACAATAAACGGGTGACTCACCACCGAAAGCATCAAACGTTCATCATTAGTATGTTCAATTTGTTTTAATTTCACAATCGTATGTTTCTTTAATACTTTTAATGCATAAAATCTTCCGTTGTGATTGGACCTAATTAAATGAACACGTCCAAATGAACCCGTGCCTAAAGTTCGCAGTATTTGAAAATCATTTAGACTGTATTTCCCAGAGGTTGGTCTACTTTGTGTCATTAATTCTTTACGCATTTCATCATTCTGCCTTTTCCTTTCAAGGCCTTCTTCAGTATCATTCCGTTGTCGTCTTTCGGACTCCTCGATGGCCCTACCTATCTCATCCATTGAAATCGTAGGTTCTTCATCCTGGTTGCTTCCTGTCTTATCTTTAGAATTAGGAGTCTCATCACCAGGTTTAGGGGATTGCTGACGACTCCTATTTGGTATCTTGTCGATGATATCTAAATGTGTATCCTTATTATGATTTTGAGGATCAATGTACATTCTTATATGTATATAATTATGCTTGTATGTTTATATGTGGGGGAGTCTATATGCTGTTTAACCGTTACTTTCAATAATATAACTAATGATAAGATGGTAGTAATCTTTAAAAAGGAGATGAGTGAAATAGAGATAGAGTTTTTTCACTTTTATTCACTTTTGTTCAGTTTTGTTTAATTCACTTTGATTTCGCTCTTTCCTTCTCTCTCTCTGGATATGTATGTGGGTACCCCTCGAATTAGCAGTTCAGGAAAGGAGACAGAGCAGGAAAAAAAAACTTAATTAACGATGGATGATAGGGATGAGCTTTTCAAGAAAGGAAAAAACTGGATGATATTTAACTAGTTGAATAGTTTATTGAAAAAACAATTAAACTGGAATTCAGTACTTCTTAGTTGATTATTAATTGTATTTCTTTTGTTGTAGCGTCTCGCTCAATTGAAAAGTATAGGAAATTAACTATTATATATATATATCTTATATTTTTTAGAAGAAGAATAGGATAATACTGAAAAATTGTAAGAATAAGAGTAGTTGTAATTGGCAGTTATGTTTATTACTAAGAGGTATTAAATAAAACTACATGTTTTGTTAAATATGAATTAGCATATTGATATATACCGATTCTTTTGCTCTTAAGGATAGAAAGAAATAAAACTACCCTATTTTATTAACAATAAGATGAGTTCCCCTCTTTTGATAATTCAACGATTCAAGAGGAAGAACAAGAATATTTTCTCCATTTGTTCAAATTTTCTATAGTCTTCGATTAATTTCCCTTTATTCAAACTCCTTCCCCTCTTCGTTCTTTGGGGAACTTTCTTAGTTAACTTTTGAAAGCAAGGAAATAGTTCTTGTCTGTACTTGATAACTTCCTTTTGGATAGATATTGGCATAGACTTCAACATCAGACATCTGCATTAAGCCCAGAGTGAGAGGTACAACGAAAAACGTTTGCCCAATTTATCTATTTATTTATTTATTTTTATCTCTTACTGCAATGTCTGAGTGAATAGTATTGTACGGTAAAACATATGTTTCCTACTTTGTATATTACCAACCATATCGGTAAAATATGATTTTGCATTTAAACGTGCGAAAGAAAACAAGGTTATTTCTAATTTTATTTATTACTGCTACTACATTCAACATCAATTGATCTATACAGCAACTAATTTAATATCTTACTTAATTATAATATATGTTATTGCATTGAAAAATCCATCCATTGGTGAAATTATACGGGTGATCACAGATTTGTGTGTGTATTCATTCTACTTGAGTTGATTTCTCTCTCTCTCTCTCTCTCTCTCTCTCTCATGCAAATGCTGGTTTATTTTGGTTGTATGATGTTTCGATAACTGGAGTTTTGTTTCGGCATCGACTGGCTAGATGGATTGAATTCTCAGAGTTTTCTTTGGCAAATAGAGATAGATAAGTAATTCTTAGTAAATGCACACAAAATATACGTACATGAGGTCAATTCGTTTCTCTTCCGTTGCTACAGTTTCGTTATTTTTTCAATGAGGTTTTGCAGACAGCGCAATAAAAGAGAGAGATGTCAGTATCTGAAATTGTATGGCATATATTATCTGTATAGAGATCTTATGCGTACAATTCTCTTTTTTCAAAAAAAAACACGTTATAGATACCTACGATGATCATATAGGGGATAGTGGGGCATTAATTGTTTCATCATGTTGTTTAATTTATTGTCGGTTTTAATTTCCCATCTTTTGACAGAAGATGCAGCCAAATAGACTGAAAAAAAATTGTTGCTCATTTTTTTTTTTGCGATGACATCAGATGGAAAACGATTACTTACTTCCTAATTGTTGGTTATTCGTTATTGTTCCTTATTTTTCAGGAAAATAAAAATCTTATTTGATTCACATTACTTAATGTACAGAGCGAAAATGTTGTACGATGTCATATTAATTTCCTGTTTATTCATTTTTCATGTTTCTTCTTCTTTTTTTTGATCTTTTGACAATATACGAATGTTAAGTTACCATCCTAATTGGGTTATAGTTAGTGCTTTTCTTTTCTCTTTATTAGAAGGTTTCGTTTTATTCGTTACTGATAAACCAATTGAAGAGAATTAGAAGATTAAGAAATAATGCAGATTGGTTTTAGAGATGCTAATGTTATGTATGGGATTTATTACTTAATTGAGGAAGAGAGTTTATAATTCGTGACAACAAATACAGTTCTTTTCTTTCGCCCTACGGTAATGCTCTTTGATTGGTCCTGAGATACTTTTCAATGGCTATGTGTTGTGCTTGTTCTATTTGATAGATTTTATTAATGATTATATTATTGTAAGTATCCCCTACTTGTAGGAACTGTTGGTTCTCAACTTTAAATAATCGTGAGTTATGAGATATATCATGTTTAACCTTATTTGAATATAGTTCTATTAATTTGACCTTTATCTCATTACAAAGCTGGATGAAATCGGTCAATTCTTGTTTAATTTTCTCTAACTCATACAATGTAATGTTTTGCATCATATCAGGAAATATGAACTGTGGAATCTCTATGGTCATTTCATTCAATTCGTTGACATTAAACGTATCTTGCATGGACATTGAATCCTTTTTGTAATATCTGGGTAGAGTCTGGTTAACAGGTTCGTGTATACTTTCTGTCCTGGAGGTACCGTTATATTCTGCAAATAATTTGACCTTCTTAGACATAGGTATTGATCTCAAAGTATCATTTATATGTTCCATATTGAAAATCGGGTCAGTATCAGTCCGATCTTCTGGAGTACTGGTGCTGGCAGGTTTTCCTCTCTTCGAGGAAGCTCTTGGTTCTTCGTATGTTGTCTCTGATGATGATCGAGATTTAGACGACTCTTTCCCCATTGAATTATACATCTTGTTGATGACTTCATTGATTCCACACGTAAAAGTGTCATGAAGATCGGTATTTGTGAGTGGAGTGTTCTTTACTGGTGATGTAGATCTTCGTGCTTGTTGTCGTATCTTAGATTTATTTCTTGCTGAACGTCTAATATCGTGATTCCAAAATGTATGGTTTGTATCTCCTGGATTCTCATGTGGTACTGTTTCTTCCATTTTTGTTCGTTTGTGTATATTTTGGGCTTCAAAGATTTGAATGCCTTCACTTTCAGATACCGAATCCTGCATTGAACGGTCACCTGTTTCATGCTCATCATCGGTTGAAATTATATCCATATCATTCTCAACCTCATTCTCTTCCTCATCCTCATCAATGTTTCTCTTCGAATCATATTCGTTGTTTGCTACTTCCGTTTCCTCAACATGAGTATCTCTAAATTTGTTGTTTGTGTACTCTTTCCTTTCTTCATCCATTTCAGTCCTCTTGTTATAACTTCGTTGATAATTCTTCATATTAAATGATTGGAATATTGGTACAGATGATTTTTTTGGAGAAGAGTTGTCTCCAACATCTTTCTTCCCGTTACTAAATCCAAATCCGTACGGTTGTTTATCATAAGATTTTGCTTTTCTTGGTCGACTATTCCTGGCTTCTTTTGTGGAGAAAGATGATGTTTTCCCAGGAGAATTATATTGATATAAGCCTTGACTTCGTAACAAGGTATCATATTCTTCTCTTTTTTCAGCATCTGTCAATATATTATGAGCATTCACCACGACTTTGAACAGTTCCGCACTTGCATCACTTTTAGATTTGTCTGGATGCAATATCTTAGCTAGTTTCATATACGATCTTCTAATTTCTACATCAGTTGCGACGGTGGTGAGACCAAGGACAGAATACCATGTAGTTTCGTCTAGAGAAAGAATTCTGGCTTCATTCTCCTTTGACATAACGTTTCTGAAGAATGTACGTTTGTTTAGGTGTTCCCCCTCTGGTAAGTGGTCTTTTGTCCTCCTTGTTCATTTTTTACTCTATATATATATATATAGTGATTAGTATATTTTGACAGTTTTAGTTTTTATTTTTATATGATTATAGAAATGTAAATAAAGCGTTCCTCTGTATTTTTTTTGAAGGGTGTCTAGATATACGTATATATAAAATACGCAGCCTAACTTGATTTAGATAAAATTTTACATATAGTCAGCGAATGGTGATTTCACAACCATTTATAGGCAACGTTATACTTATTCTTTCTCCGAATTTCTAGTTCTACACATAAACAATTCCTCCAGGAAATGATCCACTGTTTCCCAACTATACTATCTGCCCGGCCATTTACCGCCGAGTTGATAAATATATAGAATTCACCCCTAACCACATATAGAACAATACCACCTCAATGAATTTTGATTTACTCTTTTCGATATAGAAAATATAGAAAAATTGATGACTTGCCTATTCAACTTTTAGCTCATCTCAAATTTCAAAGTTCTCTCTTTTTTCTATTTGCCTGTTCTGGAAATAATTAAAATTTTGAAAGTCGCGGAGACGTTAAACTTACAGTATTTTTTGTAGGTAATTGGGATATATAACGAATTCTGCCACCCCTTAAAACTAAAGAAAAGGTTTTGGGCAAAATATATTTAACAACATAAAAGCAAATAACCTGTCACATCTGTATTAATTATGTTTAGTACTAGATTATTATTTCAAGCCGGAACTAAGAGTTCACTGGGCAATGCTACCAAATCCACATTCAAGGGATCAAAATCTAATTTAGTAAGTAATATTTTTATCACATCATTATATTCCCTTGGTGTTTGGTCCATATACAAAGAAGTCACTACAGTACGTAAGTTTGAAGACACTGCACCAATTTCTCCTCAAAAAGGTGAATCTATTGCTGAATTGATTAAAACCGCTCCAAATAGATTATTTGAATCTGTGTCTCCGGATGACAAGAAGGAATCTGAACCAATGATCATTCTAAGAACATTGACATATGGTGATCTTTCACAAATTGCTATTGGATCCGGGTTTTTATTTCAACTAAGTAATATTATGCACAGTGAATTCGGTAAAGCTTCGTTTATGTATAAAGCCTCGCTTGGTACTTCAGTGATGTTCCCAGTTATCCTATATTTTGCCTTCAAGTTAAGATTGAAAGAGTTAAAAGATGATGGTATTAAAATTGAATAGGGCGTAGTAGTAGCATGTTAAGCGTTAGAAGAAATTAAATTTATATTTTTCTTATCTTATTAAAAGTTTATATAATTACCATAAGTAGAAAAATCTACATTTTTGTATATAGTTAATTAATTGGAAAACATATTTTTATTAACATAGTTAGTAAAAAATTCCAATAGAAGAACCCAAATAATAATAAACTAATAAAAAATATTCTTATTTGATTTTTTTTGTGTTCTTTAATTTTAAATGCAGAAAAAACACCCTTGTGTTTTTGTAAAGAAAGAATGACTAGTGTACAACGAAATGCAATGAATTTTATCTTAAATATTTTCCCTTTTGGAATAGTTTGGAATTTTCAACAAATGAAAATATAATGTTCCTTACCAGGGTTAGTGAAGTGTCTTAAAAATGAGGAAATTTTGAAAAAAAGAGTATACTTTTTATCTATTTTTCCCTCTTAACAGTCGACCAAATCAATGGCAGATAGATGGACTGGAGTACATTGAGAACCAATGTGTTCATCGTATAAGTTGTAGAAGTTACCAGATAGACATTGGTAGAAAACATCGTTGTCACCAATAGCTAGGTTACCTTCTGGAGTCATGGACCAACCAGCAGCGTAGATGGCACCGGCTTGTGGTGGTGGACCATCGAATTGGAATTGTCTGTTAGCAACAATGGAACCGATTCTACCCTTACCATCAACTAAGATACCTTCTTTTAAAGTCATAGATAGAGTACCATCGTTCTTACATGATTGAGCAGAAACTGGGTCAGATGGGTTAGTAGCAGCTTGAGTGGTTTTGGTTGTGGCAGCGCCAGTAGTAGTGGAGGTGGCCTTTGTAGTGGCTTGAACTTGACCGTCACCGATTTGAGAAGCAGCGGCAGCAGTAGACTTCTTGGTAGCAGTAGTAGCTTGGATTTGACCATCGCCGATTTGAGAGACGGCAGCAGCGGTAGTCTTGGTGGTAGCTTGGATTTGACCATCACCGATTTGAGAGACGGCAGCGGCAGTCTTCTTGGTAGCAGTAGTAGCTTGGATTTGACCATCACCGATTTGAGAAACGGCAGCAGCGGTAGTCTTGGTGGTAGCTTGAATTTGACCATCACCGATTTGAGAGACTGCAGCGGCGGTCTTCTTGGTAGCAGTGGTAGCTTGGATTTGGCCATCACCAATTTGAGAGACGGCAGCAGCTGTAGATTTCTTAGATAGAGTAGTGGTAGTTCTAGTAGTAGCTTGGATTTGACCGTCACCGATTTGAGAAACAGCATCTCTCTTAGCCTTGGAGGTAGAAGTGGTACTGTTGACAGCAGTAGTGATTGGTTCAACAGCAATACCAAAAGTAGAAGCATAGTCAGTTAGACCACTCTTGAAAGTAGCAGAAGGGGTCAAAGTGGACCATGGTTCAGATGGAGCATAAGCAGCCAGGGCAGTGGTGGCTAGAGCAGCGGAGGCTAAGGTTTTCTTGTATTGCATTTTTTAAAAAAAAGTTTTTTGAATAGTGTGTTTGTTTGTTTTGTTATATCAGTTGATTGATGATGGTATTTTGTATATATATAGAGAGAGAGAGAATGAGTGAAGTTGAAAAGATTGAATTAAGAATTATTTTCATTGGGTTTATATACTTTTTTTTAAGAACATGATTCATTACTAACAGATCAAAATATAAGTTAGGTATATCATTAGTATCATAGCTTGTTTGCTGGGTCAAGGTATGCTGGGCATAAATGTCTATTATATTTAAGAGGCGTTGATCTACGAAGAATAACGGGTGTACCCTACTAGCACTTTAATAGAAAAGAAGAAAAAAAGATGGCTGTCAATCAATCAATTAATTAATTAGTGCAAATAAAAAGTCCGGCAATTGATTCAAATTCTTACATGTTTTGTGATTTTACAATAACTAATCAATAGAAAAAAATAGGATGGAGAGTCTTCCAAGTAATGAGATTGTTCGACGGGGTGTAATAAAGAAAGAGGGGCATAAGTCAGTAAGGTTGACAAATTTGCAGTCCATCCATTATCATCAATATATGGAAAATATGTATTACTGTTGATTGTAAAAGGGACTATGTTAATAGAGATAGTGTGAGTAATATGTTGAGAATTTTGCTGGTTATTTTATTTCAGTGTTTACTATATTAGGAAAAGTGAAAGATGGCCTCATTTAATTTTCCGCAGTTTCCGGTACCTAAAAAATAAAATGGTAAGCGTAAAATCCGCGGATGGTCAGCAGGACAGAACCAGCCATTCTTAATTTATTTAGAAATTGTATTCTTCGTTGTGAGTGATAAGGCACGTGATACATTGGTCAAAAACTGAACCATCAGGGTTTGTCGTCTCAGGTGACCCAGACTAGAGTCAGGGCTTCGCGATATAAATTCGTTTATTTTTATATTTCAAGAAAGTTATTTTTAGATTGCTTTAATATATCCATATTCAAGCGATATTGATACATTCTTATAAGTGTTATTTTCTTAACATAAGTCGAGTATTATTTTTTTTGAAGGATATATATTATTGTTACATATAGAGAGAGAGAACAAAAGAATGAGGTATTATAGTAGTTATTATTAATAATAGTTATTGTTTTATCTAAAATAATAACAATTTAGTTAAACAAATGACAAGAGGAGTTTCGGTATATTTTGTTGTTTCCTCATTTGAACTTATCCTATTCTTTTATTTTTGTAAATAGATGAACACTGTACATGTATTATTCTTATATCCCTTACTTTAACCAGTAAATGAACAACAGTAAGAAAGAAAAAAAAGGATAATAAATGTGTTTACTATCTTACTTTTAATTAGATAGAGAGAGTACAATCAAGTTTTTGAAAATTAATAAAGGTGAAAAAGCATCAATGCAAATACGTATAATTAATTAATTCTGACCTCGTTATTACTATTACTACTATAAAACCGATCAATCCCCTCGAATTATCATTTCACTTAAAGCGGATAAATATAAATATATATATATGCTTAACTATGAATAATAGTGTTCTATCACCTATCTGTTTAATAAACGATGTTTGCCAAGCCACAAATATTTGTATCTCTCTTAAACCCGTCAATTCTCTCTCTATATTCCACACGTACAGTGGAATAGACAACAAAGCAAATCATAGCTAAAAAAAGGTGATGAATACCCTTTGAAAGTGTATCTTAATTGCAATTATAATATCATTTTTACCCTTCTTGTACTAACATAATTCATTCTTACTCCTCTTGTATTGGCACCACAGCTAATAAAGAAAAACTGTTTAATTTGTTCATCTCTCCCCCTTTATGCAATGAGTGAATTTCAATAGAAAAGCAAAAGCAAAAACAGACTTCAAAACTGTGATGAACAGGTTTTCTCACACGAAATCAATTTTTCGCTCAAATATCAATTCGTTGCCCTATTCGGGTAGTCAAAATATCTGCATTTCGTGCAATTATTGTTTCTTCTCTGGGCCAATTTCTTTACCAGATTCGGAATATCTTTATTTTCCCGTCTTCGTTTCTTTTCTTAATTGAAAAATGAAAAATGAAAGAGTGAACAATATGCGCCTCGTACATTATGATGCTCATCCCCCCTTCCCTCTATTAACGAGAAGCAGTGCAAAAAACAAGAAAATTTTGAGAAAAACCGAAAACCCATTTAGTTGTCCTATCTCCAAATCAGGAAATTGTGCATCCCATATCATATCCCGATCAGGTAAAGCAAATAGCAGAAATCCCCTCTGCCTCGTTTTTTGTCACCACCCATCCATCCCCCCACCACTTAAAACAAAGAAAATTAATTTTTTTTACTTCCACCACCCCTCTGCGATAGTCTCTCGGGAGCAGACCCAACAAGATGAAATTATTAGACAGCTTTCGTCAAAAAGAAAGAAAAAGAGAACCGCCTCCTCAGACAACCTCTGCAACCACTTCTGTGGGACTTCGGGATTCCAAAAAGAAACTGCTGTCAATTTGACTACTGCTTACAGTAATAAAATTACATTATCTACGCCGACATCAATAACTTTCTTTACGTTTCAATTACATTTCAGAAAAAGGAATAAACTATAATATGCATTCATACAACTAACTAATATAGAACTGGAAGAACAATTATTCTATTATTATTTACCTCATCTGGAGGAAATTGGAAAAATGTGTTACACTTTCTTAAAAGTTCCTTCCGCCTCAGAACAAAAGAAGTATGTACGAAAAGGCCGTCAATATCAATAAATTAGTTGTGATTGTTACTGCTATTATTCTCTTGTCCGATTATAAATTTTATAGACGTTGGTAGTTGCATAATTACGTTGAAAATCTGTAACACCCAGTCTTAATAGTCTCTACCACCCGGTGATAGATGACTGGAGGGAGGGGCCGAACAAAGAGGTCCCTTGTATTACTTTTTCCTTCCCTGGTAATAATTCTGAAATTTTTCAACGTTTTCTCTTCCTCATTTGGGCAGATTTATCATCCATTCTCTTTCACATTTCCACTCTTGTCTTAATATAATTATCTCATTCATAGTGCTATTATATGACCAAGGAAAACTATTTTTACTTTAAATTAAGTGTGGGAAAAGAAACTACCACTCACCATTATACATAGGAAGAAGACGAAAACCACTTTCGAACTCAAAATTTTATTGTAAACATTTCTTTTTCCCACTTTGACACTCGAAACGGATTATTTTTTATTTACTTTCTATCTGTCTTACATATATAAACCTATCAACATTTGATACTGAAAAATTATTTCTGCTCCTTGAACCTTTTTTTTCTCTTTATCTTCTTTCTATATTGTAATTATTATTTCACTTTCACAATTAGCTCATTATTCTAAGCTAATCACTCCACATATATATACATATTCAAAAAAAATGCAATACAAGAAGACTCTAGCCTCCGCTGCTCTAGCCACCTCCGCCATGGCTGCCTACGTTCCATCCGAACCATGGTCCACTCTAACTCCATCCGCCACTTTCAAGAGCGGTCTAACCAGTTACGCCTCCACCTTCGGTATTGCTGTTGAACCAATCACCACTGCTATCAACGGTACTACTTACGGTCTATCTTCTAAGGCTTCTTCCACATCCATTGCTACCTCCAAGGCTAAGAGAGATGCTGTTTCTCAAATTGCCGACGGTCAAATCCAAGCTACCACTGCTACCAAGAAGACTGCTGCTGCTGCCGTATCTCAAATCGGTGATGGTCAAATCCAAGCTACCACTGCTACCAAGAAAACTACCGCTGCTGCCGTTTCTCAAATCGGTGACGGTCAAATCCAAGCTACTACTGCTACCAAGAAGACTACCGCTGCTGCTGTTTCTCAAATCGGTGATGGTCAAATCCAAGCTACCACTGCTACCAAGAAGACTGCTGCTGCTGCCGTATCTCAAATCGGTGATGGTCAAATTCAAGCTACCACCAAGACTACTGCTGCTGCCGTCTCTCAAATCGGTGACGGTCAAATCCAAGCTACTACTGCTACCAAGAAGTCTACTGCTGCCGCTGCTTCTCAAATCGGTGACGGTCAAGTTCAAGCCACTACTAAGAAGGCTTCTGCTACCGCTGCTTCTCAAATCACCGACGGTCAAGTTCAAGCTACTACCAAGACTGCTTCTTCCGCTGCTCAACAAACTGACGGTCAAGTCAACACCACCAACGAAGATGTTACTTCTTCTGACCCAGTCACCGCTGTCTCTTGTAAGAACAATGGTACTCTATCTATGACTCTAAAGGACTCCATCTTAGTTGATGGTAAGGGTAGAGTTGGTTCCATTGTTGCTAACAGACAATTCCAATTTGACGGTCCACCACCACAAGCCGGTGCCATCTACGCTGCTGGTTGGTCCATGACTCCAGAAGGTAACCTAGCTATTGGTGACAACGATGTTTTCTTCCAATGTCTATCTGGTAACTTCTACAACTTATACGATGAACACATTGGTACTCAATGTACTCCAGTCCATCTATCTGCCATTGATTTGGTCGACTGTTAGAGAGATTAAATAAAATCTTTTTTTTATTTTTAACTCATTACCACAACCTTTTGAAACCCTTCTCCATGATAAACATAAAAAATTCCAATCTCTTTCAGTTAGCATTTGATTGGGTTTTAATTTCCACATTTTTTAGGCATTTAGTTGCTGTTGTTCGTATAAATTGTTAAAGGAAACACCAATAACAAAAATAGCATATAAGGGTTAGGAGATTACTTTACGTGCTGGTGTCACGTTTATTTGATTGTTAATATATTATTTTTTTTCACATTTTTATTTGCATATTTAAAATTTGCTTGATTGATGTTCACCTTTTTTTTACCTTCGATTTTCTTTCTTTTATTGATAGACGTTGAATCATCATCACATATTGACATTCTCCATATTCTCCCTGCTATTTTTAGTCTTTTCCTTAAAACACGTTTGATTTCTTTTATTTTAGAAGTCTTTTATTTTGTTAATATCCTAAACACAAAGTGAAAAATATATATATATTGATTAATAATAGAAACGTTTCTAACTCTGTATATTATTACATAAAATAGCTAACAGTTTTTTATTTTAATAAAAAGAAAAATCGAAAAGAAAAAATATAAGATCTTCTTCTAAATTTTATAACACTACTTAAAATTTAAATTGTATAAAAAATTTATAATTCTATTTGTTGTTGTTCATTTATTTATTGTATATAAGGTGAGAAATAAAAATTCAGACATCTTAAATGTAAAAAATGCTATTATGCCATTATTATTTTATTTTCTTTAGAAAATTAATTTAATATTTATATATTACCGTTTATTGTTAATGTTATGTTTTTAAACCCCGTGTTTAACAGTCAACCAATTCAACAACTTCCAAGTGGATTGGAGAACATTGGTCAGCAATGCTTTCATCGTACAAGTTGTAGAAGTCACCAGATAGACATTGGTAGAAGACATCTTGGTCACCTAAAGCCAAGTTACCTTCTTCAGTGATAGCCCAACCAGCAGCGTAGATGGCACCGGCTTGTGGTGGTGGACCGTCGAATTGGAATTGTCTGTTAGAGACAATGGAACCAACTCTACCCTTGTTGTCAGTTAAGACACCTTCCTTTAGGGACAAAGCTAGAGTACCAGAGTTCTTACAGGAAGTGTCAGCTGGGGATAGAGTGGCACTGGCCTTACAAGAAGAGGAAGTCTTGGAAGAAGAAGAAGCCTTTGAAGAAGAAGCCTTCTTGGTAGTTGGAGCCAAAGTAGTGGTAACCTTACCAGAGGTAGAGGTGGCAGTAGCTTGAATTTGACCATCACCGATTTGAGAGATGACGTTTCTCTTAGCCTTGGAAGAAGCAGAAGCGGAGGAGACTGGTTGAACAGCGATACCAAAGGAGGTGTAAGCAGTGAAACCACAGTCTAGAGTGGCAGATGGGGTCAAAGTGGACCATGGTTCACCTGGAGTGTAACCCTTAATGGAAGAAGAGGCAGCAGAGGCGGTGGCGGCGACGGCGACGGTGGCTAGGGCAGCGTTCTTGAATTGCATATTTGTATATATGTATGTGTGTGAATTTTCTGTGGTATATTACGGTGAATTAGAAATGAATGTGAAAGAAAGAGAGAGAAAAAAAATATAAATAAAAGTACATTGAAAAACATAAAAATATTAGTAACAAATGATATCTTTAAGTGTGTCATTTATATAGGCTTGCTGATCGTCCAACTGTCAAAAAAAATAATGATACTGAGGTCGAACTAACCATTCAGGAGAGCTACCGACTATAGTAATGAACCATTGTTTTCTATTTACTTGTTTACATATCGATTGTTTACAAAATACGTAAAAAAATTTCATTCTTGCCGCGAATTTCGCGCTGCTCCTAAGAATCTGAGGTACAACTTGGGAGCCCACCAGAGAAAATTCGCGTTTCTATGAAAACAATCCATTTTAGGCAGGCAATGTCCTCTTTTAGACAGAAGAAGCGCATAGCCAAAGAACGCGCTTTTTCTTCCCAGTAGAAGAGGTAAACGAATGAATGAAGAGGAATAGCTAAATAAACGTACGAATACTAGGTTACGTAACGGTAGGGGTTTGTTAAGTAATAGTTCTATTTTAAGAGACATAAAGAACGCGATATAACTAGTTTTGTATATAGAGTTTTGCCTGGAGGCATTATTTATGGTTAACCGGAACGCTTCTGGACACTAGTTCCCGGAGTCTAATGTCGTACCAGGTCACGTCGCACACGCGGGAACGTAATGTATCCTGTGTAAGCGTACCATCGTATGTGTGGTCCATGATCTTTGTTGAACCAGATCCCATACTCCCGTAGTTCAATTCTAAAATGGTCGTCGTGGAACCAAGTTTTACTATTAGGTTGTGCATATTTTTCAAGTGACAATCTTGGACCTGTTGTTCCAGAAGTTCAGAAGTATCTTCTTCTAACCACGGAACTGTCGATACTTCAAAATTATAAGTGGTCTCTAAGCGGACCTTATATTTCTCTGCTATTCTCGCAGAACCTGCGTCTTCCAGTGTCGGTATATCTTGTACTAGTATTACACGATTATAATAGGCTGGCCTCTCAGGGTTACTTTCAACAACAGTACTAGCCAAACGGCAACAAGTAGTAAGCATCGCAATTTGTTCTCTCTCTGGAGTTAGAAATACACCTGGAGGTACAGTAGATAGATCCCCTATTACATCATCCCAACCTGACCAACTCACGGACATGGTACCAACAAAAGTGCCGAACATTGAATCCACGGCACCAGTACCATCTTTACCAGCAAAAACTATTCCAAGTAGGTCATTTTGATTAAGAGATTGACGTAATGTATTGATTATATTACAAAGTTGTTTCAAATAACTCCCATCTTCCGCTTGACCCTCGGATGGTGGCGATAAACCTAGGCAAAGGATAACACGGCAGGGTGTTTCATTAGTTGTCTTTTCCCAGGGTAATGCAAAAATAGAACCCAGATCTAGTTCTGTTATTTGTTTCGTTAAAGTCTTAGGTAACGTATTGAACATTGTGTTACTGATACAATCATGATGTAATGGTGGTTTCTCATCTAAATGTGATAAATAGTATTCCCATTTGTTCAATAGCATATTATTGCTAAATTGTAAATATATTTCAGGTAAAGTTGTACTTTTCAGGCAAATCAGTAAACCATGCTTCTCATTCAGCTTTGTTATTGAGGATATTTGATCTGTTGGAATCTTACCACTTATACTATCTTTGGATACGTTCATCAGAATTAAAAGGTCATCGAAATAATACAATACCGTGTTTTGAAACCAATGCTCCCCTTCTGATGAATATATTACCTCATCAAACATCAATAGATGGGACTCTGGGTGTTCCACGTTAAAATTTTGAAGACCTGAATATTGAGAACAAATATGTTCAGTTAGAGAAGCTCTGATATTATCATCTTTCAACTTATTGTTTGATAGAATGTCAGGATTCTTAGTTCTCAATGGTGTGGTCTCAGAATCATTCATTGGAATTTCGATTTCGACTTTCATAATCTGTTGTGGTGATTTATAATTGACGTCACTAGTAGTTATATTCTCTAGGGTAACAATAGGGTTTCCTATATTGACATCAAATGCACTGCTCCCGTCGTATGTTCCACTGTCTAATTCTTCTGTTAATTTTAGAATCTCTTGGTAGATTTGATCATTATCAAACTCGTCGATAAAGACATTTCCTGACATAAGGGACAACTCTTGTGCTTCGGTTTTTACTATCGGCGTCCTAAATCCATCAGAACCAACTTGTTCGGAAACTACTATTTGTTCCAATGGAGTGACTAATGATAATCGGTCACTATGCATATGTCCTCTGGCGGAGTGTAATGGGAGCCATTGCGCAATAGTTGTACCATCACATTTATCTTCAGATTCTAGTTCCACATCGTCTTCTTTTTCTTCTTGCGTCCTCCTTAAAATTTTAGATTCAATATCGATAAGAGTCTCTTTATCAGTTGGCCTGGCGTCTTCCAAACAAACATCACATTCTGGTAGTTTTTCTGTCCCATATAGCATTTCCATAGCCATATAGTAACATTTATAATGACTTGCATGTCCACAATCAAGTTCGATTATCTTTTCACCTTGAAAACTATTACTTACTTTCTCTTCACAAATGACACATTTTTCTTCAACATATTTTTTTAAACCCATTGCACTAGTAACTCTCTTTCGCGGATTGTTCTTTTTGTAATACAACGGTGACATAATATCTTGTCCATCGTCGTCATCATCGTCGTCTGCCCATATTACAACTTTATCTTCTTTGTTCTGAGGTAATTCAGAAAGCTCAGATAATGATTCAATCAATAATGTATTTGTTAGATTTCTACGGTTGGATTTTGCCGATTTCATTGAAGGTGGAATTCTTGGTGAAAATCCAATGGGCGATTGTAATTGTTGCATCACCACATCATTCTCTGACTTTAGTGATATATGGGAAAATTTCTTAGCACTAGGTGGCATTGACATAGGAGATCCCAATACCAATGGTTTTGGAATCTTCGATCTCTTACCCATAATAGGCTTTGATTCGTTTGGTACAAATTGCCCTAACGCACCTGATTCTTCGACTTGTTTCCCATCTATGGACTTTCGAAAGACCTTCCCTGAGATGGCTCTCAGAAATTTCCCCGGAGTATGCCTGGGTGTCGTTGATCCTGCACTTGGCGGCGTATGTAATTTCTTAGAAGAACGAAACCTCGGTGGAGTCTGAATATTGGCACTTTGTTGATTTCTATCCATTGTTCCCAATTTTGTCTGTTTTCAAGTGTAGTAAGGTTCTTTTTCAAAAGACGATTTTTTGGAGTGCTAATAATAATGAATACGGACCTATTAGTTGAAACCGCATGCTTACTATGTTTATATATATGTGATTTAATAAAACATCATGTAAACCAAGCCATCGTAATCTTAATGCAAATAAAAAAAAATGGGGCAATCATGCAAAAACCTTTATCCTTCATTATTGAACTAGCTTTCTATCTCTCTTCTAGACTTGCATATCATTAAATAAATTTCCTTATTATTTCTGCTATCATTTCTTCGTTGGACTTAGGGTACCCGTTTCCTTTTACCTCTTTAAATCGTAGATTACATTGTTCCATTTTTGAGGTTTAACTATTTCCCTATTTTGCTTTAATTTTAACGGTTGCATCGACGAAGACAGAGAAGAAACCTCGCACCGCCAAAGAGTGAATTTTTTTTTTTCAATTTCAATGATCTAGCATACGTTTGTAATAGTGGAGGATGGTTACAGAATCAATAAATAAGGTATAACCATATCATTAAGTCTTCAGACGTAGAAATGGAATGAATTAAAAGTCCAGCAATATTTTGTAAAATTTTGGTTTGACATGAAACAGCACCGGGGTATAATTGATATAGATTCGGAGGGTCGTTTGCGGCTCTATTACAAGTTATGTGGAGTATTTGTCCTATTTACACTGGAAACAATTAGTTAAACAATTTTATCATTGTAGAAATAGACTTGTTCTCATATGCAATTAATATAAACCCCAATTTAAACATTATTATAATATAAAGATTTTCTTATCAAAGAAATAAAAACTTAAAGAAATCACTGATACGTAAATGAATAAAAGAATATAATGCGAAATATTATTAACTAGATAAAAGGAGGTAACTATATATGTATATGTATAAAAGAAGTAAATGGAACGACCATCGATTATAACACTCACTTTTAATTGATCTCAGGAGCGTTAACTAAAAGATTATGAGACCCTTTAGCAGATGAGCTTTCACCAACGTGACTCGTACCTTTTTCTTTATAAGTACTTACAGCAGGAATATTCGCTTTAATTCTAGTCACTTTTGTACCATATGCTCTTGGTTCTAATTTAATTAATGTATGCAATGGAATTGATACCCATGGAGATTCTTCCTTTGGTACATTCATAAAATAAGCATAGATACATCTTAAGACAGCTTGATGTGTAATAATTAATACATTTTCTTGTCTTTCTAATTCCATAATTACTGGTTCTAACCTAATAACAACATCTCTATATGATTCACCACCACGGTATCTGTATTCATATTTATCCTCATCACGAGCTTTAAAATCTTCTGGATAAATTTCTTCAATTTCTTCATATGTCATACCATCACAAACACCAGCATCTAATTCATCTAATGCTTTCCATTCCAATTTTGAATATGGTAAATATTGGGCTGTCTCTTTGGTTCTAGTTAAAGTGGAAGTCCATACAGATAAATCTTGTTCATTATTTTTAACATTTTCTTTAATTAAACTTTTCAATTTCGAAGCATATTTTAAGCCTCTCTCTGATAATGAAGAATCACCACCTATCTTTTGTTCGACGTTATAAATAGATTCACCATGTCTTGATAACCATATACATTTTGGTTTAATTCTAATATTCATCACATAAAATACTATTCTACTTTGTAAGTATGTTTGAATCTTATTAATAATAATTTCATGAGATATATTAATTAATTTAACAAAAGTAATATCTTTATCATCTGTTGTATTTAAAGTAGAGTAAACATTTTGATAATTTTCAATTCTTTTCATAAAATCATCTTCAGCTGATTTTTCATCCATCCCATCATAATCTGGAGATGTTATCGCAATATCTTTAACATTAGCCATAATAGTCTCAGGATCATCACACCAACTTTCTAAAAACATTGGATGAACATTATTTTTTTCACAATTTTTAATAATCCAATTTCTTCTTTCTCTTGTACTATTAGTAGCATCAATTATCGCAACTTTATTATCAATAGCATCATCAAACCATGATAACATATCTTCAAATGCTAATTTTAATGCGTTTTCCCTAATATCATAAGATGATAAATTATCAAAATCGAAAAATCCATATTTAGGGTTATCAATACCTAATACCCTTCTATAATTTCCAACATTAAAGCATTTACAATTAATTGATAACCATGATAAATATCTAACTATCTTTTGTGAAATAAAGGATTTCCCACGAGCTGGTAAACCAACCATAACCACACATAATTTTAAATCTTTTTCATTTGTTAATTTCTTTAATACCATTTTTTTTATTATTTTCTTTAGATTAGTTTAATTGGAATATTAATGAACACGTACCAGACGATGACTGTTTAGGGGTCTCTTTCAAAAAAACAAAAAAACCTTGGTATATTGATATAACTAATCAAAGAATTTTTGCTTGAATAATAAAACAGTAGGATTTTAATAAGATGATCTGGAAGAAATTGCTTCACAACGTAAATTATTTTATATATAAATGTATTTACCAGTTTTCTTTCCTTACAGACGAGAGAATTTAGTCACATTATCTCCTCGGTTTAAGTTTGGCCTTTTGTGTTTGTATAATTTATTTAATTTTATGTTTTTCTTGAAAGCCAGAAAGAAGGGATTTCAAGTCAAATCAGAATCAAACGAACTCTTTTCAGTGTGCGCACAGTGAGTTTTAATATACCCTGTGAAAGAGTAGTGAGGCTTTTTGTTTAACTCCGCCTACGTTCGTCCTCGGGTTAATTTTTTTTTGATTTCGTAATCAAACGGAAAATATATACATATGTAAGCATTTCTTCATTAGCTTACTATAAACGTTCATTAAGTACTAAGTAATATGACAAGTAAAGTTAATGAATACTAGGATTAACCGTTGGCATTATACACTGTATGATCATGGTTTGAAGAATTTTAACTGGCAAGTATTTAACCACAGATGAAATATGATTGTTTTTCTTCAAAATTATATATAAAGATGTATTCTATGGTTCAGATACAGAGTATATCGATGGTGTAATCTTCATCTCTCAAGTAGCGGAGTAAGATGATGAAAAGAACAGTAGGTCTTTTTCTTCACCTTATTTATATGTATATCATATGGGATGATATACATCAAACAGGACATGTTTTGAAACTATGATCCATTTTATTGTCCTGTTCTTTTTTTTATAGATCTTAAGAGTAATTCAATAGTTGATTGTTAGAATGTATAAATGATAAAAAAATTATGTAAATTCAATATGAATTATTGTAATGTGAGAGGAAACGATTGGTTGTATCGTTCTATGGATTCTTCGTAACTTTGTTTTTTGTTAATAATACATCGAATTTTTCAATTATTTTTTTTTATCTCACACTTTTGCTTCAATTAACAAAATAATCTGTAGTTGAACATAAAAGAATTAACTTATCTTTAAATGGTGGTAGAATTGTGATTATCTCTATGTTAATTGTATTATATGAGTTTTTATTCTTACAAAAATAATAAATATCACTTTTGTTTTTTTGTTTACTGAAGAAAAGAGACAACGGAATTTCATTTTAAACACTAAACATAATAATTTACAACAAAACTATAAAAATAAATATAGAAGATTAAACAGGTTTACTTTCGTCTTTAAGAAAGAGTAACATAGAAAGGTTCAATCGAACATCACATTTATATTCTGTTATAGATATTTTAACTGTTAACAGGAGTGATTCATTTCCCTAAAAGATATCAAAATTTTCTAGGAATATTGTAGTATTACATATCACCTGAGGAGATATTACAACAATCTAATAGAACTCAACACTAGTTTATTTAACTCATGTCCACACATTTTGTTTTTCCTGATAATAGTCGTTTGAAGTTATCTATAACATCATTTTTACTCTCTATTTTTTTCACACTTCAGTGTTTGTCAAATGGATTACCCTAGGTGTCACTTGACTTAGAACTGCTCCCCTTTGCTGAAAAATCTGATATGAAAACTGTTGTAGGACATAAACATTTACTATTGAGATGTCTAAACACTTATGATACAACTACTTGGTGGAACCGTAACAAATCATCAACGCCTACTAATTTATTAATACGTTTTATTCTTGTGAAGAAGTTTCAATTATAACTCAATTTAAATATTTCAATCAAGTTTTATTTCTTAATAAATGTGGATATGCTTATTCACACTCGGAGTCAAAAAGGCGCCAAGTAGAATAAAGGGCGTTTAACTTAAGATCACTAATTGGCAAAAATTATGTGGGAACAAGATATCTCCATTGTGTTAAACAGAGTTGCTGTTGTTAAACTGCTCATCTTTTGTGCATAGTAACGTTGGACTATGTAGCTCCAACAAACCCAATGTAGGGGGAACGAATACTACATTATGCAGTATATATCATGTGTTATTATATATACGGCAGTGCAGCACACTCTAAATTCTAGTTATATTAGCCACCTTCACCTTCAGATAGGTTAAGCTAATGTTAGCCTTTTTAGTGCTGCCGCTACATATTCAACACATTGAACTAATAAGAACTAAACACTATGTAAGGAAATGGTGAAAGAAATATTAGGTAATATGAGAAACAAAGAATTCTGAACTTACATTCTTGTAAACGTAAGTTTGAACTCGAGAAGATACGATTAGTATTATCGGACATAGATATAGATATTCAAATGTATAATCTTATAGTTTATTTTATGTTATATAAAGTAAGTCTATCTAACAAAGATTGTATACATATAAAGGTAGAATATGTGGTCCTTTTTGTAGAAAAGCTGAGATCGAGGTTTTATCTCTAGTAGTCTCCCCATGTAAAACAGAGTTGCTGTTGTTAAACTGCTCATTCAAATCATGATATTTATAGTGCGATATAGATACCTAGTTCATATAATAACTTCAAATTCAGTTCTGGGCACGTGGCGCAGTTGGTAGCGCGCTTCCCTTGCAAGGAAGAGGTCATCGGTTCAATTCCGGTCGCGTCCATTTACTTTTTCGGGGGCATTCTCCGAATAAAAGATATTTTTACCAAATGATTTGCTCCAGCCGCTAAAACAAACTCCCCTTATTCAAAAGACACTTAGAAAATAATAACTATACTATACAATACTTTACATATGAATGGACTGCCTCTAAGTAACAGGGTATTATTCATTCTATTACAAATAATTTTTTTACTTTGAATGTACATAACCAGATCCGAATAATAATAAAAATCATCTTTGCCAACTCGAATGTTGTTCAACATATGAAATTATTCTAATTATAATAAAAATAATAATTCTTCACATTCACTCCATGAGACTATTTTTTAGCTCATCCCACGCCTTGTTCTTATTCCTCTTTTTGTGATCCATCCATGTGAAAGTACATCGATAAAACAATATACAATGTGCAATATACCATATATATATTATCGTACACCCACACATCTCATCACCCCTATATATGGAGAGAGATAGTCATAACATCTCCACATTTTCCCATGTGAAAGAAGGTCAAAATATTCTACAAAAATTGGTGATTATCGTATACGTATATCGTGATGCGTCTTCTTCTTCTCAATTTTCTTCACATGCGTTTTAAAGGATTTGCGGTGCATTTTTGCTCTTTCTACGGTGGTTTCTCCATATCAACACACATATATTAGAGAGTTAGGTTGTACCCTTAAAACACACACAACACACAGATAATACGCCCCGTAGAAACGGAGTCAGCTGACAGTCTTTTAGTCTCTCGGACTTTACATGCCAAACCCCGACCCTCAAACGTCACAATATATTTCAAGTTATTATTATAGAAACAAACAGATGAGTGGAAGGTGCTACTATTTACTATTACTATTACTATTATAACAATACCGCCACCGCCACCAATTTGTGTTTCGATCTTCGTTTGAAGTAACTTCACTCTCTCAATAAATAATTTTTTAAAAATGGTCGTATAGAGAGGGATGCTATTATGATGATATTGACTTGAGCTCTCTGGCTCATGGTAGAATGTGAAAGTATATTCGGGAGAACAATAATTAGTTAGTTAGTTAGTTGGTTATTGCTAAGTTACACGTATCTCTCGCTTTTTTATTTGCATGTGAAAGTATTATATATAGATAATAAGCTAATAATCACAATTCAACAATAGTTAGAAATTTATTAGCTTACAACAAGTTAAAGTGTCTTTGTTTACGTCACCAATTCTCACTTTAATATTTAATATTTTTAATATATATATATATATATAAGAAAGTTTTTTCTTTCTTATTATTTTATTATTCTTATTATTTTTATTATTTATTATTTTCTCTTTCTCTAATTACCATTAATCAATAACACAAATTAAATTTCTATCTGTTCAACCAGTATAATTAAGAAACGAATAAAATTATTTTAACCCTTTCTCCATTTTTAAAACAATGACTGCTGCTCAATCTACTGAATGTCATATTCCATTTAATCCTGAATTTTGTTCAGTTTCAAACAATGTACTAACTTCAACTTACACTTATAAGAATACCATTGTCTCTAAAGATCTAGAAACTTCAAAAGTTTCAATTAAACCAATTGAACAAGATTATAAATTTAAACTTGATTTAACTGTACCAAAAGTGGGTATTATGTTAGTTGGTTTCGGAGGTAATAATGGTTCAACTTTCTTATCCGCTACTTTAGCTAATAAACATAATATTGCCTTCCATAATAAAGAAGGTTTACAACAACCAAATTATTTAGGTTCAATGACCCAATCTTCAACTATTAAATTAGGTGTCGATTCAAAAGGTAATGACGTATTTGTACCATTCAATTCTGTCTTACCTTTAGTTAATCCAAATGATTTAGTCATCACTGGTTGGGATATCAATTCCGCTAATTTAGCCGAATGCATAGAAAGATCTCAAGTCCTTGAATATGATTTACAATCTAAATTGAAACCATACATGAAGAATTATAAACCTTTGAAATCTATCTATTATCCAGATTTTATCGCTATGAATCAATACGATAGAGCTAACAATTGTTCTAATGAAATTCCTTCTGACGTTCAATCTGGTAAGAGAGAATATGACATTAATAACAAATGGGCTGATGTTGAAAAAGTTAGAGCTGATATTAGAAAATTTAAAGCTGATAATCAATTAGATAGTGTTATTGTCTTATGGACTGCTAACACTGAAAGATGTGTTCCAATCATTGAAGGTGTTAATGACACCATGGATAATATCTTAAAGGCAATCAAAGAAAATCATGAAGAAATCGCCCCTTCTACTGTTTTTGCTGCTGCTTCTATCCTTGAAAAGACTCCTTACATTAACGGTTCTCCACAAAATACTTTTGTCCCTGGTTTAATTGAATTAGCTGAAGCTAATGACTCTTTAATTGCTGGTGATGATTTCAAGTCTGGTCAAACTAAATTGAAGTCTGTCTTGACTCAATACTTGGTCGATGCTGGTATTAAACCATTATCTATTGCTTCTTACAACCATTTAGGTAACAACGATGGTTTGAACTTATCCTCTCATAAACAATTCAGATCTAAGGAAATCTCAAAGAGTTCTGTCATTGATGATTGTATTGAGTCCAACGATATCTTGTATCCAAAGGAAGCTATCGTCGAAGGTGAAAAGCCTGTTGATCATTGTATTGTCATCAAGTATATGAAGGCAGTAGGTGACTCTAAAGTCGCCATGGATGAATATTATTCCGAATTGATGCTTGGTGGTCACAACAGAATATCTGTTCATAACGTTTGTGAAGATTCTCTATTGGCTACTCCATTGATCATTGATTTGGTCATCATGACTGAATTCTTCTCTAGATTATCATACAAGAAGGTAGATGAAAATGGTGTCGAAGAAAACGCTGAAGCTTATGACAATGTCTATCCTGTGTTAGCTTTCCTAAGTTATTGGTTGAAGGCTCCATTGACAAGAAAGGGTTTCAAGCCAATCAACTCCTTGAACAGACAAAGACAAGCTCTAGAAAACTTGTTCAGATTGTTAATTGGTCTTCCAGCTAATGACGAATTAAGATTCGAAGAAAGATTGGTTTAAGTTTATGTTTCCAACCTTTTTATTTCTTTCTTACTTTTAAAACAATTCCCCCCAACGTTATGAACGGTTATGTTTATTATATTTCCTATTAAAATCAAATAAAAAGAATAATAATATAAATAAATACATATATACACATAGATATATATACCTAGATTGTTGCTATTGGTAATATTAAACTATATGTAACTCTAGAAATGACCTCAGATAAAAAAATAAAAATAATAAATAATAAATAATAAATAAGTAGAATGTTGATACGTTTGAAAGATACTTCAAAAAAAAAATTATATATAAAAAGGACATATATATTGAATATTTATTTCTTTGGATGGTCCTATATCAGACCATTAAAGTTAAAAACAAAAAAAAAATGAGAATGTGCAACTAAAGTAGCATCATTGCAGCAACAGAAGCAGCAACACCACCAACGACATATTTATTAGGGTTCATTATAGCATTAGCACCATTAGAGTAATCATCATTCAAGACATGGCGTTTAGAATGCTCAACATTCTTCTTACCGAACAAAGATTGGATGATTTCAAAGTAAATAGAGGCAAGGTTTTCATTGCCCTCTAGGATATCTTTACTTAGATTTGGGTTTTCTTCCAAAACCTCTTGATCTTTATTGGATTTTTCTTTACGACGAGATGATTTCTTTTCTCTGTCAGATTCTCTGTGAGAATCATCCCCTTTAGATTTCTTACCATGATGCATCTTCTTGCCATGACGACGACCTGCACAATCGTAGTCTTCATGATTACCATCCTTTGAATGATGTTTACCATGTAATTTATTATCCTTTTCATCATCCTCTTCTTCATTCAGATGTTTAGCCTTGTGATATTTACCATGACGTTCTACATCCCTTTCATCATCTTCACCTTCTTCTTCTGATTTGCGATGTCTACTGTGACGCTCATCATCACTATCTCCATCAGCATCTTGATGCTCAGACTTGTGGTGCTTAGATATATGTCCATCATCCTTTTCATCACCATCAATTGGTGGTTCATCTGGTCTATGATGAGGAGGACGGTGATGAGGAGGACCATGATGAGGAGGACCATGATGAGGAGGACCATGATGAGGAGGTTCACGTTCATAGTCCGAATCGTATTCTGAATCGTAGTCCGAATCGTAGTCCGAATCACTATCAGACTCTTCATCATCTGAATGATGATACTTGTCAAACTTACGATTTTTCAAAGGAGGTTCGACATGACCATTCATCAATTCTTCTTTCTTTAAGGAATCAACTTCATGTTCAGCATTTTCGTTTTTACCTAATACAAATGTTGCAGTAGACAAAGTGACTGCAGTCAATGTAACTAACTTCATTTTTTACTGTTTAATTAGTTTATTAATGTATTAAATATTAGATAACAAAAATATTCATGAAAATGATTTTGGAAGAAGGTATAGTAAATATTAAAATATGTATGCATTTTTTTAATTAATCTGTTTATATAAGAATATGCAATATAATTTTGACATTATTGCACCTGATTAATTATCAGGAAAGAAAAAGAGAAGAGATAAAAGACAAAAAAATTAGGTTGAACCACCAGCCCCTTCCTAAACATTTTATATTTCACTGCAACTGTTTCTGAGTTTAATTATCTCAACTTCTTAGACTATTCGTCTGTTCATTGAAAAAAAATGCCCGGAAAAACTTGCATCGCTATTTGGGGAGAGGAATCTTTCAAAAAATAAAGTCTTGGCAAAAGCAGGAAAAGTTAAAAAAAAAAATTATCAGAGAAAATGTTTAGTGGAGAGGCTTAGCAAAACAAAAATAAAAAATGTAAGGAAAGAAAGACTAGACTGCATTAGTTATTGTTTTTTTTGACTTGAGCTGAGCAGTTAGTAGTATGAATATCTTATTTGCTCAAACCAACCCCAACAACAACCAGAAATTAGGTTAAGGAGATAAGACAGAAATATATTGATTACTCTTTTAGGAATGCAGCAGCAGCACCCATTCCTGTACCAATACACATTGAGACTATTCCAATTTGTCCCGTTTGTAATTCTCTCATTATTGTAGCTACTTGTCTTGCACCCGTACAACCTAAGGGATGACCTAAAGCAATTGCACCACCTCTTGGATTAATTTTTTCTTGATCGATCTTTAAAATATTTGCGCAGTATAAACATTGAGCAGCAAAGGCTTCATTAATTTCAAAAATATCAATATCATTAATTGATAATTGTAATTTTGATAATAGTTTTGGAATTACAAAAGCTGGTCCAACACCCATAATTTCTGGTGGTACACCAATAACTTGAAATGCTAAATAGCGTGCCATAATTGGTAAACCTAAGGATTCAGCAACAGATCTACGTGCTAATAATACACCGGCAACACCATCAGAAATTTGTGAAGAATTTCCTGCCGTAGTAGTACCATTTTTTTTAGGGTCCTTAATGAATGCAGGATTCAATTTTGATAAAGAATCTACTGAAACATTTTCACGTGGTCCCTCATCAGTATCAATAATTTTTCCTGAAGAAGGTGATTTTAATGGTAAAATTTCGTCTTTAAATAAACCTTGTTTAATTGCTTCAATAGCTTTTTGATTTGATTTTGATGCAAACGAATCTTGTTGATTTCTATTAATATTAAAATTTTTTGCAATTAATTCATTTGTTAAACCCATTGGTATTAAACATTTTTTAGCATTTTTATCATTTAATAATTCTTCAGAGATTGATCCTAATGGATTGATATTTTTATAATTCTTTGACATTGATTCAACACCTAATGCAAGACCGATATCAATTTGTCCCGATGAAATCTTATTAGCAATGTCATTAACAGCAGTTAAACCTGAAGAACATTGTCTATTGATTGCATTAAATGAAGTTTGATAAGGGAACCCTGCAGCAAGCATAGCAGCTCTATGTTCCGTAGCACCTGCACCAACATTCAATACATTACCACAAGTAATATCTTCAACTAAAGCTAAATTCTCTTGTAGAGATTTTGGCCAAATTTCAATAAATTCTTTTAAGAAAGATACCAATAAATAGTCTGTATTAATATCATTAAATCCACCTTTAAAACCTTTTGTAATAGCAGATCTATTTGCTGCAATAATGACAATATCATCAGGATTTTTTGATTCTTTAATAATTTTTAAATTTTGTGTTGTTGATACACTATCTGGTGCAATATGATTCTTAATATCTTGTAACCTTTGAGACATATTGTTATTGTTATTGTTGTTATTGTTATTGTCGTTGCGATTATATGTAGTACATTATATTAGGAAATACGAATAAACTGACATATATTTATATCTTCCAATCCCCATTTATATATGATGTGAAATAGATATTTTTTAGAATTTGGGACGTTAAACGGTACATATATTATCGGAACTCCGACCTAACCGCCGAACCTTCCCTCTATCTACCTTCATCTCTCCAATTTTCTATCCCCCACCCGACAAATCCTTAACGCCGCGTCGTCGTCTCCAATACCCCAAACCACCCTCCATTCACTATAATTTACAATTTCTTAGTATATAACAGATAGTCAATATCCATGAACATTAACACCGATTATATATCTATATCTATTTATTTATATTGGAGAAACTGAATCAATAAAGAAAGATATAGTGATACAGATGAATGATTGTCTGCATATACATATATATACATGCATTGCAATAATTACAATGATTATCAGTAACGAATGAACCGTTGTTTCAGCAGTGAGTGATCCTTCTCTCTCTGTGTCTCACTACCTGGAAACAGGTAGTGATTGTAATACCAATGATTATTTACTGGGCGGCTAAATTGAACAAATATATATATATATATTTATATATAAAGAGAAGAGGAGAGAAGACTTTCTACTTTTATAGATATCAGAACGGGATTTCACCATCTCACACCAGTTACTAATACTACTAACGATTCTCATTCCACATTATCACAACATTCAGAATCAATTTCATTTATAATTATATATACTTTATATATTCGACCACTATCACGTTACACGAGCTACAACATATTAATAACTCGTTCACAGCCTAGCCTACCTGTCGCTCCCGCCCCATTATCATCAGTTACCATTCAATATTTACTATTTATTTTGATGTTTAAATAGTAAATATTAGTAGTGGCCTGACTGGGAAATATCACAACAACAAAGCGGAAAAGACTGAAAAAAAAACAAAAATTTAGAGAGAAAAATTTCAACGGATATAGCGACTAGACAGATCAAAACAGTAAAACCCTACCATCATACATTCATACATTGCACAATATTTGATTAGAATCAACTAAATTTATATATATCTTTATATATATCTATCGATTAAGGTAATGAATCATATTACAAGTTTGACAATATACACATTGATACATACAGATACACAGAGATACAGAGACACAGAGACACAGACACGTATATAGATATAGATTATTATTTTTTAGATTAGAATCATGGGACATACACAAGTAGCAGTAGGTTGTGCTGTTGGTATTCCAATTGGTGTTGGTATCATTATCGCATTGATCTTTTGGTTACGTTTGCAACGTAGGTTTAAGAAAGAAATGGAAGATGATAAAGAATTAGAACACGCAATATATGATGAATCAGGTTTCATATCATTTGATAATTTTGATTCTTTAAAACAAGATAATAATGTTCATGAATTTCAAAGAGATTTATCAAGAGCTTCAGAGACAACTTTAGGTACTACCACAGATCAAGGATCATCGATTACACATCCAAGACATGGTAATAATAGTAATAATAAAAAAAATAATAATAAAGTTTATATTCCTGCATATAGAAAGAGAATTAACTCAATGCAAGCTAGATCAACAAGGATGAGTTCTTTCAATAATAATAACAATAATAATATGTCAGAAGCAAATTCAAGTGATCTAGGTCCACATAACGTACAAACTAACAACAACAACAACCATAATAATAGTTCAATGACATCATTATCTGAATTACCTCCACAACATACCTATAAACAAACACCACAATTACTCTCTAGTGTATATGATCAAATGGTACCAATGGTTGAATCATTAAATAACGAAACTTACTTTTCAAAACCAAGAGGAGAACCAATTGGAAGTAGTAATAATAACAGTAATATGATTTCAACAGCTACTTTTCAATCATCCTCAGAAAATTTGCATAACTCAAATAGTTTCTTAATAAATGGTAATTCGATGGATCAATATAATAAATCACAATTGAAAAACTTATATCATAATAGTGATTTAGATCTAGGTTCATATTATCCGCGTCATCCATCTTCTTCGGGACTCACCCCAGGAAATAATCAAGGCGATACTTCAAGTAATATTATTGGAAATAGTACCGATTATACAAATACATATGATTCCCCATCTGTAGCGAGTCACTTGTATTCAGGATCTCGCTCAAATTATACTGGATCTCCAAGAACAAGGAATCTTCAAAATCAAAATAATAATATTTTCGCTACACCAACGACCGAAAAATCTGCATTTGATTTCCCTTCATCAATAGATAATGCAAGTATAGAACCTAAACATACACATCATTTACACAATAGAAGTAAAAGTCAGAATAATGTTGATTTAAACGGGATAAACAGTACCACGACGGGTAACTTACCTTATGATCAACATAGTTCAGATTCAGATTCAGAACAACCTCAAAGTGTTTATAAATTACAAAATAATTATGACGTTCAAAATAATAATGAAATTGAAGAAGAGGATCAATATGAAAATGAATTTACAAACTATACAGAAAATAGAAGAGAATTTATTAATAGTATGAGACCACACTAAGAAAAATCTCAATATCCACATTACCATTACCTAGAGCATTCATTTGACAACTACTATTCTCATTCATCAACAATTTATCTATTCATGTTAAAGCATCAATTCTTATTTCTTCATTATTTTTCCTTTTTTTTACCATAGTGTAACGAGAATCATTCATTTATATATACATATATATATATATATGCATATCTATTTATATAATATTAGACATTTAGGGACTTTAATAGCAATTCATTTTGAAGGAAAAGAATCAAAATATAGTTTATATTATTGTTACATATTACGTATAAGTCTGCATATTCTTTGCCAATCCAAAAAAAAGAAAGAAAAAATTAGAATAAAACTAAACGGCTGGTACCAAGATGATATATCGAATCAACTTGGGTTTAAGTAGTAGAATGGATCATTACTATCCTCTTCTTCAGATGGTGGCACGTCCGCTTCACGAGGAGTAACCCCACGATCCTCTGGTGAAGTCGTTGTTACAGAACTACTAGTTGAAGAATCTGCATTAATACCATGTCTATCGAGAGAACGCAATTTTTCCCAAAAATCAATACCATCATCAGATGAATAATCTTGTTTCGATCTACTTGTTCTTCTGGAAATTGAATGCGTTTTCCCTTCATCGTAAGGTTTACTTGATTCTGATTGTGTAGTCTTACCCTTCTTTCTTAATTTTGAGTGTTTATGTTTACTACTAATTGATCTTTTCCTTCTTCCTGTACTGGAAGACAATGGAGATGGGTTCAATATTTTATTAAGATCGGAATTTCCAGTCTCGGAGGAACCTAATTGAGGTCTAATAGTAGGAGGTAAATAATTGAAATGTGAAAATCTACTTGGTCCTACATCAGGTATATCACTGGTTTGAGATTTAATAGTCCCATGACTACCTGGTGTGGTATGGACCATACTACTCGAACCATCAGATTTTAATGAATGCGGACTGACTCTATTTGGTCCACCTACATTAGAGAAATGTGGAGAGGTCATCGTAGAGTTACTTCCTGCACTTTCTGCTGTTAATATTGCCGGGTTAGATACTGTTTTGACATGTGGATAAAAAAGATGATCTCCAATATTTTTATTGTCCACATTTGGTGAAGGACCAAATTCTAAAGAAGGATAATTTGGAGTCTGAGCTTTGGTTAAAAAATTTATGTCATCAGCTCCATGTTGTGTTCCCAAATCTTGGTGGGCTTCTTGTATTTGGTCACGAATATGAAAATTGGGGTCTTGGTTTCTAGCAAGTTGATGCATAACATCTTCTGGTAATGAAACAGCACTCTTCACCATATATGGATTTTGATAAAGTTCGACAATCGAAGCAGGTGAAAGACCCTTAGAATTTGAACTGCTGGCAGTCGAGGCATTTTGATCAGACATCTTACTGTTTATACTGTTCCGTAATCCACTTCCACCATAATGATTATGAATATGTTGATGAACAGAAATTTTTAAGGAATATTTTCTAGCCTGGTCAATTAATTCTCGAACAAGCTCACTGTTATTGATTAAACCATTTGATATTGACAAACCTTTTCTATCCTTTAGCGTAAACTTCCATTCTGTTTGAGTATGTAAAGCTGCAGCTGGTACCGATAGAATTGCGTTAGGCGTTTCACTAGATATACTGGGACTTGTTCCACTAGGGAGATTTATATCAGATATATTATGAGTAATTCCATCACTCTTTAATGACTTTTCTGGAATCGGTGTTGCCTGTTGACGTTGATGATATTTATCTAATGGAATCGTCGAATCTAAAATTAGACCAGTTGCTCTTACCAATGGAGATAAAGAATCTTCCAAAATCTTTGTATTATGAGGGTTCAACATAGATGGATTACTGTTCCCTGGATGATTCATATTTTCTAGAAACCCCGGCGACGGAGTTAATTCAGATAAAGATGGCAACTGTTTATTTGTCGATACACTATGTTTTTCCGAGTTCGAGAGAGAATGTAAAGCGGTAGTATCTAGCCGATCCAATACCGATTTATTATTTGTTACATTGTTATGAGATGGTGATCTTCCGCCGTCCATGATTGGGCTATTACTACTGGTCGCAATATGTTTAGAAGATTTAATCATATCCTTTCTTTCCATGTTCAGTTTTTCACCCTTCGTTTCTCTTGAGATCTGAGATAGATCTATATCTTTATTTTCTTTCACAGCTTTTACAATTGCTTCGTCAGCTTGATCTCGTACTACCATAGTAATAATTTTCCTCCATCTATTTCTACAGGTCAAAGAAGGTCTAAACTCCATCTCTGATGATATTTTTCTCCATTTGGTACCATAAGCTTTCACTTTACTAATAAGTGCTAAATCTTCTTCTAAACTCCAAGCTCTCAATCTTCCTTTACTTCCAGGACCTAACACTTCGATATATCTCTTTGCACATTGATCCTCAGTTCTCCCATCAATTTCTAAGGAAACACTTAACCAATGTGCCCCGAACTTTTCGTATGATCGTATTAATTGTTCATCTTCTTCTTTTGTCCATCTACCTTTTTTCAAATTAGGGTCCAACGAGCCAGTCCATCTTTTCCTCAAATCCTTGGCTGTCCTCAACTCGTTTCTAAATTTCTGTGCCAATGATTCCCATGGAACTCTCTTACTCACCTCTACAGACTCATGAATAGTCTTCACGGAATCTATACCTCCAGGGTATCCCAACTCCTTTAATGCATCACTAATTAATACTCGCAACTCCTCATCTTCCTCTTTCGACCAAGAATTTCTACCGTTCTTTCTATGAATCTGGTACCCCAATGACTCAGTTATTTCCAACAAGTCAAAGGTCTTGGCTCTCTTACCCTTTGCCTTCTTTTCTTTCTTTGCCATATTTTCTTTTCTTGCTGGAAAACAAAAACAGCAGGCCTATCAAATCGTTTTCGTAGTGGAGTACTCCTACTTCGACACAACAACAATAAAAAGAACGACTGTCGTACTAATAAATAGTCACCTATCTGGCACTTCTTTAACCTTTAACGGTATTCGTTTCTTCTTTAACCTGAAATTGTTGATGTTGTTGATGCTCATCGCTAGTCTTTTCAAATTTTTTTTTCTTCTTCTTTACTTCCTCATCGCATAGTGACCGTCTCTTTCTTTTTTTTTTCTTTTTCTTTCTCACCGTTTGCCCATATTTTGAACCTGAAAAGTTTAAGGAATCACGTGATACTACGCCATTTTATTGAGATGTTGGTACCATTATTCAAGTAACTTAAGATATCAATAAAGCGATAAGATTCGAAGGACAACTACAAGTGGTCTGATTCTCGAAGTTACAATGTAATGGACAATTATACTTTCACATTCGAGACTGTTATTTGTTACTATTATGATTATTATTGTATTATTATATATTAATATTTAGAGATATGAAGATATCGAGGTGATAGGTTGAAAACGCAAAGATGAGAGGGGAATGGTTGATGATGATGTAAGGCAAAAATTAATGGTCGAAAATGTTGTCATGATATGTATTTGTTTCTTCGTTTAAAATTGTGGTCCTGCTACCAAAACATCTGGAGTAGCTTTGTCCTCGTAAGTATGAAAGTTTTCAACAAACAATGATGCCAAATTCTTAACAGCTGAAGTGTACTTAGCTTCACCTTGAGCCCAATTTCTCATTGGGTTCAATAGTTCAGATGGAACATCACAGACATGTGTTGGTACTTGTAAATTGAATACTGGTAATGTTTCGTATTGTTCTTGTGCTAAAGTACCATCATGAATAGAATCTAAAATAGCTCTAGTGTACTTCAATGGACAACGTTTACCACCGGATACATAAGAAGAACCGGTCCAGCCGGTATTGATTAACCAGGCGTTAGCATTGTGCTTAGACATTTTCTCAGCCAACATAGTAGCGTATCTGATAGGATGTAATGCTAAGAATGGCTGACCGAAACAAGACGAGAAAGTTGGTTCTGGTTCTGTAACACCTTGTTCTGTACCTGCCATCTTTGAAGTGTAACCTGAAATGAAATGGTACATAACTTGTTCTGGGGTCAATTTTGAAATTGGTGGTAAGACACCAGAAGCATCACAAGTTAAAAGAATAATATTCTTTGGATGAGAATCAGCAAAACATGGGATTTTAGCACTTGGAATATATTCAATTGGGTAAGCACATCTTGTATTTTCAGTAATTGATTTATCTTCGTAATCAACAACACGAGTAGTTGGATCATAAACAATATTTTCAAGAACGGAACCAAATTTAATAGCATTAAAGATTTCTGGCTCCTTTTCAGCAGATAAATCAATACATTTAGCGTAACAACCACCTTCAATATTGAAGACACCATTATCGGACCAACAATGTTCATCATCACCAATTAATAATCTATGTGGATCAGCTGATAATGTAGTCTTACCTGTACCAGATAAACCGAAGAATAATGTAACATCACCATCTTGAATACCTTGATTTGCCGACGAATGTAAAGTCAAAACATTGTGATGGACAGGCATTAAGTAAAACATAACAGTAAAGATACCTTTCTTCATTTCACCTGCATATTCAGTCCCTAAGATAATCATTTCCATAGCCTTGAAATTAATTTCAACTGTTGTCTTTGAAGTCATATCTTCAGTATTCTTATTAGCAGGGAATTGACCGGCATTCCAAACGGTAAAATCTGGTTCACCAAAATTTTCTAATTCTTCCTTTGTTGGTCTAATTAACATATTAGTCATGAAAAGAGCATGATAAGCTCTTGCGCAAATTACACGAACTTTAATTCTGTATTTTGGATCCCAACCTGCATAAGCGTCGACAATGTATAAATGATCTCTTGTTCTTAAGTAGTCAGCAGCACGTTCACGGTTAATTGCCCAAGTTCTTTCTGAACATGGTTTGTTGACTGGACCCCACCAGATTTCATCCTTTGAAGTAGATTCTTCAACTATACGTTTATCACGAGGTGATCTACCAGTTTTTTCACCTGAGTAAGCAATTAAAGCACCAGTAGAAGAAATAGCAGTTTTATTTTCATGAAGACCATCTTCATATAATATAGCAGGTGGTGCGTTACGTCTAATTGTAGTAACGTCATTACTTAATCCTAATTCTTCTCTTAATTTTGATTCAACAGATGCTGGATCTGAAGGAGATGTAACTTTAACTTTAGAAGGAGACATGATTTATTGATATATTATGGATTATAATCTTTTGTTTGTTTGTTTGTTATGATAGAAAATTACTTACGTTAATGATAAAAGTAATTAATAATACTATTATTAGTGTTAAAATAACAAAAAAAATAAAAGGAAGAAAGAAATAAATTATAAATTACAAATTATATTCTATTGAAATATTAATAGCATTCACCCTTATATATAAAAATAAAAAATAAATCATTATTAATAATATACTTTTTTTTTAAATCTAAAACAACCAATTGAATTAGTTCCAAGTTAAAAGGACACCTTTTATTTTGCGTATGTGTTATAGTCGTATCCTTTAATTAACGCGTAAATATTCATTTATTCCTTTAAGGATCGTTTATTATTAACTATTATTATGTTCTCTATGGACCCTCTCTCTATACGTTTATCTTTTCTTTTCTTTTTGTGTCGTCTGGACAAATGGAGAGTGAAATAAAATAACTCATCTATGTCTCGGTCAAACGGAGATGTGTTATTCTGGTTGATGTTACAACAGCCGCACCTCGTCTATATTTGATTCTCCGCTTTGTTGTCTGAGAAAGTTAAGTTTTTGCAGAAGTAAATAAAAAACAAAACGCAATATTATATAACACGGACGAACGGAACTCTCCTGCAGAAAAACTTTAACGAGCTTTATCCGAGATTTCCCGATCGACACCGCTTGGAGGCTTCTCCATCTCCACGCCAAAAAAACAGAAACAAAAAATTGAAGACCCAACTGCCAATACTGAAATTTTTGCTGTACCCTTCGGTCGAACGGACTTTCTGGGAAGGTATAGCATAGCAACCACCCTATCGCCCCCACGTTTCACCGTCCAACGCTTTCCGACGTTCATTCACACACCAACTCAAGAGGAAGGAGAAGCTAAAGAGTCATATACAATTTATAAATAACTCGCAAGACACACATATATTTTCTGGATTTAATTGACTGTTCTCCGAGTCTCGGTGAAGTTGACATATTTTTCAGGTTAGCCGCCAACCGCGTTTCCCTTTTCTGTTCTTTCTTCTACAGGGACAGGGTCAGCGAGTGGCTGAAGCAGAATATTGAACAAGATACTATATAGGGGGAAAATCTTTTGCATTACATAACTAAATTATGCCATAATAATGATATTTCGATTCTCGTAATCAATCTCTTATTTTTTTTATTTTTAAACATTTATGCTTTAATAATTGTAAATATATATTTATATAATAAATACTTACTGGCCATTAATTCGTACAGACATTATTCTTTATACCCATCTTTGTACATAATGAAAAGATGAAATGCGTACTGAATGTCATTACTTGCTGATCCTTAGCCTTCTTTGCCATGGTAATATCATCCGTGACTAAGACAACATATATGAAATCAGATGACATTCCAATCGTATTATGTTCTTTGAATTTTTGCTGTGCTTTCATAACTGCTTCAATGACAAATTCATCAACATGCGAACGCCATGTAATTTGTTCTTCAACTTCTAAATGTTCTTCAATATCTGCTGCCATATTACCAGTAAATCTTAATGGTAATAATTTATCCTCTCGATATAATTGTCTCATAGTAATAATGGCTCTAGCTGCAGCCTCTACAACATTTTCATCCTTTGATTTACGTAAAAATCTTAATTCTTGGAATGTAGTTAAACATACTGCAAATCTTAATACATTATTTGTGGCAAGTTTATAAATATGTGCAAAATGGCGCAACCATGAAGTAGCATCAAACACAAAATAAGTAAACTCTTTATTGATTACATCTAATGGATCATCAAAGGTATCAAATGTATTTTCTTGGCCCATATATTTAGTAAACCATTCCTCTTCATCTCCAAATATACCATTTGTTGATGGTTGTGTCGGTATTGGTTGGGTTGGTGTAATCTCTGTATTTGCTGTCGTTGTTGTCGCTATTGTATTAGGAAAATTAAATCCAGATGATGATTTTGAAGAATCTACGACAACAGGCGTACTACCGCTATTATTATTGTTAGCACCGCCACCACTCATTACATTTTTATTGTTCGTCAAATATTTTGTGTATAATGAAGAACTTATTACATCACCATTCTTATCAAATGATTCACTATCAGGGAAAAACTTCTTATAACCAAGATAATCAAATATACTTTCTCCTGGTATTAGACTCAATGATGGTGCTGCACCAAAATTAGAATTTATTTCATCAATTTCTTCACATAATGGAATCATTTCATTAAATCTTTCTGATGTGTCTTCAGTATAAGGAATAGCTTTAAAACAAAAAGTTCGTAAGATATGGGATGGTTCAACTTGTGGATCATTACAATATACTGACACATCATTAGAGATCGCTAAACCAATATTAAATTCTTCAGCAATTTTCTTAAACATAAAGATTAGACGTAATGCTCTTTTCCAGAATTTTTCCCCAATTTCATCTTGGGTATCAAAATCAATACCATCAATTGGTAAATCTAAAAACATATGATCCTTAATACCCAATTGTTGAAAATTTTCAGCTTTCAATGCACCTTTATCACATAATGTATCATACCATAGAGTACCCCAACATTTCCAAACTTCTGGTAATTCTTCATTATCATTAAAATATATTAGTAACTCATCCAATGTTTCAAACCTAGAATATTCATCACAAATACTATTAATACATTCACAATTGTGGAAATTATCAAGAGCATAAGCGATCAAAACATTCAAGAAACTTGATATAGTATTCCATGGGAAAAGTCTCTTTATTAATACATTCCAAAACTTTAACGAACTTTCATCATCTTGGAATGTACGACGTGCTTTTGTAGCAGTGGCCACAATAAAATATGCCCATGGTAGGAAATGAGGTAATGCAATTAAAAATGGTCCATGTAAAAATTTCTTCAAAACAATCATACTACATTTCAATGAAGTCAAATTCACAAAATCTAAAGACTTTAGCCATATATATATATTAGCTTTCTTGATTGGAGCCTTTAGAGAATCAATATTTTCAAAAAAATCTGTGGTAGATATTTGAATACTTGTTTGATCAATAGACATATCAGATCCAAGATCCCCTGTTGGTTGTAAAGTTGAAATTGGAGAATTCACTGTTGTTGTGGTGGCTGAAGAAGTAGCTATACTATTAGTAACATTAGAATTGGTATGGTTATTGGCATTATCATTACCATTGGAGTTATTACTATTAGAATCAGCAGTTCTCGTTCTATTCTTATCCTTCTTGTCCTTTCTCTCCTTTAAATATTTCGGTAAATCAAATAAAATGGCAAATGGATTTTTTGGGTCACCAAAACCTATTATTTGTAATATATGAGATTCTGCAAATGCTGGAGCATGTCTGAAATAGAATCTTAATGACGAAGGTATCTGGGTAAACATCTGTTGAGTTTCAAATATATTGTTTTCATTGTAATCAATTCCAAATCTATCTTGGAAATAATTCAAAACCACACGTTGTAATTCTGCATTCTCTAAAAATGTTGGCAATAGCATGACTTCACTATGTTTCAAATAATCAATCAAGTCAGAGTTTCTAATGTTACCATTGTTGGTTCGATCAACGAATGTACGTTGGTAAATATTGTCAATGACTAATTGCATGTATTGTTGAGATGGTGTAAAAGTATCCTGACAAAAGACACTCTTCCCTAAATTGACGAATGCTTCTAAAGTATTTTGTTGCACTGTAGACATATGATAATACAATTTACCATGGCTATAGGTAAATTTCATGGCCTCTAAATACCAATATTCTGCACTTAATTTCCAATCTATGAATCCTGATGGATACAAGGCAATTGCCATCCTTGATAAATCACCTAATCTTTGTAACCATGGAATGGAATGTTTTGGAGGTATATCTATAAGCATTGTAGATAAAGATATGAAAACGTGAGTAATAAATTGAGAACAAACATCTGGATCCATGAAATTTGAAAAATTCTTCAATACGTCTAAGAAAGTAATTGTACCATATACCCATAGTCTTCTTTCAATTCTATAAATCTCTATGATTTCTTCACCAATTAAAATATCTTGTGGTGATTGAGAAGGTAATAATGCAGTGGTAATGAAAGTGGTATAATTATTAATTAGATCGATATTAATCTTGTAAATTGTCCATAAATTTTTCAATTCTGTTGTTTGAGAAGTTGTTAATTGTGCACAACGATCTTGTAATTCAATTTCTTGCTTCACAATTAGCTTGTAAATATCTTGAAGTTTTTGAATCAATGCTTGTCCAGTTTTCTTCCCATTAGTTTTATCGTTAGAGCGATTATTGTCGGGATTACTCCCGTCATCATTATTATTATTGTTATCATTATTGGTGTTGGTATTGGTGTTATTATTGTTATTATTATTATTGTCCTCATTATTAAATGTATTCTCCGAAGTATCTTGATTATTATTATTATAATTGTTGTTATTTGTGGTCTCATAAGGTTGATTGGTTTGCGGTACATTTGGAGTTTCTGCATATTCTGTCACAGAGACAAGCTTCTCATTATTCGGCACAATTACAGTAGCTATTTGTTGTTGTGATCTATGGAATACCTCATATGTATTATTATTAGTGGTATTATTCAATTGCTGTTGATTCATGGTATGTTCAGGAGATATAGTTGGTGATCTATTTGAAAAAATAGTATTTTCTAAAGGTGAATTTGCCTGAGTTGGGATTCTATTAGGAACCACCCCAGAACTATTATTCATTCTTAACAATGAGACATGATCATTATTAAGAGGTGTAGTAGTACTTGGTGCTCCAATCAAAGAATTCCTCATATTCCTCATTGTCACTGATGGATCCGATATGATATAGGATGGTTGTGGAGTCACGTTAATAACTTTCTTATATGTTGGATCCATTGATGGTGTAGATGGAGGTGGAGTGGAATCCTCATTCACATGAGACAAAAGTTGATTCGATATAGAGTTCCTTAAACTTGTATTAACGTTTGCCTGTTGTGAAGATGATAACAATAATTGTTCACCTCTGACAGGGTCTGTCATTATAAAACTTGATGGATTCATAAAATCAGGTTTAGTTATCCGTCTCTTATTTCCTATAGTTGGAGCCCCTGTCGAATATCTCTTTGGACGTGCTACTGCCGACATACCATGTGGCAACACTGATTTGTTCTTCTCTTTGTTACTATTCATATTATTATTCGTACTATTACTTGTGGGATGTTCACCATTAAACCTACTCATAGTAATACTGAGTTTTGGTAGCCCGGTGTTAATTTTGTTGTTGTTGTTGTTGTTGTAAGGGAGCAAAAAAAGATCGTGAGCAGAAGACGATTTCTGTAAAGGATACTTCTTTATACGTGAGTTTTCTGAGTAATTGATAGGATGTATGGACAATTCAGACATAGTATATATGCCAGAAGTATGGAAGTATATGTGGTGTATGTGTATTGGGGAAAATAAACAAATGTTTTTTCTATTCCTATAATCCCTGCGTGACAAAACAAAAGAGTCCCAGAACTAGAATGAGTTTATCTATCTATGTATATGACTGTTCTCTCTATCTCTTTACCAAAAGAAAAGATAGTAAACTAAACTTGTTTCTTTTACGTTTTGTTGTCTTAAAAAATTGTTGATCCCTCTCCTTGTTGTGTCAAAACTAAACAGTCCAAAAATGAATGCTAAAAAAATATGGTTAAAAAGAGGAGAAAAAGAATGAAAAAATGCTATAGTTGATCTTGCAACGAAGTGAAAATGCAATTTAATAATTACAAATTAAAATAAAAAAATTTCTAACAATGGAGATAATATGATTAAAATCTAATACCCTTGAAAATTGAAGTAAAATATGAAGTAATATAGAAATCAAACCTATTTTACAAAGCAAGAAACAAATCATCAAGTACTGCCAACTCACAGGCCTTAAAAAACAGCCAAATCCAAAATTTGAAGATTTTTCTTCTTGCGCTGTTATTTATTTATTATATAAGAATTTGCAGTTGAAAACAGCGCAGGGAGAGGCAAAGTAAAGCAAAAAAAAGGGCGAGTCAAGCTCCGTGTAAAGTGATATGGGAGGTATACTAGTCGTACACTATGATAATAGTGTACGGTAGGGTAACCCACATCGATGGGTAATAATATCTTTTACAGACTGGGTATGACGATCCATACTCACATCAGTGAATTACAACTGGGCAGTCCTAGTGTCAATTTAGTTCATAGTTCTGGAGAGACGTGTGTGCGTTATAAAATGTATTAATGATATATAACCTGGGTTCCTGTCTTTAAACATATAACTCAAGGACAACCATTTTTTATTTGATACAATTTCGGTAATTCTAATGAGTTTCACCATTCATTATATTATATAATAATTCATGCCTCAATATTTCTCCTGTTTGTTCTCTTTTTTGTCACTTATCTCTTCTTACAGAACAACACACCCCAGCTAAATCCGGTAATCTCAGTGACACTACGGGGAGAGGGAGAGAACGACGCGCAGAGACACTGATATCATTATAGTCTTCCCTTTCTATATATTTATTATATTGAAGATTATAACACTGTTTTGACAATAAAGATTTACATTAATGTAGTCACTACCCTTTGTCTCTCTCTCGATTGATGTTAGAAGTTCTCTATCTTCAAATAATATAATAATTTTAAGCCGTGTGGACACAAAGTATTTGGGATTAGTTCTGTAATATTTAAAATATCGAACCAAATATTAAATGATGAAATAATATATCCAGCTATATATATGAAATAAATATTAATATAACAGGGATATAATATATTCCTTATGCATATATGGCCAACTAATCAACTAGAGTTCTTGACACATTGGGATTCAAGTAGTTATACTTTTAGAAATGGAGTTATAGTTTTTATCTCCAATATTACAACATAATATAATTTACCGGGGTATCTCAGTTTAGAATATATATTCTATTGCATCGACTACTCCTATTTAGTGTTCACAAAAACAAATTAATGTTTATTTCGTATTAAAATATACCATTCCTCACTTCAATGGTTTCAAACAATTGTTATTATATAACTCTATCGTATTTAAAACATTCATCCCTATCTCCTTCAGTTAGAACTTCTTCATATCTTCAATTGCTTTACCACTTATAGTTTGACGCATCACAATGTTTACAAATTGACGTCTTCTGCGAAATATACCCAAGAGATAACAGATCTAGACATATATTTGAGATATTCTATGGGCGTTACATAGGGCCCTATTGGTTTCTCTCTTAATATTTTCATAAATGTCTTGTATAATCCAGATTTATCAACATTATCAAACTAGACACATCCAATCAATATGTTCCAATAAAATCTTATATTCTGAACTGAGATACCCCGGTAATTTCAACGGTTGGAGTATATTAGGATCAATAGTATTAAATTTAGGGTCTTTAATATAATTTTTCTCCTAGTAATAAGATTTATTATTTAGCATATTTTTCAGTATGGTATTGTAACGTGGTATTATATGTGTATATCGAACACAATTCATGAGATAAATATCTTTAAGATATCCATTTCCTCTTACAATAATGGTTGGATAATCTTGATGTCCCTTAGCGTTTTTACAAAGCTGACTCCCAACTCCTGCTTGTGAGTAATACTCTCCTGATACTTTTGTCTGCTTATATTATCTGGCATCATCAATATATTCTCCTAACAGTTGATGGGATGACAATGTTGAAGATATTTGTAACCCGTTTTGTTTACATCTTTCATCATATATATTCCTTCAAAATATACCTTTACAATGTGAGTCGATATTTACTGTAAATAGATTGTTAAAATAACTGATCATTGTCAATAAAATAGAGGGGGAAACAGTTTTTTTAAAATGGTTATCTCAGGCTCCACTAATTTTCTTTCGTTGTCCTAAAAGACCCATATAATATATTGGTGAAAAGTATTTTAAAGGGATGCACTTGTAATTCTTATGCTTGTCATAGTAGTGATCATTTCATCGCTTTGATATATCCACTACATATATATATTTATTTGTGTTGTTCATTTTGTTTCAGAAGGAAGATGGATGATATAAGCAGCGTATTAGTGGAAATGTTATTAATATACACATACAGATATGGTCACAGAAAGATTGCTCAGGTTCTGCGATAATGTGCTAATACTAGTCTGATGCTAAATATTCGTATTATTTTTGTAATAAATAGATACATATATAGAGGTATCTAGATTTAGAGAATATGGATCACAACTCGTCCATGGTCTCGATTATGGTCTTGATGCTGTCGATGACGTTGCTGACACCAACTCTGAGCACTCTATCGTCGATGGAAGCAAAGGACGCCACGAGGCTATTTCCGGTGGTGGTGTATGTGACTTCGAAATCCTGCGGTTTAAGGATCGGATCCGGTTGTAATACTTTCATGGCTATATCTGCCTGATGAGTATCTTCAAATGGTATATTAAGTGTACTGTATTATCATGATATATGGTACCAGGATTTGGGTTAGTAAAAGAAACAAAGCTAGGACTAAAGGTATGCTTGAAAAACATGGCCGATTCAGGCTGTGGGCAAATAATACTTACAGTGTATGGGATAATGACATAATGCAATGTGTACATGTATGTGTACGTGTGTGTATATGTCTTTTTATCTTTACAATGAACCAGCTTGTAGTATAGTATAATATCGTTCAATGTATATGTCGAGATGACTTCCTTATGAAAGGCTGTCGTAAGAAAAAAAATAACTGAAAAATAAAATAATTTGAGAACCTCAGATAATTAACGATGACATATTTGAAAGTAGATTTCAAATAGATAAAAACAAGTCTTGATTTGTACATAGAGTTTTAATTTGTTAGTTTTGTTGAAGTTCAGACAAGATTCATTAATTTCTTTAAAATATCCATTATTTCTATGGTAGTATGACCGAAGCTACAATATCCACTATCACCAAACATTTACTTGGAAATGGAAACTCAGGATTCAAAGTTACTTATGAAGTTATGGGTTCCTCATATATCTCGTTCCAATTGATCAATACAATGAAACCGGATGATAACTTAACGAATATGTTCAATTCAAAACATGAAAACCTGATAGTAATTGATTCAATAAAGTCTGGAGTCGGTAGGAAACCACAAACTGATTTTTATGAAATTGTTATCAAGCCTGTATTAAATTATTTAAACATGACTCATAAATACTTCAAGACTAAATGGGCTCATTCAATCGCAACTTTTGCACAACAATTAGATGTTACCCAAAATTATACAATCGTATTTCTTTCAGGAGATACAAGTATCTCTGAATTAATCAATAATTTACCTAGTGTAATTACCACCATCGAGGAAAGAAAAACTATAAAAATTATACCGATAGCAATGGGTTCAGCTAATGCATTGGCTAACTCAATTGGATTTGGTAATCCAGTTGAGACATTTGACAGTTTTTTACGTGGGATGAAACATACAGCCCCATTTCCATTATATAGGGTGATTTTCCCTAATGAGAAACAAATTATATTTTTCATTATTTTTTCAATGGGATTCCATGCTAATCTATTGCATCTTTGTACCCTGGATCCCAAATATTCATGCTTAGGTGTTGAAAGATTTCAATTGGCAAGTACGGAAATCTTAGATAATTATAATTTAAACCTTACATTGGAGATCAAATTAACTTCAAAAACCATTGTTTCTCAGTTCGCCTATTTTGCTCTTATTAATACCCCTAGATTAGAAGAGAAATACATTCCTTCTCCCCAATCTGACCCTTTTATGAGTCAATTACATATATTGGGTTACTCTTCTGAATTATCTTCCAAGGAACTGAAAGATTCTATATTAAAAGGTTACACATTAATGCAAGGTGATAATGTTTCAGGTCAGGGTATCGTTTACGAACCAGTCACAGATGACTTTGATATTATTATCAAAGCTGAAGTACAAAGGGATCCCAAATATATGTTGGACATATGTTGTGACGGGATTCTGGATAATTTAAATGACATGTCATCTGAAGTACTAAAAGTCATCAAAATAAAATTCTTAAAACCTAATGACCTATCATTCAATTTAGAAATTATGAAACCAGAGAACTAAAGATCATCTAACGCCCTAAAACCAATAGTTTTAAAATATTAATGTTACAAAATTTTTGCTTTAGATATTAAATATACACATAAACTTCCCTCTACATATCTCCTAGTAATCTTTCTTCTTAAACAAAACAATATATTCTAAGGAACTAATCATTCTTACTCTTCTTGGATTCTGAACTAACAATGCTGTCATCCTCTTCCTCTTCAAATGTACGTTTATTGCTAGGTGAACTATTCTGACTTGATTCATCGATGCTATTTTGGTTTTCTTGTTTACCAAACGAAAATGTTGGCTGGAATTTACTGAATGGATTAATAGCACTTGGGGACGATCCTGACAAGTCAAATGATGCACTAAATGGATTTTTGGCTGCATCAACATTCGTGGGGTTCACTCCTTTTGAAAGACTATCACTCCCTGCCGTGAAGGGTGAATTACTAACCTTAAAGGGCGACGGAGTTAATACCCTTAGAGATGTGGTAGATTCATGTTGAGATTTTAATGACTTATCTACTTCAAAATCTTTAGTATTGTCATTATCTTCAGTAACGTCTGTGCTATTACCAACATCATCAAGATGTGCATCTTTCCCCTCTTTATCTTCATTTAGTTGTGACTCAAGAGATGATATCTTTTTTTGAAGGAAAGTGAGCTTCATTGATACTTGCTGCTGACCTTCTTCAAAAGATTTCCTTTTTACTTCTTGCAGATCATCAGCATGAGCTGATTCAAGCTTGTTTTGAATCTCTGATTGAATTTGTTCTTTAATTTTTTCAAACTCTGGAGTTTCAATAAGTTCCTTTGCTTTTTCTTCTACTTTTCTCCCAAATTCTTTATCGAGCTCATTTTTGTGGTCGGAAATACATCTATTTATTTCATCATCAGAAGGTGCTTTAATTTCCTTCTTTAAGTTTTCATTGGCTTCTTGAATCCTTTTTAAAACTATATTTTCATTTTCATCATTCCACTGCTTCTTTAACGACTCAATATCTACCATATTTTCCTGATGTTTTAATTTTTTGTTATACTCTTCTGTTTGGTCTTTAACAAATTGAATTTTCTCATCTTCAAATAACTTTCTCATATTTTCGATAACCTTCCCATATTCGTCTGTTTCATCGGTTGGCACAATAGTCCCAAGTTCGGCCATTTTGGCCTCCTCCAATTCTGATTTTAAATTATTAATTTCAACATTAAGCTTTTCTATTAATTTATTAGATGTTTCCATAGTATCGTTAAGTTTATATTCAATCTCCTTTGAATGTATCTTGGTATATTCAAGCTCCCTTTGTAATTCGGTTACTACTTCGGATCTACCGTCATTAAAATCTTTTACTTTTTGTTCTAGCGAAGATGTCTTTGTTGTTTCGTCTTGAAGTTTCGAAGACAGTTGAATATTTTCTTCTTTTAAAGTTTCCATTTGACTTGATAATGATTCAGAGGCCAATTTCGAGTTGTTTAATCTTTCATGGGCCTGTTTCTTCAACCTGTTAAACCTATCTTCCAATTCTTCATTTTTCTTTAGCAAATCACTCATTTCTATACTCTGATCATTCACTTCAGCCAAATCTCCAATATTTACAGATTCTACCGATGATGATTTCAAATCTCCACTTCCTTCATTTGATGTCTTCAATTGATCATCTTTGTCGTTGTTGAGTTCATTGATCTTGTTTAGTTGAGTTTTTAAACTGGATATTTTATTCTGAGAGGTGATTATTTGTTCGGTTAAGATGTTACATCTTGTCTCGGATTTTTCTACTCTCTCTTGCAAAATACGATTCATGTTCTGTAGAGATTCAACTTGGCTAGAATCTATCTCCAATTTAATGTCTGGTATGTGGGTATTGTCTTGATGATCTTGTGTTGTATTATCTGGGCCAGAATATTTGTTAAATAATTCAAGATATTTCTGTTGCATTTCATTATTTGTTATTTTGTATTTTTCGAGCTCTTCTGTTAAGTCAGATATATTTGCTTCGTAACTTTCATTATGTCTTACTCCAATCTTTTCAATTTCCAATAATTTTGTCTGAAATTGAGCTTCCTTCTCTCCCAACAGACCCTTCTGATTATCTAACTCAAGCTTCAACTCTTTAATGCTTTTCTCTTGAACTTCTTTATTCTGACTTGAATCTTTTGTTACTTTATCTAAAGATATTTCGAGGTCCTTAACTGCTTGCTTTTCATGTTCATATAATACTGACATATTTTGCAATGAGGTTTGAGCCTCTGTAATTTCAGTTTTATACTTTTCGGATTCAACTAATGTGTCGTTTAATGATTGTTGTGTTTCATTGAGCTGGATTTCCAATTTTTCTTGAGCAGCGGATTTTTCACCATTATTGATTATTCTCTTATAAGAGCTAATAGCAACATCTTTATCAACTATCTCATTTTGAAGCGTCGTTAGATCAGATAATAGATGCTCAATCTTTGTTGAACGTTCTAAAATTGAGTTTTTCAACATATTAACTTCGATATTGGATGATTCTATCTTTACTTTATACCATTCTGTCTCCTTCTCTTTGCTGTTGATGAGATCCCTCAATTCATCATTCTTCACTTCTAACCTCTTACGCCACTGAGAAAGTTTTTCTTCCAAATTAAGAATAGCTTCTTTATATGTAGTGTCCTTGACAGACCAAAATGATTCCTTTTCCTTCAAAGTAGCTCGAGCTTTAGAAAGTTCAATTGTAAGAGAATTCCGTTCTTGTTTAACATTATACATGTTATCTTTGAAGTGGTCTCTATCCTTCGATAAAATTTCTTTCTCCGATTCATTATTTTCCAAAATTAACTTCAATGTAGTCAACTCTGCTTTACTTTCAGCCTGTTCTCTCAACATTCTATCCAGTGTTTTCTCATTCGTATCTAGATTTTCCTTCAAATGATTATTTCTTAAAGTTAATTCGCTATTGTCACTCTCGAACAATTGCGTCGAATTATTGGCAATTATTAATTTTTGATTGATTAATTCATTCTTGGATTTTTCCATTTCAAAATTTAGACTCGACTTAGACAATTTATTTGCCGTTTCCTGTAGTTTGTTCTGAAGAGATGTCTTAATCTTCAAGTTGTCATCTATTGTCACCTGCAATCTTTGTTGCAATTCACCTATTGTTTTTAAATGAGTTTTATCAAATGCATGCTTATCATCCTCATTTCTGTTGCTTTGAATTAGTAAATTATCAGCTGCTAAGTCGTCAGGGTTTGTAGTAGTATTTTCAATCGCTGTTAACCTTCTCTCAAGATAACTATTCCGCGCCTCCAAAGTGAGGATGGCCTCTTTTGCATCTTGGATTATCTCTCCTTCAGAATCACTCTCCATATTATGATTAAGTGTCTCAAGATACTCGGCACGAGATGAAAGCTGGTCTACAGTACTTAAGAGTTTCATATTTTGTTGCTGTAATTCTAAAATATTTCTAAATTTTTCTGCATTTTCTACTATAACGAGCGAGGTGTCATTATTATACTCCGGTTCATTCCCTTCATCATCCAAAATAGACTTTAGGAAAGTTTCTTCATCTTTTGTCATAATACGATTACCATTTTCATAGATCTCCATATTAATTAGAAGATACTTAACTTGATTTGCCAAATGCCTACGTTGATTCTTCAGAAGATCGAGAGAATCATTCAATTCTGTTATTTCTTTATCCTTTTCGTGAATCATTTTTATTTTGGCATTATTATCATTCGAGGTATGTTCAAGTAGAAGGGAGACATTTGTCAATTCAGTTTGTAGAGATATTTTCTTATCCTTAAACGAATCTATCGTTGGATATTTCTCTTGGAGATCTGATACAAATAGTTGAATTTGATGCTCTAGATATTCTCTAACTGAAATTTCATTTTTTAATCGTTCTTTTAGAAGGGTTATATCACTTTGCAATTTGATATTATCATTTTCACTATCGTCAGTAGTACCGTTCTCCTCATTCAACATTAGTTGATTTACATAAGCCTCTAAATGGGCTCTTTCCTGTTCAGAGTATTCTAACCTTTTCTTTAATGTTGAAAGTTCTTGTGAAAGTTCATCAAAATCTTCTGTTTGTTGTAACGATAATTCACTTGTTCCAAACTCAATATTTAATTTTTCTTGAAAGTTTTTAACTTGACCTTCTAAGACACGTATTAGTTCTTTTTGGGAATTTGTTTCATGATAATGTTCTTCTTTAGTAATCTTGATCATAAATTTTAATTCCTCTATCAGACCATCTTTGTCTTTGATTTCCTTACTTAATGGATCATATTTTTTTGATAATGCAGAATTATTCTCTTTAATCTCTTTTAAATCATTTTTACATGTGAGAAGATCATTTACGGATTTCGATATTATCTTTTCTTTTGTTGTTCTATAATCCTTGAATTGTTGATCTTTATTTTCTAATTGTGAAATCAAAGATTCCCTTTTCCTATCTGAATCACCTAAAAGATGTTTAGTCTTTTCTAATTCTGTCTGTAGTAATAAATTATCCGATTGAGTTTCTCCAAGTTCATCAATTATTCTTTGATATTTTTGCATTTGATCTTTTTTACTTTCCAAAGTAGTAGTGATCTGAAATTCCATTCGTGAGATTTCATTTATCTTTTCATTTAACAATTTAACTAGATCGGTCTTTGTCTGTTCTTGTTCCTTGATATGTGTCTTCAATTCATTCAATTCAATGATTTGCTCATTGGAAGATAACTTAGATGCAAGATTGTTATTTTCTGTTCTAAAAATTATATTATCCTCTGTTAATTGTTCAACAACCAACTGTAAATCATTGTTCCTTTCATAATCTGTCCTTATCTTTCCTATCTTCGAATTCAATTCGATATTGATGTTTTGTAAATCATCATAATCTTGTAATTTCTGTTGTAATGTTATCAATGAATCCTCATCAAATATGTTCAATTGTGTAACAGGAATATGGAAGAACGTTGATATTTTGTTCAAATCCATGTTGGAAGTATTGCTATCACCATCAGACATGTTATGAAGCCGATATGTTCCACTAAATTGAAGTTCTTATGATAAATGTAGATGATTACTTCAAAGAAAAATGCACTTCCTATCAGTTGTCAACGATAAAAACCAAACACAAAAATACGTCAACGCAATACTGGCAGATGAATCAAATTAAGTTACTATCAAATTACTTATAAAAATGAAAAATCGATTCCTGACCTTGGCGGTTGTTTTTCTGTATCCTGTTCATAATAGGTCGTTCATTGAAAAACTCCAGTCCACTGTCAAGATTCTATCTCAAGCCCTAAATTTTACTTTCCCGCATCAGAGTATAATATCACTGTCCACGAACATTTCATCAGAACGAAAACTTGTGACTGAACACCCGAACATCCAGATATTTCCTTAAAATGCCTTTTTAAAATTCAAAAAAACAAAACAAAATTTTTAAATTTTGTTTTTTTTGAAAAATTTATATTGTGGAATTTTGTCCGAGATTACGGAAATTTGCTAAGAAATAGCCGTGCAAATAACAATATTAAGACGCGTTGAGCCACATATAATATTTTGAATTGAACCCAAGAAATTTCACTTTTTGCAAGGTTGGTGGTCGACCAGCGATAATAGTTAATAATATGGTGGTGACAGCTGCTGGATTAGCTAACCGGTGCAGGTTATACCAAGTAATCAAAGATTACTCTCCAATACTCGGTGAGCATAGGTGTTAGACCTTTACAAATATAGCAATATAGGTGTAACTTGATAGCTTATAAGAAGCTTATACGTATTAATTAATAGTTATCTGCGTTATTTAGAAGAAATACGAGACCAAGATTCAAAGATGCAAATGTATGTGAAATGAGTTAAAGGGTTAGACTGATGTATTGAACTTAGATTGAATGAAAACGGAATGATGATAATAATAATGTGCAAAATGAACGAACAGTGAAACACATATAATATATATGTAGAAAACATGCCAATGTTGGAAGAATGACATATACATATGGATAGTCGTTAAAGAAATATCAGTAAGGCTATACTTCATGAAATTATTAAAGACAATGAGAAGGTAAATTTGAAAATAACAGCGATAAGATATGAATAAACCACCAAAGATATAACAAGTATCCGTAATCGACATGTCAGTATAAGAGTACAGAACAAATAATACCCTAATATTACTACTTTTTACGATCATTTTTTTACTAACAATAATATATTACAATAATAACCATCATGGTGAATTTTTGTCATATTTTTTTTTAATATAGTTTCGTCAAAACTTTAACAGGTAAGACCATTACCTTGGAAGTCGAATCCTCCGACACCATCGACAATGTCAAGTCCAAGATCCAAGACAAGGAAGGTATCCCACCTGACCAACAAAGATTGATCTTCGCTGGTAAGCAATTAGAAGACGGTAGAACTCTATCTGACTACAACATTCAAAAGGAATCCACTCTTCACTTGGTCCTAAGACTAAGAGGTGGTATCATTGAACCATCCCTAAAGGCTCTAGCTTCCAAGTACAACTGTGACAAATCTGTTTGTCGTAAGTGTTACGCTAGATTACCACCAAGAGCTACCAACTGTAGAAAGAGAAAGTGTGGTCACACCAACCAACTTCGTCCAAAGAAGAAGTTAAAATAGTCGCATTCGCTTTTCACTCAATATTTGCATGCATATTATTTTCTCTTTCCCTCTTTACCCATGCCAACTTACTTTTGGTCAGTTATTCTGGTTTAAATAGACATATATAGTAGTATATTACATATAGTATATTAAAATCGTTAATAATATTTACTTTTACACTAGAGTTAAATGCTCTGTTCTGTTACGAATTTGTTGACATAATTCTGATATATCTCATTTTGACAACACCAGAGCTTTATTTTAATACGTCAAATTTACAAAACAAAAGAAGAAGGTTTAAACGTAACATACATAATATTTCATTTATCTATTTACTTGTTAGTCATTAAAAAGGGAGATTATTTAAAAAAAGAGAATAAATACCAAAGTTTTGGAGTATGTGTGTGTGCATGTGTGTGTCATTCCGACATCACAGATATAATAATAATAATAATAGTAATTGTAGTAATAGTTATAGTAATAACCTCCCCTATGCGTTGTTTATTCTTGTATTGATCATTAGTAAAATGTGATAATACTTATTGTAAAAATCACAAGCTTCTGTCATCTCCATCACTATCCTGAGTACTCAACATTTCAATATTTTGATTATTTCTTTCGATTTCTTCATCTTCAAGTTCAAACGATTGAGAATCAATGGTGTCGTTATAACTTCTGAAACATAACCAGAATAGACAACCTGCAATGAAACAAGCGACAGCAAGACCACCGAACAACCATGTGTAATCTGGATCTTTTGACACTGGGGATAAAGCACAACCAATGGCAGACCCAAATGCATTTGTCACTAAGAAGATAGACATGATGAAGGATTTCATAGAGTCAGGAGCCTTTGAATAAGCATATTCCAAACCTGTAATCGAAGCGAAAATCTCAGAGAATGCAATTAGGACATAGGCAGGAACTTGCCATCCGACATGAACATGGTTTGGACCAGTACAACTTAGTGGATGGTCATAACATGGACCGGCACTGTAGATGAAATGTTGTAAGACACAGGACCAAGTCATTGCTAGAGCACCGAAAGTGAACCCCCAAAAGATCTTGGTAATTGGCTTGAAAGGAGTGAATCTTCTAATGAATGGATACAATAAACTTTCGAAAATTGGAATAAAGACGATTAAAGCGATAGAGTCAATAGCTTGGAAAAAATCGTTTGGTAAACCATGCAATTCTAGCATGGACCCTTGAGTGACAAAAGTACTAATCATTTGACCATAACAGGTCCAATAGACTGGATAAAATAGGAAAACTTTACAAGCAGCCAAAGAAGTTTTAATTTCGTCAACAAATTTATCACTCCATGGATAATTCTTTTCAGGATTCATAGAAGGTCTAGCCAAATCGAAGTTGAATTTATTTCTCATTAAGATCCATAACACTTTAAAACATTTTGAAATGACTTTATCACCAATTGGAGGCCGAATATATTGTTTCCTACCGAATACAAGGACGACCACAGCGACCCAAAAGAAGCAGAAAGGTAATAAATAAGCTGCCCAGAACCCTTTATGCGATTCTAATTCAGTAGTGGCGATAACTGAAAGAGAACCGACGTTAATCATCAAATAGAAAAACATAAAAACATTTTGTAAAGTAATATTTGGATCCTCGATGACTCTTTCACCAGATTTCAAAGTCTTCACAGTAGGTTTTCTCTTTGGTAATTGATCTGCAATCAACACAGATAAATTAGCTTTAATCATACCAGTAGCAATACCAATCAAAATAATAGCAGCAATGAACCCACCAAGACCTGTATTTTTATCAGTAATAGAAGGGATAGAAGTAATGAAAAGAATGAAAATACCCACAAGATAAACACCTGTACCTACAGCAATGGTATTATATTTACCCCAATAAGTATCAGCCATATAACCACCAAAGATAGGAGTAATATAACACCAAAATTGGAAGAAATATGATAAACCTGTAGCACCTGAACTATCCAATTGCAGCAAACCTTTAGGGCTATCATCAGGACCATTCGACATATAGTTTTGGAATGGAGCTGACAGACCATAATACGAGAATCTTTCAGATAATTCTACTAAAGCGATCAACCAACATCTGAAAGGTATATGACCCGCAACATGTCTTAGTGTTTCCATTTCTTCTTTAGTTGGAACTTCACCATCTTCAAAATTCTGATCATCGAGGATTGCGATGTCTGTATTATTCTTGTCACTTATTTGATAAGTCTCAGTGTCGATGATATGTTCTTCTGTCGAGACTGCAGTTTTCTTTAATTCAATAATATTATCTTTTTCATCTGAATAATCTGTTGTATCTAGTTTCTCTAAACTAGCTGAATTATTTGGTGCCATAATGAAATATAATAAATAAAATATATGAATATTTTATTTATTATTATGTAGACGTGTGTATGACTGGCTATATATATTTATGATCCATAAAAAGAAAGAAAGATAGAAAGATAGAAATTATATAAACGATATAAATCCAAACAGAAATAATGTTAGAGGTTGAAAGAGGATTATAACCTTGATTTATATATTAAAAAATAAAATGAAGTAAAGTAAAAAAAATATCTAATCATGTATAGACTAATATTCACTATCAAGAAGATGACGACGATAAGAAGAAGGGGGTTATGACAATCGAACAGGCTGCAATAGAAGAGTAGTAGAAGACAAAAAAATTACGTTCGAGATCGAAGATAAAAAAACAAACCCGGTTTTACCAAGACTTCTAACTTCCAAGCTCTAATTATTAATTTCCCATGGAAGATAGAAGTTGAGAAAGAGAGAGATACGCCTTACATGAACACGAATTATTCTACTAGTATTTTTTAATCAATTTTGTCTTTTGTCTTTTGTCTTTTTTTCCACTGATGATCATGTAATTGCTTTCTCTCTGTATCAATATTCAGAAGAACGCAGCGGAGACTGACTGATTGCTTTGATGTGATAATGATGATGTCTTGAATCGAAGTGAAAACGTCCACATCAATAAGAATCGCTGCAGTAATAGAAGGAACAGACATCAAAAACCGACTGTAGCTCCATTGAAAATATTGAGACAAAGAGAGCATGACGCTGACACATTTATTTTATTTTCGCAACCAGATAGGTCACTGAAATTAATATTATCACAGCATGGTATCACAAAATACAGCACAAACCTTTGTAAATTTTTTTCATCAGCACCATAGATTGAATAAACTATTAACAAATCCCAGCAGTGAAAGACTGAAAATTATATCAGCAGCGAAAACGGTCTCATGAAAAAACTTTTCAGAATTTTGAAATTTTGTCACAAAACGGGTGTTGCTGCTGGGGTGTCTGAGTGGCCGCATCCCAAGAACGATATTAAAAAGCAAATCCAGATCACTAAGATATGTCCGTAGTCAAGGGTGAAAAATTGCCTAATGACACATAAAATATGTGTCTCACCACACACAAAAATTTCTTTGCGACGGCGGCGGTGGTGGTGGTAGTGGTGGTCGGAAACGATCGGGAAAGGTCTTCAATTGATAAGCAAATTACTACTGAAAGTGGGACAGGCCAAGGAAGCGGTGAGGAATAAATAGTAAGAACAAGAACAAGAACAAGACAATTGTGAGTAAATTTATGTTATTTTGGTGCCGCAGATATTACAATCACTTCTATTGTTATGAGTGATTGTGGTGACCGGCACCGGTCAATCTTCCAAGTTATTATGATTATCATATTATTATTATTATAATTTTTTTTTTGTGTCAACGATTATTATTATTTTGTAATAGTAAGAATGTGTCTTATCTATATTATTTGCTCCCGATGCTCTCAATCCCTCTACAGGTATTTTGAAAACTGATTAGTTTTTGTTATTTTGTAGCTCTTAAACTCAGCCTTGCATATTTAATTACTATTGCTACTATTATCATAGGGGGTATACTGATAATGTGTTCCTGTTTGATTGCTATCAATCTATCAATACACAATAGAGTGAATGATAACTATCACAATTGTCGAAATATTTTATTTTTGTTTTGTCTTGCCAAGTAATTTTACGTCGATATTTTTACTATTATTCTAGTCGTAGTCATAGCTAGACACTCGCTAGCTATAACCAAATATATATCTACTATTACATCAGAATTATATTTGTTGAGTCTATATTACTTAAGCGAACACGGACATCTGGAAAAAGGTGTCTCTAATGAGTCACATACTCATATACATTAGTGAGAGAATTATAATTGTCCACAATGAAGAACAATTTTTAATGAGCGTGCTATGAAGAGCGTATTTTCATGTCTTGTGCTTTTTCCATAGTGATGATAATATTATGTTAACTTCACAATCACCTCGTATGCGATGATCGCGTTTGAGCCGTACTAAAATTGTTAGTGAAAAATTAAATTTCGTAGAGAAAATTTTTTTTTTTCCTGTTTTGGTTGGTGAAAAATTATTTAATTAATTAAATTCGATGACATGGTCTATTATACTTATATACACATACATTAATTGCAATTGAAGTAGAGCCTAGTAACAATATATAACGACACAAGAAATAATATTTGCAAGACATTATATACAATATGGCTGCTGAAAAAAAAGAGAACAGGGCTCCAAAGTTAAGTGAAAAGGAGAAAAAGAAAGAAGAACAAGAAAGTTCGAGCTCCAGCGATTCATCTTCATCTTCATCTTCATCTTCATCTAGTTCTAGTTCTAGTTCTAGTTCTAGTGATTCATCATCTAGCTCCAGCTCCAGCTCTAGTGATTCTTCATCAAGTGACTCCAGTTCTAGTTCTAGTGACAGCGATTCTTCTTCTTCCAGTTCCAGTTCCAGCTCCAGCTCCGGCTCCGGCTCCAGCTCCAGCTCCAGCTCCAGCTCCAGCTCCAGTTCTAGTTCTAGTTCTAGTTCAAGTTCTAGTGACAGTGATTCTTCTTCCAGTTCCAGCAGTTCCGACTCATCTAGCTCTTCAGACTCCGACTCATCTAGCTCTTCAGACTCCGACTCAGACTCCGACTCATCTTCCGGTTCTAGTTCTAGCTCCAGCTCTAGCTCATCCAGCTCCAACTCCAGCTCTTCCGATTCTGACTCAGATTCCGACTCATCTTCTAGCTCTAGCTCTAGCTCTAGTTCTTCCAGCTCTAGCTCTAGCTCTTCCGATTCTGACTCCAATTCTAGCAGCAGCAGCGGCAGCAGTTCCAGTGAATCTGAAGCTGAAGACAACAAGAGAAAGATCGAAGAATTACCAGAGGATTCTGAGGAACAACCAAGTAAAGAAACTAGTATAGAACCTAGTAATAACGAAAACGACAACAGCAATAAGAGACAGAAATTGAATATATCGGCTGGTGGTGACGAAATTAAAGAAGGTCAAAGAAATCATTTTTCAAGAATTAAAAGATCAAAAATTTCATTTGAAGCTTGGGAATTAACTGATAATACATACAAAGGTGCTGCTGGTACTTGGGGTGAAATGGCTAATGAAAAACTTGGTAGAGTTAGAGGTAAAGATTTCACCAAAAACAAAAATAAGATGAAAAGAGGTGGTTACAGAGGTGGTTCTATTACCCTAGAAACTGGTTCCTATAAATTTACCGATTAAAAAGGGAAAAGCGTCTTGCACATCGACTAACATAGAAACATATAAATAACTTATAAAATGTATAAGTAAAATAACAAATATTGTAAATTATATCATCATTAATTTGAATTGATATTCTCTTCTTATATAAGTCCATATTTTATTATTAATTACAATCTAACTAATTATATATATATATATATTGTTAGGCACTAACCCATGAAACTAATGACCCTCGTTCTACGTTTGGATAATGTATTATTTCTTTTCAAATCAGCATTTGCGTTTACATCATCGAAATCTCCATTTTTGTTTCCATTATCAAAATCCCCACTTGCAAGACCATTTTCAATTAATGTTTCCATGTCATGATCTGCACAAATTGGTACTTCATCATTAAAGATGAAATAATCATTTTCAATAATTTTCTTACAAAGGAAACATTTCAAACAATCAATGTGAAATCTTTCCATGTTATCATTCTCCAAACATTCCCCTTCTATAAATCTTGAACAAACTTGACATATACTATGATTCTCCTCATGATAATGTTGTTGACAATAAGGTTTATCGTTAAGAATATAACATGGAACCTTTTTGTTGAATTTTACTGAACAATTAGTACATCTAAAACAATCACGATGCCATTGTCCCGACAATTCATTCTCTTTCTTTGAAAAAACACCTTTATCTAAGATATCTTTACCACAGAGTCTACAAGGACCTTCACCAGGTGGGTATATAATTTCAGGTTTTTGTGTTAATATAATTTCTTTATCTTTAAGTGAATCTTGCTGAGAGAACCTTTCTTCTTTTGGAGCAAATTTATAAAATGTTGGTGTACCATCAATAACTGCAGGAACTTTGGAGTTTAATTCACTATTCAATGAATCACCATCACTATCCTTCGAAGGTAGAGATGAATCTTGTTTTCTCAATGGGAACCCCGATAAATATGCACTTGATTTTTTCAAACGAGGATCTTCCATTATCATCGATGTAGTCTTTGAAGATAATGAAACATCTGAATTGGAATTACTTTCATTATGGCTAGACAGTAAAGTCTGTGATATTTGTTCGTTTCTAGAGAATGAAACGTCATCCAATTCAGCAATCAATTGTTCGACTTGTAGGTTTTTGGATATTATTGTATCTGATGCATGTCCATCTTGTTGTTCAACTTCTTGTTGTAAATGTAATTGAATAGGAGTAACTTCTGGAGAATGTTCATCTGAGACTTGTTTGGTTAATAAATGATCAGGTTCAAAACTTACGCTATCCGTATTGGATGACTGTATAATATTACTTGGTTCATCCATCATTTGAGATGGATCTTTAAACTCCAAATTCAGTCCTTGAACTGTAGATGGAAGTCTTTTAAAATGTGATGAAGTCGATGAGTGTGAAGAAGATCCAACAGAAGGAAAATTCTTACGAGAATCCTGAGAAACATGGTTACTAATGTCAAAATCATGATTACTATTTGCTCGCGACTGAGATATCATCGAATGCGAATCGTTCTGAGTTAACATCATAAACGACCTATCGATTGGGTTCATTTCCTCCTCAACAGTCTTACCATTTACGGACTTTTGTTCAAAATTGAAGGACCCTTGTGACTGTTGGTGTTGTGAAGATGACGAAGCTGAAGCTGAAGGCATAGAAGTCGCCGTCATGACTGGTGCTATATATGGATCTCCGTGCAACGGCGAAGGTATTATATCTACATGCTTATTCTGAGGTGGCGATATTCTATTCCTATCATTAATGGGTCTATATTCATCTTGATTATTAGGTTGATGATGCGATTTCTCATATAATGTTGTTGCGGCAGGCGTAGACATTGAAATTCCATCCATAGGAATACCCTTAGTAGGCGTATTCTTTCCAGAAGTCAAATTATCAACTTGCTGACCATCATGCTGATGCGAAGGAATCTGCAGTGAAGCAGTAGTACTTGCATTACTATTATTTGCATTGGCAGAACTGGTGGTATTTGTATCAAACCCAGCTCTTTCAAAGACGGTCCTATACCGGACGTTCGGGTTCAACTTAGGAAACGGCGAGCTATATAGACCTGAGTACATTGTGCTAGCGATCGAATGAGGCGTATATTCTTGGTGGTTCCTCTGAACTATGTAAAACTAGAAAGGAAATATATCTAGTGAGTGTAACTGTTCCAACGTTGGGTCTTGCTAGATATTTATATGTATGCATATTATATAATAAGAATAATATTTTACTATGGGAAATAAACCGCGTCGTCGCGTTCTCTCCATATTTTTATTGTTGTCGGTTTCAGGGTTTGCCAAGGAAACATTCCGTAATAAAGTGGGATGGATGGGTGCTTTATAATAGTGATATTTGAGTATGATAAAGATATTTATATGAAGAGAGATGAATGAGTAATTCGATAGGGATAGGGATGGGGGTTGATATGATTATTTTATTTCAGTGTGTATATAAGTTCTATGGTTGTTGTGTACATTTATCGAACGCTTCAGAAATCATAGATGAACACGCAACGCCATGCAGGGCCGGACAATATCACACATGATAGAGTCTTCCAGCTCTATTAAGATTGATCCATCGTTGGTGTTCAGAAAGATATTTCTTTGGGTTTCTACTTTGTTGGGTTTCATTGCAGAGTGGATGAGCGAATCTTGAAGGATATTTGTTTGTGGGAGTTTCCTCTTTCTCTTTTGCTGGGTGATCAGGGTTGAAGAAGGTAAGATGCACTTCTGAGGGTAACGAACTGGACTAATACTAGGTCTTCGGCTCAGCCAATAATTGTGATATTATGTATGCAGAAGTAAGTAGTTCACACTGTCTCTACAATACTCTATCGACGCAAGATCAGTATACACTCTCTACTAAATAAAACTAGTGCAATCTAATTGACTAGAGATATATATAAAAGGTACGTCACACATTATAATATATAGATATGTACATATCAATATATAGAAGTTATAGAATATTTCCAACATTGAATACCTTAATTGTAACAGTAGTAGATACACTCACCCACTCTCTCTCTATACGTCCGAACCCTAATTCCTCCAAACCCTAAGTTATAAAAAGATATTTTGTTGGTACAAACGGAGATGCTAAAAACCGGGGAAAGAAATTAACAGGAAACTATATTAACCACATCAATGGAGATTTCGTCGGTTAACCATTAAAACAATACGTACTTGTAGTTATCCTACGGAAGAGTACGGTTATAAAACTATAATAACTATATTGCTAGATTCACAGTTATGAATAATAATGAGAGGCATTCAGCTACTCAAGCCCTTATACAAAAGTACTATGATTATATGTTGGGGCTCCCTAACCCAATAACCAATAGCGATAATAAAGACAAAGAAATAGATCAACCAGAAGATAGTAATGATAACTCCTTGTTGAGACGTAGATTTATTACTAATTTAATACGACATACTCGTTCTAGGCATTCAACTGCATTGGATGAAACTGATGCAGAGACAGATACTGAAAGAGGAACGTTAACGAAGTATAATGGTGGTAATCGTAGGAATCATATAGTAAAATTTAATGGTACGAATATTAAAGATGGGCCAGTTGATGATAATGAGGAGTTATATGATGATAATGATGATTATGATGACGACGAGGAAGCTAACTTGACTATATTAGAAAAAATGAAAAATGTTTTATATGCAATATTTGTTGGAGACTATGAGAAGGATTTATTGATTGAACGTGTTGGTTTACAAAAGAAACATGCAATGACTTTCAAGGATTGGAGGAATGCAGCTTTAGAATTAGATACATTGACAAATAAAACAGATTGGAAAAGAAAGAGAGAATCTACTTTATATGATTATCAACTGATTGAAGATGTAACTCGAAAACTAAAAGAATCAAGACTGAACAAAGACTATGCTCAACTAATATATATCATTAGAACAAATTGGGTAAGGAATTTAGGAAATATGGGTAATGTTAATCTATATAGACATTCTTATGTCGGTACAAAATATTTGATTGATGATTATATTGAAGAATCGAAATTATCCTTAAATGCTTTGGTGACAGAGTCCGATTTAGATGATAGGTATATGATGGGTATCTTACAACAAACAAGAAGAAACATTGGTAGAACTGCATTGGTGTTAAGTGGTGGTGGTACATTTGGTATGTTTCATATTGGTCTCTTAGCAACATTATTTGAATTGGATTTATTACCTCGTGTCATCAGTGGTAGTTCTGCAGGTGCGATAGTGGCTAGTATATTGACTGTACATCACAAGGAAGAAATCCCTGCATTATTGGATCATATATTGGATATGGACTTTAATATCTTCAAAGATGATGATGAAAAATCAGAAAGTGAAAATTTCTTAATTAAATTCCAAAGATTCTTTAAAAATGGAACGTGGTTTGATAATAAACATTTAATTAATACAATGATTCAATTTCTAGGTGATTTAACATTTAGAGAAGCATATAATAGAACAGGAAAAATATTAAACATTACCGTCTCTCCTGATACTTTGTTTGAACAACCCAGATTACTGAATAATTTAACTGCTCCTAATGTCTTAATCTGGTCTGCTGTATGTGCATCTTGCTCACTACCAGGTATTTTCCCTTCGAGTCCTCTGTATGAAAAGGACCCAAAGACAGGGAAACAAAAACAATGGTCAGGTTCAAGTTCTGTTAAGTTTGTGGATGGTTCAGTAGATAACGATTTACCGATTTCAAGATTATCTGAAATGTTTAATGTTGATCATATCATTGCATGTCAGGTCAATATTCATGTTTTCCCATTTTTGAAACTTTCATTGTCATGTGTTGGAGGTGAAATTGAAGACGAATTTAGTGCTAGATTGAAAAGAAATTTAACCAAGATGTATAACTTTATGGCAGATGAAATGATTCATTTGTTCGAAATCGGTTGCGAAATGGGAATCGCTAAGAATACATTAACAAGATTAAGATCCGTATTATCACAACAATATTCCGGAGATATTACTATCTTGCCCGATATGAACGCATTACTAAGATTCAAACAATTATTATCTAACCCAACTAAAGAATTCTTATTAAGAGAAATTACAAATGGGGCTAGGGCCACATGGAGGAAAATCTCTATCATTCAAAATCATTGTGGACAAGAATTTGCATTGGAAAAGGCAATATCACATTTAAGAGGTAGGATTATTGTCTCCTCATCGATTAGAAATCCTTTACAATTTAATGATAGTCCAATAGGATTAATAAAAGCTGCACAAAAATATCGCACCAAGGAGAAAAAACAAAAAATATTAGATTTTCCTATTGGAAATAACGACGAAATTGTTGACAATGAAGATACTCCCATCGAGAAAATGGCCAACGAATTTTCGACAGGAGATAATAGCAAAGAATCATCGAAATCTATTACGACGGATAGTGAAGAAAAGAATTCAACACCGATAGGTGGAATAGTTCCAGATCTAGATGACAATTTGGTCGATTCAGAATCTACAAACTCCTTGTTAGTATTAAAGGACAATGAAAAGAAAGAAGAAGATAACATCAATTTAAAGGATGAATACATAGGAAATAGGAATAATGGTCATTTCCGTCGTAAATCCGATACAGGATCAAGACCTAGAAATGGTAAATCTTTATCATTTTCAATTGCATCTCCATCTTCACGTAGTCTAAGGACACCAACTAGAAGAACAAACTCTAGTTATAAAGATCATATTCATAAAGCAAGCACTGGCCACATGTTTCCACCATTATTAAAATATTCAGATAATTCTGAGTTTGAGAGGATAAATAACAATTTGATAAATGTACCAGATGACAGACCATTGACTTTGACTCCAACAGAAACGACACCCGCTATCGAGGAATTATTAAATGAGTCTGATACTACACCAACGATAAGCCCCAATATGTTTGTTAATAAAGTAAAAGATACATTTTATATTGATTCTGATACTGAGGATAGGGAAGATTTGGGAAACTATAGTTTCACCTCGGATAATAAATCTTCATATGGTTATGATGGTAACAAATTTAAATCTCTAAGAAGACATAGCGTAGACGATAAAATTAAAGATTTGAAGATTAGTCCAGGAAAACCTTCGACTATGCTTAGACAATCCTCTTTAAATGTTGGCAGAAGTAGTACTGAATCTCCTAAAGCAATAACCACCCAACCTCGATCATGTAGCGTGAGAAACATCGACATCGATGATGGAATTTCACCATTTTCAAATGAATCATGCGATAAAGAGGGTCATCTTTACTGATTCTATTGCATTTGTTTATTCTTAATTATTAATATTTATATATTGGTAGCGTCTATATATACTTAAAATTATTTTTCTATTTCATCGATAAAAAAGGACGTACAATTTTAATAAAACCAAACTACGTTCTTGTAATTCCGGTCACTGTCCATCCATATGTTTATATTGGATTTAAAGTCAGCGACAGCTTGCTAAGTCCCTTAGCTCCCAATAAGCCACACAATTCTCGTCCTCGAAATTTGTCGCGATGAAACAAAATTTAAGGACGCCAAGGCAATGAAAATTCTGTTATGGTTATATCACACATACATGTAGGATCTTATAGAGGATACTGGCAAATGCTGTAAGGAGATAACAACACATTATTCCAAAGTACTAATAACTGAATTAAAGAATTACCTACTGATTTTTAAATAGTTATCAAAAATTTTGGGGTAGATCAATATAGCTATACATAAGATTCAAGAACTTTCAGAGGTGAAAAGATGAGTGAATTCGGAGGTATTCAAGCAGGGGCTAACACAAACTCCAATAGTACAAACAATGCAAATAATGGTGACAACGATAATTATTTTGGTGATTTGAATGACGAACTATCGTTTGGTGGACCAGATGATGACCCTGAGGATAACAATTTTCTGGATATGTACAATTTAACCCCTAGACAACGAGTAGTATACAAGGCAAAGAAACTAATATATCAAGCAAAAAATAGATTTGATTCTTTAAAGGTATGGCAAAGGGGGTTAGTATATCTGGCAGCGATATGTTTTTTGATTGCTGGGGGTTTGTTCCTAGTGTACCGTCATAAGATCATGGACAAGATTGTCGATACATCAAATGATTTAGAAGCTAAAAAATCTACCCAATTCTTACTTTTGTTATTTATATTCATTGTGGCATTCCCACCATTAATAGGGTACTCATTCCTATCGACGAGTACAGGTCTAATTTACGGTGTTTCATTCCATGGCTGGATTATTTTGGCATTGGGTTCTGTTTGTGGTTCAGTGGCATCATTTACTGTATTCAAGAATTTATTACATTCAAGAGCTGAAAAATTGATACATGCTAACAGAAGATTCGAAGCATTTGCATCTATTCTGCAAGAAAATAATAGTTATCTTATTTTGGCTCTGTTTAGATTATGTCCATTCCCATATTCGTTAACTAATGGTGCAGTTGCTGGTGTCTATGGTATCTCGGTACGTAATTTTGCAATTGCAAATGTTATCACAACACCAAAGTTGCTTGTATATTTGTTTATTGGATCAAGAATTAAAAATCTTGCTGAGACTGAGTCACCTGGATCTAAACTCTTTGACATCATCAGTATATTTGTTGCTGTTTGTATTTTAATGATGACGGCTTGGATTCTTTATTATAAGACTAACCAGAAATATAAGCAACTACAACGTGAAGATAACCAAGCACCAATAGATTCATTGGGAGAAGCAGATTTTGAAATATAAAAAATAACCAAAGCAAGATGTAAAAATGTACTTAAATATAACTATATGTAGTTCTTATATGTTTTGATAAGAATATCTTTTTGTAAAATGACAATTATTATTTTAATTTCATCTAGTAAATGTTTAAAGTTTGTGAAGTTATTCATCTTAGATGTTGAAACTTCTTCTTATGTAATAAATATGGTAAGTCCGAAAAATTACGGCTTGGAAATTTTATATTAAGTTCGAGATAAAATATTTAATGATGGCGATGACTTAAAGAGTGGAATACTTAAAAAGAATTCCTGATCATACCAGAGACACAGGTGGAATATAGTAAGAAAATAATTACATTTGAGCAATGATGCCTAGAATTATTGTCCAAAAACCCTTCCTGTTAGGAAGGACATTAATTAATGGTACGAACTTAGTGAGTAAGTCACCCAATACATTTATTAAGTTTAATCCACATATAAAAAGACAATATTCAAATTACCAATATCAAAGATTTAACAATCAAAATGGAAGATCATTTTCACAATTATTATTTGATCCCGTAGGTAGAAAATATTTAGCAATAATATTTGGTGGTGGTTCATTATTCTATTTTACTCACCGAGAAGAAGCCCCAATGAGTGGCCGTAAAAGATTCATCTGGATTCCACGATGGTTAGAATTAAAGATAGGTAACCATACCTACAAAACAATTATCCGAGAGACCGGGAATGCAATATTGCCGGAAGATCATCCAATGACCAAGAAAGTCGAGCGTATATTTACGAAAATTGTGGAAGCTGCATACAAGGACCCTGAAGTGGATAAAAGTTTGTTAGATGGTATTCAATGGAGAATACATGTTGTTAACGACCCAACTCAACCACCGAATGCATTTGTTCTGCCGGGAGGGAAAGTGTTTGTCTTTGGTAGCATTTTGGGGATTTGTAAGAACGAGGATGGTCTAGCAACAGTGTTGTCCCATGAGTTTGCACATCAATTGGCAAGACATACCTCCGAAAATTTATCAAAGGCACCGATATATGCTTTTATAAGTCTTTTAATATATTCTGTGATTGGAGTTAATGGATTAGATAACTTGTTGACTGATGGTTTATTAAGGATGCCAGCTTCTAGACAAATGGAAACAGAAGCTGATTATATTGGCTTAATGATTATGGCAAGAGCTTGCTTTAATCCTTCCGAAGCTATTAATTTATGGAAGAGAATGAGTGAATTTGAACAAAAATCACATATGAATGGAAGGACTTTAGAATTCTTGAGCACTCATCCTGCTAGTGAAAGGAGAATCCATAATATGGAGAATTGGATGGCCCAAGCGAATGGTATCCGTGAAGAATCTGATTGTGGCTCCGTGAATAATTATTATAGAGGATTTCAAGATTCCTTATTTGGGTCATCCCTTCCATCAATCCCAATTCCATCGTCCCCTTTTCCTGGATTTTAAATAATCTCTATTACTTAAATAAAATTAACATTATGTAAATAATATACCAATAGGTGTTTTCGATTCTAAAGTCACATTAAAATGGTCTTCTTTTTTTGAATCCAGAAAATCCGGTCTTTGAATATTTAATTTGAGATACATCAGTTATTTCTGGGGTTTGTTGAACCTTTTTTTGTTTAGAAGAGAGCCCATCTCTTTCCAATTTATCCAAAACAAATTTTCTTCTCAGGATACAATTATCCAACTTCTCTCGGACTACCTTACGTGCCTCTTCTACATCTACTTCATTATTGTTCGATATACCTTTCGTTCCAAGAAGTCCAATTGAGTAATCATTTGTCTCTTCTTGCTTTTTAATGTCATAAAGTAGTAACCCTGATTCCATCAACCAAAACGGATCCACTGCGGTAACACACACAAGATATTCTGTAGATGTCATTAATAATTCATTATAAATAATGTACGAAGGTAGATCACCCATCCCAAACAATGCACTGGTAGGATGTAGTTTGGTGTGCATTCCTGTTCTTAAATGCACATATCTTTTAAGTCCAGATAGTTTAGCAGCTTGATGGCTGAAACCAGTGCAAATACATTCTCGAATAATATCCCAGTTAGAACCTGCTGATTTAAGGGTAAAATTTTGTTTTTCCATTACTCTTAACAGTTGTTTCCTAATATCTTCTGCTTTCTCGAGAGATTTTCCCTGTATGAAATGATTCGAACACCACTGGGTTGAAAAATTATTGCTTTTCCACTGAAGGTAAACGTTCAACAACGTTAAATGATCCGACTGAGGGATGAAAAATCTACTTCTTGCTTTATCTGACTCCTTTTCCCGTTCTTTTGGTCGTTTAAATATTTGTGGTATCGACAACATTGCAACTATTATCAAGATCTCAGTACTGCACCCAAATGTAATAGAATTTAAGAGAATTTTTGAAAGGGACGGTTGCAATGGTAACTTAGACATATCTGTTCCAAGTTTTGTTAATTCACCAAAGTTATCAATCGCACCTACAGACCATAATTCATAAAATGAATTCAGTAGAGTTTGTATTGGAGGTGTGTCTATAAACGGAAACTTCATTACATTTTCAACACCTAATGATTTTAATAATAATACAGTGTTGGACAAATCTGTCCTTTGAATCTCAGGGATGGTAGAAGAATACATATCGGTTTCTGATGCCTCTTCGGTGTATAACCTATATGCAACACCGGGTGCCGTACGTCCAGCTCTACCAGATCTTTGATTAGCGTTAGCCAAAGAAATGGGGGTAATGGCCAAACTATCCAAGCCGATTCTAGGATTATAAACTTTAAGTTTCGAATATCCACAGTCTATTACATATCTAATACCATCAATAGTCAACGATGTTTCAGCGATATTGGTAGCAACTACAATTTTTCTTTTGGTTTTATCCAGTTTGTGGAAAATACGACTTTGCAATTCTGGTGCCAAAGCAGAATATATTGGAAATATTTCAATATTATTGACGTCATGGAACGTTGATGCTTCCCCTTTTTTCCTATATACCTCTAACAGCTTTTCCTCTATAGATTCAGTTGTTGCCTCTACATCTTCTTGACCGGTCATAAATATCAATATGTCACCACTCTCGATAGAAGTTGTCAAGTGAATATTCACGGCTTTTTTCATGGCTTCTTCAACATAGTCAGCAACTGGATATTTTGAATAATTTATTTCGACAGGGAAGGTTCTCCCTGGGATGGTAAATTGAGGGGCATTGCCAAAGAACTTCGAAAACTTGGCAGCGTTCAGTGTTGCAGAGGTAATAATCAACCTTAAATCTTTTCGCCTTTGCAGTAATGTTCGTAGGATACCCAACATAACATCCGTGTTTAAGGTACGTTCATGAGCTTCATCGATAATAATACAACTATATTTGTCCAGATCATTATCCAGTAAAACTTCTCTGAGCAGTATACCGTCGGTCATAAATTTAATTCTAGTTTGCGGAGAAGAATAGTCCTCAAATCTTATTGAATAACCAACCTCCTCCTTTATCTTCACACCCATCTCTTGAGCGACTCTTTTAGCGACGGACATGGCAGCAACCCTACGAGGTTGAGTTACGCCTATAAGTTTTCCATTAGTGGTGAAACCATCTTCATAAAGATATTGGGGTAATTGCGTGGTTTTACCTGAACCAGTTTCACCTACAATGATAGACACTTGATTTTCTCTAACCATAGTTAGAAGTTCTGTTCTACTTCTAAAGCAGGGCAACGATTGACGAGTTGCCTTAATGTCTTCTTTATACGAGAGATTAGACGATGCATGCTTTAAATTTTTCATATTGTTTCTATTTTTATCATGTTGAATAGGTTTATTTCGTAACCCTAGAGCTTCACCAATTTTAGTCCCTTCTACGGAAGTTTTATCCCTAGCATTTCGTGTTTGTTCTTTTTGAGCACGCTTTAAGTTTACCAAGGAACTACCCTTTCTTGCCTTAATAGAAAATTCACTCTCTGGATTTCTGAATGGATTTATAATATCATCATTTGTGGTAGATTTTACAATGGAACCAATTATTTCTTCTTTAGTTATTCCGTACTTCTCAGCATAATCAATTAAAAATGTCGGTAACCACTTCTTTCTTTGCTCCGTGGGTAAAACGTTCAATCGAATTTCAGAATGTAGTGCATCTTGATATATGGATGATTCAATTTGAAACTTTCTTGATGGTGTGTGAGAGATCGTATTAAGCCTGGAATTTAATTCATTTTGTTCTTCTAATTCCTCCGATACAGGATTCCCATAATCATCGTCAAAATTATACCAATCTTTATCAATTTCAGTAGTTGTCTCCAACGGTTTAGTGGCCACATCAGTATCCCGTTGTTTCTGCATCGCCACGAGTTTCCTACTTTCTTCAACATCATTTTTTGTTGTTTTATTTTCTTTAGAATATATTTTCAACCTAGTAGCATCCACTTTCTTAATCTTCTTGAACATGATCTGACGAGAATTCTCGTTATGCTTTAATAGCTTACGTTTAACAAATGGATTAACTTTTGATGACAACATGTTTAGGTGGTCATTATTATCGTCAACTTCGTCAGAATCGTCATCATCGACTACAGATATCTTAAATTTCCTTTTCTTCCCTTGCCCCAGTAACTTAATAGGCCGTTCCTGGGAACCTTTTGAGTCTTGAACTTGTTCCACATTATTACCAGACACTTTAATTGCATCAAAGACCTTAGCTAGGACTTCATTAGGGTCTGTAAACTTCCCTAATGCACTACACGCCTTGATGAAACCTGGTTTATCCTGTCCATGTTGTTCTCTCAATCTTCGTATAACATTTAGAAAGTTCTTACTGATATTAGTTTTTGTATTCCGTTGCAATAAATCAATAATCTCCTGATCATTCATCATCAACTGCACCATTACAGGATGATCACCAGTAATCATTGAAGGGAATCTGAATAGTCTATGTAAAGTACTGGACCTTGACTTTTAACCTGTTGAGGATTTGAAGTATCTGTTACCCGCAGATCATCAATTTTTTTTTTGCTTTGCTTTCCAAGGCGAAAGGACGAGAAAGCAAAAGGATTTGAACTATTATTACTATTCCCTTTAAGAACAAAACATTATCATGGGAGGTCCATTTGGTGGAGGTCGATCTAACCCAGACAATTAGACATTGAGATATTTTGATCGCTGATTAGTGCAGATTACATTTTTATATTGTTTGAAGTTTTATTCTATCCCATAAAATTATACCAAGAAAAACAAACAAACTGTTAAAAAATGTTAGCATTCAGAAGGGGAATACATGCATGCTCAACGAAGGGCAAAGAAGTGGCCAGTAAAGTAGCAACTAATGCATTCAAGGAGTTAAAGGGTTCGCAAACTATTTATAATCCTAGAACGTCTGCTGCGAACTACAAAGGTTACTTAAAGAACAAAACTCCGGCGGGCATGTACTACAATCCAGCACCATCGGCTGCTACAGGCTCTATTAACAGTGAAACGATACCATTATCATTTTTATCCAAGGATGACCCTCGTCGGTCGTTTATTAAACAGTTAAGGGCCCAAGATGCAACAGAGAGTAGATATGGTCCACCAGTGTTGGTCAGCAAGAGTACTGTTGAGGGAAAAAAATACCATTTACAACCTGAACAAATTAACGAAATCATCAAACTAAGAAGTTCTGACCCTGTAACGAATACAAGGAAGAAACTAGCTAAACAATTTGGAGTCTCACCATTGTTCATATCGATGGTATGTAGTGCACCAAAATCAAGAATAACAGAGATGAATGAAAGACTGAATACTATCAAATCCAAATGGCACAAACAACGTGAAGTTGCAAGAGAAGATAGAAAAAAACGTAATCAATTATGGTACAGTGCGTAAGACTAGTCTGAACATGCCTTACTCAAAACATCTCTGAAATATTCACATCAACAAAGCCAACTCATAGGTTAATGCACTGGTATTCAAAAGAAGAACATATATATACATATATATCTATACGGATTTAGATATAATATTCGTACATACATAGCAAAACCATGTAAATAAAAATGCAAACTGCGATCAGTGCCAAAGAAAAAGACAGTATAATTAGCAGTTCGTTTCACAATCTTACTAATCAAAGGGCCCATTATCCGTCTATTCGAGGGTAATCCTATGACACCCTTATAGTCCTACTCCTCTGTTGTCATCATCACCTCTTTTTTCTTTATTTAGTTTCATCATCTGCATACATTTACGGGTGTCAGTCCAGTATTGGGGCCTTGGAAAAGGTGCGAAGAGTGAAAAATTTTGTTTTCAATTAATTGAGATGGATTTGTCAGTAGTGATGGTTTTACATATAAAGAGAGGGAGGAAAAAGAGTAGACAGTATTTGGTACTATTAACAATATTATTGAGTGAAATTTAAGTATAAATAAATATATCCGTAAAGATTATTACAAGAAGAAATGGCATACTATAGCGATCAAGACGATTATAATGATGATATCCCTGATTTTCAGGATGAAGCTGAATTCGATGACTATTTAAATGATGAAGAATATGACTTAATAAATGATACGTTCCCTAATTTAAAGAAGAGAATGACTGAAGATAATTATATTGGGTGGAAAAATCTAGATGTAAAATTGGCATTGTTCGATAACGATTTCGATTCTGAAGCAGCTTTTTCCTCCTTAAGAAAACAATTCAAAAAGAAAAAGAAACAAGTTGAACCATCTGCACCAACAACTAATTCTGTTTCCACAAAGAATATAACTGAAAATCTGAATGAATTGAATATAAAGGCCAATGCTGATGATTGGTTAGATGAAGAAGAAGATGAGGAAGAAGAAGAAGAAGAAGCACGTAGAAAGGCTAAGAAAGAGAAAGAAGAAGCCGCGGTGAAACATTACAAGAAGGTTACTGTACCAAAAAAACCAAGAAATCCTATTGATATTCCAAAATATCTGGAGATTTGCAAGCCACATTTAAGTTTCGTTGTACTTGGTCATGTCGATGCAGGTAAATCTACATTGATGGGCCGTCTTTTATATGATATCGGTGCTGTTGAAACTGGGAAGATTAGAAAATTGAAGAAAGAGAGTGAAAGTATAGGTAAGGGTTCCTTCCATTTAGCTTGGGTTATGGATCAAACAGCCGAGGAAAGAGAGCGTGGTGTTACTGTGTCGATATGTACTAGTGATTTTGAAACTGAAAAATCCAACTTTACTATTGTCGATGCACCAGGTCATAGAGATTTTGTTCCAAATGCAATTGCAGGTGTCTCTCAGGCTGATGTTGCTGTCCTATCTATTGATTGTGGTACAGATGCCTTTGAAAGTGGGTTTGATCTAGACGGTCAAACTAAAGAACATACTATTCTGGCGAAAAGTATGGATGTAAACTTCATTATTGTAGCGATGAATAAAATGGATTCTGTTAATTGGTCCCATGAGAGATTCAACGACATTAAACAAAAGCTAGGTTCTTTTTTCAAAGATTTAGGATTTCGTGAAGATCAAATCAAATGGGTACCGTTAAGTGGTTTCTCAGGTGCTGGTGTATACAAGAGTCCATATCCAAGTGAACAAGATTGGTACCAAGGTCCAAATCTGGTAAGTACCTTAGAAGAGGTCGCCCATCATGTAGGTACTGAAGCTCATAAGGACGTTATTGATCATCCATTCTTGTTCTCTATATTAGAATTAATCAATTCTAAGAAGTCTGACGAAGCTGTTGTATCTGGTAGAGTCGAATCTGGTTCCATTCAGCCAGGTGAAGCGATTACAATCTACCCATCCGAACAGAGTGTACTAGTAGATAAGATACTGACTGGAAGAGAAAAAGTGCAGACACATATTGCTACTAAGGGTGATTTTGTGACTTTGAAATTACGTCAAGCATTCCCTGAAGATATTAGAAGTGGTGATTTAGGTGCTTCTGTTGATTATGAAATTAGTGCATCTGAAAACTTCAAGCTACAAATGCTAACATTTAAGATGAATAGACCACTATTACCAGGCACTCCAATAATGTTATTCAGAGGTGTTGTTGAGCAACCAGCTAGAATAAATAAACTTGTGGCAATTATCGATAAGAAAGATCCAAGTGTTATAATTAAAAATAAGGTTAGACATTTGGCCTCCAATCAAGCAGCCATTGTTGAAATTGAATTAACAGAAAGGAAGAGACAAATCCCAATGTTAAGATTCGATGAAAATAAACATTTGGGTAGAGTTGTACTAAGAAAAGATGGCAGAACAATTGCCACTGGTAAGGTGTTGGATCTATGATTATGTACTGGGTATAGCGAAACAAAACACACACACCAAAATAAAAAAAGCAAATCTAAAACAAAACAAGAAATAATAACAGTAACAATCTGCATGCATTTATGATGTTTACAAAAACTCTCGCTTTTGTGAATAATATGTAATATATAGAAATTATACATATAGTGTCTAATTAATAAAATCTATCAATAGAATTAGAATACCTATCAAAATTGCAAGATATTTTGTCATATTAGCTGTCCTACTTGCTGATTTCTTAGCTTTCTTTAATTGGGTGTTACCTTTCTTGATATTAATGTCGATTTCATCTTGATTATCAAGCATTGTGTTAATATCTTGAGACTGACTTTGTAGATGAGTAGAAAGTTCATTTTGTATGCTGACAATATCTAAAATTGTTTTATTTATCTTTTCAACTGCCTTTAACTGTTCGTTCTTCTCACTCAGTAATTCCTCATGTTCTGTTTCTAGTAGCTGTATCTGTTCCTGCGATAATTTAGACATTGTTTCTTCATATTGTTTCACTTCTTGTTGTACATTTTCGACTGCAGAGTGAGAAACAGTAATACTTAATGGTTCCTCCACAGTTACATCCGACGGTGCTTGATTTTCTGACCCTACCGTCGGTGTAGTCAATTGTTCGTGAGACATCATTGGGGAATCATTTAGGCCAAGATTATCATTAAGATCAAACATTTCAAATTTCCGTTGTTGAGTTAACCTTCTCTGTTGCATTGATGCAAACTCTGAAGATATAGCTGTAATGAATATGTTCAACGATTGAAGGACACCTGTTCTAAATCTGTCATTAGATTTATGAAACTCTATTAGTATATTATGATCGCCATTTTTCCCTTTGAACATGTTCATTACGTTGCTATTAGGATTTATTATAGTTTTCTCAATCAATGCCTGTCGTTCGGTTTCATATTTTTCCAGGCTTTTAAACTTCTGAATATATTTTTGAAATTGTAATCTAAATTCTGTATCAAAGTCATCCTTCTGTTCTTCTGTCATATTAAGATCATCTTCATTGTAGTAATCTGTCTTTATGCTAATTAGTATTTTGCGTAACTCACGCATAAAATTCAATAATTCATAACATTCTTTAACAAAAGAGTCCTTTAGTTCATACTTCTTCACATTTATGTCAATACTCGTCTGAATCGTTCTCCTTTGAGATTTACCGTTCTTAAGATTGTCCTCATCGAAGATGGTTAATATCTCTTTAAAAGTTGGAGTTAGATCAGTCATCTCTGATAAATTATAGCAGTCAAAAGTTGTATATATAGATAAAACCCAAGTATGCTATCGAAAGTGATTTCGTTTATAATAATTAAAATACACAAAATTCTATACCTAGACCATCAAAATATTATCTACGTTGAACTTCTTTACGATTGTGTGTAGAACTGTCCATGGGGATGGGTTATGGTTCTTAAAATAGTCGAATTCAAGTAAACTGAAAGAAATTTCGAAAAATTAATGGAAATATCACGTGCATTGAAATTACAAATGGCTGAGACGCGAAAAACAATTTATTGTTATTATTTTAATATAAAGGTAGTTAATAAGACACGTAAAGACTTGAAACCGAATTATGAATAAAATCTATTTTGTATCACTGATATTACGAGAAATATAACAATATAAGTTATACCACAATGTCTGACCAAGGAACTACTAATAAAGAAGAACTACAATATTTGAATTTGTGCCAAAGAATCATCGATGAAGGTGAATTTAGACCAGATAGAACAGGTACAGGGACTTACAGTTTGTTTGCCCCACCTCAATTACGTTTCGATCTAAAAGATGGAACTTTCCCATTATTGACCACCAAAAAGGTATTCACTAAGGGTATCATTTTAGAATTACTATGGTTCATAGCTGGCTGTACTGACGGTAAGAAATTGAGTGAACAAGGTGTTAAGATCTGGGAAGGTAATGGTTCAAGAGAATATCTAGACAACCTAGGTTTAACTGAAAGAAGAGAGGGTGATCTGGGTCCTGTTTATGGTTTCCAATGGAGACATTTTGGTGCTAAGTATAAGACCTGTGACGATGACTACACTAATCAAGGTGTTGATCAACTACAAGAGGTTATTCGTAAAATTAAAGAAAATCCATATGATAGAAGGATTATCCTTAGTGCATGGAACCCACCTGACTTCCCATTGATGGCTTTGCCACCTTGTCATGTTTTTTCCCAATTCTACGTTAATTTCCCTAAGGACGGTGGTAAACCTCGTCTATCGTGTTGTCTGTATCAAAGATCCTGTGATATGGGTCTCGGTGTGCCGTTCAATATCGCTTCTTATGCATTACTAACTATTATGATAGCTCACGTATGTGATATGGAACCAGGCGAATTCATTCATACTTTAGGTGATGCCCATGTCTATAAAGATCATGTTGATGCTTTGAAAGAACAAATATCTAGAGTTCCAAGAAGTTTCCCAAAATTGAACATTAAGAGAAAAGTAGCAAACATAGATGATTTTAAATTAGAAGATTTCGAGATTACTGACTATAATCCACATGCTAGGATCACTATGAAAATGAGTGTTTAATATTTTCATCCCAATAAAAAATATATATACTAATAATAATCCTATATATATTGATAATAACCATACATACATGGATATATAACCTTAAAATAATTCTTTAAATTAATTAGGTTCAATAGTGTTAGTTTCATAATTTATAGCACATTGATTACCTGTGTTTTCATTGGCAGCGTTGATTATAGTATGTAAATGTGCTTCGAGTTGAGTGATTTTACTAACATCCTCAATATCTTGTTCGATGGAATTTCTTATTTTAGATATTTCTTCTTCATTCGAAGTGAATTCACCGTAAGTATTTGTCAAATATTCTTCCGTAACGATATATTTATCTTTAACAATATGCACACTTGGTAAAGCTATATCGGAAATGAAAAGTTCTTGACTGAAAAAGCCTTCTAAAACTTGATAGACTGTACCTTCGGATAATTGTTTAGCGTCATCATGCTCCATAATATATTTGTCATTGAGAATACATCTTCTCCAAAGTGTTGCAATCAAAAACTTTTTGACTTCATATTCTATCGATTTGGTGTTAAATGCTATCAACTTCAGTGCACAGAAGAAACTCTCTGCATCATCCAAAAGACTGTATTGTTCAATTACACGATTGAGAGGAATAGTAATTCCTTTTTGCAATTTTTGATTAGTTTCCTCATATATCTTTTTAAAGAAAGTTTCTTCGTACCTCGAGTTTAGTTCAATAGTGTTTTCCTTTAATTTACTTTTAAAATCAATCTCTCCGTCTATTAAATCCAAACGGGATTGAATTTCGTCTAAAGTAACAACATCGATATTATTTTCATCAACCAAACCACTTAATTTGGCAATATTTAAGTAAATTTGGTTTTTGGTAATAGGCTTCCCTAGTAAATTTAATTTTACAAGATCCATCGATGCTTTGGAGAAATTGTCGTCCATAATATCTTGAATCCAGGATATATTTCTGTATTGGTCAATATTTTCTTCAAAGAATCTTACCAATTGATGATGCTGTTCGGGGAATTGATAAAATAATTTCGATAGTTTATTATTAGCAATGTAATACGAGAATAAGGTCGAAGCAAAATCATAATCGAATTTCTCGAAGAACTGTGCGTAAAGACTATCTTGACCATCCAAAGTTTCTAAAGTCTGCACCAAAGCTTCAAAATCCTGATAAAAATCGGTGATCCTTATCGATTGTTCTTTGTAGTTCAATTCACATAGAACATCATTCCAGGCTGTATGGTTATCATCATAAAGTTTTGCTACTAGATCAAATTTTGTTTGATCGACTTCCTTGTCCACTTGGGTATTCCATACTTTAATCTGATTGAAAAAATAATATAAAATCTTCAATAGCGTTAAAAATTGTTCTTTCTTAACTGTATCAGTAGGAGCTTCAGCTTTAATGCTGAACTTATAATTGAAAAATAGTTTGTTTAAGACATTCAAAATATCGTAATTAATATACCATGGTAACTTATCAACACTGACCTCTAATGGATCCAGGTTGAACATGTCATATCTAACTGTACGTTCACCATCTTCCAAGATAGCCTCATAAAAACATGATATCAAAAGGTTTATCAATTTGGATTTGAATTCATTAGATTCGGTTCCAAAATCTACGGACTTCAAAAACTCGATGAAGAGCGATGGGAATTGATCTAGTTGTTTAATCACCAAATCTTCAAGTTTAATATTGTTTTTAGATAGAATAAATGACCATACAGTGTTTAGTCTAGAACTTACATTGTCTTTTTTGTCCAAACATTGAAGGAATCTTAAAGCACAATTAATAGTTTCGAAATTTTCCACTAAATGAAGTTTTAAATTAGGAGAAATATTATTATTGAAATTTAATTCAATGAAGCGTAAGAAATTTTTATAGTAATTAATTCTGGAATTTAAATGTTGTTCTAAATTTGAGGAAACGTTGGGAATGAATTTACTGGTAGAACTAAATATTCCATCATTACACAAAAGTAAATCATGTTCAATGACTTCTCTATCGATGGATAATCCAGATGGTAAATTAAATTCTATTGGATTGTTTAATGATGCATTAGAAAAATATGTAGCTTGTTCGACATGTGATTTAACAAATCTTGTTTCCTCTAAATCTTCTGTGAAACTTGGTTCAACGGATCGTTTTAGCTCTATCCTCATGATTCCACCAACTTCTTTGCTTATTATATAAAGGGAACTCGCACTATAACCAAATCCAATTACATTTATATCTTCATTAAAACTTATAATATCTTCCCATTTTCTCTTTAATATGAAACTAGAATCAAGTTTGGAACTAATTTGTGTAATGACAAGGCAATTTTGAAATAAAACAAAAACTGATGCAATGGAGCTATTGTTTTGTTCCAATGAGCTTGGAATAAGTAACTTTGGCGCATTTTGTTCAGAAGGTGTAGGTAAATTCATTGTGTTTAATCTATAAGTTGAGAAAATCGAGTAAGCGCCAAATTGTTCATCAAGAATAATAGTGGAAATAATATAAAACATATTGTTATTATCTGTAATTGTAGATAAAAATAATTGAACATTCATGCTATCGGATAATAATGGATGCGAATCAATTAATTTCAAACTACCGTATGCAAAGGGGTATAAATCTTGTAACGATTCTAAAATTTTGTTAAAGACGTTTACATTTATTCTCCTAAACGTCTTAGATGAAACACCTAATTGCCAAATTTGGAAATCACCACTTTTAGTAGTAATATATAAAAGTCTTTCTCCTTTCCCTGTGACATGTCCTTGTTTCAAAGAAACAATAGAATATGAAGTATTTGTTGTATTTTCTTGTTGAGACTTTTTAAAGAATTGGGAAAGTAAACCTCTATGTGCTTTAATCAATGTTTGTTTCAATGCTATTCTTGGTTTACCAATATTATCTCTTATGGTAATAAAATGTACTGCACCTAATGATGTAGCTACAACTATACCTGCAGGTTCTAGATTTAAAACTTTAGTGATACGTTCATCCTGAGACAAATTTAAATCGAGATTATGAGACATTGCCTTAGAAAGTTGGGGGTATAAATTATTTATAGATTCAATATCTTCATAATAAGTTACTTTCCCAGTTTGTTTGTCAAAAATTATAACACCACAATTATCAGGTCCATTATTAATTTCCAATCTTTGGTTATCGTTATCAGAGTTTCCTGTGGTAGGTTCGTATGCAGCCAGAGGTGTTGTCAAAAGACATGCTGGTGGTTCAGACAAAGAGTATTCTGCTTCATCGTGTAATGGAATTCTAATAGATGGAGTGTCTCTTTGAGGCGAATCATAATTCCAAATAAAAATATTGTCTGTATCAGATATCAATGCCTTCTGCATAGAGGTTTCAAGAAAACCTGTTGTTTGTTGATGGTCTTGAGTTTCTCTCTTAGTGGAGGAAGGTAATTCCGTAGTGAGTCTACTGACGGTGTAAACTTCATTTTCTGTTAAAATTTTGTTGGTGTCGTTATATGTAGTGGCAGTTGAGTTCTCGAAAGAAGTAGCTTTCTCTGTGGAGAATTCTAATTCATTATTATTAGAATCAGAGATGTCCGTTGTCAAGGACTCACTTAATTCCTTTCTCAATTGGAAAATTGGTCTGGATGAAGTTTGTGTACTCATAATTTCTTATTCTTGTGGAATCGGTGGAATACGTATGTATATGTATCTCAATGTTTCTCCCCCGAAATAGCACAAAGTTTGTGTATGTATAATGCCAACAAAAGTAAAATAAAAATGGGTGAGGTAGAAGTGTATTCACACAATTGAGTCAATAAAAATTCTGTGTTCTCTTTTAAATAATGAATTGTAATATCTATAATCGTCTATTGATCAGTTTCTATTATAATTGAAATTTCAATATTTTGGCCCTTTGCCGTCTGGAATATGTCGACCAAAAATCAATTTTTTTTTCTTCGAACCGTCGATCACTAAATACGAGCGGGCGGGAATATATTACATATATTATATACAAGAATAATGATGATGATTGTGATGAATGGTTTCCAATTATTTATTAAAATATATAAATTGTATGTGTATGCTGTTGCAGTTGAATCAGTGATCCATGTTCTTAATCTTTTGTCTGTTATCTACCAATCTCAACATATTTCTTAATAACATTGCGATTGTGACTTTCCCAGTCATTGGAACATATAAGGACGCCTTAGTCTTCACATCTTCTGCGAAATTCTTAAAGGATGAGAAATTGATACAGATAGCACCTTCTCTAATATATTCAGTAGGGAATTTATAACTTTCGGAAGGCACACCTGTGATGATAATATCTGCGTCTTTACAAACGTTTTTCAATAAATCATCTGAATAATCTCCCAGATCTTCCACTTGATGTTTTATCAATTTTAAGCTTTCACCTCTTGTAAATTTCTGTATATTATTCACATCGACAGAGTATACTATAGCACCGTCATTAGCTAATAGAGCCGCAAGGGGTCTTCCAACAATTTCAGATCTATTAATGACCACACATTTCTTCCCATACATTTGATTCCCATCTGGTAATAACGGATTATATATTTTTAAATATTCCAAAATCTTCACTATCGCCAGTGGTGTACAAGGTAAAATTGATTTCAACGTTTTGTTTTCATCCAAATATCTAATGTTATGATATAAGTTTTGATAGTACACGTGGTTCAACCCTTCTACGTCTTTTTCTTTATTAACAATCTGTTGTAAATATTGATCCTGAGCATTACCGAACACTGGGAAATAGATCATAATCCCATCGACATTGTCATCACCATTAGCTTCGATAATATTTTCTTCTAGTAAGTCTTTATCTTCGAATTTTCTCAATTCATATCTAATCCCCAATGATTCAGAGGTCTTTTGGGTCCATCTAGCATACATTTCAGCAGCAGGATCATCATTGGCCAGAAACCCGACCAATAGAGGACCGTCCGGGTTAGTACTCTTTAAGGATTCAACTTTAGAGCGAATCTCTTCGTCGTAAATCTTTGAAATGGTAGAGGCTAGGATGGTGCGACCTGGTTTTTGAATTGAAGCAGACATAGTTGGATAGTTATGCAGATAAAATAAGGATGACGTAGTTATTAGTATTGTAAATATAACTTATCTCAAACTACTGCGAACTGCCTCTCACAGAAATAAGTCTGGTTAAACGTTTATGGTGTGCTTATATAACAGCAGCTTTTCAGAAAACAGAAAAGGATTTGGGGGTAGAGAAGAGTGATCGATGACTTCTTGTGACGAAATGGCAAATTTGCAGCGTGCGAGTAGTTGGATTGAACAGAGTCAGCAACATTCTCTCTATATTAATATTAATAGTTGTTGCTGTAGTAGTAGTCGTTCTGCGGACAAACTGTGCAAATGTTTGTTCAACTTTTCAGCCCGTCGCGGGAACAGAGTCAGAACAAACGTGGGAAGTGAAGGGTCAGCTCGGTTACCAGACGGGAAAGTATGTGACACAATCTGGGATATATAGGGTGGTTACATGGTTATGAAGTGGTCACTCCTTGTTCAATGCATCGTGGAAATGCTTTGGAGAGGGTGGTTACTAGCAACTCCGTTGTTTGTTTGTTTGTTTGTTTGTTTGTTATATAATTTGTTGTCACAGAGACAATTTTATAAAGATTAAGATTCCCATATCGTACAAATAGTTCTATTACACTACATGCAACTACAGTAACAATGACACAGTCTCACAATAGAACAGGTTGTCCCAATTTCTTGTGAAGTATAGATTATATATATAATTTCATAGTGGTGCTATTGTAGTTCCTACGATCTGCGATGGCCGCCCCGTTACAGAAACTCAATTTTTTTATTTTTCAGTTGAAAGTTTTTCGCAACAGATAGCTGAATCAGTAACAAGCAACTCATCGCTGCTTTCAAGTAAAGGACAAAGAATGACTAATAACTAAAAGATACCTCGTATCTTGATATTAAAAAGAAAGATATATTCCATGAGAAAAGTGCAACATATGACAATATTACTAGTATAGTTCACTTTTTTCCTTTTTTACCTTTCAATATTTCACATTTGTGTTTCTTTTACATATCCAGTAAAACTGTCGGCCTCATTCATTCCATATTTGGTTAGTGTTCGACACCTGTCCCATTCGAGAGACTATATCACCAAATCCAGAGCTATTCTACCAAGAAAACCTCCTAGACAACAACAACAGCGTCAACGTCAGCGTCAATCTTCATTTCGTTCTCCTGATCCTTCTTTATCCTTGCCAAAGAACAAATACATTTCACCAAAGCATAGATTTCCTGTGAGAGCTACAAAAGATATTAAACCATCGTATAATCGCGGATTCCCAACAATGTATACCATCACTACTGTTACACAGCCATGTGCAGACACTAAACATCCTTTATTACTATTACAAACGGTGCATGGTGACCGTTATATGTTTGGTAAAATCGGAGAAGGTGCACAAAGAGCAATCACTGAGAATAAAATTAGATTAGCCAAATTAGAAAATATTTTCTTGACTGGGAAATTGGATTGGTCAAGCACAGGTGGCCTTGCGGGTTTGATTTTAACTATTGCAGATCAAGGTAAAAATAAAATTGTTTTGAATTATGGTAATAAATTGATTAATTATGTCATTTCAACTTGGAGATATTTTGTATTTAGATTTGGTATTAAATTACAATCAAACATTATGTCATCGTTAAATGATAATCAAATATATAAAGATCCTTTAATTAACGTGAAAGCTTTTACAGTGACACCCAAAATATCAAATGAGCCAGTATTTAACATTGCAGAAGATACAGTATTAAATACCATTGTGGCTAATATGTTTCCTAAACATGCTCCAACTTCTAAATATGACCCTACATCTGATCCTCATTTAAATGTTGAATTACCAAGAGTAAACTTCGAACAGAGTTCAACAAATTATGAGATAAGTTTCAATCCAATTAGAGGTAAGTTTCTTGTTCAGGAAGCAATAAGACTTGGTGTACCAAAGGGACCAATGTTTGCAGCATTAACAAAAGGTACCCCTGTCACATTAGATAACGGTACGAAAGTGACTCCAGAACAAGTTCTTGAGAAACAAAGACGATTCCCTAAAATTTTAATATTAGATATTCCTGACGATTCATATATTCAATCTTTCGAGGAGCAATTTTCAAATTATGATGCGGCTCACCTGGGAGCAATATATTATTTTCTGGACGACTCGGTTACTATCAATGACCAATTAATTAGATTCATGGAGTCATTCACTACATCCAACAAGAACATCAAACATATTGTATCGCATCCTAACGTTTCGTTGAATAGTTTAGCTTTTGTTGGTTCAGCTGTAACTACATTAAAATTGAAAGCATTACAAATGGAGAATTACAATTTACCAAGGACAAACAACTTATTATCTCGAGAGTTCTATGATTGTTTCGAAAAATCTGTTCCTGAAGGTACATCTATGATTCAATCACAAGAAGATTCAATTCAAACGCAATTGAATAAGTCAAATGTTCATATTATGGAGAAAGATACACTAATTACTGTCGATGCTACTCCAGTCGATGAATCAACTGATAATTATAAATGTCAAGTTTCCACAGAGGGAACCCATATGACTGATGACGCCAAAGTTTGGAGAGAATTGTATGATTCACATATTGAACCATTAAATTTACCTACTGTATCGTACGAAACTTTAATTACCAATCAAAAGAATCAAAATAATTTTAATAATTCAAAGGAAAAAGCTGATCATGTAGAGATTGTTACATTCGGTACTGGTAGTGCGCTACCATCAAAATATAGAAATGTTATATCAACATTGGTAAAAGTTCCATATATCGACGAGTCCAACAATATTTCACAACGAAATATTCTCTTTGATGCCGGTGAAAATACAATCGGACAAATCAAAAGAAATTTCTCTGAAAACAAGCAACAAGATATATTCAAAGATTTGAAAATGATTTATTTGAGTCATCTTCATGCAGATCATCATTTAGGTATCATTAGTATATTGAGGGAATGGTATCAATATAATAAATCGGACCCAGACGCCAGAATATATTTGGTTTCCCCATGGCAATATAATAAGTTTGTGAAAGAATGGTTATTGTTGGAGTCTCCAGAAATTTTGTTGAGAATCAATTATATTAGTTGTGAACATCTTATCAATGAAAGGGTGTGTCGTATGGAGACCAAGCCAATAAATGTAGACGAATATGTTGATTTGATGAATGATGAGTTTGGTGAAAACGAAAGTAATTCTGATGGAGAATCTGCTGGAGAATTGAGATCCTTAAAGAGAAGAAGATTAGAATTAAACAATATGTCGTCATTTAGAAACATTAAGATGATCCGCTCTATGTACGAGGATTTACATATACAAAGATTCCAAACTTGTAGGGCTATTCATTGTAATTGGGCTTACTCCAACTCCATTACTTTCCAAGTGTCAAATACCAAAACTTTTAAAGTGTCCTATTCTGGTGATACCAGACCAAATATTGATAATTTTGCTAAGGATGTTGGACAAAATTCTGATTTATTAATCCATGAAGCTACATTAGATAATGAATTGCAAGAGGATGCAATTAAGAAGAAGCATTGTACTATCAATGAAGCGATTACTGTTTCGAATAAGATGAATGCTCAGAAGTTACTTTTAACGCATTTCTCTCAACGTTATCCAAAAGTGCCTAATATTATGAATAATGTTGAGATCAAAGCAAAAGAGTATTGTTTTGCATTTGATGGGATGATTGTTGACTATGAGAAGATGGGTGAACAATTAGCTATCTTACCAAAATTAGGTAATCTTTTTGTCGAAGAGGCTGAAGAAGAAATAGAAAAGGAAAACGTTCAACTGAGAGAGCATGACGATCACAAACAATCTAAAAAGAAATCTAAAAAGTAAAGATATCACAAAATGGATGCATAATATATAATGTAAATAGTATTTTTAAAAATATTTAAAAAAGAAAAGAGTATAGTCATTTACAAAAAAAAAGTGGAAATTTATTAAAATTAGTCTATGAGAATATATATTATGAAGAAGAAATGAAAATGAAAATGAAAATGACGAATGACATATGCATGGAACTTCAGAAGTATGTTTCAGGAACGATTAATCAACTTCTTTAATGATAAGCCTGCATCATCATTTTCTTCCGATGTTAATGATCCGTTGTCAGAAATATTTGTGATAGAACTTCTTCTTTCATTAGCACCAATAGGCGACATTGTGATAGAAGATGCAACCATTTTACTACTTAGCGATCCATTCATTGTTTGTTGGATCAGTGGTGTGAATTGTAATGTAGCTACGTTAGACAATAAATTTGAATCGTTTGGTGTAGCTGGTTCCATTTGCAATTTGGTTCTGTCATTTAGACTAACAGGTTTCAATCTCCTGTCAGTATGAGTTGGAGAGGCGAAGGTAGAAATATGAGGTTTTGGAGATGCCAGGAGTAAAGTCGACGATGCGTTGTTCATTGAAGAGTTATTATTATTCGTAGCAGATCCACTACTTCCACCGTTATTATTCATAGTTTCAAACCAATGTCCATTTTCAACATCGTTAATTAACAGTGGATCCCCACCTGAATATTTGAATGGAAATTGCTGTTGTTGCTGTTGCTGGAAGGACTGACTAGTGGTAGGTTTTGGTAGAACCCTAGTCTTTGGAGAGAAAGTAGTACTTGGACTACTAAATTTTAAAATTCTATCGTCCAGAGAGGATTCTTGATTCCCGCTACCATTAGTGAAAAACATACGTGGTGACAAACTATTTGACAGGACCATATCTAACCCGACTGATGGGGTGAATCCAGTTCTAAACTGAGCATGTTTGGTACGTGGGGTAGATGGAGCGTTTGGTGTATTTGAAATAGTCACTTGAGGCAAAGGATGTAATTTGTTTGTGATTTCAGTTAAAGTAGATGGAGTCCCCGGAACGATTGAAGGTCTTCTCTGTTTCTTGGAGTCGACTACTGGAGATGCAGGTGTAACCTCTGCAGTAATGATTTTTTTCTTATGAATTGGTTTCTTAATCATTTTTTTCGTTGGGGAGGAATTCAATGAGGAAGTTGTACTTCTCATCTTTTTCAACAAATTCAAGATCTTCGTCTTTTCAGGTAATTCATCACCACCATTACCATTCTTCTTAGACAGTTTTGCTCCTGAGTCTTCTATGGTGTTAACGTTAGTGACACCTGGAGACACCGGTTTCAAAGGTAAATGTTTAAATATATGAGGACTCACAATGGCAGCTTTCCCATTAGCACCAATTGTCAGAGACAATTTCAAAGGTGTGCATGGGTTTGAATGTTGAGTAGTTGAACGATGGGTCTTTGTCACAGAAGAGGACAATTGAGTACTCGATGGAGGCGAACTCATCATGTTCATTCTTGGGACGGATTGAAACAAATTGTCACTAGAATGTGGTGTGAATGGAGAGGATCCTCCATATGGTTCTGCGGACATACTGGTGTTGCTACCTTTGAGGTTATTAGCACCGTTCGACATATTATTACCAGATTTTATTGGTGTAGATAGTACAGTATTTGAATGTGGATCACGAGCTAACATTTCTTTATTTAATGTGGAGAGTAAGTTTCTGTTATAGTTATTGATCATGACAAATGAAAGTGTATAAATAGTTATTATTTTTCAATCGACAAGTGTGTAAAAGCAAACACAGAAATATGTTAAATATGGTTTCCCAAAAACTTCTGAAATATTCTTTTACCATTATGTGACTCCCAATATATGCACATATATATATGAGAACTTACATTATTGGGCATGCTTGGTTCTATTACCCAATACGGTAAAATTGAAGCAAAAAATTAAAAAAATTCACTGCGAAACGAAACGCGTCAAAATCAAGCGAGTTTTTGGCTGCAATCGACGCGTCTCACGTGGAAGGGAGGGGGAGAATTACCCAATCCGGTAGTTATATTGGTTTTATTCAGGTGAGGATATAGATGAATTTCCTGTTAGGGCAATTATTCAGGCAAATATATATATTAGAATTTAGACAATATAAAAAGAATACAAAATGCATCATTATAGAGGTAAGATATGAGGATTTGGACCCAATGGAGTTAGACTTAATGGGTTAATCCTTGTATGAGAACGAGTGTAATGTAATTTGATGTGGTTGAAGTTAGTAGTTAATCTGAATGAATCGTTATTCCAATACAAATTACGTAACCACAAATGAATGAAAGGATAACCTTCTCTAATTGTGGTCAAATTACATTTGAAATGTTGAACATAGACAGGATCGAATCTAACAATTGTTGTATAGAGTCTAACATCTGATTCGGTCAATTGACCATTCAAAACATAATAATGTTGTAAGATTTCTTTAGAGTCAGGACCATATTTTTTCTCTAAAGCTTGATATTTACTCTTTAATAATTGTTCTACACGATCTAAATGTTGAAACACATTTTTCACTTCTTTTTCGTAAACAATTGCAGTTTCAGCAAAACCTGCCTTATAGACACCATTATTGATATTATCGTATACCCATGAATTAAACTCATCGATTTGAGGTTCTAATTCCTTTGGCACCAAATCAATGATAGGTGAAGCATCCGAGGAACCCGTAACAAATTCATCAAAGACACCACTATTCAAAATTCTAATGATTTCACTACTTTCATTATTAACAATAGTGCTTGTTTCAGAATCCCATAATACAGGGACCGTAAATCTAGAAGAATAGTCTGGATCACTCTTCAAATAAAGATCGCTCAATCTTTCGAATTGATTTAATGGATCTGGAGTACCATCTATCCATAATCTGTCCGAATCATTAGGGATCGAGGCAAATGGTTTCATGGTGATACTCTGAGTGTTATCAATACCACCCGAAACAGTATGATAAATATTTTCATCAATCGAAGATTTATCGGTTGGATAACGTAGGAACCTCCAACCCTTTGAATCCAAATGCCAGTGTACTACAACCACACCAATTACACTACTTAAATGTTTTAGTGATCTAGTTAACAATGCACGATGAGCCCATGGGCATGCTAATGACACGTATAGCCAGTATCTGTTTGCAGCTGGTTTGTATATTGGATGAGTCTTCGAGATTACTTCTCTGAAGGATGAGACTTGTCTTTTGAAAGAGCCATCCTTAGGGTCTGCCCACTGCTTTGACATTGAGATTTATTTTTTTTTCTTTTAAGGTTCTTATTAGCTTAATAGTAATTGAGTTATTGAATATTTCGTTCAATATGCTTATACTGTTGCCGATACTTTCTCTGAATATAGAGGGTGAATAAACTGAACTTCATAAGAAATGAAATCAATCGAACGAAACTGAACTGGACTGGACTTCTTCCTTCTCTTTTTATATTCAGACCTTGTCGGAAGAAAGTACCTGCTTGCCCCCAGCCCCTTGAACCTGTACCCTTAGAATCGAAAAACAATAGTCACTGTTTCAAAATTACGTAACTTATTATTAACCTGCCAGCCTCGCTCTGTCGTTGCTGCGGGTTATTGCTGGGAATTATCTTAGTCAGATTTGAGTAATGCTAGTCGTGCAGGGTGATATTCTTGGCCTTATTGAGGCACAACGAGAGTAACTTGAATTGGGTGACTTAGATAATGACGAAATCAGTATTATAGTATCCTATAATTAGCGATAGTTGGTCACAGGGTTTGAATAATATATATATAATGTAGCGTATGGTTGAACAAATGGGAATAGAGTGGCTACAACACTAATATGTATTATATTTGTCAGATTCGACGAAGTAAGTGGATATACATACCTTAAGTTGGTCACGTAACTCTTATTAAGATATTTTAATTCTTCAGATATATCTTACCACTTCGAGATATAGTCGGTTCGAAGCTTGTAGAAATGATACAAACACGTTATTGGAAGCCACCATCTAAGGGGTTCTCTATGATTCGAAATACCAAATCATCACATTCAGTTATCCCTAAGTAGTACTTGATTACGATATCAGACGGCACTTAGGTAATCCTCATATTATGAGTGGTAGTCTTTTTTCTCTTGCCGTATATCTTATATGATTAATGTTAGATCTCGTCTGCAATCACTATTATTTTGTTTATTTCTCTGTTGAGAGTCCAGTTGGTAGCAGTTCAATGAGTTGTGAGTACACTGGTTCGTCAGTTTCATGCTGGGTATACTCCATATGTTCAATTCCCTACCGTAGTAAATTCAAAATTTCTCTGAACTGACACTTTTCTTCTCAAGTTTCATAAGTTCTATATATTTGGGCCTATCTTTTCGTTTCTTTTAAAGTACTGTTTCATTGGTCAAGGTTCAAATTCTAGGGTGTATTTTGCAAAATACAAATCAATTGTGTTAATGCGTTACCTTTACATTATATTTCGACTCCTTTTTACTGTTTATGTTGCTTTGAAACCATTTACCATAGCTTTCTTCTATCTAAGATTTTCTTTTATTACTATATCGCATCGTGATAGAGGATATTGGGTTTAACCAATGTTGTAAATATATTTTTAACATGATGAGCCCAGGTTGTATTGTAATATACCAATTAAAATAATTACTCAAAATACAATAGGCCTTACAGAGAGAACAAGATAAACATCTAAAACTTAATTTGATATAAAGGAACTCAAGTGCAGAAGGGGTTATAAATATTCTAATACGGATAATAATGAAAATATTTTCACAATTTGTACCAGTATCATTAATTTCATTAACAAAAAATAGCAGCCATAGTTACAACAAATTGGGAAATATAAATTTGCCTCAGAAAGAAAACAAGACCTAATACATAAAATCTAAACAAAAATTGCTGAATTAATCAATCCTTTTCCCAATCTGTTTATTTGTATATTGTTTGAGGTCCTATTATTTTAAGAATAATAAATATAAACGAGACCCTGGACTAATACATCCCGTTAATCAAAGAGATAACAAAAACGTAATCAGACTACCAGATCTGGAAATCTAAAGTACAGATATGAATGACAGAATGCATGCCCTTCTCAATGATTTGTATACTTCATTGTTCTTTAGTGTTAGCTCATCTCGTTTTTTCATGTCTTCCTTCCTAATTTGGTCGTAAAGTGCATTTTAACCATAAACAGACAAAGCCGAATGCGGAAATATGTTCATACATATGATTACCGAATTTGGAACATAAGTAAACATCGTACAAGTAGAGGTTACTTGCTGTCATGCGATCTCAAATTATGTGAGATTCAGTTGACAGTGTCGATGATTCTTAAATGAAATTGGTTGCTTTATCAGGTATATATATTTAAATATGAACAATTTTTATACTATTTATCGATTGAATCTGAAACGTTTCTTCGGTATTTGTTTTGGTTTACATAGCTTAGGTAATGATTTCATAGATGAATATATAAATAAGCTTGGAAGAAGAAAAACGATGGATATACAAACTCAATCATTTGCAAATGAAGTCAATGATTACATCAGTAAATATAGAGAGGCATACAACCAGGAAGAAGAACTAGAAAAATTGGTAAATGAGGAATTAATAGATTTTAAAAAGGAATTAAAGTTGATAATGGAACAACGGTTACAACGTATTGTACAGATAAAAGAACAAAATGGACATAAATTACAACATCCATATGCCGAACCATTAAGACACCATGAACACAAAACAATAGTACCCAATGAGAAGATCACTAGATACTTGGATGATTTGAAACATTACAATACGAAGGATATATTGACACCTGTGAAACAGATGACATACCGTTCTTCTAGGGCTAGGTCCATTCCTGTCAAAGCCAAAGACTCCCCTCAAGAAGAGGATATACATATAATGAATAGTTTCTTACAACCATCAACACCTTTAGCCATACTACTCTCTCCAGTTGAAATAACACATAATATTGATATTAAGTCGCTAGAAGATTCATCACCACCGAGTGATAATGAATCATCTCCAGAGGAAAGTGATTTTGACGATGAAATATACACTTACTATTATGAATCAGATATATCGGTAGATTCAAACGCTGAGTCTAATAGGAAATCACAAAGAAACTGGAATATTACGAATTTATGAAAATAAAAACAGAAAATTTAAGCATACTACCTCCATTATTTATAGAATCATATACATATATATATATTACATATAATATACATCCATTGCCATTCATGTTGATTTATCACTTCATAGTACGTATTCAGAAATGCTTTAGTTCCGATCCCTCAGGCGGTACGGTTTCCACTGTAGCATCTTTGACATCACCCCAACTTGTATTTAGTGTAGTACCATTACTTTCTACGAAAGACTTCATCATGGCTCTTCTTGTGTCAGGATCCGCATCTGCATAAATTTTTTGGAAAAAAGCATCTGCACTACCATTTTCCTCATTTCCATCCTCGTCCTCCTCATCTATATCTATATTTGACCAATCTTTCTTGTCTTTCGGGGTCTTTTGGATTGCTGATGTTTTCTCTTCTACGCTTAAGGTATGCCATGTAACTCTTTTCTGTACTTTTTCAAAGACAATCTCTATTTTCTTAGTAAACACTTTACATTGGATATTTCCACTCTCTATCTTATGAGATAGTTTGGTTTCGTACTGAAACTCTGAACCTTTTGATGCGATTTTGAAAGATACACATAAATTTTGACCATCAGGGATTTCAATCTTGACATCGTCAGTTGATGATGGCAAATTGTCAGTGAACAATGAAATTGTGACATAATTAGGTGTTTGATACCAATCTGACCTGAATGTAACTTTCTCTTCCTGAACAGGCAATGAAGATATCGACTCAGGCACTTCCAGTTTTGCAACATTGACACTCTGTGAATTATTTGAAGTTAATTTGGCTAATTTACTTTGCAATCTTTGCTCCCACATTGAGAAAGTTGCATCATTATAACCATGCTCTTTAGCAAGTTTGAAGAAATTTTCTGCCTGTGGATACATCTTTCTATTGAAATAATGAATAAATATCCTAAAGTATATAAATGCGATCCGTTCACGGTCACCTCTCCCCTGTGCAACGACAAGTGCTTTAGATAGTGTTTCATGCGCATCTTCAATAACACTATCTAGATGACTTTCTTTCTCACCAAAATATAATTTTTCTAAGGATGCAGCTCTGTAGACCAATGCCTTTGTATTATTTGGATATTTGGATAATACTGTGTCATAAATCTCTAATGCTTTCTTGGGGTCCTTCTCATCGTACAACACTTGGAAACCTGTTTTTAGAAGTTTCTCCACAGGTACACTACTATAATCAGTCATTATCAAGTTATTTTTGATCTGCCTCTTTATGTGTCTTTTTACTTGCTGAACTTGTCCTCTCTTCAGTAAAGGAGGGATACTACCCACTATTACTTTACCGCCTTCATAATCCTTTATTAAAGATTCATTCATTTTCTTTCTCAAATTTCATGATCAAGCGATGAGCTCCACTGAACGAAAAAATAATAAAAATTTTCAATTCTGTTTTTATTTAAGTGATTTATATAGGAATGATTAGCGATGAGTTATAAGAAAAGTTAAAAGAACCATAATTACAACTTAGTTTTGGGATTACGACTGCTCAACTTAGCTAACTACATACACTGCTATAAAATATGTCTGCACATGTGAGAGCTTTAGTGCTTGATGCTACTCCATTGATCACGCAATCATACGCTCATTACCAAAACTATGCTGAAACATTTTATACTACACCAACTGTGTTCCATGAAATTAAGGATGAACAAGCTAGAAAAAACTTGGAGACCTGGCAAAGTTTGGGCACTTTGAAGTTGATCCATCCTTCTGAAGAGTCTATTGCTCATGTGAGTGCATTTGCTCGTTTGACTGGTGATTACTCTGTTCTTAGTGCCAACGATATACATATTATTGCATTGGAATATCAATTAGAATGCCAGTTGAATGGTGGTGATTGGCGTTTAAGACAAAAACCCGGAGATTCCATTAAAGAATCACAAGAGAAAGAAGCATCTATTGAAGCCAAGGCCGAGAGGCAGGCAGCCACACCAACTGGCCAAAAGAAAAGAAGAAGAAGAGGTGGTAAGAAGCAAAGAGAAAAGAAAGAACAACGTGAATTAGAAGAAACAGTTGAAAAAGCAGAGCCTGAAGAGACAAACGAACCTGAAGAGCCAGTTGAAAAAGAAGTAAAATTTGTTGAGGAAGAAGTAAAACAACAAGAACAACCTGCAACTATTGACGAGAGCGAAGAAAGTACATTGGTTGAAGATTTTGTAGATGGTGATGATGATGGTGAATGGATTACACCTGATACACTTGTTGAAACCATGATTAGAGACAGTGGTGAAGATACGTCTGGTTCAAATGGTGTCGTGGCCATTGATAACGATAGCTCCAATTTAATTAGCTTACCTCGTAATCAAGTGGCTCTTGCCACAGGTGATTTTGCTGTTCAAAATGTTGCATTACAAATGAATATGAATCTAATGAATTTCATGTCTGGGTTGAAGATCAAGAGACTTCGTAACTATATGTTGCGTTGTCACGCATGTTTCAGAATATTCCCATTACCAAAGGATGGCAAACCAAAACATTTCTGTCCATCCTGTGGTGGTCAAGGTACTTTACTAAGATGTGCAGTATCTGTTGATGCACAGACTGGTGCCGTGACACCGCATTTGAAGGCCAACTTCCAATGGAACAACAGAGGTAATATATATTCAATGGCTAGTCCGCTATCTAAGAATTCTCAAAAGAAGTATGGTAAGAAAGGTTACGTTCACAACAAACAGAACAGTAATCACATGCAAGATACACCATTGCTAAGAGAAGATCAAAAGGAATATCAACAAATGGTGAAACAGGACGAATGGACTAGAAGACATAACGAGAAAGTTTTGGACAACTGGATCGGTGGTGGGTCTGCTGATAATTACATGTCACCATTTGCCATGAGCGGTCTAAAACATCACAGTTACAAGGTCGGCAGAGGTCGTTACGCCAACAGTAACAAGAAGAAATAGGGAACCTGGATTCTTCTCCATATATAACACTACACCATATATCATTTTCATTCATACCATTTCTAGACATATATATACATATAAAACAACATAAACATTAATAAAAATCGACGTCTTTATTGTGATCGCTGTGCTGCTGTTTCTGTCTTTATATACATGAATGAATTGAATTATGACGTAATTTTTCATTTTCTCTGCGACAAAAATTCTGGTACGAATGCCTGCAAACGGTGGAAAACCCTCAATATTTAATACTGTCACTGACTTAAGCATCTTATACCACCTTTAGTTAATCAAGAATATATATATATATACAACCGGGACAACTTACACAGGCTTCTTGAAGCTCTTCAACGACTGTTTAATTTTCCTCAAAGAGGTTGGGCTAAACTACGTAATATACATATCTCAGTACACCCCGCCCAATGCTTCGCGCTATTTCTGCACGCAGCTTCAAAACAATAATATATGGCAGTATTTAGGACAATTTTATTTGACAGCCAAATTGACATAGTACAAAAGGGAGATTCCATTCTTTACGAAGAGTTTTTGGTAACTTTCACTTCTGTAAGAGTGGTCAAGTTCTAGAGATTACTAAGAAGATTAAATACGATATTAATAGATATGTCACTGAACAATCAACAGAAACAGAGGCAGGAGAGCATTCAACCGGGACAAGTCACTGATCATAATGTACCTTATGACAAGAATGAACCCACTAGAACGAAATCCATTATGAAAGTGAGTGGTACATCCGGTGCTGTGGTATCGAACACCCCAGAAGCTGGGCTGAAACGGGCTCCAAAAGTTATGTTTAGTAACTCGGATACAGCAGCTAGTAATAGTAGTGGTGGTGTAGTTGTCGCCGATACAGCCAATGGCGATAGAAAGCAACTACAACAAGGAAATGATTCGAGATACTCCCATAAGGAATTGAATGAAGGATCATTTGCTACACTGACTAGTAAATTAGAAGGGACATATACTAAAGATTCGGCAAGTTTCAGTGAAGGTAATTCAACACCAAAGTCTATGTTGACTGGAGGAGGCACCAATGGAAATACGAACGAACATGCCCATTTTGTTGTACAGGATTCTTTACATAGTCCTCCACATAATATGCATACAGGTAATAGTAGTATAGCTACGAGTCCTCGTGGTTCAATTGTCTCTTCGATGATGACTTCGATTAAACACAAAGAGCATGAAATTATGGCTACAGAGGCCTCTATACACAGAAATTCTATAAAGGATACTGGTAATGACACATTAATTCCAAAAATCTCCACTGCGATTGAAAAAGATAAACTTCCATTGAAAAAGGAGATAAAGACAAATATGACTACATTCTTCCAAGACCAAGATGATGGTAAATTACACGTGTTACTTGGTTGTACTGGTCCAATTCATATTCCAAAAATTAAACTATTTATAAGGAAATTGGAGGATATTTATTCGAAAGATAAGATATCATTTCAGATTATTTTGACAAGGACTTCAACTATGTTTTTCAATAAGAGAAAAATCCCCAAGAAAACTGTCGCAAATATTTCAACTGACTCACAACTACAACCACAAACTTCTGATATGGTGCCTCCAGATTTCCCAAGCAATGTAAAAATATGGAAACATAACGATGAATGGAATAGCTGGACTCAGAAATCCGATCCTGTATTTCATATAGAATTAAAACGATGGGCTGATATTTTAGTGATAGCTCCTTTAACAGCAAATACATTGGCCAAGATGGTTCTTGGGCTATGTGATAATTTGTTAACAAATGTTATCAGAGCATGGAACCCAGCTTTCCCAATCTTTATTGCGCCATCGATGGTAAGTAGTACGTATAACTCTATTACTACAAAGAAACAATTAAAAATGATTAAAGAAGATATGCCTTGGGTAACAATCTTTCAACCCTCTGAAAAGATCATGAGCATGCATGGGAATATTGGTCTAGGAGGGATGATGGATATTAATGAAATTATAGATAAAGTAGTAATGAAATTGGGTGGTTATCCAAAAAATGAAGAAGAAGAGTCGGATGATAATAATGATGATGAGGATGACGGGAGCGATCATCCCGGTAGTAAACAAAATGGTAAAGAGGATGACAGAAATATCAGTGACGGTGAAGACGATGACGATGAAGATGATGAAGATGATGAAGATGATGAAGATGATGAAGATGATGTTGACGTCCAGGTAAGTATAACTCCTCACCAATAAACAACAAACGTAATTGTTAGTCCATCAGAACACAAGTCAGATATCTAGTAATTCAGTATATGTTTGTAAAATTTAATTTATATATCTTAAAAAGGTGTTTTAACCTTTTTGTATAAGATTCCTAGTATTATTTATAAAATATCAAGATAAACACTCTAAGTGTACTCTAATGGTTAATAACTTTCCGTAAGCACACATACCCCAACATCTATACGAAAAGTAATGTATCCTATATATATATTTTCGCTGTCCATATTATATATGTATTGTTATATGATATATATCAAAGATAAGTTCTAGTTTCATTCAAACGAACTAAGAAGCCAAACTTATTCTTAAGTCGAAGTAGATGTGACACAGTTCCAAAACTTGAGAGCATTGCAACTGTTGCTTCAAATATGAGCATTTTTATTTAGGAGGCACGTGATATTTTGCTTGTAACAGGCCGGTTTCGCTGAATTTTTGTTTTTCAGGCGAAATGCCATAATAACTGATTACTAATGTTTTAATTCAGTTCAATACATTATACAGGGCATCGCAAATTTTAACAACGTAAGAATAGGATATATTATTCGATATAGAGTTACGTTATATATGATGAACTTTTTGTAGTCTTTCTGTATCTAATAAAAACTACTTTCAATTCGTTTGCCTAACTTTAACATAAGTAGTTTCTTAGCATTTGCTAACACAATAATCCACATACAAAAAAGATTATCTAACATGTCTACAACTAAAATCGGTCTATTGCTAATCCACCCAGCTGTAACTACCACTCCAGAGTTGGTACAAGATGTCAAAGAAGGTTCAACAGAGAGAGGTATCAAGTTTGTTGACCAATACCTAGTTAACAAGGTTAACGACTCATCCATTAAATTGAAGCCATCTACTTACGACGTTATCCACTATTTGACTCCTGAGAAATCAGATGCTATTTTGTTCCCAAAAAAGCTTATTCCAGTTTTACAAGCTTCCATGAAGCCAAATGGTAACTTCTATGGTCTAAGTGATATATACAAGGTCGACGCATTAATCAACGGCTTTGACATTGTTAACGATTCAAACGATTTGTATCATTGGGTTAATAAAGCTAATATTGATAAACCTGTTTCTAAGCTTGTTTCTTTGAAGTCCACTGATTCTTCAAATTCCAGTTCATCTTTACCTTCATTCAAGAAGAGTGTCAACTCTGGTAAAGTCTTACCTTCTTTCAAGAAGCTACCAACATTCCAGAAAAAGAGTGATGGTCCACAGATTGTTAAACTAGCTGATGATAACGATGAATTAGATGAGGATATGGATGAAGAAGTATTTAGTGATTTTTCAAAGACTCAGTTCTTCGACGAAATGGATGACGAGGATTCCATTGAGGAAGATAATTTGATCTCTGAAAAGGGTCAAAATAACGTCATTACTATGATTACATGTGGTAAGACTAAGACCTCTAGAAAGAAGGCCTGTAAGGATTGTTCCTGTGGTATTAAGGAAGAAGAAGAGCAAGAGATTGACAACATTAGAAGTCAACAAGAAAAGGTTGTCCAATTCACTGAAGATGAACTTACTGAAATCGATTTCACTATCGAAGGTAAGAAAGTAGGTGGTTGTGGTTCTTGTTCTCTAGGTGATGCTTTCAGATGTTCTGGGTGCCCATACCTTGGTCTGCCAGCTTTTAAGCCAGGTGAGAAGATTAATTTGACCAGTATTTCTGATGACTTGTAAAAACCCTAAAGGCATTTCAACAATTTTCATCGGGCAATTTCCAGCCACAGGGTACAGGATTCCAATCATTGGAAAATATCAGATTTGTGGAATATTCACAGTTCGGTGTACTAGGAAAAGGAGAGTCCGATCTTGTGGATCCAGATTACTTTTAGAGAATTGCAATTTATTCGGTAATTATTACTGAGTAATGAAAATTGAATCATATAAAACTTTTTTTCTTCATTCTCAAAAAGACAATAATATTTCAGTCAAATGGCTTAACAAAGGATATTTCTTTTAAATATTTAAAGTTAACATATTTATTTTATTAGTTATAGTTTCTATAATTATCCATTATTATAATGATAATTTATTAATGTTCTGGAAATTTGTAACGACCCCCCCCCCAATATGTGATGTCGTATTATTATATGTACATTTATAATATTTGGTATATATTTATTGTTTCTCTATATTGAAATATTTTTTATGAGAAGTTTCAAATGTTTAATGAAATATCAATTTTCATTTAATACTTTAGTAACAGCTGCATAAGCATCGTCCACTATCATTGTTGGTGTGCATTTATCTAAAACATCTCCATCGTTGTAAACACCAGTTTTTACCAAACAACTCTCCCAGCCATTCTTTTCAGCCCCAATAATATCGCTGGCTGGATTATCACCCACCATAAACACTTTTGAGAATGGGGATTCTTCAGGTTTGTAGCCTAGATTTGGTAATATTTGCACAGTTGAGTTGGTTTTACCATTCAATAATTTGTTTCTCCAATCAATTAGAACAGTGTGGGCAAAATCATATGTGATACTAGTTGGTTTACCAATGATGAAGTCTCTCAATGGTAAGCCATTATTCATTTGAGAATACAATGTTCTTACTAAATGTCTGAATGCACCTTGACCAAATCTATTTAAATTATATTGGTTAGCCCATAAAAGATCATTGTTTGAGAAATATATTGGAATGGATGGCTGCCATTCCTTTTCGGTTCTTAAAGTGTTCAACATCCCTTTATCACTGTTAATTACATCTGAAATTACTTGAAGATCAGCAGCCCAGTCATGAGGATCATTGAATACCAGGACCGCATCGAAAGGTTTGGTAGTCAAATCTTTGACTTCATCAGAGAATTGATCCAACTCAGAAGTAGTTATACCAGAAAATGGTGCAATACTTTTGTTGTATTTAATAATATCAATTGGGTGTACAACATCTTTAAATCCATATTTTTTAGCTACATCCTTCACAGAATATGTACCTACAGCTAAGATTTTCTCGTATTTGTTCACTAATGTCTTATATGGAGTATGACTTTGTACAATTTGTAACGGCGAAATCTGTACATCTAAGGTCTTTGAGATGAAATCAACCCTTTGGGATTCTAACAAACCACCACCGTTGGTTAAAAGGATATATGGAATCTTATTCTTATTCAGTAGTCTTAAAGCATCTCCTGCCTTAGCGATCGGTTTCGTTCCTCTTAATAATACACCATCTATATCAAACGCAAACGCAATTTCTCGTGCAGAGGTGCTAAGAAGACGTGCAGAGGCTCTAATGGGTAAACCAACTCTCGATAACATTATTAAGTGGCCTGTATATACTTTATATTGGTTGAATAATGCTTTATCTTATCTAACGATATGTCAAACAAACTTCTGGTTTCGAGAAAATATATAGATATAGGAGTATGCGTAATTCCTATATGCAGCAGCGCGATGCCTGATGACGCATATGTTACAGAATCCTTGAATAAATTCAATAACATATGAACAAATAGATGTACTTATCCATTACTGAAACGTTAAACCAGAATTTAAGATACACTACAAACTTTAAACATTATTGTCAATATTTTAAACTGTGCTATATTCTATCAGAAGTATTCTATTCTTTTATCTGTCTTTAGTAATAAATAATAATTACATGTTTATATACGATATATCATACCGTGACTCCTGTGGATAATCCGCTGAGGGTTTCTAAACTAATTGACGTATCAGTATAACCCTCGTCTATATGATACATACGATCGGCAGTAAATTCTGGAGTGTTACTTGGGACCAATTTCATCACGGCATTGCCCATGATTAATAAACCTGGTGGTCTTGACCCTATCTCCTCTATAACTTGTGGTAAATATTGTAATTGTGTTCGTGTGACTCTTTGATCACTACATGAGGCTCTCTCTACTATCGCAACAGGTACTGTTGATGGCCAGTTGTTTTCTAATAGTTGTTTGGTTAATAAAGCAGCTCTATGCAACGCCATTAGGAAGACCGTTGTACGTGACTCTACAAATTGAGAGATCTCAGGAAGATCACCACGGCGTCCTGTGCCTGTACAGATTAACACTTGGTCTGCTACATCTCTATGAGTAGCAGGAATTGCAGCAACAATTGTAGATGTCAATGCAGAACTTAAGCCCGGTAGGACCGTTGGTGTGAAACCCTTTGATGCAAAATAGAGGTATTCTTCACCACCACGACCAAATATGTAAGGGTCACCCTGTTTTAAACGTACAACTTTCTTACCATCTTGCAATGCGCTCAATCCCAGTTCTAACAATTCTTGTTGAGCACGTTCGGCGTTACCTGGGAACTTTCTTGCAATAAAAGTTTCAGTTCCCTTTGGAATTAACTCCAATATAGGTTGAGGAACCAATTTATCAGCTAATATTATATCTGCAGATTTAATCTCATTCAAAGCACCGATTGTTAACATACCGACCGAACCAGGACCACTCCCTACAAGTGACAAGTGGCCCTTACGCTGAGTCGATAATTCAGAGATGGAAGGGAAAGCAGGTTCTGTAGTTGACGAAATAGTGGAAGCATCTAATTGATTCCATGTTAAAGATGCCAGTTGTTCCAAAGGATAATATTCCATGACTTGTGATAACCAACGCGTTCTTTTCTTTTGTTGCGTTTGCTTATTTTGAGCGAATTCTTCCACTAAAGTGTTCAAAGTATGACTTTCCCATTGATCATCATCATCTAGACCTGATCCCAATGGCGATCTTTGATACAACGGTTCCTTCAATAATTGTTCATTGTGTTCTATTAGCAATTCATTACGTAATTGAGCCATGTTTCCCACAACTTGTGAAATGTTATTTGGTAATTTACTAATAATGTCTCTCTTAATACGATTAGCTAATACATAACCACAACCATTTGTAGTGACTGAGATCTGTAATCCACTTCCTTGAGGATCCACATATGTTGGTAACATATGGAATGTCGAATATTCTGGTTGCTGATAAGTATTAATTGGGATTCTTAGTTTTGAACATAGTTTAAATATTTCTGGTACTTCGTTACATTGTGAAAACGGTAAATTTACGTAGACACGATCCACGACACGACTTGTCAATATACGACCTAACGTGGTCAGATCTGCTAACTTCACAGATCTATCATGAACCTCTAACCGAGGAAAAGTATTGAGTAAAATCTGGCTATGTTTAGAGGATGAAGGATTCACTAGTACGGGATGAACACCTGACTGTAGCAAACTCTCTATACGCCTTGTTGTTAGGGATATAGACTCAACAGACCCCGTTCCAATCAGCAAATGACGCTCATTAGAAGCAGTGGATGCAATAATTAGCGGTAATGGTTCTTCCAACGACATGATGCGAAATTAAATTTATTTTATCGATTGGTTAGTTATATCTTGTTGTTCTTATTCTAGCAAGCAATGGCAGTAAGACAGAATAAAAGAAGATAAAAAAACAAACAGAGAAACTAATTATATTTAGAAAGTCCAAACGTAACTCATGCTTATATATATATGTGAACTTGACTATGTCAGAGAATGACTCGATGCCTGTCTTCCACAGTTAATCCAACTTCACGTTGATGATTCATCACTGAAAGATCTTGTTGGTATACTGCAACCTGCATAAATATGCTAGCCTTGGCACGTGATATGGCGAAATAATACCGCGCGCGGCGTTGCTCGTCACCCACCGGAGAGATGACCGCCCGATCAGCCAAATTATGGAAAATACATAGAAAGTGTAGATTGATAGAAATATGTTGTCACTTCATGTAAGACAAGAAATGGTTAGTTGACATATGTAGCTATACAGTCCAGAATATAAGTTAGAAGCATTGCAGTTATTGCTCTGCTGAGTTCTCAACTAGATCCGAAATAGAATAGTGTATAAGTAAAATCAATGGATGTATGTGTCTTGAAGTATGGATGTATGAATTATATATAGTTGTAAATCAAATATGTTGTTCTATTTGAAAAAATTTGTTCAGCAATGAGTAGAGCAAGTACTACGGCAAGAGGGCTTTTACAAAACCACCACCACCACCAGAAACTCTCAGCGAGAGTTCGAAAAATGAGTTGTCAATATTAAACACCCAGGTACCATACTATTGTCGAAAGGAACTGATATAAAATATCTGCGTTGATACTCTAACTCTCTGATTCTTTCAGGTAGACCATCGAGGAAGTATATTACCTCTTCGAACGGGAGATATAATCAGTTCGAAGTTTGTGGATATCATGATGTATTCCATCAGCCACATAATGTAATTTTAGACAGTTTAAAACTTTTGTTTCTTGAATATTTTCAATTTAGGGAAATGATATTTCTAAAGCGTACCTATCATCCGTTTAGCAATTACCCATAAGTCCAAGACCTTATTAGTAGCAGTATGTGACATCCTCTAAAGTGACTTTGGTCAATTTATTACTTTTCTAATGCCACATATGTTCTTATACATATGATTAACGTCATAATGAATTAATCATACCATTAAACTTCATGATTGGGTTCAAGGAGTACCAATATTTGGCATATCTTTTGCAAGTTTTTCTTTTGTAGATTCTGAAACCATTGATATATTCATACAGTGTAAAAATGTCAAAAAGAGACAGTGTCGTCTTCTTTTATTGATACGATTTCGCTCCATATAAACAATCATCTTAGTTAGACTTGCTTTTGCTAATATAGCCTTATGTAGTAATCGTAGTATATTTCGGGCAAATAGCGTCGATAGGCTTAGTGTCTGTTTGTGAATCTTTAAGGCACATGAGGTAAACTGCTACCACTAACTAGTTTACTCACTCTACAATCATTGGTAGTATTAATTAGCGTAGTTGGTAGCGATTATATAATCTAATAAATTCCTAAAACATTATTGTGTAACTTCAATTACTGGTTAAGTGTATCATTAATTAGTGATATAAACCATCATCATCATCATCATTGTTGAAATGGTTGCACAGTTGAAGACTGTAGAAATAGAGGAAAAGGTCAGAAGTCACTGGGTCGCCAACCGCGAGGTTAGAAATCCTGCATTTTTGCCGATTTTTTATTGATTTTCGAAATCTCTCAATTTAATTGATGTTAATACTAATGTATAAATTTACACATACCAGAATATCTGGAACAACTTTTGGCATGAAAGGTGGTAGAGGGACAACCTAGTAACGATCAATAGTCGTATTCCTTATCTATCAAATATTATTGAAACATGTCCAGACAACAATCGATCAATTCCAGTCAAACTGCAGCCTCTGCCACAGCTCAATCCCCTCTTAGCCGATCCTTTAAGGCTACAGGCGAAGATGTATGGAAAAGAACAGAAAAGATCAATGCAGAGTTATTCACATTAACTTATGGTGCTATTGTGTCACAGTTATGCACGGATTATGGTAGAGATTTTACTAAGATTAATGAACAATTGTTCCAAATGGGTTACAGTATTGGTGTCCGTTTAATAGAGGACTTTCTAGCTAGAACTGCGTTACCTCGTTGCCAAGATATGCAAGAGACAAGTGAAGCTCTAAGTAAATGTGCATTCAAGGTGTTTCTAAATATTACCCCAAGAGTTACAAATTGGTCTAGTACAAAGGATACTTTTAGTCTTATTATTGATGAAAATCCACTGAGTGATTTTGTTGAACTGCCGATGGATGCTATGGAACAATTATGGTATTCGAACGTTTTATGTGGTGTACTTAAAGGTGCATTGGAAATGGTGCAACTGGATTGTGATGTATTTTTTGTCTCAGATATTTTAAGAGGTGATCAACAGACAGAATTACGTGTAAAATTGAATAAAGTATTGAAGGACGAAATCCCAATCGGTGAAGATTGATATGTTATTTGAACTTCTCATTTTTATGTTTAATTCATTATTATATTATTATTTATTCATATTTTGAAATTATTTAAATATATATATACAGGTCATAATACATTGAAAAGAAGAAATGTTTCTATTTTAAATCACTCTGCTTTGTCATGTTCCTTCTCTTGCCATTGTTCTCTGACAAGTGATGCAATCTTAGACATACCGTTTGTAACGTTTTTTGTAATGTTGGTAGCCTCTTCGGACCATTCAGTATCAGAAGTCTCAGAGAATACAGATTCGGAGTCATTGATACGTCCATCACTGAAAATAGGAATATCCGTCAATGAACCCCTAGAGTTGACTCTTGATAAAGCATTCGACACATGTGATCCGACAGATCCTGACCTACTACGGTTTGGATATATCTTCAATGTATCGTTAATCTCTTTGATCATTACAGAGTCTTCAAGAGTGTCAGATTTCATGATATTGGATGTTGAGAATTTTTCGAAATCTGGGAACACGGTAGGTCCTAGATCATTACAAACATCGGTGATTTCACGACTTAGTACTGCTCTCATTTCTTTAATTTCACGGATCTTTGAATTTGGTGAACATATCGATATTATTAATGGTGGTAATGATTTCCATAGATCCATTCCAATTTCACCTGTCTTTAGACTCGAATAGGTAGTAAATACCAGTAAAGAATAGAAATAGATAAATTGTAAAAATTTGTTGGAGAAAGGAACCCATACCCTTAGTAAGTATGAATTACCACGAGCGTATAGTACGATTAAGATGATTGAGTAAGTAATGTAAAGGATAGGTGCTAACACCAACGCGACAATCAATTTCCAGGTAGCGATAATATCGGTACCTTTAATCTTCACCAAGGAAGTTTTTAGTCCTTGTTTGGCTTTCTTTTTAGAGACTCTTGATGAAATGATAAAAATTGGTGAGAATAAGATAAACCCAGGAATAGACATACCATATAATACCAACAGACGACAAACTCTTGTAATCAGGATGATAAGACTTTTGACACTACCAAGGAATGAGTTTCTCAAATCTTGAACTTGATGGTCCTTAAGACCCATTGAAAATAGACTATTATTGTACCGTTGTACCATTTTTTTCAAGGCAATAATACGGGAATCGTCCTTATATTTATTGTAACCGACTAGCAGTCTTCTATTAATCTCTACGACTAAAGGTAGAGAGAATCTATGGTTTGTTGGTTGATATAATCTTCTTGCAGCTTGAATAGCCATCAAAGTATCGAAGTCTGGAGCATTTTCTGTGACCGAGAATAATGAATCTGTGACTCTATCCAACAACTTTGATACAGTGTCACGAGGTGATTCGATGTATTGTCTACCGAGTTCACCGTCGACAATAATAGGTTCACCATATTCGATGACAGCTCTGGATCTAAATTTCTCTCTGTGGAAATAATGTAATCCACATGGAACAACATGAACTTTCATAGAAGGATCGGCAGCCACGGCCCCTAATGCCATAATGACAACACCAGCTTTAATAGGTAACAAAGAGGGACGATCATGAGAACCACCTTCTGGGAAGATACCTACACAACCATTAGTATGTAGGTGATCAAACACGTTTTGATAAGTCTTCGAGTTATCGATTTTCTCAGCGTATTTGAAATTACAACCGTTGGTTAACAATTTTTTAACTTTAGGGTTTTCCATTTTGAATGGATTAGACAATAACAACGTTTCATCGTCAACAATTTCAGAAATTTGAGCATTTCCTAAATAATATGGTAAACCGACTAGAGATTTAACAGTAAATCTCTTAGTGAATTCTGGTGATTGACCATCTTTACAACGCCCTCTAATCAATTTAGGATTATTTTCAACATCAGAAGCATATATCTCAATGTTATTATCCACTGAAATCAAATTATCCTGAATTCTAGGTACGGGAATCCCACCTACACAACTACCAAAGAGTCCAACTACTTTATTAGTCTGGAGACTCTTTTGAGCAGTGATGAAGCAAGTTTGTCTACCTCTACCTTTGTGCAACTGTCTTGTCTTTAACATCACTAAACTTGGGTCAATAAATTGGTTAGCGTGAGGAGCACATACAAGGATAGTTGGTGTGCCGTTTGGGGGCACGTATTGACTTCCCCGGACCTTCACTTCTCTAAAGAAAATTGTAAACAAAATATCAAAAATTCCTAGTACTAGGTCATAAGCGAGAGTGTATATTGTCCATGTTTCACCATTAAACGGGTTCACATAGTCCTTAAAACTATCTGGAACGTGAGCCTTTGAAGGTTTTGGTTTCTTATCCTGTTGTAAGTGACCTGACATTTCGTATTTCTAACAAATAGTGACAGGTGTGACTTAGAGCAATCTATGAAATCTAGTAGGACTGAAAATAATAGCAATAATAATAAGTACGCAAACTAACAACTAATAATAATATCAAATAGCAGCAATAATAGACTATAACAATTACATCTATTGGTTCTCTGGATCTGTCTTGATCTGGTCCATCCCTTGGTTTGAGTCTTCTTTACCCTTTATATGAAATTAACAATGAAACAGAATTTCAGTTTTTCCCTTCAAATATATTTTGTTGAGCGAATCGTCTCCTCTCGTTTGTCCCTGCAGTGTTTCTCTGCAGGGATCAGTAATTTCAGCCTTCCGGAAGTAGAATTTGATGCCATTCGCTTATTGACAGCAATGAGAGCCATGAAGATGAACAGATGATTACTTCCCTCTCCTGGAAACAGTAACGGCTCACACTAGTCGTATGTTGCAACGAATTAATTGTCCCCTGCAATCCAGTAGTTGCCAAAGTGGTGAGATCTCAGGGTAATAATGGAGATGTCGGCATTAGATTAAAGGGATCTCTTTTTACAGGTTTGTATATTAAAGAATATGTATAACTATATTTAACTATATATATGATAGAGGAGGTAGCGACGACTAGTACTATGAATGTAGGATAGTCAGGGAACTTTTGTTGGCGATGCTCAGTTGTAATTTTAGTTTTTCAAGGAATTCCCTTGGTATACTGTTATCTTCTTTGTTTGTTGAATGCGACGGTTCTTTGACTTTGCTATCAACCCATTTATCACAGAAATTACCCAGTGTTTCGATCTCACAGGGTTGTAGGAATCCGTGTCTTGTACCGTTCCCTTTGATATTGTTTAATATTGTCTCCAATTGTTGGAAATCAGGGTTAAAAGTGATATCTGATTGTATCTGATCCACTACATTGATCGACTCGACATTTTCTATATTACTGGCCCCGATCATATCATTGTATAAGTATCTTTTGCGCCTTGAAAAGAATCTTTTCAATTTTTGTATGATGGGTTTAGTGACAATTTTTGGGGAATCAATCATAAATAAACGTAAATCTGGTGCATTGAATTTCAATTGTTCCAACAATTGAATGAATTGTGACGGAATAGATACTTCGTCCATTGGATATGTGTTATTACCAAGTATGTTTTCGTTTATACTGAAGTGATCATGATCGTTATTATGTAATTGTCTCAATGTAAGTTCGCACCAATAATCTAACTTGGAACTGTATTGTTTCTTATTGATATTGCCATTTTCTTCTACATAACATTGTTCTAGTGATTGCTTGTATGGATTATATCGTACTAAATCATGCGCCAGTTTACCTAATACATCATTGAACATCAATATTTGTACAGGATCATTAATATACATATTACTTGTTTGTTCATTAAAATTGATATTTTTATTTATAGGGAATAATGTCGTGTCTTCCATAATATGGACATTTCCAGGAATATCATCAAGTAGTGATTGTTTATTTATATTATTGCATTTGTATAATGGAAATAAATAATAATTGATTTTATCAAAGGATTCAAACGGTAAAGTTTCATGATAATATTTCATTATTTGTTTCATAAAATATATGGACTGTGGTAAATCTGTAAATATGTTCAATATATTTAAATCATAGTATGGATAATCGGTTATCTTATAGTTTAACCAAAGCCATCTAGCGATGCATTGGGTCAATATGGGATCGTATGTCAACAAATTTTCCTGGATATTTCCATTATATCTAGAGTCATGTTTAGAGAAAAAATTATGTCTCTTCATGATATATTTTCTATTATGAAGTTCTATTCGATCTCTGAATGGGATACTACTTGTGTGTTGCCATCGGGAATTACCACGATTCAATCGATAGATGAACGTGTGTAATTTGGGTTTATTACCCATTGCCAATTTATTCATCACTACTAGAGTTTCAAATTCATTTGAGATATGTACGCTTTTATCTTTCTTATCTTCTCCTATAATGATTTTCGTGTTTTGCTAAGTTTATATATGTTAAGCGGTATCCTTGTTTCTTCTTTCAATATAAAATTTCTTAATTATGGCAAAGTGAGACTCGCGGATAAACAATTAATTAACATATTGAGATTGATGACGCATATATGAAACATTAACAATGGGTTAGTAGATGGAACAATTAGGTGAGACGGTTGTTATTTTTGTAGTTTGAATATTTATGGTCGTTCCTTTATATCAATCATGTTCCAATTGAACAATAGTGATTGCATTATGTTAGCAAACTCGTAGCACTTGATTTGGGTTGAAAATAATTCTGAAAACAGCGAGAATTACTTAAGAACATTATGAATATAGAGAACAAACCTAGTTAACAACATTTTTGAAAGGTGCACATCTCCAAACAGTTAATACATTAGTTGGATTATAAAATCGGAAGAGATATTTGTGAATAATAATAACGATTGTACTTGATTTGAAAATTGGTTAAGCATTAAATCTTAACATTTAAGAGCCTTTTACTATGTCATAATGATAATTGAAGAAGCAATTATATGCAATACGTTTACGGACCACACATCAGTGATGGGTTTCAGACATAATAAGGATAGGGAAATTTGATATTAACATGCTTATCGAATCAATATATCGATAATTGAATTATTAATGATAATAAAACGTTTATTACTTTGTTTTTCAAACTTTTTCAATGCTGCTATTTAATTATTACATAAATATTATTTGACAAAAATAATTTATTTTGTATTAGCTATTTTTCAGTTCAGAAACTCAAGAAGGATTATAAAATTTTCCATTTTGATAATGGAACTTAATATGCAAATTATGCCACCAACTTCCCTAGACACAGCAGAAAATGGTTCACCCAATGGGAGCCAAATTTATTTATTTAAGGGCAGCTGTAACCTAGGGTTAATATAATTACTATTAAATTCTGAACCAATAACAATATGAAACCAAGTCCTAGGGAAAGCTAAATAAGTCAAACCGTTGGGGATGTAATGCTTCCCCTTAAATGAGAGGTACCCTGGTATACCTCTATGTAAGTCATATTTTGGACAGATAATGGATTTGATATTTTTGTTAAATACGTAGAATATTTCACTCAAAGAAGTTTGTAAAATATAGTTTATGTCAGAAATTAAGAGTAATATACACCACACTTAATTTAAACAGGTAAAGAAATACCTTTAAGCACAGTTATGTTATAATATAGAAAGTAGCAATACTTGGTTATTACAATTTTATGTTTAGTAAGAAATTATTACTAACTGTTCAATATGATTCTAGAACATTCTTTAAGAATGATTAGTAAGCAAGTATTACTAATTGTTTCATAAGTGTCTAGAACATGTTTCTAGAATGTTTAGTAAGAATACTATCAATATTTGGTAGACTGCTTTCCTTTCCCAAAAGTATAAAAGGAACACATATTCTAACTTTATATATATACAATCTTCCTTATATAGACTTACTTTATATAACATAAAATAAAATACAAGATTATACATTTGAATATCTATAACTATGTCCGATAATTTCAACTCGAATACTAATCGTATATTCTCGATTTCAAACTTACGTTTACAAGTTATTGGTAAGAGTCAACCCTTGATAGTAGTCAAACTAAACAAAGATGAAAGGTGCTATTGACGAAATAAAAATCTTTTAAATAAATGATATAAAAGGAAGCTCTTAATATAATATATAAAGAATATCAAATATTTTACAATACGTAAACTATATATATAACAAAAGAGACCGATCTGTTGAATATAGCGGCAGCACTAAAAAGGCTAACATTAGTTTAACCTATCTGAAGGTGAAAGTAGCTAATATAAGTATAATTTAGAGTGTGATGTACTGCCGTATAAATAACAACGCGTGATATATACTGCATAATGTAGTGTTCGTTTCCCCTACATTGGGTTTATTGGAGCCACATTGTCCAACGTTACTATGCACAAAAGATGAGCATTTCAACAACAGCAATTCTGTTTAATACTTTACCTATTTTAATTATGTATTGTGCGTAATACTCTTAATTTCTGACAATTTTCTTTCAAGAGAATATGCTATTAATACTTTCTGAAACTTAATAGAAATCATGTTTCTGAAAAATAGATCTTTGCATTTGGATTTTCAAATTATCATCCGATGTAGTGTAACGGCTATCACATCACGTTCTCACCGTGGAGACCCGGGTTCAACTCCCGGCTTCGGAATATTTTTTTTGATATCCATCCATATTAAAAATTTAGTATTAAATCGATTATAGAAATTCATAATGAAGTTCCTGTTTTATACTTTAGGTTCCAATGTTTTTATTATGTAAATTCAAATTTACTTCCACTTAAAACTCGACATATTCTATTTTTTGTAAAAATAAATAGTCAGGCAAGCATTTGGATTATAATCGATAAAATAATTACTTAGTGAATCAAAAATAAATTATACTCATACTCACTCAATATTATTTTGAGTTATTATTCTAAATCTGACGATTTTCATCAATGTTCCCTTGTAATAATTTGTCATTAGTTCTAATCAAAAACAGAAATGGTAACTTACAACTTGAAAACAGGTACTCTCTAAATTCAACATATAATCATATACGTAAACTTAATTCCTTTCTTGTCTTGAGATACTACCTTAGCGGGAAATAATTTGAATAATCTTTGTGAGATTAACGAATACTGGATCCTTATCTTCTTCAACCTCGTTACATGTTTTCCACCGAACGTTTTTAATAACTGCTACTGTCATTACCGTTCTCTCATCTTACAGTAAACTGCAGAAAGGTACTCATCCATTCCCCCACTTCAAATTCTTCTTTTAAAAGTTGCGCGGAGGGCTTACCTATTGTTAATAGTGGGGCACATACACCCATGCACCATCCGTGGTGGTTCTACGTCCTTTGCTCGGCAAATATGTCTTATCCCGATTTAACCCCTTCCCCACCCCCACTTTTCTCGGAAAAACTGGCTGTTCGGGTCTTTCTACTTGTGGGTAACGACAGCGAATATTTTCAATGAACATACTTTGCTCTCTCGAGCAACTTCAACTGAAAAATGAATAACGGTAGATGACCTAAGGCAAATAAATGTGTTGGTTTCTATTTTCAATCGCAACTAACATATACGTTGCTTGTTCCTTTGCGTCCTCAAATGTTAACACAAATGAATGTCGCTACCGAAATAATCCTACACTTATCGAAACGTACAGTATGAAAAACTTTTCTCTGTCAATTCCTCATAGAAATGGAAACATTTTTCTCATGCGAAGCAACTGAATTGTATGAATATGTGGGAATATGTATTGATAATTTTAGTTTTATTTTTTTTCACTGGTAACGTCAAACAAAATTTCATATTTGTTATATTTATCTTTGGTTAATGTTTGTCGGCGTTATTTTCAATTATATCCCAAAGTCATCGCTAAGGACTTAGAATATCTTGCATAAGAGTGGATATCTTTAAATAATTCATTATTGTCCTTGCTCTTTTACTTCTCTCGTGTGCATTAAAACTCTCTATGGCTGACAGCAATGTCGTCCAATCTATTATCTATTCTTTTCTTTCTTTTTCTCTCTGTATTTTTTTTTTAATTTCTTAGAAGTGGTTGGTTGCTCTTCGATACACCTGATGGATTCCTGTCATTTATATATAACAATGTCCTTCTCAGATCTGATTAGTCCTCCTTTTTTCATTTTACGTCTACCTCTATATTCTTTAAGTAGAATATATTTATTTTTATTATCTTTTGCTCTGTATTGGTTTAACAAAGATATCGAAACATTATAAAGCATAACATACTATCTCCCCATAAATTAAACAAAATATAATGAGACCATGCCAGATTTCAAATTCTCAGGAAGTAATCACTACACAAGTCCTTTGCCTATTTATGATAAACAATCAATTACAAACGCCAACTCCAATGACCAACGACCACCACGTCCAAATATAGCACTCTCGAAGGATAGAAAACGAAGGTTGTTCCCACTCGTGAAGCATCCCCATGATTCTGGGAGTCATGACAGTAACGCACCTGTAGAGTTCACCACAAGGGCTCGTGATGAAATTAAAAAGACATTATTTCTTAAGGAATATGGGTCTCAACATAGTACAAGGAAAATTAGTAATACGATAGATAATAAATCTTTATATTCTTCTGATTCAAGTTTGTTTTCTTTATCTCATTCTCAGATGACTGATGGCTCTAGTATTTTAACCCAGGAAAAATCTGTTAATATACCTTATGTATCACAAGCACCTTTGATTCCATTGGTCACTGAAATCGCATTAGAACATGCAGTACCATCTGATTTTTCTGATATGTATACACGGTCAACATTATTAACAAATAGAATGTTACCAAATGGAAGACCTGAGTTTACTGTTCGTAACTTGATTGATTGGACATTAAATGACACGAGATCGTTATTAATTATCAATGAATTGAGACCTGAATGGGGTAACAAACTACCTAAGATCATTGGTTCCGTTCTTCGAGGTTCCAAATATCGATTTCAATTGTTACCATTATATTGTTCAGACGAATTTCTCATTGAAAGCCTTGTGAGTTCGGATATTTATTTGGAGGCAAATTTAGATCATGAATTTCGATTAAGAAGTGCCACTTATATTGTTAAGACTGCTAGAGAAAGACATGAACTAATGGCTGGAGGTGTGAAGGAAATATTCATGTCATTGCAAAAATTTGAATGGAGAAATATCATTGAGAATTTTCTTTTGAATCTTGCTGTTGAAGCTCAATGTCGCTATGATTTTAAACATAATTGTAGTGAATATAAAAAATGGAAAATGCAACAACAAGGTATTTCGATTCATGAGACACCACAAAAGATATATCTTTCTCCTAGCGAGAAAGATATGTTGTGGCAACAGTGTCAGTCGTTTGTTTATGGACGTCTGAACCTGGATTGGAAACCTGATGCGCTTAACGATATATAATGATAATGAAGAAAATAAGTAAAAAAAATCAACATTATAAATAGAAATAAATAGAAATAAAAATAATGAATAGAAAATTTATCTAAAAACAAAGTAAAAAATGTGTTTATTACTAATAGTAGTTAATTATATGTTTATTAAATATGGTTAGCGAAATTAATTGTGTAGTTGTATGCAAGTTATGACGGAATAATGAAAATAGCGATGGTAAATAAGTGAAATAGCAAAATGTCTATGTGTATAACAATGATTGGGATGTATTGGGTCACCCATTTTTTTATATATATAAATATGGAGAATATTTTCATCCATGTAATTGTAGCAAAATTTTATAGCGTATACTTCTAGATACGTATTTGAGTAAACGTATACAATATACTGCGACATCTATAATATCTAATAGTATTATTGGTCCAGCAATAACTACTATTAAACAACGTAAAATCCAACTAATTAATAAATGTATAACGATAATACTGTTATAAGCTGTTATTAATAGATCCAGTAGTAAACGTTGCCACATATCGATATCATATGTTTCCCATATACATCTCAATGCTTGTATACGATGTATATAGTAGCTCCCCATGGCATAGCTGATAAAATTCAGGTTATATTTTTCAGTAAGATGGTCAAACATTTTTTTCAGATTTCGAATAAAGTATATATGTGTTTCTTGATGTTTACTTTCTACTATTAAAAACGATTTCTTTTCTTTGGTCCAAAATATTTTTTATGTTAATTAATAGAAAGAAAAATGTCAATCTTTTTAAGAGACAACTGTCAAATTGATCCTCTCACGATTTATATAGTTGTATTACCTTTAAAACTACTTTTCTGCTAAGCATCGGGATGAAAGTTAACCATAATACTTTTTAAAAATGTGTGACTGCAAAATTATAATAAAATACAATCAAATCGTTAAATGGGAAATAACATATAGTCACATTCTAACTCCTTGCAGAATGCATCCGTGCGGCTTGTTGTGTGCATTCCCCTCTTCTCTCCTCCTTAACCAAAAAAAAAATTGCATAAATTTTTTACCTTTTTTAGCCATTCAATGAGATCTTTTCAGGTCTTGGGAACTGAACTTTTAGCGGGTGATTTTGACAAATGAAATTCTAATATATGGTCCTTAAGCTTATTCTCAATTGGGTTGTTGCTGCTGCTGTAGTTGTAGGTGGTTGGTGAGGAATGAAGGGGATTTTGTACTTTGTAGCGATGCAATATCTTTTTCAGTTACCTTCCGATTTTGAGATGAAGAGAAACTATTTGCAGGTTGTGTGAATGGGGTTTTAAAATTAACATCATTGAATGTTTTTATATTATTGTCTTGGAAAAGTGAAGTTCTCTTCTGTTCATTGGGCAGTTTGCTCTCTGGGTTTCTTAAGTGATTGAGTTCCTCTTCTTTTTCAGTTACTATACTCTTTTTTTGTCTTATTGTTTGTTGACTTTCACTATTACAGTGAAGTGTTAATTTGTCTGTATTTACCTGTGCTTCAACTAAAAAGTCAGAAGTACGATTCGAATAAACTACCTGACTGTTTTCCTTTTGATTAATATCTGCGGTACTCGTTGCAGATATTGATATATTATTTTTAGGTGGAACTTTTAGAAACTTTTCACGATTAGACTTTATAGTTTTCTGGTCAATTGGTTGTTCTACTTTCTTTTCATGCGGGTTAATAGATTGATCTTGGGATATCGATTTGGTTTCAGAGATTGACTTTGTAATATTTTGTTGTCCTTTAACAGTCACTCCAACCTCTAACTGTGTATTGGAATTGTAACTAGCATTCAATTGAGCTATATTAGATCGTGAGTTTGTTAAGACATTTTCTGGGTAAACATGTTCAGCTCTTAAAGAATTTTCAGTTTGGTCACTAAATGACTGCTTTTCTGGTGTGCTATTATTATCATTACTAATTTTATTTGTAGATCTAGTAGGGAAATCTTTATCTTGCGTATCAACTGTCGTTAATTTCTGACGGATATTATATAATGAAGGAGGAGCATTTCTGTTCGAGTATTGCGTTTTCATTCCCTCTTGAACAGTATTTTTATCATGTAGAATAGAGCCTTTGTTAGAATCCAGAGATGTATTGCCTTTCCTTGCAACTGAGCTCCAATTTGATTGGGTGGGTTGTGACTTTCCAGTACTTAATGATTCTTCGTTAATAGTGGTGGCTAGTTTTGATTGAACTTTAGAACTGGCTAACATATATTCCTTGGATATCTTATCACCACCTAATTTTGTTTCATCCTTATACATAATTTCTTTTTCCATTGCCTTTTTTGCTTTACTATATGTTTCCTCTAATTGTGTTTGTAGCAAAGTGTCTATCATCTCCAGAAAATCTCTTTCCAATATAACATCTTTCTCATTGATGGCTCCTCCACTTTCCAATAATACCAATGAGTTGTAACTCCTCTCGAATTTAAATTCTGCTGCATAAAATATTGCCATTATTGTGGATATGGAAACTGTAGGGAAGGCAGTTTGTAATTTATTTATTTTCAGTGAGTTGCTTTCATTTCTGCACTTCGAAATGTTTTGAATAATAATATTCTTATATTTAGATACCAAATCCATGATTAATTTAAGGTATCTGATATGTTTCCTTTGAAAAATATAACCTGAATTTGTTCTGTTTCTACTGGAAGGGGAGTTTTTATTTAATAGCATCTTATTTTATTTGTGTCTCGGCGCTTATTTCAAACCATCAACGGTATATTTCAGTAAAACTATTAAGAGAAAAAATTATTCAAAAAATTAAGAATATTACTTTATTAAGAATTATTTGTTATGTATATCTATATATTATTATGTTGTTTGTATTAGAACGTAGGTATCATTCAATATTTGAATTCATCTCTAGATCATCAGCTAAAGGTTGATATAACCTATTTGGTTGCCAAACGAATAGTAAATCACGTAGTTTTGATAGTAGATTTGACCGCTTGTATTCAGTATAATTTTCATTAGTCTCTAAGATAGGGGGAGACCAACATTTCAGTTGTAATGAGCTTAGAACAACACTTACGGAACTTAGAGCCATTGCCATCCCAGCGATCATGGGAGGTAATGTAATCCCCCAAGGGACAAGAACTCCCATAGCAATTGGAACCATAAATGTGTTATATGAAAGTGCCCAAAATAGATTTAATTTAATTCTTTGATATGTTTTTTGAGATATATCTACTGCATAAATCAATCTTTTCAAACTTGCATTTGTTGAAGGATGTTCAGAATTGGAACCATCTGCTAAAATTACAATGTCGGCTGCATCAATAGCAATTTCTGTCCCTGTAGAAATAGCTATCCCTAGGTCACTTGTCACTAATGCTGGTGAATCATTAATACCATCCCCGACAAAGATTATGGCACCTGATCCACTTTTATCTTGCAATTGTTTCACTACATCACATTTCCCATTAGGAGGAACATTACTGAATACATTGTTTGTGTCTATGTCTAGTGTACTAGCAATCTTATTCGCGGCAAAATGATTATCGCCTGTAACGATATAGACTTCGTAACCCTTAGATTTGAGGTATTGTATGGTGATATATGTATCATCTCTTAATCTATCCACAATCTCAAACTTCCCTACAAGGATGTCATTAATAGACACATACGCAACCGTATAACCTGTAGTATTAATTTCACTTCCTAATGGTGATTGTGAAAATTTATCAATCTCGTTTTGTATGGATGCAGAGAATAGATCTAAACCAGAACCTATGCAAAGTTTATATTTCTTATTCGTTAATAGATGAGTGAAATCACATTGTAACCCTTGTCCCATCACTATATTACAATCATTGCTAATAAATTCGTTGTCACACTTAGAGAGTAACTGAGATGCATAGTTGACAATTGTTCTAGCCACAGGATGTTCACTCTTTGTCTCACAAAGCTTAATCAAAGTCCACAATTCTTCAGGTTTCAAATCATCCGGTTGGTTTATTTGGTTGAAATTCTCTACTGTCATCATACCTGTTGTCAATGTTCCTGTTTTATCAAACACAAACCCTTTGATATTTTTACATTTCTCTATGGCGTCCCCATTCTTTATAAGAACACCATTTTGAGCACCAAGTCCAGTACCAACCATAATAGCCGTAGGAGTGGCTAGGCCCAATGCACAAGGACATGCAACGATAACCACAGAGGTAGCAATCCGTAGGCATTTAAACATATTACTGCCTTCCCCAGTAGTGAAAGTTTGGAAATTGTTTGCTATTGATGATCTTGATATGATATACCATGTGATAAATGTAATTACTGCTAGACACAAGATCACTGGAACAAAAATTGAACATAATTTATCTGCATATTTCTGTATAGGTGTCTTAGTTAATTGAGCATTCTTAATAGTGGAAATTATTTGAGACAATTTAGTATCAGAACCCACAGAAGTTACCTTAAAATAAAAATGTCCAGGTCCATTTATTGTACCACCAATGACAAAAGATCCTTGTTTCTTATGTATCAAGTTGGACTCACCTGTCATTAATGACTCATCTATTTCAGTTTCACCTTTTACAATTGAACCATCTGTTGGTATCTTCATCCCTGGTTTCACTTCAATTATATCTCCCAATTGTAACAATTCCAACGGTATTTCTTTAGTGTTTTCTTCTGACATTACCAATGTACAAGTGTTTGGTGACAATTCAATTAAATGAGACAACGCTGTCGAAGTTTGAGACTTTGCTCTATTCTCCAATAATTTACCTATAGAGATAAATGCAATCAACATGATGGCTGTATCAAATACCACACTAGGTAATTTCTCAATTTTCCAAACGATGTTATATATAATTGACCCTAATGAGAACAAATATGCACTCAATGTAGAGATAGTTATCAATGTATCCATTGTTCCTGTACCATGCATTAATGATTTCCAACATGAAATATAGAAATACACTCCAATACGAAACAAAACATACGAGGCCATGATCAATCCTAGAACATCTCTATAGTATAAACCAGTAATTCCTTGAACTTCATTGTAAGGGAATGTGCGATTCATCACCAATTTATGATAAAGCATTGGAACCCCCATATACATTGTCATTGATATCACCGCTATCACACACGATTTCATACAACGTACTTTCCACATAGAGATCTCTTGTGTTCTTTGTAACATACTCAGTTGAGCGGATTTATCATATGAAGCATCCAAAATCATATCATAACCAGTCTCTTGTTCACATAACTCTATCAAGTCTCGAATACCTATCAAAGATTGATTATATTCAATAGTTACCAAATTACAATCTATATCTAGGGATGTTACCATGGCAGAAATCAAAGATTCCTGTGATGTGACTAATTGATCAAATTTTTGTGCAATTGTATTTGCATCATCGAATACATTAAACTTCGTCTTTACAATCTGTGTCTTACAATCTTCCATTTCTATTAGTGTTGCATCAAATCCACAATCTTCAATACACTCTTTAATTTCATCTTCTGTTACCACAGTTGTATCATACATAATCACACATTCTTCAGTCAATAGAGACAAATCTACGTTTAAGATACCTGACAACTTAGTCAGTTCTGATTTAATAGCATTTACACATGCCGAACAAGTCATACCGCCAATTCTCAATGTACATCTTTTCTCAGTGATATCTGTTGTCATTAATGTATCCTTCAGTACCACACAATCGAACCCACAATCCTCTATCTCTTCTTTAATTACTGAACCCTGAGGTTGATCAGCCATATATTCAACTTTTCCCTCACATGTAGACAACGACACTATTGCATTAGATACCATATCGAGCTTCTCCAATTGTGTTATGATAGCTTGAACACACGCAGAGCAAGTCATCCCTGATATATTAACCACCGCTTCATGCAGCGATTCATTTCCTCCTTCCGTCATGATAATATACGTCTCCTCTATAACCTGTATCTATATAATTATCGTATGTTGAACTGACACACACACACACACACACACTAACTCAAACTCAGCAATCACTAGACTAGTGGTCTCTTTATATCTGTTTGTATTCTCTGTTCTCCTCTTCCTTCAGAAGGTATAAAAAGCTGTCACTAACCCCGGTGTCATCGGCACTAAATAGAATAATCATCACTTTGACCCTTTTTTGTCTACTTTTTTCTTTCTCGCCTCTTAAATAGCAATCCTTCTCTGCCTGTGATTGGCAATAATGGCAAACACGGCGCAACGACAAAATTTCTGTCCCGTCAAAGATAAATTTGGGTGCGTTTCTCTATTCAATTTGAGATTGCATCGCTAACTAACTGCACCCATTAACTCAGAGTTCGATAATTATGAAACGGGTTCTTTATATGTAGACGGATACTGATGATATTTACATATGAATGAGTATACTGTGCATATATATGTAGGGTTTGAACGTATGCTGTTCGTTATTTACATGGAATGTCATTTAGAAATCGTTTGACAGACCGATAATCTTCTTAATATCTGTGAGGTTTTTATGAGCGATCTCCTGTGACGATTCGTAGCCTTGTTGTATGACACTCTCAAGGTAGCTCTTGTCGTTTGTGTACTTTGTGTAGTTCGATCTGATGGGGGCTAGAGATTCAATGATCACATCGCTAACGTATTCTTTTAATGAACGATAATCATGTAATTGTGATACATCTTTTTCGACTTCCTTCATAGTCTTTTGTTGGAACCCACTAACAATCTCTAACAGATTAGAAACACCTGGTCTCTCTACTGGATCAAAATAAAAGGTATCACTAATTGAGTCTGTCTTTGCTTTCTTAATCTTTTCACGGATACTCTCTGGTGAATCGGTGACATAAATCATAGATAAACGATCTTCACTACTCTTGGACATTTTCTTACTAGGGTTTGACAAACTTGCGATTTTTTTACTTTTACTATATAGAGTCTTTGCACTAGGGAAATAATCAACGTTATACATCGCATTGAATCGTTCACTTAGATATCTTGTTAACTCTAGATGTTGACTTTGATCGTCACCAACCGGTACATGAGTACCTTTGTAAATCATGATATCGGCAGCTTGTAACACTGGGTATGCAAATAGACCCAATCTCTCCTTAGTTTGATCTCCACTTTTTTTATCCTTCCATTGAGTCATACGATTTAAATACCCCAATGGTGCTAAGCACGATAAATACCAGAACAATTCTGTATGATATCCACCCACCATCGATTGGAAATTGATAGTGCTCACTTGTGGGTTAATCCCACAACTTAACAATGTTGCTATGGCTTCCATCCTGTTAGTCTTCAATTGTGACGAATAATCTTTCTTAGGGATAGTCAGTGCATGTAAGTCCGCGATACCATATATAATTTTCTGATCAGGTCTCTTCTTGTCATTAATCTGCTTCCATGTATTGATAGCACCAAGGAAATTGCCCAGGTGGATTACACCTGTTGGTTGAATCATACTAAATATCACTGCATCATCAGGGATTGGTAAAGGGGATGTCTTATCCATAGGAAGCTCTACACATGATTCCATGTGATTCCATCTCCTCCCAACCTTCCTTATGGTTGATTTGGTGATTGCCACACTTCTAATACTTTTAGTAAACATCACAGTTAGTCTCGACTTACTTGAGTCATAATTTCGTTTCTATTAGTTCAACCTTTAAAGTATTAATATATTAAATAAGGATTTGTTTTAGCTCGAGTGCTGGTTTATTTTCCTTTTTTTTTTGTTTTTCCAAGCAATTGCTAATTTTACTATGGTAAAAATTGATTGTATAAAGTAAGTCAAGTTCAAGACATTGCATTTAATGTAATAGTACCCTTCAACTGTAGCGAATTAAATCCACAAAATCAAGTATATGTTTCTGAAAAATTCTGCCTATTTTCATAAAATAGTTAAGATACTCAACCTGCATTAATGGATTACTAATATAGAAAATATATACTCTTAAATAACTGGGAAAGGTCATCGCTCTCTGTGAAAAATTATATAAGAGAAGGGCCAAATTATCTCGCAGACACTTTCATAGATATAGGAAGTGAACTGAATAAGATACCGTAGTAGCGATTACTCTGTTCCTAAAATAACATTAATTGTATCTCCTATTTTAGTGTGTGTGTTTTTAATAAAGAAATGTCTATCACGTTAGCTAAGGGTATTAAGTTACAGAACGACAAGACATGGTCATTGGATTACAAACGTACTCCATCCGCCAACCTGCTGGCTGTGGCCTCCACAGATCGTAAGATAAAGATTCTTAATATTAAACCAAACGGTACCAAATTGGATGATGTTCTGGATGGGACCGTGCATAGGAAGGCCGTGCGATCTGTTGCTTGGAGACCAAACACTGATATTAATACTGTCACATTGGCAGCGGGATCATTTGATGCAACTGTCTCTATTTGGACTAAAGATATTGTGTCTCATGTTGATGGTGACGACGATGAGGAAGGAGGAGAAGAACAGGATGAGGAATCAGAGATGGATCTACTAGCAATTATTGAAGGTCATGAAAATGAGGTTAAATGTGTTGCTTGGTCTCAGGATGGGATGTTGCTAGCAACGTGTTCAAGAGACAAGAGTGTATGGATTTGGGAAACAGATGAGATGGGTGAAGAATATGAATGTGTCAGTGTTTTACAGGAACATTCACAAGACGTGAAGCATGTAGTGTGGCATCCATCGATGAATTTATTAGCAAGTTCCTCCTATGACGATACCATCAGACTATGGAAAGAATATGATGATGATTGGGAATGTGTTGCTGTATTAACAGGTCATGAAGGTACTGTATGGTCATCTGATTTTGAAACTAGTGATAATGAACAAGATATCAGATTGGTCAGTGTTAGCGATGACTCTACTGTTCGTATATGGAAATATGTCGAAGAAGATGATGAAAATGATGGTCAGCAGGTATGGATCTGTCAGTCTACTCTACCAAAAGTACATTGGAACCAAGTATATAGTGTTGCTTGGAGTCCCATGAGTGGGATGATTGCCACCAGTGGGTCAGATGGTACTTTGGCAATATATAAAGAGACTGTGAAAGGTAGTGGATCATGGGAGGTAGTGGCACAGAAGCAATTATGCCATGGGGTCTATGAGGTAAATATTGTCAAATGGATAGATGTAGATGGACAGGAACTTATTGCTACTGGTGGTGATGATGGTAGCGTTAATGTTTGGAATTTTAATATTTGAGTCACATAAAGAAACTATTAATTTTTGTATATAAAAATAGAGAATATTGATAATTAGAAATATGAAATGCTTATAGATATATCATTAATTTATAAAATCGTGTAAAGTTGTACAGATTATCGGAGAGGTATGACTTGTTGTGGCTTACATATTTGACGACATAGTGGACATTCTTCCTTTTCGGTGCACCAGTTGATGATACATTTCCAACAATATATGTGGCCGCAAGGAGCACTACTGGGGTCGGAGATATCAGAAAGACACAATATACATTTACGTGAACTTTCAGGAATAAATTTGAAACAGTTTCCATCTGAAAGATCTATATGATGATATTTGGATTCTTCAGGGACACCTTTTATTATACCTATTTTTTCATTTATACGAGTCTGGTCTGATGATTTTATGTTGGTGTCTCTGTAATTATGTTTAAATATTGAGTTAGTTAACAATTGACCTAAATATTTCACGAGAGGTATGTAGTTCGAAAGGCTCTGTAACAAAAGAACGGATCCTAAGACTTTGTATGTCTTTGAATTCCTTTCCCTAATGCGTTTTTCGTCGTTAGTAAGATGATGTCCAGTCACATATCTAAGTCCACTAACTCTACGCGACATATCATAGTATGCACCTTTAAAATAAAATATTAACATGTGAATATCTAATAGACTGTTTGTTATCGCTTCCCATGATAGTTGTCCATCGTTGTTACTATCGTCATGATCGTCATCTTCATTCAATATTTGGTGATGGCGCTTCCACAAACTCAGTAGTTTTTGAAGAAGATATGGTCCTAATGTATAACCTATGATAAACACTAACCTTTGATACCGTTTCACTAGCCCTTTATTCTTCTTGTTGACAATAAATATATCCACATACTCTTCGCCTAATGTTTTTCTGCCGATGAGTGTTGTCAGAGAGAGATATAGCAGTTTTGATGCAATTGAAATGTGTTTGCTATAAATATTCGTAAAAAGTTGGCCCTTTGTCAATGTTAATAAATCGTTTAATTTCCCATTCAATATCGTCTCTATCTGTGTATCTTTTTGATTAGCTTGAACGATGCTAGCGGCATCGGCAAGGTGCAATATGTTCTCTTCTGCTCTTATATCCTCAGCTTTCATTCAAAATATGTGTAGAGAGCTCAGTGTTCCTTAATAAAGATATATATATATATATATAGAATATGTACATATTCCTTATCTACATTTGATTTTAAGTGTTGCAAATGAGCAATATTTCTCTCTCTTGTAGTGCAATCTCTCTTATTCTCCGTAATATAAATTTCTCTTTCCCAGCGGGATTCAAATTTTAGTATGGTGGGATAGTAAAAATCTGACAATCGACGTCAAATCATTTCTACTTGCTTATATAACGGAGGTGTTAGAATAAATCACATAGTAAAGGTTCTAAAGGTTCAAATCAGCAAGGATATATAGTTGCTTTTTATTGTATTAAGTTTCAGTTGATCTTTAAATTGAGTGAAAGTTTGATTCTAAGTTTTAATTTGCAAGATAATTTTTTGGTGGGGCTGAGTTCATTACAAGCAAAGTACGCAGTTGAACAGATTATTTTGCTTTTTGGTTAAAGAATATTGCATTTGTATTATAATTGTGGATTTTGCACCATTTAACATTATAGACTAAGTTATAATTTGTTTTTGCATTTAGGATTGAGATTTTAAAACGGTAAATTAATATGATGGAAGAAAATGAGTCCCCATTGGGGCAAGACCATGATTTTGAAGTAGGTGCTGATACTAGTTCCTTACAAGCAGTTGTTTCCAATGAAGCTACAAGTAATGTGAGTAATACTGAAGGACAAGACAGTCAGCAGAAGTTAGACGATACTAAAGTCACCAATCCTATACTTAATGAATACCAACAAGCATGTCAATCTGGAGAGATTGTAACTGTCAAGAAGCTAGTCGAATCTGGAGCGATCGATATTCATCAAGATTTTGATCCAGCAGAAAAAGTTTCAGGTCTGCATTGGGCCGCTATTAATAACCGATTAACAGTCGTTAAGTATTTGGTATCTCAAGGTGCAGAGGTCAATTGCCAAGCTGAAAAACTACATTCAACGCCTTTACATTGGGCTGCTCGTTACGGGTATGTCTATATTGTCGACTATTTGATTACATTTGGCGCTGATATCAATTTAACGGATGATCAAGGATTCAATTTATTGCATCTTGCGGTAAATAGTTCAAATATCATGCTTGTGGCATATGTTTTATTTTTTGTTGTGAACAAAGGTCTATTGGATATTAATACGCAAGATCCTAATGGTAGAACATCATTATTATGGGCAAGTTATCAAGGAGATTCTTTAACTGTTGCATTATTACTGAAATTTGGGGCCAATATTAATTTACAAGATTCTGGAGGTTTTACTGCTTTGCATTGGGGTGTAGTTAAGGGCCAATTACATGTCATTAAGTATTTGATCAGAGCAGGTGGTGATTTTTTCCAAAAAACCAATGATGGTAAAGATTGTTTTGTTATTTCTAATGAATTACATACTGCTCATTCATTGAAGAGAGCATTAAACTCATGTGGATTTAAAGATAACGGCTATCCCACATGGAGACTATTTTCAGAACCCTTATATGCTAAATTTACAATTTTCATAACACCTTTATTATTTATTGGGGTTGTTGGCAATTTATTCTGTGTATCAAACCCGATCATTTGGATATTAGTTTCAATGATACTTGGATTCTCATTGAGTCAATTTTTCCAAAGACTGGTTCTTCCTTCATTCATTGGTTCATCAGATGCCTCAGATCCATTAATTGATTACAATATAGCCAGGTCACCATTAATGGCAGGAATTTTCTTTGGTAGTTTATTTTGGGTCACTGTTGTATCCACACTAATGATCGTCCCAAAGATGGTTAGTATTGGTGCATATGCCAGTAGTACATTTATTTTGATTTCGTTAATATTATCGTACGTTACCTTTTTCAAACTATTGAATAGTGATCCAGGAATTAAACCACCCGTTAGGGACCAACCAGAGATTGTTCGAAATACCATCATTGAACTAATGAAACTTGGTAAATTAGATACAGAGAATTTCTGCATAGAGACATGGGTTCGTAAACCTTTAAGAAGTAAATATTCAAAATTTTCTAAAGGGTTAGTTTCAAGATTCGATCATTTCTGTCCTTGGGTTTATAATGACATTGGGTTACGTAATCATAAATTGTTTATGTTTTTTGTGATTGTTGTTGAATGTGGTATAATGGCCTTCACATATTTAATACTAGAATCTTTCCAATTGATTAAAAATAATACTGTAAAATCTGGTATCACTGAGGATAAATGTTTCCTTGTAGGTGACAGTTCTCTCTGTTATGGATATCACCATGATAAATTTTCATTCATAATATTAATGTGGTCAATATTACAAGGTTCATGGATTTTATTCCTGTTAATCATGCAAAGTTTTCAAGTAGCCAAGGGTGTCACAAGTTATGAGTTCACACAGTATGCTAGGCTTGCCAAGCACACGATGGGTTCACACTCCCATCCGCATTCGCATAATCATGACTTGGAGACAGGACGTGGCCTGGATGAAACATTTAACACCACACCAGAAGACATGAAATCTCAAGATGACGGTAACGAAGAATACGATGAAGAAAACTTTACGACTATCAATGGAGAAGAAACAAACAATGGTTCCACTGATTTACTTATGATGCAACCTCACGGTCGTAAATCAATATTTGGAATATGTTACAGATTGCTAGGTTTGACTCAATTATGTCAAGTCATGAAAGAGACTCTCGGGTATGATCCAAATGGTTCTAATTGCAACCTGAGTCTCAAGAACACACGTCGTGTGCAAATCCCTACTAATTATGGCATGAGGACAAATGTGATAGATTTCTTGTTGACTAGTGACAAAGGTGCTCCAATATGGGAACGATTTATGTATCCACCTATTAATTCGCGTGCATTATTAAATGGTATTGATGTAGACTATTTTTCGTTATATGAACTACCTGTAAAGGGCCAGAGTTCTTCTATGACCGTTTAAAAGATACAAAGATAGCCTAAATTTTTTAGTATTACTTTATTAGAAATGACACACAATAGGAAGTGCAATGACAATAGTTTGAGGTGTTTATCAGCAAAGAGAGAGTAATGATATAGTAAGATAATAATATTAATAATAACTGAAATAAAAATTTCGCAAAACAATACTATAAAGTAAAGTGATAGATGGTATGATTTTTTCTGTGGTCGAGAAACGAACTTCAAAAAAAAAATGAAAATGAAATAAAATATAGATAATTACTCAACTATTTTATCACAACTCCCTACAATATTTGTGGTGGTTTGTTCAAGAAAATTAATATAACAATACCTGTGTTGATTGTTTTATAAAAAAAACTGCACAGTTTCACTACAAAGACAAGATAGAACTCAAAAAAAGAGAGAATACAATAAGGAATATTACAATAGTAATAGGAGAGTATATGTAGCATTATATGTATATGCAATTCACTAAATATATAACAATAAAAACTCAAAGATATAGATAGCTTGAATGAGTACTCTTATTGTATATTAGTAAGGTTGTTGGGAATTAGTACCTACTTCAGTAATCCCCACTATTAAGAAATGACAATAATAATAGGAAGAATTATTACTATCACCACCACATAAAAAATACACTATAATAGAGCGCATGCACCCACACACCCCATAGAGTACACACTATTCTGTCTCCACCCCACGTATGCAATGCGCGCGTCCACTCAAATGTGACAGGTCAGATAAAGACAACAAGTGTGCCGGTGCGGTGTGTGGGTGCACCAAGGAAGGCGGATCATCTTTGCCGTCCGCTGTGGGTCTCCTTTTTCGTTTCTGTGCGGGTTTGCTGTGTAAAAGAGGCGGTCCATGCTGGACGGGAGAACTTTTCGAAGAGAAAACTGAAAACACTAATAAGCTTTAGGTTGCTTCGTGTGTCTCTGGGTGGAGAGAGTTCGATGTAGCAGCTTGTACAGTTCCGTCTGTGATAATCTGACTTCTCTGAATAGGCGACCGATTGAATGAATGAGTGGAATAAGAGGAAGGTTGATGCCGACCACAAGAGATGGAACCGAGATGATATATTTGGTTCTCTCTCTGTTGATATTATATTATTATTGACTTAGGTATCGACGGTTGGATTCTACAAAAATATCAGTTGTCTCTACGAAAAGAGTAATAGAGTATAATAGCACTGAATGCATGAATGTCGTTTACTCCATTACTCTTTTCGTAGAGACAATAAAGCAATATAGTGGTGCAACAAACAATACATGGAAGTACTTTATTTTATTTATTTATTTATTTTGTTCAGTTGTTTTTCTAGTTGTGATGGCTACAGTAATTCAGAGTTTAAATAAACCTATTCTTAGTTTCTATATCTCAGTCTGTATCTCCGGTAGTTTACTTGTTAGAGGAAAGTTCCTGATTGATCTTTCACTCATTTTTACTCTCTCGTTGTTATTGTTGTCTTTATTTGGGTCTCACTGTGAAGTTAGTAAATAGCCGTTGCTGTATATTATACAGTATGTATTTCTGCTAAACAAGTATGAATCTCTAAAATTGACAAAATAATCATCTCTACAATCATTTTTATCGTCTCTGTTGGTCTTGCATTAGAGATTATAAAATTTTATTTTAATATATTGTATAGTCTTTCTTACTGAGGTTTGTCAGTAAAGTGAAATATAAGTGTAAATCAGACCAGTTTTTTATTTTATTTTATTTTATTTTATTATATTTTATTTTAT